CTTTTCTAAAACTTTGCTGTGTCGGGCTGCTTGCATGTTGTGCAGCAAAATGAATGGAGGGATGTTTATGTCAGCTGTGCCTGTGAGAAAGCGCTTAGTAAAAACTGTTCCAGATCCTGGAGATAAACACATTGTCCAGCTTTCCTTTCGGTAATTTGATGGATCATTTAATCTGCATTGTGTGTGTGTGTGTGTGTGTGTGTGTGTGTGTGTGTGTGTGTGTGTGTGTGTGTGTGTGTGTGTGTGTGTGTGTGTGGTGTGTGTGTGTGTTCCTGTTTGTATGCGTGTGTGCATGTGATCAGGCTGTCCACTAAAAACAAACGGGCTGAGGAAAACTCATCCATGACTTCTGGTCACGACACAGAATGAAGAAACAACTCTGTAAGTCCAGTCCACACAGCTGAAGATTGAGGGATTAAATGAACCTGTTAAAAAACAGGACCTTGATTCAGCTGAAAATTATCAGGCAACATATAATATAACCTTTATCTTTACAAAGAGTTTTAACATCATGGTTATAGTTGTTGATAGAGCTTGTTGATGCTTTTGTGATCACATGCTGGCAAGACCAACTGTGAAAATGATTGTTTTGCCAAGATCCATGTTCCTTTTGCAGAATATGCCTGCTTTGGAATCATCTTTTCCAGAGCACTGAACAAATGTGCAGTCAGACCAAAACTGCTGCTCAGAGTTGACAGGCGTATTGAAAAGGCAGAAGGACAAGAGCCTTGTGTTACACTGCTGTTGAACTGAGTGTTGTTTTGAAAAGATCACAGCTACAACAAAGCCATACTGCGCAGCAACACTCCAACCAACCAGGGACTCGGTTGTGTATTTAAATTCAGATAACTTCAAGTCAAAACTACTTATATTAAAACACTGATTTCAGCTTTTTACTCTCACATATTTAAGATTTATGCATGCCTGATTTGGACTGTTGAATAGACGTGTATCCTGTTGTCTTGTGTTACACTGAAAACAAATTGAGGCCTTTTTTGTTATTTATTTATGAACACTTTGCAGCCAGCCATGACATGTAAAATCTAACAAAAATAAAGTCAGAGCTGGATCAGTTTTGGTGGGTTAGGGTGTGTTGCTCCCTTGAACCAAGTTCTTATCATACAGGCTGATTATGAGCCCCTTTTCCCTAGAGCAAGTATAAAACAAATTCTGTTCATTTTATTTATTTTATGGCTCACAGGAAACTGGATCATGTCTCTTCAGTTAAATACACAATAACTGGCATCTGTGTATCTGATTTGAGGCAAAACAAACAGAAGCCAGATACTGACTTTTTTTTTTTACTGCCATCCTCCCAACAGTACAGAGACACTGCTTACTCTTTTAACCCTAAGAACTGTTTATCAAGCTCCATGAACCCAAAAGTCAAAATATTTTATTACACAGGACATTTTACTTAAACAGCCCAAAATCCAACCACAAATCACGAGAATACATTCTTTAACTTTCAAAATAAACTGTTGTAAACCAATAAACTTTAAAGCTCCTGTGAGAAACTCTAGTTTTGTGTCAGTTTTTTTGCATCCCCGGTTGACAAAGCAGTCGCTCCTCTACATGTTTGAGTTGAGTAAAAGAAAAAATCTCATGCTGCTGGCTTTTGGCAGTCATATGTATCATATATTTTTGAACCCTTGTGTGAATATTGTAAAATAGGGCTGCTTTTTGGCTGCTTGGCTGACACCTACCCCTTAAAACCAGTTTCAGGCCTAAAAAATTACAATATAAAAATAATCATTTTTGACACGGATGGTCTTGCTTGCTTTTGTAACTCATAAAAAAGCATCAATGTGAATTCCAGTGTGTTTCATAAATGCCAGAAAACTCCTTATGGGAGCTTTAAATCAAATTACAGATCGCCAGTCACATCCTAAAAGCATCTCCTCATGTCAGCTCCTTTGAGTTTTTCAACCCCTTTGATGAATCAACCCATGAATACATTTATTTACGTTAATCATTTGACTATTCTGACCCTCAGGCACATCATTTAGCATGGAATTAATGTTCATTTAATGAGTCATTTAAACATTGGAGATATAGGAGCTATAATTTTTATGAGTAGACTAAAGACTGGAGACATTTAATCTTGACTCATTTGATTGTGTCTTTGTGTTTTCATGCTGTGTTTCAGATTTAATTAACATCACACGAGGTTTAATAGAGTTCGAACGTGGCCCATCACGCTCCAGCCACCCTTGATCTCCTTCAACACTCACCAAATTACAAGGAGTATTTGAGGCAAGAGTGACAGGTTTAATATTATCTAGCAAAAACACGAGTTCTCTTCAGGTTTAATTGGAGGGTTAATAATTTTCCAGGGTTTGAGAGCCACCACTCAACCATGTCACAATTGCTGGCTTGTTGAGATGATGATACATGTTTTGTAAAAGCAAAACCTCCTCTGTCCTTTAGTTTCAGGTAAACAGTAGATACTTGTGCTCTAAATTGTAGATTTTTTGGTGAAATTTGAGTTCATGTTTGGATTTCATTTTGTGAGGCAAATATTAGGATTTAGAAATTATATTTTAGATCAGATTAGATTCTCATTTTCATTTGATTTAGGACAACACAAGGACACTTCAAATGACACAGAAATTTTAACACTATGTTTTAGTGTCCCAGATTTTATGTGACCAAATGAATGAATATTTTCTGTTCAGTATTTTCTCCATTTTTAGCATGAAAAAGTAATGAGAAACAAAAGCACGTACAAGAACACAAAACCATCCAAATATATTCCTGAGGGAGTATTATATTTTCTTTTGCCATCCATCCCTACCTTTGCTAATCCAGAGTGCTGCAGGAAACCTTGTTAAAAATGTTGTTGACACGTCATATCCCACCATCATGTTTTTGCATCAGTAACAAATTTAGAGCCGTTGTAGTTCAGCATTTTCAGCACTCATCATCAATTGTTTTCATACTTTTGTTAAATGTGCTGTAATAAAAGCAGTCAGACTTAATTTTTCACCAATAAAAGATGCAGAAGTGCCATGTGATAACTTTCATAACCCGGCAACAGTATCTGCCAGTGAGAAGCACTCAAAAATGAGTTTGGGTGCTATCAGCCCATAGAAATTCTATTCATAGACACAAATCCTAAACTTTAAACTCTGAAACTTGATTTCTAATTTTTAAATTTGATCCATGTCCCATCTGTGAACACAGAGTGGAAGCGTTATGACCATGAATGAACCAATGACCAGAAGGGAGCTCGAAACATTGTGGTTTTTTCTTTGGGGAGCAGTTGTACCATCCATCTTCTTGTACAGTCTGTTATTGTTACCTTCATGTTTTTCCAGTGTTGGCGGGTGAAAACGCCGGCCTTGAAGGATCTGACCAAACAAATATTGGTTTTAATGGGATTTTTCGGAATATATTAAACCAGCAAGATTTATTACCCACACCAAGCTTCAATTATTTCCAAACCCAGCATAAATTGCATGCGGCCTCGAGGTGAACACAATTCCAACTGGGTCTTGTATTATTGCATTCCTCGCTCACTCACTCGCGTAAGCAATTCCTTGTTTCATCACAGTGACAAACATATGGAAACTCCTGACAAATGGGCACATTGACATATGACTGCTTTAAGTGTTGGTCACATGTAGCTCTAAATAATGCTCCTCAACTTCCTGTTTAAACACGTATAAAATAAGTAACTGAAGGGGAATATGCATCAGTCGGCATTCAGCGCAGTGCTGTTAAAAAAAAAAAAACTCACTCTCATTCTGTATACAATATCAGCAACCACACAGACAGCATTAACGTGCATATTTCAAATCAACCACCCACCTTCCCCGGCAGGAAGAGAGCTTGTTTTGCCCCAAAACCTCCATCTGTTTTGTTTGTTTTTTTCCCTCACTCTTCTCTCTCTCTCTCTCTCTCTCAACTCCATTTCAGCTGCATTCAATACAAATGTGTTTGTGCTGCTGAGGAGGTAATTATGTGAGTGCAGAAAAAATAAAGTGGAACTAAAAAGTCAGAATAACTTGTCTTCTGTTTTCTGAAAAGTGTTTGCATGCTCTCTGACATCAATCATTTTTATCTGTGAACAATTTTCATAATATCCTCATACTTTTGAAACTATTTTAATGACTGCAGCTCCTCAAACTTGGTGAGTAACTTTTGGTGTCAAATTATGTTTGGAATACCAAAAAGGATTTTCATTAGTTATAATTGCTTTTCAGTTTATTAACACATTAATTCTTAAAATTGCCACCTTGTGTAAGTTTAATGTAATCTAAGGCTCGAGCTTTCACCTCTCATTACTGTTTCACTGAGCCATCTTGTCATTCCTAATGCTCCCTTTCAAAGCACTGAGGGGTTTTAGATGTTACACTTAGTCATACATTAATGGATTTGGCCTTTCTCTGTCTTGGGCATGAAGGTCTGATCCTGTGGTTGTATGTGCAGGCATGCAGGTCTGTCATTAGGTAACATTACAGCAGTTAAAGGAAGTTCTTAATGCAATGCATCATCACGACTCGATCAAGCACACCCATACCTGAGTTAAAAGGACACGTGCAAACATTTTAAAGGTTTTGGACACATGTCATAAGAGGCTAAGTAAACTGTGAGTCTGCTCTGGACAGCTCATGTTTGGGTAAACATGTCATCCCAATAGGCCCACTCAGTGCTGACTTCACAACAGCCACCAGCCATGAAAGAACAGTTTGTTTTCACAGGAGAGGCTGAATAATCCTTTGAATAATGCATAATGATCATTTTTCACTTCTATGGTGAATATTTTTTCAGAACAATGAATAGGTATCCAGCACGCTCTGGAAAGATCATCCATGTGAGCTTTTATTTTTGATTTCCAATGTTACAGCTGTAAAGGTGAAACAGACACAAATCAGCTCTTTTTAATGCATGCAAATGTTGTGCTGCATGACTGGCTTTATTTTCACTCTCACAGGTAACTCTGCGACATGCAGATTTACAAGTGGATTGCTGATATTGTCTCCAAATGTATTCATGGTAAAATATCATCCATCTACCAATGTCATCATCAGTCACTTGTCATCAGCGTGCAAGCTAGCTGGAGCATTTTAACATACTAAAGGAATATTCCGGTGTAAAATTAATTCAGGGTCAAACACACTGTAACACTGAGTTAGACACCCCCTCAAGAGATGAAAGTTGCCGACCGCTTGCTTCTCTAGTTATACCAACTTTAGTAACGACCGCAGGAGAGTAATTCAAAGTGATCTGAGGAGCCATCAACAAACCTCAACCAAAACACCACTCTATAGCCACAAATGATCATACATGTTCTTCCTTGAGTTGTGTAACCCCGCAGCAGTCGGTAATGGAAGGGCCTGAGGTCTCCGTACAAACAAGCGGCTGCTGGAAGACAGTGGGTAAGTTGTGTTTAGTCTCTTTGCTAAAGAAACCAGGCAAAGCTTAAAATATGTTTGGTTGCTGGTACTATGGCTTGGACCCTATATGTACTGTTGATGAAGTTAGGTGCTGTTCTGAGAATTATGTGTGGCTATAGAGTGGCTTTTTGGTTGAGGTTTGTTCTCTTGAGGGGATGTCAAGAGGAACCAGAGTTACATGAACCTAAGTCAATTCAGCACTATGAATACCTACTCTGTATCTTAATGCTTTTGTTGTTCTCTTTGTTCGTTAGACCTCATGTCCATTTAAATAGACTTCAAAATGACATGCCCATATGTAAAATATGCAGTAATGCTTGTAAGCCCCGCTTTTGTGGACATTTGTTTGTTGTTAAGCAATATTATCATGAGCCATATCCAGTTCAAAGGGCCCAGTCGTGGCACATGTACTAGTTGCTAAGAAGGAGAAACAAGTTTCACTGCGCTGTCTGACTAATCAAAACTCTATAACAATAGTACTGATTCTGAATACCAGGAGTCAAAGAGCAAGGAACAAGCATTTTGAACGGTGTCCTAATGAATCATATGGTATGGTATGGTATGGTATGGTATGGTATGGTATGGTATGGTATGGTGCAACAGCACTGCTTGAGTAAGAAGATGATGCCAACAGGGGAAAAACCGAATACACCATTTCTACTTGTTTTTCTTTGAGATATATACTGACAAGTGGTTATGCAAATTTATCTGCTCAAAAGAAAACGTTTCTTCCAAGTCTTCAGCTGAAAAAAGGGGGAATTAATGGGAGCAAACCTTCTAAATTCTGCCTATTTGTAAAGTGTTTGCTCATTCAGCAAGCAATCTGGCTTTACTCTGTGGTGATACTTGCCAAAGGCCATTATTCTAAATCCTTCAGTTCTTTTAAACATACAGCAACCTTAATGACTAATGCTATTAAGAGATTTGAGCTTTTTCTAATTATTGCTTGAAGTAGAACTGTAAACTTTACAAACTTTTTATGTTAATATGTCTGCCTAAGGGGAAACCTTACATTCACGGTTTGGTTTCCGAAGGATATTGCAGATTTCCATTTTAACAGGGGTGAGCACAAGCTTTAACACTTCACCACAGAACTCTCAGTAATGATGTCTCTGGATCATAACTTTAATGAGGTGTATTGTAATCCCAGTGAGAAACACTCTGACTCCAACTTATACAGCGAGAAATGGCTGTTGTTAGATTATTGCTGCATCAGCACCTGAGCAGTTACACATAAAATGCTTTAGAGGCGAAATCTGAGGCGCTTGAGGGTTGAACAGGTCCACTGAAATAAGCGATTGAAGAATGTGGTGTGACTCTGTCCCTCGATGTTATAAGCTGTGCTTGAACAGCAGAAAGAAATCTCTTCCTTTTAATCTCTTTAGACAGTTATCTACAGGATTTACTTGCTTGTTTTGTAAAAACAAAATTACTCATATGATTTCATATCAGCAAGAGAGGGATGTGCAGCTCATCAGGGTTGAACGTGTGGGCTGTGGAGTAAAGATGCTGTGAGGATCAGGATGAAAACAGTTGTAGATTTTCTGATTCAACAGAAGTGAAGAAAAGGGGTTATTTAGCAGTCTAACCGTGTGCAGCAGGAGTAAAAATGCACTGATGTTATAAACACATTTTACATTTTTGGCCATCAAAGCTCCTGTGATGAACTTTTTATTTATGTCAATTTTGGTGCCACTTGCAGACGAAGTTGTGCGTCTTAAATCTTGGCTGATCATTGTCCTTGTGTACATGTGTGGTAGGGCTGTCAGTTATCAAGTGAATTAAGTAACTTGTGTTTAACATTTTTTTAACCTCCCCTTAAAGGGATATTACGGCGTAAACTAAAGTTAGGGTCAAACATAGACTAAATACAACTCACTCACTCTCTTCCAGCAGACCTCCGGGCGAGTCCATCAACTGCAGCGGGGTGACGCAGCTAAAGAAAGAACATCTATAGTCTGTAATGGACTGGCCCGAGGTCTCGCTAAACACAAGCGGCTGCTGGAAGAGAGTAGGTGAGTTGTGTTTAGTCTCTTTGCTAAAGAAATTAGGCAAAGTTAAAAAGGTGTTTGGTGGCTAGTACTATGGCTGGGACCCCATATGTACTGTTGATGAAGTTAGGTGCTGTTCTGAGCATTATTTGTGGCTATAGAGTGGCATTTTGGTTGAGTGCATGGCTCTATGTATTACTGTCCTGTGGTCGTTACCAAAGTTGGTATAACTTGAGAAGCTAGCGGTCAGCAATATTCATCTCTAGGCGGGGTGTCTAACTCGGTGTCACAGTGTGTTTGACCTTAATTTTACGCCGGAATATCCCTTTAATCTATCTTTGTTTGATCATTACTTGCTCTGCAACCACAACTCTGTATGAGCTGTTGCTGTTGTTTTAATGTTTCTGATGTCCCCTGTCTCTCTCTCTCACCCTCGTTCTCTATTCTCTCTCCCTTACTCATTTGAAATAATTCATTTGATTGAATGAAACTGATATTAGGCAGGAGAAAAAATAAAGCTGTCGGCTTCAGGACACAAGGTTACAGCAGGACGTTGACCCGACCCTGACAGCATTAATCCTGTGCTTAATCCAACACGGCCAATGACCAACACTTACATAAACCCTTGCTCAGAGGAGACAAAGGCAGTATTTTACAGAGTGCATGCAGGAGTGGTTTGTTCTTTTTTTTCTGGCTTTCTGTTCCTTATTTCTCCTGATTGCCTCTGGGGTTCACATCAGACTCTGCAGAATGATGCAAACTCAGTCCAGACTGGCTGGTGGAGACGTCCGCATCTCATTTTGAATGTTAAAACTTTAAAGAACTAGACAGGATCAGAAGGATATGTTGAGAGGACAAAGAGGACATATTGTCTCACTGCGAGGTTCTTTTAAGCAAGAAAAAAAAAAAACATTGAAAACATGTTTTAAAAAATGTTTTCCTCTTAACAACCAAGCTGTGATTTTTGTCAGAAAAGCATGGCAGTTATTCAATTACACCTTTATCAAGTGTACTTTCATCCCTCTTGCAAAGACCCTTTCAAAGTGTCATCTTGCTGTCTGTCACGTCAAAGGAGTGTGCCTATATCCACATTTTAAATCCACAGGCTTCAAAGAGTCGACATTTAATGAACGAATCCTCAATTGTTCTACTGAAACAAAAAAACGCAGCACACATTCACACATTTAACAACACCTCCAGAGCATGCATAGTCTCCCACTTAGACAAACACACAAAGCCAAACAACAGAGTACACACGCACGCACACACACACACACACAATACAAGCTGTAACACATTCATACAGTCTTCGTAGATGATAAAGAAGCCTAATGTGATGATTCTTTGAATCCTTTGTTGTGTCTGTGTGTTTAAGCCGCCCACTTGCTCTTGCATAACAAGTAAATACTCGGTCCTTTAACTCAATGATCAAACAGTAATTCACCTGATAGTGACAACGTTTCATCAGCATCTTTATTTGGTTCATTTTTCTTTCTGTCTGCTCTTTTTAAAGGACAAATTTATCAAAGGTCCATCCACAACAATCTACGAGGGTGTTCACACCACCCTCGTTTAGTCCAGTTGAACCCAACCCTGGAGCGTTTACCCTCTTGGTGCAGTTTGTTTGGGTCGGTGTGAACGCTGACCTCGAACTCTGGTGTGGACCAAATAAACAAACTCTGGTCCGCTTGAAGAGGTGGTCTTGGACCGCTATTAAGTGAACTCTGGAGCCGTTCATTTCTGGTGTAAATGTCATCCACACCAATCACAGGAAACACACCTAGGCTAGGCTATTTTTAATGCTGGTTGTGAAATAAATGTTGTCCGCTCACCTCACTTGTCCTGATTGACAACAGAGAGAAAATGCATCATGGTAGGCTCTCATTAATGCCTGTTGCTGTCTCGTCTTTATCTGTCTGTTGTTTGCAGCACGTTTACTCCGGAATGTATTTATTAATGCCGCAGTTAGCGCTCACTGGCTAATGAGCCGTTCATACGGGCATCGACTAGCTTCTTTTGATACGCGCTCCAGATGAGTAGTAAAAGCAAAATCAGCCTACGATGCTCCATGAGAGGCGAAGACAGCAGAGCGGGGTTTGTTTTCCCGCATAAACTAATGACCAATAACCAAACAATATTCACGGTCACGTGACTTCCTGTTCCGTTTTCTGGAGCGATTGAGTTTGTCCTTTGTGAACGCAAACTGGACCAGTTAAACAATCAAAACAAATGTATCGTCTTGCCTTGGATTCGAATCAGGAAACAGACCTTTAGGTGTGAACACGACCTAAGTGTCTAAAGTCGCTCCAATCGAAACCCTTCATGAATATGACTGAACATGCCCTCAGTAATAATAATAATAATAATAATAATAATAAATTTAGTGTGGTTATTGAAATGATAGTTGACTTTTTAAGCAATATCAGAATTTGAAAGCAAGGTCGCTGTTCTGGAAGAACCAGATCTTTTTGAATTCACTTCAAAAACTGGTCCAGGAGTGTTTTGTGTTATCTGTATTATCTTTAACATGTGCAGTGGATGATCTATCTGCTTATGATACCTCATCTTGCTCTTGGAGATCTCTAAATATGAATTGTCAATAATCAAAAATAGGGTCATTGTCAAAGCATCATGAACAGAGGTTGTCTCTTTGGGTTCTTCTCTTTCCAGAGCAATAAAAAATAAATGAATAAAAATAAATGAGTCCAAAATCTTTCACTGTTTTTTTCTTATGTTTATTGTGGCTACAGTGGAGTGCTGTTGCACCTCTCTAACCCTTTTAATCGAAGAACCCTCACACCCTGTCCGCTTTCATCCAAGAAGTCCAGGACTGGGTTATCATAAGCCAGCCCTGCCATCCTGAGGTCGGCTTTCTGTGTGTCAACAGAGGTTGTCTGTTCTGAGATTTGCTCTTTTTCCTCCTGTCCCTCCCCTTCCTCACATGTGCAACAGACTGTAGTCTTTGCAATCAAGCGGTCAAGCGGTTTGAGGGATCGCATCCACTGAGGCAAGAAGTCCCAAGTCTGGAGTTTCATAGGTAGGTGACCGGGGCTGCGTGCCTGCATTATATTCACCATGGCAACGAAGACTGAGACACCCATAAAAGGAGCCCCAACGCCAGCCAATACCCGCCACCCTGCCAGCGACAAGCCCAGAACCAGTGAAGGCAGGAGCAGAAAACAAAGGAGAAGGTACAAAACTGCAAACCAACGGTACTTAGCCGTGCGCTCACCCAAGACACGAGCCATCCTTATTGGCAGGCGCATAAAGGGGAGAGGATACCACAGGAGAATGCCAAATAGGTTGAAAAAGAGGTGACAGAGAGCAATCTGCAAACAAAAAGAAGATGATGTGATAAAGATTAAAAAATCCCCCAAGACAAATTTAAAGCATAAAGTAAGATTAGCAGACTGTGGGTCTCATTCATGAAACAACAGTAAAAAGAGTAAAAAGAAGTAGACACAGGGCAGATGTTTCCCAAGTGAGTCACACAGGCAAGATAAAACCCACAATAACTTACTTAATATGACTCACAGCATGTCAGTGCTGAAGAACATTGTATCTCACACTCAATTTATGCTGTCGTTTACATCCCAGGGGTCTCCGCAGCTTTGAAATCATGTAACATTCATTTCATAAACATAATCTAGGGATAGGCTTCAGATTTTCACAGTTTTGTTCCCTGGACGAGCATCTACTCAGTTGTAATACCCTTATGCATAAATCCATACTCATATAAATACAAACATAACTGTAATCTAGGATCGTGTTGTAACTCCCCTGTTTTCTTTTTTCTGTCTCAAAGTCAGTGTTCATCCTCTTCTTGGGAGGCACATCGGTGGAAAATATATTCATGAGAATGATTTTACTTCCAATAGGGAGGGCAGAGGTAGTGCTGCCTTTACTTTTTTGTGTGTGTGTGTGTGTGTGTGTGTGTGTGTGTGTGTGTGTGTGTGTGTGTGTGTGTGTGTGTGTCCCTGCAGCTTTTAGATGGCTGTGGTATCTGATTTTTTTTAAAAATGGCTTACTTGTATAGCAGCTGCTAGCTTGTTCCCTGGACTGGCCAAAGCTGCCAGCAGAGCTGTGGCTGTGGTGCCTATGTTGGATCCGAGAGTGAGAGGGTAGGCTCGCTCCAGGCTGATAACACCAATACCTGAGGGAGTCAGAAGAGACACCTTATGAAAGAGGAAGCAGACACATGGGAAAGTGGGTTTTGTCATAGCCTCTGTCATATATCTGGTAAACGTACATTGAAGTCATCAGCTGTAGAGATAAAAGATTAAATTAACATATCACTGATGAAATCTGTGACAGAGATTACAATCCCGGGCAGCTGATATAAATCTTCTTTTATAGCTCTCACAAAGACCGTCGGTTAAAAGCTAAACAGAAAATAAAACATCCTGTGAACCTTACCAAGAAACCCACTTGCATGAAAAATAATGTTTATGAAATTTATCCTACCTGAGTAACATTTCATCACAGATAAATAGACAACATAAAGAATCTCTTTTCTACTCTGTGTTTAAAGATAAACAAAGGACAAATAATTAAAGAAGAAACACTGGAATAGTGGTGACTGTCACATATCTTTAGACAAATGATGGACAAATGGGTAACTACTTCTGACAGCCAAACTAGGTCAGTACTAATATGTGGAGTAAATGTACTAAATCTTGAGGGAATGTTTACTTTTTATCCAGCCCTTTCTTTTCTACTTACTTTACTAAACATGACAAAACGGCGTGGTAACAGCCCAATAAGGAGTGAAAAATCCTCAAATCAAATGAATTTGGATATAGTCGCTCATGCTGATAATACTCTTGCCTTTAGGCCCAGTTGATTGTTCCTGTGTAGAACGAGAAAATATTCCACCTCACATTTATCACTATGTAGCAGGCTGATGATTCACTCATCTCTGATTTTACATGCTTCACTTAGCCGGTGGCATACAGTGCCGATTATGTAACAATTCCTTACCAACTCCACAAGACACGATCAGTGGAAAAAAACAGATCTATGTCCTTATTTGGTCTCATTTAACTCACAAATGAGCTATTAGCTAACAAGGAATTTAGAGGAATTGGATGCTCGTTTCAGAGTGTGTTCATTTTAATTAGCTATGAAACATAAGACAGGGGCAATAAGTGAAACCTTTGCACACTGTACATTAAACAGTTTATTACTATTGCAGTGAATTGAATGTCTCTAGAGGTCAGAATTTATAGCTTGTGGCACAGACCAGTGGCCTTGGAGGCAACAGCCCAGTTTATGAGCTGACAAATTTCAGTAGCAAACCCCCTTACTTTGATTTACAGAGAGTATATGCTATTGTTTTCTCTCCCTACAACATTTTAACCGCTTAAAAAACTAGCAAATACATAAATGTACGTGTATGGGATCATCTGAGTGCACATATGCAGAGGTTGTGATCTCAAACAGAGTCTGGGAAAGTCATATGACTGACAGGCAGCTCTGCAAAACACTGACCAACTTGAGGATAAGATCTCATATTCTGCACAGTTAGAGTCAAGTTTAATAAAGACATTACAGGGGACAAACTCCTTGAGACCCTGCACCAAGTGAAACAGAGTCATCACTGAAGGGACCGGATCAGAGGAGACTTCACACTGGTTCCACCAGACCGGACAGATGGATGCTGTAATTGCCCCCAGACTACAGGCACACTATCTCAGAGATCAGCCAGCACAAACCAGAGGAAACTGAGAAAGGATGGGAAAGTAAAGATGTGTGCTGAGAAGGAGGTTTTTATTTTGAAGGAAGACGTGTGTTGTGTTGATCATCTATGAGTGGGATGCAGGTAAATTTAGGGGATTAACTTGTGGCTCCACAGGAAAAAGTTTGCGATCTGAGTGTGTTATGATCTGCAAGTCAGCAGATAGTTAACTTTACAGAGCAGACAGCCTGGGGAGGACTTAGTTGAGGGAGTGTATGAAAGGAAAAAGCTAGAATATGCAGATAAAGGTGGGATGGATCTCACTACAGGGAGAACTGTCCACTCTGAGTTCTGTGACAGAGTTTGCAAAGGTCAGAAACAGAGGTGTGAAACAAAGCTATCTAGATGGAGAGAGGTAATGCCCGATGTGGGCCAAAAAAAAAAAAAAAAGAAAGCAAAGAGAAAACTGTTCATCTTCTTTTTTTACTACTTGCTTCTCTTCTTTTTCCCTGATAGGAGGGGGGAGGGGAGAGGTAGAGTGCGCAGGCTGAAGGTTAGCGTTGACCCTCACTGTGAGCCACTTCTCTTCATAAGGGCACAAGTATGATGATAATCTCAGACTTTAAGTTTAGCTAAGACTAGGGGGTTTCTTATCTGAGCTTATTTGATTCTTTCTCACGCAACTCCCTGGTAGAGGACAAAATAGAAATTTTCACCATAAGAATGCACGAGCCAAAGACTGGCAGACCTCTGAGAACTATACAGTGGGAGCATTGTACAACAAATCATGGCATCCCTCCAGAAGTTTTCAAAAATCCAACCAAAACCTATCAAAGACAAAGAAAGAAAAGGACTGCTAAAACCATCAGAATTAATCACATTGGAAATATAAATGTCTGCTAAGATTGGAGGGCAGAGCGTGTCTGTCGCTTACAAACATGATGAAGAGGAACGATGTCTTAAATCTCAGGCTTCTAAGAAAAGTCATTTTATTACTAATATCCAACCTTAAATCTATGTCAATTTTATAGGTGCATTTATCTATTTATGCTTTAGCAATTTATGGATGCTGTGTCGTGTGGTGTCCAGTAATCTACAGTATCATGTCGTTTGATCTTACACACCAAAAGCGCACAAGCAGTATTACTTCACTTTATACAACCTTTAAATATCGAACTGGTATCATTAAAAAAGTCTGATAAGTTGCATAATAAATACCACTGTGAATTTTAATATGCAGTTTAAAGACAAAACAAACTTTAAAACAAGTTATTTCTCACAAAGCTGCTCTATTTGCCTCTAAAATCTTTTTTCTTTTTAGTTTGGCGGCTTTAGTTGACAAACCTTTAGAATATAAAATAGTTTTTATTATGCTGGAAAATTAAGCCATGCAGCCAAAGGTCACAGACTTCATCAGAGGTGATGTCAGTGTACAAGGTTAAATTGATTTAATCCAGTACTTTAAGTGGTTGGAGGTGTTTAAAAACGCTGCGTGGTTCAGTCGAGTGTTCTCATCAGTGGGCTGTGAAAAACAGCACACATTCAAGAGACTGCATCAAAGTTCACAGAAACACTCTGTGTATACTGTAATCTATTAGCAGACACTTGTTAAATAAAGTCACAGACAGTGAGTGCACTTAGACTTTACATCACCAATGACTAGAGTTTTTATACTTATCCAGTCTGACAGTACAGATCCGTAACAGCATCAGGTTTTAGCACATTCTGCTGAGGACTGATCGTCGATGATCGCTAGTTATCTTGCTAAGAACCTGACACTTTTTACTTGGACTTTTCTTAAAAATAAATAATTTACCACAAAGTTTACTCTGTGTACACATAAAGTGTTAATGATCTAGCTTGGCCTTAATGAACTGATAAGAATTCATCACACTAAATGCATCAATTTATTTGCCTGCAGAGCAACATCTGTCATTTTACTTGGAACAGATGTTGGATGTCTTCAAACTTAATGATATAGATGAACATAACTTAACAAAGTGTCATGGGCAGAAATATCAAAAAGGTTGTGCATGTATGGATGGCCCTTAAAGGATCTCTCACTCAATATTTCTCTCAGACTTTAGGGGCCCTTGTTGCTCTGCTCTTACTTTGACAGGGGAACGACATTTTTATTTACAGGACATGCTTATATGGTCTCACTTTTAATTACTGTTATTCTCTGTACCATACACACTTAAATACTAAATCTAGCCAATGTTTAAACTTAATTGATTCAGCCTCCAACTGAGCGATAGATGGCTATTAGACGTCTATTTTTTTTAGATGGAATTTAGACGTTGCACTTTAACCCATTATTCGATAACTATTTATTTTTAAAAGCAACTGTGAGTTGCATAACTGATCTCCAAGTACTTAACTAAAATAATTATGATAGCAGTTGAACAATGTACAGTGTAGTTTAGATATAGCCCAGATAAACAAATGTCATTTTTAGACCTGTGGTAGCCTGATTTTAGACCAGGCGTCTAGGCTACATTTAGACATCTATAAGACCTCTTTTAGACCAAAAATGCTCAGTGGCCTCCATGCTTTTATATCACTCACCTACAAGGGGAGTCATGGCCGAGGTGAAGACTGAGCTACTCTGAACCACAAATGTTACCCCTGCTCCCACAAACATAGCCGTGTATCCTGCCAGCCAGCCAAACGGGTACGGCAAGTCTGTTGAGAACAGAGAAGAGAGACCATTGTTACAATCAATACAACACTACAGTTATAATTTGCATCTAAAGCAGCTTGTAATAGATTTCTTAGTCTCCCACACTGCTTCATGTTTGCATGCTTTGTTACACCTCTTGCTGATTAAAGCAAGTGCACCTGTGTTAATGACTCTGTGTATAACTTTTGCCACATGGCCTTCAAGAATAGAGTGGAGCAGCTTGACCAGTAGCAGCAGGCATATACAGAGAACAGCCATGGAGCCCGCCAGGAGAATCAGGCCGACAGAGAGGTCTGAAAGCCCAGAGGACACAAACAAATGCCTGCCTGCAGAGTGTGAGGAGAGACAGTCATTAGGTAATTATTCTCAGGAATAACCCTTTAAATAACCGATTTATCAATGCAAAATTAGAAACTCAATTGTACCAAAAATCACACAATCAAAATTATTTTACTGTTTAGAACAACATGTTGCTGCATCAGGCTGATAATATACACACAAAGTATTATTGTCCCATTTTGAACTCACATTTCAAAGATGGTACCAAATCATGTGTTGGGCCACAGTTTTCAGCGCTCAAATTGCCCGCAGACTGCTGAAAGATAGAATAAAAAGAGATGGAAAAGGTATCTCTGTTTACACAGTAATCACTGGCAGCAGTGACAGGCTCTATTTGGCGCCAGTGTGTGACACAATAGTCTGCATGTGCAGGAGACGGGGTGGAGACGCTCCATTACCATAACACGGTCAGTCTGGCACCATTCTTTCACCAGGCTCCTGTTCCTCATGTCCTCATTTCCCATGGCGATTCCTGTGATCACACACTTGTCTAGCTACGGATGAAAGGACAGATATTTCTCATCTGTTTTAGGTCAGTGAATCAAATAAAAAATATTTCAAAGTATTGAACTCTCAGTCTTCCAACTGTAGAAAAACAGAGCATCATGCAGTGTCTCTGCAAAATACAAAGAAAAGCTCACTATTCATACTGATGAGCTTACTATTTGTCCTCTCCTGCTATACAGTAGTTATTGTTGCCAATAAGGTTTGCATTGGTACAGGGCACATATAGTTTACAATGACAGCAGCAGTGGATGTATTACTTGACAGTCTTTTTGTAACATCTTGGACAAAATATAACCTGCATTTGAGTCAAGTGCAGGGAAATTTGCTTTGCCAAAATGGAAAAAGTTACCAGTGTATTCTATGTGCCATGGCTAGCTAGCTGATTGTGTTTGCATTGGTTAAATATGTAGCGTACTATTAATGGCATTAGCTTAAAGGGATATTCTGGCGTAAGATTAAGTTAGGGTCAAACACACTGTAACACTGAGTTGGACACCCCCTCGAGAGATGAATGTTGTCGACTGCTTGCTTCTCTAGTTATACCAACTTTAGTAACGACCGCACGATAGCAATACAAAGAGCCACGCGCTCAACCAAAACACCACTCTATAGCCACAAATAATGTTCAGAACAGCACCTAACTTCATCAACAGTACATATAGGGTCCCAGCCACAGCATTAGCCACCAAACATCTTTTTAGCTTTCCCTGATTTCTTTAACAAAGGGACTAAACACAACTCACCTACTCTCTTCCAGCAGCTGCATGGTTGTAGCGAGACAAGGAAGAACATTTATGATAATTACTTTATCATTTCCGTGAAGTAATAATCATCATATTCATCATTTTGCACTGCAGACGTGGTAGTTCTTCTGCCTTAGCGTCTCGGTCTGATTGCATTTCCATGAAGAAATGATCATAAATGTTCTTCCTTGAGCTGCGTTCCCCCGTTGCAGTCGATGGACTCACCCAAGGTAAAGTTGGTATAAATAGAAAAGCAAGCAGTCTGCAACATTCATCTCTCGAGGGGGTGTCTAACTCGATGTTACGGTGTGTTTGACCCTAACTTAATTTTATGCCGGAATATCCCTTTAAATTCTAACATATGTCTGTGGACTTTAAAGCTATACCAGGAGATCTGCTAAAGACATGGCACTGAAGCTGCACCTCAAAGCAATGAACAAGGCTTTTTGCAGGCTAAGCCATATGCCACTCTATTGATGATGCAAGTAATAAGCTACTCAGCAGGGCATGCTAAATTGTGCGAAAAATCTGTGACAGGAAGTCTCTTTTTACACTTTAGCTCTTGTGTTTTAGGTTTTGTAAAGGTAAGAACATTTATTCTGCCTCTATATGGGTTGAATAATGATTATCTGTTCTCATAGAAATCTATACAATGGGAAACCTGCCAACTCTATTGAGCTTTGACTGGACAGTTTAGATCAATATGGAAAGAGTTGATTGGTTGTTACTTTTACCTGTATGATGAGCTGGGTCAGTGGTTCTGTGATAACTTTAAGCAGCTCAGGGGCTTCCTCTCCTGGTTGAAGGTTAAAGCTGGTGACCAGCAGGTGTGACAGCCGGGTCATTAGACCACTCACCACCTCCAGAGGCAGCAGAACAAGCACAGACAGCCAGTTGAAGCAGTCATGGATCGTTGCTCCAGCAAAAGCCCTATAAAGGCGCGCAATTAATTCTGTGTTAACAAAGGTCAGCAATTATCGTGATCAACTACTCTTCATAATTAATCTGCTTTAGTGACTCGACTTTTATTGAGATGACTGAATGTAATCAGTGGTTTTTGCTCAGTGTATGAATATACTGTGAAAGTTTATTTTATTCTTTCTATTTTACCAGAAACAGATTAAGTAACAAGCCATCTGCTCTGTGCAGTATCTTTCATGCCAGAGGGGTTACTGGTGTGGGATCAATGTGGACTGGTGCCATGATTGTCATTGTTGTAGCTTGGAAATTACACTGAGATAGAGGCTGAAGCGAAGAGGCAGTGAACAGCTGCTAATGCCTTTTCTTCACCCTCGTCTGCTTTTCCTCCACACTCACAGCACTACTTTTCTGCATCTCTTCACTTATCCTCTTCACTTTTCCATTTCATTCTTTTCTTCCCTGCTCTTCAGCTTCCCCTCCAATCACCCTCCGCCCTGCCACCTTTTTCTTCACTCACCGCTGAAACTCGCTCCTCTCTGCTGCTTGCATCATGGCCACTATGGTGTTTGTGACCGAGGTCCCAATATTGGAGCCCATGATGATTGGAACAGCGGACCTCACTTCGAGCACTGCGGGGTGAGACCACACGAAAGCGTGAAACTCATCTTGATGATTCATAAAACTGTTTGCGCATAAAAAAAGGGTATCCTTCTGCTCATACCGTGCATGGTAGTGCATCACAATAAAAAACACGACCTTCTACATTTAAAACTGCCTCAAGAGTTTTAATGGAGATTAAAGGTGATTGTAATTTGCAGGTAAGTGAAGTCATGCTCAGCCTTCAAACTCTGCAGATGGTGTTTATAGTTAAGGATATGTCTAATGATGACGACCTGAAGGGCATGTGCACGTAAGCACACAAACGTATTATAAAGTGTCTGTGCCACTTCATCTCTCTTTCTCTGTGATAATTACCTTTAATCCTTCTCTAGGCTCTCCAGCTGAAATGATCTGTAAGCCCCTCCTAGACACTGATATAATTCCATGTAGAGAGAAGAGAGGGGGAAACTTAATGGCTGCTTCAGAAACAGACAGGTCGCAACCCTGCTGTTTAATGGTCCTGTAGTATGGTAAACGAAAGTGAATAAGATGGTTGGAGATTATAAGGGTGTGAAATAGTTAGACTTGATTATCCTTCTTTTGCCCCGTCCAATTTGCGAGATTACATTAACTTTCAGCTGCTTTTTTAAAGGGATACTAGCAAAAACAATAATTACTCAAAAGGCAAATACAAGTCAGACAATCTGTTCATATGCTAAAACTAAAAGCATCTTATAATAACACCAGATTTATGCTTTAAACCCACATGACAAGACAGAAGGACTTACTTCTTGGCTCAGCATGTCCTATCTTAAAGTGTCCTTGACTGGTGGACAATACACTGTATATCATATTTAAAAACCAGTGTCCTTCTCTGACCTGGTGTACATTAATCTGCCTGCTTTAACGCATTTAATTGGCACATTTGTTCCTTAATTATAAGACAGAAAACACGAGGGAGCGTATCTTCCAGTGACCACAGCCTGTCATTGAGTTGGGAGCATAGACTGTTTATACTTTGAACAACTTGATTCCGCCTACCGCCTGTATACGGATTTGAAGCCAAAAAGTTCTCGGTATTTCCGGGTTTTTTCTTCATTTCCTGAAACCGGCGCTGTGCAGGAGCGATGCGCGCGTTCGGCCGCGCAGTCGCAGAGAGTCACTTTGATGACGCTCGGCTCAAACAGCGTATCCCCCGGGAGAGCTACGCAATCCCCGAACGCCCATAGGCTGTATCAGGTGTCAATCATAGCAAACACGAATCCCCTAATAACTTTTAAAAACGGAGCTTCACAGAAAAAAAGAGGACTTGAGCACAAACCAGTCTTACAGTAACTACATGTCAACATCGCAAGCAGGGGGGAGAAAAATTATGTTCTGTGTAATAAATTTCTAAAGTTGGTCCACAGCTCCATAAGCTTTGCTGGTGGAGGCGGGATTTATGACCTATACTGCAGCACACCATCAGAGGGTGCTGTTCTTGGAGTGGCTTCACCCAGCGAGGAGGCAGACTCTGTGTATTCTTTATACAGTCTATGGTTGGGAGCCAGAAAAACATAACCACATGTTAATTACATTTATTTGTCACTGCCACACTTACAGTATGGAGGCTTTCTGGGTGTTTTTTTATAACTGTTTTTCTGTTTACTGTAAAATCTATGCATGCACAATTGTACCGCCCGTGTACAGGCAACACACACACACACACAACTATGTATTTCATACTACATGAGGTCAGTCTAGATGTCTAATTTAGAGGTGGACGTGCAATTTACCACACAATTTTGTACGCCTACTCACATCCGGAGGCCACCATACTGACAATGATGGAGGTGGAAGTGGAGGAGCTCTGGACCAGCACAGTAACCAAGACCCCCACTACCAGGCCCGCCACGGGGTTAGACAACACAGCGTTATCTTGAAAAATGTCTCCGGCCACTTTACCTGGTTAAAATAGTACCCACACACACAGGCACACATAAACACACACATTTAGACACACAAAGAGAAATAACACTGTTGTTAGATCTAAAAGTGTTGCTAAGAGCATTTTTCAACACAATTCAGACTTCTAGTTCCCCGCACATCCAAAAAAGGTTAGTGAGAAGCTCTGCAGTAAATTACACTGCAGAGCCTCAGAGGGACAGAGGAAACTGCTCCGCTGGGACTCACTAATTTGTCAAACATCAAGTGGCTGAGTCACTACAAACCCTCTGACGAGGAAAAGAGGGTTATGGTACTTACCACCTGCTAACTGGAACGCTGAACTCAGGGTGTCCAGTGAGCAAACAAAGAGGAAGAGGAGGACGAAGAGGAGGGGAATCTTGGATAGATTTATGAGAAGCTGCTTGATCCTGGTTGTCTGTGGAGAGCAATCTGTTGAAAAGAGGAGGAAAATGGTTATGCTGTACAATATGCCCTTCAATCTGGAGTGCACTTTGTGCCTATTTTCATATGAGAGCACAGAAATGTGGTGCTCTTCCGCACACAACCCCGCACATTCATTGTTATTCTTTTGCTGTCTCTGATCTTCTCAATGAGGCTTGAGTCTCACACAGGGTGTGCAAAGCCATCTGATATACTACATTACCCATACACTGCAAAACACTGCTGAGTGACAGCAGGATTTAGCCTTTCATGCCCTGACAGCGTGATCCCATCGTCCCTGTGTGTCATCTGAACATGCCCTTATCTAATGAGCCTGTGGTTCAGCCTCTGTTGCTCTTATTTGCCTTTTCCAAGAGATCAGACCTGCTGCAAACCAGGGAGATGAATGTGTAGTTCTCCTATTCACTCTTGTACCTTTCTCTGTCGGGAGTCTGACCGCCTCCCTGAGTGAAGGTGAGCTGGAGAGGCGATTGGTATGTTGGTTGTAGCCCTCAAAGCTGCTGAGGTCAAGGGTGGAGCCGATGCCTGATTCTCTGTCCTCCTCCTGCAGGAGCTTGGGTTTTAAGGAGAGCTGAGTGCCCTGAATCCTCAACCCTGATAATGGAGAAGAAAAGTACAAGGAAAGGACAACACTGGTAGGGAATATTTGCTTCAAACTATTTCAAAGATGTAAAACGGAGGGAAAAAAAAAAAAACTTTACCATTGTAGTGAAGCCCTGAGCTCAGTCCAGAGGACACTATGGTTATAGATCGAGAGGACATGCTGCTTTCAATTGCTGTGTGGAGACAGGGAGATGATTAAAATCACAGGATGACACCATATATTGTTGAGGGAATAAATGTGAGAGTGTGTGTCTTTATCAGCCACCTGCAGCGGCCGCAGAAAAAGATGTAAAAAGAGATTTAAACAGAGCCTGTTTTCATGACACCATAAAGCAATTAGAGAAGAGCAAAAGGGGTCCACACTGTAATTGTAATCGGCTTGTCCTTGAGCCAAGGTTAAAGTTCAAACTTAAACAACATACACAGGCCAGGCACCATCTCGCCTCCCTGCATAAAAAATAAACGCCTTGTCAGAACTAATAAAGAGCATCAGCATGTCACTTGTCTCATCCTCAGTTTCCTGCAGCTGCAGTTCAGCTCTCACAGGAACTCTCCTCAGTCTATACAGCTTTGCACACTCTCGCCTTAAAAGATCATTTTTCACCCTTTTCATGTCACCCTCTTTGCTGTTTTTCAGGGACTCCAGTGGAGGAGGGGGATGCTGATGTGTCACTTAAAAGCAAAGAGGATGGAAGTGAGTTCAGTAATTACAGTAGCCCAAATTACAGTTATTACATCCTTCTCATTCTGTGCGGCATCCTCCCTTGCAGAGCGGCCATGTTAGCATATGTGCGTCTATCAGTACGTGGGTGGGAGTGAGACATGCTCCATAGATTGCAGCTGAATCAACTGTGAATGGGATTGTGCGTATTTTGCGAGTGAGTGTACCGAATGCTACCCTTTAATCTGTCTGCCCTCTCTCATCTGTTAGCTGGTCTGCTACTCTCTGTGTTTGTGTCCCTGTGTTTTTTTTTTTGTTTGGTGCTATTTGTGAGTTGGTCTTTGCGTCACTATGACTCACATGTAGCTGTCTGCATTGTTTATTCTTTACAGAGAATGTAACTGATTGAGTTGTACAGGTTGCCGACAAATAAAATGATTGATGAAAAATTTCGTGAGTGTCAGAGATTGAAAGCTGACTTGACAACATCTTTTGAGGGATGTGTGAGCTGTGGGAGTGGATTTATTTATTTTTGCAAACAGCGCAAACAGAGGCACGTCTGAACGTTTTGACTCAACTGGATGGCATTTATCACCCTCTGAGGATTCGATCTACTTCAACTGCAAACACTGATCTATTGTACAAACTCTACATCTCTGTGTGTCTTATTGGCCTTGAAAAGTAGCACAACAAATCAGCAACATCTAAATATTTTAAGTTAAGTTCTTTCAGGACTCAAAAAGAAGACATATGTCAAAACAAAATACAAATATAATAAGATTATGACTTTTGTTTGACACCTGGGGTGGCAGGTAAGATTTTAAAGGGGGCCACCCCTTAGCCACCCCTCTGGACATGTTCTTGAATATGAAAAAAAAAAAAAAATTGATGAGGTATAGTTTGTATTGCATAGTCTGGCACTGCCCCCTAGTGGAAAGTCTTGATAACACATTTAGATGACTGGCTGCAGCTCTAAGTTTTACTCAGCCTCATGGAGAGCAGGAGGAGCTGTTAGCTGAGTCTGAACCCTTTATGTGGATTTCTGTGTTATGTGTTAGAAGAGAAGATGTGTTGTTGGAAATGCACCAAGGATTCAAGATCTCTTTTGTTATTATACTCAATGCAGATATTATATCTTGCTAAAATTTGTTAATGGTGGTTCACTTCATATTCTTTATTTGCTATTTAGTCTGACATTGCTACTTTCTTTATCAAGTTTCCTTATTAGTTTTTTCATTATTTGTTTATAAGAGTCTTTTGTCACTATTGCAGTTAACACTCAATATGTATCTATTTATTTCATACAAAAACAAACATATCTACTCAGAAAACATGTGCACTCCCATATATATGTCAACAAAAGAGACTAAGACTGTACTAGCAGCAAAGGGTCAGGTGATAAAATGTGGAAATCATCCCGTCTCTGGAACCTAATTCTCGATACTGTCCACCTTAACCAGCGTGAATTCAGAGAATGAAATTAAACTGAGTCAGCGTCACCCCAGCCACCTTTTTGAATACACCCTTGAATGCGAGAAAGCTTATTTTTGAGCTGATGAGGGCTGTCCACACATTTATTAGTAAAAGTGTTACTTTAACTCAATATGAGGTGATGATATTAGCTGTAAAACATCTTACCTTGACCGAACCGGTCTGTGATGCTGTAGACGCGTGGAGAGGAAAGTGAGAAAGTGAAGTGTGAATCATCTTTAAATATATCAGCAGATGTCAAGAAAAACACCTCGAGTTTATTAACTTGCTCCATCATCAGCGACCTTATTGTTAATCAACAACAAAAACTCTGCACCAAACAAAGGGCGTGCTTTGAGATCACGTTGTGTCCTCAGTGATGGATTATATTTGCTCGACCAGCTTTTTTCTCCAGACAAACATTATCAGATGAAGAGAATTGTTCAGTTTGATTTATGACTCTTGTTGTTTGAGTTTTCTAAAGTTTCTCATGTAATAGCAGAAGAAATATGACACCTTGTGGTTATTGTTGGAGGAGATATTGCCCTCCCTGAAGCCTGCTCACAACCTCCTCAAACAGCTGTTTTTATGTCGTCCTACGGCAGGGAAAGATTAAAATCCAGGAACTTAATGATCATTTCATCCATGATATAAGTCAGAAGTATTTCAAACATGTAAATATAATCTTCTTGACTTCTACAGGATGTTCAGGTACCTCTGTACATTGCCAGTGCTCCAAAAAAGCATGTCACCCTTGAATATGAGATCCTCTTTACACATAAGGACACATATTTGCTTCACACCCCACTACCCTGGCTTTCAGACCGTGAGAACACCATGATGACTTGAGAATCAGGGTGATCGTTAATAATTAGTCCTGCTGCAGTTGTGTCACATCAGCAGTGCTCTCAACCAAATCCACCGAACCTGCTGACCTCAAACTTACATCAGGAGGAGTCGAATTTAAAAACCTTGTTTTGAGGTGTTTCTTTTCAAAGTGTCATGAAAGCAGGGAATCGAAGAGGGATAAAAGCCCTCTTGATGTTCCCGCAGTGGCTGGACCCTAAGGTGCTGCTGTAAATGGCTACGGTGGGAGAAATCCTTGAGATTCGCTGCAGCATTTCACAGCATAAAAAGGGAAACAAGCGCATATGGAGGCACACATGTAATCACTCATACACACACGCATCACCAGATCTTTGGCGTGGTTCCAGAGCTCTCCTGATGCTGTTAATCCCCTCTCCAGATGTGGGAGTCAAAAAGAGACTGCTGAGCTCAGGGGATAAACTAAACAGAGGTCACCAGGCCATCAGGCACAGTCCTGCCACTCAAACCAACTGCCAATCAAACTGAGCTGTAGGTAGTCCTAAGCCTCCTCTGCTCCGCAGGGGGCCGAGTTATTCTGATGAGCCTGCTCTCAGCCAAACCTTCATGTGTTTTTGTGAGCTTTCAGTCTGCACCTGCTTGCAGAGCACAGGCAGGTCAATTAAATATGACTAGACACATGGTAAGTCTTTCTCGTATTTACATATCTGGTTATTTGCATGGTGCCTGATCTGATTATTTCACTGCTTCAGGGAGGAACCCTGTCACTTCAGACACATTTCATACACATTGTGTAGAAGCATTTCAAACTGGAAGAGACATTTTTAGATCACAAGTACCACAAAAACAAACAAGTTAGCTCTCTCATTTTTTTAACAGACTGCTAAAGCTGCATATATTACTAAATATAGTAATATAATGAGATAAAACTTCTTTAACCAATCAAAGAAAATGTGCAGGCTGTTTGAGTAATACATAGATGGTATAAATCCACTTTCTTTAAGACACAGGAGAGGAAGGTCATATTCAAACAAACAAAGATTTGGTTGTAAGACTATGTAGGGCATCATGTTTTGTCTCCTGAGAAGGTTTGAGTATTCTTGATTTGGTTTGAACAAAACAATCTGGACCTTGGACCTTGGCTGTGTAATTTGACCACAGTTGGCATCCTGTCGTAAATCCTTAACCCTGCTTTTTCTTCAGCTTCAGACTCTGACCACTGGGAGGCACTATAGGGTAACCCAAAAACAAAGTAAAAATATAATTCTCTAAACTGCAAATGAAACCAAAGAAAAAGAGCTGCCTCCCTCATCCACTGTATGCTCTTACTTGTTATATTGTTTTATGTTAAAGTCAAAATATTTTTTGTTCTGTACCTGACCTGTTTGGATATTTCATGTTACTTTTTTAATGCTACTTTGACATAAAGGACCTGAAGCCATTTTAACAGCTTTTATCCATTTATTACATGATAGCTGTTTTTCCTCTCTTTAATAACCAGTGCCACAAACTAGTCTGTGGTTTGTTTAGATTAAGTCAAGGTCATGTGGTAATATACGCCAACACAGCAGGACTTCACCAATTCACTACAACATGATCCTCAAAGCTTCTTGCCCCATATTTGCACTAAACAAATACAAACTCAAAGCTGTGTTTTAAAGCAGTGATATTTGCAGATTGTTAATGTAAATAAAAAGGGAATGGACACAGATTCACTTTATTTTGAACGTACATTTAGTTTGATATGTAGACACCTTTCACAGGACAATGAACATCAGTGGATTCACATTTCCCTTCAACCAATACCAAATATATGTCGAATGTTTTCTTAAAAGTTTCATCACTCTTATGATCACTTTGTAGGTTTCCTTGTGCACACATGTTTATGCTCTCTGTGTTTGTGATGATCTTGTAAAGTGAGGAACAATCAAATCTCTCTGGTCCTTCTGTTTATCACTTTGCCTCCTCTGTGGAGGGCGAGGAGGTGTCAGAGCCATCAGGACACTCCTGAAAAACAAAAACTCACATTTTGAGAAATACAGTCGCCCTCTGACCTGCATTTTAATGTTTGAAATATATGTGTTGCTTCATGCAAGTGTTTAAAAAAGAGATTTCCCATTTAGTGTACAAGACTGAGGTATTAAATAATTCATAACGTATTAAGATAATTAGAAATGATTCACTTTAGAAAAATGGTGCAGTTACAATCTTTATCTGAAAAAGAGAACTCACTTAAACAGCTCACCTTTACTTTGTCGAGTTCTGGAACTCCTGGCAGTGATTTTTGCGAGGCAAAAGTCTTTAAGGCAAGACAAGGTGGAGGCACATTAGATCAGATAAAGATGATGGTAAACTTGCTTGACAAATGAGGGGAAAGGAAAAAAAGAGAAGATGTGGTAGAGTCAGACCTTCTTTGTCTGTTGCATCTCCTCTGTGGACTTGGATCTGCTCTTTATGTGCTTCTGGGGGGAGGTGGTGGTGGGGCACTGAAGAAGCAGAGAGAGAGAAGTACATATGACATGGAGCGAAAATGACTGTGACATTTTGAACAGCAGACTTTCATACCTCATTTGTCTTGTGATCCATGGCTGACTGCTCAGTTGTCAGAGCTAACGTGGGTTTTGGATGGTCGAAATCTTCTGGAAAGCTGTAATAGACACAACATGAAGAAAAGAGACAGTCAAATTTAAGGCCATGTAGAAAAAGGCCAGACGCAAAAGGTTTTTGAAGAAGTCACGAACTTGAATATGAGATCTGAGAAAAAAAAAAAAAAGATGAGAGTAAACCTCACTCATGTGCATTTACTGACAGTCGGCACTAGATGGCAAACTGGCTGATGGACTTAAAACTGCTGCCACTTGATCACATCTGGCTGATGTGACGTTTTGACAGCGGCTCACCCTTATTGTTTGGTTCAGCACTCATTGCTGCTTCTTATTTGACTTTCAAAGATACAAGAAAAACAAGTGATTCATTTGTGGAAGTTTAAAAAGCATGAATCACAGTTTTTGATATTAATATACTTGCAGAATTTATATAAATAGTTACCACCTTCAAAACGACTATTTAATCCCACTAAATATTTTTGTTTTTTTGGTCATGTGAAAGTAAAAAATGTAACCAGTCCCTCCAAGATTTTTACCACATTTTTCTGAGATTGTTGCAGTCTCAAATGTCTACAGCCTCAGCAGTATTTTAGGAAGTTGCCACACAGGTATGTATTTTTGAGGAAGCTTTTAATCTTCTATTGAGGGTCAAGACACCAAAATAAATCGCCTGGATGTGGAATAAAACCACATTAAGCTGAAACTGAACTCTTATTTCACATTATGCATGCCTAGTACAGTCCTCACATAAGAGCAGGCAATGGTTTACACCTACACTTACAATACTAAACTTATTTTTATGGTATTAAACACAGGTCTTATGGTTTAAGATCTGCTCTAATGCACATTTCTAACAAAGCACATGGAGAACAGCCTCTGATTGGTCAAGAGACTTTACACAAGGCACCAGAAAGGGGGTAAGTGGATGGTTAACAGACCTCAACATGGAAAATGAATAGATGGTGGATGGTGAATTATAGTGCTTCCATAAAGATACAGTTGTTTGAGGTCAGATTGTGCAGCTCTTGTAAAAGAAACACTTAAACCTGAGCATTAGCTGTCAGCTGCACAGACAAAAACAGGTATTTGAACATTGCAGAGACTCAAAAGATGATGTAAACAAAAAAATTAAACTATAATGTTGCAGACCTGTGGGGGTTAATATTCTGTATGGCAATAGAGCAAATGGGATGGTGTGCATGTACCCTTTGGGGACTCAAAGAGATAGATCTATTTAATGCAGATGCATTGGAATAACTTCCTCATAAAAAGGATGTCTTTATTTAACCCTCAATGAAGCTTTAACAAAGCCTTTTAATACCATAAATTGAACATTAACAAAACGTTTTTTTAACCTAGGCCTTAAATACACATTAGTTAAGTCTTTATTATGCTATTTATTAAGCCGTAAATAAGCCTTTATTATACCCTCTGTCTATCCTTTACAAACATTATTTAGCTTTTCCCTCCTCTCTGAAATCATCTCACCTCCATACAGTATTAAAAGGGCATGTCAAACCCCAAGATACTTTAGGTTTGTATATGAAAAATTTTGTTCAAGAGCTTGCAGGTGCAGAGCAAATGTGCTCATAATTCAAGCTGTTCAGAACACGCAAAAAGTCAGAGTCATTTTGATGGTTCTTTTGAGAAAACTCCACCACAGCAATAAACTCTGTGGCTGCTCCACACCCCAACTTTTGCAAATCCAAGAATGCAGCACATGGTGCAAGCGCCCATTCAACCTGCCTCCAGCTTCAGTTCAAATAGAAATTTAGATATATTAATTCTATTGAGTTGACCATAGCCACTGCATATTAATCACATCGTGCTACAAAAGGACACATCATTCGGCCATGCGAGTTACAAAAATCAGTCAACAGCCGCATTTTATTATAACAGACTACCTTCATCTGCAAATTCACTTTTTAATGAATAAGTATACAGCATATATTTTATTTCGACATTTATTTGAAGCTGTAACTTGAATTGTTTTCAATTTTTGATAAAACTTAGACAAAAATCTACTGGATAGTGTATGTCTGGGAGTTTTTCCATAGCGCAGATATCGGCCCTCACAGCTGGAGTCACGAGGCACAGAAAACATAAAAGAACTTTTGAAAGGCCACAATGGAGACCATTCAACAATCTCAGACAGATCCATAGTTGGTGGCAGAAACCCTGGTGGCAGAAGGACAAAAAACCTCTGGGTCGGGGTCAATCTAGAGGAAAGGGTTTTTATTCTTCATCAGTTTCAGTGCTCGCTGTAGATCAGGGGAGAATACTGCCGACATCTCAGGGTGAATTCATCAATGGTTAATGGCGGCCCGTTTAGCTAGCTCTTGAAAAGAGGAGGACAGATTTGATTCTATTTAAAGGGTAAGATAATTGAATTTTGAAGATGTGCTCTTTGACAAATTTTGCCAACATATCAAAAAACACTTTTGTTCAACACAAGATCAACCTACCTGAGGCTTCAGGGGCGATCAGTGGTGACCTTCGGATGAGCAGACTGATGTACTTTACACCTGGTATTATCAATGTGATGCGGCTGATCTGATAGCCTTTGACGAACCTGAACAAGAAAATCAGGCTCATGTGTCATTCAAAAACACAAATTGTTGGAGCTTTTTCGCAAAATAAATAAGATTTCTGGAGGACAAATCCAAACCGTCTTGTAGCTCAGTATGAGTCAGTTAGCTTCAGTGCTAAGTGAACTGATCTAACAGTGACCAATGCCATGCCTCCTCACAGAGACATTTGGGTGTGTTTGACAGTGAACATGGAGTTTAAAGACCTTTTAATACATGAATGTAAAATTTGAACTTATTCAGCTTGCCTTAAGCTGACTAATATCCTTAGTGACGCACAGAAATCCCACACATCATGTGTCTAAATAGCTTATAAACAAACAGAAATCCACATTCTGAAGGTAAAGAAGCCAGAAACACTCTGGTTTACATTTCTCCTCACAGTTGTTTCATCACATTACATTTCAGCAGGGTTTGGCTGATCAAAGGATGGACAGGGAAACCCAGAATCCATCGGCTATTAGCGGGCCATGACTTAGCGTTTTAAACATCTGAGCATGGGGTATGTGATTTGACTAGGTCACTTAACCCGGCACTGCAGCATGTTTTTATCTTGACAAGTCTTTCACAATGTGGCCAGCAATAAATGAACACGCTCTGATGAAAGAATAATTCAAGTTTAAAGGGATGAATGTTTGATCTGACTGAAGCTCACACTGAGTTCTCTATCAGTCAGGCCAGGGCTGATAGCAGGGATTCATTTGTTGCTGTGTAGGCCACTCCTGAAAGTCCCATTTGGATTAAATATACTACATGTAATATCAAGAAGGCCTACCTGTGAGCTAGTATTTGCTAACACAAGTGATTGATCTGCACCAGTTTTATTGATTGAGTGGTGTGGAACATGTTGTGAACCCTGAGGTACTGCACTTACTTCAAATGTGCAGTACAGTCCTTTGAGAGGTAGAGCAGGATAATCTCTGCCTTAATGGCATTCAGTGAGTCCTGAGTGCTCTCTGACCAGCTCACTCCAGAAATGACCTGAATTAAAATTATTTGCTTACGTACTTCACTCTCTCACCATGTCACAGTCTCTTTTTTTCCCCCCCTGCTTGGATGAGGGATCACTCTTTCATGGGCCTTGCAAAAGGAGGCAGCATAAAAACTAAAAACGAAGAGTCAAAAAAGTAGCCTGAGGGAAACACTCTTTGCTTTTAGGGAGCACTATTTTATTCAACAAGGTGAGACGTCTAAAAATTACTACGCCTCTTTGTGGCACGCAAACAAACTCTTTTACGTACATGAATGGATGTCGATTAATATGCACGGTCAGCGATGTCAAGACATTTGCCTTAAAAGCTACTCAAGGATTTTTTTTTTTCTGCATGGATGGACAGATAGAATATTAAGCCTTGCAGCCTTTTTCCCTGTTTTCTGCCTTGTCACATCACTTTGACAGAGATGCTGCAAAAAGAAGAGGAAAAATTTTAAGGTAGAAACTCCAACAAGAGTACTTAGCCTTACAGCCTGTAATAAATAATTCATCTGTGCATCTGTGTTATGTAAGAGGAGGCTGGTTTGGAGATTTAGATCCATGACACCAGCAGAGAGTGAGATAGTCTTAGCTTAAATCTCCAAGTGTTGGGTCAATTCTCATTAACTTTTCAGCTGAGAGGAACAGTGTGACGAGAACTTCCTAATCTTTATTTCAGTATGCGGCAGTTTCACAGAGAGTCACGACAGAGACCAGTGATGATAGTGTTACATTTTGCATCATCACTGCTTCTGTCCTCTTGAACTTCACACTTCCGCTACTGTCTCCAACTGGAGTTCAAAGTTCATTTATTAATTTATTTAAACAATCCTGGCAGAAAAGATCTGATCAGGCATGAGTTTCTATGATAAGCATCTCACGGACAAGTTAGCTGATCCTGATCGTTTTAGTCCAGGTAATTACAACAAGCAGGATTTGGGATTATCCCCTCTCCACATTTGTGTTCTTGAACATACCTATCCCATGAAATCACATGATCAGGATATTTCTAATAGCAGAGGCTGTTATAGTAGGAACAGGCACACCGAGGTGACTGGAGCACAGAGGTGAACATGTGGACAGCAGCTGGATAAAGAGTGCATTAAGACAGCTCCCAGTGGCAAGGACATAATGTCCTGTAATTGATGATGATAGGCTGTCTGTTTTGCCACGCTCAGGTGTGACACACATGCAAACCAGCTGGATGAATTTAGTCAGCAGCCGCCCGAAACAGCTGCCACCAAGCCTGAATCACAGCTCAACCATGTGTGTCCCACCTGATAACAGAGTCCATGCTAATGAATCTGCTATCGTTTTCATTTCTACCACATGGAGCTCAGACTCTGCCTTCCACCAGCTGACCAGATTGTTGTAATGCGCTGAAATGTGCATTGATCTGATAAATGGGTTTTGTCTTATACCACTTATGTGTTCCTCTCTGTGGGACTCTCAAAGGCAAAGAGCCCCCATTAGCAGAGAATTGAGTTCAGAGAATAAACACTTCAAGATACACAAAGACTGTTATCTATCCCAATACAGTCCTGAGAGCAGTGGAAAAACAAAAACAGTGAAAGGACAAAGCATCTGCACTCCATCTTAATGAAAATGTGAGGTTTTCTGTGACTGAGGACATGAAGAGGTTTATCTTAAGACAGCATATGACGTTTAATCAAAGACAGAGACGCAGTGACTGACAGACGGGAGGAGGGAATGAATGATGGGAGTGACACAGAGAGAAAAGGGCAGGTAAATACGTCCCTAAAAAAAATGACATTCGTGACATGCCGGAGGGAAATTCAGACACTCACCTCCTTTTTCCTTTTCGTTCCCTTCTCCTCCTCCTCTTCAGTGCATACGTGCAGTGGAGTGGATGGCACTCTTCATCTCACTGCTGCTATGATGTCTGTGAGAGCACACCCCTCTCTGCCCATTCATAGCGCCACCGACGCACCAGTCATGCATGGATGAACACACACACACACACACACACACACACACACACACACACACACACACACACACAATAATGCCAGGTGTGCCAGTCATACCCCTGTATGCTAATTTTTCAAGCCTTGCAGTCAAAATTTGGGGTGTAACAAACTCGTATCACACCATCTTCTTTAAGGGTTAATCCATCACCCTGGGTTAATTGCTTCAATTACAAACATCCACAGGGTGGTGAAGTCATCAAGGTGGGTGAATGAGATGTTTCCTAAACCTCTTATTGTCATGTAGATTAAAATATTTATGCTGCTGACATCATCCATGTGGATGGACCTCTCTACTATGACTCATCTCATTTGTTTTATAACCCAGACAGTAGCCAAATGCACCCCACAATAGTCCTCCCAGGCTCCTAAATTGGAAAAAAACGCTGCTGTGCAGCAACAAGTCGGAAGACAGATGAAGCATGTCATAGGCTACAAGCCTTGACAAAAGAGCCAATCACAGCCCTGCAGTGATACTTTGCAATAATGACATCATGACACAACGACATTTCGGAGAAAGGTTTCTCTACCAGAGACACAAATTTCAATTAAAGCCTGTTTAAAGAAGATCTGACCTGTGCATGAGTTAGACAGGAAGACTACAGGGGCAGTGGGGTCTGGCTGCATGACATTTTCAACCGACTCACGTAGCATTTGTCAAACCAGAAACTGACCTCAGAGGACCGTCCAAAAACTAAGATGACTGAGAGTAAAAGCTGAATCTGATGTCTTCCCCTGAAAACAAACACACAAAGAAAGGAAATCAGTTCATCAGAGATCACTTTAATTCTTTAGGGACCCCCCTGTGGGACATTTTTGACGCTCACATTATCTGATTCAATCCCTGTTTAATCACATAAATTATTCCTGACCTGGACCCTAAGATGTAGTCTGGTGTGACAGTAAGACAGGACTTGTCAAGCGTTTCTCAAAGTGCCTTCACAGCAAACAAGTGAGTTTTTAAATACAAACATTCGTTGGAAAACAGCAACTGAGCACACAGAGGGAAACTTAGTCATTTAAAATAGGAAAACCACATCTCAGTAAAACATTCAATAATCTTAATTCAAATAAAAAACAAATGTGCAATACACTTCGTAACACTCTCATGGCCAGTCCAAGCATGTTAGAGTTCAAAGAAAAGAGAGATAATAAGAAATATAAAAGTGTAAACTGGAAAGATTCTTTTAAACATGGAGCATTCAATCAGACACAGTGGCTTCAGGGTAAAATGTTGAACTAAAACTTCTTTTCAAACATTTTTGGATCCATTGAACAAATCATAGCAAACTTTTTTCAGTCAGGTATGTAGTGTTAGAAATGACTCTCCAAATATTTGCCATGATCTTTCTTTATCTTTACATACCGCTTCGAGGGTCCAATTATTCAGAGCAGAGATGGTCGCACACTGCTGTCTCAGAGCTTATTTGAAAACTATTCTAAAAAGTGCTTGACCATTTTTTACTAAACATGAGTTTCCGTCCCATGATGTTGTGAGACATTTTGAGTAGCTTTTGATCGTATTTGTGCCCGACTCCACACACCAAAGTCTTTCACACTGCGGTTTCCTTCAAGTCTTTGGCTTCAGATGCAGCGGAGTCGGGGGGTTTGGGCACGGCTTCTTCTGAAGCTAACGATTTTTCTTCTTCTTCTTTGGAGTCTGCAGAGGTGGAGCCAGTTGTGCTGCGCTCATCTGCCGCTGCTTCTTGTTCCTTGTTTGGGGGAACTTGTAAAAACAGAGGGATCTCCAGCTGCTCCTTGGTCAAAAGGCCTCGTTGGTCATCAACTCTGCAGCACTGAGCCCTCGTCAGCATGTCCAGAAATCCTGGTCACACACGCACACGTACAAAACAATATAACAAGAAATTACAGATCTTCTTCAAAGATCCTTAAATCCATCCCGTTAACTGGTCAATAAATGATTGACAAAAATTGAGAGCTCCATCTGAGTTAGAAAGTCCACCTCCTCCATGTTTAGACATGAGATAGACTTCAAGATTTAAAAGGAATTATTTTCAAACTGTGCTTCATCATAGTTAATGTTTACCATTCTGATTTACAGTACATCCAAATATTGATTTTTATAAGTTTGTCTGTTTAAAACATAACTATTATAGTTAGCTTTGGAGTAATTATTTATGTACTTTTTGATGTTTGCACTCAACTGTTTGCACCTGATTGGACTGCAGCCAATTATGTTGTGCATGTGCAATTACAAAGATCAATTCAATTCATTTGTATTTTATTCTACTATGAAAAGTTATTTGATTCTATAAAAAGAAGGTGAAAATACCATGTCTGATCGCTCTGTTGAGCTGGCCTACAACAGTGTGTGCATGGATACCCGAAGGGAGACTGTTCAGAGGCAAGGTAGCGACCATTTTTAAAAGAACCATAGACGTTACAAAATTTTCTGTGGCTCTGAAAACTGTGTGGTCTTGATCAGTCTTTGCCATTCTACAGAGAAAAGAGATTGGCCTTGACTGATTACTGGGGCCAGTATTTGGCAATTGGCCCATTACCTATGTTGGTCCTTTATCTCACAGATGGTTGATAAAGTTAGCTAATCAAAATGAGCTCTACTACGGCTCTGACACTGATGCCACTTTGTTTCATGTAATGGTCCGCCCACACCACCATCTGATAGTCACCTGACAGTGTGATGAAACTGTACTATGAATGTGACTGATTCAGTCTTTCCACCTACATAGAAATGGATATGATATATGATATTTCAAACATTTTCTCAAGGTATTCAAGAAGTGTTTTGTTAGAATTTGTAATACTCTAGATTATTAACAGAAAAAAAATTATTTTCCCTGTCAATGCATATCATAACAAATCTTTTATTGTAGTAAGTATTGATATTGGTCCTGAAAAAAACAATGTAACCAATGTTAGCTGATCCAAAAGAGAACTTCTACAGTGCATCTGGAAAGTATTCATACCACTTGTTTTGTTTTGTGAAATATGGCGTTTCTATGATTACTGGTGATAACCCTCCAAGATTTTAACCACACAAAGCCACCCCAACAAGAGTCAGTAACCCAGTCTGGCTGTCAGAAACATCAAGCCCTGCCACTGATGGAAAATCTCTCACACCCAAGTCTATTTCGCTCAAACTTGTTAGATAACATGTCCTACCGTCCATGTCGCGGTTCTTACTGGGTCTGGGCTGACTCTTTGCTCTGTCTGTCAGCTGTGGAGATTGGGCCTCAGAGCCTCCTGCACCCCCCGCTCCAGGCTGGGTACAAAACAAAGCAGAGTTATCAATGTGTGAGGTGAGAGCTCACAGGACGTTAACCACACAATTGTTTCATTGTTCGAGTTCTGCAGAAATCTTTAACTTCAGAGATAAATGATGACATGAATGAGGTCTTCAGTTGTTTTTAAAACCACTTCTGCTATCCTCTCAGCCATACTGTTGAGGTGATAGTAAGCAAAGTGTTAATTGTGATGTCCATTACTGTATTTAATTATGGATGATCATCATTAACATGCAATATGGAAGAAAAAGGTCCACATCCTGACCTAATGATTACCTTCAGGAAGTATAGTCATATCATCCCCTTGAGAGTTCAATAGCCCTGCCTTCAGTTGATGATAATCATGTTATAATGTGCATAAAAATAAATTAACTTTTGTCAATAAACTAAAGCTTCAATTTTGTCCTGACATTTTTCTGTTGGGGAAGTGTAATGCTGTATGTGTAATGCCAAGGTGTGGTTTAATGCTGTGATGTTAACCCTCCTCCTGTGTTAGGGTCTGCACCAACACGTTTTTGTTTTTAAATGCTTAAAAGAAACACTTGAACTAGCTTTTTTGCATCAAGACTTTTTGACTTTGTCAGGAACCTCCACTTCAACAAAATAAAATAAAAAAAATAAATTGACTAAATTATAAAATGCTCTTATTAAAATTATGGCACTTGTCGTGTTAGGGTTGCTGTTGACCCAGTGAGATTAATATCTATTAATCAGAGCAAAAACTGAAATCATAAGTGCACTGACAGTCAGATCCTTTTAAAATCATGTGAGATTTAGGGAATTCTCATTTTGCCTGGTTTTTCCCTGCACAAAAAACTACGTCGGGCATGTCCAGATATGTGAGATCAATTCAGTTTAGCTAACACAGGAAGAAGGTTAAGTACACAACTTGTTTCTACTGTCCCATAACATAAGCTGTAGAGTTATTCTAGAAAGAACAGACAGCTATTCTCAATTTGTAAAAAATAAATAAATAAATAAATATTATATATATATATATATATATATATATGTATATATATATATATATATATATATATAAATAAATATATATATATGAGAAAACTTCGCAACTTCTTAAAATAGTGAAACATAAGAGATCAAAAATCTTTGTAGGTTTCAGCATGGTCACGTTTAGCCTACAAGATAACTGTCATGACTGTTTATGAGGATTTGTAACTGTAAAGTGTTGACGTCTTTTATCTGAGATGTTCTCCTGCTTATTTAAGTTGTGAAGATGTCAGACATAGATTATGGCCTGGAATAGCAAAATTAACCTTTGATCTAAATAAAAATAATTTTTAAAAAGCCAGGCCCATTTTCCAATAAAGAAATTTAGATGATCTTATATCTCATTCTAAACGGATTGGTCTAAATTTCATATAGTGGCATTTCTCATTTAGTATTGTTGGGCAGACATCCAAAGTTTCTTGAAGATTACATTGATAATTTAAGTACTTGGTTACTGGCATTGACTCACCTGTGTGGCTGCAGCTAAACCACTGGTTTTGTCTTTTCCTGCTAATAGAAAAACACATATACAAATCAGTTTGTAACTGTAGAGTAAGTCAGTGTGTTCCCATCTCCCACCCAAGAATTACGGTAAATATTTGCACATAGAAGCTCCTTATACTCTTGACAAATGTATTTCCCGATCTCTGAGCACAGTGGAGCAGAGTCAGGGAGCACAGATCCAAAAGTGAAGTTGAGTCTTTCTTTCAGCAGTTTGGAAATGAAGTGAGGGAAAACCATCCTTAACAAACCAAATGGACTCTTGCGTTTAAACCCCACAGTAAAGTAAAAAAGAAAAAAAAAGGCTCAGAAAGAGAGAAACCAGCATCAGAAAAAAGAAACTTGCAGGCAGTGACAAAAAAAAAATAACAGGCACTAAAGGGAACAGTGAAAGAACTTTCCTTTTGCTGCCAGCTCAGAGCAGGTAAGGATTAGGGAATACAGAAACACTTTGTAGCCCCCATTAAGAAGAAAATCAAATGAACAAAAGGGCACAACAAGAGGAAAAGGGATAAAGAGGAGGAGAACAGACAAGGCATCTGCAATGCATCCATCTTTAATGTCAACAAGCGGTGGAAGGAGAGCAAAATGTGCCTCATCTGATTCGATTTGACCAATTTCAGGCACTTATTGGCCAAGAGGCGAGATAATATTGTAATTATGGCTTTCCCTGCTTCACAACTGAGTCAAGCTCTAGGTTTTTAAAAGGTCAAGATCCTAACCTTTGGTTTTCTCAAGCCGCAGAGTCTTGTTGGCCAGTCCAAACACAGAGCCGCTCATGTTCACAGGCTCATTGCTTCCAACCTGTAACAAGGAAACCAAAAAAAAAAAAAAAAAAAGGATGTTGAACTCAGATGATGATTTTTATACAGTTTTGTGGAAAAGGAAGCACCTTGGAACCATAAGATGAGGAAACACAACTCATCATTTAGCTGGTGACAAACCTTTTGGTTGTACTCGACTAACAAAACAGAAGAACAGATTTAATATCCTGTCCTGTAAAATACAGTCCACCTTTTGTCTGACAAGAAGAAATGAGTCATTAATTGGGTTTTACGTTACAGAGACAGAAAATTATCACAGCAGGAGGCTTCACAGCAGGAGTGCTGAAGGACAGCATATCAAGAAGTGCTAAGAGAAGTCATGATTACGTCACACTTCCGGCTGCAAGTTCATAGTTTCTTACATTTATTTATAGTTGAGGATTTTTTAGATTAAACGTTTTAACAGTTGTTTCTATTCAACAGGCAGAAAACTATGAATAACATGTTAAAACAGATGAGGCCCAGAGAGCAGTCAGCCATCATGTCTCCGTCTTTCTTGATGTTAGACTTTGTTCAAAAGGCTGTTTACAGTTACTAAAAAGTGACTTAAATTCAAAAATTCAACAAGTATATTGAGTTATGCTATTCTGACAGAATAACCAACATCTTAGAAACCACTCTAAGTTTAATGACTATGCAGGAGGTTTAAACAAATCAAAAATCACTATAGAAAATAAACTGAAAACCACCACACATGCTTGTGTGCATCATGTACATCGCATACATAAGTTTGAATGTTTTAAAAGCTGATGGCTTTAACTGAGCCTGATTTTACTGTAGAGGGAACTGCAGCACCCTCAGCACTCCTACTTTCACTGCGTATGCTTCACAGCTACTTCGATCATCATAAAAGAGAAGTACAAGATCTTCATCTGACAGGCATCACCTCCCCAGGATCCTCTTTTCTGTCGCTGTTCATGAAAATTTTCTGGTTTCAGAAATAAACTCAGAACCAGTTCATACTAGAACCAGAGTGATGGGTACTAAGAACACACTTAAAATATGTACATTTACTTCATGAGGAATACTAAAAGTACCGGCTACATGAAACAAAGAGAGGATTTATCGACTCTGACCATGGTGACAACGACGTCTTGCTGCCGGAGATGGTGTTTCTGCAGAACTGTTGAGAGAGCTTCCTGAAGGGTTTTACTGGACTTCACCATGATCTGCACCGGCTTACCAGTGAAGGCAATCTCCAGTCTGAAACATATTTATGTTTTCATTACCTCTCCACAAGGTAAACACAAACTGTAATGTGAGTCAGATGAAGTGGGAGAGCAGATTAGCATCATTAACAGCATGTTGTCACAAAAATATTTTGGCAGGAACGGTCTATGTTTACTGCATATAAAGTGTATCATGTAGTGGCCAGTGTCCTCCCATTTCCCCTTTTTATGAGTGCACGTAGCTTGAAATGGTGTGGCTGAGGGTGTGAGAGTCTATCAAGGGGATAAAAAAAAGAAACTGAAGAAAGTGACTCACGCAAACGTCACCCTGAGCTCTAAAGAGACTTGTTTGTCCTTCAGTACAGAGCAGTCCTGGTCCAGCAATAAACGTTGCTGTGGAACAGAACAGAGTTTCAGACAAAGAGAAATGAAAGAGATATTCAGATATGTCAACACTGATTGGACACACGTAAAAACATGCTCCACAGAATTTAAGAAATGGAAGCGAGAGAAGCAGAACAGGAAGAGGGTAGTCATCTCTTTCATACCACCCGTTGCAAAACAACTTTGCAACAGACTATTCAACAGTTTCTTGATTTCAAACTGTGGACACTGCAGGCTGAGAGGGTAAGTGCTCACCTTGTCCTTGCCCCGAAGGTAGATGATGACATCTTTCAGCGGGAAGCCTCTCTTCTCACACAGGCTGGCCAACATTTCTTTGATAGGTTGACCATTAGGTGTGGGGACTAGAGAGGCACTGCCATCAGGTAGGTATACACAGCAGTAGCCCCCCTCCACTCCTATCCGACTTCCAGCAGCTGCAGCAGCAGCAGCAGCAGCAGCAGCAGCCTGCTCTGAAAACCTGGGACTTGATCTGCCATTCTACATTGCAGTGAGAGAAGAGATTTTAAAACTAATGTGTGTATGATATTCTTCAGATGGAAGATTTAATCACAATATGGCAGATTTCCCCTATCTGTCAGACTTGCCCTCTAGTTTTTTTCTTGCTGATTGTAAAACATTATCTCAACATGATTCCTCCATCTGATAGTGCAAGTTTCAACCCTTTTATACCAAGTGTACTAACCTCAAACTGCCTGTAGAGGGAGCTGAGCTCCACACTGCTGTTCGACTTGACTGACAGAAGGAAGTCTGTCCTTGGAACTAACCCCTGAATGTTAGGCGAATCTGTTGTTATTGACAGGAAGGAAAGAACAAGAAGAGATCCAGGGAGAAATCATGAAACAAAGTCACAGGATGTTAATGAAGGCATAAAAGAGAAGTACAAGATCTTCATCTGACAGGCATTACCTCCCCAGGATCCTCTTTTTTGTCGCTGTTTCTCCGAGGCACTCTTCCCCACTGAGAAGCTACTGGAGTCTGATGTGTTTTTCTGTTTGACACGTTCATGAAAGTACAGCACAAATAAAACACAGATTACTCACATGTTTCCCTCCCTTCCCTAGCCTTCAGTCTTTACTCCCCTCCTACTGTCACTCGACCTTTTTCCCACTGGATGAGGAGCTTCTGGTGGCAACATCCTCCCATGATCCCATGCGGACTGGCTCATTGGAGAGCTGAGGTAGAAGTTTGCCTTCCACACTTGCCAAGGTGCAGCTCTGGTAAAGGGGAGAGCGCACAAAGCGCCTGTAGGAGTCCATCTTCATCAGTTTAAATATCTGACAAAAAGCAAGGACAGTCAGCCGAGGTGCATCAATACCACTGTGTTCTTGGGCTTAAATTGATGTGGGTGCCCTCTGACCTGTGCTTGAGCCTTGTTAAACATGCCAGGAGTGGGCTGCTCCAGATCCTTCTCCTCTGTCTTGGCTGTGTCATCGATGTTGACTGAGTGGGGGGCGCTATCGGACAGGTAAGTGTCATAGATGGAGCGAGCTGCTGCCTTCAGCTAAAAGCACAAAAACTCCATCAGGCTGAATACATGCGACGCCTTTTTCCTAAGAATAGCAACACCTCCCCAAACATCACACTGAAAAAAGATCTCAGAGTGCATAGATTTACACACAGGCTGGGTGTCTTTTATTGTTTGAGCTTACCAAGAACTAAATCAATCTTTCAAAAGCGTTCACGCTGCGGGTCACACGATCAATACATGGCTAAAAGGCAGCTCAGCTCCTTGCAAGCTGAGCAGCAGCAGGACTTAGCTGCTGAGTGACCAGTCTACAACCTGTCAATTCTGTCTACTTCTACAATATTTCTTTCTTTCAGATGCATCTACATAGTTAGAAAGTTAGAAACAGCTTGTCTACAAAAATAAGTTTCACAGAGTTTATGATTTGAAGGAAGAACAAGATAAGGAGGTCTAGAGAGCAAAACATATAACAGTATCAAGAATCACAGAGTACATGCCGAACGGTTTTCTGGGTCAAGAGTTTTAAGTTGTTGCTATACCTCATCCGAGTAGGTGGCTGGGATCTTCCTAAACCTTTCACAGTCTTTCCAGAATAAAATGTTCTCTTCACTCACCTCAGACCTCAAAAAGGCCTGCAGAAGAAAAACATGCATGATATCAGTACATTTGACATGAAACGACATCACGACTTCAAGTATTTCTCAACTTTTTAACAATATCAACATAGCAATGTGCGTGTTCAGTGTGTCTCACAGTGAAGTGTCTGACTCCACAGGGGTCCTCCAGCAGCTTCTCAAATGAGACAGCCCAGCTCATCACACTGTTGGCTGGGCCGGCCTCTCCGCACGGTGTCCCTGGAAGGCTGGAGCTGCTTCCTCCGCAGCCCCGCACAGACATGTTCAACTCTAGGATGCATCCAGACACAAAAACGGCTTTATCAGTGCAAAGAAGCACTACAAGGAAAGAGGACTGAATAAGATCTTTCCCTATGACGAGCTCAGACATGCTGGCTGTCACGCTTACCTCCGTCTGATACTGCCTGGCTCTGTTAATAGAGAGAGATAAGGAAGTGAACAAGACTGGAAAAAAATCTGGAATGCATACTGCTCCATTTGATTGTAACACAAGGATAACAACAACTAAAACTTATATGAATTATTTTCTGTTTTAAAAAATTCATTAAAATACACCTTAAAACAAAAATACACTGACAGAAAATGTGAGGATCATCATTTTAACAAACCAGAATAGACTTTTTCTATTTGTATAGCACAACATTTATACTAGAGCTTAAAATCGAATGTACATTTAGCACAGGCGCACATTAAGGAGGTGAAATGTGAACAAAAGTGGCGTGTCGTTTTTCTCTGTGTAAAAACATAATGCAATCAGTCAAGGCTGTTTTCACAGGAAGCGGTTTTGACACTGATGACAAAGGCTCATTCAGCTTCGAAAGCACAAAAGTTCTTTCATTTCCAGCTCAAGCACTTTGATAGTCACAAAGACGGCCAATACAGTCTACAAACTTTTTGTACACAGACTTGTGCAGACAGTTCAATAGCTTGATACTGATCAAAGGTAGCCCTCAGGGGAAGTATTTCCCAACGAGGATCAGTGGGCCAAACACACTAGATTAGTGCTTTACCTGCACTGGTTGTACACAAAGTAGATTTTTTGTAGTTATCAAAAATTTAAGTGTTCAAAAAGCCAATGTGGAAGAATTTAGTTCTATTTAACTCAAATAATACTGTCATCTATCAAGTGGTCTAATCTGAGTGCTTAATCTAGGTTTTTATGCAAAAGAAAATCAAAAATATGCTTAAAATATTAAAACAACTTGCAAAGTCCACAAAAAAAAACAATCACTAAGCTAGCCGCTGAAGAAGCTTGAAGAACTGAGGGTTAAAAAATGTCTGATTTAGGGAGCTGACAGTAAAGTTCATGTAGAGGTCAAATGAGGTAGTCAACCAAGCCAAAGTTTTTTTAACCCATTAAAAAGGAGGAAGATTTCAGAAGATGTAACAAGAGCAATCTATCTGTAGGGTGTTTTTTTAAGGGAGGGTATCCTTACAAATGTGTTTTTGACAACAGTTTTTGGTCATTCAAACGGTTTGCCCATATAAGGTTGACACAGGGTGGCTGTTTCTGCAGGTGCCTGCTCAGCTGCAGCTCCACCTCTTCACTCTTTTTGCTTCACTGCTCAAACTCAACAACACAACATGTCAGTACTGATAAACTCGCCAAGTGAAGCAAACACACTTCTCATCTACTGTTTTCAACACACTGTTATGAAAGAAAATGATTCATCATTGTCTTGTTTGTGCTTCTGGTACACTCAAAGCAAAAGAGCAAAATCCAAGGATTAGTATTCTCTGTCAATCTTTTTGACAAGAGGCAAGATATGCGAGCATACAGTGTAGGGGGGAGTGTCTGGGGGAACTTCCTCTCATACAACAAAAAAAAGCTGCTTTCTGTTATGTACACTTTTACTCTCTTGGCAGAGCATGGCCAATTCAAAAACCGCTTGGAAAGAGTCTCACAGAGTGTAAACCAGAGCCAGCCCAGCCTACGCATGACAGATTGGCAGGCTTGGTTTCAGCTTCTGACACAGGAAGGCCCATTCTGTTTCCAGTGGCAACCAATTGAAGCCAAACAGCCTGATTGAGACAGCACCCCTAAGAGGTTTGGACAGACAATACAAGCCAACGCAAGAAACAACTCAACCAAACCAATACTGCGGATACTTTGACCTCGACGTCAGGATGTCAACGCAAAGTTTGAGCCAGCTGAAACAAGCTGACAGGAAAACTAAGTATTCAAGCATTCCTGTTACCAAATTGTCTTAGAAACATATACATGCCCATCTTATTCCTCTTAAACACAGGTACACTTATCTATATGTCAACCCATCATAAAATCACTTATACACAACCAAATCAAAACTCACCATGTAGCCAACAGGAATCCCTAGAGCGTTACAGTTCTTCGCCATGGTGGCCAGAGACCCAACTACAAGCAGAAGTCTTAAGGCAGTGTTTTGACACACGCCGCACACAAAGTCATCACTTGGGTCTTCCTGTCACTTCCTGCCTGGAGAGGAAGTCTTGCCATGGCAACATGCCACAAAAGAGGAAGTATGGTTACTATGATCAAACTGTTCTCGCCTACATCTTAAGAAATGCTCTGATGTGGGAACAAAGACAAGATAAACACACTCATTAACTTTTGATCTGCAGTTACGCTGGCAGTCACTTGGAGCAGTTTACAACCATTTCACAGATGAGAGGGAAGATTGAAACAACAAAGCTGTTCCAAGAAAATCATTATTTTCTGCTTAACTTTAAGTACCACCACAGTGTATGTTTTGTAGTATTTTATATGGTAGCCACTGATACATGCTTCAAAATGAGAGGCACATGGCTCCTCCTAGTATCCTTGTAGACCTTTCAGAAGTTTAATTCATAAAAGTTTAAGAAAATTACCAAACTTAATGCTTTATGCCTCATTTTAATATAAAATCTAGCAAATAATGCCAAATTATTAGAATGTTTTGCTTACATATTTTTAACTTGAGTAAGTTTATCTATCACATCAGTGTATGTCTTTGAAAATCATTTTTAAAAAGTCATTAAAAATTCTTAGAATACTCAAATTTCCTGAAAGTATCGCATTGAAATTTCTGACTATTTCTGGTAAATATTCTCAAAATTTTCACAAGGTGTCCCAAAGAAATCAAGGATCAGCTTGCAGTAAAACTTCAGTAGGCCTATTCCTTGACATTTTCAAAAAAATTTCAAAAAAAGTTTTCAAAATCACAAAAATTCTACTAAAAAAATCCCTACGTTCAAGAAAGTTTGTTAAAAGACTCGGGGAAGTATTCTAATAAACGTGAAATTTGGTCACAATCTCATCTTTCATTTGTCTCCATGTCAGGACTAGTGTGAAGTAGGATTAGTTATGCGGGTCTGTTTAATTCACGTGACCTGTTACTGCTCCGATTAATTCCTTTATTAATTCGAAACATTAGAAATTAGCGTTTCGTCTTCTTCCTTTGACAAAAATTGATAAAACGACCGATTTCACAGGTGTTCGGTCTTGGTTCTGGTGTGGAAATGATCCCCAATCCCTGAGTACCTGTCCCTGACCCTTGGGTGCAGGTTTGCATATTCTACTGAACTGGCGTCTGAGGAGAAGATCATACCATAATGTCCGCCACGGTTCTAGTGGCCATGCCGCTCCATTTGTCGTATTTCCGCACTTGATTCTGTGCAGCAACTTTTGCCAGTCGGGAGAACCTGTGATAAAGTCCTCTGAAAGCAACCATCTTTACAAACTCACAGCGTGGCGGAATGAGCGAGAGTTCAGGTCAGACCGCTGCAGGTTCAGGCTAATCAACACTTTAACATCCACGTGTTTGCTTCCTGCTGTCCTGAAATGCGCGAGCTTTCAGGGAAGGCAAGGCCCTACGCCCAATATTAATATTGTCACATGTTTATGTCCACGAGGATGCTTTGACAGCCATTCGGTAGACAAGTTATAGTCACAACAGTGGCAAAAAAATAATATTTCTGAGTTCAGACTCTGAATAGCCAAACAGGAAACTATAGTACACCTTTATGATCCACTAGCAGGTTCAATTACAGCTTTGAATTTTGCCAATAAAGCTTAACTACCTGTAAAAAAAAAAAAAAAAAATCTTTATGACAGATATTTTTCCATTAGCATACCAATATACAGAAAAAGACAAACAAACAAAAAAAAAAACAATATTCAGAATGTTTCTAATGATACCAGTAACAGCACAACAAAACTTACTTTTTGCACCATGTATGAGCATGACCACCGCTTATTTTTGGAAATAATTGTTTGCAGAAATAACACAAATTGTTACAATCTGGTGCAGCATTCATCATGCTGATAATAAATGTTAGCATATACCATAGCATAGCTGTGAACTTAAGAGCTATTTCTCATTATAATTTACAGGGTCTATCAAGTATATGTCGAAAATTAATATGATAAACCATTTAAAAGGCAGCCTACCACTGGCCAAAGTATATTGGATGTAACCCATTTGTTCAGTTGTAATGAAAGCAGTAGCCTAGAAATGGGGATAAAATCTAGATGTTAATTTTTCACTTGATTTCTGTGTTGAGTTAGAAAAAATGTTACTCAGAACAACCTCCATCCCAAGTCAAAGACTTTTCTCCCTGCTCTTTAAACAGTGGTTGTAGTTGAGGTTATAAGGTCTGGTTGGGTATGACTTTACTAAAAAACATTTAATTCTTTGCCCAAGTCATATCACAGTGCTTGATTGATGACAGAGCAATGTTTGTCATTTCTTTGTGAAATTTTCCTTGTGAAGTTTCCGCCATCAGTCCAAATGTGTGCAAATATTGTGTATCTCTTGTAAGGTTTTGTTTTGCAGTCTGATGAAGCAGCACTGTAGATGATCAGCAGCACTCTCTACTGGCTACTGCATGTATAAATACTGTGTATGAAGGCTCAAACAACTTAAGTGGAAGTTATACTGATCTGCTTCAAAATCTTTGTTTTGGTCATTTTGTCCATAATCCTAAACTAACTTGCAAAGAGTCAAAGCATACTGTTATTAGCCACTGTGGATAGTTTGCATGAGTGAAAGCGTCTTACTGATACCTCTCTGTTTGTGTTCCATTTTCCTCTGTCTGTCTGTATGGAATATGTAAAAATCTCTTAACCTTTACCTTCAGCCATGAAAAATAGCAGCAGCCTCTCTGTTACCTTTACCCCCATACCTACTGACACAAAACACAAAAGCTGCCTTGTTTATGGTACAGTTACAGGAATGAAATTATTTGCATGGGCATCAGTGTTCATAATCAGCATCCGCATGCCTTTTTCACTGGAAAGACCATCAGCTTAGGCAAAGCAGAGCCGGTCATAATTCAGCTCTGGGAATTCAAAGACAACGCCACAGGTAAGAGGAAAACTAAAATTAATAGTTAAATAAAATTCAGCTAGTACAAATATTTTTAAAAAATGGTTAGAAAAGTTTTGTTAAAATGGGTGTTTGTTTTTTTTATAGACAATGGTTATGAGAGAGATCCTCCTCTGTCTTTTGCTTGATCTTTACCACACAGGTATGGAGTCACTCTGAATTTTATCGTACATTTTCTTCTTTTTGTTTGCCACACAAGTAATGTACTATCTTTGAATAGTAATTGTTAAGCTTTTAACAGTTTCACAAAAATACATTCACACATCTATCATACAGTGTTAATTTATTCTTTATTTATTTCAGCTTGCTTTGCCTCTTCCAGTCTACCTGCCCAATGCCTGATATGTAACAGCACAGAAGCGACTCTATCAGGTGAGATTAACTTACTCTCAACTTAGACCTCTATGTGTCAATACATTACATCTAAAAAGTATTGTATCAGGAATTACATGCAAAAACATACATACTTGGTGCTGCCGCCTCTCTGCACTTCACACTGCATCGATGGTTGGTAACTGCTTTCTTTATTAGTTTGCGTAGAGATGGATCATATGAACAGGAGCAGAGGGTGTGGTTGTACAAAAAGGTTAACTTAAATATTCAAGAAAAGAGGCAGAGTGCATTTGTACTGCACTGATGTAAAGCAAACGTCATGAATACAACTGTTGTATCAATGCATGCACTAGTTGTTTTAATTTCAGACCCTAACTGTTCCTCTCCTGTTCATCTTACAAGCATCTAAGGAGCCTGGGGGCTGCAAAAATGGTAACCAGAACTCATAAACTGATAACAATCTGATTACCTTACACAATCTTTTCAGTATTCCTTCTTTTAAATGTTTACTCTGCCTTTTAGACTTTAAGGTTTGGATCAACAGCACTGGATCTGAGGCACAGGAGGGCGATGACGTCACTCTAACATGTGTCCATAACCTTCCTAATGTGACCCTGATGTTTGGGTGGACAAAGGATGGAGAGGTGCTCTCCGAAGGCCACAATAAAAGCCAGCTTGTTTTTCTGAAAGTGTTGTCCAACAAAAAAGGCCAGTACTGCTGCTTTGTGAACAGCACTTGTGGCTATTACAAGTCCTTGCCACATGATGTCACTGTAAACGGTAAGGAGACGTCTCCTCACTCATTTCAAACAGCAGCTCTGCTTCACAATGTAGACTATGCCTTCTATAAAACAGCATTTAAAAATGAATATTACAAATGAACTATTTCATTTTGTATCTGAAATTGTGCAAAAAAAGTCCTCAAGACAAGAATGAAGTGCACACTGTGTACATCTGATCGCTGGAGTATTCACTGTTGTCTTGTTTCTGTCTTTGTAAATGTGACTGCAGGCAACGGTGTGGTGATCATGATTATCTGTGGAGTTTCTGCTTTAGCCCTTGTTCTGCTGTTGGGTGCCACTATGAAATACAAGCTGAAAAGAGACAATGGTAGGAGCTCTCGTGACATTAGATAACACAGGATTCTTGTAGAGAAGGCAGTGAACACAACTCTCCAAAGCAACTGCTATTTTCTCAAATGGATTTCAGTTTACACAAATTAAACACATTATTATTTGCAGAATACGTAGTTTGAACGATGCATGAAAATCAATTACAGTCTCCTTTTTCTTATTAGACATGAAGCTTCAGTCAGCAGATAGTTAAATCATTTTAACACAAAGAATCGCAGCGCCTTCCTGGCTTTGAAAAAAGTCAACCAAACTCGCACATCAGTTCTTAAAAATCTCGCAAAACAACATTTCAAATCCTGTTTAATCTACAAAAAAAAAAAAAACCTCAGAAATAAAAAGGCACAGTTTTATCTGAGTTTTATCAGCCTGTGAATTATCTTAAGACAGTTGCCTGTTAACAGTAGACATTTCAGTACATTACTCATTCAAGCAAAGACAGTGGCTTTGTCTATAATAACTCCCTACTTAATAAACAGCACTAGTTGTCAAAGTGCATGCCCCAGGTACAGGGGTTCGTTTCTTGAAGCAGCAGCACTTTAATTTGTACTTTCTTGTCTAATAAAGGCAAAACAACAAACTCTAGACTCCCTAAATATGCTGGCCTTTTATTTTATAAATGAAAAAATTAACAATTAAAAAATGTACAAATCTCAATTTACTCTCGGTCTAATCAGATAGATGGAACAATATAGTACTTTACCTCTGACATTTTGATTTGTCATTTGAAAAATGCCTGCTGATTAATCTTGTTCAACTACAGACAGAGAAACGCTAGCAGGTTCCCTCTCCCACCAGCCTTGCTAAGCTAAAAGCTACAAATCCCTGCCCTTTCTTTAACAGATTCCAATTTTCAATGTCTCTCTAATCGTAGAAATATGGATATGACTTGTCTTGATTTATATACTAAAATGTGACTCCTCTTGTATCCTTCTTTGTCATTGCAGCCAAACACAAAGAGAGGATGAGGCAGAGAGCCCAGAATCAGCAGAGTGCTGCCCCAGCTCCATTCACCCCAAGAGAGTCCTAAATAAGAACAGTCACTGAAATTTAACATGATAAATATTGATCCTTTTTTCTATCTGCTGCTAATGTATTTGATATAGGAATAAGCCTCTTGGCTCCCTGTCTTTCGGCTAAGTGTCTGTTTGAGAGAATAAAGTTAGTTTTTTATAGCCATTTCCTGACCAGAATGTTGTTTAACTTTGACCCCGCCCACCAAGCACACAGCCTGTTCAGTTGAGGAAGAGAGCCTAGAAATGATTTAATCCAAATACAGAACAGGCGTGCTCAAACTAATCCCTGTGAATGCTCTACTCACAGGAATGCACACCATAGCCGACCCGCATAGAGCAGCTTTATACCAGCTTGCATGTAATGGATATATGGCATGATAATGCCATCTACTACTTTCACAGAGAGGGATGGATGTGGGATTTGAGAGATAACTCATGAACATAGAAATGATAAGTTCTCAGGTTTAACAACATGAAATAATCCCCTGAAGTTTATGTGTTAAGCTCTTTAACCGTCAGTCCTCATGTTGAACTAAGTGTCTTTGTTTTTCTGTGTTATCAGCCTTTCTCCCTCAACCATATGGACAAATGACTGAACTTTGTTCAGTATTTCTCCTCATTATTCTCTATTTGTTAGTGTGTCAGGAAGGTCTGTTTTCAGTTTCCTCCTACAGCAGGTGGCTAAGGGATAATCCAGGTAAAGCCATTTCAAAGTGGAGATGGAGGGATGGACAGACGAACGGGGGGAGGGTAGATGGTGTTGCCTTTGCATGGATGACTATGGCTAATTCTGGCCTCCTAATCCCAGTCCCATCCACCCTCCCCCGCTTCCTGCGTACTAACCTTACAGTGGCAATTGACGCCCAGGTAGACATTACTATCACATACACTCAAAGTGCTTAACCTACCCAAAGTTTGCTGAGAAGAAAGAGGCAGAAGACAGAGTGTGTGACACCTCTTTTTGGATAGCTAACCTTTGTGTGACCTGGATAGCTGACACACCTGTGTGAGCTTCACTGTAGAATGTAGCTGCAGCCCTCCAGCCTAGCCACAGGAAACACGCCACCATGGGAGAAGCTCAAAAGGTAAGTGGCCTGATCTCGATGTACAGGACTTGAAAAAAACCAAGGCTGACTTTTGGTAGGCTATTTGTTTTCAATGCAAAGTGGTATTCAAACTGTCTACACCACAAGAGTGTGTGTCAGTATACGAGATTTCTATTTTGATGCGCATACGCTGGAAGTGTTAATACTTGTACCAAGAGCTCAGCTTGTTTAATTGTGTTGATTTAATGATAGAAAGTCTAAATGAGTCTTTATTTTATTTTGCGGTACAGTTAATCACACTTACTCTCAAGTACCTGTCACCTTGGATGTAATGTTTAAAGCTCCAGTGCCTCTTTTGTTGGCATTGCAATAGTCTGTGGTTGTGCAACCTTGCTTCAGACTAATCACATTAAACAGTGCAACATTATGTGAATGGTGCTCTCCTCTGTGAAGCGATGGATTCATTCGTTGCAGAATGAGTGTAAGAGCAGATCAGTGGCCCCAGAGAAAGAGGGCACGAGATTGGTGGGTGGAGCATAATGAGCAACCATGTGTGCTGTGCTGTAAGTAAGGGGATGTTTGACCTCTAATCAAAAAGAGGTCACCAGGAACAGAGTCACAGCGTAATTGTGTCCTATATGTGTTTATCTACCTGTGGTTATAATCCTGGGTGTTATGAGCTATTTTAATTTTTTATCGAGATCACTCATTGTGCTTTTGTATTTTTAACCAAAGTAGTACATGAGAAAAAACAAGAACACATATCTCGTCATGGGAAATGTTGACTCCAACTGAATTGGTTCATAGTGTATGACTGAATGCTGCCATAAGTCTTTGGTCTGTCTTATCCTTCCACACCTCCCCTCCACACAGGGCTTACTCTCTGTCATTGAGAAACTGAAGGGATCCACAGAACAGGAGGTCAGGATAGTGCTGCTTGGACTTGACAACGCTGGCAAGACCACCCTGCTAAAGAGCCTGGCCTCTGAGGATGTGAACACCATCACACCAACACAGGTGAGGGGGTTTAAAGACTTATGAAGTCACACACACACACACACACACACACACGCTTTGTAATGACCTGGGAGTGTCGCTACCTGTCAAGAATGATTAAACATAAAACACTGACTGATTGGCCTGCTTGACGATGATGTTTCTGTGCCCTTCGTTATATTAATTCGTCCTCCTCTGAACAGCTCAACTACTTTGTAACATAATTTCCCAATGTTCATCATTAAGTGTGTATTAGTTAAACAGTATCTGTCAAAAATGTGTAATCAGGGTTTTTTTCTACCACTCTTGAGAGAACAATCCATATTACCTGCTGTCACTGAAAGATTCTGAGGAAACAGGCAACACTTGTTGCGCTGATGGCTTTTCAAAAGATGTGAAGAGACAGTGGGAAGTGTATTTAATCTTATGAGACGAGCTTTGGTAATAGGATTCATACAACCCATGTTTTCCCAGTGCACTGTCAAATGAAATTATTTGGCTGACAGGAAACTTGTTTAACCACCAGTGAGTGAGGTAATCACTTGAGGATGCCAAATTAGAGATAATTTGTGGCCTCAGCCTGAATGACCTTTCAAATATGATATATAATATAATATTTTTTACAGGAAATTAAGATCTTTTGCTTATCACCCTGTTTAAAATGAATTAAATTGTTACATTTGACCTACAAGAAAAACATGCTGTGGATGTACATCTAGGATTTAGGCGAGCGCAACAGCCTGTTAGACAATAGCTATCGAGGATGTAGTCCATTATAACATAGCAATAGTCACCATGTGGCTTAATCAGATTCACACACATGCACACATACTCTGCTCTTGATCCTCCATGTCTTATCCTCCTCGGCAGGATAAAGATGTTATACAACCTTTCCGACTGAAACCAAAAGGAGTTGTGTTATGAAAAACAGCAACAGATAATCACAGTTACCACATCCTGAGAAAACTACCCAAAGCACATGTTGCTCTCCTGCTGATACACAGTGAGGTTACACCATTGAGTAACCAAACAGTGATTCATTCAACACACATACACCTGTGTGCTGGTACATTCCCTCTAAATGAATTGCTTCATGATCATTTGACAGGCTTTCCAGTTGCTATCTTTTGGAACTGTGTTTAAGTGAATGTGCAGTTCAGTGACTCCAGTTTTTTCGTCTAAATTCAGGGATTCAACATAAAGAGTGTCGCCTCTCATGGCATGAAGCTCAATGTTTGGGACATCGGAGGACAGAGGAAGATAAGGCCCTTCTGGAAAAAGTATCTGGAAAACACAGACCTACTGGTAAGTAACAAAATTAATACCAATTCAAATTTCATTTTCATGTAAGAAACCACAATGAAGTGTTATAAAAATTACAGATACTTCTCCATATATTTCATTTTTAAAGTTTTCCACATATTTAAACAAATGTACTTTAATAATCTCTTGGTGAAGAGTCTTAACAGCATAACTGTGATAGGTTTTTTCTGCCATTAATGAGCAATAACTAAACATGTACTGTTCAAGAATGCCAAGAATAACATTAAATGTAAAAGAGAAATTGGGAAAGTTGTGTAACTTTAAATCCATGAGTTTTCTGAGATTGATTTTATTCTCATATATGTATTTCTTTCAGATTTATGTTATTGACAGTGCTGACAAGAAGCGGTTTGAAGAGACAGGACTGGTAAGTGTGATATGCAGTAACTACTTCATACAAGGATATGTTTACAAGAACGTCATTTTGTACCATTACACATGGCCCTTTCAGTAATCTGGATACATCTACATGTGCAGGAGCTGTCTGAGCTGATTGATGAGGAGAATCTAAAAGGCGTCCCCGTGCTCATCTTTGCCAACAAGCAGGATCTGGCCACAGCATCGCCGGCCAGTGAAATCGCTGAGGGACTCAACCTGCACACTTACCGGGACCGTGAGTGGCAGATTCAGGCCTGCTCTGCTGTGTCTGGGGAAGGAGTTCAAGTAAGACCTACTTTCATATTTAATTCATTGCTTTCTTCTCACAAGAAACCTACTTGAAGACACTCCTCTGTTAATCTCCATGCTTTTGTTTCGAAAATCATTCTGGATTATATTGATTGAGAGTTTGGTGCTGAAAGGACTTGTATGATCAATGGTTTGATAGTGTTTATTCTTTTAAACTTTAACCTCTCTGGACTGTTCTACACAGAAGAGGATTAGTGACACAAATATTCATCATTTTTATGTTTAATATGTTAAGCATCAGAGGTTTATCCCCTCAATGTGGGTATGCACCAAAGATTAAGTGGTGAACTAAATATTAAAGGTGACAAGACAGTGTTTTGAGATTTCAATCGGTTTTGAATGAGCTCTAAATTAAACATAATTCTGACTCTATTATAAGATATCTCATCATTTTGACTATAAATTCTGAAATTTGACTTTGCAGAAAGAAATTGTACTAAAAAAATAATATTTTTGGTTTAAATCCAGAATTCTTAAAATAGAGTCGTTACATTAGAAAACACATTGGTAGTAACACTTTCCTGAAACACTTAAATGACAAGACAGAAGGAAAACTGTAACTGAAAACAGACTGTTTGACTTTTTCTGACTTTAAACACAAAACTGTGACCTTTAACCAGAGAAATCTATCTTTAAAATCTGAGCTTGAGCTTATTATTCACAAAAGAGTTTGAAGTAAGCATTAGATTTTAGACTTGTTTTTTTGTCCTCTCAACAGGATGGCATGAACTGGATTTGCAACAACATTGTGAACAAGAAGAAATGAAACATCAGATGTCCAGCATCACAAAATAAATGAATATATCATTTCACATCATCACACCCCATCTTTAAAGCCCCCGCTTCCCTGACAGATCTGATTGACATTTCTGTTTTTACAGTTGGTGTAATTTTTATGAATATTTTGCAAGTTCAAAGATTTTTAGCTGAAATATGTGAATTAGACACAATGTATGTTTATGTCCCCCCCTGTTTCCCAAGGATCTTTGTCTGGTGATTGTTTGTGTTTTCCACTCAGAGAAAACCAAGCTGAGTGTGTGTAGCCATGTAGAATTGTCGGGGTTTGTCAGATATAAAAACAACCTGTTCAGTGTGAGTGTAAAGTGTATGTTTTGAGATTTTTTGACATTAAAATAGTTATTTATGCAGTTTTTCTCTCTTGCTTTGAAATTTCATGAAGGTTTTAGTATTTAAGTCTTCACAGATGTGTTCAAACATAAAAGACAAATTCTATAATCTGTCAGTGAATGACAGTAATAAGATTGTACATGCCAACGCTTCTGTGAGTGACAAGAGGAACAATAACAAAAAGATCCATTCCTGCCCAGCTGTCAGCTTCCTTTTTTCACAATGCACTGAAAAACACATGGTATCGTGAGAGACATTGAAACGCAAGAAAGAGAGAGAGAATTAACAATTAGGACCCGATATATCAGAGTAAGATATCAGACTGCCAGGCCGAGCAGACCAAACAGTGCAAGAAATTACATGCAGAGAGGCTGGCTAATTTACAGCGCGGAGACTTCCCTCTCAAAATGTAGGGTTTATATGTTAATTTTGGCTTGATAGCATAGCATGCAGACTTGCTGGGTCCTTTTCACTATGGTACTTTGCCATATGACACATCATTAGCCCAACTGTGAATACTGTGTTTTCCCAGCATAAATGCCCAAAGTTCTCTCTATGCAAGCAACTTTGATGTACAATCGTTCTTCTTTTCTTGGCTCTGAAGCAAAGACTCCTCACATCATTGATTTCCCCACTCCTCACCTAGATAGCAGTCGTGTCTCCTGGGACAAAAGTGGTCAACCCCTCCTAGGCTTGAAGACCCACACAACTCTTTGGTATCTCATAACATTTGTCCTTTAAAGTGACTTTGGTGCAGGCACTCCAGTCCTCCATTCAGCCGTTTTGGCTCTATGGAGCTGCAGTTGGATTTAATGGATCTTTTGTGCCTATTGTCTAGAGCTGTAATTAACCATCTGAAAGCACTCTAAAAATCACATCAGCTGACAGGCTTTGTTCACTGTCCTCCTCTACATGAAATTATGCTAATGAATATTTTTCCTTCCCTTTGTCTGGTATTTATGAGTGGTTTTGAAAAGAAAAAAAATCAATCCCTCTGGTTTGTGTTAACAAAAATGAATGGATATTTGATCATTTCTATGGCAACCAAATTTAGTGCAATTCTTAAAACATTTTCAGGTATCAACTCCTATTGTGGAAGCACAGCAGGGGGGTGTGAGACCAATTACAACTGGTACTAGCGGGTCATTATGGCTGTTTGACGAGACCAGACAGTACAGGAGCAGGGCAGGCTGAGAGATGTTTTATTTCTCTACCATGTTGTTCAGTGCGGCTACTTGAACCAACAGGTGGCAGTATTACAGAGATCAATGAAGAGGCTCTGCTGTTTACAGAGAAGAGGTTTCAAACATTAAAGTTTAGTGACTTAAATCAGATATATACCCTTGAAAAAATAAAAAATAAAAGATGGTTTGGTGATCGTGAAATGCTTTCCCCTATTGTCTCAGTCTCTTTATTGTCAAACACACTCTTTAATCTTAAGGTGGCACAATGTGAGCACTTTTCCACCAGTGGCCCTTCAGCTGGGGTTGCCATGGCAACACTGCCTGTTATTTGTGGTCCACCATCCATCTCTCTACTCTAGTCCAGCCCATCCTCTCTGTTTCTCTATTTCTTTCATAATCCCCCCCCCCCCTCCAAGATCGGCTCATCAAAAAGAGAGCCGGCAGAGAAAGGCTGGACCACAACACCGTAACCTCACTCCAGGTAAGAACAAAAGCTGCATCTGTGTTTAGTTATCCAAGAAAAGGGAGAGAAAAAATCTTTTAGAAGAGTGAAGTGGTTAATGTTGCAAAAAAATGACAAATACTCTGAAGAATAGGCTTTGTGTCTGACAATTCATCTCAGGATTTTGCTCATGATTTGAAACCCTTACAAAGTTTTTGTGTTCATCGTCTTGTTTCCGATAGGGTGAATTTTCACTTCCATTTAACTGATCAAATTCATAATAAAAACTGTATCTCAAAGATGTAATTTTTATTTGTGCATGTGTTGTAGCTAAAATGTTTTTTGTGTGTGTTATAGCAGCAACAAAGTATCCCAGAGCCACTGTAGGCCTTCATCCTGCCATCATGACAGAAGTTGCCCTCCTGGCCTCCCTCAAGCCACAGTTAACCACATCGACTCATCACAGTGTCAGTGCTTCATCAGAGACCCTCAACTCCCTGACCACCACTGATTCCCTCACCTCATGGGAGGAGGCGCACATGCAGGTTCACACCATCCTGATTGTCATCATATTTGGTGCCGTCTGCTCCTTGCTCCTACTCGCCTTCTTTTACGCTTTCTGCCTCCACTGCTCCATCAGTTCATCACCGAAAGACTTGCACTTGGCCAACAGAGGCAGCTTGGAGCGCGAGGATGCCACCTACAGGTGCAGTTCATCTGACAACCAGTCTATGGGGAATGTTGTCTGACCGGACAGAGGGACATGATAACTTAAACTTAATTGTATATCACTTTATTTTATGTAACAAGATACCTTCTTGAAATTTTGATTGCTATGTTACTTATTCCAAAAACTTGTCAGTAAAGTGTTGTTTTATTAGCTTTCTGGCTAGTCCTGTCTTGACTATCTTACATAAAGCTAGAACTGACTGACCTTAAATATGTGTCATTAGCATTTTGTGCTGCTTTGTGGTAAGTGATAAAAACAATGTTTTGCTTTGTCAACTCATAATGACTTCAAACAACCTGCTACCTTTAAGAAAAACAGGCTTCTAACAAGCCCTGCAATGATTTCACAAAACTAGTATTTAGACAGCATGGTAGCATGGCAAGCTAATGCTAGCTCACAGACTAGCATTGACTTGTTTGCTGGATTCTTTAACAATTAGCTTGCGTCTCATGGTAAACATGAAAACAATAATGTTAAATTTCATTTACCAGATGCTCTGAGACCTGAGAGTAAGTTTAAGACGAGAAAGGATCTTTGTTTGAGGGTGGGGGTCGGGGGGCAGCAAAAGGCTTCAGGTCCAACTGGACACGGGTACTCACATGCAGCGTTGTTTTTGTTTTTGTTTTTGTTTATCGCTCAAAATCATCACCACAAAGCATCTGCAACAATATAATTTTCACTTCATCTTTATGAAGCCTTGGTATCATAAACAAATGCCAATATTGTCAACATCATCTTGAGCACCAAACTACCAAGTGCTGAGTTTTCCATGGAAAGGTGGGACTAAAACTTTCTCAAACGTAGGGCAGTCTTTAACTTGTTAAGTTAAAGATTTGCGGCAGTCAGCAAACTTAAGTTGTAGAAATTAGAAAGTAGGAACACCTCAATTAATGTGATGTTTTCTCCTATTTGCATCTCAGCCTCTTATGTTATGAATCTATATTTCAGTGGCGCCCATATGTTCCTGTTTGTTTTTGTTTTTTCTAGCATATTTGTCAATCACAGAGGGCTGAAAAACAAGGGTATGAAAGGATAGCGTTCTGAGTTTACATGAATTCCCATGGGCAAGAAGATGAGTATGCTTGGATGCATGGATGCCACATGAGTACACAGGAAAAATATGTCACTATCCATGGAGTGTTATGTTCAATAAAAAACGCTTAAAATGTATGCAAATGTAAATGTGACTGAATGCAAACGTCTTTGAGTGACAGGACAAACAATAACTAATGGATTCACACATGGCTCAGCAGTCATCTTGTTTTATTTTCACTGAGCTGACAAGCATTTACATCGTGCCTTGGCTGTGTATTTGACAGGACTGATATAGAACAATGAATTCAGACATGCAAGATGAAGGGAGAGTAGGGAGAGAGGCAGGGGGAGCAGGGTAGAGGAATCAGAGTGATTCTTCTCAGGGGATGAAACAAGATGTCAAATTTACAAGACCCAGCAGAATAAAACAGTGCAGGAATGAACTGAGCTTGTGTCCAGCTGAATCAAACACAGATGACATTTGTCTTATTTTAAAAGCTCTTACATGATGGATGAACACCAAAACATTGACTGAACCTGTTTATGGTGACAGATTGTGAGTGTTGTTGAGTGTGTGATCTCCCATGGGTTAGATAAAGCTCTGATGCAAATTTTCAAACTCGTTAAAGTGTAAAATTAGAAGCAATAGCTTTGATTGACTTATATATTGTCATGGTTAAATAAGCACTAATGGTTTGGCAGTGCATTAAAACACTAGCTTGGTATTGCCTGATGAATTTGCCAATGACAATTAGTCTACAACCTGAATAAAAAAATTGATATTCAGTGGAAAAATTATCAGTAGGCACAGACCACAGTGCCTCTGGAATTAAAAAGCAGCAATTAAACATAATGTAGCAGTGGGCTGCTAAACGCTGCTGTCATCTGAAACATCAAAAAAAATAGTGCTTCTATTCCTTACAATACAAATTAAGTTGGCACAACATGACATTGGAGGTAAACACACTTCAGGTAACTTTTTAAAGTTAACTTATACTATGGTGTAGCTTGTTTAAAACTCACTAGAATACTGATTCAAATCTTTCTACATCATCCCTTGAATCTTCCACTAATAAATAATCAGTCTTGATTAGCCTTTCTTCTGATATCTGGTTTTAATGCTACTAAAACTCCATTACAGGTCACAGGAAGCAATACTGTCTGGTTAATATACAACAAAGCATTGTTAGATTCTTATAATGGCAAAAATAATCCTCCATTCTTATTTGGTATTTGCCCTAAAATTTAGTGCTTTAGAAACAATCATTTATTACCAGCAGTAGCATAACTTAGCTTATGACAGGGTGCACATGGCACTCTTGGAGGAGTGGGAGTCACAGGAGCTGCTTCGGGACTCCATGATGGAGTCTCTGCCATCAGATTCAGGTGAGTCCATTTCCAAGTGAGGGTCCTGGAGGCCATCCTGCAAAGCATCCTTAAAGTGGGACTGGGGGGGACAGCACATTAATAAATGCTGGTTACATGACAAAAAGAAAAATGAAGCACTAGTAGTCAAAAATAACCCTCAGAGGAGTCAAAGGGATTGTGAAAATTAAAAGAATTTAAATCTGTGCCATTAAAAGTGTAGGAGTAAAACATGTAAAATATACTTGCGTTCAATTTTCTCTCTCACCTTATGTACTGACATCTCCTCCACACGGCTCTCCTCCATGGACTCCTCCAGAGAATGGCCTGATATCTCCATTTTTATACGATGTGAGCGAATAGACTTGACATCATCCTCATCCTCGCCAGCCACAAGTGGAAAAACCTCGGGGCAAAGGTAGAAAGGGAGTGAGGAAATCAAAGATGGTGATGACGATGGAAATGAAGCAAAATGAGTGTGTAAACCATTCGAGCAATGTCTGTCAATCCTTTCCTTACCAGTCCTTCCTCATCACCTGTCTCCTCAGGAGCTGAGATGGTGGCTTTGCTAATGGCCTTGCTGATAGTCTGGGTCTCAAACTGAGGACATGCTGCTTGAGCATTGCCATCTTTGTCCCTCTTTCCTTTCAGCCAGTATGTCTCAATTTCAACATTCCCCTGTATGTGGAAGGAGGGAGAAACCAGGGCAGCAAATAAAACATACAATCAAATAAATAAACTTGGTTACAATGGGGAATAAATTGGCAGGTGGTAGATTATCTGTGGAATCAAAATCCCTCATGAAGTTAGTCAGCCTTGCTTTGTTGAGATTGTCACTCATATCAGCTGCCTCAGAAATCTTTGGTAGTCGCTGTGCTGTCATCATCAGTGAATGTTCTCCCTCAAAGTCAAACCTAGTGATAAAATGAGCTGGCAAATCAACAAGTGGACTACCCACTCTGAATACTAAATGTTCTGATTCCCAGAGCTGAGACATTTTGAGCCTCTGTTGTTTAAAATGTTCAGATTCAGAAGTGTTTATTCGATCTCATTTCAAGCCTCCACTCGAATGTAAGGTCTCAGGTAGATTACGATGGTGCTGCATTTATAAAACCAGCGTCACGGCTGTTGTGAAACTCATGCTTTAAAGCAACACATACTAATTACAGGTCTTTAGGATGATGAGTCAATGCAGTTATTGTGGATGTAGTTGCTGTGGTAACAGCTGTGACTCTTCACCTTGATGGTAATGATGCCTCTCCTTTCAAAAATGAAGTGACTGCCTTTGAGGTGCTCGTAGGTGGCGCTGCTGAGCTGAATGTGCATTTCCTGAGTGGGATGAAGAAAGAAAGAAAGTAAATCACAGAAAATGGTCCCTCCTGTCATTTCCTTTCAGCCTTATTGCTTACTAACATCTGTTACACACGAACCTTTCCATTGCTCTCCATGGCAGAAGCAGTGTGAACAGTGTCACCATGCAGGCCGTAACGTGGCATCTTATGTCCCACCACGCCTGCCACGACCATCCCTGAGTGGATCCCTGCAACCAAAATAAGTAACAACAGCCAGTCAAACATCAACATAAACACAATAATAGTACCAAACATGTTTTACCTACCAACACGAATCTGTATGTTATTGCCATTGGAGGGGTCTTTCAGGTGATCTATGGAGCGCACCATGTCCAGAGCCATGTCACAGATATTATGGGCGTGGTATTTAGTCTTCTCCGGGGCACCTGCCACCACCATATAGGCATCTCCAATAGTCTCAACCTTGTTTTTTAAAGATAAGATACATACAGCAGCCTTAGAGGAGCTACACTGAGGAAAATATATTGAACATCTGGGCAATAAACACACACCTTGAAGACGCGGTGCTTCTCACTGAGCGTATCAAACAGCGTGTACATGGTGTTGAGCATGGAGACCACCTGCATTGGAGTGATGTGGCTGCAGATGCGAGTGAATCCCACCACATCGCTGAAAAGAATTGTCACATCTGGGAACACCTGGGGAAAAAGAGACAAGAATAAGTGAGTACGAAGGTTGGTGTGCTCCACAAACACACACAGGTGAGCAAGGTGGGCATTTATGACTCATGTTTTGTGTCAAGGCTGGTGTGCATCACCAAGAGGCAACTGTCAAAGAAACTGAAAATTTAAGGAGGTTCAGATAGTCTTGTGAAGATTTGTATGAGTGTGTATTTGTTTAGCTGCTGTTGATTTGTAAACCATGCAGACGAGCATGGAGCCTAAAGTACTCTATATCTGATTATCTGTTCATCTTTAAATGTTAAGTTGTGAAAGTTTCTTCTTTCATGGGCCAGCAAATGTTAACGTAGTCAATCTTGGCAGCCGAGGTGTTGAATCACTTTGGCAAATTGCAGTATTTTCAATCCTGACCTCACAAGTGTTAACAGCTGGCTCTCCTTTGCGCAGCCTCTTAGCCACTGGCTTGGGAATCATCCTGTACAGAAGATCATCAGTCTTCTTCATCTCATAGTCCAACATCTTCATGCTCTCCTCCAGTTTGCTAGACTTCTTTTGCTCCTGAACTCACAAAAGGGAAGAACAAAGAAAGAACAACGCTTGAAGTTTGGATCTACTTCTAACATCACACATCTGCAGGGGGTAGATGATCTTGGGTTGCAAGACAGGCATCAGAGCAACTTTAAATAATGCGGAACAGTAGGTGAGCTGATCACACAAACAAAAAAAAGCTGCAATAGTCGCAGTCAACCTGTATGAGGGCTCTCTTCAGCTCCTCTGACTGCTGGGTGCCTGCCAATACCAGGTCTCTGCTGGAGTCATGCATGCTCAGGTCATTGATGTACAAGCCGGTCTTAAACATAGCACTCAGACTCTCCATCCTAGAGACACACACACGTAAAAATAGGTCCATTAAAACTCAAATGACTCAAATGACAACAACAATAATATTCGCTTAATCAATTACTGAATCTTTTAAGGAAAAGAAAAAGCTTTTTCTTTAAAAACGAGGAAATGAAAGGCTGCAATTTGGGGCAATATTTTCTAAAGAATAATTTATTTAAGTAGCGTTATATGGCAGTTAACATTCAGCTGTTTTGTCAATACAGGCATAAGAGCATTTACTTGCAAAACAAAATGTGTCAGAAGAGGAGGGAGATGTTTTGGTAATGTAGTCAGCGGAAAACACTCTCAGTTGCAAATGGGTTCTCATTAGGCTCACAAGAGCTGCACTGTCTGATTACAAGCTAATTAGCAGCTCATTTCATGCATGGTAAGTGCTGTTAGAATGGGGCCCTGATTTGATTCCCTGCCCAGCCTTTTATTTTCAGCCTTGTAATTCAGTTTAGCTCTCACTGCTTTGTCGAATGTTAAACTTTTCTGCTGCAGCTTTTCAATAAAGATATTAGGCTTTTCTATTAGCTTGAGTGTATGTGGGTCTTACACAGGGGTTCCCAGAAAGATGATGGATTCCCACTCTGGCATGTATCTCATCTGTCCTTTTAGTTTCAGACAGCGGCTCCCATCACCCCAGCTCTCCATGGCATTAGCGCTGTTACCGTCTAACAGAGGAGTAGGATGCAACATCAGCAAGACAAACATTCATACAAGCATTATGGGTTAAATTATCAGTCCTGTGTAAATCGCATTACCATAGTGTAGCAGTTATGTTTTTTAAAGACGTAGTGTTGTAGGGTCTAAGTATCACCCTCATAGCTCTGAATTCAACAAGAAGCTGTTTGCAGCTGATTGGCACAGGCCAAACTGTAAAATGTGGATAAATAGTTGAGCTTTCCACTTGTTTTCACTTGCTCTTTCTCTAGGATGGAAGTATTGACTTCCTGGAGTGGTCAGTGGTAGCTTTTTGAAAGTTTGCAAAAGGGGTAGAATTATAAATCACTTGTTAAAAACACTGAGTCGAAAGGTGCTGTGCAGACGTGGTAGGAGATGTGTTCTTCCTTTACTTTTGGACACATCTGAGAAACATTTTTCCTCTTTTTTTATACTTCGCTAAGTTTTCCAGCTGTAGCTCCACTCAGACATACAGTCATGTTAGTAACTTACATGCTTGCAACAATTTAATGTCTTTATCCAAGAAAGCAAAGAAGTGTATTTCCCAAAATGATTAACTATATTGACAGTTGTTGGGTTTTTTTTTTCTATACCAATCAGACTTGATCAGTTACTGTATGCTCTGGTCTTTCTATGTGTCTTTTTTCTCGAAAACAGAGTGGTCAGGACCTTTGTAATCATCTCCAATGATTGACTGGAAAGCCATAAGCTCCACGTCTACATCTGCAGAGCGATTAGCATTTTCATAGTCAGAATCTGTGGAAAGAAAGGGAAAACAATCAGAGACACGTTCTCATTACACAAGGATATGGATCAATTCCATGCATCACAAAATTCTTCAATTTCTGCAACTTCAAGCTTTAGCAAAATATTCAAGGATTAAAGTTGAGCTTACACATAGGAACAAATTTAATGCTATGGCATGCCTGCTCTTCGTTGCAATAAAAATTTGAAGTGTGTTTTTTCCAACTGACTACAGTGACATACTGTAGATCTGACCACTAGCCAGCAAGTCTTTGCACACCAGAAACACACCCCTGCGAGCGTTTGCATGGCTCCCACTCTTACTCTGGACTCGATTGTGAAGGTTCCTCTCTCTCTTCACAGGCTCCTTGGACATGATCTCAAACAGGTTATTGGGGTGGGAAATGATCTAGAAATAGATCACTCAGTTGTCATTATCCTGCACAAGGTTGGTTATTTTACACAGAATATTAGCTGATGTATATGGCCTAAGTTGACCTGGCTCTGGACAGGTAGATAATGGTCTTACCATGTTCCATGTGAACTCCACTAGGGGGCGAGCTAGCAGGAAGGCATCATTGATTTTCTTCCCATCCAGATCAGGGAAGACTGTAGCCAGGCCTGAGCCAACATTGTGCACCACCATGTCCTAAAGATTTAAAGAATTACAGCTGCTGTACAAACCTCAATTCTTCATCTGTCTATTTAGAAACGTAACTAAACAGATTACCTGTCTGAAGACGATGTTGAAGGGGAAGACCTCAAAGAAGAAGTCTGAGGTGATGGGCAGAATCTCTTGCTCTTCCTCATCCTCCTTCATGATGTAGCGGTAGGCTGAGTTGTCAAAGTTCAGTCTACACAAACAAACAGATCAACAATTTTCATATAGGCCTAAAATCATCATTGCATTTCCAAGAGGGGAATATTACTTTGCTTGAAATTCACAATTAACTAACACTTGCAGCACATAGGAGCTAAGTAGTGGCAATTGAGATGGATGAGAAGCGTAATAGGGTTTGTAACCATTGGTTTGGGGAACTACATCGCTTCCCTCTTAAAATAGAGAGGAAAAAAGCTTAAAATTAACTAAAAAATGTATTTATCAACAGAACCAAAGTAAATACACTTCCTTCATTGTGTGTGTGTGTGTGTGTGTGTATGTGTGTGTGTGTGTGTGTGTGTGTGTGTGTGTGTGTGTGTGTGTGTGTGTGTGTGTACCGCATGGTGACATGGGAGTAGTCTCCGACCATTTGCTCAGACAGCACCTCCACATGAATGTCAGTATCATAAAACTGTTTCCCCATCTGCCGGAGTTGACCCATGGCGTAGTGCAGGTAGCCTTTGCGCTTACTCCTGCGGGTCGCACATACACACAAACAGATAAAAGATCAACGTCAGTCTAAAGGATGTAATCACACAGCTTTCAGCCTGTCAGCTCCTACTTTTATCTCTGATGCCCATTCATCTATCACTCTCTACTCTCATCCTTCAGACCTGTAGTGCAGGGTGACTCCGGTGGCAGACTCCTCCTGGCAGAAGAAGGTTGGAGGTTGCACCTTGGGGTAGCTGAAGCGAAGGTACTCATGCAGATTATCGAGGCCGTTGACAAAGTCACGAACATGGCGGCCCAAAACCTGATGAAGGAAGAGTGAAAAGTGTGACAGATAATGTCTCCAGTATTTCTAACTTTTTTATTTTAGTGCCCATAACAGGAACTTTTGAATGATTTACGATGAAAGGTCAGTATGCCCATAATGTAGAGAGCTACTCAGCCTGCTGTTAAATTTTCTCTGTGGTTTATTTGGGCTCAAGGGTAATCAAGTCTGGAAAATTTAGGACCAAGCTTGATCCATAACAGTAACCATAAGTCAGGATATTGTGCACTTTGCTGCTGTTGACCAATCTTTAATAAAAACATATCATTTATGAGAAAGAAATCACCAGCCACTTGCAAAAATGGTAGTTTGAGAGAAACAGAGTATGCAGGATAATTTCCCCACCCCTTTGAAATCACAGCAGAGTTTTAAATCTTTACCTTCAGGATCCTGTCATAGCCATATTTCCCCACAAAGCCCAGGAAATATACACCCCAGGAGTTCATCAGCTCATTGTAAGGTGTGCCTGTCACTCCACTGGCAGCCTTCGCAATGCGAGGTATCACACTCTCACTATACACCTGCAGACACACATATATAGAAGTTATTATCAGAGAAAGAAGAAAAAAAGATGTTTTCACATTAGGAGTAGGGCGCCTCAGAGAAAAGTAGGCAGTGTGATAAATACATAGGCAGGCAGTGAAAGTATTGTTATGCGGAATCATCTTACAGACACGGTACCTGGTGGGTGACAAAGGAGTGTAACCTGACATCTGCTCTTTCTCTGACCAGCTTCCAGACATCATCACCATACGACTCCTTAATGAAGTCGTGCAGACTCTCACACAGCAGCCCGTACATTGTGTCTCTCTTAAAGCTCGATCTGAGCGCTTTCAAGACAGCTCCCCAAGTGATTGACTTCAAACAATCCTCCCAAAGGCACCTGCAAGCAGATAAAAAAAAATTCTGAAAGATGATTTTTTTTCAAGCCTGCATCTGAATTTTAATGCGTTTAGCTTTGAGCGTGAAGCTATAAAAAGCCAAATGTTAAATTCTGCTGCTTTTGTTTTCTCCTGTTCTCAGCACTAACCTGTAGAAGTGAACTCTTCGTCAGAATGACTGACCAAACACAGTTTCATCTGAAGGCTAACAGGGCTCATGCTTTTAAAGGTAGCATAATTGCACAAGCTCTTGAGTCTGAATGGGCCTCTATTGTTCTTGTGGCAGCTGTCAGAGCCTGGTGGCCGTGCTCCTCTCTCCATGTGACATGAACACACTCCAGTGGCTGCCTCTCAAACACAGGTGACACCAGTCACAAGAATTCATTGCGTTTCTATTATCTTTATTGTCCCTTTTCAGAAAATGGCTCTTTAAAATCCCTGAGACATTATGTGCAACACTTATTGTATTATTTGTAATGAAGTGTAATCAACTTTAGGTTAGAAAAGCCTGAGATTAACGGATTGATTTTGATCACTGAGGCTCTGTTTGACTGTGCTGTGAAAATGCCCAAATTCTATTAGTTAAATGAAGGGAAAGGTGTATTCTGGTTTCTCCTTTCTCCATTCAGCTGAATATCATTTGAACTTTGGAGAGACTGTGAGTGAGCTTTTAATGCCAAGGAACTAGTCAATCCTGACAATGTGTTTGCAGATGATTTTTTCTGTGACTCAGGGTGACTCCACATTTCCCTTCAGAGTTCTGGAGGCTTCCCACTGATGGAAAAGTGGCAGTGAGATGCGGGGCAGGTGCAAAATCGATATCCAATCTCAACAGGGTTAAGGAAAATGTGTGTTCTTCCCTCAAGGCTCCTCCTGAGCTCAATGAATCAATTTTTAGGGGAAAAAAAGCACCAGGATAAAGACTAACTTCAGTCTTAAAAGGGCAACAAAATACAAAGTTAAAGGGCATCTCTTCTAAAGTGCAATTGTATACTACACAAGTAGTTTCAAGGCATTGGGTAAGTCAGCCAATGAATGTAAAACATAAGCAAAAACACTGTTGCTCTTATTTATTTTAACTTTAAAGATCGGTAACTGATGGGCATGCTGAATGAGGTGAAGTTGATGTAGTGCAAAAGAAAGGATGTTGAAGCTCTTGAGTTCAACCTTTGACCCCACACTGTAAAATTCTCTCCTCTGAATTTATTGTGTTGTTTGTCATTTACAAAGTATATGAGCGTAAAACATCTCCACGGTGATTTTGTTAGAAGGTAGAAAAGGGAGAGAGGAAATGGGTTGTGTCTGTGTGAGTGTCGATGTCTGAAGAGGACAGTTTGGATGTTTCGCCTCTCTGACAGCTCAGTGTCACTGTCTGGACAGCAGCTGCTTTTGCCCACACACAGACACAGACACAGACACAGACCCACATGCACACACACACACACACACACACACACACACACACACACACACACACACACACACACACACACACACACACACACACACACACACACGTAAGGCATCAAATTTTTATTATGAAAGAGACTTAGGGTCAGGATGTAAATCTTAATACTTACCCCTTCCCCTCAATTGCCCTTTTTATTTCCTCCCCCCTCAGTCAATCCTCACCCTCTTATTCCTCTGCTAAAATAACCCCTATGAGGTCAGTGCCCAAGGCATCCTGGGACGAGTTTTATACGGACTGTTGCCTCCCGACTGAAGAGTGTCAGAGGGGAGTGTGGAAGCATCCCAGCTTTAGTGCCGGATACACCACAGGACAACCCAGACAAGCTCTGACTGCAGACACGGACAGACAGGTGAGTACTAAAGGGGAGGCCAGTTCAGTGCTTTACTGTGACTGAGATAGACAATGAGAAGTAGCACTGACCTAAAGTAGTGTTAGTATGGAAGCCATCTTGTCCTTAAATGAACTGTAAACAGAGAGCTGATTAACAGAGACAGCTGATTCTCTGAGGTTTTGCTGCAAAGTGACATTGTTTTGAAGTCACCCATTACATTTTTGAAAGAAAGAAACCTAAATTTCAAGAGGAAAACATAAATACTGTTATTTGGTGACAACTCAATGACATGTCCTCTTTATCAGCCTATAAGGAAGGACATATTTAAGTTAACAATAACAGAGGAAACCCAAAGATGTGTTTATGCCTTGTTTCTGTCACTGGGTTAGCAATATGTAGAGGTTGTGTTGAAAATGTGTGAATAAAAAGGATTTCAAAACTGCAGTTTACAATAACCCTTGCAAAAATCGATGTTGCAGTGTATGTTGTAGAAAGAAGATGATGATGCATGCTGGGCTGGATGACGTAACAAAGCAGAGGATGATGCAGGCCAGAGCTCTGTCCAGGGAAGCCAGGGGAGGTAAGATTTGATGGGATGCAATTGTTTGATTTTGTACCTAAAATACTGGCTATACTTTAATATTAGGAAATAAACTAACTCAGAAGTTAGTCAACATGGTAACCAGTATGTAAATCAGTGCACAACCTGGTGTTAGTTTGCATGCGACTGTCAACAACCTGACTTGCTCTGGTGTGCGTTTACACCAATATTATAATTGTCACTCTGTGTGATCACAGCATGGGGCTGTCAGATATAGTAGAGCCCAACATCAAAGTGTGCTGTGCCCACAGCCTGGGGACACATGCCATGTGCTACAACTAAATCCCAGGAGTGCCTGTGCGTTGTTGAATTCTCCAAACATATCTGCAGGGACACTCCCATTTGCACACTTTGTTTTCAGCACTTTCTGCCAGGAACACTTTGAAACCAAAGTCCCCTAAACTCAGCAAAATGTGACTCCCACCACTGAATTTTCACACGGGCCGATCAAAGGCAGCTCCTCAAGGGTGGCACATGCTCAGACTTCTCCCAACACTTTTCACGTCTCAGAAAAAGGGCCATCCGTTTGTACATGACTCTTTCATCCAAAGATCCTATTTATATGCCCGGTTACCCCTGCAACCCAGACCACAACAAACATTACGCACCCCTTGACATCATCTCCAGGCTATTTCAGACCCTCTGCAGTGCCATGATTTAACACGAGAAGAGACCTCGAGCTGAAGCTGTGCAGATATCAGCTTAGTGATGCTGCACATGCTTTGGATTTTTTATATCAGCACCCTTCAGCTGTTTTACGTTGACAGAAACAAGAAGATCAGAGGAGACATTAAGATTTGCCAAAGGTCCTTATTAGTCTGTGTTGCTTCCATTCTCTCTCCAAATATCTGGAGGTTGCTATTATCATTGCATTTGCACTAATAACTACATGTCATGAAGAGTTTGTGCAGTTAGTGTCACCACACCGCATAGATTTGTCTGTTCTAGTATTCTGCTCTAAAACTGCAAAGGAATATGTAACCTAATCCCTCATTAGAGCTCTTTGGTTTGTGTGTGTTGTTGCAAAGGGGGTCTGAACCTGGGGAAGAAGGTGAGCGTTCCCAAGGATGTGATGATGGAGGAGCTCAACCTTCCATCAAATCGAGGCTCTCGTATGTTTCAAGAAAGGCAGAAGAGGGTTGAGAGATACACGGTGGAGAACGCCCCTGTTGGTTCTTCTTACATCGTAAACAATGTAAGGACCCAAGAGATGATGGATAGCACACAGTGATTCCTATCCTGTTCACTTCCTGCAACACACACCCATAATTAAGTCTTTGTATGTCTAATCTAATAGTTAATGGGTCAGTAAAGTTTAGCAGCTTTCCAAACTGATCAAAGTAAAGCAATTAAAAAGCCAGTGATGTCTGAACTGTCTCTCCTCTGAGCTGTCTGCTGTCTCATTTGCAGCAACAGGCGTCAAACTTCTTACCTCATTAATGACAATAATGGGACAAAAGTAAGGAAGTACATTGCATTCACTGGATTAGAACAAAATCAGACACCTCATATCATAATAACAAGATAAGGTGTCTGTTTATCCAGTGAATGCAATGTGCTTCTGTGTTAAAGGGACCACCTGGATGTTTTTAATGAGAGGAAAATCCTTTTGATAGGAAATGTTACAGAGACACTCCTGCCAAAAAAACTTAAAAGCAGCAGATGCTGAGTTTTTTTTTAAAACATCTTCACTTCCAGACTCTGTCTAAACAATAAAACAATCTTTCTCTTTTTTTGTCAAAATTTGTAAGCTTTAATTCCAATTTTATCCAACCCTGATAACCAAAATGTTTTTTTTTTCAAACTTTTGAAAGCTTCTCCCAGAGCTTAGTAAAAACATAATACAGACAGTACAGCCTGTTTCCACAGGCTGAGTTGTACTTTTGTTTAAAAAAAAAACGTTGAAGTTGAAATGCATAATTGGAGTCGTGGGATTCTGTCGAAGCTTTTACAACAGATTTTTAAAGAAAGGCTTCCTCCCTCTGACCATCAAGGCAATGAACTCGAGTGTTTTTTCTGCCCATAAAACCTCTTCAATATCTTGTTTTGTAATCAATATTTCCATCTTCCATTCTCTTTACCGTTGTGTCACTTCTCTTCTGCTGTTTTACGTTCATCCATCTATCCATTACCTCAGCGCTTAAACAGATCCTTCATTGTTTAGGGGCAATCCAAGCTGTCACTGGGCAAGAGGGTTCACCCTAGACAGGTTGCCAGGCAATAGTTTATAATAGTATAGTATAGTATAGTATGGTATGGTATGGTATAGTATAGTATAGTATAGTATGGTGTAGTATAGTATGGTATGGTATGGTATGGTATGGTATGGTATAGTATAGTATAGTATAGTATAGTATAGTATAGTATAGTATAGTATGGTATGGTATGGTATATTATATTATAGTATAGTACAGTATTGTATAGTGTAGTATAATATAGTATAGTATGGTATAGTATAGTATAGTATAGTATAGTATAGTATTGTATTGTATAGTATAGTATAGTATAGTATTGTATTGTATTGTATTGTATATTATCAATCAATCAGACTTTATTTGTATAGCACTTTTCATACAAAACCGATGTAGCTGTAGCATGTCGCAGTATAGTATAGTATAGTATAGGGTTGGATTGTATTGGGTTGTATTGTATAGTATTGTATGGTATTGTATTGTATGGGAAAAGCACACCTATAGAATTGCTTGAAATAGATCTGACCTTGACTGTCCCTTCCTCAGGAGTATTTGGAGTCAGTTCCTCCCCCACAGATCATCCAAGAGCAGCAGACAGGAAAAGAGAACCAGGCTTTCTCCATCCCTGGTAAGCATAGCCTGGTCATGAACCTTCAGAAGACTATATCAAAGAAGGGCAGTCCAGAAGTCCTCGCTCCAGGTAAATGTTGATACAGAGTGAAGAAAGGATTGCCTCAGACTGCGCCAAATCATAGAAGTAGCTCTCTCCAGTGCCAACTGCTTGGGCAGTGCATGGACACAATATATCACTTTGATCAGCTACCACATTTTTCTCATATAGAAATGAATTTAGCAAATAAATTGGTTTTATTTTAACAAGTGCAAGCAGTTGGCAGTCTGCAAGGAGCATATTTCAGTGCTGAATGCTGTTGTAAATTGAGGCCGTGCTGCAGTCTGACTGACAGGAAGCTAAGCTCTGTTTGTTATGGGGGATTCACACTGAGATATAATTACTGTAGTTTCTATTGTTGACAGGAGTCACATCAAAGAAAAGTAAAAGTGTATCATGATGCATGGATAGAGCTTGCTTTCTTTGTCTAATGGTGGTTTTGTGATTACATTCAAAAATCATGGAGAGTTTATTTTTGAGTCCTTTAAATTAGATTAAAATTTCTCCAAATGAAGTAACTGCTTTCATTTTAATAACTTGACACAAGACATTTATTTCTTTCAGGATATTCAGGCCCTCTGAAGGACATACCAAAAGAAAAATTTAACACAACAGTCATCCCTAAATCCTACAGTTCCCCATGGACGGAGGCTTTGAGAGGTAATGAAGAGCTCCTGAACTCCCTTAACACTCAGCTGCCAGAGCTGCCACAAAGGTTTCAGCCTGCAAGCTTCAGGTGCTTCAACAGGTAAGTCTGTCAGCAACTCAGACACCTCAATTAACAATACAATGTTAGTTCAACTCAGTTAAAGACACAGCCATCATGATCAACCAATCTTCAAATAGACCCAGAGATAATCCGCCCGCCTTATTCATCAAAAGCATCCCTTCCATCAGCTCGGCCTGACTCCATGTTTCCACAGTTTGAAAATAAATCCAGTCTCTGGATTGCACCTCCTTGGAGTGTGGCTGCATGATGGCTATTTTGAAGCCTGGCACTTGAAAGATGATCCGCTGGGGGGGCTGCAGGCTTTTAATGCCTCTACAAGACAGATTGCGCACGAAGGGAATCATCTTTCTCACAGCACACAGGGAATTGCATCACAGAGGCAAGGCAGTACAAAGGTTAAGCTTGGGCAGATGGAGAAATAAAAGTATATATGACAGATAAACTTAGGCTTTACACAATTACAGCCGTCAATCACTCGCTTCCAGGCAGCCACTCTGAAACATCACCCTCCTGTGGATAGATCCATTTACACCCCTAAGATAACTATGATATCAAGACACTTTAACTCAATCTGAACTCGACTGAGAGCCCATCACACAATGTCTTTGAGTCACCCTGAATCCTGACAAAACCAGTTCAAATTAGAGGGATTACCAGACTGAGTATCGTGTGTCAGCCAGAAGTTTACCCCTGTTTATAGGAAGGAGCCATTTGACACCTAGCATCTTGTTCATTTGGGAAAATACACATCCTGTCCACTTAGCAAGGACTCTTTTTTTGTTTCTAGATCTGCCATGCCATTTGGGGGAGCCATGTCCAGTAAGAGAGTGATCCCAGTGATGACCTTTGAGCCGGTGGAGGCTCAAGAGCTGCCCAGCGTCGCTCTGGAACGCATGTGTCGACGGCCAAACTTTAACCGAGCCCCCAAAGGATGGGGACCTGATTACAACCCTGAATCTAGTGAACTATGAAGGAAAAGGGGCTGACATGTCAAAGACTAAAGTACAGATGTATGCTTGCATTTCTCCTCTTAGAAAGATGGTCCCACTGCTTCTCAGTGGACACTACAGGAGAGAAAAATAACAGTTCTGCTTGATATATGAAGTGGTTTGTTATTGCTGAGTGTTAAAGTCAGCTGGAGGAAATTCCATATGCTGGATCTAACAATAACAAAGTCCTTGAAAATGGTGCAACAGGCTGAAAAGATGTAACTACCCTTTGTTTGCAGATTCATTTCATATGTACAGCATGATCTCATCATGCTTCTCACCTCTCTCTCTTTTAACTGTCTGTCATGTGAAAGAAGATGTAGGAGCTTAATGTGCTCCCATTCAGTAGTTCAAAACGGTCTCAGTTTAAAGAATAATTTCCACCATGAGATGATCAATGACAAAACCGCATCATTTTAATAAGAAGTGAAACAATATTTAAAGAAAGGTTTACAATAAACTAAGTCATTATGTCATGGAATATTGTGAATGTGTTGCATAAAAAAGTCAATGTAAATCAAAAAGTTTAAAATGCTCCTCTCAATTCTACTCCACCTGATACACACAATTTGACAAACACAAGTTGACGTTATGGTTTACATTTTTATATGTACAGTGGCTCCTACCACAAGAGCCTGTATAACCATCACACCCCGATCACAGCGGCCATTTTTTTTCTGTTTGAAGTCTTTTACGGTTTCAACTTTGAACTGCTCTGGTGCTGTTCTGCATCTTTCTGTGAGAGGTGACAGAGTTATTTTGTTGCGTCCTTGTTATTGTCCCCAAGAAGACACAGAATATGCTGTTTAGGTCATCCACTGCACTGCAGGTGGCAGAATAATAAATCAGATGTTACCCTGTCAGATGTTATTGGTTTCTATGCTTTATATTTCGAACAGAAAGTGTCACAGGGGTTCAGGCCTGTCGACAGCTTCTGAAGTGAGAGCACCTGATCAGGGTCAACATGAGAAGAATGACGCTTATTGACAGGGAGACTTCTCGCTGGTTGCTAATCTCCATGACGCGAGCCATGCGCAGCATGGGCACCCATGCGTTGAGGATCCTGAGAGGGGTAGTGGATTTGACCAGGAGGTCTCATGCTCATTGGTGGAGGCATTGGAGGAGCCATGGGACCCATGGGGTGGAACATCGGGGGGCCAAAACCTGATTGAATGGAGGAAATAGAAAGAATACAGTATAAGGCATTTACTTTTCACACCATGTAACCTGTGAAGCCAACTGTACCGTAAAGTTTGGTGTATGACGCACTTTGAAGCCCTTTATTGTCTTCTCAAATCTTGGCTGTGTTCTATGCACTAGGGCAACCAATATACTATTATAAAATCCTGAGGGAGGGTCTTTATTGCTCTACAGCATTTTACCTAGAGGATGGCACTTGAGGGAGCAAGTGATCACTGTGCTACTAAAATACAGGACGCATAGGAGGAAACAAAGCGTGGAAGATGACCACATCAAACCCGCCATCTTACAGACCCAGAGAGAACTGAAAAGAAATGCTGAGATTTCTGCAGGACTTTATAAAGACTAAATAATTTATGACTTAAAACTGTGAGGGGCTGCAATACGCTGATGCTGCATCAAGTCTGTTGGTGCAAAATAAAGAGAAGAGGAGTACTGCAGTTCCTTCTTATAACACCTCTCATGGTTTCATTTTACCTGGAGGAGGAGGGTTAATGCCAGGAGGTGGGGGCAGAGCAATGTTCATAACAGCAGGAGAGGTGCTAGGGTCCAGGTTGAAGTAGTTGGCAGGAGCCTCCTCGTCTAAAGCTGGTGGTGGAGGAAGAGCTACAGAACACAGAGAAACAGATTTAAAGAAAGCAAGGCACATAAATTTCAACCATAAATTGCAATAATGTGCCGTTTTATCCGACTACAAGCTGAAGAGTGAAGGAGAATAACAGATTTGCAGACTCACCTCCAGGCAGACCAGGCACAGGATCCAGTCTCGTGCCCATCTCACTGACTCCATCTTTAACGCCCTCCTTCCCTCTTGCTGCCTGAGACCTAAAAACACATGAATCATGCAAAAAAAGGGTTCAATGTTGTTAAACGGAGAGATTGTGCTACACAGAAACACACAAATAAGAACCCTTGGACAAATTCTTGCTGTGGTAGAGCTTTTACTGTGTATGACAAAGTGCAATCAGGACTGTAGTGATGGCATTACTACATGCTTTTACTCCCAAACACACACACACACACACACACACACACAAACAAACATGCACTTAAACCACGTCTATAAGTTCAAAAATGAAAACTTCACATTCTCACATCTCCTCATAAGTGGCTCTGCTACTTTGGGCAGTATGAGGTCATGTGGAGTTTGTTTGGTTAGTAATTCACACAATGTACGCGTGCATGGGGTGTTGGAACCCTCAAAAGCTCAACTTTCGCCACCTTGACCTGCTTCTTACCTTCCCCATTTAACAGTCAGCCTCCGTCCATTGATGATGAGTTTATTGAAGGATTTCTCTGCAGCCATCTCGGCTGCCTGCCGCGTGGCGAACTGAATGAAGGCACACTGCTGCCTCTGGACAATGGTAATAGTGCGAATCTCACCAAACTGGTAAAAGTGACTCCTGGAAATGAAGACATAAAAAGTGAATGAACCACACACAATTCTTCAGCAGTTTTTTTCATGGTAATGAGCCTGAACTGGACCACACTGGTCTGAAAGAACTCCTTACTTGAGATCGCCATCTGTGACTGTATCTCCAAGGCCACCAATGTAGAGGGTGCTGATGGACTTGTCCTCTGGAGGGTCTAGACGGGGCATCGTTGAGGCCCGCTTCAACAGCTTGTCAGCTACAGGATCATTGATACCATAGTAACGATCCTTGATATTCTGATCAGCCAGAGGGTCATCGGGATCTGTAGGCTTCTCATGTCTGCAGGGAAAAAGAGAGAAAGAGTGAATAAACACACACTACAAATAACACAAGGAATTTACAATCAAATTAAATCTTAACAGCACTTGTTATTTATACTCCTTTTGGTAAATAGTACAACAAATGAGAAAAGAAATTAACACTCAAGTCACAAGAATCAGCCCCACCTCATCAGGCTGACCTCTCAACTCAAAATCTAACTGCTAACCCCCACACAAAAAAAATGTCACTTGCCTGTAGGGACACTCCTCCCCTCTCTTGCACTCTCCCTTCACCCAGAACGAGCAGATATGAGGTCGGTTCCTCTTGTAATAAGGAGTGGTCCGAGCAAGTTTCAGTAACATATCACTAGAGCTGGGAGCTTTACCTAGTTGGCCCACTGGCCGTGTGCCGTCAGAATTGGCTATCTGAGAACAGAGAGATCCAAACAAATATGTGTGAATGACAGAGGAAAAATACTCAAATCTTAGAGAAAAATACCATGAGGAACACACATACCTCTCTCTCCATATTCTGTGTGTAGTACTCTTTGTTCACATCTGACCTAGGAACCTCATCTTTTACCGCTAAGCCAGTGTCTCTGACCTGAATGGGCAAACCTGTAAAAGGTTGTGAAACACATCTCGTATGAGCACACATAGATAAATGCTGCACAGAGTGACAAACAAGTACACATATCATGACAAAATTCAATTTAAGGAGTGACTCACCATACTCCAGGTCCAGCAGACAAGTCTGGCAAACATTCTTCATTTTACTGCAGGTTTGACAGACCTCCGTCTTCTTGAAACGCATCCGTGTCCCCGGACACCACCTGAACACAGTGAATGGTCGAGCACAGATCTGACAAGACAGAGAATGACAAATCAATAACAAATTATAGAAGATAGTACCATGGGTTAAAGCATATCATTGTTGTACAACCTCAGAGAGATTATTAATATTAATTGAAAAAAATACCTTGCATTCCTTTCCATACTTTTCCTTGGTCTGTAACAAAAACAAAAAACACATTTGAATCCACTCTTGATTGGTATAAAATAATCTCAAACTTATTTTGATGATAAGGTTATGATCTCACCATGCGGATGTAAGGGTTTTCTCCTAAACATGTCTGACACAGAATTGGGAAATCCTTAAAGAGAAAGGAAAGAGAGCATGCTATGAAAAACCAAGGATCACATCTTTATTTCATTCAACAATCCTCAGATAAAAACGAACCGAGTGACTCTAATATCTTTGATTCACTGTCTCCAGAGTGGACTTTGGCATCAGTAAACGTGTGAATGTACAAAGCGTGCAACAGTGAGACTGCCTCACTCGTACTTTGCCATCTGTTTGAAGGATGCTGTTTCAATCCAAGTGCTAGCCGCTGAAAATGACCACTGACAGCATCAGCCAAACACCTAAATATAAGCGTCTCTTGTGGCTCTAACATCAACTACAAAGTCTTAGGTTTCAAAGTTAATAATGTTTATAATAACACTGGCAAGGTGCCTCTTTGTGTCATGGCTAAACAGAGGCGAACCATTTTTTACCTTATATAGTTGGGACAGAGAGTAATGTGCGTTCAAACATTTGGAAGATTTGCTAAATAAACTTCTTTCTTCTCTCAAATCGACTTTATACAGTGCTACTGTTTCAAATTTGATCAAGATAACAATGAACTTATCATAAAAGAAGAGGTTAGCCTGGGGTTTTCGCGCCGGATAAGCAAACATTTACTCTATACTTAAGTGTTTATTTCAAGTGGCGGACAAACTGCATTAATGTGATAAAATAGTGTTTTCGACTCTTCAACTTCAACTCGGTTTTGTAAATTTGTTCACAGTACTTAACGCTTCTTTAATCCGTCGCTTTTAGCCTGCTAGCGTTAGCCTAAATACGCTAGCATCGCGACATACGGGAGTAAACATTCCACAAATTAACATAACAGGAGATTACCCTTTAATTTTAATCGCTTATTATGATCTGCTTTCAGTAGATCTCTCTCGGCTGGTTTTGTGATGTTTTTGAGCTCATGGAAGCACTTTGGCTAACGACATAGGCAGACGTATTAGCAGCCACGCTTCTGCTTGCTAGCTTTGAGCTAACGGAAGGCTACCAAGCAACCGTTCTTGTAGCTAAGAATTATTACATATTTAAAATCATATTTGTTCCTCAAATTGGGATGGATATAGCCGTGTTATAACGATGCTTCTCGTCTAGTAATATCTGATAACAGTTGAACGTACCGCGTCTTCCCAGTTCTGTCTGTTGTAGGTGTTGGATCCCAGGGACGTCGCCATTTTGCTGAGAGTGAGCCAAACAGCAGAGGTGTCAGACCACAATGCACCGCGCTAGAGAGCCACGTCCTACCTTAGGGTGTCGCCATAACTCAAGAAACTATCCCTTTTTTTATTATTTTATATATAAAAATAAAGGCTAAATTTAAGGAGTTAAGGTCCCAATCCACTTCATTTATAACACAAATGTTATCAAACTGCTAAATTATGGACTGACTGTAAAGACAGAAATCATGTAAGAGGAAAATAAATCATGAAAGCACAACAACACTTTGAAATTGACCAAAAATATAAAACCCAAACAAGCCAGTAACAACTAATCCCACAGAGCCTGTTGTATTCATTATTGTGGTTATTTTAGTTTTTGTTTGAGCTTTTTTCTTAGATTAATGCTAGTGTTGAGCCATGTGATCGCCATGCAAAATTAGGGTATATTTGATCATCTGAATGACAAATATCTAATTGGAGAAAAAATCCACAAAATAAAATAATCTCAATGGAAAGAGAGACTCAAGTACTGCTCATATGTGTACTGTATATTGCATATTTCTAATTAGAAATATTGTATTTTGTTAAGTTTATGTCGGTAACAGGGTTGACAAGATTATGAAAACAGCCAGGAGAAAAACGACTATAAAATTTGAAATAAAACAGCATGAGATGGCAGAGTTTAATTTCCTGTCATTTTAAACATTCTTTGATTCCTGGCTACTTAAAAATTAACAATTAAATATAGTTTCAATTTCAAATTTTCCAAGTTGAAAAGGCACAGATTTCATGGAATGACCCATCTATTGTATAATAGGCGTATTTGAATGATTTCTCAGTGGAAAAGTTTTAGCTTGAACTTTGCTACACTTGAATGACATCCTAAATTAAACATACTTTTAGTGTGTTAATAACATCTAACTCAACAAATAAGTAAAATAAAAAGTTTATTGTCTGAAATATGATTCAATACCACAAATATTACTTTGACTTTGTAATGTCCTCTATCCAGTTTGCATAGCTGGTCATTTTACTTGACAATTCAAATATCTATATGTTGAATACTTTAACAGCTACACAATTGTAATCATTGTTACATGCAAGGTGAAATCCCTGTAACTTAATTAACAATGTGAGGACTTTTTCCATTACCTGTGTGTGGGGGTGAGTGGCAAACAGACAGATTGATCGACTGTTGAGTGTGAGCTTGAATAAGCCAATTGTATAGTCCACTTACAGTTTATCTATCCACCTGTTACTGCTCAGGTCAGAGTGTCTGTGCCGTGTGAAACTCCAATCAGCAAGGCAAAGCATTCCCGAGATTACGGATGAGCATAAGGCCTTAATGTTTAGTTAAGGTCAGGATGAGGTGATGGAGTCAAAGGACAGGGATTAGAACGGGTCAGAAGAGCTAGCAAATCTTTCATAGCACGGCTTCCCTGCAGGGGGTCAGAGAACAAAGTCTGCACTACCTATTTTAAGGATCCTCTTTGGAAAAACATCACCAGTCATTTTGGTTAAAATGTTTGAGATAGATTCAGTCAAGTGTAATCTCTTCAGGGCCTCCTCCTCTGCCTTTATAGATTGTGTCTTTCCCTGTGTTTAGTGGTTGGACACCAAAGTAAATCTTCTGTTTCGAGTCTTCCGTCTCTTAATGAGTTGTGTGACCATTTTTTTTCTTCACTCATGTGACAGGGATGAGCATGCCAAAGCTTTTTTTGAAGGAGGGCTTTGTCTGTCATTTAGCCACAGTGAAATTAAAATCACAGACCTTATAAGTCACAAGGTCAGAAGACGTGGTGCACTGCTATCAGCGCAGAGGTTGAAATTAAAGACAAAACAAGCGGTGTTGATGGTTTTGTTGCTGTTGTGTTCATTCGTGGTGAACTTTTTTTTTTTAGATCTGATGCAAAACTTGTGCATTTGAGTTGCTTTATAATCTGAAATATCACATGAATTTGTAGATTGCAGTATCTGGCATATTCTATTTGTTTGATGAACCATAAAAACAGATGTAAACTCCATCAAAGAGGGAAAAAATCAAGTTATTGTCCTTTATTTCAACTGACTACACGAGTTTTGAAATACACACTTTTGGCAAAGGTTTATAGGCTGGGCTTGTTGTGTAATCTGCACTTAAAGTGATCACGATTTCCTCAGAGGAGAAACATGAATCATAAACTATAACTTTCAGGGCTTACCCATGATCACAGCAGGATTAAATTGACTACAGCGGATTTATGCTGTATCCTTCACCAAGGCTAATCTAACGAATAAAGATGCATATATAAACCTGTTCAGGAAAATATGAGCTCAGTGATTTCTTTCAGGAAGCATGTCATACACGCATGTTTAGACACTGGAGGCCAAATTATGCCGTGCTAGCGCCCCCTAATGAAAGTTATGGGTCACCGCCGGTGCACAGAGCTGCAGAAAGAGAGGGGCATTCTCAGATTTCCCGATTTCTCCCAGCCGAGTCCGCTGTGCCGCTTCCACATCACGGCAACAGCAAACCGAGACGACGACGACGACGACATGCGCCCGGCTTGCCCCAACCCTACAATCATTTCACCCGGACATTGTGCTCCGAAGAACACGTAGACGCAAACACGGTGAGTACATCGATACACACAAGTCTTGTCGCGGTGTTTTCGGCACATGTTTGGTACACGACCGAGAGCCCCGCCGCTCGGTCTCCCAGGCCAGGCTAGTGAACGCTGTCTGGCGCAGACGGAGAATGAGGCCAGTTTTCGGCCTGACTCCCCTTGACTGGAAACATAAAGCCCCGGCGAAATAGTGGAGGGTCGCTCGGTGTAGCTTTCTGCTTGTTTTCACGGCAGCGGAGAAAGGAGTCTGGCGTTGTTTTTTCGAAACGGGTCGGGTGGAAGTTTGTACTCAGGATAGAGCTGTGTGTCCGGCTGCTGCTCTGTGATTTAATATCGGAATTCCTTTATGCAGCCGGATTCCGTAATGCAGTCCGGTACCAGAGATCAGACTAACTTGTTTTTGCAACTTTGAAGCCACCTTTATGTGTAGGGATTTAAATATTCGCCTTAAGTGTGTTTCAACTAATTATGCAACAATGAAGCGGTGAGCCCACACGTTTTATTGTCTAATGTGTCTCTTGCACAGAAAAGGCCAACCGATTTTGGGTGCAAATAATAATTAAAGGTCGATATGACTGTCTGCCTCCTAATCTAATAGCATTGCACATGGCAGAGGTGAATAAAAGATCAGCAGGGGAATGCATGAAGCATTACTCAATTTGTCCAAATGATTTTCGGGGTTAATTATTATCAGCAGTGACGGCAGGCTCTGCGTTGTGACACATGATGCATCAGAGTATTTTGTAGCTACCTGTAGGAATCATGAAAACACTAAATTTGTCACAAAGACTTCCTCACAGTAAGATCTTGAAAACTATTCAGTCCTCACCATTGACTGTTAACATAAAATTGACTATGCCCTACTAAGTTGCATTGTTTAGGACGAATTGCTAAAATATAAGCTGTATGTTGTTCAAGAGTTTGCTGGTATTTGTCATAAATGTACATACTTGTTTATCTGTGTCTTAAATAATTCCACGTTTTACTTCATCAGCCTACTTTTTACCCTTTGTTGTGGAAAATTGACCACACATATATATCTGAATCTGTTAAATACTAAAAACACTTGACTAGCTCTGTAGCAAAAAAAAAGGGGGCAGTCCAGACCTGCCTGAAATCTGTTGCCTTGGGGTGAATGGGCGTGCAAGCGTGCACCTAATGTGAGTAAGAGATTACTGAAGGAGAATGACTCACGCTCAGAATGTGTTTGGCAAAGTCATAAGGACTTTCCCTGCATTTCTCCTCAGCTGCAGAAGACATTCTTGTGACTGTAACTTAAAAGCCTTGTTCATCTGTTTTTCTCTGGTGTCATGAGATTTATTTGACCAGGGTTTCAAATTTTGTTATTCCCGATGCGAGCCATGTGTTGTTTATAACGTTCCACCCATCGCATGCATAAAAAAAAAAAGAAGGGCTTATTCCATTTGCAGAATAGATCATAAAGAGTGATTTGCCATCATTTGTTTGTCAAATTTGTGAGGAGCTGAATCTTAAGTTGCATTCTATTTATCCCTGCCAACTGTTTGTCTGGTTGTTCTAACCCTCCATCTGACTGCTCCCACTGGCTGCCAAACATGCTGTGATCTAGCGCTTTCAGCTGATGAAGGCTGCCACTGCCGCCGCAGCCATTTGATCATATATCAGCATCCTTTCATAAAGATACGCCTGTGAAATGCTGGGGACTGGGTTAAAATGCTACACACACAGGTTGTTAAAATCTTGCAGGCATGACCGTGCGTGATGGATCAAGACATCCAGCAGTGTTTAGCTGTTTATCAGAATGAGCCATGACCACTGACGATTCATCATCTGAGATTTTAGGCTTGAATGGGAGATGGTAGAAGAAAAATGAATGTTTCTTGTCAACCATAGCTTTCATTGCTTTAATGAAATCTCTCCAATTCTCTCTCTGCAAGTAGAGGGTTGATTGTTCCGCAGTGACTCACAGCTACTATACCATCTAATGATACACAAGGTAACTGTTGGGGGCTACAGTGCCAAACTACATGCCAGCTCTTGTATTTTTCCATGTCAGTGCCCCTTGTATCCACACTCAGTGTGCAGGGTGGCAGACCTCTCTTTAGAGCAGGGCTGAAGCCAGGCAGCTTTCCAAAACTCAAGTCCCCCCAAGCCTCTATGCTGGGTATAAGCACCGCTTTGTGCCCCAGTACTGCTCCCTATGGTTCTTATTCATATACTACTACAACACCACTGGCTCCACTAAATACTGGAATCTACAATTGGAAGTGTCCCCAGAAATGCCTGCTGTTTGACAGACAAACTCAGATGTTTCCTCATTAAGTCGAGCTTTTGGATTAATATGCTCTGACTGTAGCATTGTAGCCCGTAGAGTAGTTTGTATTGCTGCCCTTTTTTTTCCGCCTGGAATGTGGCTGTGGCATTTTTTTGCTTAAGCTCTGCTATCGTGAGGGGTATTGGAGAGCAGGAGCAGAGTAAATACATCTCAAACAGCACAGCAAAACCCAGTATTAGCAAATGATCCGATAGCATCTGTAATCCTCGGGAAAACCTGGAGAGTTGTTTTTGAATAGCGTTAGCCTCCATCAGATAGTTGGCAGGCCCTGAGGGTGTCCACATGTGTGACTGGCTGGCTAGGCTAGCGGCGCGGTCGACTACAGTATGCAGGCAGATCAGATTACTGAACGATTAGCCATGGCCTCCTATCCCCGGCCCGGGGAAATGATTTTCCACTGTCATAATTCCCTAGACTGAATTACGCAGGCCACTGACTCAGATACTCAATACTACAGTTCTGAGTAGAGCATGGGATAACTGTTGCTGTCTGGAGAGGGGAGATAGGTTAAGAGTGGTTGTATTACTGTTGAACTGGGGAACAAAATAGTTTCTAATTTCATTTTGTCAAAGAGCTTGGCTGCTTGCTGTCAAGTGTGAAAGGCAGTGTTACCCAAGTGCAACATCCGTAGCAAAGGGCAGCCTTCTTCAGTACGATGTTTAGCTGTTTTTATTGTGACCTCATCGTGAAAAACAGCTGCTGTAAAACAGTCCTGAAACTCTTACCCGTCCCTCGCATGTTGTGCTATTGTGAGATGTGTAGGTGATGTAAATAAAATGGTCTCTAGTGGAGTTTTGCTGAATAGAAAGATAGAAAAAGAAAGACAGAGAGGAAGACTTAGATTTGAAAGAGTGGAAAAGTGGGAGAGGCAAGCCGATGGAGGTAGGACTATGTTTCCAAGGTGCTCACCCCCCGAGGCAGGAATCTGATACATTCCAGAGGCTCCTGTATCCAGACGAATAATGGTGACTAGGGTGTTGCATTTCATCAGATGACACATGATTGGAGTGTAAAGTGCTGGGAAAGTAAGAGCTATGTCATAGGCTCAGAGGTAGCCAGCTCCGGTTGCCTGAGGGATCGGGAAGTACGCCAGAAGAGCGGGACAGGTTATGTGAGATATGGATTTATCTTCTGCAGAAGACAGCGTGGCTTTTATAGCTCTTCTCTTGTTATCGCACCCCGCCCACTCACCACCGCTTCGATGCAGACATTTAGGATTTCAGGCGACACTCTGATCCCGACATGTAGCAGGAAAAAAACACTTGAAATGTCTTTGGCACATTGCACGCCATTGTTTTGTGACAGGGCTCATATTGGCAGCTGAAGAAAGAAGGTTTGGCACTTTAACGACTTCTGAAAAATAATTTAAAGTTAGTAAGTCCTGTTTTGCCTTTCTCTTGACAAGTCATGGCATGATGCTGTTTTCCAAGTCTATAATTGTCTGAAAACTGCATGACATATTCACCTTTGTCTACCTCAGCACCTGTGATCATACATTATCAGAAATCTGATCCATGGGCTTAATTTCCTTACTAAAGTGGAGTTTCTTCAACCCCGGAAATTTGTTCTCGCCGGCTCTTAAGCTAAAGGCTATTTATACTGCAGAGACAGAAAAAAAATACCCTGTTTTATTTAGTGGTCAAAAAACAAGCTGTCGAGTGTTAATGGACTTCACCTCAGCCTTTCCGGCGGACCCTCAGGGTGCTGCGCGTTCATACACTCGGCAAGGGAGCTCTCAGCACTAGCCTGTTAATGAAGCCATTTCCAGAGATGGAGAGATGCAGTAATGGGAACGCACCACTTCACTGCGGGATATTCTAACCCCGTCCTCATCATAAGTGCTATCAGTCATCCGATACGATTAGTTTTTTTTTTTTTCCTTTGTCCATTTAGCTGCAAGGAAGGCTCTTTTCCTGACTCAAGGGTTAGCGGTACGTCTAAGTGTGCACACGTTGCCTTGGTTTTGCACCCACACTCACTTCGAACATGTTAGAATGGTTTTGAGATTTGCACTATGACTACAAAAGTGAAAGGACATTCAGTGCGGTGTTTATAAATGATGCTGGATCTACGGTTTGCTGTTAAAAGCTGACCAATGTGAGTGCATAAGGGGGCAGACAGGTGGAGGGAAGGTGGATGTGCATGTATGTTTACCTAGTTATCTGGTGGCCTCTGCTGGGTCTGGCTACACCACAGATACCACACACACACATACTCACTCACTCACTCACACTCTCACCTACTGAAGAGCTGTAATTGTGTAAGCCCACACTCATGCATGCCTCAGGTTGTTGTTCACCGTATACAACCTGCATTTATTACAATGAAAGGTTTACCCTGTAAAGGTTTGCCCTGCAGGAAAGAAATGTATAAAATAAATCATACAGGAGTTTAAGTTGTAGGTACAAGGGAAAGGATATTCTATGTTGCTTAAAGAGAGAAAAAAAAATTCCCAAACTTGGTGCTATTGTACCCTTTGATTGCATTTTGTCAAACCTCCCTGGATTACATACAGATATATCCTGTTAAATAGTCGTACTTATCATAAGCAAACCTGCACTGATTAACAGATGCATTATACTGGCTTACTATCATTTAGGCCACTATTTCTAACACTGAGGTGACCTACCTTGATTTAAACTGCATGGACAGAATGTGAGACATAACTTTCAGGATTAAACATGACACCGACTGCCGCCTGAAATCATAAAAGTTTCGTCAGCTTCTCCGTAAAACAGCTGAGATAAACACTAAGCTTATATGAGTAGTCTGTGTCCTGTGTTTGCACTGTTCCACACCTCTGCCTTCAACTTAAAGGAGACCTGTTATGCTGATGTTAGACGTCCATACTAAACCGTGACACAGATGTTATATCACCCCTGGATGTGTTATTTGTGTTCTCTGAACAGCCTGCTTCAATAATTGTGCAAGACTTGGCTAAAGTATGACATTCATCTTATCAGGACAGTGTTGAAGAGGCCCGAAGGGACGTACACACCAGCACAACAACAGCCATGGTGTAGTTGTTTGTAGCCACAACTTCACTGATGACTCCTTTTGTAAACAGAGGCCCATATGAGCTTGAGTTAAGTCTCAAATCTTTACTGAAACCTGGAGTGGTTCTGTCTATTAAGACTTCCTCAAAGGCTCAAAGAAATGTTATAACTATGTAACAATAACAAATGTGTTATGGGAAGCTAACATGGGTGCCTTGGGCTAGCCTGTAAAGGTTTAACTTCTGGGTTGTATCATGTCCAAAATGAAGACTTTCAGGTTGAATAGTGCTGAAATGAGATTTTAACGGATGCTTGTACCGCATAAATAAAGAGTATTTTGAGCTGTGTATTTTGAAGAGCCATTCTGTGTTTCCCAAACTGACAAAGTATTATAGGTCTCCTTTAACCAGAGGTCTGGCTGTTGTATGAAGGCTGTATTCTGTGTTCCCTAACCAGAGTTTAAGCTCACAGTGGTGTTATAATGAGCAGAGATGCTGTAGGAACGTGAGGAATGAACATCTTCACAAGGCCACATCGAGATTTTTCAGTTTTCCTTTGTAAGCCTGTGATGATAGACGGTGTTGTTTGGCACAACTCTACTACTACATAAAAATAGACTTATTGCGAGTACATGATTTCTGATGCTTGATATCAGAGCTGGTTTGCCCATCATGGCATCCCACCGGAACAACAAGACGGTGTAAACTTTAGAAGGCATCTGGTGCCCAGCGCTTCTGTTCCCCTCTCTCCCCCTCCCTCTCTCCCCTGTGTCTCGTACCCTCGGAGCAGACCGCGACACCACAGCACACCACACTACACCACAGCACACCACAGCACAGCAAGTCATCTGGTGTCCAGTCGGCTCCCATCTGTGAGTGCATTTGGCTGCTCTGCCGCAAACAAAGCATTGCTGCATGCAAACTGCTACATATAAACAGTGAGCCCTGCTATCTAGTTCAATCTCTGGGTGGAAACTTTGAGTTTTGGGTTATGGGTCATCACCATTTCAATTACTTAGTCTGTATTGAAGGGATTGAGAATCCGCAGTAACAAAGTGACCACAGCGGACAGCATACCTCCTTTCCATTTTGAATTGCTGATGTGGAAAGAATTGTAATGGTGCCGGCTCGAGGTTTAGCTACTGGCAGCTTTAAGTGTAGCCCTCCACTGATCCGCGGCTGTGCAGTGTCTGCCCAGCCTGCTGTCTCTCATCCATCCTGGGTGGTAGGGTAGGGTATAGTGTCTGTGTGTGTGTGTGTGTGTCCCTGTCTGTGTGGGACAGGTGTTGGAAACCCCGAGGTCAGTCCACATGCAGCTGGGGCACCTAGACAGGGAGACGACTAGAGACTGCAAATGACAGCAGGATGAATGAGCTTTGTTTTTCCAGGCTTTGGACAGTTTTATTCAGAGAGCGTGGCTTTGAAGGGGGTCAGTTGTGACGGTCAGGTGGTGTAACGGCTGGCTGCTCTCAGTGGGAATGGCTGCAGCCGCGAGCCTTCGCTCCTCACAGAGACTTGAGGGTGTTTGGGTAAAGAAGCAAAACTAAAGGAACCATGGTGGGTGTGCAAGCCTGCAAACACAAACACCACCCTACCCCTCCTGTGAAGTGTTAAGTGGCCGGATGTGTTTGGTGAATGGGACACAGGTGTCTGGGCCGGGCTGTGTGTGCCTGGCCAGAGGTCCGTGTTTGTTTTCTCTCTGTAATGGCCCCCAGCTCAACCAGAGCTCGTTGGCTCTCAATGGACCGGGATTGAGGTCCTGTTTTTTTTTTTTTTTGTCTACTCTGAGTCTGAGCAGTGAATAAACTTGAGTCAAGAAAATGTGAATGAAAAAAAAGAAATGTTTCATTTTTTTTTTCTGTCTTCTTTTCCCGTTTTCATTCCAGTACTTCAACTTGAATCACGGTCGTCTTGGGAGTTCATCTTTGAAACCAACAAGATGAGAAAAAGTTATTGGTGGAAAAACACTGATAAGTCACATTTTTGCTGGCTGTCGGTTACATTCTCTACATGCATCGCACTGCTGCTGTTATGATGATAATTAACCTGTTGATTTTTGTAAGGGCTGATAGGTTATGTTAAGGGATTTATCAGGAGACTTACCGGTATAAAACTCTGCTATACTGACACAAATGTTGGGACCAGGGCAAGTCTAAATGAAACGCAAGTCATCCTACAACAATGCTGAGCGGGGCTGGTGCTTTTTGAGATTCCTCTTTCCGCCTTTATTCTTGCCTTTATCCCTGCATTGCCTCTGATCTACCCCAGCAAAGCAGGCGTTTGAAGTTGTCAAGACTCTGGCTTTGCTGTCGAGTCCTCAAAGTGCTCATGTGACAGGTAGAGAAGAGCTGGAGGGGAGTAATGTGACTCCCACATAGTCCACAGCCTCCCCGGTCTCCATCCTTCACACCCTGAGTCCCCCCCATATCCCCCCTGTTCTCAGCAGGGTTAGTCTCCTTGGTGATGTCACTTTGCCAAACTCTCCTTTGTTGAGTCGCAGCCCAAAGGTGCGCTTTGAGCTCCACTCTGAGACATGTACACACACATGCAAACAGCCCCACGCTGTGTCCTTCCCAGGGGGAGTGGTAGGGTGAGGTAATGGGTTGTTAACCCATCAGCCACCTTGATGTTTGGGCACAGTAGCGTCAGCAGTGGCTTCTATCTGCTCCCTGATCTGATTGTTTGAGTGACCCTGTGGCCTCCCCAGATGGCCAGCCTTCAGAGCTGGGTTATGATAACCATACAGTTAATATCTGTCCCACATAACTCCCCGCCCCCCTCCTTCGCACACTTGCTTGCCTCAAACTCTGCTCTCATTTCTCTCTGCCACCCTCTGTGCTATTGTGTCTGATGCCTTCTCCTGAGTGCCCCTGTTTTATTTCTTTATTTCACTCATCTTTTTAAATTCCAGAATCCATTTCTTTTATCCCCAGGCACAAAGGGCGATGGCAAGAGACGCAGTCGCAAATTAAATTTGCTCCCCTCGGACGTGGGCACGATGGAACCGTAGAAGGGGAACGAGAGCAAAGAAAGCTGGAGGAAGAAAGCCCATTTCCCATGCATTACTGTCTCTATCCTCAGGGTCCGTAGTGGAGAAACACCAACACCTCTATCGCTCTTTTTTCTCACTTTAATTTTCTTTTTCTTGCTCCCTCCCTCCCCATCATGCTCTCTCTCTTTTTGCCGCTGCTCTTTCTTTTCACGCAGCCTAACCTGAAGGTCTCGCTGCTCTTGCTTCTGCTGCTAACACAATCTGACCCAGTTTATTAGTTTGGGTCTAGTGAATCATTAATCGAGGTTATCTAACTGTTCCTGTAATGATTCCACTGTGACTCGTGTGTCAGAGCCTCTCAGTGTTCGTACGCGATCAAGCTCTACCCTTGTGCTTCTTGCTTTACACTCATTTGTACCCTATCATAACCATCTTGCGGAAAAAAATCATCGTCCCTCAAGCTACACTATATGTTTAATAGGTGTGCCATGCACTGTAATATGTCATTGTGTCAGAGCACAATGCGAGGACTAAGTGCACTGAATGCAAATTAATCTTGTGGGATGGCAGCGGCTGAATAGAGTGCGGTTTTGGGGGAAAGGAGGGGAGCAAAGGGAGGGACAGAAGGAGGGCTAATAGTGGCGACAGAGAAGAGAGGGAGAGAAAAGAGCATGTGAGGGGGAGGTGGAGGAGGGGGAGTGGGATGTGGGATGTAGTCATCGCCAGGCCCATTCATCATGCAATGCCTGCTGGGATGCACCGGGGTCAGTCCCGCACAACACAATTACAGCCTGTTCTGGTGTGTTGTGCTGGGCTCCACTGTGTTCTGACTGTGTTCTGTTGCCTTTTGTTAGATTCCCTCTGTTCGAGCTCTTGTTTTCCCCTCCGTGTGTTCTTTTCTGTGCTGCTCTGTGTTCGGTGGCACATTTCTCATCCACTTTTTTTTTCCTTCTTCTGTTACACATTTTTGATCTCGCCTTTCAAGCTATCACTAAATGATCTGCGGCTGCAGTTCTTTCAGCAAAACATCTCAATTAGCGGAGCGTTTCTTTTTGTTTTTGTTTGCGTCTTTGAGATTTAAACTCTCTACTTTGTCCCTTTCAATTAAGTGTGTATTCTTTTGCACATGTGGTGCAGCGGCTAGCTGGGCTGTTGTAGCGTCGATTGCAAAAAAGCCGTCTTTCATCCACATCTGACTCGCAGCCGCTAGCTTGATTTATGTGATTGACAGGCCTGGTTAGCATGAGGGTGTGAGATGCTAGCGAGCATGTTGTTTACCCTGCCTGGCTGACAGTCCTCCATGAGGCTACAGATGTTTCCACAAAGCTGTAAATATCCGCTGTGTGCTCTAATGTCAGCTGGCAGCGTATCCAATCATAAGGATATCTCTGTCTTCCTGTCCGTGTCTATTCTTAATACAGTGAAAGAGACTTTTTCCTGCCAGGAAATCTTTTGGTGGTCAGAGGCTCTGAATGAAAACGTCACGCAAGAATCCTTCGACAACAGCTTTTTAAAGCTCGTATCTTTTACTTTTGTCAACATCACTGTGGCAGATCTCAAGGTTTCACACGGTTGTGTGTTGCTACCACCCTACTGCCAATCACTACATGAAAAATAGCTTCAAGTGCAGACTGATGATCTGATCTGACTCTGAGCACTTCACAAGGTTTAGCTTCAACTTTTTCGGTGCTTTAAGGAACAAACTTTCTTTAGAGACTTGGTACATAGTTTATTTTGGAAAATATTAGTCACAGGCTTGAGCAAAATGTAAACAACGGAAAGTTTTGTCATTTGGATCAGTAGGCCCTTTATGTTTCTATGATGGTTGTTATTAAAAGGGAATGCACCAATAGGCTGATCATGATGACCCCTGACAGGTGAAATTAATATCACAGATTGCCTCCTTAAAATAACTACTGCAAGGAACTAAAGCACAGTTTTATTCATGGGGGACTTAGACTGGATGTGCTGCCTTACAACAATAAAAACCTAAAATCAGATATTGGCCAATATCTCATACCGATCTAATACTACTGTTGAATGAATGAACTGTATACCTTGCCCTGTGAGTCATGCTTGACTTTAGCCTTGTTAAAAAAAGGAAACAAATTAACACTGATATAACTTTACTCAATATTATTTATTAACAAATAACAAATTTCACATTAGCACAAAGCAAAAACAATGAAGACTTTTATGCATTAAAAGAAAAATTAATTAAAAGAAAAAGAAGACTGGACAGGAACGCTGGATCGGCGTCATTAATCCGATATGTGATCTAATTAATATGTCAATATCGGAGCCGATATCCGATCCAAATACCTGATCGGTGCATCCCTAAGCACTGGTGCTGTGAACAAAAAAGTCAGCGTTCAGCCTTGCCTATCATGATAAAAATATGATTGAACTTGAACTATTGTTGAACATAGTCTTAATTCTGGTACCAACTAGAAGGGTGTCACAGATCATTTTTCAGAGGTCCAGTTGAGTCCATGTCTCGTCATGGCTGTTTAGGCCTTGACCAGACCAGAGGGGGGCCATCACAGTATAAGGCAGGTGGCCACAATGTCATTGCTAGTTGTTGTAGTTCTTAAGCTGTAATTGACTCTCTCTGTCTCGGTAAATCCACCCCATTTATTTAAGATGGGATATTGAATGTGAGTTTAAAATCATCAAACCCCAGGTTGATGTCTTATGTTGTGTCAAAAAATATGTTAAATGTACCTTCTTATGGCAAAAAAGCAGAATACTTAACGATAAAGAAAATTCTGTTTTGATGTTTAAGGATGAAGTTGTTTCTCTGTATTTATTATAAGACAAATTATACTTTAATTAAGACCATAATTAGTACAACTAGTAAATATTTTGCAGTATATCATATTAATAATGGTGAAATATTATGCAGCTGAAGTCCCTTTCCATCTTAGATTTTTAGATTCTAAGCCTCATATGTAATTTTTAAGATTAACCTGCCAAAAATCCTTGAAATGAAAAATACTCAGTGTTCTCTTTAGAAATGCATTCTTGGCGTAAACAAGCTGTTTATTAAACAGCATGAAAGGACTGCAGGGAATTGTGGATTTTTCTTCAGTTGTGTTATTTCAAGCGGTGATTTCCAGTAGTTGTTGAAAGATTTCTTGTTACAGAACAGAGGACAGTCTCAAGCAGAGGTCCCAGAAGTTCGCCTGCTCACTGCGGATGCATTGGGTGGAGGGCTTGTTTGGCTTATGAGGACTAATAGGAAGCCCAAAGATTGACTGAAAGGAATGACAAATCTTGGCCAGAAAATGCTGCAGCTTAGAGTATGGAGCATCTGGAAACAGTTTGAAACAATGGATTGTCTTTAGCAGACTCCCTGTCTAAGTTTATTGATGCCTCCCTTCCCTAAGTTTCATGACTCCTGGCTTCCAGTAAAGGAGCTGGATGACTGAATGGTTGACTTAATTGATATCTGAGTTAGTTTTCTGTTAATTTTTCACCATTATTCATGGGAGAGCTGCAGAAAGAGATTTAAAGGAGTAACCAGGCAGCGACCACTGCAGCGAGAACCGCTGAGAGGTGGTTCATTGGGATGAGGTGCGGAAGGTTTTTTGTGGATTTTATAAACTCCAACCATCTCGAACTGAGAGTAAACTCTTCCCTTTTAGTCATGTTGTTGGTCTCGTGATGCAGAGTTACTGCTGACTTGTTATATCTAACCACTGCGGTGTTCCCCTAAACTGAGAGATCCACAACCCTTTGACAGTGAACTGAATCTGTCTAAAATAAACCAAAACTATATTTTCAAACTCAGAGGGTGTTATCACTGATAATTGGTGAATGTTCTGATGCTCCCTGCTGGCTCCAATCAACAGATGAAACGTGTGAAATCTACAGGAGTCTTTCCTTAATTGGAAGTGGCTTTGGAGCTTTTTTTAATAACCTCTTTCTTCTAATAATACACCCGAACATGTTATGGTATCTAGGCCAAGCTTTTAACCACATCCCGTTGCGGCAGGCTGGGTTGCCGAGTACACCTGCTCAGTGGCTCTTTTACCTGCAGACGCAGTGGTCTGTCTGTCGTTGAGTCCCTCTCTGGTGTGTCCTAATGAAGCCGGGGAGATGTGATGACATGCCTAGCATCTCACTCTTCACCTAATTGTGTTGATGTTGGAGCTTGATATCAGTGCTGTGGTGGTTAATCTTCCCTGTGAGAGGAAATGGCGGAGTCATCAAGGGATATGGCACAGCTAATTAGACTTGTGTATCCTTCCATGTGCGAGAGAGGAGATGGGTCTGAAGTGATGCAGGAGAGAAAATGGCTTTTCCCGGTTTGGAAGTAAGTCTGTGATTGAATGGGCACTGAAAGGTGCTCCAAAAGCTTGTCTGGAATTTGAAGTATATTTTCTAAGTTAAAGTGGTAAATGACAACATCCACTTTCCAACAAAAGGAGAAAAAAGGGAGGAAGCCTCAACATTCATTACAGCCTGACATTTTGCACAACTCTACAAATCACCATCTCTGAGGGTCTGAAATTAAAGTCATTTGAAGTAGTGCACAAAGCAAATGACCCACCGGTACAATAATGCTGTTTTTTTGACTTCATCAGCCCCTGAGGAAAAGCTGTTAAAAGGTTTGACTGATTAGGGCCTGAAGCCACCGGCTCTCAATTAGACAGAAGACAAAGCTTCAGCCTTCGCTGCTGGAAAATCACAAGTAATGAATTAGTGATAAAGGTTTAAAAGACAACACCATTAGTGGGCCAGGCGGGAGGAGGTGGGCTCCTTTCCTTGCCATTTGCAGAGGAGATAATTTGGAGTCTACAGGAAACACAAGTGAAGCGCCCCAGATTCCCTTTTTTTATTTTTCTCTTATAAATTATCTGATTTTCTTCCCCTCTGGCCACCAGTGACAGTCATATTAACCTCGTCTGTGCTGCGCTGTCCTCATGTGACCTTGAAGTCCTCCCTGGTGAGGAGTGGTCAACTGTTCTCACTGGAGCTTGTAATGCAAAATGAATCCATCGCTCCAGGGCTGGAGGATCAAATAATATATTAAGATTATGTTGCGGGCTGTCGCGCAGCACTTGGGTTGAGAAATACTATGCCAGCAGAAAATCTTGCAGAGTCATGCTTTGATTTTTTTCAAGCTGCCTGAGGGCTTGTTTGATTTAGTTTTAGATTACGAGCTATGGCAGGGACATCCACACCGCTCGCACCCTCCCCCACTCAAACTTTCTGACCGCCACTACAGGGCTCGTATTCATCGTCCTGTTTGCCACTTAGTCCACTTTGGTCCATCTGTGTCCACCTCAGCACTGTCACCTGAGTGACCACTGTTGTGCACAGAAGAAACGGGCACATCCTTCAGCTGTTGCTTCAGCTGTTGTGTGTCCTGTGCCCACAGGGAGGGCCCGACGCGTCTCCGTCTCTGTTATTATAGGCTCTTTAACATATTTACTGTTTATTGCAAGGTTTCACGACACTTTAAATCTGAATATAGACTCATGGTGGTCTTTTCACAATTGGTATTTTATGTCACAATGCATTTATTTATTGCATTGCTTAGATACCCAATCTAAGCTACCAGGATTTGTTACAAGGCCAGTTTCAAGGCTCAGTATAACGGTCCTGTAAGTGACACTGGTCAGTGGTTGTGGTTTTCATGGATGTGGCGGCCTTAGGTCAGCATGCTTGTGCTGCATAATGCGAGCTGTCAGTGTTTTATCCCACTGCTTTAAGCTCTAGCCTTAGTTATTTTTGACCAAAAGTGAACTCAGATCGGACAAAATAAGCCAGTGCTGAGCTCCTAAGAGAAATTATTTAACACGCCAGATAAAATGACAAAAAAAGACTCCACAGAATGTAACAGAATGTTAGCTTTTCTATTAAATTTTTAATTTTGCTGACATTCAGAGCAACTTTCCCACTCGCAGTTAATTTCTGACCTCATTACAGAGAAAGGAAAGAGGTTAAACAAGTATTAATGACTACAACAGTTGCTTCCACTGCTCTCACATTTCAGCAAAGCCACTCTGCACTGTGTACTAAGCTGCCCAGTCTTGTCCCAGAGGTTACTCTGTCCTGTCATGTGGTTTTTAAACCAGAGACCTTGAGTTACAGCAAATATCTCAGTGACCTGGGCGTGATGTTCACAACAACCTCTGCACTCCTTCTATCGTGTTTCTATGATAGTAACAAAACCCAGCAACAGTGAGCGAAGTGATGTTCCTGTCAGTGAGGTGTGTGTGTCTGTGACAGCTGTGTAATGGACATCACGCTGTCTGTCACTCTCGCAGCCGTCGCGTCACCTTCCCCGCAGCCTCGCCCCTTCAGCTGATGTAACGGTGACCTCACCCTCCTTAATGGAATCCAACCTTCCTTCCCGTCCCCCTCTGCTCTCATCAGCTTCTTTTCTCTAATTAGATGAGGGTGATTTCAATAAAGTTACTGTCGTCCTCACTCCATTAGTTATATTAACACTCAGATTCCTGCCCTGGAGTCGTCTATCTCTCCTCCGCCTTTCACCGGGGGGGCCAATCCTCTTCTTTTCATGGATCTGTGTAACCTAGTTACTGAGGCCCAGCGGGGGAGGCCAATCAATTAATGAACAAAGGAGCCCGCTCGCTGAGCAGCGGCGCGAGTCTGGGACTATAAACAGGGCGCTCCCAAAACATGGTCGCTGTCAGGTCGGTGCTCATCTGATGGATGTTGTTTTGCTTTGTTGTGTTGCGACTGTGTGTCTTGAAGCGCTTTTTCAGACGAGTCCAAAGCTTGTGGATGCAGCAGTGTTACCTGTTTAAACAACCAATATTCAGGGATTGAGAACTAGCAGAAAGAGGAATAGGTGAAAGTCTGCGTCCATCCTTGTTATACAGGACCGTACTTTAGCTGCAGGTAAATGGACTGTGGCAGTCACTGACGCTGTGTTGTTGTTTTTGTGCAAACCCTGATTCCCTTCAGACAAACTGTGGGGCTTAGCCAACCCAAAAGGTATGTGGTCAAAGGTTAAACGTCTATATTCAGTTCTTCTGATCTGTCCTCTATGGCAACAAGCTGATTTAAACAGACAGTCCTCCTCCTCTGCCCACCTGTGCCCCCTCACTGTCTTTCACCACTTTCTCATCCTTCCCTTTTCTCAATAAGTCTTTTCATCCTATTGAATCCCCCTTTTTTTCCCAATGCTTCACCTTTTTTTTTCACATCCCCTCCCTTCTGTCCCATCTTTCTTCTCTCCCGCCACCCGGTCTCTCTCTGTCATCCCCTTTTTTCTTAATCCGGCTATCCGTCCCCTGCGCTCCCCTCCCTGGAGTTTCCAGCTCTCTGTCTCCGTGTGCGAGATCAGGGAGCCGGCTGTTGTAACAAGCTGTTGAATAATGTAAGCACAGGGCTATAGGCCAGAGTTTCAGTTAACCCTTTGATCTCTGATCACACAGTGGGTGAGGCGGACACATCATAAATGACAGCTCGACAGCAGGGCCAAGCAGCCCCAAGGCCTTTTCCCTTCCGTCTCTCTCCGACCTCCACCTGAAGGCCAAAGTTCCCCCATCCGGTTTCATTGTCACGGCTTTTGTAAGCAGGAGCACAGAGAGCGTCCCATGCTTTTGTTATCCTAACATTGATGTATAATTAAAGGCTAAGAAAGGCAGTGTTGAATAATTGATACTGGAGCAAAGATGTCATGGCATCCTGAACCTTATCGTACTCAGTCTGTTTCTCGCAGTGTGGATAAAAGATTTACTACTTTGCTTGCTTTTCTGGTCATCTTGTTCTGACTTCACTGATTCACTCTGGCACCGAGCTTTCTTCTGTCTCCGAGCTTGTATCATTATTTCCTTCAGCCCTGTTTCACCTTTTTGTATACTGTGTCAAAACACGAGGCCATGGGCTGCAGAACGGTCTTATTAAATCCTCAACAGCAGTCTACTCTGTGTCTGTGTTACCAATTTGTATCAATTAACAGACCAGGTCAGGCATTTCCAATCTAAAAAAAAAAGTGTAGCAAGCACACAAGGTCCCATTAACCCTTTGTAATCGATACAGATCCCCCCCTCCTTAAGTGCTTCTAGTTAGCTTTAGAGCCTCATATCCTGAGGCCAGGGAGTATTGATCTGTCCACTGATTGGAAGTTACCCTTCAGGAGGTGAAGGATAGCGGTGGGACCGGGGATGTTTTGGCAGGAGAGGAAGGGAAAGAGCGGGTCCTCATGGATGGATCGGCTTACTACTTCCATCCCCCCACACACACCTGTTACAGCCAGCGGGAGGAAAAACACTCCACCAATCTGTGCAAGGAAGTGTGTATCTCATTGTGTGTGTTCTCATTAATTGTTTGTCTGCGTGTCAGAGTGGAAGGTGCTGCTTGTGTGCTTTGGGAGAGCAAATGGCTGAGAGGCGTAGCAAATGAGAAATGTGTTACATGGGGTTTATGGTGACGGCGTGTGCCTGAACCACACTGACTTTGGCAGCTGCTGGCCTTTTATGGACGGGTGGCAGGAGACAGATTTTGCATTTTACATGTCTAACACAGTCTGCTCCTCTGAATGGGTTTCTGCGCCCATAACCCACCGCTCACTAAACCGTGTACATAGAGCAAGACAAAAATCAACTCCTGCTGTCTGCAAACACAAGCGCATATATACATACACTCACCTAAATCTGTCTGGTTGTATATATGTGTGTATAAGATGCATCACCGCTTGGTGTTTAATCTATAACTCTGACAGGTTTTCCTTGAACTGACAAGAAAAGGCATAGCTTTTTCCCCACATAGATATTCATGCACATCTCTCTCTCTCTCTCCCTGTCACTCTTTTCTCCCCTCTCCAAACATAATGAAATATTGCTTTGATTCCAGATTGTTGTGTTCCAGGACATACACCATGCATGCAGCTTTTGGAGGCTTGACCCTATGTGCGAGCCCAAGCTACCTACCCCCTCTAGTAAACTGATATTCGTGTGTGTGTGTGTGTGTGTGTGTGTGAATGTGTGTGTGGTGTCACGGTAGGATACACAGCAGCTGTAGAGGCGGCGGTGAAGAGGGGAAATGGGAAGCGCCAGCACAGTAGACAGAGCACAGATAGACCTGTCAGCTCCGTGACACCCACACATGCTTCACCCTGTAGTCCAGGGCACGAGCAGAAGAAGGGAAAAGGAGCTCAACTGGGGACAGGTAGAGTGCTAGTACATCGGAGTAGACACAGTCCCGATCAATGAGGGAGTTAAATCTAGTACTGCAGAAGGAGAGAGTGTTTAATTTAGAGAATATTAGGTGTTTTTCGGAGTGGGTTGGTGGCTAGGGAGGAGGCTTAAAGCTTTTGTCATTTAACATCACATATATTTTTATCTTAGTTAATACAAATAATCTCACATAAGCCTCTCTTAAAAATAAATTAAAAGATACTCTGTTAATCGACCAAAACAATAGGTCATATAAAAGATTCCAGCAAGTATTTAAAGCTCCTGTGAGGAACTTTTGGTTTGTGTCAACCCTGGTTACCCCTAGTGACAAAATAGTCCTTGTTTATCTCGTTTAAAAGGTTAAGGAGTGTCTTTTGATGTTAAAAAATCTCATCTCACTGACGGTCAAATACCTCATTATAGTGAATATTTTATCTGGACACGGTAAAAAACCAGAGCTGCTCCTCAGCTGCTTGGCTGACGCCTACCCCTCGCCCCAATTTCAGGCATTAAAAATGGCCTTGGCCCTCAGGAATATCGATTTCAGTCTTTTTCACAAACATCAAAATCTCTCAATAGCTTCAAGCGCAACAGTGATGTCGTGTTTTTGGTCTAGGAGCTGTTATACCTGTGGGTAGAAATAATTATCAGTAAATACACACATATAATTAGACAAGCTCTGTCATGAGCAACAACGTAAAGCTCTGCAGCTATCTCTCGGTTGGCTCGTGATCCACGGCTCGACTCACCCCTTCTGAAAACTCTCCAGTGTCACAGTTTTGTGTAAAACATTGGCTGAGCTCCTGATAGAGTTTTGCTTTTTGTACACATCCCCCTCTCACGCCCCTAAGCATGCGACTGCTACCACAAGTCCTCATGTTTAGGATGATAAGTTTCTGGTGATGCATCACGTTTGGCTGACACCAAAGACTTCTCTACTAGAGTGGGCAAATAGCTACTATTTCTGTCTCTTCACACTGTTTCAAACCTACATCAAGTTAGTTTCAAAATCTCCCACATGCCTTCTGGCTAACGCTAGCTGAGATGTCATGTGAGTTTTTTTAACAGTGGCTTCCTCTTTATACGTGCTATAAAAGTGTGACTGCTGAAACCCCCAGGCGAGGGGGTTTGTTCAACGAACCGCGTCTCCCATCCCTCCGCTATGAAACTGCAGATTCTTCTGAGCCGCTACAGGCCTCTTGGTGGCCTTCACGCTCCTGCCCTTCAGTACCATTACACGGCCGTGGCGGATTTAGTGTGTCTGTAATGATTGACCTTACTGTTTATTCAAGGGATAATTCAGTGTGTATTTTCCCCGTGTTTCTTGTATATTCTTTTGTTTCTATAATGGAGTTTCTGACTTGGAGATAATGACTTTTGTATTGTTCACACACTGCCGTATTCAATTTCAGTTGTGTGCTCAACATCCATTTGCAGCCTTTCTTTACACACAGCTGCTTCGTGTTTAATGTCTGATATTTAGCCTGTGGATATGTGTTATTTTAAAACATATCAAATATCATTATGATATTCTTGTCATTCTATTGTTTTAATATTGACATACTGTATATAGAGCTATTGCATACAAAATACTGGCTTGTAATTTGCTTCAAATGCAGCGTCACTGAGCCATATTGAGCCCTTTGTAGACGTTTTCATAAAACCCGGTTTCTGTTTGTACTTCATAAACCAGCCTGTGGTTATATGTTATTTTAAAACATATCAAATATCATTATGATATTCTTGTCATTCTATTGTTTTAATATTGACATACTGTATTTAGAGCTATTGCATACAAAATACTGGCTTGTAATTTGCTTCAAATGCAGCGTCACTGAGCCATACTGAGCCCTTTGTAGACGTTTTATAAAACCCGGTTTCTATTTGTACTTCATAAACCAGCAAAGAGGCAGTCTAAGGGGGGGCTTGACTCCTGACTGTAGCTGCTTTAAAAACTGCAACTGAGGCAAAAAGAGAGAGAGGGGGGAGAAAAGCTGCAACTCAGCGTCATAAAAACATGCAGGATTTGTAATGATTAGAGCTGCAATCGGGAGGGTAATTACTGTTATTGCAATAAGCCAATCACGAAGCGGGGTGTTTCTATGTAGTCAGAGTTTTAGTGTCTTCAATTACCACAATGGGGGCACGTGTCAAGTGTGTACTGTTTGTTTATGTAGAGCGTTACTGTATACAGCCCTCCAGACAAATTTCCACTTCTATCCACTTATCTGTTGTTCTTGATTGCACTTTGAAAGCGAGCTGATGATTACGAGTGCATTTTTCATGCAGGGAGGAAAAATCCTATCCGTTTGATCTCGCAGGCAAAATATGGGCAGCACAACAGAATCTCATCTCTTGTGTCAGCTATTCTTCCGCACTATGATATTCCCATGGGAACGCATTTCTGCTGCGCGAATCACAGTCGGATCAGTGCGGGCCTGTTTCTTATCTGGACATGAAAGAAGGGGAGATGGAAGAGGGAGGTGTGAAAGGAGGTGGGGAGACAGGGAGAGAGGAGGAGAGGGACGAGGCAGGGCTCCCTCGGGGATAATAATACCTGAAAATTCACTGGGCGGCATCTTGAATCTCACTCATCATCATTTCATGAGCAGGTATTGTACTTAACACTATTATGCTCCGAGATACAACCTCTGCTTGGCTGTTTTCCTCAATCTCTCCCAGATTGATTGAGTAGATTAGACAGTTATACTGTTTATGTGTGTGTGTGCCACAGCCTGTGTTACAGCGTGCCTGGGGGATTTTATTATTAGTTTGATAGTTTTCTTTTTATTCATTCTCGCCGTCTGTGAGCTTTGTTGTTGTTTGATAGCATCCTTGGTTCACACTGGGTCAGCGGATCTGTTATTGCTGTTCCGCTGCAGGTGTAAAAGTCTTAATAAAACTGTTGTGCTTTAGTCAGAGATTCTGTGGAGCTGGGGATGGGTTTCCTCTGCTGAATGGGAAGTTGATTTGATCAGCAGACCCTGCAGCATGAAACCAAACTCACAAGTGCTGTTATCTCTGCTTGCCTCTTCCACTCAGAGCCCCCCCTAAACTCCCACACTCTCTCACATATTCACGCACATGGAGAATTGCTTTATCCACAAACGGTTTGACTTTCACCTCTTGAGTGATGCCCATTGTCTATATAAGGAGAGACCCATTACGAATCCTCAGTCCCAGTGGAGACATTGTGCTGCCCGCCATGCTCCCTTGTCCTTCAGCAGCGTCCTAAGATGACAGTAGATAAACAATGGGAACAAACAGTCACTCCCACCAGCATTGATCTGGCTCCCTCTACCCCCTCCCCTCACCAACAACACCACATTGATTCCACCTACACTCAATTTATATGAAAGCCCCCCCACCCCTCCGCCCTAACTCTCCCTTCTACCACACTGACAAAAATGATAAATGACCAACCCTGTCCTCCCTCTGCACCACCTCCCTGTGCCGGGTGTTGGCTGTCTAAGGCGCTACAAGCCTATTCCTCTGCTGAGAAATCCGACCGAGTGAGCTACCTACTTTCTCTGGACTGTGTTCATTATTATTTTTTTTTACCTCTGCTTTTTCTATCTTTAGGTCTTTCATATAACTGCAACACATCAATATGTCACAAGGGTTATTCAAACCCTGAGGGATGTTTTCTAATGTCAACAAAAAAAAACACTTGGACCAAAAAGGGACGATTATCACTGACATGCTTTAAATGATCTCTTTTCCTGTTGCTTAAAAAAGATAGTGATCGTTCAGTACTTCCTCTGTCCTTTTGGCTTCAACATGTTTTTTGTATCAAATTGATCTTGACTGAATAAGATAAGAGTTTTGATCCGCTTTAATTTGCAGTTAAGTTCGAAGTATCAGCTAGGGCTGCACAATTATGGACAAAATGATGAAATCATCATCTTTAATTTTAGGGATTTCTCAAAATATTTGTTGATTTAAAAGCTGTTGTATCAAGCGCCTCACCTACCGCCAAAGCCGAACTAACAAAAAAAAAAGTCTGCCCTGGCATTTAGCATCAAACAGCATTCAAGTTTTACTTTGAGAAGAACTCTGACATCTTTTTGATGATAATACAGTTCAGTATGACTCTTTTACAAGGAGTGTTTTCAGTCTGGTATGAAGAAGTAAATCATCTGAACAATCATTAATTTTATCACAGTACACACGTGTCTTTTGTCTTTAATCCTTAAAACACAGAGACTAAACTTAAACTTTGTCTTTCTATTTCATTATAATACCAGCTTAGTTCACTTTTCCTCTGTTCCTCTGCTTTAAACACACCTGATCCTCCTGATCTTAGCCTTCTTTGCCGCAGGTGTCACACTGCGCTCTGTCTTTGAGTTGTTCAGTTGTCAACAACAAGCCTCGTCAACAATAAGATCACCTGTTTATGTGATGGATCACAAGTGAAACCTTTTGAAACACACGTTGTTTTGAATTTCTGAGACTTAATGAAACAGACTGCTGCTGATTGCTCCAGAGCAGACGGATATAGGTGCTCTGAGTTTGAGTATACGGATGTGTCTGTGTCGGAGAAAACTTGTGAAAAGCAAACCGAGTGAATTATTGTCTCTTTCGAACAAACAATGAGCAGGTGCATCACAATATAGTAGAACATCATGTAAAAGATGTTTTTACAAGTGTTTCAAAAAAAGGAAACCTTCATATATTCTTTTCATGACTTGTAAAATAAAAATAAAAATTAATCCTTTCATTACTTTAATTTTGTTAATGGAGATGTTGGCTTATGAGAATGGATTATCTTTAGAAAACCAGGATTGTAGTGTCTCAAACAATTAAAACATTTCCTGAGATCAATCAAAAAGCATTTAAAATCAAAACATGTCCAACTTTTGGAGAGCGTTTTTGTTTATATGCTCAACACTTAAGCTGCATTCTTTACCATGCAGGGCCAAGCCCGTGGCACTGCGTAGGTGTAAACAGGTTGATTTGATGGTGGCCCTCAGCCCATATAGCTTATATATGTATTATTGGCCCAGTTGTCCCTCACTTTTCTCTTGACAGATGCTCCATAGATTCTGTGTGGGGTTCAGCTCAGACCAAGGAAATATCACTGTCAGCAAACCATTTTGTTGTAGTTTTGGCATTATGTGCTGGCGCTATGTCTTGCTGAAAAGGAAACCATTTTAGTTCACATGCAATAAGTTTATGTTAAAAAAAAAAAGAAAAATTCGCTTTCTTAAGATTTTTTAAAATGATACTCAAATTTATTGATATGCAGGAATAGGTTGTAGATGCATAGAATATATCCTACTTGAATTGAACAAGGCAACGCAATTCAAAAAAGACATCGCATAGCTTTTTTAGTATCAGTACTAATCTTGATTGTCGGAAGGCCATGGTCGCGACCACAACTGGGGATGTCCCAAAATACCAGTGTTGACAGTATAAGGGTACAGTGACACCATAAGTTCATTGGAGTCCTTCACACAGGCTCACACAGCATAACAGGGAGGAGAGACAAAACAGAAGCAGCTAATTCTTAATTGTTTTTATAGGCCTGGACGATATAGAAAAAAAGCATATCGATAAAAAATAAATCATATTGATCGATATCAATAATTATCGATATAATTATTATAATTATTTGACATATATTTTAGTTGCAGCCCTGGATGTTTTATGCTATTGCTTAATGACCTACTTTTAATAAAGAACACACAAGCACTGAATTCAAATTCAAACCTTTATTCAACCACCTTTTTTATTTTACCACAACTGAAAGTTTTTTTAAAAAGAACTAAAAAAAAAAAGAAATCAACTTAAGGGGCCTGAGTGACGTCAGTAAATACTGACAAACATAAAGACTAAAGTGACCAGAAAATCTGATAAATAAATATTTAAATAGTCTTTTGATGAAAATAAACAAAACAAACAAATATATAAATAAACAGAATAGCTTTAGGTGGGAATAGCATACTACCAGTTTTAACTGTGTGAGAAACTGCCCACAGCCTGGTGTCTGAACACTGAAATATTTCTCCCGGGGTCGGGAGATTTATTTTTTTTAATTATCATGTGATTGACTTGATACGCAAACTGAGCACGAGAAGCAGGACTTATCCACGCCGGTGTTGTGTCGTAGAATGCACCCCTGCCGAATGCACCCCCTGCTAGTAGCCATGATCCAAATACTCGCGTCTTTGTAAAATATGAGGTCATTTTCTTCCACTTTAAGAAGCTAATGAGTGGACGGGATGCAGGTGTGCATTCTTCTCACCTTTTCAACCCCTGACCCATTTTCATGCCTGAAGCGCTGTGTTTGAGAAATACTTGCGGCCGGGCACTTCATATCGCGGGTCGAGAGTGGCTAGAAGCTGGTCGAAGCCAGGCTTTTCAACGGTAGTTATTGGCAGTATGTCCCTCGCTATGGAGCATGTTACTGCATGGGTGATGTCCTTATGCCGCTCGGACGCTTTGTCGTATTTTGGCAAGAAACGAAGTCCAGTTTGGTCTGCTTCACATGCTTTGTGCTGGTGCTGGCAGCGGTTCCAGAGGATTCCTCCTCCGACGACGTGGAGCCGCGGCGCGGCCGACACAGCTCGTACTCCTGCGGGTGCGATCGGTTTAGATGGTAAAACAAGTTGGTTGTGTTACCAGACTTGGTTTTTACCAATTCTCTGCAAATTTTGCAAACGACCGCTGTTCGCTTTTTGTCAGACTTCTAAAAACCAATACATTGCCATGCTGGTGAACTACTGACAATGTCCTCCGCTTCTCCTTGCTGTATCATTTTTTCTAATACACGTGCTGTCTGTTGTGGTTTGATAGGGGCTGGGCTTGGTGCCGTAGCGTACCTGGGTCTGCGTTTGTGATTGGTTGGGAGGAAGTAATGACTGTAGTAAAAGCTACATGATAGGCTATGATGAAAAAGAAAGGGAAACTGTGTTTTTCTATCGAACTTTTTATCGACCCGTTTTTTTTCTATCGCAGCACACGTCTATCGATCGATATATATTGTTATCGAATTATCGTCCAGCACTATGTTTTTATTCAGACCCACAAATTATGAGCTGCAGGAAGTAGATTATACTAGAAAATGAAAGCATAGTTTTTCCATGCGGGAAATAATGGAAATATTGTGCAGCCCAGCCTGAAAGTAATCCTGTGAATGCACTTTTCTGAAACTGTGTGTATAAGCTCTCCAAAAAGTCAATGGTCTCAGGTTTAAACAAATAAAAAAAATCCTGTACAAATTGTGAACAAGGCAGCATGAACAGCCAGTGCAACATTAGCCAAAGCTAGCAAAATATCAGCAATCTGTGTATTCCCACTGATACTTTGTATTGTGTAATCCTGCTCAGTTTGGGGCAAAACCTGGTACCAGCCTATAATTAAATCTAGGTGTTAGTAAAGGGAAGAAAAAATAGCATCAGAGCAGCTCCAGTTATGAGACAGTTTGTCTCATTTTAGCTAATCTTATGTAAGTATTTTTAATGTATTTTTCTCTCACCAAGCTGTCCTCTGCCATATTTGTCTGCACTATATATATAAACATGTATACAAATGATGCCTTTAATAGTCTTCACAGGTTTTCTTATAATTCTATGGATCTAGTGTCCCCCTGCCTGTAAATGGGGCACTGTGTGTCTATTAATAGATATACTGTGTTAGCTTGCTGTCGGTGGTATCAGCAGGAAGAAAGGTAGGGGGTATATATAGATATATATATTTGTTTGCTTTCCCTGTGCGGTGTTTAGGTGATCAAGGCTATTGATGAAGGTGTTGGTTCCGCTCTAAACACTCCACCTCACCACCTAGGGGAGGAACACCGCTGAGAAAAGTCTCCTCCATTTCACGACTCGGCTCCACCATTCCCTAATGACCCCTCTCCCTGCATCGTCTCCACCCCACCACAGTTTTCCCATCGCTCTCACAGCTCATCCATACACTCCTTTTCACACTGTGAGCTAATCCATTTTACACTTCCTGCCGCTCTCAGATCTCTGCTTGAGATCCCAGATCTTAAAGAAGACAGAACGTAGGGGAATGTAGCCTTGATAAGGGTGTAGCCTCTTGATGAGAAAGACTTCAGAGTGTAATGTATTCTTCGCCTTCCCCCTCGCCTTTTTATTCATCTCAGTCCTGATTGTCCCCTCGTACCATAAATGTGTAATCATGCCATTATGCTGATGCCCGCTCAGGTTATTTTCATGTAGGGTGATATTTGGAGTGATGGGATCTCAATCCCTTTTAATGGAAGTGTAGGGGAGGATCTTGCGTAGCCTTGTGCTAAATTTACAGTACAGTAGCGGTACAGAAATGCCCCAATTCCCTCTAATTGTCATTGAACACACTTTAGCTGTCCTCCCATTCTGCTCATAATTGCTCGTTGGAAAAGATTGCTCTTCCTTGTCAGGATTTGAAAACGTGCCTCTGCCTCGTTTTCCCATTACTGTGTCAACGAATAACATTGCAATCATTTCAATTACGACAGTGCTGGAACCAGGGTCTTCAAGTAGGGCCTTGAGATGTAATTGGAGGGGCACGAGCGAATTGAGGGAAGGCGTTTTTCTTCTGTGAAATTGCCTCAGTCTTGGGGACAGTAAATTGAGGTGCTGAGAAATGATGTGATAATTCAGCCGCATGGTTTGGTAGGGGGGGAAACTGTCTGAAAGTCACTTTCTGGAGAATTAGAAGGCAAAACTACATTTCCCTCCCGAGTCTTCTGTCCTTCACGCAGTGGCATGAAATGAATTGATGAGACGGAGGAAGGGGAAGGTGTCGCTGTAAATGTTTGCTGCAAAAATGGAGCAGCCTGCTCGTGAATTCAGATTGGCTGAGAGTGGGTGGCGGAAGGAGTGAGGACTGCGTTCCTCACTGTTTCACGGCCAAAGCCTTTAATAGCTGCTGCCACAAAGGATACATAAAATGGAAATCGGATATCAGATTTATTGATTTTATATTGATTAATTGCCAAGGCTGTCGTAAAGGGGGAAAACTGCCACAGTGGCATTTGAAAGTAGCCTTTTTAAGAAGTCTTTACGCCTTTCATGAGCCTGTTGCTGCTTGAGATGTGCCTCTAAAGAAACATAAAAAGTCTCGCTTTTTGAAGTTTAAGCTCTCACAAGTGAGGTAAGGAGGCTGAATGCAAATATGGTTATTTTTCTTGAGCTCTGCTTTGAGCTGTTTGTGCTTAAGACTGCAAACATTTTGATCGTATAGCTGTTGACTCTAGACTCAAGATTTTGGTCCTCTCAATGAGAAACCCATAGGCCATCTCATAAACATTAGGGGTAAGTAAAAAAAGTTTTTCAACCTCACTCTCATGTGTTTAACCCGGAAATCAAAGAAACCAGTTTTGTGGTTGTTGGTCACAGTAACACCTCTTGGGTCCTCTAGTGCGTCTCACACATGGCATCTCTTAACAGGACAAGGAGTAGAGACATTAGGGATTTTAACTTGTGTTTCTGTTGGACTTCAATCTGGTTGTCCAAAAAAAAGGTGCGAATAATGCCCTACTGTCTGGATTTGGGTCCTCACATGAGTCACACTCTTGTAGTTTGGGATAGCCTTTTTTTTTTTGGCCAGCCAGTTTGGCCAGTAATGTTCAAGACTTCAGGCCAGACGCCATTGCCCATTTACTGGCAAGAAAACACATGAAAACACTTACAACCAAGATGCAATTTCAAATTATTGTCTGGGATCAATCTTTGGAGGTATTAACAATCAACTATCCATTATGGGTTTAACAAAATACAAATGTGGAATTGCTGCAATCAGACCTGCAGTGTCCAGTTTTCTGCGTACTTGTTCTTATTAAGTAAAATAAGCATGTCCATGTAAACAGATGTCAGGTCGCTAAGAGGGCACTGCTGTTGCTGCTAAGCAGACTTACAAATGTCTGGGAGATCTTTCTAGATCGACTTGCCACCAGTCTGTCAGCTTTGTTTCCAATGATTTGGAGATGTAAAGATTAAAAACCAAAAAAAAAAATCCCAAACCATAGTGTAGGAGCTGTTGTGTGTGTTCCCCTAAAAACGAGCTCTCTGAGTCAGAGAAAATGAGAATTTGTACTATGAGACTAAGTGTTGTTTTTCTCTCTCTGTGATAGAAATAGAAAACAAAAAAGTGTGTTCAAGTTGGTGCAAATTTCTCTGGTGTACATCCTGACCATTTTGGGTGAGATTGAGATACGGTCAATGTCATGTGAACCAGCTGACCAGCTACTCTTTTACATATATTGAATGTTTCCTCTTACTCTTTTTCTTTTTTTAAAGAAACAGTGTTTTCCTGTTGCTTTTGTTGAGCAAAGTTGACTTCATGTGAAATAGACCAAAAGCTGCTTGACGTAGACAAATGTAACTCTAGTTCTATGTAAAGAATTAATGAAACGGGTTGGAATAAGTTGACCAGCATCTGGACTCAGGTTCCTCCACTGATTTGTATGTGGGCCATCTCAGAAATGGACTGAGAGTAAAGGTGCACAGCCTCTTAACCTCTCTCTCTATATGTAATAATGAATTCTAGCCTGCGTCTCTCTGTTGTGTCTCTTCTTAATCCCTTCAAGGCTTCTCACACAGTAACACACAGCTGCAGCTGGCATAAGCACATTTGGAACTGTTTGCTGTGTCAAGATTAAAAGGATTACAAATTAGGGATTACACTAACGTTATTCTTACCCATTTAACCTTGACCCATGCCCTAGTGTACAATTCAGAGGATCAGACCAGACAGGTTTGTGTGTGTTAGGCCTGAATGTATGCACAAAAGCTCAATCATATTTGTCGAGGAATGAATACAAACAAAACATGTGTGCTTTGTTGTGAGGTAATTTGGATTCTGGATCTTTTAATGAGTCTCTCGGGTCTGACTCTGCTACGATTGAGCTACTTTGGTGCATCAACACACAAAAAGTGATAACAACAGTAGCCTTTGGATGAGCGCCTCGTGGATTACTGCCCTCCACTCTGTTTCCATGCCCCTGAACACATCGTAACTCCAGCGTTTCCATGGAGGACGTGTGGTTGCCAAGGCCCGCGGTGATTGAGCACAGAGGGTTGTCGTTCATTTCTGTCAGTTAGAGGGTAAGGGAGATGCGCAGGAGGGGGAGAGTAGGTGTCACTCTTGGGTCTTGAGGGTGCAGAGGGCCGAGCTCTCCATTAAAAGTTTATTTTATGTAAGGAACACCCACAGCTTCTCTGGCTCTGGTGGACAGTGTTAATGTACTGACTCACCTTTCGAGCCCTGGGACACTTGGGCTCATTCACGCTTCAAGGGTGGGGGGGTGGAGGCAGGACGTGTGAAGCTACATATGGCCAGCCCTCACGTTGTTTATCCAAAGAGTTGTTACAGCTGAGCACCAGGCTCGGTCCCCCCTTGTCCTCATCGTCCCTCATTAATCTAGCAGTATGCTTCTGGTCTGCTTCCCATGGAGTCGAGGGAGCAGGTTTGAGTGACCACCCACCCTGAGGAAAAGCATTAGCCTGTCCTCTCAGGCGTCACCTGTTATTGTTTATGCTCCCACTTCATCATGTCGCCATCTTTCAGCTGCTATAAAATAAAGAGGCATTATTTTAATTGATGTTTGTAAAGCTGTGAGAGTGATGGTCACCCCAGGGTGAATTTGTCACAAATTTCTCCTGGCAATCTGTTTTTCCTTGTCAGGCGTTGGTAGTTCATCATTTTCCCCTTCCCTTCGCTTTTGTCTCCCCCTCTTCACATCCTTTCCGTCTTACTGCTCCCCCTGCCACCTCCATTTAGGAAGACTTTCAGACCACGTTAGCAATTACAGAGCTCACATTCAGCCTTGGATGTTTCCATTACTGAGAACGAAAAGGTTGGCTATCAGATACACATTTGTCTCCATCTGCCTCCCTCTTTATGCATGAGTTAAGACACTGACTCCCTTCGGCAGACTGAAACAATCTGGTTCCTACACACCTTTTGGCTGCGCTTTACCTTACGGATATGTCTGCTGGCTATACCTCACATCAGCCACTGCCGTGCATGAAATATTCATGTTCTCTTTCCTTCCTCCTCTGCATTTTTGCATCTATTAAATCGTTGGAAGGTAGGACAGAGACATTTGCGGTTGTACAGCGGCCTCTTTTAAAGGTATATGGCGCAAGAGTAGAAGGCTCATTAGGTGAGATGGGTGTGCAGACATTTAAGATCCATTAGCCATTCAGTCAGCACTGAATCCACATCTCCATTACAGTCTGATGTATTGTACTCTCTATTTATCTGGACTGATCTCAGAGCTTTATCTTCACACTCGAGGCCTTGAGTTTTCCCTCTATTTTAGTCGCTCCCCCGCTCAGACCACCGCCCTCCCTTCCTCTCTCTCTCTCTCTCTCTCTCCCCCTCTCTCTCTTTCTCCCTCTCTCTCTCTCTCTCTCTCTCTCTCCCTCTCTCTCGCTTATCCTTTAGTTCTTTGTATCTCAGTCTGAAGGTCAACATTAGGAGGCGGTCATCGCTGCTGCGAACTGGGCAAGATGTGAGGTTCTTTCTTTTTTCTGTGCCTCTGCTCTGTTTGCGCTTGTGTCGTGTCACTGTTTAATCTGCTCCAAGCCGTGTCAACAGTGTCATTAGAAAAAGGCCAGAGCTCATTGTTTCCCTGCAAACCAAGATAACATGTTCTACCGCTGATTAATCATTAAAGGAAAATGGCTTTGAGATTGCCTCTTCAAGAGTGGAGCTGGGTTGCGTATGTTTTAAACCCTGATTGCATTATTAACTAAGTAATTTCCTCACACAAATACTTAACATAATTGTTAAAAATTATGCAGTATTACATGCAAAGATGTGGATCAAGTGGTGGTAAAAACACATTAAGGCACCTTGTGATGAATTTTTTAAAGTAGTGCCGCTATGAGGCAGTAACTTTGGAGTGCATGCTCTTGTATTTCTTGCTCACAGTAACTGAACAACTTATTTAAGAGAAATATCAAGTGGAAAAGTTCATAAGGGTCAAAGGAAAAAAGAAACAACCGTAAAGAGGAGAAAATAGTTGACCCAAGTGCAAAATTAGGCTTACCACACATGCACGTTGTGATTGATTCTCGCTGTTCCACTCGTGCTGGTGGGAGGACGAATGCAGCAAAGCACCTCCAAAGGCAATGATGAAGATGAGCGTTGGCAAGGTAACAACGCAAGTTTTAAAAAATCTCCATCTCTGGAAATGTTTGACAGGGAAGAGGGTAATTCATCGGTTTATTAGACATCCAGGACAATGAATGTTAAAGTGAAGGGCTTTTTCCTCATTGCAGGATGAACAGGACATAAAACGTTCAAAGACACAAGAGTTTAAAAACAGGATCTGGTTTAGAATTGCCTTTTTTCACTAACATATTGACCTATCAATTATCAAAACATAACCTGGAGATTTATCTATCATTTGAATATTTTGCCTCAAGATTCTGCTGAGACTCAATGGTGAATTGATTATGTTTAGCTGTCGCCACAAGGGTTGAAGCAGTCAAATAAATCTAAATCTAAATTGGTAATGACTGAGGGATCTATTGATATCAATGCAAATTGGGAAAAAAATAATTACAACCCCTTTCACTGGAAAGTTTCTAAATAAATACAGTTTTATACCACTTGTACAGAAGTTTATTTTATTAAATTAGGAAATAAAATCCCCTTTCCTGAATTAGTTTAATACAAATTTGTTCTGGTTTTGGTTTGAGACACTGGAATATACTTCTGCTTTTAAATGTGCAGTGCGTAGTGTTTAGCAGCAGGTAGCAAAACAGACTAGATAGAAATGAAATGTAATATCTTTAAGGATGTGAAGATTAGTGTATAATGGCCTGAATTGGGTTACTTTTTTGTTCATTTTTGAGCTTAGAATAAGACTTTTATACCTTAGGAACAGGTCACGCTCCATAGAAGCTGCCATCTTGCACCATGTTTTGACTGCTGCACAGAATAGACAAAGAAGTACCAGATGTACATGTTTTTGTTTTGAATGAGTGGTTGCAAAAAACTGCATCAGTTTAAAGATGAAGAAGAAGAGGAGAAATAAATCTTTACTGATTGAAGTTCTTGATGGTCAAAACTTGACAAATGGAGGACCAATGCCTATCATGCACCACAGGAGCTTCTTGTCCTGGGAGCATTGCTTCAATCAAGAGGCTGACTGTTAGGTACCATAGATATTCCCATTTCACATACTGTACCTTTACGTGACAAAGATGGTATTGTCATTGAGGACGTAAAGCCATTCTGATCCGCTGGATGTTTTCTTGTTTTTCCAGGATCAGTTGCGTCAATGTGGCTTGCTTTGTGGCTCCAAGATTAAGTGTCTGAAATGCATTTAGGTTGGCTACAGAGACACTGAGGCAATTGCTTAAAATTCTGGACACCTTTTGGCTCAATAATTTTATAAGTACCCAAGATGGAATTCAATGGATATCATATCGTGGTAAACTTTGTTATACCAGCAATTATCCTGCTTTTGTCCTGAGAAATGGTAGAATAATGATCTGAGATCGCACTTGTAATTCACAACCCCTCTCAGTCAGATCTAGACTTGGTTGATGAGCCATCTCACTGCTGAAGTTTTAAATCTGAAGTGCTTAGACAAGCCTTTCCCGGAAGACTGATAATCAAAAAAAGTTCCAGGCCTCAGTGTCATGTTAAGAGTCGCCCCCTTGTCTTCTCTCCTGCACCCTTGTTTCCAGCAGCAGTCACTTCCTGTGGCTAATCATACTTTGATATGACCTGGCACGAACCCCGGATCCCTCAGAAACGAACAAACAAGGTACCAGGGGGATCTTCAAGCGGCCAGAGCTGTTGGTTTTTGTCTGCTGCGCTGTGATACATTCTCTGAACGCCCACTGTTTCTTCACGGCCTCTCTTTACATTACTCTGCCACCCTGTGAGGAGCATTTTTTTTGGACACGACTCAGAGAAAAAGGAGTGTGTTTTCTCTGACTGCACACAGAGGGAGATTTAAGGCATCCTGTTAAGCTTCGCTGTAGGGCTGAAGGAGCACTCAGCAGAATGCTGACCTTCAATGCCTTAAACAGACTCTTGAGTTTTTTCTAATGTAGTACTATGGTATGGAGTCATGAATGCTAACTTCAGCGATCAAAGGATTGTTTTCATGGGATTCTGTCAGAAAATTGGACAGTGAAAACTCAATAATTCATTGATTGTAATGCTTCCAGGTGGTTGATCATAGCCTTTAGCACCTCTTCTGCTCAGTATAGTATGGGCACTCTTTTATTTTTAATGTCTCTCACCTTTGATTAAACCTCGGTTTATAGTGTTACTGATAAACCCTTTGATGGTATTATCAAATCCACTTTATGTCTGATCTGTGCCTGATGAGTCTTGATGGGTCTGGTGGTCACTGTTTAATGTCTCTGGGTTGAGAGGGTTGTGACTAATCTAATGGTTAGCTAGAGTTTTGTAAAGGAAGAGTGTCTGTGTGTGTCCGTGTGTGTCTGTGTGTGTTCACCTCAATAGCTTTGTAGCCTAATGGACAGAGCTTTTCCATGCAAAGATAATGATGCTCACTCTCATTTCTCCAGCAGGACCCTAAATGGAGAAGTGGTGTTTTCAGAACTGACTAGCTCACACTGTTCTCATGCCGTATCTTGTACTTTTCACACTTGATGAAGCTTGACTGAAGAGCCAGTGTATTATGATAGGTAGGGGGTGTATATTAAGCATGATAAGGGGTTTGCTCCTTGGGTAAAGAATCCGTCTGTTGCCAGGTCCGTCTGTCACTGTCATCCACACCTCTGCACTTGGATCCCGTCCACCAGCTCACTTTCCTCCATTCTCCTGCACTTCATTTGCTTCTTCAGACTTTTGATTTGTGGGAAATAGGGGGCGAACGTCCCTGGGGGTGATGGTTTCACTATGCAGTTTCACTACTCAGACTGGGCTGAATCAAGAATTGGCTCGCCTCGAGGCTTTGTTGTCACTCACATTCTGACTATTGATTGTGCGGAGGCTACGTAAGCTAGTGTGTGCGTGTGTGTTTGTTTGCGCACACAGGAGTTAGGTGTGTGTGTAGGGGGGGAAATTGGCAGCTCTTCCTTTGTGTAGGTGAATACAAGGACTACTTTGGAGTGAACTTTTGGAGTGTTGGCACTGGCAACACAACACACATCTCCCACACACAGCGAAAACCCACACAATAAAGGAAGACAGGGTTTGTTCTATAGGAACTGGTTCTGTGCTCCCTGATTTTAACACTATTTTCTTGTTCTTTTGTTTTCCAGGTCAGGAGGATCGATCCTGCGAGAATGCCGCTGTTGAGATGACCTGCATGACCTCGCTTTTCTCAAGAGATTATTCTGCGATCGAAAGGAGTGGAGGGAAATCTAGCAGGGACATGGTTGGCAGGCTTTCATGATGGACAGGTGATGGAGTCCTCCATCATCTTTCTTCATCAGTGACTTGGCCCACCAGCTCTCTTTCTGAGACAGAAGCGTGCACTTGCAGTCCAAGGCCTCCCATTTCTCTGCCATGGTGACATAAGCAGCGCTGCAACATGAGGGAGAGCCAACGTGAGACCGTCTCATTTCTTTCTCCAGTAGCTGCTGCAGCTGCTCCCTTAACACCGTTTCTATTTTGCGGCATAAAAAACTGACTTCTTTGTGAGTAGTCCCCGCTCGGCTCGCCGTTTTCTCCAGAGACTCTCCCCCAAGGCGTGTTGCCAGGCCTGTGGGCTTGTGGGCCTGTGGGGTAGAGCGGCGTGGCTCGAGACGATGCTGGGATGTGTGACACGAGTCCGTCGGCTGGTCCGTCTCCTCCCCCTGCAGACCTCCCTCCTCCTCCTCTTCCTCTTCTGCACCATCAGCGTCTTCATCTCCGCCTACTTCCTCTATGGCGTCAAGCGGGAATTGGAGCCATCATCAGGAAGTGGCAGTGTCTCCGGAGCAGAGGGAGCATCTGCCGACTCGGATGACCTAAGGGTCACTCCGTCTCGGCTGCTGCCTCTGAGGAGCGTCTCAGGGGGGCCTGGGGCGGATCCCGGAGGGGCTAGGACAGATCCTGTGGTTCTGGTATTCGTGGAGAGCCAGTATTCCCAACTGGGGCAGGAGATTGTGGCCATCTTGGAGTCTGGCAGGTTCAGGTACCGGACTGAGATTTCTCCCGGTAAGGGGGACATGCCCACGTTGACCGACAAAGAACGAGGGCGCTTCACACTGGTGATCTATGAGAACATTCTCAAATATGTTAACTTGGACGCCTGGAACCGAGAGCTCCTGGACAAATACTGTGTGGAATATGGAGTGGGCATCATTGGCTTCTTCAAGGTTAGGAGGACACTACACTCCCTCTGCCTCCTCCCTCTTCTCCTTCCTCACACTCCTTACACTCCTCTCACTCACACCTTCTGCCCTGTCCATCTGGCTCCTCCGTCTCTAAGGAGATGGGATTCATAGGGTTGGAAAGACCTGCCTGGCTCAATACCACTCATTCCCACTGCACTCTTTCTCTGTGCTTCTATCCATTTTCTCCTTTCTCTCTCTCTTTTTTTTTTTTTCCTTCTCTTTCCTTTTGTTTCCCTCCTTTGTTTTAGTTTATATAAGATCTTCTCTCTCCTCTCGTCCTCCATCTCTCGCCCTCCTCCAGTAATCCCTAGCTGAGCCTGTTTGCCCAAGGCCTGTTTTCAGGTCTTATGGTTTTAATCACCATCTCTGAGCCATTGAGAGAATATAGAAAAAGATATGAAGGCATGGTTGTTGTTGCACTGATGTCAGGCAGTGTAGGTGAAGGTTAGGAAGGAAAGCAGGGTGGGATTTACTGCCTATAGGGCAGGGGGGCCAGGGTGTGCATCCCAATGACCTGACACACATAACTGCTGCTCTGCTCTCTGAACCAAACTGTTTGCAGTAACTATCGGATATCTCAAGGACCAGTGCAGTAGTATAACAGATATACAGTATATATCATCGCGTTGGAGGATGAACTGTGGTATAGAAACACGGAAGGTATTTTTAGGTTATCATAAGGCAGTGAAGCCATTTCAAGAAAAACAGAGAAATGTTCAAATGTTTAAAGGGTCGGTATCAAGATGAATTTTTAATGTTACCTTTAGACTTTGTTTAGGGTTCTTGAAGACCCCCAGCTTTCTTTCTTTTTAAAATTTTATTTACGGTCACACGAAATTAATTAATTAGTTAATTAATTAACTTTCAAGGTGATCTATCTTCAGTTTATTGACAATTAGAAACAGAAGAGAAAAGCTGTGTCATGGAGTGATTTTCCATTCAAAAAAGAGGGCAAATGAGAAATAAATACGTGGCACAAATATAAACACAACTAAAAAAGCACTCAGAGAGCGCAGACTTCCGCCAAGCAGCTCATGCCCCCCCTTAAACAACAAATGCCCTGACCAGGATTCGAAACCAGGACCTTTCGGTTGTGAGGTGATAGTTCTAACCACTACACCACTGTGCCGCCCATTGGTTATCTTTCAGCATTGAAAATTCCAACGACACCCTTATTTTTGTGTGTTCTGGATCACAGTATCCAAAATTTTGTCAAACAAACAAACCAACGCTACCGAAAACACAACCTCCTTGGCGGAAGTAAAAAGGGGAACGTGAACTGACAGAAAAAGAAGAAGGGTGCATCTGAGGTAACAAGTGATGGACATTTTTCTCAGAGTCCTCAGATTTGAGTTTTCAGAGCTAAAAAGTAAGTTAAACTGTCCCTTTACAAAGACTGTATGGTTTATACCTGACAGTTCTAATATTGATAAGCACCCCAGCATAAGCCATTTTAGTCGTAACTTTCCTATTAACTGTGTTGGTATAATCAGAACCCCAACCGTGTGTTCAAGGTTTGGTGTAGAGGTGATATTTTTCCCAAATTAAGCTTTGTGGATCTTAAACCAAAAAGTGCATATTTTAGGACAGCCCAAGAAAAGGAGAAAAGAAGCAGTGAAAGGTGGTGGTGGCTGACCTTTGAAATGTGATTGGTTATTTGTCTTATCATAGGCTTATACCAAAATCACTTATTTGGAGCATGTTGTGTCTGAGTGTGGTTAACAAGAGCAGAGCTAGTGCCACCAGCCTTTGTTCCTCAGAGCAGATTCATAATCACATATCCATGTTGGTAAGTGGTAATATGCTGCCACTATAACCAGACTCACCTGATCCCCAATTTCTACATCAAAGTACAACTAAGACTTGTCGTTCAATGAGAAACCATCTATCCTGTGCTTGTTTACAGTCAAATACAGCCTTTTAGCATTATGCCATTAGCTCAAGCTAGAGGTGGGTTATTGCTCTACTCCAGTAACTAGTCAACCAACTAGTCACCCTGGAACTAGCATGGGTGACAGCATTTTAACACTTAGTCGAGTAAGTCTGCATATCCTTCAATAACCACTGTGATGTTTTTAGGTGAAAGGAAAAAGAGCGTAGGAGGACAGCATCATGTTGTTAAACTATTGGCAGTAGTTAGATATACTGTTAAAAATAAGAACCTTTCATCTGTCTGCGTGTGCACACATACTTTAATTCACTTCTGCTAAAGTTAGGGCCCCAGGTTAGCCACCTGTTCAAAAAGTCAGGGCACACCCCTGCTGATCAGGTCTTTTAAGGTGTCGAACAAGACTCTTCAAACCAAATGTTCTCCATGAAGAAAGGCTTGATTTTTATCTCCTGTCTCAAAGTTCAACTAATACATTAACTTGACCTCCACAGTGTCTTCTGACTTTTGCCCACAGTAGCGTTATTAACTCATCAGAAGTCCACTACAGAACATTAAGCATCGTCTAGCTTGAGGTGCAGCGGTAACCTCCTGTGTCTCTGCTTTGTCCCTTTAGCAGTTTGTTTGAAGGGTACTGGATTTCTCCAGAGTCCAGCTGACCCAAATAAGATGTCTCTCTGTATAATTATATTGTATTGAAATCTTAGGTGACTTTTGCATGAAAAGATATATGGAGGAAATAGAGGAAAGGGTTGACATACTTTTATATATTGGTTTTAATAAGGCCAGGTGAATAGAGAGAACACACACATATATATATATATATATATATATATAATTTTTTTTAATCTGATTATAACTATTAATTCATACAGCAACATGATCTGTGGGACCTGAAACATAGCAAAGAAAAAGAAATAGGAAGAAAATCAAAATCCAAAAATGAATAACTTTAAAAATCATAAATCTGTCTCATTCGTTGTCTGACACAACAGGATAGTAGCCTTTGTCAAGTAATTACTTTGCAGTTTGTATGGAACCCACCCACACAAATCCACATAAAGTTGACAATGTAACTTAAGTTCTAAATGAGATGCAGGAGAAAGTAAGATTTGCTTATCAGTTGCAGTAAAGATGTAAAAGAATCAGAGGATGACAAATATGGAAGGGGAAATTTCAATGAATAATCACTGAAACCTCCGTCTTTGAATGTTAGAGGACACAGCAGGAGGTTATTCAGTTTGACTGCAGTCTCAGCACACAGCAGATTGAACGTAGCAGGTAGAAGCTGCCACATGGCTCCACGTTTGAGCAGGCCTGACATTCCTTATTTCACACATGAGTGGAGAAATTGGGGAATTATATCCAATATGTTTCTGTCTTCATCACGCTCATGTATGATGACTCTGTGTCATTCCCGTCTCTTGTCTCTGTCTCTCTGTCAAACAGGCCAATGAAAACAGTCTGCTGAGTGCACAGCTCAAAGGCTTCCCCCTCTTTCTTCATTCGAACTTGGGTCTAAAGGACTGCACTGTCAACCCCAAGTCCCCTCTGCTCTTCATTACTCGATCCGGGCAGCCTCTACCAGGTCCTCTCCCTGGGGATGACTGGACCGTTTTCCAATCCAACCACTCAACATACGAGCCTGTGCTGCTGGCCAAGACCCAATCAGCCGAGAGCATTGCATCCATGGGGCAGAACGCTGCTCTGCTCCCGTCTGTGGTGCAGGACCTGGGACTCCATGACGGCATCCAGAGGGTCCTGTTCGGAAACAACCTTGCCTTCTGGCTGCACAAGCTGGTGTTTGTGGACGCTGTGGCCTTTCTGACAGGGAAGAGGCTCTCATTGTCTCTGGAGCGCTACATCCTGGTGGACATTGATGACATCTTTGTCGGCAAAGAGGGGACACGCATGAAGGTGCCGGATGTTAAGGTGAGTCAGTTTATGTGTGTCAGAGAGAAGAAAACTTTGTCAGGAGGAGAAGCTGAAACCGCTCATATATTCATGAACTAGTGTTTTCGACAGTCCTTTGACGATTATATAAAAATTGCCTCACACATAGCATGGCCTATCCCCCGCCAGTCTCCCAGAAAGCCCTTCTTCTCGCTCCTCTACTCCTTTTCAATGCATTCGTCCCAGCAGGCCGCTCAAAGCTGACAGGCCCCACTGCTCACACTGTCACACGAGCTCCACGGCGATGAATATTTCAGGGGCCCTGAGACATACAAAGAATGTTGAAAAGCTCCGTGCCTGCGTCCCCTCAGAGCAGAACGGGCCCTCCTTACATGTGGAGGCAGAGGATGGAAGAGAAAACCAAGGAAGAAGCATCAAGGCCTCCTCATGGCAGCAAAACAGCGAGATTTTAAGAACGCATCACACCCTGACAAGATGGAGAAATGTGAGAGCGTGAGAGAGGGTGTGTGCTGCGAGTCTAATCCAGTGCCAAGATCAAATGAAACAAACACCCGAATCAGAGGAGAGAAAAATATCAAACAGAATGAAAGAGAGGAGTAAGGCAACTGGGAGTGGAGTGTTGGATGTTTACCGAAAGAAACTTGCAGGATGAAATATGAATCTGGGCGCGCGTTCATGAAGGGTTGTTCACGCTTTCTCATTAATCTGCTTGTGAACAAGCATGAGCTCAACATGCACTGATTCACTTTCCCTGTTTTTTTCCACTCTTTTAGGCCCTGCTGGAGACACAAAAGGAACTGCGCATCCATGTGCCCAACTTCACCTTCAATCTAGGCTTCTCAGGGAAATTCTTTCACGCTGGTAAGATGCTGAAGGAGAAATGAAACTCTTCTACTGTTAACTGGAGCGGAGATTAGATCATGAGCTTACACTTTTTAGACTGTGAAGTTTTAATTGAATGTCTCCTTTAACCGTCTTTTAAGCCTTGACTTTATTGTGTGTCCTCAAAATTCTTCTCAATAATGTTACAACTTACTTTCCCTCTGACTCTCTGACTTTCATTTCCTCTCTTCCTTATCACTGACCTCGGTCCACCTTTGCCTCTTCTTTGTCTTGGTTCTTTTTTTATCCGCTCCATTTCCTCTTTACTCCCCCCCCCCCCTTTATCCCGTCCAGGTTCTGATGAGGAGGACCTGGGAGACGACCTGCTGCTCTCCTTTGTGAAGGAGTTTTGGTGGTTCCCTCACATGTGGAGCCACATGCAGCCACATCTCTTCCACAACCAGTCTGTGCTGGCTGAGCAGATGTTGCTGAACAAGAAGTTTGCCATGGTGAGTCATGGGGATGAAAGGTCTGGGAGGAAGCAGTGATTAGACGTGTCCCGTCTTCTGTGGCGAAACTAGAACTCCCAGCTGAGGCGTTGGTTGTTTGTAATAATCTGTATGATATTAATTCTTATGAATGCTTTTTGGTTTTCAGCAAACACTTCTACTGATACACTGATATAACAGTCTACATACCAACCCAATTGTTCTAATAAAGGAGACATTTGTAAACAGTCTTGATAATCCCTCATGCTGGCTAACATGAGGGATTTTCTGCACAACAACAAGACAGTCAAGGGGGTTTGATCCCATCATCTAAAGCCCTTCCTCCTATCAGCACATCACTATTGAAAATGATCCAAGAAAAGGATGCAAATAACTACATGAATATAAGGGCAAGTGATTCCAATGACCAGTGACCTTAGTTCCAAATTTAGTGTCAAACATGTCACATTTCTGAGTACTACTGCTCATTCGTAATGAAAGCCAGCCTTTATTCTGACAGCAATAAGAAACAGCAAGAGAAGTTGTGCTGTCTTGACTGATAATACTATATATACATGTATGAAATTGCTAATACTGGAACAACACTGACAAAAAAATCCATTGGACATAGGGTCTGATTTCATAAAAGTTTAAAGGATTAAAAACTTGATGAATGTTAATGAAGCGTACTTTCTTTTGACGGCTTATCTTCTAAACCTCCGAACTCTTGATTCATGTATTCTCTTCTCATGATTAATTATCTACTAATGTCTTAAAATAAGCAACACATACAACTCATTTTTAATGTGATTTATTTCAAATTCTCAAATGAATTGGAACATTAGGAAACACAAGACCAATTACAAACAAATATTTAAATAAACATCAATGATTACAGAACAACAAGGATTTATGAAACCTTTGAAAGTGAACCAATTCAGACGAATTCATTTATCTGAGATGGGATATTAAGTTTTACTGCATGTGGAGTCATAAAGAAATAAAAACAAACCAAAGTACAGTGAGGAGCAGTAGATAATCTTTAACACATCAGTAACAACAGATTACAGATTAGATCAATGATTTGTGTGTTTTGTTTTTATTGAGTTATTTTTCCTTTCTGTGATTCATAATGCGATATCAAGGCACACTGGGATTGGGAGCTTCAGTTATACTCTTCGTGCAAAAGCTTTTGAATTTGTTACATCTGTCAAAGGAGCAAACCCAGTCCCAGTTAGATTTATTGAACGTCTGCCCTCCAACCCCCTGCAATCACATATATGCACACAAGCACACACACACTGATCTATCCATCAAAGGCAAAAAAACAGAAATGTATGCACATATACAATTTCAATCTGTTACCATTCTTTTTATTCTTACACTTTCCAAGTTATCTGCTTTCATGTTAACCTTTGCGGTAGATGGAGAACAGATGGAGAAACATATTACATACACCGTTAATTTAATGTCCTCACATACTTGCATCTTCAAAGTCACGTTTCATCTGCGTCACTGGACCTGTTCAAGTAGCTTCTTACTCAAAGAAAGCTCAGCGTCTTGTAGTGCATGTGACTCACACATTCAGCAGCATCATCGGGATGGAGTGCTGCTGAAATTGGCAAAACACACTCTTAAAAATCTGTGTGGCAATTAAGCATCTGCCCTGGGCCTCAAGCAGCGGTATCTGTTTCAGTTCATATGATTTACATCTTGTGTTCTGCATCAAGACTGCTGCTCTTAAGCACATCACAGTTGTGATGGTTAAAATCGAGCCCTTCAACAGCAAATCCCCCAGTTGTTCAAGTGTACTATTATAGTTATTTTGTGGTTTTAATGAGCTGGAAACAACATTAGATGGCAGCTATCTAAAAGTGGTTATGCCCTGTTTCAGGTGATAATCTTTTACCTGACAAAGAAACCTGTAAGATAACTGTTCAGCTGCAGAGAGGAAATACCATCCCAACGGACAGAGGGTTTGGATCAAATCTGTGGGTAGAGGATTCAAGTTGATCGATACGTTTAGTTTCCAAAGTTGAGTCAGGGGGAAAGAGGTATATAGGCTAATGATTTGACCCACGGTTATATTTACAGCAGGGCTCAACAGTGCGACCATTTCACTCGCTTTTGCGACTAAAAATAGAGGTGTGTTCAGTGTAAAATGCATTTAGAGGCACATGTGCGCATCAAAAAAATCAGCAGAGGCAACAAATGTTCTTTCATGTAAATACAGTGGTGAAGTTAGTTTTAGGTTGGATATTAAAAGACATTCACTGCGGATCTACCAGTGTCTTCTCACTCTCCATAACTGGGAATAGCAACAGTAGCGCGGTTAAATCTACTCGGCACCCTCGCTGTCAACGTCAGGTGTTGAATAAGGGACCATCAATAAATTACCGGTCGATGTTCTTGAAAAAAGGCTGTTTTCCTTTAATAGCTTCCATGTCATGTGACCAAAATAATAGTACTTAAGTCGACCAATAAGACACAAATTATTTGACCAATTTTTATTGTGCCCCTAAAGTTTTTTGTATGCTTCTTACTTTTCAAAGTTAGTGTCAAGCCCTGTATGGTCACCTCTAACACTCTGAGCCGTCAAAGCAACCAACTGTCTGTAGTCAATGTCCAGTGGGTTATTTTTCTGAGCTCTTCTTTCTCCTTATAGGAGCATGGGATCCCCACAAACATGGGTTATGCGGTAGCGCCCCACCACTCTGGTGTCTACCCAGTCCACATGCAGCTGTATGATGCCTGGAAGAAGGTGTGGGGCATCAAGGTGACCAGCACAGAGGAATACCCACACTTGAAGCCTGCCCGCTTCCGGCGAGGTTTCATCCACAGCGGCATTAGCGTAAGATCACATTCTACACAGAGAGCATCCACAAGGCCTCATTATCCGGTTACCTCCAGCCTGTTGTTTTTCACTCATCATCAATAACCTTTTCAGCCAATAATCTCTTTTCGGGTTTTCCTTCTCTGTCTACATATGCCGTCCTTCTCTCATTATCTCTGCATCTCTCATCAGCTCCTTTATTCTTCGCTCACGGTTACTCTCCGTCCTGTCTTATCCACCTGTCCTCAACCTAAATGTTATCTCCAAAGATGCAGAACAGGAACTTATTTATCACAGAAGTCCTCAGAAAGGCAATCACTGCGTTATTTAAGCTTCTACCGAGTGGGAGATGATGATATAGTCGGGTCTTGGATGAGTCACCCCTCTGAGTAGTGCTTTCCCAGCAGCCTTGGGTGTTATAACTGAGACTGACACTTCTGGCATAGCAAGTGTCTTCAAAAAACCAATCACCAAAATGTCAACAACCAGGAAGAAAATCAGTGCTTTTAGCTTTGATGGTGCTAGCCAGTGTTGAATAATAAAGTTAGGAGAGCAGAATTAAAGTCGAATAGATTATATTCAAGTGGTTCAAAAGAAGGGAGAAAAAATCTTATCTAATTCTTTCCCGAGTTGACCTTCAGCACTGATAGAAAACAGTGCAGCCTCAGTCCGGCTCCTTTGTAGCGTTGGCATTCAGCCGGCCTGTGTGGTCTCCAAGCTGTGTTCCCGTCCTTGAGATAGCACGCTCTGAATGGACGGTCTCCACTGCTTACTGATGATTGATATTCAGTTCCCCAGACACTCCAAACTGTAAACGCATTTCCATGAATTTCCATATAGACTCAGAGTGAATAAGAGGTTTGCTTTGGCTAGATGAGCTGCATAATATGAATGTTATTGAAAGCAAACAATGTGTGGGGTAACTGCCTGGAGTGATGACAGCTCTGCTCTCAGTCGAGGCCTGATGTGTGTGTCTGTGTGTGTTTTTTGGGGGGGATTTGAATGCATTTGTATGTGGTTTTTGTTTAATGACTGTGTGTGAGAGAGAGAGATTTTTTTTTTCCCTTTGCAGTTTTTATAACTTTGTCTGTGTTTATTTCACAGGTGCTGCCTAGGCAGACATGTGGTCTTTTCACGCACACCATCTTCTATAAAGACTACCCAGGCAGCCCAAACGAACTGGACAAGCTCATCAACGGAGGAGAACTCTTCCTCACTGTACTGCTGAACCCTGTGAGTCAAACAGACATCCACACAGCTCTGCCTTTGTCTCACACTCATTCAACCGGTGGTGTAAAGTGAAAAAAACTACAAAGAGGAACAGGACAGCGACTGTCTGCATTATGGGTGCCCTTTTATACTAATTTGAAAGGCTCTTTTTATTCTGGGAGAAATGAAAAGCTGGAAATTTGTTAACACATTTTGTTTGAAGAAGATAAAAAGAGGTTTGTTTTCATTGCCATATTTGGAAAAAATGTCACCCTGCATGGTCAGAGAAGTGCTGATAAGGACATCATTTTCAGTGTCTGACTTGGCAACACTAAAACACTTCAAAATTTAAGAGCAAGCGCCTTTGAGATTTGACCAGCCTCAACTTTTTTGGTCTGATGCAATCTCAAAACCCATCAGCAATCAGGAGCAATCATTGTCAGACCTTAGGATACAAGTCTCTGTTAACAAATGCCAATTTCACAGTAATTCTGGTGAAACCAGCAGTTAGTGTTCAACAACTTCTAGCCAAAACTTCTATTTCAGTGCTGCCTTTATTCCCGCCATTTCTCTGTCTCCTACATCCCCCCAATAGTTCCCAATAGTCTTAAATTGAGTCGTTTGATAGTAAATAACACTCAGGCTTCAGTCTGACTTTAGAAATGAGAAACCAATTTTCTTGAGATTAACTTGCCAGTAATGAATTTTTGTTAGCCAAAAAAAACTACACTGCAGAGATTGAATTTCTCTGTTGCTATGACAGATACCATAGCAACAACTTCCAACAATTTCATAATTTTTGGGATCGTGAACAGTGTTAATTAAATAGGGGGAAAAGGTGTTTTCAGCTAGGTGATAAAAGTGAATACTGAGACAGTAGAGTAGTCTTCTAAATCAAGTAATCAGTAATTCTAGCAGGTCTGATTCACAATGTTTGACTAGGACACTGTTTTAGTACGCTTTTCATTTTGGTAGCAAATATTAACATGCATTGCTGCACATGGACCACTTTATTTACTTTAGCAAGAGTAAAATCTTGGAGAATAATGATCTGCAACATACCAGTTAGCTGGGAGTCAGGTTTCATAAGGTGCAACCAGAGCAAATAACCACAGAGCGCACCTCTACCAGAAACACCTGATGACTGAGGAACACACAACAACACAACACAACACAACACAACTACTTCACAGAGACTTCTTGAGTTATGTTGAAACGGTTAAAAGCTACAGCTTTATATGTTGAATTAGCTAAACAGGCAGGCACAAGTTTACTGTGTGTTTTTCCAAACTGAGAGGTGAAAGGAACAAGAGAACATATTCTACTTGAGGTTGTCTTTTTATTTTTTTCAACCTCTCCTACATTTAATCTTTAGAGGAAATCTTCATTTTGATTACTGGTAAGTTTGTAAATTCATATTTACTTTCTTAAATATGATGAGCTATGATATTTAGTAAATGTCTCTTTATTGGTTGCTGGAGGAGCTCACAGACTACCAAGAAATATTTAAATGAAGGAATAAAATTAAGAAAACTTTAAGCCCCGTCAGTTTGGTTCTCAAAGGACAGTTTGATGCCTCAGTAATTTTCAGTCCAGTATGAAAAATGTTCACACGTGTTATTAATACTTTTAGTTCTGCTACAACTTCTGCTGCTGCTAAAAGATCTGAGTGTTAATTTTCCTGTCCTTTTTTGGTATCAAATCAGGGTCCCCTTTTCTCATCATCTGATACCAAAATACTCCAAACTGCTTTAATTGTCTACTATAATAATAACTCTTTTAAAATGTTTTTTTTTTGGTTCCTGATGGTTAGGCCTGTCGCGATAATCAATAAATCGCCTTATCGCTCGATAAATAAAAACGAGGTCGATAACTTTGCCAGCCTCGATAATTGACGTGCGTTTGTTTTCCTCCTCTCTCGCTACCAAACACGCTGGATGAGAGAAGAGGTCTCACTCTGCGCATTGTTCTCGGCACCTGGGGGCGTTGGCTCTATAGCGGAATGAACAGAGTTAGTGAACCCTCCTGTCAGTCATTCAGTGTCTTTGTCACGAGGGGGCCGGCGCGCACAGGCACACAGACACAGACTTTTTGGATACAGTGCTGCAAGTGAGCGTCGTGAGTGAAAAGCAAGCTAACAGAATGAACACGACAGCTTTGGTGTCTGAACCGAACGCAACAGCCCAAGTGTGGGAATATTTCGGCTTTAAACCAGTTTTGTTTTCGTCAACCACAAAACCCCACGTGTGTGTGTGCGCGCGCGCGGGCGCGTGTGTGTCTGTGTGTTGGAGGAGCACAGCAGGCTGATGAGAGCTGTCAGAGCGGACAGAAGCTGCTCCTATATGTTTAGCGTTTAACTGACTGAGTTTTGCAACTCTGTTCGTCATTTTCGTCTCGTAAACGCACTTTCGTCTCGTCACATTTTAGTCATCTCCGACTTATGTTTAGCTCGTCAAAGTTACGTCTTCGTCGTGGGAGAAAAGGGAAATATTTTAGTCAACGAAAACAAGCAGTGTTGTTCTCGTGTGGAAATTAGAGTTTATCACTTTTGACATGGTGTACTCGCATTATTATGCCATATAATATCATTATCTATAATTTAAAAAATGGTGTCAATAATATCGTTTATCGGCGATAATTTGTAGCACAATTATCGTCCAGCAAAATTTGTTATCGTGACAGGCCTACTGATGGTCAGTTTTGACTATTTCTGATGCATTTCTGGTAGTTTGGGAATCTAGACATTGATTTGCCTTTTGGGACAGTGTTGAGAAGATTTTGTTTCATTTAAAACATTGATTCAGGACAGATTGTTTGCTGCACTTTGATGCAAATATCCTTTATAAGAGATAAATAAATAAATCATCACCATGCAACCAACAGTGGTGTGCCTGCTTTGGCTCTTCACATGAACTGTTTGTCCTGCATACGCCTAAACTTTCTGAGGTGTGATTGGTTGACACTACTTGGACAACAAACAAAGTACAAATGGGAACCAGAACACTCTCCATACTGGATTGAACAGATTTGACTTTTTTATGTAGAATCTGTATATAGGGATTAGAACTTGTACAGCCATCAAAATAAGATACTAAACCTTCTGGGCTCAACAGTGGATCATCGCCCACACTCTCAGTCTGAGGAAGGGTTCACAAATTTTCAAGCCAAACTGAAAACAGTATTAAGTTAGCCATTTTAAACTGCAGTAGATTTGGTTGATGTAAACCCTCAGCTTTCCAAAACTAGCAGAAAGACAGAAAGATATTTTTGAAGTCTAGTAAAAGTGGTGAACTTAAGAAGTAGCTCCCTGCAAATACTGAAAAAAACTATTAATATTCCTCAGACTGTTTAATTTCACACAATCAAATAGAAATGCTCATCATTTTTGTCATTTCTTGGATCTTTGATTGTTTGGTTTGTCAAATGTTAGACCGCTAAAAAATGTTAATTGTTTCTAAAAGATCATAGCAATATTTTAATATTTATTTAATGTGACTATCAGATAAAAAAATGTTACATGAATAGAAGTGATCACATTTTAATGGCAAATTCAAATGAATGTTTGACATTTCTTTCTAGTTTGCAAGTCACTGAATAAATTAATGATCGCAGCTGTAGTTAAAATTCACATCATGGCACATTTCTCTAATGTGTGTGCCTATATCAGTTTATAACACCCATCATCTTTTTTACACACCAGGCCTGTTCTTTCCCGTTCACAGATTAGCATCTTCATGACCCATCTGTCCAACTATGGAAACGACCGCCTCGGCCTGTACACCTTTAAGAGCCTGATGATGTTTGTCCAGACGTGGACCAACCTGAAGATGCAGACGCTCCCACCTGTTCAGCTAGCACAGAAATACTTCAGCCTGTTCCCCTCCGAGAGAGATCCCCTCTGGCAGGTAGGAACTGCATGTTGATGATTATATTTCACATTTAAAAAGTTATTTTTATTTTTTAGTGCTAGACCCAAACTTGCTCCCAGCACTCTTCTCTGGTAGCTTTTGTCCTGTAATGCTGCAGCAGTGACATTGGAGTTCATTATGGTGATCTGACACACACACTCTTTCTCCGTGGACAATATATCAAACCGTGTTAGCTGATTAGTGACGTGAGAAGACTTTGATTTATCAGTAATGAAACAGAAATGTTATCCTTACATGTTTTATTAAAGGCCTTTCTTTGTTAATGATGTTAAAAACTGGGAAAATCAACGATTGTCTGCTATTCCTTCGATCTTTAAATATAGATATTTCCTAGAATTAAGTGGAAATGACATTTTAAACAAAAGATGGTTTATCTTTCGTGGCTACAGGATCCTTGTGAGGACAAAAGGCACAAGGACATCTGGTCCAAAGAGAAAACATGTGACCGCTTCCCCAAGCTGCTTGTCATTGGGCCTCAGAAAACAGGTGAGGCGCTGCAGTGCTTCAGCACTCCCTATGGGAGGAATCTGGAAGTGATTGTACAAGAACGTGTTTGCTGGCTGATTTATCATGTTTAATGCTGTTTAATTGAACTGAGGTTTAATGGTTTATTTGAAATAAAAGGCCTCAGTTAGATTTTAGTTCAAATAGTAGAGCTTAATGTGATTTCTTTTGTGGCTATTTTTATCTTCACAGTGCTTTTTTAACATGATGCACTTCTTTCAACCTCTTGCTCCTTTTCCCTTTTATCTGTACATATTTTCAAAACTACTTGTTTTTATGTCTTCGTTCAGGAACAACTGCTCTCTACCTGTTCCTCGGTATGCACCCTGACCTGACCAGCAACTACCCCAGTAAAGAGACCTTTGAGGAAATCCAGTTCTTTAACGGACACAACTACCACAGAGGCATTGACTGGTAAGTAAACCTCTAAAACCCTGACAGTGCAGTGGCTGCGCTGAATACTTTACCTCATTATTTAACCATTCGGAAATCTCTGATAATAGTGAAATGGAATTTGTGTTTTCTGATTTGATGTGAGACGTTTCCTTTGGTTTTGACATTCTCTAGTTATTTTGTACCCTATTTTTACTGACTTCATTATCTTTCTCTCTCTTTCTTCTTGTTTCAGTCACTGAAAGCGTCTAACTTCAGGCTAAATAATTTAGTTTTCATAATCACCACACAAACACAAAGCAGTTTGTCAGTGGATATTAATGTCTTTTAAAAATTATAACTCCTCCTGTGGGCACTCATTAGAGGAGGCTGGTGTAAAAACATGTAACGATCGTTGATGATGATGAAACACTGGTGTAATAAGGTAAAGATTGTCTTTACAGGGCCACTTGTAAGTGCTAATAAATGTTGTACATCAATTAGCGATTGAAAAAAGAGTCTTGCGTGTACAACAGCATCTGTTTGAAAATCTGAAAATAATGCTCATAACTGTTGAACACAGCAAAGAATAATAGGTGGAATTTTATAGCCTGTAGCAGTTATGGTTGTTGTTGCTCAAATTAACATACTCACATTGAACTTGGTGATCTAAATTCATGTTTTTCCTATCTTAATTTAGGGATTCAGGTTATTTAAGAAAAAAAAGCCTTAAATACAAACATTTTATCCTATTTTGACTTTGCTTTTACTATTAAGATGGCAGGGGATGCTTTTTGAAGAGCAAATGAAATGCAGAATTCAAACTGGTCGTTATGCCAAAGCCTTATGTGACAAATTCAGTCTTCAGTTTAATTTCCAAAAGCAAAGTGAAATCAGTGAACACCGTTTTGTGTCTTTTCTTCATGTCTCAATGAGATGCTTAATGCATCATAGCGTGAAAAGTCCCAGCTCAACGTTTACTTGGCACTCCTCACATTTCTGTGAGTGGGCTGCCCAAATATTAACATTGTACCGTGTTGGTAAATATGTTGCTGTGTGTGAGGTGATGAGCTGTTGCACATGGTTGACCACCCACACAGTGTGCAGAGAAACCATCCCTATCTGTAGAGCGCAAACTGGAGCGGATCAACCACATGTTTGTGTGTTTTTTTTGTGTGTGTGTTTGTTGTGTGCCAGGTACATGGAGTACTTCCCTTTGCCCTCCAACACCAGTTCAGACTACTATTTTGAGAAGAGTGCCAACTACTTTGACTCCGAGGTTGCTGCTCAGAGGGCTGCAGCTCTCCTACCGAAAGCCAAGATCATCACCATCCTCATCAACCCTGCTGACAGAGCGTACTCTTGGTACCAGGTCTGTCATTGGGAACCTTCAGACGATACAAAAAACTCATAACATAAAACATTCAAAGTCTACTGCTCAGACAGTTTGAATACTGAGCTCTTTTCTCTGCCTGCCAACAGCACCAAAGAGCTCATGATGATCCAGTGGCGTTGAAGTACTCCTTCCACGATGTCATCACAGCAGGCCACGATGCTCCAGTCAAACTACGGGTCCTTCAAAACCGGTGTCTGGTTCCAGGCTGGTACGCCGTACACCTCGAACGCTGGCTCAACTACTACCACTCCAGCCAGGTACTGTACTTTAGGTGTTTTAATTCACACAATGAAGGATAGCATGCAGCTACTGTAATGACACTAGTGTTACAACTTCAAGACCTACAATGTTCGCTCGAGTTATGACTACAAAATCTTCTCCCATTAAGTAAATCACACGTATTTTCTTTTAGCGTAGTTTGGGGTAAAACATGCTTGTTTACTGTACATTTACTTAACGATGAGAAAGAGGAGCTGCTCTGTGCAGGGTTCCTATGCAAGTATGGAAAAGTATGGAAGTAATTTGATCAATTTCCAGGTCTTAAAAAGTATGGTAAATGAAAAATAAAGTATGGAAATATTTATGTTCACAGACTATATTACCTATACCTATATACCTACTATATTATAAAATACTGTTTACTAAAATAGAAAAGTCGGTATTCCCAAAAATAATTCTTAAAAGTAGGGTATGGAAATACCAACTGTGTAGGGACGTGCTCAGGAAAAAAACAAATTCTTGTTCCCCTAAAAAAAACCGATATGTCAGCGAAGACAAAGAAGTATGGTCAGAAAATTCCTCTCATAATGATTCGACAATAATGAAACTGTGTTGCCTGTGTGTCTTTCTCAGTTGTTAGTCTTGGATGGACAGATGCTAAAGACTGAACCTGCTTCCATCATGGATAAAATCCAGAAATATTTGGGCCTGACAAACATCATCAACTACCACAAGATCCTGGCGTGAGTATCTCTCTGCACTTTAAACCCTCGCTCTGTTAATTTCAAATTAATCCTTAGATAAATAATGCTACTTTGCCAAGGGCACCATCAATGTAAATAAAATGGACATAAATAAATGAACAGTTTGTGTGTGTGTTTGTGTGTTTTTTACATGTAACTATTTTAATTGGAAAAATTTTGTGTGGATTTTAAATGAACGAAACGCTCTGCACCTCCCTGAACATTATTACATATCTGTTATGAATAGGTTTGACCCTAAGAAAGGCTTCTGGTGTCAGCTGCTGGAGGGGGGAAAGACCAAGTGTTTGGGAAAGAGTAAAGGGCGCAGGTACCCTGACATGGACCCTGAGGTAAGATCACATGCTGAGTTTTTACTTTTAGAGAGAGCTAAAATTGTGCGTAAACACTTGACTTTTGGGGCTAATTTAACATTTTTTTTTTCTACATATTTTTATGCCGTACCCCGTCTTACATTTACCTCTTCTTTAGTCCCAGGCATTCCTCAGGGATTACTACAGGGATCACAACATCGAGCTGTCCAAGCTGCTCTACAGGATGGGTCAGCCGCTGCCCAGCTGGCTCAGAGAGGAGCTGGTCCACACCAGGTAGCAGCACCACAGGGGGAGATCCGAGCCCCACATAATGAGCCACCACTCAACCTGCTGGAAGACACCGACACTTAAGATCGCAAACAGTTTTTACAGAGACTAGAACTCAAACTTAACTGTGATCTTCCCACATGAACAAGATGTCTGTGGATGGTAGTGTCAGCAGCTGCCTGGGCTTTCAGATGCGGCTGCTTCCCTGCAGGACAAACCAGGACCACAATGCTGGCCTCAGCTGTGACCTGTAGAAAGACAGGCTCAGTGATGCACAGGAGGGTCCATCAGTGTTTGATAATCAGCCTTTGCTTTCCTCGATAAAAAACCTCTTCTCTTTGCATGGACTTCATCTTGAAATTCAAAGGAATGAGGAGAGAAGGAGCTCGAAGAAGGAGGTCACCTGTGTCTTCATGTTTGAGCTGTGCTGTTCGGAGAGCATTTAAAAAGGCAGCATTTACATTGAATACGTGGACTGAAGCCTGATTGACAGATGCCTTTTATTTAAGAAGAGAAGGGGACATCTGGAGTCTTGACTCAGGCTGCATGTCGTAGCCTTACTCGATAGGCCTTGGTAGAATCTAGTTATCGCATTTACAAGTGCCAGGACAGAATCTTCGTTAAAATATTACCACATGGACATATTTTGAGGGTTCTTTTTTTAAAGTTTTGTTTTCTTTACTCAGATTTTGTTTTAACATTTTTATAATGCTGATGGCAATGCATTAAAGTAGAATGTACCAAAACTAAAACATCTTAGCTCTGTTTTCTCCTATAAATAAGGTGTACAGTATGCTGGTTTTTGAACATTACCTGCTCAACCTCCTCTGTGGTCAGTTTCATGACCACTGAATTTGCTACAGCAGGTAGAGAAAGAGAGAGAGAGAAAGAGAGAAATCGAAAGCACAATATTTAAGGCACTCAAGCGAGCATTAATTCTGAACATACAGGTTACTGGAAAGCACACTACCGAAATGGCTCCCGCTACAATCTGTGAAGAAGATCATAAGCTAGCTACTGTATGTTATCTTAACACTCTGGTCTGTGAGATTCAGAAAGTGTACAGAACAAGATTGTGCATTTCAAACCTTTTTTTTTTTCACCATTGGGATATCTTTTTTTTTTTGTCAAAACTGTATATTTTGTCATATTTTGTTCCATTTCAGTTCCTAGATGAGTTCTGGGGGATAAACGCTGTCTCTGGGGGGGAAAAAAAGTCACCAGGAGAACCAACAGAACGCCCAGAGAGACCATAGAGACTTCAAGGTGTTACCACTGCAACTAGATGTCAAGCATAGATAACAAAAAGCTGCTCTTACTGCAATAGTTTTGTACAATGTTCTGATGTAATAACAATGCACATGTTGGTCCTCTTATTTCCTGACTTTGTAATGTACATAAAATGCAACCTTCAGTAGACCTAAATTATTGAATGTGTTTGGGTTTACACTCATCAGCCCATTCCCGTAGTGTGAAACGTCAGTGCTGTGCTGAGGGGAGTTTGGATTCTTTCATTGTATGGAGGCGTGTCGCTACGATTGTTTTTCCTCTCACTGCCAACTATTGTACGCAGGTACTGAGTCTCTCCATTTAAAGTATTAAGTGATAACACATAACAGCGATGATGGTACTAATCTCCTGGACTGTATGATAAAGATTTGTAATTGTTGTCAATAATTTTTACAGTGTAACTAATATTGTCGGTGCTTTTTAATTTGCAAATAAAACACCACTGTATTTTTCAGTAGATAGATCTTTTTCCTTTCTTAAAAGTTGTTTTGGATTGTTTTCATTAGTTAAAAGCAAGCAAGACAACTACTTTGTGGATAGATTTTCGTGAAAAACTCGTTTTGCTTGAAAGAGGCTGGTAAACAGATGAGGTTTACTTTCGGTTTCACTTCAGGTAAGGTACAGGTTAACAAGACAAAGGCTCAAAACTGTGCGAATACCCTAATTTTTTTATTTCAAAGAGATTACAGGGAGCAGGGGATCAGAAATTGAGTAAAGTTGTTGATGCACAAACACACAGACAAGAGGCCAAAAGAAACAAACAAGGAAAGACTGCTACAGACGGTGCATGATTTTTAAAGGTGTATCTCTAGCTCAGGAATTAAGGTGTGAGCTAAAATATGATAGTACAGGGTTTGTAACCCCAAACTAAGACGATGTTCTGTCTCAATTTAAGATTAAGCTCCAAATCATCAACTCACACCAAACCTTCTTGCAATCAAGAGGGGCCCTGAATATATATAAAAATAAAAAGGTATGATAAAGATTGGTGGATCTTTTGCATTCTGACTCATTTTGATCGAGATTTCTGTCATTCTTTAATGATAAATATTACTCAGCTCTGAAATAATGAACAAAAATGTATGGGGAAAGGGTGAATGTTTTACAAGTGTGCACTCTTTCAAGAAATAGCACAGATTTTACAGTCTTTTGTCGTTATGATTGAAAACCTAACTTCCCCCTTTTGTTTGTATCTCATTCTTTGTTAAGAAAGCACCAAAACTTGACCAGTAAACCTGTCCTCTCTATTGTTCATTTAAAAACACTGATCAGGAAGAAGATATTTGTTACGGTAACATCTGAATAGATTTATAGCAAAATAGTTAAGAATGAAAACTTTAATCGTTTTTTGCCTGGTTTATACTTGCTTTCACTGTAGTTACAGCACTTTCACTTTTTAACCATGTAAACAAAATTAAATTCTATTTTCTGACTTGTTGTAAGTATACTGAAGTTTTTAGATATAATGCTCTAAAGTGAAAGGACAATGTGAGCTTAGCAGTATCTCAGACAGATGATATGCAGTAGAACAAGTTCTCATCCTGTACTCTTCACTGAAGTCTGCCTCTATCAACAAGTGATGGTGCGCAAATTCGACCAATCACAGCTCGTGCTCTCTCACCGCTCCACCAGCGAGCCATGCCCTCCTGCTATAATCACAGGGACTTTCCGCATCTCCTCACCTTTCTGGGGAATCGGTCCGCTTAAACTTCCTTATTTTACAGGGCTTTATTCAGCCTCAGCTTCCAGACTTTCTTCAGTTTGCTGCTTTGCAGGACAAAGTTTCAGGACTGATGGAAAACGCTCCAGAAGATGCTCCTCTGGCCAGAGGGAGTGTGGCCGGCAGTCAGGATGACCTGGTTCCCCCTGTAGCACATCCAAGGTGAGAGGAAATTAATATTATATAAACTCAAAGTGATGTCAGGTACCAGTTATCCTCCTCTCATGTTTTAAATAAATACACCATCAAACTTTTTTTAATTCAATACACTTGAATATAACTTGTGTAAACCATGTTTATAGATTCAGTAACTTCGATCTGGTAAAGAAAAAAGTCATATATCCTTCTTTTTTATCAGTTAAGAACTAAAATATTAACTTTATGCTTGTAAACTTCGTGTTTTCATCATTCAACACGTATTTTAAGACTTCCACCTTGCACTTCCCCTCTGCGCTAGCACACAAGTTTACCTAGTAACTGGTGATGCTGTCATGGTATTGGCCTATAATTTAGCACAAGGGGAAGAAATCCTGTTTTTAAGATAAAATCGTGCTCAAAGTTAATGGTTTGGGTGGAGGTTCTTAAAAATATTTACTCTTTAAAGGCTTAAATTTATGCTGAATATTATAACGACTCTGTAGTTGTCTAAAATAAATCGACCCACTTTCCTCTTGACATGAAATAGAACATAGCATTATCCTGATTCAAATATTGATAGAGTAAATACAAACACTTACAAAAACATCCAGGGCAGTTAAAATTTAACTTTAAGCCTAGTTGGAAAAGAGATAGAGAAATAGAGAAACCAGGAATTAACATTTAAAAAGATTAATAACGTTTATTTATTTGTCTAAGAAATGTTACAACTTTAAATATATCTTTACCAGACCAGTGTTTGTCCTTACCTCTCTGAAAATCATCTGCCTAGCAACAAGTGATGGTAGGATCCTATTGGCCAATAAAAAAAATGGCTGACTTTTTTTCAATCTCTAGAGCCTTATATATTTGAAATCACCATTTAATTACTTGTGATTTACAGTTTATTATTTTATTTTATTTTATTTTTTTAATCACTGAGGCTGTTGGTCCACACAGGGGGGATTTTTGTTCATGTGTTGGACCTTCCAAACCCTGTTTCAAAATTAGTCACTTTTGCTTTCAAACTGTCCCATAGCAACTCAGGAAATCCCCCATACAACAATATCTATTAATATTTTGCAAAATGTCACACCACTTGTCATCAGTCTGAATTTGGCTTTGCTATGTAATCCACTATTCCTATTCTCCGATCAAAAAGAGACATATTTTCTTTCTCTGGCTCTTAGGGCTTCCAACAGCCGTGCTTTGAAGATAGCTGGTCTGACGACTCTGGCATGTCTGCTGCTGGCCAGTCAGGTGTTCACAGCCTACATGGTGATCAGCCAGAAGCAGCAAATTCACTCGCTGCAGAAATCCTCTGAGAAACTGGGAAAACAGCTGACTCGTGCATCCAGCGCTAAAGGTAACTGCTGGTATCCTAATGATCACCTAAAGGGGTGCCTTCATCACAGTGTTCATCAGAAAGGAGGTGGAGGAGGTTTTAAAGAAAGAAGAAGTGGAAGGGGAATTGAAAGTTTACTTTACGGAACTTGATCTGATGCTAGACAGAGAAATGAAAGATTCAGTGGGGGAGGGGGAGGGTCTACATTTATGCTGATCTTACTAGTTTAGCAAAGTTAGCGAAGACTACATGTTGCATGTTATGTATCTATGTTCCAAGATGTAAACTGCACACTTTCTGGACTTTTAATAAACAATTTATCCTCTTTTAAAATATTTTTTATCTTTTATAATTTATTACCAAATATATCACCAAACATAATTGTTTTTCACCTCAACTTAAATCTTAATTTTGTCATATCCTGTGGTGTGATTTTCTTTACTATCTTTTCAGCTGCAGCTCCAATGAGGATGCACATGCCCAGCCTTCCTCTGATGATGGACTACGTTGCAGATGATGCTCCCAAGAAAAGCAAGACGCCCTTGACTGTGCGTTTCTATCTGCCCTCTGAAAAAAAAAAAAACTTCATTGTCACATTTCAACAAACATTTAAAATTATTTGTCATTTCTGTCTATTCCATACAGAAACTGCAGGACGCTGTTGTCAGTTTGGAGAAACAGGTGCAAGATGTGATGCAGGTATGTAACACTTCGTATGTGATCTGTGTCCTCACAGTGCTGTTGTTTTGTCTCTGAGCTCTGGTTGTCTTTTGAGCAGGACCCCCAGCTGCCTCAGTTCAACGAGACCTTCATGGCCAACCTGAAGGGTTTGAAGAAGCAGATGAATGAGACCGAGTGGAAGGTACACCGAAAACACATATTAACATAAAAACTATTAGACTTAAAGCCAAATGAATCAAATTTCATGATGTATTTTTTCCCCTCAAAATTTGTGCAGGGCTTTGAGACCTGGATGCGTTTCTGGCTGATCTTCCAGATGGCCCAGCAGACGCCTGTCACACCAAAGCCTGAGACAGGTTTCTGCAACTATTCTCATTTTACATTTTGTTCTTGTGTTGGACCAGCAGATTCTGTTGTTTTACAGTTCAAGTAGGAAATTTGTTTCTTGGCTGGATTTTTTTTATTACTTGCAAACATATTTTTTTAATTAATCAAATGAGGTAGATATTCTGAGCAGAGTTTGAAACTCATTAGTCTGTAAAATCCATACCAGTGCCCTTTTCTCAAGATGACTATAGTTTTAATTTCTTTTGCCTTTTTGCGACTTAGGTTAAAAGTGCATAGCAGAAAATGTTTGAGTTTACATTTAGTGGATGGTAAATCTTTTCCATGACAAAAAGTTATTCCACTACTTTCTTCTTTACGAATAATGTATTACAGCTTCTGATGATCATAACTCTTGTCCTCTGAGTTGCAAAATCGAACAACAAGCATAGAAGCAGGTGTAACTTGCCTTGTCACTGTAGGTAACTAGAGTGTGGTATGTTATAGTCTGGCCACCCTCAGTGACAGAGCTGTTGTTTGTTTTTGTACATAACCAGAAAATTATCCTGTTGTCATGAGAAAGAAAGCGTTTTTATTTCCATAATGAGAGACATTGATTCCTTGATTGTAGGAAGCTTTGTTTTCTAAAGATATTGAGAGAAAGACGTTAAGATACAGCGAAAACATCTGGAAATGACTTATCATTGGAAAAATGAGTAAATTTACCATTTGGATACATGTCCATAATTTCTTTCAATGCTCATGAGGGGACATAAAACAAGAAATTAGCACAGTCGGAAAAGTAAAAATTCTGAGAAATATCAGTTGTTTTTTTTTGGCAGGGAGTTACATTAGCATTAGCATTTACATTAGCATTACATCAGCATTACTGACGGATCTTTATTCTTTCAATCCTGCAGCACCTGAGATCAAGACCAAATGTGAGCTGGAGTCAACATCTAAGACCGGCAAACTGGGTGACTACAGGCCTCAGTGTGATGAGCAGGGAAAGTACAAGCCCATGCAGTGCTGGCACTCCACCGGCTACTGCTGGTGTGTGGATGAGTCTGGCACAGTCATCGAAGGCACCACCATGCGGGGCCGTCCCGATTGCCAGAGAGGTAAAGGAAAAATGATAATCAGTCCTATTTGAGTGCTTTATTTTTCGGTTTTCATTCTCGGCTCAAGTGGATGTTCATGTAAGTTTATCTCTAACATGTTAACTGTTCACTCCAGGCTTGGCTCCTCGTCGAGCAATGTTCTCACCTATGCTGATGCAGAAGACCATCGGCATTGATGGTGAGGACTTTTCATAAGTTTGTTTTTCTTATTTGGATTCATAGTTAATTATTCATTAGTGGTTGTTATATGTAACTCATAATCACTTGTTGTGTTTTTGAATTTTCAGAAGAGTGAAAGACCTGAAGAAAAGGTTTTGGTGTCCCTTTTCATCGAGCAGTCTATTCAATCATGAGCTCAATTATTCCAAGCTGACCATTGTGCTGTAATTGCTTATCAATGTTCTTTTTTATTCTTTTATTGAAATCTCTTTATTCTCAACCATTTTTTTTTTTGGCTTTTATAAATAAAATCAGTAGAGGCCTGTTACAGTTTATTGCTTGATGGATTTTTGATTTCATGTATTTTAACAGTCAGTATGAGGTGTTGTGACTGATCAATAGAAAATATGTGTGACACACACCACACTGGGAAAGCTTTCAAGGGGACTTTTTTTTTGGGCACTTTGTAATATCATATTTTTGCTCGACCAAAAAAAAGCAGCTTAATTAAAAAGTAAAGAGAAAATATGTTCTCAAAATCTGTGTGAATCAACTCTTTAATATATCTGCATTAGGAAAGACTTTATTATGAAAGTGTTTGTGTTGTGAAGGCTAAATAAAGATTTCCTATCAGCTCTGTTGGCTTTGTTCTACAAACGTACGAATAAGAGTTTTTGGCAGACATAAAACAGTTGTGCTGGCATTAAATTTGCTTGAAGTAACAATGTACTACTTCAATAAAGTCAGTTTACACTGGGTCTGTGTGATTCTGTTTAATTTTTAAAATGATCCATACCTCTGTACAACGTCAGAACTGAGAACAATATCTCAAAGTTCCTGATTAGACGATTCAAGGTGTCTCATTTGCAGACAAATTAAGGCCTGTGCACTCTAACCTGTTTTTACATAAAATATTGAAACAACCCAAGTAGTTTCCCTGTCTGGTCATATTCTCCTGAAAAGGTTTAATGTATGGGGGAAAAAAAGGCCCATTCAAGCTAACTTAAAAAGGAAAAGAGACAAAGTATTGGATTTCTCCTGGCATCTGTTTTTGATCTTCAATTTCATTTTTTTCACTCACAAGAAATGTACTTTATGAAAACTTTGATGCATTTTGATAATTAGTGATTCTGAAGTCGTGTAGTCATAATTTCCTTATGTACATGAATCAACAGCCACATTCCCCTTTTCCTCATAACAAAAAGGGAGAAACCTGCGTGTGCAAAAGAGAAACTGAGCCAAAGGCATCAATTGCCATTGCCGTTCAGTTTAATTGTGACAAATTTGTAATCTAATAGTTCTGTGAATAAATCTATAGCATTGCAACACCTACGTCATATGTTTGTACCTGCAGGGTCTTTATTGACCAACTAAAGGTCCTCTTCTGCTGTTTTTTCATTGACATTGCTGTGACTGTGTTATGTGCTTTGATACAACCGAAAGCAGATCAGTCTGGCAAAAGAGAAGTGCTTATTTCCTCTAAACTCACCTAAACTAGCATAGGATACCAAACTGTGAGATTAGTTTTATGAGATTTTGTTCTAATTTAAAGGAAGTACAGTGTCCCAGAAAACATATTTCTCTCTTTTTTAAAGGTGAGAGGGAATTAAAAGAGACACTGTGATTCCTGTTCTGTCCCTGTTGGAAATAAATGAGATTGACATCCAATCATCCACTATTGGTGTTGTCCAATCTTTCCAACCCACACAGCCATCTAAAATTAAAACTGTTCAGCTTGAGGACGTAACTGTGGACCCCTCTCTGCTTCAGCCCTCCTTTCAGGCACTCCACCACTGGCTGTTCAGCTCTCTGGCCTCCTTTGGTCTTATTCGATCCTACCTGGTTGAGTTTGGCTGTTATTGGGCTCAAAAGGCAGCAAACTTGGCACATCTGGATCTGTCAGAAAACCCCATCTCTCTCACAAGCCTGCAGAATATCTCACACTGCTCTGGTGTTTCATACAACCTGAAATCTCTTCATCTGAGAAACAGCAACCTCACCACCTTGCAGCCTCTCTGCATGCTCCTGAATCTCACCACTGCCCTCACCAACCTCGATGTCAGCAGGAACAATTTCTCCATCTTCCATTTTCCACAATGCCTCCAGGAGAGGCAGCTAAGAAGGCTCAATCTTTCCCACTCGGGGATCACTGAGGTTAACTCGCTTCTCTCTGCATCTTTGGAAGACCTGGATCTAAGTTATAATTCTCTGAAGGAGTTCAACAACCCACCGCAGACCCTGAAAAAGCTGGTTTTATCCAATAACCACCTCACAAGTCTTCACTTTCTGAGAAATCTATCCCATCTCAAAGAGCTAAATGTGGACTGTAACAAGCTTACAGTCTTGGTGGATGAGACAAAGCTTGGTCTGGGCATCCTGCAGCAGCTGGATGTTCTCCACGCTGGGGGGAACTCGTATCACTGTGACTGTGCTCTACTGCAAACCGTTCTCCTCCTGAACAAAACAAAATTCATCTCTGAGGACCCTGGTATGTACCTGTGTGCCACACCGAAGATCCTACAGGGGACTCCGATAATGAAATATTCCTTTGGAGGATGTGTAAAGCCAGTCAGTAAAGCACAGCGCAGATCTCTTCTCTGTTTGACACTCTTGGTGGGTTTATTGTCACAACTGATTTGTATATATTGATCTTTGCAGCGCGCACTGTTCAGTTGTCTAATGAGATTCATTGTAGATTGTCTAGTATCAATGGGTTTAGACGTGGAATAATTCATTAGAATGCAAATGTATTTGTTAATCTATAGGCTTGGCAGGTTCTGATAATTCTTTTTGATTAAGTGAATGGAGCAATGACATCTGCAATTAGATAAAACCCCAAGATTTCACTTCTCAAGGGTCCACAACCCAACTGTAAAACATTTGAAATAATTCAACCAATATTCACGTCTTATACAATGATGTAACGTGATGTGATAAGATACCACATGAAACAATGAGATATGATACAATATGATTAATCAGACTTTCTGATGTAAGGCAAAGTGCTGTACATAAAAAGAAAAGGAAAAAAATGATAATAACAAATTTAAAATAAATTGATAAATGAAATAAGTAAATGAACAAATAAAAACTGAATAAAAAAATTTGAAAACTGATGGAACACAATCACAAGGGGAAGAAAAAACTGCAGGTATAAAAAAAATATTAAATGTCAAACAGGAGAATAAAAAGAGAAGAATATGCATAAAATTACGGAATAAATAATAGGCCTAGAGATGATATAAGATATGATATAAGATTTAGCTACTTTACCAGTGAAATTCAAGAATTAAAAGAAATAAAACAAGTAAAAACAATTTTCAACATCTCATACGACAAGGGGGAAATTCATATGTTTGGAAACCCCAAAAATGGGTCATTATATTCAATTTAATTTATCTCAGATAAAGTCTTTGTACTGTTTTTTTTTTTTTTTGTCGGTTCTCGTGTTGTTTGTTTGTTTGAATTTTTCATGTTATTTTTGTGTTGGGTTTTGTCTTTTTACTCTGTTCTTATGTTTTGTTTTTACTTATACAAATTGTCAGAGCACAAATAAAGTTAATATTTTGATTATTATTGAGAATGTACTGATAAGCCAAAATATGAACAATCAATTATTTTATAATCACAATGTGTTTTCTCTTTGGGACATGTCTTGTACTCAGCATTAAAATAAACCAGGAAAAACAAAACATGCCTGATCTCTTTGTCTTCCTGTTAATTCCCTAAAATTGCAACATTTGGATGTACGAGGTAAACAATTTAATCTTATAACTCCAGCTTCAGCAGTGAACTTTCCCTCCATATTTGTAACCTCACCCCGTGGATCGTCTGCTCCAGTGAAAGCAGATTCTGCCTCATTAATATTTCAGCCTGCTTGTGTCATGGATCCAGGTGATCCAGTGACTACAGCACACGTATGCCCAGACCAGCCACTGTGAACATGAATCAACATGTAAGTATCTTTTTAATCACATTATTGTATTCATTTATATCGAGTTTTGACATTTTCTGTGTTCTTCAGCCGTGTGAGAGAGCTGAAACAGTGAAAGTTGGACTTGTTCTCTCAACAATCCCAGGTAAAGCAGAGCAAAAATGTCGAATCTGTGAGTTTGCTTTTCTGTCCCCGGGGGAATTGTGTTCAAATGTTGTTTTCTTATTCATAGAGGGTAAAGACTGTGTGGTTATTAGAGAAGACAGACGTGGAGTCGACTACAAATTGGCAAAGGACGAGGTAAAACATTCAAATTCACCCCCGGCTTTAATCAATATTCTGCAATTTGCCTCCTCAAAACTCCTACTGTTTGTGATGTGTTTTTTAAATCAGGAGGCACAGTCCTATTTCTTTGACCAAGTTGTGACTGTGGACAACATTCAGGTACAAAAGAGCTTTTAATCTCTTTGTATAAAAAAGTTGCTGTTCATACAAATCCACACTGGCGTTGTTGATCTGTTAGAGCTGTTCTTTCCTGAGCCTCTTGGTGCCTTTTTATCGCCAAATCCTTGAATGTCAGTAAACTAAAAATCTAAATATCTGAATGTATTTCTGCAGAGTCTGAGCCCTGTCCTCCTGCAGCCTCTCACTGAGGCTGTATCCAGTGGTTATAATGGTGCACTGCTTATATGTGGAGCCTCTTCAGAAGAGATTAAGTCTGTGATTGACAACACAATCATAAAGCAGGTGGAGCCAAACACAAAACTACACTTCAAACTAATCAGATTTGTTATTTCAACCGATAATCATATTCTTCCTCTCTTTTAGGTTCTTGAAAATCTGTTCAGTCATATGATACCAAATGCAAATGAGAACCTATTCATCTCTGTGTCATTTCTTCAGGTTTGTCCTTCTATTAAAAAGCACAAAGACTTATTATACTGAACACAACATGCTTTAGGTTAACATCTGTCGTTTGTCAATGTCAGTTTTATCCAGATGGCAGCGCTGTGGATGTCCTGAGCTCTGATCAACAGGCTCTAAAACTTGTAGCACATCCCATCCTTGGAAAGTGGGCAAGCATGAAGATCAGAGCATACAATATCAGGATACAGACATTTCAGAGTTTGGATCAGATTTTATCTTTGTTTTTTTTTTTGTCAGTGTTGTTGTGGGCTTGTGTGAGGTGTGTGTGAGTTCAGCAGAGGAGGCCTACGCTCTCTATGAAAGCTGCCGGGGGAACCTGAAGTCCAACACGGGCCTCATTTTTAGCAGGTGAAACATCCACTGGTTAAACAAACTATGTTGTTTATCCACGTAATCCTTTAATTCAACTTCTTTAAATGGATTAAACACCACGGCTGTTCACAAAAGAGCTCAGTGTCTTACTATCACTTTCCGATCCGATTGTCACGCAGTGGATTAATCTGTGTGTTTTGTCATCAGGCCGGTGTACACTGTGCTGTTACAGTTCCTTTTCTTGACCGTTCTTTGTTCCTAAATAAGCTTATCATTGTCTCTTCCTGTAGATGTAGTTCCCTGTTCTCAGTGGCTGTTGAGTGGAAACTTGATACAGAGAAGGCGGAGCCAGAGATCTGCCGCAGCAGACTGCAGCTGTTCAACCTGGCAGGGGGAGCCAGCAGGACCAACCTTCGAGGGTCAGATATGCACTGACATACACAGAACAGCATGTAACACGGCAACTTCAAATGACTGCACCCATCGCACACTAATGGACACTGTTAGACCCTTTAACATCAGACATGATACATATGTCAGTTATACGGGTTTAAATAGTCATGCATATCAATTACATAGATTTATAAAATAGTTACTCAGTTTGATGTATTTTGTAATACAACATTTCTGGTGAATTACAGAAGGGAATCAGCATAATCAATGTCAAAGCACTGGGATGAAGATGTTTCCTGTGTCGTAATGTTGGCTATGAAAAATAGCACCGAAGCAAACATGACAAAGTCAAGATCAAACTTTATATCTGCTTAGCCTGTTACTCAAAGCTTCTGTGTGAAGTTGGAAGCTGGTAATCAAAATTTAAATTATCATGGATGTCTCTGTATGACAAACAGATCAGTGTGCCTGAATTCCATGACCCATGAATAGAATTAACTATTAAGTCTTGCTAATGAAACTAAGCTCAATTTTATGTAAACGAGCCTAGCAGGTTGAGGAAAATATGAGTCGGATCTCAGAAAACAAACTCCTGCAACTCATGACAGTTTTTGAGAAGTTTAGTGGTCTTGGCATTTTCAATGAACTATAGCTATTGCAGCGTTGTATAACAATATTGTATAAAAGAGTGACATTCCCTTATATTTTCAAAGAAAGTTATATGAAGCTCAAGAATGGATGTCAACACAGTGGAGTAATTTTAGTTCAACCTAAAAACAAGCAAAGAGTGTTGAAGAGTCGGTGTTGAGGCGGGCCTTGAGCCTCCCGGTAAGCAGCTACATAAAGCCCAACCTGTTAGTCAATTCAGCTGTACACCGAGTTTTGCAAGTCTGTGCATAAATCAAGGCTGATAAATAATGAAATAATAGACGCCTGCACATTGTGTTTAATTGAGAAATGAGCTACACATTTGTAAACGTATGACCTGGGTGTTTGGAGTTAACCTCAGGCAGACACTCCAAAAACTTTAGTCTTTTGCATTGAATTTTGGCGTCTTTTATCAACACCCAAGGTTGTCACTTTGATATGCAAAGTACAAGTTTGTAAGAGATATAAAGCAGTGGGGCAGTGGAAGTAAGAACTGAATGTTATCCGCAGTGTTTGTCCACTAGTAAAGATCTTGGACCACACCCAATGTGAGGCCACAACGGACGGCAAGTACCTCCCTTTCCTGCTAAAAGAGGTCTTAACAGGAAATAGCCAGACGGCCCTCGTGTACTGCCTCCACCCTCAAGGTTTGTGTTCCCAAGTGGGCAGTTCACACATAACTCCTTTGACAGAGTCATCATTTTCTTTGTTCACTGGCCTATCAGATGAGGAGACCTCTGCTGTTTTGGCGTTGGCCCAAAAGGTGAAGAGTCTGGTTACCAAGGCTGTGATTGGTCACTGGTGTCCAAGGGTAACGGAGCAAAAGATCAGAGATGATATCATGGATCTGAGAGCTGTGATGATATCAGAGGGGGAAAATGAAGCCCATAAGAGCTTCAGGCTGGCAGAGCTGACCCAGAGTCTGCAGGTAATTCATCAGACGAGCCAAACACTGAATCCTGCTTCCTCACATTCCTCTGCGAGGGCTAATTGAGTTCATTGGTGAAATAAATTCTGTGATCTCTGCAACAGATTGTGAAAAATCAGTCATGGGAGAAGCGGAGGGATGAGTCAAAAAAGATAAAAGGCAAAGCACAGGTGTCTGGCTGAATTTTTTTACTTTATCTTCTTACAGACTAGTTTTAACAAAATGATAACTGATTTGTGTTCCCAGCATAATGAATCAAGCACCGTGTTTGGCTCTGATTTGGCAGAGTTATCGGACAACAAAGAGCAAATGGCACAGCAGCGATCGCACTAGAGAGAGTACAGACACAATGAAATACTTACAAGAGCAGCTGAGAGAAGAAATGGAAGAGCATATGAGAGGTAATTTGTCATGTGAAATAGAAATGTGGGTCAACTCTATAATAGAAGGGTGTCACCAATTTAGTGCGTTTATCAAATCCACAGAGGGGAAGGGGAGTGTAGAGAAAGTCCAGGAAAGAGTAACAAGAATCCAGCAGCTCAGGGAGTCTATACGAGAGGAGAAACTAAAGAGCGGGGCTGCTATACAGACACCTGACCTCTGTCAGCAGGTAAAGTACTCAATTTTACTCCTGCCATTTTAAATTGTGCTGTATATCAATACCTCTGACTGGATACGGTGTGTAAGAGGATTTGTTAATACTCTGTGAGATTGATGTCTGCAGGAGAAGCCAAACTAAGACATTTATTTTGCCAATTAAATGCTCAGTCTCATTTAGAATACAACATAGCGCAAGAGCGGAGGAGGCAACTTAAAGAGCACCATGGGAGATTAATTCAGGAGGAGGTGGAGAAGATGGAGAGAGACTTGGCACAGGAGCAGCTACCGGTGAGATAATGAGAAACGCTGTTGTTTAACATTATTCACTTTGTGATCTATCTTAGCCCAGGATGCTGAGTTGGTTTAAATTAATGCAAGGTTGGATTTATGGTGGGTAGTAGAAAACCACCACATCTGCAACTTAATTCTGCTATTTCCTTGCATTTTTTTTTTCAATTTTGTCCATTCCTCTGCTAGACAGAGGGCCCTGAGAGAGAGCTGCTGGTGCTGACCAGAGAGCGGCGGGTCCTGGTGCTGCAGATGGAGGCGCTGCGCACTGAGGCCCAGCAAGCTGAGAGAGACCTGCAGAGTCAGTATGACCAACACCAAAGAGAGCTCCACTGTTTGAGAGAGGAGAGTCTTCAGGTCAGACCTAGACTGATATTCTATCACATTTTCATTCAATGTCTTTTACGACTTCATCAAAACTTTTTATCTGCGAGAAGGAATAGGGCTTTCATGAGTTACCTTCACTAAAGTTAATACTAAAGTTAATAAAGTTAATAAAAGAGTATAATATAGTCACAGATATGTAGAAATTTGTGCTTAAATGATGTTAGTGTTTTAATGATTTATTTAACTCAAGCTCATTGAGATGAACTCAATGTTAATTGTACCTGTATGAAAATTAAGTGCCATGAAAAAATACTCTTTCCCGGATCCTTAACTTCACTCTTGACATGTTAGAAAAATAACCAAGCCCAGAGAAGTTTCATGAAATTTCTCTTAACATAACATACACCACTTAAAGACATGATGAAAGAGCTTGATGCAAATTAATCTGTAAACATTTTTTTAATTTGTCGTACTTGCAAAAGTTTCATTCATATTTGTCACAAACTGTGAGATTTGTGCGATTTAAGTTGATAAGTTGAGTGATAGTGCTGCAGTTCTCACACACCAGCTCTGGAGATTTTTGTAAAGATCTTCAAACACACAAAAGTCACAATTATCTGTAGTATGGGGCCTATTTTCAAATCTTCTCAAACAATGACAACTTAAAATGGAGCATGAGTGGAACATTAACAAAAATCATTTAAATAACTAGGATTTTGCAGGTCAACACAGGACAACACACAACAGCTGATACAAATGAACACAAAACAAAATTAAACTTTGAAAAAGTTGATTTTACAGCCACCACTTTTTTTCCTTTTTTCTGTGTTGTCTGTACGGCTCTCTAGGTGTTCAGAGTGTTTCGTCAGGTCAGTGAAGAGCACAGAAAGATGTCAGAGGGCAGATACAGAGGTGTGCTGCTGGAGGCTGTGCAGGATGCCGTCTACCTCTCTACCCAGAACCAGGAGCTGCAGGCTGAAAACAAACAACTCTGTAAAGGTCAATGTAAATTCCTGCAGGCAGACTGCGGGCTGTTTTTTCATGGATTAAACTGCCAATAAGACTAACCTCTACAGTAAATGTGACAGAAATGCCATGAGTCCAACTGATCCAACACTTGAACACTGTTGTTTTCTTTTGCAGCACTCGGTGAGCTGAAAGATGCTTTGGCTGTTCAAAGTGATCCTACCTCTGGACTGGCATCTCAACAGCAATAAGTTTATCACTTGAAAATTTTAATCAATCAGGATGCTACATTCTAATTAATAGCAATGACGCTCATTTTTTGTTCACAATTTATTGGTTTTCATTAACACTGTTTAACACTTTGATATTATCTATGACATTGTTTTTGGCTTGAGTATGTTACAACAAACTCAGCCACCAAATCGACAGAAGCAGCACAGCACAGATGTGTCAAACTGAGGTCATAATGATGCCATCCTGCTTCAGTATCTCAACTTTCTTGCAATAGTGCAAAAGAATGATAAATTTAACAATATGGATGTTCAATGGCTTGCACAAAACTTCCCACAAAGCACTGTAACAAATCTGACACAGGCTTTAGAACTTGAGGAAAAAAAGGCAAAATAAAAGGCAATGAAAAAAAAAAAATCACATTTTAAACTCAAAACACAGAAAACAGATGTGATAAGTTGAATGTTTTGATGCATTTTGCTCCCATGGGTCTTATGGTCCATTTGGTAGATGCTATCTGTAATAAAGATAAGCTGCCAGTCCAATCATAGAAACTGGAAGGAGGAAAAATGGTGTGAGCTGCAGGCCTAAGATGGCCCAGGACAACAGAGCGTTGACCAGCATGGAGCAGGAAATGATAAACAGTCTGGTGATCCCGCTGCCATGCTTTAGCACCACAGACATAAGGAGTCCATTAGCTGCCTGCCCTGCTATGATGACCCAAACCACCCCTGAGTATCCCTCCAAAAAGCTCTTCTCACTAGTTACCAGGGAGAGAGAGGAAAGCCCATTGACAGCTACACCGAACATGTAGAGGTAGAGATTCTGCAGGCTTAAGGGCAGCTTCTGACTCTTCAGCACTCTCTCTGTGTAAACTGCTGCCAGGCCTGAAACAAAGCAGTACACCAGCACAAGGAAAAGCCCCCAAGCAGTAACGTGAAGCCTGGGACCTTCCTCGGCTACAGCTCTGACAGGGTCTCCAAGATCCAGACTGCTGTAAGTGTGACATACTCCAGCAGCCATGAGGAGCCCCAGAGCAAACCACTGAGCAGGCCGGAGTCTCTTGCCTAGGCAGAGGGAGTAGAGTAAGGCTGTAGAGGCAATTTTCAGGTTGGACAGGACTTGATATGAGCTTGGGTCCATGAAGCCCTGCATGTGAACTACCAGGTTGTTGTTGAGGGCATAGAGTACTGCAGGAACCGCATAGGGGGCCACATGGACAAGACGTTGAGGAGCTCGTAAGGCAGATGTACCCCCAGTCAGAGCAAGAGTCACCAGAGAAATGAGGAGTTTGGCAAGCTCGATCAAAACAACACAGGATGAAGAGTTGAAAGGGACACTGCCGTCTACCTTGGTGAGAGTAATGAGGGGAGCATGAGAGCCGTAGATGAGGACCATCAGGCCAAAGAGGACACCCCACTGAATCCTTTTCACCCACTGCCTCCTGATTCTTACAGGGGAAGCAGACCCCGTATTTGGGATCACAATCATCATCAATGATGTAAAATAAAGAGCTTACTTTTAACAAGCCACAGTGCAAAAATCCCTCAATAATGGGTTTAAATCTCAACCTTATAAATATTATTTATAGATAACTTGAATTCTCTTTCTCTGACTTACATTTGTTTTACGGGTTTAACAATAAAGGTGTAGAAAATATCTGTAAAACTATCAGTATAACTGCTCCAGGCAGCTAAACTTCAAATCAATGAAATCTGCTGGACCAAAGGAAACCTTTTCTGTACAAGGTTTTACATTTTATGACAAAATCATTTGATTTGAAATGAAAGACAAAGTATTAAAATGAACCTAAAAGAAACATTAAATAAATAAAGCCAGTCCTCAACTATGTGTCTCCAGTGAATCCAGTTCTATCATTATATCCATACTCCAGTCTACAAAGACACAAGCCAGCTGCTGGATCAGTGTCTCTTCTTCTCATTCACGTTTGCATCAGCTGGCAGGGCGAGTGGTCAGCCCAAATTACTTTGGTCCTTTTTTCAAGCTGTTCATATAATCTTTTACTGTCCGTTCAATGTTAGGCACTTGGTAGTTTTGTGCCGCATACATGCCGGTGATTGTCCCTGCCAGCACTCCCAGGATGGCAGACGAGCGGAGCTTGGCCACCACATAGCCGGCCAGAAAGCCCTTCAGAAATGGAGATCCCAGCACCGAGCCTCCCTAGAAGAATAGTAAAAAAGTAGTTTTTTTTTTTTTAACACTCCCCAGAATAGAAGAAAAGATAAAACATTTTGGTAGGTTAACACAGGGATGTATCTAAAACGCCAAAAATCTTATTGTTAACCGTGTCACAATTGGTAATGTGTCACAAAATGTGCAAATGATCTTCATTAACATTTATTGACCTTTTATTTTCAAACAACAACTTAAATTAAGTTCAGGGACATGCCTTAAAGGGATATTCCGGCGTAAAATTAATTTAGGGTCAAACACACCGTAACACTGAGTTAGACACCCCCTCGAGAGATCCGCTTGCTTCTCTAGTTTTACCAACTTAAGTAACGACTGGATATCAATACACAGCGGTATTGATATATCAAAATGCCACTCTATAGCCACAAATAATGCTCAGAACAGCACCTAGCTTCATCAACAGTACATATAGTGTCCCAGCCATAGCGCTAGCCACCAAACATCTTTTTAACTTTGCCTGATTTCTTTAGCAAAGAGACTGAACACATCTTACCCACTCTCTTCCAGCAGCCGCTTGTTTGTAGCGAGAACTTGGGCCAATCAATTACAGACTACAGCGGGGTGACACAGCTCAAGGAAGAACATTTATGATCATTACTTTATCATTTAATGATAAAGTAATAATCACCATATTAATCATTTTGCACTGCAGACGCGGTAGTTCTTCTGTCTTAGCATCTTGGTCTGATACATTTCCATGAAGAAATGATCATAAATGTTCTTCCTTGAGCTGCGTCCCCCCGCTGTAGTCCGTAATGGACTGGCCTGAGGTCTCACAAACAAGTGGCTGCTGGAAGAGAGTAGGTGAGTTGTGCTAAAGTTGCTAAAGAAATTAGGCAAAGCTAAAAAGACGTTTGGTGGCTAGTGCTGTGGCTAGGACCCTATATGTACTGTTGATGAAGTTAGGTGCTGTTCTGAGAATTATTTGTGGCTTTAGAGTGGCGTTTTGGTTGAGGTTTGTTTATGGCTCCTCATACCATTGTGTATTCCTATCTGCGTTCGTTACTAAAGTTGGTATAACTAGAGAAGCAAGCAGTCAGCAACATTCATCTCTCGAGGGGGTGTCTAACTCGGTGTTACGGTGTGTTTGACCCTAAATCAATTTTACGCCGGAATATCCCTTTAATTAGCAGCTTTAACTTGTTTTACATGTACACATGAAAGACTTGCCTGGGGGATCCCGACAGAGACCTCGGTTTCTACTCGCCTCTGGATCTCCTCCAGCTGGTTTCTGAGCTGTGTTAAATCTTTCAGCTGTTTCAGAGGATCCTGAAAAGCAGAAAATCAAAACAAGGAAAGGGGGAGTTTGGCATTTGTGCGTTCACGTAAATAATCAAAGCTCAACTTACGATACAATATTGGTAAGACAGCTGGAAGTTTCAGTCAAAAACAGGACTCCTCAGACCACAGGAGCTGTTTTCTCTAAGTTTGCTGATGAGAACTCAGAGCTCAAGGATAGACTAATCTAATACAGAAACGAAACACGGCCGTGTAATTTAATCAGCCTATCACTGCTGAGAGAACCAGCTGTTCCTCTCCCGCTATAATAATTACTGTCACCTGACTAAAGAAATTAAATAATTTCATTTAAAGTCAGAGCAAAGTACTTCACTCACCTTGTCATCCGCCATGTTTGCTCGGCGCGGTGATCGGCTTTCGTTTACCACGCCTGATCTGAGTCTTTTTTCAGCTCGCTTAGTTTGGTCTGATATTGAGGGAGCGCACTAACCCTAAAATTTGTCTTGCAGGTACTAAACTGAGTTAAAACATAAAAACGCTCAGAGTTGGAGACAATGAAGTGTAACTCTTGACTTAAATCTTACTTGGTTTGCAAAAGTGATCCCAATGCTGCTATTATTTATTGATGTGTTTTGTTTCCTTCCCTTTTACGTCCACTGTAAGGCAATACACAGGGCAAATGGGTACTATACTTTAAAAAAATATATATATATATTCCCTCTTTTTAATAAATAAATTGCGTTTATTGGCCTCAAAAATCAGATGTTTGACGGTTCACTTAAAACTGCTTTTCAAATGATAATTTATTACACTTCGTCTCTGTATTTTAGCGTCACTTTAAAGCCTTCCTGCGCATGTTTGCGGCCCTGCTGCTATGAGGGACGCACGCGTTGCTTTCACGTGTCAAAAACGTCTTCTTTGATTGGCCCGTAATTGTTTATTCTAACACATCATTGGTTTTGGGCCTTAGCAACAATCCGCCATATTTTTTTTCTAAGTCTAGCAGAACCGACGCGTCTTAGCAGACATTTATTCACTTAAGTGTCAGATTCAACATAAAGCTTGGGCATGTTTCAATATTACTTACCGCCGGCATAATGTCTGACTTTTCAGACGTCTTCTGAAGGTTGTTTTGAGTGGATTGCGGTGCCCCCGGCCAGCGTAGGTAAGGCTTCAACAAGGAGGAATTTCATTGGATAACTCACGGGCTGTGCAGGCAGTATAAAGACACGCCATTACACCCACTGTTAGAGAAGGGGTGTACCAGTGTTTCTAACGTGAAAGCGCTTTATTGAGTCCGCAGGAGGTCCATGCTCGACAGGTTTCAGGGTTGTTTAATTTCGGCAAAGACAGCGGTAATGCTGTATTCTGCATTAACTATGCGCTATAACGCAGTAATCTTCATACTGTCCCAACCTGTGTCTATTTTATCAGACAGGTAACAATGTCTGTCTCACCAGCCTCGGTGTGCCTCAATAAACTCCCCCAATAACCCAATTTAAGGTGCTTCATATTTCTCTTGTTAAAGGGTTTATTCCTGTTAAATGTAATTAATGTTGTTGTTGCTGTTGTTTTCCTTAGAGCAAGGCCTTCCCTGCAGTTCATTGTAACTCCAACAAAATTCAAGCATGAACAATAAACCCATCTTTTACTGTTGGACCTATTAGCTCCAGGTCTTTTGGAGAGATGGAGAAAGTGGGGGAGATGGAAGGAGAGAAAGTGACTGAAGATATGGAGGTGACAACCCCAAAAAAGCGGAAGAGTAAGGATCAAGAAGACAGTGCTGAGAGACCAAAGAAGCCCAGGTACATGGCCCTAAGGATGCTCTCCCTATGGCCCGCTGCTGCTAAAGTGTGTCTCCTCCTCATATACTGATTTCGAATCCAAATTCTGTGTTTTAGGTCTGCCTACCTGCTGTACTATTTCGACGTTCATCAGATTCTGCAACAGGAAATACCAAATCTGCCACAGTCAGAGATCAACAAACGCATCAGTGAAAGCTGGAAAAGGCTCAACGTCGCTGAAAAGGCCTACTATCTTGAAAAGGCCAAGTCCCAGAAGGAGGGCTTAGACACAGTAAGAGACTTCATTAACATTTCTCTTCATGGAAACTAGTTCACCTGAGCATCGATAGAGATCAAAAATCCACTGATACTTCTGACAAACCTCGGAGTACATTTCTGAAGGAGAATTTAAGCTGCAAAATTATTTCTATGTAAATCTTTCCATGTAAAGAGGGTTAAGAGACACTTGCTTGTTATCAGTGTAACCTGAATTATGTCCGATGGCAAGTGAACATCTGTCACAACTGACTTGAAATGACTCAAAGATTATTGATTACTTAAATTATCGGAAAGTACAAAGCTCACAGGTTGAGTGAATAAACTTAATGTGGCTTTCTATTTGTGTGATGAATAACAGTAGTGATATAAATTTCTATTGAAACAGAAGTATCAGTAGTAGCAAACAGATGATGACGTTGACCAGCCCACACAAGCCAAGCAAAAGGTTTGCTCATGAGGAAATGTGTTATTTGCTATTAAGTACAACAGAGACTTCACCCAGGTAGACATTTTGATTGATCTTTGTTTCAATGAAAACATTTGGCTGATGTAACTACTAACTGAGCCAGAATGAAGGGATCCATTTGTATCAGGTGTTGCTACAGATATAACAAATCCACCGTACTCTTCTGCTTTATCAGCAGTGGCCTAATGCACTGAGCTCTGTAGTTGTGTGTCAAAATGATTCTATATGGAGGAATAATTTTCTTGAACATTTTTTTTCTGTCAGTTGTCTCTCAGTCCCTCCAAAGATCTCCCAGGCTTCCGCAAAATCCTCCCCAGAGCCAGTTATTTCCTGTTGTCCAAAGGCTGCTCCCTGAATCAGCAGGTGGGAGGGTCTCAACCAGAGGTGAGCGTGGACTCTCTGGACTCTTCGGTAGAAGGGTTTCTGCCTTCTGTCTCTCTCAGCCAAGGATCCCAGTTCACAGCTCTTCAGCTGACTGCAGAGGAGGAACTTTCCAATCACACCATCAATGAGACAGAAGAGGGTTCAGCTCCTCAAGAAATCCTGACTTCTTCCTTCTCCTCTGGCTTGTCCAGAGCTCCTGTCTCTCAGGGATCTTCTGGTTTTAGTTTTGGAGGGCCTTTGGTGCAACAGATACAGGGGGAATCTACACAGATGGTTGCATTCATACCCACCCAGGTGAGTAGCAAATTTCTTCCTTCCTCTCAATTGGATTGTGTTGCATTTTTGAAGGATATATTAGTGCATGAAAGGGAAACACAACTCAGCATTACCGTTACATAAAAGTGTTTTAGCTTATGAATTGGAGTGACTTGTCTATCACTGCAGAACATGCTGGAGCCCAAGTCTTTGGCAGCTGTCAGCTCTGTGGGCCCGATAATGATGGTCTCTGTGGGAGCCAGCATTGAACAAAGTGCCAAACCTTCATATAAAATGGTAAGCACCCACGTAGTTTATTCTTTTAAATGCCAGCAGCAATAGTGGTGAAGCTGAAGCCTGTACACAAAAGTAGAAACTCTTGAAAGTCATTGTTAAGACTAAAGAAGTTTGACATTAGGTCAGGTTGAAGACACAATCTTCCATTTGTCTTTTTTTTTTGCAGTCAGTGAAAACGTATACAAGGAGGGGTCGAGGGAAATGTCTAAATCCTGGGTGTTCATTTGTGTACGTCACTCGCCACAAGCCCCCAATGTGCCCTGAATGTGGGAGCCACTTGGGCGGAAAATGGATACCAACTGTAAGTATTGATAGGGTGCCGGTAATTTTCAATTTTTCATGAATATTCAATAATTTCTGTTAAAGTTTTAACATATGTTTCAAGTTGAGGACTTTACTACTTTTGTATATCAGGCGAAGAAGACTCAAGCGAAAGATGCAGTATCCAAGTTAAAAGAAAGCTCACAGAAAGCTGAGAGCTGCTCCCCTTCACCTCAGCCTGCTAAAGAGGGGGATTCAGATGTTGCTAAAACAAACACAAGTGGAAGTAAAAAAGATGGAGGAGTTCGACGGTGTTTCAGAAAGCAGACTGCAGTTCCGGGTGAGAAGCCAGCAGAGGGCAGCAGCAGCAAGGAGCGGGAACAATCAAAGTGAGTATTCATGAAGATACAGTCATGGCCTTAAAATGGATATAAAGCATGTTTTGTTTGCCACATGTAATCATGCAGCCATATGTCACCATCTAGACAGTGATTCAATAACTGAACCTTTTTGCAGATCAGTGCTTCTTTTAACTGCTTTAGGTGTAGATGCAAGTTGAGCTACATGCATGTATGATGAATACAGATTTGTAATATTACATATTTTTACAAACATTTTGAACAGTAGAAACAGTAGCATTGTTTTAAGCACAAATCTTCATAATTGTGAATTTATTTCTTGACATATATTCTCTCTGTCACCAAGCAGACAGCTGAGAGACAGCATCAAGCGCCGGGTAACACCAAGTCAAGATCGAGGCAATGTCATGATTCAGAAGAGGCCTGTGAGACCCATCCTTCCTGCCTATAACACAGGTAAGAGTTGTTGTTGAAGAGTTGAAAGAAGTTGTTAACATATTGATTCATTTGTTGGCTTTTGTTTGTGTCTCCAGGCCGAACTATGTTCCAGATCATAACTGTCCCATCTGACAAAGAAAAACTTCAGAGTGCCAACTACAATAAACCATCCGCTGGTACGTGATTGTATTTTACATCTATTACATGAAAATGTTGTAATTTGAATTTCTTTATGAGTCTGCTCACTTCTGTTTGCATTTGCAGACGAGTTGTGTATTGATGTGTATGAACAGGGGGCTCTGAGGTTTTTGCTCTTATTTGATGTGGTCATTTTCTTACCACAGTGCCTCGAGAGACTTTCTCAGGTCTCAAACCTAGCACTTTAAAGCAACTCGGACAGACTGTTCCTGCAGCTAAGCAGGTGAAAATCACACACACAAAACAACAAATACAAAGAAAAATGCAATGATAGATAGAAACTACACTAACCTCACTTTTTTTCACAGGAATCCTCCGTCTCACCAGACGGTGACCAGTCTGTGTCTCTATCCTCTGACAAAAGAGTTAATATCCTGTCAGTTGTGCCTTTCAAACAGCAGACCATCTCCAGCTTTGTCAGTATACCACTGCTGTTTGTGCAACTTTTAATCTACTTGTTCATCTTTCTGGGTGTCTCTTGTTTCTTAATTTGTTGACTATTCTTGCTCCTCTTGACTTTTTAAGGATTTGGGGCTGTCCACAGCACGGGGAAGGGGTCGATGTAAGAATCCGTCCTGTGACTACATGTATAAAAACAGACATAAGCCTGCAGTCTGCCCTAAATGTGGCTGTGAGCTCAACCAGAAGAACATCAAAGAGAAAAAGGTGAAAGCTTACGTTCTTGGTCTCTATTTGAGTGCAGAAAACAGAAGATTAGTTTGAAGCTGCCTCTTGACCCCTTTACGAACCTCATCTCAACTATGGATCACCAAGCAGTTCATTTCAAGCACTACATTTCATAGGATGGATGTCTTTTGTCCCTATAGATTATCTGATAATAAGAGCTAACCAAAAACTTACAAAACTTCTTTTCTTAGTCTGGGACCCTGCTCAATCCATACCAGCCCCTGAGTCCTGCTCAGAAGGACCTCCAGCGCCAAAATACCGTACAGCTTCTGCAGCGCTTCCTGCAGATTCCAGAGAGTGAGACAGAGCTCCAAGAAACCATGAACCTCATCCAGGAGCTAAACAGCCTCCAAATCGTCTTGGTCCAACCAGGAAACCAAGGGCAGGGGAGCAGTGTAGAGACGGAGACTCTGGTGGAGTCTGGGTGGCCTCAGTTTTATGAATCTGCAGCTACCCACTGTGGCCTGTGTAACTATCCACTCTTTAAAGGAAGTCAGAGGTGAGTGAAAAGAGACACTCCTGTTTCAAGCATGTGTTTCTCACTAATGTATTTGTGCCTGTGAACATTTGTGTGTCGGTGCATCCTAGCTCTGTTGCAGGACAAGAGGTATGCTGGCTGCTTACTGAGACACTGATGCAAACAGCCTCCCTGCAACTCAAAGTGTGTCTCAATGTCCAGTGTCTGGCTCTGCACAGCTTCACTGACCTGCATCCAGGTAAACAACATCATTATCTGCAACTTGTTCATCAGATACAGAAAGTGTTGATCACCCAATCTGGGCAGATTTTCCATGCTCTTTGGAGAATTTTTTCCTTTTTTTTCCACCAAGAATGTGAATTATCGGTGCTGAAATGGCATGTTTGATATACAACAGATAGCACTTTTTCTCTATGTTAAAATATCCACTTTCACCTTCTCTTAAACCAGTGGTTCTCAATCCAGTCCTCGAGGCCCTCTGTCCTGCATGTTTTGGATGTTTCCCTGCTCCAACACACCTGATTCAAATGATCATCTCGTTATCAAGCTCTGTAATGGCTTTATAACGAGCTGATCATTTGAATCAGGTGTGTTGGAGCAGGGACACATCCAGAACATGCAGGACAGAGGGGGCTCGAGGACTGGATTGAGAACCACTGTCTTAACCCTGTAAGACCCAGTGTTACTAATTGATCCCATATTTTTTTTTCAACATGTTTGCAAAAAATGTTTCAATCAAACCAGCTGGAATTTCATTAATATAAAGATCAAGAACAAGGCTGCATCAAGAGCGGTGTGCCCCACCTCCACTTTTTATTTTATTTTGTAGGTTTTTTTTTTGTTTGTTTTTTTGTTTTTGTTTTTAATTTTTTTTATTTCTATTTACCTTTGCTGTTTATGTAAAAGAAAAAAGCAAATAAATAAAAAGTTAAAAAAAATATATATATATATATAAAGATCAGAAGGTGTTTTTGATGTAAAAGAAATGAGAAATGCAAATATTGTCACCCAGTTTCTCCACTATTTAATTGCTTAGTATACAGTATAACATAGTAACCAGATACATGCTGGCCCTCCTCATTTGGTTTTGTTATCCTTGTGGGCAGAACACTGTAATAAAACTCCACTATTATGTTTGAGTCATGATTCTGGCAGCAATAATCAGCCATAATTTACTAAGTGCACACAAGTTGCTTTTTTCAATATTTGGCGTATTGTTTTACCAGCCTTTTCTTTTGTCATTTATGTTTACTGAAAGGTTTGTTCAACATCGGGAACAGACTGCTGGTTAGTATTGATCTGTTCCTGAAAATCAGGGCAAGTATCAAAATGGGCAAACCCCCATCTGAAGCAGCCAGGACTATACTAGACCAGATCCCAAATCACGCAGGTAAACACTGAATTCAACTCCATATTGAGTGAATCTGCTTTGTTTGCTGTCCTCTGTGTCATAGATAATTCTAACCTTTTTTTTTCTGCATCAGTCCACACTCTGAGTCCAGAGGAGTTATCTCAGATTCAAGAGCTTCTTCTGAGTGGATACTGGGCCTTTGAGTGTCTTACAGTGCGAGATTATAATGATATGATCTGCGGCATTTGTGGTGTTGCTCCCAAACTGGAGGTCGCTCAGCGATACACAAAGAATGTGCTGGAGTTGAAGAATGTGGAGGTGAAAGATTACGTCTTATAATTAAAGTCAACAAAATTTTGGTGTTGTGACGACACTCTGTGTTGACCTTTCCACACCTTTTTGTTGTGTCCACAGTTCACCTGGCCTGAGTTCTCAGTGTCAGATGAGGTCCACGTGGATGACTTCTGGCTAACCATGGAAAGTGAGGCCATTGAGCAGGCAGCTTTTCCTACTGACATCCCCATCACACGGGTGGATGCTTCTATCATCGCTCCCTTCATCCCACCCTTGATGAGGAGTACTACTGTGATCAACACGGAGAAAGACAAGGTCCAGTCACCTGCGCAGCAGCCTGCAGGTGCCTCACTCTTTCAAACTTCTGCTGAATTCAACCACTTACACACATTAATCCTCTGATGGAAAAAAAATCAGTTGACAAACACTCTGTATTCAGAATGTAGGAAAAAGGGAGAAAATAGGTTTATATATACAGTATATCTGTGTAAATTATATTGGTTGATACTATAGAGACAGAGGTGGAAAAATATGATAATTTTGAATGATGTCATTCAAAGTTTAAGGTTTTAATATTTTAATTTTGACATTAATGTTTTATGTTTATTCATTTTCCGGCGATCTACGTGAGAATCTTTGTTCGGGATTTGTTTTTTTTTTTGTTTTTTTTTTTAATTTAACAACAAAACAGTGACAACAACAACAACAACAAAAAGATAAAAAATAAAAAATTTACAAAAATACTTTTGTGAGGGAGAGGAGGGGGAAAGAATTTATATAATATGTAATAGAGAATTTAACAAGAAAAGAAAAAAAAATCTTAATTGGATTACATTGTTCGGGATTTTTAGATATGCCTAATTTATAATGAGTGTATTTTGTAGTAGAATTTGAAAACCCATAAAGCTTGTTTTTTAACCTCTCCGTAGGTGATCCATCAGTTCTGGTGCGTCTCATTCATGATGGTCAGCTGAGACTCGACAAGATTGAGGATCATAATGAGGACGAGCTCAGAACAATGCTGAACTGCTGCGGGGCCAGCATTGCTCCAGGCACCTCTAAGGTGTGTCTGTGTGTGTGCCTGTGTGTTTGAGTGTGTGTGAGTGTTAGTTTGTGCTTGCTGTTTTTTTTTTTTAGTGTGGGAGAGCAAAAGAAACACAGAGTGTCTCTGTGCTCATTGTGCTCACATGATTTTGCAGTTGAGTTTTAATGACCGGAAGTTAACACGTGGACTGTGAAATACAACCTAGAAAACACATCTTAGAGTTTGAGTGAATGTGCTAATCATGTGATAAGTTTACGGTCTAAATAGTGGGACCCCCTCCCCTTATACCCAAACACACACTCACTCACTCAGGCCACGTCTGGAAAGTGTGTTGCTTAAGGGCAAGCTGTCAAGGCAGCTTGGATTTGATTAAAATGTGATTTTTTTTTTTCCTAAAATTGTGTTCATCTGATAACACCGCTCTAAACACATCAGTGCTGGAGTGTTTTAATCAAAGCCTCCCCTGTCTCTACCCAACAGAACGAGCTGCTGGCTTCTCTCATCTCCTTGTACTCAGTCGTCCACAATGGCCTCTCAACCGCCCCTCAGCCCCCTCCTCAATTTACTGCCGGCAAGCTGTCCAAGGTCTGCCCTCACAAGGTACGAGCCCTGTCATTCCTCAATCAAGACATCCAGTTAGATGTTAAATAAATAAAACCTTAAAAGTTTTTCCTTTTAAAAAGATAAGCTAACAAATCTCAAACTATGAAAAAAGCAACATGACATGAGTGTTTATGTAAAGATGAATTGAAATGCTGTAAAACAAAGATTTTGTCTATTATCAATGTCCAGGTGGTGTGCTGCTCAAAGTACTTAGTGAGAGGGGAGACAGCTCGAGACCATGTTGACCTGCTCCTGTCCTCCCGCCACTGGCCCCCTGTCTATGTCAGCGACTGCTCACGTCAGGTGGCGCTCTGTGCTGACATGCAGTACCCAGAACTGGCAACCCAGATGTGGGGAAGGAACCAGGGCTGCTTCTCTGACCCTTTAGAAAAGGCGGAGGTGAGTGATTGAAATATCTGATTAGATCAAAAGAACTCAAAGGTTTGTTAGTTTTTGTTTCTGTGCTTGACTACCTCTCACCCTCATCCCATAGTTTGTGTCATGCCCTGAACTGCAAGAGCAGCCGTACAACGCCAACCTGTCATTGGCTGCAGAGAACCTGCACGTCCACCCCATAACCAAATCGTCCAGTTGCTGGTTGGTTCACCCTCCTGGAGTTGCTAAGGAGCCTCCAGAGCACTACTCGATGGCCCTCTGCAGAGACCTGGAGCCTTACATCAGCCTGGTGGATGAACTGGAGAAAGAGAAGCCACATGCAGAGGGTGAGGAAGAAATAGAGCAGAAGGAACATACAGACGTGAACGACTCCTGTGAGAAATCAGAGGAGTGTTCCTCAGTCAGTAATTTATGGCAGCAGCCTGTGGTTTTCAACAATACTGCTTATTACTACCTCTACAACCGCCTGGTGGATTTCCTCACGAGCAGGGACATTGTAAGTCAGCAGATTAACCAGGTGGTGAAAGACTGCCAGCCTGGGGAGGTGGTGATCAGAGACGCTCTGTACCGACTGGGAGTGGCACAGATCAACACAGAGAGGAGAGAACATGAAGGGAGTGGGACAGAGGGACAGACACAGCAGGATGGGACGGAGACATACGTCCTACTCCCTGAATGAAAGTACACATGATGAAGTTTTCTGCAATGAAGAAGAATAAGATGCAATCACAGGTGTGCCCTGAAATTAAAAAAAGAGAGAGAGATAAGAAGAGACACGGTGCTTATCTTTATACTGTAAATGAGGAAGCAGAATAAGTAGGTTACTGTGTTGGAGGCTTCTTTACATCTAAACTGAAGAGCCAGTCTGCCCAGCAGCTCACTCTTCAGTTATACGGGGTTATCAGTGAGGAAATAGACAGAGTGATTTGGAAAAAGGAGGTTAACTTTACAGAAAATTTCTACAGAGAAGAAAAAAGAAGCAGAGGGGTAAATTTTCTGACTAAAAAACATCTTTGACTAAAATGTAATTTGTCAGCATCATTAACAACAGTATCAGTGGTTGTTCTTGAGGTTTATAGAAAAGGGCCCTAAAGCAGCAGACACTCTAACACACCCCTCATTGTTAGTCTCCAAATAAAGATATTTGCATTTTCATGTTAAGAGTCTGTATTGTGGAAGCAGCAAATGTTATCCACTCAATCCGCCGTCATGTTAGTGTGTTTTTGAAGAATGAAATAGACCCCGCGCTGAGGGTCCAATTCTGTTTTGAATGATCAGATATCAATTAAATTCAAACAAATTTATTTATCTCTTGGCAGGAACTTTTTGTTTTAGAAATGACTGGGAGCATTTTTCAGAAAGTGAAATACATCTACACTGCTTTCAGTACACACAGGATGGAGGTCTGACAAGTGGCGTGTTTTTCCCTCCTTGGATCTGTCTACTGCTCTGACATCGTTCTGCAGTTTTTAGGATGTTTGAAGACAAAAGGACAGACACTGCTTCCCCCTGTACCAGCAGAACGGCTAACATCAATTAACCCCTGACCTACAACGTACTAATTGCATCTTCTCTGACACGCTAAAACAAGCTAACACACACACACAATTTAAAATTTGCCACCACCAAAGCAAATATGAATCCCAGCCACAAAAACAGTAGACAATCGACAAGCCTAGAGGCCAAAAGCAATTTGAGTACAGCCTTTTCATTCGCTGTTGTTTGGAAAACAGAAATAAGTTCTCCTTGTACTCCCCTCCTTCAAGCACAGATATCCAAGTGTCTGTCTAAATCTGGAGCCACCCGTATCTAGCAGACAAAAAGAGTAATGTGCATATCATTTCATTCATAAAAGTGACCCCAATGTCATCTCAGGGTCCTTGTAAGAGGTGAAGTGGGTCACCCCACTTTCAGGGGTTTTTAGCAAATAGGTGGTGACATCTTGGCTGGTTCAATGTGTGTTATTCCTGACACAATTAAGATTGATGATTCACTTAATACAACTTTATGCCTTGTTACACATCCAGTTTCCTCCGTCCACTTTAGACCATGAACCCCATATGGTTGAACAATAGTCTTGAAGAACAAAAATATTGTTTTATGAACTGAAGGATTAAAACAATGTTTGAATTTTTTAGCAGTCAAAAGGTGTTAGCTAGCCTTAATGTATATATTTACCTGCTGTATGAATTCTCCTGTTTGTCCAGAGACATTTTCTGCTTTGACTTTTACAATCTCACCTCTCAACCTGCCATGCGATGCCTTTTGGACTGATGTTGGCTTTCAGAAAGTGATGATTAAATGTGTATCTGTGAAATCCAATGGACAACACTGGACCTTCTTTTTCCTTCTATATATCTGCAGATTCAACAAGCGACATCTAGAATCAGCTACTTTTCAACCAATCAGAAGTCAGCCTTTGAGAAAAAAAACAGATGTTCAGTAGGCCCACTCATCAAGTGCATCTGGCCTCTTCATATCCATATTAATGCTTTGATAAACCATCAGAAAATGATGGATTAGCTGGACTTTAATCAATCTTGGAGGTTTTCTAGGGTGTTGAAATTCAAATAATTTCCTGTTGGTTGAAGCACATCACAGAAGAGGAACATACTGTATTTTGAAAAGAACAGTTGAACCAATCATATTTTCTTAGATTAAACTGCGAAAGCAACAAATAAATGATTAACTACGCAGTTCTGCTGAGATCCACTGTGGTCAAAAGGTTAAACAAAGAACATAAAACCAAACGCAGAATTAAAGAGATAATCATCAATTTATTATCTATAAAAACACTCATACATACAGTAAATATGAATAAGGCAGATACATTGCAACATGATTTGTTAGCTTTTTAAAGTTTAGATTTGCTTTAATCTGTGAAGTAGAATAAATGTCATTCAGCTGCAAACTGCACCTTAGATAATTACTGTTAACTTGTTATCTGAAACCACATCACTTCCTATCACGGGCTTTTTCCCTCAAGCATCATCACCAGGGTTGTGGTTTTACAGGGAACAGTGTGCAAAAAGGAACAGGACTCTGTGAACGAAAACGTGTTTCAGTCAGTGTTTTGTTTCCAACTAACCCTAAAATACACTGAGTGCTAAAAGGTCCATTTTTATGTTTTCTCTTCCCTGAAGTTACTTTGATACACGAGTACAATTTCCTGCTCAAACATCTTTTTGTTTACTAAAGTAAGGAGGTTACCACAGGAAATGGCTGCACAACTTTTAAAAAACTGATTTGGTTTAAGTGCAACTGAGTACAGTATTTATGTTAACCTGCAAAAAAACATATATTCTGCAAAACCAAATAAGAAAAGCAAAAATTATGATGATCCCTGTGTGTGTTTGTGCTGCTGCTTTTGAGATCATTAATCCTGTCTGTAAGTTAGGACATTTTACACACAGTTACGAAAAGAAAAAGGAAGGAAGCATTAAAGGCCGTGGAGACCGGAGAGCTGTACTGTTAGGACTTTAGTTACTTTATGATGAAAAGTTAAATTCGGTCCTTTGTATGTCTGACACTGCACAAAGTGGACACTAAAGTTATCCTCACTGAGAAAAAGACTGAAGACTTCAGCACAGATAAAGAAGACAGCATACAGACTTTAAGTCGTTCAAAATATTTCCCTCCTTAGATTTCAGAGTTGTGCAACATCAACATTTACTGTGGGAAATGTTCCAGAGGAAATGCGGATTGGACATTATCCAATGGAAAACAGGAAGTAAGCAGAGCAGAACTTGCCTGCAGCCCAGTTTCTATCAGAACACCATATACAATGAAGAAAAACCTAGCTAAGAAATACCTTTCACAACATCAAAAGTCAGTTTTTACAATATATTGCAAAACAGGGCTTCTTTGGACGGCTCTTCAGCTAAAGTGAGTTTATTGGCAGCTTTTGATTTGATTGTCTTACTTGCTCAAACAACAAAACCAATATATGACATAATAATGTACTACTATCTACTCTACAACATACATGTGAAAATAAAGATGATTTTTGATTTACATCATGCGATATATACATTACTAGACATCCCACTCTTGTGTTTCATTCAAACAGAAGCACAAATGAAATGCCTGAAATCACACAAATCAGCAGTCTGTATCTGTCTAATAGCTTATATGTTATTCTAAAATCTTCATACAGTTGGCAGTGTAGGCTGACTGCTACATATAGACATCCATGAAGCATACATCCTAAAACTCGTCTTTCACATTGTTCATCTGATCCACTGCAGATTCCACAGATTTCCCTGCTCAGTTCAGCTGTATTCCCTGCTCCAAAACCACACTGAACACTGGTTAATTAATTACACTGAAGCCAAACAATCACATGAATCCGCTAATGGACAGCTGCAGTTAGTGTGTCACAAGAGAATCAGCTATGACCAAAGCACATAAAGGAAACAACAGGGTCATTCTTTGCCTTCTCCACGGTCCAGTTAGCATGTTTAAAACAGGGGGCCACACTTACTCTGTCTGGATGCTCAATTTAGGTGACCAGAGTACATAACACAACTTGTCTTGTACAAAAAAAAAAAAGGTATATGGTGCAGGTTTAAATTCAGTGTTTTTAACTCGTTTTTCTGAGAAACCATACATGCAAAAAACTGATGAGAAGGAAGTGAGCCTGCTGACAAAAATAAAACATCCACTTTCGTGAGGCAGCGATAAACATGTAATGAACACACAAATTCTCTTTTGGATAAACATATTACGCAACAGATAAAACACAACAAGGAGTGGCAAACAGTCCATTGGGGTAAGGTACGGCTTCTGATGCTTGTGTGGTTTGTTGACGTGTTTCCTTCTTTCATGTCTGCAGTCGTAGTTAGACGTGGCAATTTCTAGTCATGGTCTGCAAAGAAGCAAGTCACATGCTCGCTGCAGCTGCTTGTCTGTCTGGAGAGCAGGCACGACAGGCAAAAATAGCTGTGAGCGCGACTCTCTGCAACTGTCCGGGCATTTGGAGGAGCTGTGGTGCTCTAGCAGCAAGCTACAGCTGCATCCCAACTTTCCTGATGCTTGTTGATGAGTGATTTGTTTTTTGATGATCAATTGGTAGCTAAGGTTTTCAACAAAACTGGTAGTTGTTGGTCTTCATCAGTGGCTGCTCCTCTTCCTCATGGTCACAAGACTGGTCACAGGGGCCTTCGCAGCACTTGGGCTCGTCACACACTTCTTCCTCAGTGACCTGCTGCTGCACATTCTGGTAGATTAGCTGTGGAGAGGATCATTATCATGGTTACCTTCAATCCAAGAAAGCCAAACACTGGCTTAGTTAGAAAATCATGGAGTGATAAGTCAACAGCCATCTAACATGTAATTTTCTGATTCTATTTTTGCTTTTTTATGTGGAACGGGGTCCATTTTGTTTGGGGGAAATGCCCTTGAGTAACAGTACCCAAATAAAAACCAAATGAATTTCTTTAGTTGGGTAGCCGCATCATTAATTCTGCTCCCTTTTTCGGGAGGGGTTTTACGAGGACATCTTGATTAGTGTCCCGTGTTTCGAATCACAGGTAGTTTTGCTAAAGCCAAATCAAAGTTATCAAACTCTGTGTTATCCAAAACCCACCTGCTCCTGCTCTGATTGGTCCCCAAGTAGTCTTTCTATCATCTGTGAGATCTTGCTAAACGTGGGACGCTGTGTGGGCTCCAGATTCCAGCACATCTTCATGATCATGTAACTGAAACGGAAAAACAGCAACCATGAAAAAGCTGATTTATTGCAGTCCAGGCTCACTAGACAAGATAAAATAGCAGTGGACTCATTACAGGGCTTACGTATATACCAGACTGTGCTCCCATAGTTCAAAGTTTATGCTTTAATATCTAAATACTGTGTAAAGTCAAATCAGACAAAAAAGAGGTGGAGTGTGGAGACAGTGACGCAGATTCATAAGGGACTCGTTCATAAGAACCTCTGCCCTTCCAGTCGAATTTTGCTGCCGTGAAATAGCAGTTACATGGCTTCCTGGCTTTGAGATCATGTGGCTAACAGGCAGAACTGAGGCCTGACTCACAGCAGAACAACAGATGATTAGACCCTGACTCAGATTCAGTCCTGTTCATTTCCACTGGAGAGTTATTCAGAGTGTTGTGACAGCCTCGCCAAGTGAGCACACATGGATGTGAGGGTCCTGTGGGACACTCAGTAAACTCCTAATTTTTTACATCTCAGTGGCTCTCTTAATCTAGTTTGGGTTTGTTGTGACTCAGTTCTGGGCTAAAGGAGAGCCAAAGGCAGTAAATAAATGTAGAGTTTTTTTTATGAAGTTACCTCATGTGTCAGTTATATCAGATGGCCGATAGGGCAAACAACTGGCGAGGAAGAAAAGGATCTTTGTTCAGCTGTAATGAACATTTGGGACGCTGACCATGTAAAAAGTCCAATTTCAAAGCCCTCTAGCTTTTACAGATCAGTCATTGTATGCACTTATGTCAGCCTAAATGTTAGAAGGGGTTACTACATGTTAGCAATAGCTAACAAGTTAGCAAGAGTAACAATTTAAGAGGCAGACAAGTTGAGTGTGCATGTTTTACAGGCTGATAAAAAAGGTACCTTTTATCCCTGACTCACTTGTAAAAATAACCTGCTGAGAGTCACTTGATGCTGCAGTAAATTTCCCCTCAGAGTCTGTGGTACTGAGCCAAGCATTAGCATTAGCATAAAACCCTCTTAAAGCAAAGAAAACAAGTGATCCATCTTTGGGAAGACTAACTGTCACTGAACGGTGGAGCTTACATCTCAGGTGGTGCAAAGTCCGGTTGGGACATCTGGTAGCCTCGCTTCACCATCTTGTAGAACCTGGAGTCCACTGCAATGCTGGGATAGGGGCTCTTCCCTGAGGAGGAATATTTAATTCAGTTTTTTTCTCCTGGCAAATCATGACATGATTGTGTGTAAATGTATGGATCATTTTTTAATGTTCATACCTAAGGAGAAGATCTCCCAAAGAAGGATGCCGTAAGACCAGACGTCGCTCTGGACGGTGTAAACACACTCAAAGATACTCTCAGGAGCCATCCACTTCACTGGCAGACGCGCCTTCACATACAATGTGTAGACAAACACAATTTGTACTTCAAATTAAATCAGCTCATGAATAGGTTCAAGTGAAATGAATGTCATAAAAATGGGCTTACATTGCCCTTGACTACGTAGTTGGAATCATTCATGATGTCTCGTGCTAGGCCAAAGTCACAAATCTTGGCCACTCTGCGGTCAGTCAAGAGGACATTCCTGGCAGCTACATCTCTGTGAATACACTACAATACACACACATACACACACACACATACATAGTGTGACTCGGGGGTTTAAAATGTGTTTAGATAAATGAATGGAGTGAATCCCCAGTCAAAGAGGATGAATTGTCAACTATGGAGATGAGTAAATCCCAAGGATGTCTGGGGAAACTCCCCTCTTAACCCCTTAAAAATTAATGTCACACCCTACATTCATTATCACCATAAACACACGAAACACAACGCCATGTTAGTATTCTGTTATTTTGTGGGTAATCCCCGCTCTTAAAGGAAATCAAACACTGCTGCACATTACCGTAGTAGTAATTTCTGTCTGATATTTTTTACACTAAGATCCTTATAATTGTAAAAATCACTCACGTTCTTTGCTGCTAGGAAGTCGAGACCCTGAGCCACTTGAAAGGAAAACCTCAGCAAATCATCTATATCCAGCGGCCAGTCACCAGTCTCCTCACACAAAGATTCTTAGAGAAAACCATCGCAGAGGAGTTTGAGATGAAGTCAGAGATACTACTTTGTGAAAAGGTGCTTTATAATAACAGCGGATGATTGTTTTACCGCGTGATGATTCTGTGTTTGAAGGGTAGCTTGGTCTCATCTCCAAGTAGCTGCTTGAAGAGGTACTGGAGATCCCACTGTCACTGTTGGATGAACAGAAACAGTAGACAGACAGAGTGGTGTGTCAGCAGAAACAGATAACACAGAGATTATTTTCCACGAACCCTCAATCATGACATCGCACGTGTTTGTTGATGTACCTCCTGATGAACTGTTTCTGTGTGCAGACGTTCTTGTAGTCATTTGAGTTCTCTGTAATGTCGGGGATGTTCATGACAAAGTTCACAAACGTCTCTCCCTTCTGGCGCAGAAAGTTCAGGAGGTCACCGAGACTGCAGTACTCTGTGATCACGAGCACCGGTCCTGAGGAGAGAGAGCACACGTGTCACCACCTTTCAACAGAGGAGAACGCCAAAGAGCCTAAACCGGCTTCACATGAGAGGTTAAATTTCAGATGCTGTCTGACCTCCGTAGGTGCAGGCTCCCAGCAGATTGACGATGTTCTTGTGGTGTCCTAAATGGCTCAGGATTTTTAGTTCAGACATGAGAGCCTCCCTCTCATCTGAATGGGCACTGGCTGCAGAAACACAATGAAGATTGCCAACATGATACCATCCTGTCCTATCATGTGAAACAAATGACTTTAGATGTCCTTCAAGGATAGCTTTGAATCTCTAAATCAGATGAATTTTTCACCCTATGTAGAACATTGTCAGATTCGCTAGTCATTCTGGTTTGCTCATGTAACAAGTGTCTCTCTGTTCATTTTAAGGGTCTAACCTTTTAACATCTTTACAGCCACACGCATCACGTTGTCCTCCTTTCCCAGACCGTAAGCCGTGGCCTCGACGACCTTTCCAAAAGCTCCTGCCCCGAGGATCTTCCCTGCTTGGACAGAGTAAAACAAGGCCTGTTATGCATCTCTAAATTTCAGATTTAACATTCAGTTCTTTTTGTTTGTTTTTTCTGATTTTATCATGATCATATTAGTTTTTTTATGCAGAACAGAAACAGGCCATATGTGACCAAATGTGACAATCCACAGGAGTATTTTAGTCATTTCAGGACCAAATTACACACACCTAGCTTCAGCTTGTCTCTGGGGAACTCCCACTTCTCGTTGTATGGCAGCTGGGTGGGGTCAATGAAGGTGTAGTTGTTTCCATCTCTTGCCTCAATGATCTTCCAGCGGACTTCGTATCTTGGTTTCTGAAGATCAAAAATGGACACAAAATGCAGTTTACCAAAATGAAGCATAAACTAAAGCATGTCAGTATTTTACAAGTTACCTTCAGTTTATTTCAGTGGTTAACTTGGAGAATTTCACTAAAACTGACCTGCTTGTATTTGTAGAACAGAAAAACCAGCAGCACAAGCAGGATGGCCAAAATCCCTGCTGCTCCCGTCAAGGTGGAGGTGAAGAGTTTGTCTGAAGAATCAAAATGAGAGCTGTGTTAGTACATGACAGACCCTAAGAGTGTCACATGCTCATGTTTTCATATTTCTGTGTGGATGGAGTACAAGGTTAGACAAGTTTATGGGATGTAGAATTGCTCTAAATAGATAACAACAGGATCATGCAGTTTTTCAACAACTACAAAAGGGTCATCTGACCATGACAACAATAATCTCATGAATCAACATTAGATTTGGTTGGAGCTCCGTCCATGTGACTGCTCAAAGACAGTTTCATGAGGCCAGTATCAGAGATCTCAGTCTAGAAAGAACAAACAATGAGGATTTATGAAGAACTCACCAGAAACCTCCATGGCAAAAGTGTCACTGCTGACACCGGCGAGGTTAAAGGCCACACACTCAACTGTCATCCTGCGCCTGGATGGTCCCACAGTGAGGACGCTCTCCACCTCAACAGCCCCATACTCCTCCCTCTGGACCTCCACAGTGGGAGCCTGGAGAGAGGTTGCCAGCTGCAGCCCTGAGGTGTTTTCGTTACACCTGCCAAACACAAAGGCGGTCAGACAAGCGTCAGTAGGATCAGAGATGATCGAACTTTACATCATGGCTCGTGTCATGGGTGAGCCTTTTTTAAGAATTCAAAGACACCTTCTGTTACTTACGTGGGCCGTATCCCAAAACACTGGTACCAGATGATTCTGGGAGCAGGATAACCAAAGGAGGTGCAGGTGAGAGTGGTGATGTTTTCCCATCTTACCACAGCAACAGGTTTCTCTGCCAAAGACAAGAGAAATGGGAAAAAAATTAATACTGATAAAAATGATTAGATTTGATAGAAAATTTGATTTCTTTTATACTCAAGAGGATTTAAATCATGCATCACCCAGTTAAAATGTTTACTGATTTAATATGCGATTACTATGTGTCACTTACGATACATTTGGACGTGGAATGTAATGGATGCATTGGCCAAGTTGCTCTGGGCATAGAAAGTGTATTGCCCTTGCTCCTGTGCGTTCATCCTCTTCAGCTGCAGAGTAGCATGGTATCTAAAAACAACCCATAAGGAGCTTTAAAATAAGACAAAAGAGGAATGTCTGCATAATCCTAAATGACTAACTCTGCGGTTTGGACTCAGACATTTCCAAACTATAACCGTCAAGTATGTCAACAAGTCAGAAAGCAGAACATTATTCTTCCGTCTTGTAGGAGTTTCATGACCTGAGAAGATGACCCTGGTGTTCCCTGTCAAATTTAACCTAAATGCACTGACAGCACTTTTTTTACAGGGTAGCTTCCTCTTACTGTAGTGCACTTGTTTTCTTTTTCTATTAAAAAAAAACATGCAGACACGTAGGAGCCATGAAACACAATGATTAGGAACCACTGTTGTCTGGGCTGGGTGTTGTACCTGTTGTTGTATCTGATGAGTTTATGCTCCTGTGTTGACGTATTAGGAGATGTTGGTGTGTGCCATCTGTGCTCTGTAATCTGAGGGTATGCTTCGATAAGCACAGTGAGCTCCAGATCTTCTCCCTCGTTCACTTCCACTGAAAGACCCTTGAGAGCCAACTTGGGGGACAGCTGAGGCAGCAGCCTGATGTAGGGCTTGTCTGGTTAGGAGATTTGAAGAGTTTGTTTGTAGCTCTTTATACATGTTTTAGACATTTAGACACTTGAGAAGTTGAAAGTTTTCTTTGGCTTACCTACAACCAGTAAGTACGTCGCTGAACTGTTCACACCTGCTTCGTTTGTCCCAATGCAGGAAATGTTTCCTGTGTCTGTCAGGTCTACAGCCGAAATAGTAAAAATGCTCTGGATGTCCAGACGATTTTCTCCACTGGAGTGAACCCTCTCCTCTATCAAAGGTTTCTGATGAAGGAAAACACATCACAGATGAAATTTTCAGCTCTTAATAAAGTAATGAAAACTCTCAGAATACTTCAGACTGACCGACTTGGTGGTGTATTTCCAGGTGACGTTGTAGTTGAAGTTGGGGTTGTGCGTCGTGCAGATTATCTTGAGTTCCTCACCAACTATACGCACATATTCATCCGTCTCAAGGAAGACATACGGAGGGAAACGTAGCTCTAAAGTAGGAAATAATCAAACATGAGTATCAGACTTCTTTTCTTATAGCGTTAAACCAATAATTTTGACCGTGAAGGTGCCTCACTCTGAATGACGTTGATGGAAAACGCTCTGGAGGGCCTCTCTATCCCGTTGACTTTGGCTGTGCATACATAGTCAGCGTTGAAGCTGGGACGTAAATTATGTATTAGGACACCACGATGCCGAAAAACAGTGAAGTTCATTCCCGGGGGAACAGTGGTGCCATTGTCCATGCGGAGGCCCAAGTCTGTGGCTGTTGGGTCAGTCAGCAAACAGGGCAGCAAGTAGTCCTCACCTTCCTTTCTCACCACACGCAGCGTGGTGCTGCTGGTCCAGAACAGCCGGTTTGGGTCTAGAATTGATACATAATCAAACCAAAAAAAACATGGAGTAACATGTTGGGCTATTTTATAAAGAGAACTGTTGAAAATGATGAGTCCAAGAACACAGATTGCACAAATACCAACAGGACTCTTCAGGCTCACCTTTTACATACACATGCACAGAAGAGGTCAGCTCATGGGACGGTGATCCAGCAGTGTAAAAACACTTATACGTCCCAGTGAATTCTGCAGAGGGACGCTCCACCTTCAAGGTGCGGACCTTCCCATTGCCTTTAGAAATAAAGCGTCTGTGTTTAGCAAGCCTGGTCTGCCAGTTCACAGGCCCGTCTCCCTCACACCTCAGGTCCAGAGGGATCCCAGGTTTGACCACCACCTCAGAGCTGCTTACCACCTTAGAGTTGAGCTTGATCACTGGACGCCTCCATTCTGCTAAAGAGGAATACAAATGTTACATTTCATCATGTGATGAATAAAAGCATTTGCAATGGGAAAACATAGAAAGAATGCAAACAACTGAATGAAAATAGACTTTGATGTTGAGTATTTAGTGTGTTTCCTCCTTCATAATCGTAGCTTTTGTCTCAGTTGCTGTCTTCTTTTAAATACACAAGACCTCAGGGCAGTCTGTGGATCACGAATCCCATTTATTTTGAAAGTTCCCCCATGAATTCAGGAGGAAGTTGTGAGGACATGGACCCAAATAACATCCCAGTCCTTCTCACTCGTGCTCTTTACAATGCTGCTCTCTCAACACTGGGGATCTAAAAACTTTTTAAGATGTTAATGATGTGTTTGTTACTGTTGTAGTCTCACCCGAGCCGTACATTATCAAACCAAACAAGAGAAAAGACACAGCACAGAATCAAGCGTAAAAAAGAGAGCAATATATTTCATGCATCTTAATAGAAGACTCTGTTGAAGCAGATCATCACCCTCAGGGAGCTGAGAAGAAAGATTTACCGAGAACAATGCTCTCTTTGATGATATTGTGGAGGATTTGGAAGTTTCAGCTGCACCAATCACTGCATCTGTAATTTATTTTGGGATGGACCAGTATTGCAGCACTGATTGACACTGGAGGGCCTGAATGAGCTGAAATGCTCTCTTATTTAAATTTGAGTTCATCCTTTTACCTAGTTAGTTAAAGAAGTTTCCATGTAAAGGTTTTCACAGGGTGATTTGAGGCTTGAAGCAGAACTGAGACTCCATGATCAGCATTTTCTTTCACTTTTTCACAGCAGATAAGCAAACGTGGGGAAGAGACGAGGAATCAACTTTAGGAGTTTGGAACCAATTTGAACCTCCTGATTGTAGGTGTAAACACGTTTCAATTCCTTGAAAATCCCTGTTCACTCAAATGAGCTATTCATCCAACCTCGTTATGACCCTGAATACACCTCAGACAGTAATGCAGCAGAAAGCGAAACTAATCCATTCAGCCAAAATTAACACAAAACAACAGATGCTTTTATGCTCTCAAATGCAAATACATGAAATCGCAATTTGATGCTCAGCAAGTCACACTCATATATGTGTTGTTTTCAGCCAAAGCAAAGCATCCAAAATAAAAAGAGAGAATGAATCACAAGAACAAGCCCAAAACAACTCATGATGTCGCAGACAATTGTCCTGCTGATTAGATACAATAGAGTGCCACATTTCAGATGGTGAGGCTGCAGAGTTCGTGAAGATCTTCTGTACAGACCACGAGTTTGTGCCATGAAATGTGCGGTGAAATCATTTGAGCTTCATACATGAGAAGTCATGTTTCGGTAAAATAGCGGGTTAGCTGTGTTGCATGTAAACCCCTTTAAAGGATATATTTCCTTTGAGCTGTGTTCATATTAAAAACTTTGATTAAGTAGTAAAGAAGCTGTTTAAAGGTTTTATCTTTCTCATCAGACTTCAAATCCTTCTATTCAATCTAATCCAAACAAGTTTTAACTGCATAAGATTATCTCTCCTTTACATGCATTTCTTTACTCTGCAGTGGATTTCTCATTTAAATCAATGAGAGCTGTAAATAGACAAGTTAAAAAAGGCTCTTAATGCAGCCTTCAGGGTCTTACCTGAAGCAGCAGATGCCACAATCCCCAGCAGCAGAGTGAGGAAGGACTGCATCCTTGATCAACTCCAAACCTGCAGCTTCAATGCTGATGTTTAAGACAAATTTTTCAGATGACCTGTGGCATTGGGGAGAGAAATGAAAAAAAAAAAAGCTTGATTTGTTCTCTTACTCATAGGTCTCTTTGACTTCTCTTTTCTCTCTGGTCAGAGGACGTCTGCCTGTCGTCATGACTGATCTATTTTAAACATGTAAAGTGTGCACTAAAACTGGGTATCAGTCTGAAAAACTCTAAGGAAGCACAATAAGGTTTTACTGGAGAATCAGTAAATCTGAACCTCACATGATGCAGCCAAAATAATCGAAGCATTGCTCATTGGTTTCAAATATACTCACGTGCAGATGTCCTCAGCGTATTTGAGGGGCTCGATAACTTCCCCAGGTTTAATGTTCCCAGCATCCGGAGCTGACACAAGAGTCCCTTCTTCCCCCTCCGCCTGCCTCTGCCCTTCTTCTGCCTCCTGCTTGTTTACAGTCTCTTCTTCACCACAGAAGTCACACAGCAAACATGAAATCTCTCAGACAGCAAGTGGTGGTGGGTGGAGGGAACTCTGTGTGTATGTGTGTGGGGAGGCGGTTCAGCATATCACGCTCAACAAATTAATGAGCCAGTGCCAATTTGCCACAGAAAGGCACAATTCTCCCAAGACATCTGCTGAGGTGAAACTAATCACCTCCATCACTGTTGAACCATGGCTGTGAGGCTTTTCTAACAAGGAAGGCAATGGTTTCAGCGGGAGAAAAAAGGAGTGTCTGGAGGCTCTTGTAAATCTGACTCAGAGATCAGAAAGAGACTAATAGATATGAGAGTGAAAAAAAATCATTATGGCCTGATCAGCTTCTTTCCTGTAAGTTATAAAAGATTTCTGAGTCAGATTGAGCCGGAAATCACTGGATATTTATCATTGAAATTCAACTTTTCAGTTACATGATAACTAGGAACTACTTCAAACCTGAACAGGCTCTTAAACTTGTTTTGTTGAAGCACCTTCTCAGAAGAGTCGGGAAAAAAAGAAAGAGTCGAGCTGTGAAAGTTTCTCAGATTTCACATGATTCATGAAAGACTCACACCTCAGATACATCTACGATAATACACTTTATTGTCACATTTACAACATATAAAATGGCACATATAAAAAATACATTTGTAAACGTTAAGAGGAAGAGCTTTGGTACCATAGCTTGTGATACAGTGATCTTGTGCATTTTAAATTGCTACAGAAAATTACATTGTGCTGTCTTAAATGGTGAAGTAATTATGGATAATCTGTTTAAGTGAGTGTTATACAATGCATGGAGTGACTGCAAGCATCATTTTCAAACAAACACATGGCTGTCTAAGTCTATTGAGCACAGTAGCCTTTCAGCAAGAAACAATAGCTGTAGGACGAGAATCTGTTAGGCTATTTACAAAGGCACTCATGTGTGCCATCTTGTGCTATAAGGCAGTGATACGCTGTGTTTTTCATGAGAGAGTCACCTGTCTTCACATAAACTCTGCTGTTGTAACAGTCGCACATTTAACTCTATAGTTGATTCCCTGTTCAAATATTTTTTATTTGTTATGGAAAAATCTAAATAAAGTGCAAGTCTGGCACAGAACTATCACATAAAACAGGTATTCAATACACACAGAGGACAAAAACACATTTCATATATTTCTCTCAGATAAAAAAACAAAAACAAAAAAACTTCTTACACTGTGGTGAATGTAATCTATATGTGTGTGTTTCTAATAGTGAAACAGTGCATGTAGAATTTGTTTCTGTATTACATGTCCTGGGGATATAAACAAACTAAAAAACTATGAGCAGTTAATACGAAGAGTACTTAAGGCAAGGAAAAAAATCCAGAGTAGTATGTCTTCTTCTTTTTTTTTTTTAATTTATTACAAACTTTCCAAAGTTTAGGACGTAGTGTTCTTGATATCCACTAGTATGGAAATTTAATTCTGTTCTGGTGTTGACAGGATTTCTAGTTTTTATGTGTGTTAATCCCTTTGTTTTCAAATCTAATAAACTGATCCCAAAAGGCAAAAGGACACCCGCTTACACTGACTGTGGATGTGAAAGGCCAAAAGAGGACATATGGCTAAGTCTATAAGGTCTTGTGAATCTCTGGCTGCAGGGAATGTATCATTTCTCACAGTGAACCGTTTCTTTAGTACACATGTGAAGGGAGAGTACCGTAGTTATCTTTCTGTTAAGTTCCCAATGATTGGATGATAATATCAGGCTCATTATTTTCTACCATTTTGTGGTTTCAGAGGTACTAGGTCAAACACAAAAACTAAAAGAGGCGATACTTCTCACTTAGTGCTTAGTGGACGGATAAAGTTTGCCCCCTCAGTTTCATTTTTGCTACATTCTTGTTTAGTCATGTTCCCTTTTTTTTTTTTGCATGATTTGAAAAATCCCCCAGACACATGCTCTGTTTTTACCAGGCTCTTACATGTGGCTACAGGAAGCTATCTTCTACCTCAGGCGTCCCAGAAGAACCCAGCAGAGCGTCTCTCTCACTGGTCTCCTCCAGCCTATCCTCTTCTGGAAGCGTCTCTGCAGTGTCCTGTGACAGGGAGTCCGTCTCTTCCTCCAGAACCAAAGAACTGAAGGGTGGAGGGGAAAAAAAAAAAAAAAACAACTTTAAAAAGTGGAGCATGATCAAAACAAGAGGCAGGGAGTCACACCACGGTCATTTTTGTGATGCAGATCATGACTTCCTTTATTTTTTTCATCATCTTTCTTCAAGCACCCACAGACATTTTTCCAAAGACTGAGTTACTCTTCCATTTCAATGACACCCACAGAGAATGTGTGCTCTAAATCCTTGCAAATCCTTGAGTTTATTATAAGGATTACAAAACCTTAAAATTCTCAGTTGACCATCAAGTGGAACGAATAAACGCAAAAGCCACCCCATCCATCAAAGTTAGGGAAAAGACATTATATACATTTATTTTTCCTAACATGCTCGAATAATTACTTCATAATCATAATTACTGCTGATCAGATCTCTGTTTATCAGTTAATTAGTAGCGATAATCATGCTATGCCCATTTCGTTGACATTACTTTCTTTGATTTTTAGATGCAGCCTGGTGTTTCCATGACGTCCTTGCTGAGACTAGTGTGTTAATCTAGAGCAAAAAAGTCTTTTATTATAAGAGCCCAAAGAAGCTCAAATCCAAATCACAGTGTCCAAGGTGAAATCCAATTATCCAAATCAAAGCATCAAAATCGCCCTGCTGCTACTGAGACACCAGGTATTAAACAACTGAGAGTAATAAAACAATGGAAACAAGAAGCTGTTAAAGAGGAAAATCTTCATTAATTGTGTGAATTTATCTGGAACTTTAATAGTCAAACATTTAATTGTTCTGTAAAGCAAATTCTGCTTGGCTTCATATTTTTATATGCTATAAAGCATGTCTCCTCCTCCTCCATAATACAGCTATTGTCTCAGCTCCACATCTGGATGAGTGGGTGTGCAGTGGGAAAAAAAAAGCTGCTCTGGTTAAACAAACACATCCCCATCCTTTGTTAGTTTAGCACACATGTAAAGTGTCCTTTTCTGCAGCTCTGTACCTTGCAGGACTTTCTGACGGCACATCAGTGAAAACTTCCTCTGGTTTTGGATCTGGGATAGGGATGATATATTCGTTGTATGAAGGAATGACTTCCTGGGTGTCATCCTGTCGTCTGAGCTCTCCAGGGCTGGGGCTCTGGTTGTAGGGGTCTGGGGTGACAGGAGACTGGGGGCTGAATACTGGGCTGGCGATCGGGAAGGGTGAAGTGAGTCTTGGCTTGGTGCGGGCCACTGCTGGGTGGTCACTCTTAAGGAAGTTCTCGTTCACTTGGCTGTATCTCTGTGTTCACGAGACAGAAGTTTGATTAATTAAGTTTGATGCAGATGGATGAATTAACCATTGGCAAGTGTGAGGGAAGATATTAAATGGCAAATCAGAACTAATGAAATGTTAAATTCCTGCAAAGTTACATTACTTACAAATTATGCAGAGTTATTAAAGTGAATTGTTATCATCTACAAAGTTAGGTAGTCCTCAAGAATCCTGAACCAGATTACCAACCAGCCACAGCCACTAGGGGGCAGATATTCTGACTGTGGGGATATAACTGAATTTAACAGTATGAGAATTGGTAGATACTTTATTCTAAGTATTAATTGATTCATTAAGGTTTTTTTTGAAGATACAACAATAATAATAATAATAATAATAATAATAAAGTAAAGAACACAACAACAAATGACAAAAAGTTATTCAAAAAGGAGTGGGAAAAAGTCTAGACTTATCTATCCCCACTGCTTCTCCTACTCTAATGATTTAAATATACAGTATATCATAATATCATATAATAATGTTAATCATCATCATAATAATAGCAATGAAATCCCGTGAAAACATATTCTTTATATTTTGTCTTAAACTGTCTTATGTTTGGAAATTGTTTAATATATAGAAGTTTAGAAACAGCATTGGTAGAACAGGAATGTGTAATGCTGTTGTTATAACTCTTTAGTGCAGCACTGATGCATAAACAAAACACCTTTTTATAGCCATCAGACAGCATGTTCCCCACACTGTGCACCAGGAAGGAGAACTCAGGCCTCTTCTCAAACTTCTCATCCCAGCACTTCTTCATGATCTCATAACTGAAACATACACATGGAGTTCATTAGTTACTCACTGCATTGTTACATGCTATGTGTGCATTAATGGTAACGCTGACTCACACTTCATCAGAGGCATGAGCAGGTTTGGCCATCCGGTAGCCTCTCTTCAAAGCGTTGTAGAACAGCTCATTCATGGGCAGATCAGGGTAAGGGGTTCCTCCTGCAGAAAACATCTAGAGTCACTTAAACACGAACTCATAAATAAGAAGCCATACACCGGACCGATATGTAAACTAAATCAAAATATCACCAAGGCTATACCGTAAACTTGAAGCTACGAACACAAAGATGATAGGAACACTAACACAAATACTAACCTATATTTAAAAATAATTAAATATTTTATATAACTTCTAAAAAGAAAAGCCCTGTTTATCTGAGTTACATATTTTGAACTCTGAACTACTTTTCCAACCCAAATAAGAAAAAAATGTATCTTAAAGTCCAATGAATGTCAGAGTGAGACAGGAGAGTACAGAGAGACCTTTGGACATCACTTACAGAGGCTGGATTGTAAGTTTGTTTTCCACGACGAGGCCTTTTGCGGCATGTGTAATAAAGTGTCCCTTTTGTTTTCATGGTACTTTCAAAAAATCGTGGGAAGAGGCCTTTAAAAGTAAAGACTTACAATACCCTGAGCATGGAAAACTAATTTCAAAGCTTGACTGTGACTAGCCAGATTACAACCTCATATGAGCTTTCAAACAAACTAGTATGTACTTGCAATCAGACATGGACTTTGAAAATTTTCTTAAGCTTTACATTGGCACATTCAATCTCCAGGGACACTGAAAACCTACTTTACTCAACACAATCTGACAACATAAGAAGGCCAGCAGATAACTGATGCAATGCGATCCATATAGGCAATAAAAAATCCGTCTTACTGGAAAATCAGATCTATTTTTGTGGAAACGTATGTGTAAATATGCATGTGAGTGTTTGGACTTACCCAGAGTGAAAATCTCCCACAGCAGTATGCCGTATGACCAAACATCACTGAAGGTGGTGTACAAATTATGGAAAATACTTTCAGGGGCCATCCACTTCAGGGGCAGAAAGGTCTGAAACAAAAAAAACAAACACTCTATGTGAATAAAATTTTTAGATTTGATAGTCAAGAGTTTGGAACCAAGGTTTTAAATTTTATCTCTACAACTGAGATTAGCTTATAAAACTGTTGCAGCTCATTTTTTCAGTTCTGTTTGGATTCTTTTGTTGCAGCTACTAGCATCTTTATGTAAATGTAGTTAAAACGAGAGCCAGATGTGATTAAAAACTGGATGTGTCTTACTTGCCAGTGGTACCTGAGTATATCTGTGCAGTTATTTTGCCACTTACACTGCCTTTGGAGATGTAGTTGGTGTCATGCATGATGTCTCTGGCTAGGCCAAAGTCACAAATCTTCACCAGTTTGCCTTCACAGATCAACACATTCCTGGCAGCGAGGTCACGATGAACACACTGTAGAGGAATCAAATCAAATTAAATTAATGTTACTTTTTAAACACTTTGGTTTGGACACAGAAAGTAAAGGGTGGGAGTTTCCTCTTTTTCTGGTCATAATGCCGAGCAAAGCTAACTGCTGGCTGTCACCACAAAGGAGTGAAATCAATCTCCTATTCCTTATCGCTAAAACTCAATCACCATACTTCTTAGAAATGAGGAAACGTTGCTGTGAACTACAAATATTAAGTCCATCATGATCAGCCATGTATCATTGAGTAACTTTTTCCATAACCTACATTTTTGGAAGCGAGGAACTCCATCCCCTTCGCCACTTGGTAGCTGAAGCTTAACAGGTCGTCGTAGGTCAGAACAGCAGAGTCACAGATGACCAGGTCCAATCTTCCTCCACCTGGACAGGACGACAAGGTAAAACAACAAGCACATGTGGGGTGTGTCATAAATGAAGATGTTGTTATTCTTTTTTTGTTGTTGTTGTTTTTGTTGTTGTGGGGGGAACCCCCTCAAAGTCCTGTGACTGCACGGACAGTAATGGCACGGTCTTTGAGTGCTGTAACATTCGACTGTACATTCTCTTCAGTCAGTGATCAAAAAGCAAGCTGTATTATTTCTATATGGGACAAAAACAATTAATCTGTTCATGAGCTGCCCTTTTTTAGACTTGCAGATGGAGGATATATCTTTTCACACATAAACACATCATGTGCATCTCCTTCTCCTTTGTGTTCTGTTTTAACTGTACTGAATACTCCATTTACAACAGTGGAAAATGAATTACTGCCTATACTCGAGAGAGAGATTGAAAGAGAGTACACACTTCGGCTGACATGGATCCACTCATTTCTCATATCAGACCTTGTTCTTGATAGAGGTCCTGCTGGTAAGGAGACTCGTATGGAGAAGGTTGGATGTCTGCATACTTGATGGAGTCGATCTGTTCTTGCATTGGCACGTAGAGCGAGGGCTCATCTTTGCTCATGTCCATGTACCCGCCGTCACTCTCGCTGCCAAATGACACATAGCTGCAGGGACATATTGAGTATGAAAATGGACTTAAGTGACCTAATTCCATCTTTATTCATGGTTCAACATCTTATGAAACTTGATGTGTGAATGAAAACGATGTCTGTGTCTGTCTCTTGGTATGTTACAGCAAAAATATTGATACAATCATCCTCCACACATTTCATAAAATGCTCCTTTGTGCAGCTCTGAGTGGAAAGTTTGTGCCGTTTTCTCTTGGCCTTACCCTTTCCTCTGGCTGAGCGGGGTACTTCCTCCAGAGATGAGGCAGCCGTCGTCTTGGCTCTTCTCAGCATAGTACTGCAGCAGGGAGTGCTTGTTCCTGTGCAGGTAGTCCACCAGGTCACCATACCGACAGTATTCAGTCACAAGAAACAAAGGCCCTGATTGATGGAAGAAGGTGTCAATTAAAATAAATTCAGGCTGCTTATCACAACAACAACTCAGACATCAAATATGCAACGCTGAAGAAAAGTAATTATTATCATAGTGTGATTATCAGTTTCAACAGGTTGCTTAGATAAAGAATAGACAACATTTGTTGGTCGACTTATAAGATAGTGAGGGGTGAGTTCAACAATTATATTTTCAATAATGTCACTTTTACTTTCTTCTATTTTTTGACTGTTTAACAAAAAACTAGTGGAAATAGACATTTTGCATTTCGTCTTTTAATAGTAATAATAATGATAATGCATTATATTTATAAATATATATTATATAGTATATAGTATATTATATATATACTATATATATTTATATTCAAAGAGTTTTGTGAAAACAGTCATAAATATATTTTAAAAAGGTGGTTCAAGTACAATTTGGAAAGGCCGCGTCAATTGAAGTATGTTTTGTGCCCCTCACTACAAATGCTCCAACTGCTTTAGTTTTTTGTTTGGTTTTAGGGAACACACAGTGACCCTCCTTCTGAGAGCCTCAATGTATGTGTCGGCTCATACAGGACAAACAGGTCTGATATGTAACTGAGAGACAGGCCACTGAGGGCTTTAAAGTAGTCAGTAAAATCTTAAAATTTGTTCTAAAACAAAAAGGAAGCTAGTTTAAAGATGCTAAAACAGGAGTGATATGATCAGGTGACATAACGTTTGACTTAATATCCCATAAATAGCTAATCTTTATAGTAATGGTTGATAAAAGCATGCATGCATTTTTGGGACATAATTTTTTTTACAGAACACTTCAGTCTAATTTTCTGATTTCTTGTGCATTACCTGGCAGGTGTGGATATCTTTCTTCAAGCTCTTACAAATGAAAAAATAAGACCTGAATAATTTGTGATAGTTGCTTGTGCAGAATGTCAAAATTAAATGTTAAGTTACACGATCTTTTAAATTAGACTAATACACTTGGTTAGATTTGTCTTTTTGCAGTAAAAGTGAATAAGTTTTCTTTTTTATAGAAAATGGAAAAAGCAAAGAGACATTAAGAACAAAGCAATGGATGAATGTGTCTGTGCCTGTGCCAAGTTGCCCACCAGAGCACTTACTGAGACAAACATACTCACCATTAACAGCAATCACTGTTTCACAAACTGTTACACTAACAGGGCGTGAAATGACTGACTTTTGGGTGAAGTATTCTTATTCTGTAACCGTCCTTACCATGTTTGGTGCAAGCTCCGAGCAGGTTCACGATGTTAAGATGAGGGCCCAGGTGACTCATGATCTTCAGCTCAGACATCAAAGCCTGAGTCTCACTTCTCCTGGCTGTGGCTGCATGGAGAAAGAAGAGAGACAGAAAGCGGGAGAGGAAGGTATGAGAACAGGAGAACTTATCAGGACACATGGTGCTCTTGCCAAAATGCTCAAAGCCTGTTGGCTGAAACTCACACCAGGCTGGCAACCTCAAAAAAACTCAGCAGGCAGCATCTCCCTCAGAGCTCACAGGAATACAAGTTTCTTTTGTCAGAATATCTGACAGCTACACAGGGAACATAAATTTTCTCTGTACATGACTTTCCACTGTGTTTTTTTTTTTTTCACATCCCATGACTTACATTTCAGCATCTTCACGGCCACTTTTGTGCTGGACTGGGAATGAGTGAGCCCAAACGCAGTTGCCTCCACCACTCTGCCAAAGGCTCCTGATCCAAGAGTGCGACCTAAAACACAAAGAGAGGCTCAGTGGGACACAGTGTGAATGCAACACATGGTGGAGCTGAAAAACAGGAGGACTGCTTTGTTTATTAAAATATTAATCCAGAGTTTTTCTTCAGTGACTTTTTACCCACATGAAGGTGGAATTCAGTAGGTTTAAATAAAAGATGCACGTTTTTCTTTCTCTGACATTGTAGGCGTTTGTGGGCTTGGGGAGCTTTCTGTTTGTAAAGAGCAGCTGATTACAAAAAGGACGTCATCAAAAACAGAGGAGCTTTAAAGTGAGGTCGGACTGGAGCCAAGCAGACAAGTTTAACAAACCTCACTTAGTATGCTGCACTTGCAACCGACCAGATGACACAAACCAAACAAAGCAATGCAGTCACCTGGTGAAAGCTACACACTCATTTGTTTTGTCTGATGAACATGTGCAGACTACTGGCTGAAAAGCTGGCTTCATCTGATGACCAGTTAAACCCTGATTTACATCGCAACTTACCAAAACAAAAAAACATACAAACATAAAAACTTCGCAAGAGAAAATGAAACTGTAAAGTTAAAACTTCTTTAATGTTGTTGGATTTTTTTCCCCTGAAATTTGATTTGAACATTTTCCACCAAAATTAAACAGAAGAGCTTGAAACCATTATCTTTTTGTATATATATTTTGACTACAATTTATTTTGATGTCCCAGAGGAGATCAGGAGTTAAATTGTTTAATATTTTCAAAGGCCTTACTTTGTACCTCTGTGCTCATTTCTTTTGTCACAGAAAAAAACGTGTGGTGGTAAAACATCCATTATGGTCTCATCACAGCCTGTGTCACATGAGTTGACTCAGCAGTCTTCACAGGCTCATATAAGCTCCCTTCCTCAGTATCATATGTCCATTTTTGCCTCAAGGACTTACCCAGCACCAGGTTGTCTCGAGAAACCTCCCAGGCCAGGTCATAGGGCAGGTGGATGGGGTCCACATAGATGTACTCATGACCGTCCTGGCTCACAGACTCAATCACTTTCCATCTGATCTCGTAACGAGGCTTCTGAGAACGTAGAGGAATAAGAAATAGGTTAAAAGTCCACCACAAAAGGCTTAGTCACTGGGCCCTTTCATGTTGTAACTCGTAAAGAGGAGATTTCTTACCTTCCTCCATACAGCGATGAGGATGATGATGGACATGATGATGATGACTACTAAGGCTAAAACAGCAGCCAATACTGCCACCTGGGAGAACAGCGCTGCAACAAGTAAAACAAAAAAGAGAATTAGCCAAAATAATGATATATTCAATGAAAGGACATTCAACTAATTTGTTTTAAACCCTAAAAAGAGAGAAAACTTTATTTTATAAACATGTTAAAAATTTAAGTTGGTTGTTATAAACTTTAGTAAAGATAGAGATTTTTTGTCCTGTTGTCCATTTATAGAGAAATATAAACTTTCAGAATTTAAATCTTGTTTCTGTTGGACCAAAATGGGTTTGTTTAGTTAAATCCAAACGTTTTAGGATCACTTTTTCTTTCTGTTTATACATGTTTAGATTTTTTAAATAATAGACAGGTACAATCCACATTCAAAAGCATAAATATACATTAAAGAAAATATACATCCTTCTGTATAAGTGATTCAAATGACACCTACTGCTTGACACCAGTTTGACGTCTCTTTTATCGGTGAGCCCGACCGAGTTGTTGGTCTCGCAGCGGACTGTCACCTGCTGCGGCTTGTGGAAAGTCAGCTGGCTCCGCACCCGTCTGGTTTTGCGAGTCTCGCTGTAGCTGACGTTGGTCTGGATGCTCAGCAGCTCAGGCTCTGGTTTCAGCAGCTTCCACTCGGCCGACCTGTTGTTACACCTGCAGCAAAGCATGAGATCAGCTGGTGGAGTTAAACAAGGATGAGAGCAGATGCTCAGAGTTAGACGTAGAAAATCAATCTGTGAGTATCTTCAGCCCCCTGGTGTTCACAGTGTGACAGAGGAGGTGGGACTGACTTGTGCATGCTGTCACAGCTGAACCACTCTATGCTTGGGGCTGGGACCCCCTCGGCTACACAGGTCACCAAGTGTCTCTTCCCAGGGAGGTGGTGGTCCGTCAGTTCTTTAATCTGTGAAGGAACTACACACAGAGGGTGCAGTGGTCATAAACTTCACTTACATGGATAAATCAAAGTCTGCTCTAAACTTTCATACAGACACAAACCACACTGTAGCTTAAGAACTAATGAGAAATTTGAAAATCCCTATGAAAGTATCTTACCATGGACCTCCAGGTCAAAGGTCACTTCCTTTGTGTCATCTCCATTTGCAACGTGGACAGTGTAGAGGCCCCTCTGCTCAATCCTTACCCTTACCAAGGTAAGAATGGTGACGTACCTGAGGGAGAGGAAACATCACGACCGGTGAGGAAATTAGAAAAAAGGGAATTCACTCCTCTTTTCCTCCTGTGTGTTTGAGTCACCATACTTCTCTGAAGACACATGTTATCTCTCTTTTAAAATCATTAGTGATGAACGAAAGTTTTGATCTGATCTTCTCTGACATGCAAAAGATGACCAGAGACTCAGTACGAGTCTTTCTACAGGCTGTATAAATCACTCTCTTAATCTCAGACAAAGTTAATCTCTCTTTCTCTGAACATGATGACCCAGAGATACAAGATGGAGTTTTTTCTACTGCATGTGTGGAGTCAAACCAATCCCTAGAATTACCACCAAGGTACTCTGTGGAAAAGCCACTACAGGAAACGGGGGTTTTCCATTTCCATGACTGTGCTTTGAGAAGATTTAAGTTCTGAATCACTCGATAAGAAGCCTGCCTCACTCGCCGCCTACTTACTAAACTTTAGTATTGTGTATACTAGCACACACTGTGAGTATATGTTTGTTATCTCTCCACTGTGAATCTTAAAAACTTTCACAACATGGTTTTGAAATTTCTTTATGAATTTCAGCTTCTAATCTTGACTTAGTATGTTGTTTATTTTATCATAATAATCACATGATGCCGTGTTTAAACCTCATTTATTTAAAAGGGTTTTGTATGTGATAGAAATTTCTTGTCAAATCTCGGTAGTAGGATTTCAGTCCCTTTAAATAAGACATTGTTTGGCTCTTCTCTCAAAGGCATTAGTAAGTTGTGACAAGTATCTTGTGTTTATGGTTCCTGTGTGTTGAATGATGGATTGCTGCCCTCTAGAGAGTATTGTGTTTCTCTCTGCGGACGCCTTATCTCTTGATGACTGACAAGAGCCTGACGCCTCAAGAGGCTGTCACCCTAAACAGGCGCTTGAAGCTAACACTTCAGATCAACTGCTCTTGCAAGGCCTTGAGTGACTCTTTGGTTTGTAAGATATTTTTATATGGGCTGGATGTCTCACCTGATCTCATGCTCTTGTCTAGTTGTGATGGTTTTGTCTGGTGTCAAGGTAACGCCATCTTTGCTCCAGTGGACCAGAGGTTGAGGGTAGGCTTCGATCTCCACTCTCAGCTCCACGTTCTCCTGGAGTCTGGCTGAAATGTTTTGATTTTGGGCTGGCTTCAAATCCACAAAGCCTCGCTCTGCAGGGAGAGGATTTTTTTCATTAATAACTTATCAAACAGTTATTACTTCTGTTCTATCTTTTCCACATAATTAATAAAATGTAGCTGAATAATGTAGGAATGTAAGACTATACTCTTATAAACTTAGTCTTGCTTTTTATTCTTTCAAGTTTCAACACTGCACTATTTGTGTTTTTACTATTTTACAGGGTCAACAATCTGTGACACCAACGTCATATCCTCTTTTAGGCTTTCATAAAGCAAACTTTTCAGCAAGCATTTGTCCAATTAAACACTGATTTAAATAAATAAACAAGCAACATGAGCATTGTTTCAGAGTTGTGAATATATTTCAAAGAGATGACAGTCCAGCATTCAGTCATTTGGCTCAGTCGTCTTATTTTCCATCTTCTGAGAGAAATACTTTTCTTTTAACCTTCTGCAAAGGCAACTTGTTTACTTGTGGTTTGATGCTGACCTAGTCGTGTTGATTTTAGAGATTTGTCACTTAGGCAGCTGTGGCCAAAACATCATTTTACTTGGAACTGTGGGATTAAAAAGACAGTGATGTTACAGTAAGGAAAAAAGAAAAAAGAGCTCAATGACTCTAAAACCGTGGAATATCCTGGATGATTCATTTCTCAGTAACTATTGCAGGGTTTACTGTCACATGGGTTATTTTTTCACACAAAAGGTTTTTAAAAATGATAATATTTTAGTGAAATTATTAAGGTGTTTAAAAGTTTTGGGATGCACTAGATGGTAGGCAAAAGGCAGTGCCCTATAGTGCTGCTGTGTGTTGTCGTCCGTCTAAGGACAGACAGTACCTGTCTTTTCCACTGAGATGTCCAGCAAAAACTACTAAACTGTCTGTCTCCAAGAAGCACATTGGTCAAAGTTATTTAAGGGTTTCATAAACATGACACACTTCGCTGCAGAGAGAATAAGCATTTTCAGACCTGAAGACGCTCAGTGAGTATCTCACCATAGCACGATGTGCCCTGCTTTTATTGGCTCGGCTGTTTGAAGGGATCATACTTTGGCTTTGACACTAGACTCACTGTATTTTAATGACTGGAGTCAAGTCTTTGTAACATCTCTGCTGTCCTGGAGTTTATTTCTGTAAGTCTAAATATAGAGTTGATCTACCCCCCCTGGTTAAAAGCTTTGTTTTTAAGAGCAACCACACCATGACCATGGTTTATTTCACACTTCAAACGGAAATAAATTCAGGACATCTTCATTTCCTTAAACAGACGCACCTCTCTCACTTTGACTTGTGATGGTTTACATAATAAGCAGCCTTTCCTCTGTCAGGGGGACATAATAATAACCTGTCTGGCATCAGTTTGTTTTAGTTCTGTGTGTGTGTGTGTGTGTGTGTGTGTGTGTGTGTGTGTGTGTGTGTGTGTGTGTGTGTGTGTGTGTGTGTGTGTGTGTGTGTGTGTGTGTGTGTGTGTGTGTGTGTGTGTGTTAAACTGACCAAGCACAGTGATGTTGATGCTGGCAGAGGCTTTCTGGTCTTGAACACCCTCATGGACATGGCAAATGTAGTTTCCACTGTGGGCCACTGTGGACTGAGGGAAGATCAGGCAGGAGCGCATGTTCATGGTGGACAAGACATCAGTCAGGGGCTCCACCTCAATTACCTTAAAGAGAGTCAAATTATGAGGATGTGTCACTACTTATTGCCTCCTAATGCAGAATATAAACTTTGGCTGCTACTTCCATTGAGATTCAGTGACATTCATTTAGAATGTTTATTGGTGTGCTGTCGACAAACCATCATTCCAAACAGCGAATCAAGCTGAACCGATTATTTGCGACACCACAAGTTTTAGAGATTTTTAACAGGGTTAGAAAAATCAAGGAGTGTCTCTACATCTTGATTTAATTTGGCTTTAGCCCTGAAAGTGATCTCAAAGGGAAAACTGAACAAAAGCACTTGTTCCGCCTCACTCCTACTCACCTCTCTGTTGGGGATATCCCAGGAAAAAAACGCCAGCTCCACTCCCTGCACCGTGCAGTTCACTGTCAGCGGCTCGCCCTGCTTCAGGACTGTCTTTGACGCGTTGACGTAGGTGTCAATGGCCTCTGGGACTGGGAGGGGAAGGGAGAGTGTTAGGGGAGAGAAAGAGAGGTGGTAGTTTAGATGTGATTTATCCAAATATTATGCAGATCGTCTTTTTCATCACTACTGAATAATTTAAGAAAAACCAAATCCAGCAACATTAGTCAGGACTTAACTTGGTAGCTGGCTCCGGTGGGTCCATGAGAGTTTTTTTTTAAACATTCGCAACACTTTTTAAAGTGTTACAGCCAAGCCCCAACATCAAAGATCTAGTTTTGACCTCATTTTTAGAGAAAGAATTCATAGAGTTTGCACACATTTGTAAAGCAGGTTCTTCACATGATGTGAAAGAGTTAAGAAACGCATACAGTAAAGTATGTAAGAGCAAATTTATTATTCTGGACTCACTGCAGCACCCTCACTACTGAACTTGCAGAATATGCTACGTAAGCTGTACAAAGAAATGGGCATTCAGATTTTATAAGTACTTTTATGTTGCATTGAAATGCTCATTAACTTTTATAGCTCTGAGATTGAATTAAAGGGAGCCAACTATGTGTGACTGCCAGCTCCTCAGAGTTTTAGCACTGAGGAGGGGTGAGTTGATTGATGGCCAAATCTTTATTTTTGGAAAAAGCTGCTTGTCAAGTAAACCTCTCTAAGCTGAACACCTACCAACAATGCTGAACACGTAGAAGGATTGAGACTCTTTTACTTCTCCTTTCATCTCCCCACGACACACATAGGTCCTGTCCTCCAGCCGTGCCTTGTACCCCTCACTGGGAATATAAACCCCCTTGATGGGCACATCAGTATCCTTCTCATACAGGGTGACATTGATGTTGGGGTCGGTGACCACGCAGGGGATGGTGCTTTCCTCGCTGGTCTTTGTTACCATGCCATGTGAGCTCTCTATGAACCAAACCATAGGGTCTGTGGACGGAAACAGGATTGAATTGAATATCTGAGTACGATAAAAAACAAAAAACAGCAGCTTAAACTTCAGAGCTAATAGTGTCCTGTTTTGGCATCAGCATACAAGAGTCTTCATTTTTCACAAACAAAATGAAGATCATGACTCAGCAGCATTAGTAGTTTTAGAAAGAGAAAGCAAAAGTCTTTTACTTTTTCTGTTTTTTAAAACCCTTTCTGTGGTACGACGGAGTATTAGGGCTACACTAAGAAAAAAAATCAAGACTTTGATATTAATTTACGAGAATAAAGACATTACTATCAAGAATAAAGTGGTAATGAAGTAATTACTCGCACGAGTAACGTCATAATAAAATCATTACTTACAAGAATAAAGTCCTAATAAAGTAATTACTTACAAGAGTAAAGTGTGAATAAAGTCCTTAACCTGTTGTTTAAGATGACAGTTGTCGAAATGAGAGCCATGAAGCATTTTGTGAAAATTAACTTTAAAATAAGTTTCTCAAACAAGGAGAGACTTAATCTTTTGGCACATCAGCACCACATTACCATAAGTATCATAATGATTTTATTACAACTTTATTGTCAAAAGTAATTATTTCATTCTTGTAAATTAACAACTTTAATCATGAGGTCAATTTTTTTTTTTCTTAATGTGGCCCTAATACTCCATCGTACTGTGGCCCTTTCACAAACTTGAACTTTTTCGGTGTTCTTGTATTGTTGTGAATCACATCAAAGAACAATGTGATGCAAAATCTGTGTTTTTCAGCAGTTTTCAGAAAGCAGAGGCCCACTGAGCGATTGGGAAGTGAGTGTTGATACAATATGTCTTTACATTAAGTAAAAGATCAACATACCAAGCCTCACCTGGTACAAAAACAGACACCTCCTTAGTTTCCCCGGTGTTTTGATCAACACACTGATACACCCCTGTGTGCTTCCAGCTCACGTTCCACAGAGTCAACACACTGGATGTAGCGCTGCTATAATCGATAGTGTAGCTTTGACCAACACTTTGAGTTTGTTCCACTTGAATATAAGGCACATCTTCCCTCTTGAACTCCCAGGTGGTCTTTCCTGAGCCGGAGCAGGTGAAGGTGAAAGAGGAGCCCTCGGTCAGGACGAGCTCCCCCTCATCGGGTGAGATCTCCACACAGCTTAGCTTAGTGCAGAGATACAGCAGAGCTTCATGTGGCACAAACAAGAAAGAAGAGGTCAGGTTGGAGGTGAAAGAGACAGCAGCATGAGGTCAAAGGTTACGTCAACAATACATGCCAGATCCTGCTCTTCTCTTCATGATGAAGGATATAAGATGTCTGGGGTGGAAATGTGGGAGGATAATGATGCTTTGTCAGTGACACAAACATTTAAAGAGCAAGGGTCACTTTGAATGCATCTGTTATACTTTACATCAAAGTGCTGTGTTATCTCACTGGCTGGACAGCAAATAAATAATTACAGAAACAGATACAGGGTCTGTTTTTTTAAAGTTGTGGCCTTTTTAGTTTCATTTGGAGAAGAAAAGAAACAAAGTTGAGAGGAGAGAAGCTTCTTTTACTTTGCTTCTGTGACAATACTATATGGCTATACGGCACATTTCATTCAACATCTTATTGTCTGTGTCTCTGTGAAAGCAGCTGCTGAAGTAAATTCTATCTCTTAGTTTAATGAAACCAGGTTCTTACCTGTGACTGTCAGGTGGAGCGTGAATGGAGTCACCCTCCCCATATTGGAGCTTTCAAGGCACTTTGATCTGCTGGGAAACAAAGGGCACAACAATGCTAATTAACTACATTTATCCTTTTTAGAAAATACGTTTCTGCTGCTATTGTTCCCGTTATTTGGGGACAATAGCTGCAATATAGTTAACTATATATAGACAATATAGTTGGTGGAACCCAAGCTGGACTCAGTGGAGGATGTGGTGGAGAGATCTACACTGAGGAAGGTGGAGACTATTCTAAAGAACATGGATCACCTACTTCACTACACCTTGATGGACCAAAGGGCCAATGGTGGTGGACGGCTCCTCTCTCTTTGCTGCAGGACGGAAAGATTCAGAAGATCTTTTGTATCAACAGCCATCAGACTTTATAACTCTTGTGTAAATAATAGATAACTTTTAGGGACATGTTATGTGAGGCAACAGATAATTGAATTTCCCTTTGGAGATCAATAAAGTTCTTCTTATTCTTATTCTTATTTTTTCAGATCAACTTTTATTATTTCAAAACTACGTTCAGAATAAACCAGCTGGAAAGTAACAAAAACAAAAACATTCTGAAATTCTAGATTGACGTGATTTCTCAATCACAGTGTATTGGTTTCCATCCTCACAGGCCCAAGCTTGTAAAAAAGAATTCAGAGAAAAGTTCATACAAGAGGACCTGAAACTTGATGAATGCAACAAACAACATTTCTGAGCCTGTTGTCATTCTTCCTTTCTTTAATGGTTTCTGGACTGCACCCAGACTCTGAGGTGCAGATGCAGCTCACTCTGGAGGTTATTTGACGCCTGGCTGCACCAGGACAGAGCAACAATGTCTGTCCCTTTTTGTTCCTGTTCCACCAGCATTCTGCCCACCAACAAACGGGTCACTGTGTGTAGCTTTGCAACACGCTCACTGGCAACAATGCTGCACCCAAGCTATTCTAGAGCCGTGCTGAGCCATTAATTAGTTTTGGTGTCAACAAAAGTGAAAATGAGGGCATTCACATGAGCTGCTGACAGTGCAGCATTGGTAGGATTGGGGAAGGTTGCAGTGGCTTTGTAACACCAACGGAGTTTCATGTTGTACAGTGAGTGCTGTGGTACAAATACCATGAACTTCACAAGGCAGCAGGTTCACAGGTGAAGTTAATTCCTGCTGCTCTATCTGCATCATTAACCCTAATTTTACAGCAAAGTCAAAATGAAGAAGGCGAGGCTGTGAAGAGAGCGGGAATGGTTTGTTATTACGTTGGAAAGGGGGCGAGGAGGGGGTGAGGGCCTTCAACACGCAGACGTCTGGAAACAGTTAAGGATGGATCACAGGCCTGTACGCCAGAGAGGGTGGGAAAGAGAGAGAGGGCGGAAGAGCGGCGCTTGGGAAGAGCGAGGGTGGAGATGGAAGAAGGAGGGAGTCAGTGGAAAAATTGTGAAATATATCTTGAGAAATCTTACCTCATTTAGTGTCTTTACTCAGTAATGAAATCCAGTTTTACAACTTCTATTTTAGGAAGCTGGTCTGTCTTTGAGAATGATGTAATGTAACATGTTTTACATTCGCAATCTCGGCATCTTATCAGAACATGTTCAAGTTTATCTCAGTGTTTATCTATCGTTTGAGCACAGTTGGCATGGAAAAGTGTATCAATGAAAGTGCATCAAAGTGAAACTTCCCCTGCTATGTTTTAAATATTTATTAAAAAAATGAAGGATCTAACCAGTTTGTCACTGATACTCCAATCAAACAAGTTTCATGACGAACCCAGATCCAGTTATTCAAACCAGATACGCACTGTCTCCCTAAATTAACTGCCTTTGGCACTTCCGCTCACAAAACGAAAAGCTCTCGAGTTGCTCCAAAAACATGACTGGTCCGTTTCCTCCCTCGCCTCCTGCTTCCAATAAAGAGGGGCAAGAGAGGGAGAGCGAGAGAGAGACAGACAGAAAGAGAAAGAGAGAGAGAGAGATGCTTCTTTCTGTTTGCTGTGGAGTTTATACACACACACACATGCCCACGCACACACGCTCTCTCTCACGAACACAATGCGCACCGCATGTGCTACAACACACATACTGTACACACAGGCACATGTTGTATGACACTTCACCCACCACCCCTACAATAACACATCATCAGTTCTCCCCCTTTCCCCTTCTTGTCGCTGGTCTTTGCGTAGAGTTCACATTCCCACAGCACTTCCCTGAAACTTTCCCAGGACCGCTGATACACTTGGGACCCTGTTGGTGATGACGATGGGAGCAAGGGGGGTCACCTCATCCCCTCGAGGACCCAGCAGCCAGGGAGGAGGGACCATTCACTGAGGAAGCCGTACATCAGCGCTTACCAGAACCACTATCTTGGGTGTCAGTGATGATGACTTTGAAAGACAAGAGCCAAACGCAGTGACACTAAAGGCATGTGTCACTTGGCAGCAACAGGACCTCAAAAATGTTATTGTGACTGCCTGCTGATGTTGTTTTTCGCTAAAACTGGCCCAAGAGCTACATCAGGGCAACAGCAGGAAGGGGGTTTACCTCTAAGATCAAAAAAGGAATATGAGTGTTCAACTTTTATTTTGGTGTCTTTGAAATAGACAGGAAAAACAATGTTTGGCTACTGCAACATGATGAGGTCTAATGTTGACCGACGGGCGGTGAGGGACTTTAAACAGGGGCTTTTGAAGGAATAAAACACTCAACTATAGGAAGTGCTGAGTAGGATCAGGGAGCCAAGAAAAGGCACAAGACTGAGTTGCAGGGAGGACAGATTTACCAAAGCAGAAAGAACTGAATCTGCTGAAGAAACCCTGTAAAAAAATGTCTGTGTGCTCGAAACACACAGAGCTGTGAGGTATTAAAAGGGTCAGGACACGAGTGTGAATCTACCAGGGAGGCTTGATAGTGACTAAGCTGGTTTATTTAGTACTTAATCAAAAACACTTTAAGTAGACTGACCCCTAAAATGTCTCTTACACCACAGAGACAACAGAGTGCTGGTTAAGAAGATTTATGACACATCCTTAAATTGAGGTCAAGTAGTTCTCAAAATAAGGATCATGAAGGAGGCTTAACAAACTGATTCACAGGATCACAGAAAAGACAACATTTTTGAAATGATGTTTACTGAGTTTTTTCAAGCTTTTGAAACAGGATACACATCTCCTGCAATGATTGTGGAGGTCAGAGAAAACAAGCAGTGTTTATGAAAGTGATGGCACAGTAATCACCATGACAGATAAACTGTTATCCTAGCGTACAAGCTTTCCCACAGATGCTGGGAATTTGGTGGCTGTTTGACCCCCCTCTGGTCTTCATGTTCGGCCTTGCTACACTCAAAGTGTCACCAGCTAACGAGGAAGAACGTTACACTCAACCTCAGCAGGGCTCACGCAGCCCACGCACACCCTCAGTCCCCCAGCAGAGACTGTAATCCCACCACTGGGATTATCTATATATTCTGTAGTTGCATGTTGCAACATCTGGCAGTGATGAAGCAAAGCACAGAGAGGTGGGAACTGCTTTTGGAGCAGCATTTGCGGCCAAATGTTTGCCTCAGTGTGTCCCATGGGAAGGAGAATTCACTTAGAGGAAGAGGGGAAAAAAAGTGTAATTTATAACAAAAGAGAGAAAGATGTCCAAAAGCCTCTCAAAGTGCAGCTGGAGAGCTTCGACTTCCTGTTCAGAAAGACATTTTCTGGCCTTGTGTGGGTGAAAAGCAGTGATGCATCAATGACAAAGCAGAGCGCCACAACCACAAAAACCAAATACTTGAGGGGATGACAAGAAACACCGCAATGAGAGGAAGAAAACCTGCAAGTAATGACATTTTTACAAAGTGAAAAGCTGCTTTAATTAACAGGCTGCATAGAAAATATGTTAACTCAAAGAAATTAGTAAAAACAAGGACAAAGAGCAGTCAAAGAGAGAGAATATGCAGAGAACAACAATCAGCATGGGAAAACAGACCAATTAGACCAATGACAAAGCATGACAAACTTAAGACACACCGCAAGAGTGTTGCACACAGCAGCAGACATGGAAAAAAAAGACAGCAAAGAGAGAACGCAGACATACAGAATACAATTTATGGGAAAGCACCACATCAAAGCCCAGAGTGGGACAGCAGGGGGAGCACATACAGCCTTTCTTCTTACACACACACACAAACACAGACACACACACACACACACACACACACAGACTGTAATGTTTACTCTGCTGAAGGGTACAGGAAGCTGTGATATGCAAAACAAACCTCCAAATTTTGTGGTCACTTCTTTCCAATGCAAACAATTATAGCTCAGATAAGACAAAATATGAACTGACACTGGACTCTTTAAGGGACCTACATCATTTGCTCGTCACTTTTTGTTTTCAGAAGGCTTATTTTGAGTTTTTGCACAGCTTTGGACAGCCAGACTTTGGCAAGCTCTGTGGGAAAAAAATGACCCTGTGTGCATCTCCGTAAAAACAAAACTCCATTTTTATCACTCTTCTAAGACACACCGACCCCCGTGGTCCCCCGAGGAAAACCTTCCTTTAGCAGCAGACTCTCTTTGCAGCTCCACTACCCTCCTGCATGTCTGATACTGATCAAGCACATTACTGAAGCTGTAATATTAAGTGATGAAGTGCAGACTCATGAGGAGAAGGCTGTTTTAAGCTCTCATGGCACACATGTCATCAACATGCTGTTAAAACATGTGACTTATTATAAGCAGGAAATGCTTCAGTGTGCAGTCTGCTTATCTAGACTGTCAGGAGCCGTAAAACTGCAGAGTTGGGTGATCAATGTTATTCTGGCTCTAGCACCACTATATCGAGACATGTAGTTAAAATGTAATGATTAAAAACATGCAAAGACACACTATTTTGCAAAGACACTATATTTTTGTGATTTCATAGTTTGCAGAGGGCTGACTTGTTCATATCTTAGTTGGTAGCATGTTGCCATCACTGCTTTGTTCATGTGTAGAGCTGCAGCAGTGTTTACGTCAGCATCTCTGTGAATTTTACATTAAAATTTAAGTGTCATTCCTTCTTTCTTGCCTTCAATATTTGACTTTATGTTGTCAGTTTAAAGCAGTCAAAGGGGAAGAGGGTAGAACAAAGACATGAGCACTAACTACGGTGGCCCTGAGGAGCAAAACATAACGGCAAATCCAATCCAATCCAGATTTATTTATATAGCACATTTAAAACAACAAAGCGCTGACCAAAGTGCTGTACAGTAAAATTAAAATCAAAACAAGAAGAGCTAGACAATCAAATCAGAAGACATAACACAGAAAGAGAAAACAATGGCAAATCAGAAAAAACAATACAAAAAAAAGAAAATACAATGGTCAACGTCATTGCGTTTTCTGATTTGCCTTTGTCTTCTCTTTTGCTGTTGTGTTTCCTGATTTACACTTGTGTTTTCCCTTTTGTGTTGTGTTTTCTGATTTGCTGTTCTGTTTTGCACCTCAGGGCCACCATAACTAGCTGTAGCTCCTATGTTATTGTTAAAAATAAAGCACAGCCACTGTGTTCTTTGCTCTTCTGGTGCTGAGGCAGAATATAGACACTTATGTTTGCATGTCAAAATCCAACCTTTGGCATCTTGACTCTGCAACACCGAAGCAAAACCACAATAGACCAGGAGAGAGTGAAATGCCTAAGGGGTGGGAGTTGTTTAGCATGTGTGCCCATATATGCAGATCACTCCTGTCATTACGTGAACACAGGAGATAATTCAAATCCTTAAAAAAAAGAGGATTTGTTTTCTTCCTGATTCTCAGGGTTGCTCGGCTGAAGGATAATGAAGGTTTTTCTGTGTAGGCAAGAAAAATGTTGAATAAGACAATCAAGACTTTGCTTGGAACTTCTCCAAATCAGCAAAAATAACGTTTCCAGTATCATTATAAAGCTTGAAGCTGCAAACCATCTCAAGTTCGCATCCTCAGATTATGTGACACACGTTAACCCTACACCTCTATTCCTGATCATAAATCCATCTGAGTTTTGTCTTCTCCAGTATGAGGAGACAGTAACTGTGAGTGGTCTCACCTCAGCAGCTGAAGTGACTCTGTTCTCATGCTGAGGAAACACATGTTTGGGAAACTGTGGATTTTTGGTTTGCTCCCTTTCAAACAGAGCTGTAAATGCTCTTTGTAGTGGCGACAGTGAGATGTTAAGGGGCCTTTGGATAAAACTGAGCTGGCTGCAGAATGAAGGCCTCAGATGTGGCTAGTGTTTGATATCAGCTTAATGATCTAATTTTCTCCTCATTTTGAAGGATAAATAGAGGGAGAATGATTAAGATATGAAAACGGCAGCAGAGTTACTGCTGGTTAAGGCTGTAATTTTGTGTTTTAGCCCCAGTCTGTTTAAACTGCTTCGGATCACAGGGGATAAGAGGGAAATCAGATATATTTGTAGCGTAAGCAACAAAACATCCTCCCACGTTTTTCTTTCCAGACCTGCCTACCCCTTTGCATGGTGTAACCTTCTTTTTTACGGCACACTGGCCATTCAACAAACACTTATGGGAATGAGCCCCCCAACTTGCCTTGTGAGAAATGTATCCTAGCTTCACTGCCCCCCCTTACACGCCCACAGTCCCCTGAAAATAAGAAACAGAAACAGCTGAATACAATTAGGAGTAGCTGGCTTTAAAATTCCTAAGTTTCCCTGAACACAACAGTGTTGGAAGGATGAGGGGAAAGGAGGGGACATGGTAACAGGAAAGCATCAATCTGGGTAATAATTTACATGTGAATATTTGGTATGTGAATGCTGAGTGAGGGTAACTTTGACATTTACATAAGACAATCCTAGAATAGCTCTTTTGGGTGTTCCTTTCTATGCATGGGTATCACCAAATCGGAAGATAAATACCTCTAGCTCTATGATGTTATCAGTGAAAGCAATATATAACCATAAGACAAACTGAGAAAAAACCAAAGAAGTTTCAATTTTCCACTATGAGGGTTTTTCTTATCTTGTAATAGCAACAGACATGTTTCCTTTGTCCTCCCATCTTGCACTGTATCGCCAACTCCAGCATGTTTTTGTTGGACGGCACAAACTCCAGAGAGAGAAGGGGGGTGCTTAAAAAGATTCAGATGGAGGACAAAACTTCCTGCAAAAAAATCGGTATATTCCCTGATGGAGTTAAGCCAGAGAGAAGAATGTCTTACATCTCTAATGTGTTACCCCTGAAGGAATGGTAAAACATGGAAAATCCTATTCTTGAGTAAAATTTGGTATGCAGCAGTTCAAAAACAATTCATTCAAGACCCCTAATAAGCTTAACGTCTCACAGAAACAGCTTCAAGTTTTAGAAAACACTCTTAAAGATACATGAGAAGGTTGACGTATTATTGATGTCTGTTTGACAAATACGAACGCACAGCATGATAGCTTCGCTCAGCCCAAAAACAGTATGAAACAGGTCACCCAAAATTATTGCTCAGGGCCTGTGCACACCAACCACATGCTACAGACCTCAATCTCAGAGTGCTTCTCACCTGCTTGTAATGTTGCTTGGTTACCAAAGTTGCTTAACAACCCATCAGCTGTCCTTCATCGTGACTGTCCAGTCTACCTTAAAAATGCCCTGTACGCTTTTTCCATGTTTTTATTCAATAAGACTTTTCATAGCAAATGTTAGAGAAAATTTATATCGAACATGTTGCAGCTTTAGAAGCAGCTGTAAATCTCGAAATTGTACCTTGAAACAACAAGTTTGGTCAGTTTCTCCACTGTATAGGCCTCAGTCGTTGTTGTTGGCAGAGTTGATATCAAGGGGTGTTGGGAGTGTTTTCACACACAGGACGCTGAGTACTGAAAACGCTTAGCTGTTTTGGTCAGTGGACACAGGCCCTTATGATGACATTTGCACTTGTAATGTGATAGTTAATGAGCATACTATATCAAGCTTATGGAAAATACACCCAAAGTTTATAACTAAACTAAGCATTACTTTCTGTCATTGTACTCATAAATAAATTATCTTACAGGTTTTACTTTAGTGAGAATTTGAGTGTTTGATATTATAACGCTAGAAGACACTTCTGTAGGACTGGCCGAGCTCTCTGACTCAAGACAAGATGCAGCTGCCTGTCAGCTCTGTGTGAGTGGGCGGGAAGGGGGGAGAGCGGGAGGATTCAAGGGGGAGGCCAGATGGACAGGCAGACAGACAGGATGCTGGATGATACACGGCACCACTAAGTGCTCTTTATTAAAGCTTACAGGTATATGAGCCAAATAAGAGCCTTTAAGTATTGCATTAAAGAAACAAGGACCTGAAAGAACATGACGCATAAAGACTACCAAAGAAAGAACAGCTCAGTGCAAAAGTATGAATGATGAATTATGAATCAGCCAATAATTGACCACTACAGAGTGAGTCAGAGGCTGCTATGTATGATTATAAAAAACAGAACATGAACAGTTGTGAGATAGGACAAATGTGCGCTCTAAGAGACTTTAAAACTTCACTTTCATTCAGATCTAAAGACCGTCATCATCGCTCGAGCTCTGAGAGTTCAAACATCTGTGTGTGTTCTGCCATCAGAGGATAAATCACAAGAGGACGAAACAGATTCAGCATGTTTCAAAACTTTCTGCTGAGTTCAAACTGTTACATATAGGCACATGTGAGCTAAATCAGTCTCCTGGCATGTTTTCTGCATGGTCATAATGTGAAGCACATTTTCTCTGAGCGGCTGGCATGCAGAGAGGCCGAGGAGCCAGGAAACAGCTGATGACGAAGGATTAGGTCTGCAGACCAGGGGGAACAGAGCCGACTGGGCTGTGCTGCATCAGAGCCGGGGAGAAGAGCTCTGCTACAGTGCATACCAGCAGGCTGACGCACGGGGAGAGAAATCCCCTCCGATCAAAAGACAAATAAACGTTACTATATTTTCCTGATCTACTCTGCAAAGACTTGTAAGAGTTTAAGTCTTTGTGAAGAGTCCAGCAGGAGAAATCCAGCAATTGTAAAACTATGATGTGAATGCTGCTCTGTCGAATGCCGTTGATGGTAGAGGAATGACATGCATGCATTTTTCCAACAGCTCCTCTCTAACAACAGTACGAGACAATGCCTGGACCGAAATATTCACAGAGCCACAGAGGATCAAAGACTTCAAAAGAAAACTCCTCACTGCAGAGGAGGAGAGCAGCAGACACAAAACACATGCCAACATAGTTTCGATGACAACTTGTGCTAATTCATGTGCCCCCATATCAAGAAGGTCATCTGTATCCAGGGGATGGATGTGCTGCTAACTAACTATACATCTAGACACCCCAAATGCAGCCTTGCATGGACGGGAAGTAGGGGGGGCTTTCAGGTGCAAAACATATGGCAGGATTAGACTGTAAAGACATACATGCCACATGTGTCCAGGCCATGAAATAGCTCACATTGCACACATGTTACTCACTCCAGGTACTAAAAGCTTCTCCTGTGATGAATGAGGGATAATCCAAGCGGTTGTTTGTGTCTGCCTGTCTAAGAGTGACCAAAGTTTGAATGTGTTATGTGTTATCACTAAAAAGGAGATGCATCTACACTGACAGATGATGCAGGTGACAATAACTGAGACAAAGTTTGATATCATTTATCAGCTGCAGCTTATCAATATCCTTCTCCATGCAGATCTGTGCAGAGAAGATTGATTCTCTAGAGGTCACTCACAGGGGAGGAAAGAGAGCGATGGTTTAGCGGTAAGGACTGTCAGTTCACTCAGGGTGACTGAGGAGGGCTGAATAAACAGCTCTTTAGCGGTGAAGCACAAAGTGGAGCGCACACAAACAGCTTGTGCTAAAAAGCTAGTGTGCATGTGTTTGTATGTGTGTGTGTGAGACCATGGGATACCTTGTCAAACGTATTCTCTTGGTGGGAAGAATAAACATTGTTAAAGTTGCACTGTGTGATGAGTGAAAAGGTGTCTATGTACAGAGATGCAAACCGTCGACTTGTTGCTGTTTGAACAGGTTGCTCACGCTCTTTCACATTGTAATTCCTGTTGTTTACACATTCAAGTATGTGGGTTACAAATACCACCAACAGTGAGACACTATCATTAACCAGCAACAAGACAAAGCAGACTGAAGTGTTACAAACAGATTTTTGTGAATCATTTCGTATTAGATTGGATTAAATCAGAGACATTTGGAAGTACAACCCTGTGGTGTTAGGATGAAGGGGATCCACTCTGTGACATACAGCCATGAAATTGAAACTGTCACAGAAGGCTTCCCGAGTGATTTGAAGTGATATTTATCGGCTTTGTATGATATATCTCCACTCCTGCCAAAAGCTGCTAAGCAGACATGACTGAAAGTAAAACTCCCTGAGAGTGACAGAGATCCCCTTACCTTCACAGTGATCCTGGAAGCCAACAACCCTTTCCTCTCCGTCTGAGCAGCTGGTCTCCTACTTCTGAAACCGGAGGACAGATTTCCAGCTGGTCGTCCCTACAGGGGCTGCTGCTTCAGATGTAAAAATCCCTCAGATGTTGAGAGTCTGAGGTTAATCTAAGCTGTCCCCCGGAGTCCACTGGAGGAGGTACCGCTCTGAGCCTGGCTGTTTGTTTAGTCAAATCACAGCACCACGGGGGTCTCCTCTCCTCTGCCTCTCTCACACTCTGAAGAGAAAAGTCTGCCCACCGCTCCTAAAGACTGTGTAAAAAGAAGTGGAGACATGCGCGCACACACATGCACACCGCTTCCCTGACACATTCACACAGAGGAGAGAGTCAGTGGTCCGGCCCTGCTGAAGCCGGAGTAAGAGTGAGTTGGCGAGAGAGAGAGAGAGAGAAGAGGGAGGGAAATGTGAGGGGGAGTCGAGCAAAAAAAAACAATAGAGGAGAGAGAAAAGACGGAGAGGGACAACTTCAAAATACAGATCAGAATTCAGCTTGTTGTCCTTCAGTGGCAGCTGAGAGGTCCCGAGTCGAAGTGATTTGTTTATGAATGGAGAGGTGGACTGAGACTGTCTCTATTGGCAACAGCAATCTGGACCGCATCTAACCCTTCCATAAAACAACAAACACAAAAAGAGAAAGAGAAAGAGTGAGAGGTCTAACCAGAGAAAAAAAAAGAGACTTTGGCAGGACTCGTGGTGGCCTGCTTTGGAAACAAACACGGAAGTCTCCGTTTCTCAGGAAAATAACCCCACTTACATAAACTGTGGTGTCAGGTGTGAAAGAGGTTAATCACATGGGATACTCCAGCAAGAGTGAGCTTGATCTGTCTTTTAAAGTTATTTTTCCTTCTTTTTTTCATTCATCCCGCTTAAATAATTCAACACTTTCCCCCCCACCGTCACCCTCTTTTGTTTCTTGCCTCTCCTGTCAGACTCTTTCTTTCAAACACACACAAAACTCTCTTCTTTATTTTATTCTTTCTAAGATTATGGTTTGAAATTCATAACACAACACTGCAGCTGACCGAGGCCTTTTCTTTTTAACAAGAGACCAGGGCAGACGGAGAAGCTCGGGGGCCGGGGGGCTAATTGGACAGTAACCACGTTCTCCTTTAACTGTGAGGGTAAATCTAAAAGCTGTGCAAGCAGTAATTAGAGAGCTGGTGCAGCCCTGGTTATTAAAGAGGAGGGGAACAACACCGCACAGGACTGTCCCACCTTCAGTCTATTTCCATCTTTGTAATTAACACCTTCTTGCACTAAATCTGCTCTAAATCCATGTAATTTAGCCCATGAATCTACTCTAGTATGTTTTAGTGCTTTAAGTGATCATTTTAAAGTGATAAGTAACGGTGCAGCAATAACACACATTTTAATATGTAAATACAACAGCTCAAACTTTAACTTCGCATCCTGCAAAAGTTTTAAAAGTCTTTTGTGAGTTTTTAAAAGTGCTAAAAATATGATGTCTAATCAGACGGAGGGTTCATTTCATCATCTTCAATTATTATGGTAAATCTAAGCATGTTTCTATGAGTAAACTTGCTTTTTTGTCAGCAGCCCTTTTGTTTATTCATACAGCTCGACAAAGTGGCAAACCCCGTAACAAACTGGACTCCAAATCATTCAGCTCAAACAATACTCGGTCTATTCAGCCTATCAGAAAGGCTGAAATGTGGTTTGTTTCACAGCTGATCTGGATTGTTGCCATATTTGGAGTGCAGCAATCCCTCTTTATACTAACCTTGTGTTCATGTTTTGCTGGATTTTCGATAGAGCCAAAACTTATCTGTGTTTGACAAGCAGAGGCCCCTTGTAGGCCCCTGGGAGAAGGGGGTGGGAGCTACAAGCAGGAAGTGCTTGAATTTAGGTCCAGATGAGGAGCTGAACTCAAGACACCTTTGAGGGATGAAGACAGATGAAGACTTAAATGGCAGATTTGAAGTCAACACAAGTCATTCGGGGCCAAATCTGAAACTTCAAAAAACAACAGGAAATTTTTTAATGCACAATAAAAGCAAAGCCACAAAATAATGCAGCATCAAGTTAAACAACACACTGGAATAGACTTAGATTTGCCACTGTAAGGTAATAGCGTACACACTGAACATTCACTGAACACAGACGATGAAAATCAAATGCATCAAAACACATTTTTACGCAGGAACTATCTAAAACAGCTGTATTTCAAATTTAAAGTAAAAGAAATGAGCTCATTGAAATCATTCCATTTCACTCAGACTACTCACGTTTAAACTTACATTGGTTTATTGTAGCAACAACAACAACAACAACTTACTTGTGTTTGGCATCAAAGTTCCAACATCAACACTACTCACAGTTTTAAATGCAGAAGTCAAAGCTTGAAAATCTGAGTTTAGTATTTAAAGGTAGCAGTGCAGGCAATGTCAGAGAAGAGAGACCAAGTTAAGAGGATGTGTTTGTGAAGTGACTGCAAGACTGACCATGTCAAATACAAAATCAGCAGCTCAAGTTGACTCTCTGTCAACTGTCTGACACTCATCAGAAAATTAATGAATTTTGAATCCAGAGTTGTGACTTTTTGTTTTTGCTTTTAGAGAGCAAAGTAAACTGAAAAACATTGATAGATGCATGTCATTTCATTCCCCTCTCTGCCCACATTTCCTCTCAGATCTCAGATCTGCCACAGACTAACAAAGGTCAGAAAATGTAAAAAACTTTCTTTATTAGCCTTTAGATACTTACTTTCCACCACTTACCTCCTCCACTTACCAAAATCATCATCCCTCCAGGTGGGAGGTTTGAGACGTTGTCTTATCACTCCTTGATAATGACAGATAATGCATGAGAAGGAAGTATGTATTTCCTCAGTCAAAACCAACAAGTTGATGCAGTCATTATAATGTTTGTAAAGATACTGTTGGCTCAGTCTTTATATAAACCTGACTTTGTATGCTGTTGTTCATGAAACAGATGAAAGCAGCACATGGTGGATCAGCACATAGTTGTACTTCTTGACTTTTGGCCTTTTTTTGTTTGGTTTGTCACTTTATTTGGTTCCTCGATTTATCATGAGATCACGCCAGGTGTTGCAGTTGTCATTTCACAGTTTGCAGTCTATTTGTGGACTGTATGAGGTCTCTGTAGAAAGTTGATTTTTGTGTCCTTCAGCACCTTCGGCGGCTCTCTGTTTAACACCTGTTAACCTTCAGAAGAGAAACTACAAGGAGGCTATTTGGGGCACTGTTCATGTCGGTAAATTCTTCAGTCCTTTCAGGAACCCCTAATTTTAACAGTTTTTGTACATCCTGTTTTTTTCACACAGCAGCAGGCAAGTTCCTTAAATCAATAATATGGAGATGTTTTTCTATCCTAAATGCTTGATGATATATGCAAGGCAAGTCTGAGGGTTATTTAAAGGTCAGAAAAACAGCATAGTCCAGATTATAACATATGATGTTATGTAATCTGTAAGAAATAAATCATGATTCTGTAATCAGCCCTCATCTGTTTTTACAAGCTGACTACTATAAACTGTATCATAAGCTTTCTGTCATGCATATCAAATGACTTGTTGCACTTTCCCGTAAGACATTTCTCTCCATTAACAAGACAGGCTTTATGCTGACAGCTGGGAGTCGTTCCAGCCAATAATGACTTTTCTGACAGACACCAACATGGATCCTTGATGAATGTTTGTTGCAGAAAGATGCAGAAAGACCTAAGACAAGCTCAGCCAATATAACGTGCAAAGCTTCGAAGCAGTATATTTTGATGAAAAAAGCAAGAAGTAGGCTTTTTAGTAACATCTTAAGGTCTGGAGAGCTGAATAACCTGCTTGATTTGAAGGATTTGCTGCCCTCATGTGGTTGTTATAAGTATGGATGTTGTGGGAAAACAACCACAGAAATTTATGTTTTCTTGAAACTTGATTCAAACAGTTAAATGCTGAATTAGCCTCATACTTTTAGGAGACTACACATTTTAGAAAGTAAATAAGGGCAGTTTTATTTTAAATAAAATCAGAGGCTAACCAGTGTTTGTTTACTGCCTCAAATCTCCCCCTGTCCTTCACCTTTTGGTCACATAATAAAACATCTTTTTTTTTACCTATAAAAGTTTTTTAAATGTTATACAGTTACATCAACGTTACGATATGTCATGTTTTGTTTTTCTAAAGGTCAATGAAAGCAACCTCATTTTCCGCTTAAGTGGGGCTGAGCTGAGGATCATGGACTCTTGACCTCATTAGTTCTGCATGTGTCTGATAAACAGTCTACTTTCAGTTTTCATTTTGATCATATTGTAGGGGTTAAGCTTATTATCTGAAATATAGAAAAACTTAGTGCAAACTTCACTTCACTTATAACTGTTTTAGCTATGATCAATGTGCTGAAAGTCACACAAACCACATCTGTACGTGCACGAGCGCGCACAGGAACGCTTGTATCTCATGATGGCCTCATCAAAATGATCCACCAGGTTAGGCAGGAAACATTGGGGTCAATGCCCGCCACTCACCAAGACGAGCAGGTAGTTGGGTCTCAGGTAAGACATGACGTCATGGTGATACTTTTGAACTCGTGGGCAGTGAATCTATAAAGGTGTGTAGTCTTACTGCTCAGGTAGCCAGGCAGTAATAAGCCTGTACCTTAGACTTGGAGTGAAAACAGCGCGAGAGAGGCTGCTGGGAATGAACACAGGGGCCTAACATGCCAAAGGCGGTTTGATTCACCGGCGTTTACCTGAAAAACAACCCTACCTGAGGGACGAGGAAGGCGGAATGTACTCCAACTCACAGACAGCCAGATACCCGGCTCAGGCACTGTCACTGAACAGTCAGTACATCCCGCCAACATATGACTTCACCGCATACCATCACGTCTCAGGAGTCGGTGACCCTTCCACAAGCGCCTGGAACTCCGTCTACGCTCCCCGGGAGGACTATCCGTACAGCTTCCCGGGGTCAAGCCCCAGCGCCGGCCAGGTCAACTTCTCCTCCCCGGAGCTGAGCGGCACGCCCACCCCCGCCGGAGTGGGGTCGTTCAACCCGTACAACTTTATTTCCGGACAGGACCCCTTCACTTCCAGAAGGAGACCCCAAGAGTCTGTCAGACCGCCCGTTTCAGGTGGGAAATACAGGTCATAATATTGACTTTTACAGTGCCACCATTTTGATGTGATAAATTCCCATGTGCTAAATATAAAATAACACGAATAAATATATTATTAGAGGCTTACATTTTTCAAAAACAAAATCTGAATGTAAGATTTCAGGTGTTTGTATTGATGTTTAGATTTTCTTCTGATACCTTGACTAGAAGGTATTAGAGATGAATATCTGCCAGTATTGAGTATGTTTGTTTGTGGAAAAAAAAAAAAAAAAAACTTTATTTTTATTGACATGATAATTTACCTGACAACATGTTGATTCTTCTCTACACACAGTTGATCATTTTTTGGTTTTCCAATTGCAAGTCAATGGACGAATCTTACACTGATGTTTATTAGCTGCCAAAGAAATTACCCTGTTTTGTTGTTCATCATCATGTGACATTAAAAATTCAAACCAGCTTATTGACGGCAGAAAAGCATAGAATAATGTACATGAAATGGTATAAGGGCAAACAGAAAATATGTACTGTAGATGTTTGAATACATGAGCTCTGCTTTATCTCAAAATTCAGGAATATTAAATCTCAAATGAAGTCGTAGTAATCTTGATGAAACTAATATTCAAACAAACACGACCCATATAAAATACAACCTTGGTGTAGTCACATGACAAATCAAACCTTAGTGGTTGTGTAGTTGCTTCAATAACTAACATTGAGAAACACATTGGTTAACACCATTTCTACATTTACACTTAGCAAAGTTATTTTTTCTGCACACATGCTTTCTTCAAGCTTTAGCCTCTCCCTTCCGCCAGCATGGTGTGAGGTGTCGGTGCAAAGCTAACAAAGTTGGCCGCCAAGTCTGCAGAAATGTCGCTCCCCACCCTCTCTGTCCACTGGGTGGGTGCTTAACGGTGACAGGCCAGATAACACAGGGACTACAGGAAGTCTGCACGAGTCTACCTGAATCTTACCTGAAAGGAAACACTCAAGTTTAACTCACAAGTGCCTGTGTGTGTGTGTGTGTGTGTGTGTGTGTGTGTGTGTGTGTGTGTGTGTGTGTGTGTGTGTGTGTGTGTGTGTGTGTGTGTGTGTGTGTGTGTTGGTTTGTCTGAATCAATGCTGTCACATGGGCAAAATTTCCAATCAATAACTCTGACTCAACTTTCCTAAGAGTGTGTGCGTGAGCATACACATAAATAAATGACTGTGTTCACCCCTGTGTACACACCACTCACAGTGATAAGGAGAACCACTGATGCAATGTAGTGGTTAGTATTTACATTAGTTATAGTTAACATGATTGATAGAGTTGATGAGGCTTTGAGTGGCGCCTGAGCTCAAATGTGGCACCAGGCATCTTAGAAGTAGTCATATATTTGTTCAAAACTCTTAATACACCTGGCTCACTTACATAATGACCTGTGCTTGTTTGTCATAATGGGGTTTAAGAAATAGATAAGGGAATAGATGACACACTTCTTTTGTTAATTCAGTCAGACGTCTATACTTGCCCGTATTGTTTGGCTAAATCGGGGTCGTTTTGTGTACTTCAGGAGGAAAGACTCGCACCAAAGACAAATACAGGGTGGTGTACAGTGACCAACAGCGCCTGGAGCTGGAGAAGGAGTTTCAGCACAACCGCTACATCACCATGAGGAGGAAGAGCGAGCTGTCAGTGACACTGAACCTCTCAGAGAGACAGGTGAAGGCAAATGAAAGTCTGAGGAAGGAGGGTAACATACAGTTACATAGGTGTTGAGAATTAAAAGGACCAGACATGAGAAAAAACTGAAACTGAAAAAAACTGAAAGGGATGCATAAGATCAGTTTAAGAATGTAAAAGATGGCTTAATCTTTAAAGGGTAATAATTTCAGTTAAGTGCAAGATGGACAAGATGGACAACTGCTATAACAGAACAAGATCTTGCAGCTCCTGCCAAAGCTAAAAGAGAAAACCATTCTCCTATCTTAAGATTCAAATCATATGACCGTTGCTAAACAGCACCCATTGAAGCCACAGGCCACCATGAGAGATATCAGTATACTCACCACAAACCTTAGGGTGTTTTTGATTGGGGGAGAGTTGGTTTTATTTCTCATGCGAACTAACTCTTGACGTGTGAAAGTGTTAGACGTGTTTATTCAGCTCTGGTCAGCACCCAGTTCATACATGATTTGGTGAAAGTAATCCTCTCCTCTCCTGCCACATTTCCTTTTTCTCTCTTAAGTTGTTCTTTCAAATGAAAAGCCCAAAATGTAATTAAAAAAAAAAGGCTTTAATGTGATCACCGTTTAAAAGTTGTGTTATCTCAAGCTGACAGCTACACTAAAAACAATGAAAAGATTTAAAATAATACAACTATGAGTTCTTTCTTGTGAGCAGTTTAAGGAAAGGTCTCTGCAAATAAAATCATGCATATGTTTCTTTATTTAGAAGGCTATTTCTGGCTATTTTCTTTTTTATATATGTATGTGTGCATTCAAGAGTTATAGTCTAGTAATGTTTCTATGTTTTTATTCTGTGCCCACTGTAATTTTTTACATCAAATATCTAAAAAAAAGTATAAGAAAAATGTCTTTGTACCGTCCTGTACTTCTCTTGCCTTCATGTTATAAGGGAATAATTTCATCACCTCTTGCTCAGCTCAGAGAGTCCTCCATTAGTCCATTTTGCAGAAAATGGCTTTCAAAGAAACTGAAGAAACCTCTGAACATAAACCATAATGTTATGAGGCCTAAACAAACATCTTTCATAAGTGGTGTTGATGGTAAAAAAACCACAGTCTTACTCTAAAGATGTTATCGCGTCATCATTTTTCGCCTTCTCATCTTGCTTGTCAAACCCACAGTTGAGTGCAAGCCAGTTATTCAAGAAAAGACAGCAATTACTTTACTAAAGTAGGGCAGAAAAGAGAGGACACAAAAAAACTGAATCGTTGCCATTGATCATCCTCTGGAGACAGAAAAATAACCTGATGAAAACAGGCAAAGTGATGAAGAAAACTGTGTTTGTTTTGGTGTGCAGGTGAAGATCTGGTTTCAAAACAGACGTGCCAAAGAAAGGAAGATAACGCGGAAGAAGCTGCAGCACTCTCAGCAGGCCTCCACCACGACACCCACCCTGCCTGTGCTAAGCGGACCCTCTGACACCCACATCCCTACCAGCCCCAGCAGCAACATTTTGTCCGACACAGTACCAGAGGAATACTAAGATTTGTTATCAAAGACTGATACTGCAAAATATCTACCAAGTATTTGTTGATGTTTTTTGTTTTTTTAAGTGTCACAGAATAAATGATAATGATTCACTTCAGCGGGTAAAAACGCAGGACTTCCTGCTTTTTGAAATAAGAAGCATCGCATGCTAGTTGCACTGATCCACCCTACTAAACATTCGCAGAGGACAGGATGTTAATGTGCTCTTGTGGATCATTATCAGCACAGATACAGTAATTTTATCGATCACTGGATAACTTTTCACTTCTCAAACATGTGCCTTCTTTTAGTCACTCTAAAAAGGCATTTTTCTTCTGCTAATTTTTGCACATTTGGATGCTGAAATTTGACACATTTTATTCGGATTAATGTGACTTTTTTATTGTCTTTCTACTTGTTTTAGTTCCATTACAAAATCTCTTTTATTTAACATGAGCATTTAAAGGAATTTTCATAAAGTACATTCTGACTTTATCAATAAAAAATGGACCTGTTAATCATTTTAAGGAAGTGAAAGTCATGTATGTAGAATTTCTTTTAATTTACAGGAACAAGAATGAAGAGTTACTTCGAGGGAAAGAGTGGAAACTACCCCATGTGGTGCAACATTTCATCTTCAGTGTTTTTCGTACTGAAATACTGCTGCAGGGTTTGTCATTCGAAGTCTAACTCAGTGAGTCTCAGGTTGCAGAGAGGAAGGCAGCTATTTCTGGTGTAGTGGATGACCCGAATGTACAAAAGTGTACCAACAAAAAAAAAAAAAAGAGGAAGAAGAAGCCATTGGTCTTTCGCCTGAATGCGTAAATTTTATTATACTGGACATAGATAGTAGTCACACCCTGAGCAGCAACAGACCTTGTACCAGTTACATATTTTGAGTAAAGTTGGTCTCCATCCCTCTTTGCCATGTGTACTGTAAGTGTGTGATTTGACCGTACGTGTAAGGAGTTTCACAGTTCAGGATTGTTCCTGTTTGTGGCTTACAGAGAGAGAAGGACAAAGGCACATGTAGCAATGTAAATTTAGTTTGACCAGAAACGGCCGAACACTGCAGACACCATTTTATCAGAATAAACCAGTTTAACCACAAACTTGTTGCAGTGTCTTCTGTGTACTTCAAGAAATTCCTGTTTACCAGCTTTACTCTTTTTCATGTAGACAGTTGTTTTCTTGTGTTTTTAGAGGTTATGTTTGGTTTGCAGCACATTAAAGTCTGCGTCATGTAAATGTTTATCGACCAGGTTTTTATTTTCTGTTTATTAGCACTTAATGTACCACAGTCAGTGGCTGTTGGCATAAACTTGCTCCGTCTGTCTCTGCATCAAAACCACAAAAAAAAAAAACATTTAATAGAGAGAGCTTTTTGATAGATTGCAACTATGTCTATACAATTACTTTACAAACACATTAATACATAAAGAGGATGGCCTGAGATGTCCCTGGTCTTGAACTTAAATTTATATTGGGTTTTTAAATAACATGTAACAGGATCTAATGTTGGTAAAATCTTCTGCCTGTACATTTAAAACTTTTTTCTACATCCACATAGTCCAAACGTCAGAAATCACAAATAAGTAACAATTTGAAAACTTTTCTCCATGAAAAATTGTGCGTATTTTTTAAACACTGAATAACAAGAAACATACAGGATTTCCTCAAAAGCTGACATGTTCTGAGCTGGAGACTGAAAACCAGCTCAGCTTCTCAGTTTTATAGTTTAATACCTTTGGCATGGCAAGGCAACATCACATGAATGTGTCAAAGTTACAATCATCAAATCACCTGGATTTTATAAGGGAGAAATAAATGTTTAATCTTTTTGTTTCTGAAAGCTGTGAAGAGATAATGTGTGTGAAATAGTCTCAACTTTATTTCTAATGTTTGTGAGAGGGAAAGCAACAATACAAACAATCTTATGTTAATTCCTCCTCTATATTGAATGAAGTGCTGAGATATCAAATGATAAAAGCATTGGGAGAGCAGCTTTATTACACCTCTTCTGTGTTGTTAATCATTTGCTTAAAGGATTATGTTGGTCAGAAGTTCATCTAGAGGTTAAAACAAAAAAAAAAAATAAAATGGGATCTGAGGTGGCTTTTGAGGGCACAGCAACTGCCATGAACCATAAACACCAATTTTATTGCTGTGTGTCAGCTGAAAGGTCGTCCATGGTTTTCAACCTTTAACCATGAGCTATCAAACCAAACCAATCATCTAACCTCTGTCTTTCATTAAACAAATAAAAGCACATAAAGTCACCTTTACCACACACACACACACACACACACACACACACACACACACACACACACCGAGTCACAACTTTAAAACTTTAAAACTTTAGTTTAATAAAAACAGTGAAACAAAAAACATGAAGCCTTTAAAAAGTTTTTAAAAATGACAACATAAGACTTAAATAAAATGACAGGAAACAATATTTAAAATAATTTCATTTTATATTTCAAACAAACAGTAAAAAAATGAAAAAAACATAAATAACAAAAAGTATTGGCCCAAGGATTAAACCTCATCTAAAAACAATGCCTGACTCTGTATCGTCCTTCACTCCAGTGCTGTTTGCAGACAGCAGTAGGCTCTGACCTGCTTGTGATTCTAGCTTTAACAAGTTTATCCTTCAAAATGTTCACCCTGAGTTATTTTACAAGATTTAACCTGTAAAAAAATGAAGAAACAATTTGGTGGAGCTAAGTTAAGTTTTAACTTCCCGTATTATCAGATAGTTGAAGGTACTGCAAGATTTGTTTCTGTCATAACTCCCTGGGCAATGAACTTTCTCTAAATGTGGTTGCACATTTTCGTGAATTTGATGAGACATAAATAAGAAAAAGGAAATGACAGTGGTAAGCCCCATCACTCAAGATTCAAAGTGTCTTACATGCTATAGGAATTGAAAGAAAAACTGACTTCAGGGTCTCTAGAGGGTTTTTATCAGCCACCGTTAAACCTGTTACTAAATGTGCTTTGCATTTTGTGGTTTATCCTTTAACTTCAACTGATCAGAGCACCAACACACACAAAAAAAACCTTTAAAATCACATATGCATCTCTTTCTTGTTGTTCACCATCGTAGTTGAGTACACTCTAAAGTGGAAACCACAAAGTCATAGGAAATTTAGCAGCCTAAATATAGACAGCCTGATGGTGTTAAGAGACAAGCAGAAAGTGCTGTGAAGTGATGTGATGATAAATAGAGTTGACAAATTCTACCACAACACCGCATTAGTCACTTACAGTTTTCCTCCTGTTAACAAATGTATTCTGTTTAAAGTTGTTTCTCTTCTCTCAAAAACACAAGTGGAGATGTTGCAACAATTTACAATTACTGCAAATCTGTGTAAATTATATTCTAACATGAAAAGATTGTAGTGTTGTGGTAGCAAGAGTAAGGAGCTAACGCAACTAATGGACTAATGTTCAAAGACTGAAAACTGACGCCTGAGAAAAGCAGAAGTGAACACATCATGGAAACAAATTTGTGAACTTCCTCTGGGACAAAGTATTTCTTCACAAGCTTTTTTTTTGGGGGGGGGGCCACAAAGCCAAAGACAGACAGCACTGTTGAGCGTTAAAGGCCAAACATGAGTCAATGCCACTTTGCCTGAGCACATCAGGTCATATACGCCTGCCAATTATTTGCATGTAACTTAAAGGACTATTTTCAAAAATATTATTGTAATAATAATAATAATAATAATAATAATAATAATAATAGATTTTATTTGTAACGCACTTTACATTTGAAAACAAATTTCAAAGTGCATTGGTATTGGTTTGACATGGATTTACAGTATTTTACAAATGTAATATGTACAGTTTTTACATAGTAGTCTATTCAACTAGGTCATACTTCATTTCAAGCAATGGAGCTAATGTTGAGTCATTGACGCATGGTACAGTAGAAGTTATGAAAATAATTCAAATCTATCGGTGCTGATGGCTTTGAATTTGTCCTCAAAAAGTCAAAACAAAAGTGAGAGCCAGCAGACATCCCGACTGTCTGCCCTTAGTGGTACAGTCTTTTCTAAATCACAGTGAATCACCTGCCTTTGCGGACGTTGCTGTACACACATTCATCACCTGATGTTTTAGCAGACTGTCGAGGTCGCTGTGAAAACTTGACCTGGCCGTACTCCACTTCTGCCTCTCCTCTTTGCTGCACCTGCCTCCCCTGCCGCTGCGCAATCCTGACATCAGCATAAGTTAATTCTTGTTCATCAGTGTCTTCTGCTGGGTCGAAGAAATAAAATGAAGAATTATATCAGATTCAATGAGTATAAACCATCAGAAGTACAGCTGCATTATGGTTGATACAGTTTCTTTTTCCCTCTGATGAGAGGATAGGTGTTAACTTTGTAGCCTAGCTGCTTTAAGGTTTATATCAAGATTAAAAGCAGCAAATGAAAAGGCTTTTTGTATCATAACAGGAACAGTTTTAAGGATAATAAGAAATAGGCATATTTTTGACTAGCTGCTTGTACACAGAACCAAGTTAGCCCCCCACTTCATGTTAGCCTTTTTATGTAAAACTAACCAGCTGTTATCATAACTTCCTGATAGATCTAAATAAAGATTTAAGTATGCAAAACCTGCCTTTAGGTCCCTCAAAAGGAAACTGATCAAATGTAGTTTAAAAAAAACAGTATACCAATTCTTAAAGTAGATGGTCAAGATTTTGCACAGAGCACAACCCCAAACTACTCATCCCAACATGCAAATGCAGTCTGTTTGTACTGAAGCGAACCAGGAGCAAGTGTAGCTGCTGTCATGGCTAAACATAGACTGCAGTGTGTCTGATCAGTGTAAAGTATCATGGGTGCTCAAAGGTACCCTGTGTACAAATAGGCATCTTTAGGGACATGTAGCTGCCAGACAGGGTTGGTAGATCTGTGACAAAGTCAGCAAAAAGGCCAGTCAAAACCAGACAAGCACAGCAGTTTTGTGCCATGACCGGACGCACTTTTCCCTGCACAGCTAATGTTGCCGACTTCCTAAATTGCTTCAGTTTGGAAGCACACGCAAAGAATCCCCCTATTCTTTTTCCTTTACCCCGGATCTCAACTATGCTAACTATCTTTCCTTCGAGGAAGCTGCTGCTGGTGGTAAAATGACTTCAATTTGAGAAGTGACTCTTGTGTGTTGCCAAACGTGTCAAACTATATTTCAAAATTCTGATCTAAGTGCAAAAAAATTTAACATCATGGAGTGGTAAAACAAGAAAAAGGAAGTCTTGGCCAGTACCTTTTGGCTTGTTCTCCTTTTTCCTCTGAACATAGACAACTCCCACTCCAACAGCCAAAAGAATTAGCAGTGCACAGAGGACACCAGCCATTACTGGCAGATAGCCTGAAAGTTTCAGGGATAAAAGACACAAGAATATCACATTATTATTGTAAAATGGGGAAACCATTGCTGTATGTTTATGTAGAGAATCAAGCAAATGAAGCACAAGCATTTTGATGAATCCATCGCAGTAAAGTTAGTTTTTACTTACTAATGTACCATGGGTCTCCTCCGCTTGGGAAAATCCCAGTGTGGTTGGAGGGTGTGATATTATAAGAGGGAGTATTTGGCACTGTTATGTCAGTCTCCTTACCCTCAGTAGTTGGTTCAATACACTGGGTTTCATTGGTAGGAAGCAACCACTGTGATATACGTGTCCCATTGAGTAAGGTGCAGTCGAAGAATTTGAAGCCTATTGGAGAAATAACAGATTGACCACTCGTGTCTGTTTAGATAATAGAGTAAAAGTCACCATGTTTTCTTCTTGTGCTCTCACTCACCACATGTAGAGATAGTTTCTTCTTCTTGGACACTACTGATGTGATTCTTGACTGTGCAGGCCAGTTGTCCTGTTACGTCTTGTTTCAGAGTGATGTTCTGACTCTCACTATTTCCTGAGAGGAGCTGTCTGTCTGTTAGCCCGTATCCACCCAGAGTCCAGCTGTACTGTGGACTGTCTCCACCCTTAGAGTAGCAGGAGACCCCCATTTCTCCGTGGGACAGACACCCAGAGACCAGATGGACAGAGGACACAGGAGCTTCAAGAAACACAGTCAGATGACTTTTTAAAACAGAAACATAATAGTTTTTATATTTTCGAAGACAAAACATTTTCTCTCACAATGTATTTGCCAAATCTGTAAATTCCTCAATGAGTAAAATTAAAATGATTTTACCTTGAATGATCAACCTTAGAGTCAGCTTCATCAGATTTGTTCCACTAGAATCAACATACATTTCAAGAACATATTCACCAGCATCTTTCATGTTCAGGTTATTGATCCGAAATGTTCCATTTTTGGGAGTAAATGAGAATCTTTGATCTGACGGTTTAGTCACAATCTTATCCCTCCGCCCATTGAGGATTACTGCAGGTTCTTTTTTCCACGCGTATTTAAATATTTTTGAGGCGTCATCCATCACCCGGAGGAGCACAGTTCCTCCCAGAGCTGCATAACACTGAGCTCCACTCTGTCTGCCATCACAGGACATTTCCACACCTGGAAAAAGAAGATTTGAACTATCAACACATGCACACACACACATACACTTAAAAACACTGTTTTACACCTTTGGTTTAGCAGATAATCCCAACCAGTCAATTTGATTTTAGAGGCTTATTTCGGATTAAAATGAATAATATTTAATAGCACATCATCAGAATTTACAAGCCTTGAGAAAATTGTGATGTAACTACAATAAAGTAGGCTTGCAGTCTGTTTTATTCTCTTTTATATCTTTAACTGAAATGAGTTAAGTTCATGTCATCGGGGTTCAAAAATTACATTTCTAAACTTTCAGCTGTTACTTTTTTTTATCCACAATGTTTAAGTTAGCGGGCTATTTCAACAGAAATTCAAGTTCTTATTTTAAAGGTTCAGTCTGAAAAGAAACTTCAATCTTAACTCAAAACTGCCACAGTTTTTAGTTTCTTCTTTAAAAACAATTATTAATGATGAAGTTCATTTCTTCAGATAAACAAATGTTTCCAGCTTTATTCAACAGTGAGGATCATGTTTATTTTATATTAGAGCTGCATAAAAATGCGGAGCTGCTATTTTCTCAGAATATCAAGCTGTAATATCAAAATGTGTTATGATTGTTGTAAATAAAACTGCTCACCATTAGAGACTCCCAGCAGCAGAAGCAGCAGCAGCAAACCAAAAGCAGCATCCATCCCCTCAGCGTTCAGCCTCATCAAACTCGGACTTACCTATGAACATGAATACTGAACAGTCCGAGGTGCGCTCAACAAAATGATCAGCCTCAGAGAAAATGTTTGAGAACCTCAAACAAGGAGGCTGAAATGAGACAAGGAAATGATGTCACTTTTACTTCTCTTTTAACCCAGCTAAAGCCTTTTGGTGTGATAGACTGACTTGAAGAGAAGGAAATATTCCTTCACCGAACCGAAAGAGGATTTGAGACTAGCAGATGTTTTAACCATGTCCACCGCATTATAATGTGAAGAAACTTATAAGGAAAATGAAACTTACCATCTACTGATATGATATTTGCACCTACAAAAACTTCTGATACCCGATACTTTGACCCTAACTATATCACAGCAAGTAAAAACTGTGCAGGTATGAATTTTGGATTCTGTCTTAACCTCACACACTACCAATATTACACTTCCAATACAAGTTCATCATTTTAAAAGTGTTATCATTAATACAACTTCATTTTTAAAAAGTTTGTAATTATTCAGATATAAAATCTATTCTGAATTAATAATCATCACATCTGATTTATCTATATTATTGTGTGCTTGAGCAACATAAGGGAAAATAATTATCATTTTCATTTTAAAGCCAGAAGGAGGAATTTTAAATGAACAACAAAAACAGTTGCATCACTAATTTCTTTAAATAAACAGTAGGGAAAAATGAAATAAATCATTTACATAATTCAGGATTTGTATTGTTTGTTTTCCCACATTGTGATGATTATATAATAATAGTTTGGGAAAATTATACATCTGTATAGAGCTGACGGTGATAAAGCAGCACATAATTATGAATGCAATTGTTGCTTTGTTTGTCAACTTAAGTATTTGTAGGCTCATTGCTGTACAAGTTATTCAAACCCGAGTCCTTTAATAAAAAAAAAAACATCTGTAATAAAGTCTTCTAGTTAAGCTCAGTTTGAGCAGCAGCGCCATAAAAATATTACAGCCCTCAAAGCTTCAGCCACTAGTTCATGTCCCAACTGTTGTCCTCTGTTGCATGTCCACCTTGCTCTCCTCTTGACACATTTCCTGTCTGTCTCCAACTGTCTAGTCAAAAAAGGGGGGCAAAAAACAATACCTAAAAATAAGAAATCTATAATCTCAAGATTACAGATTGGTCTTTTTTGTTTATCAACAGCATGAACAAAAAGTCTATAATCTACAGTTTCACTCATTGTTGTTCACCAATAGTGATGTGAGAGTGTTCCTGGTAAGAGTTTAATTGTAAAGTTCCTTACACCAATTGTAAGATTTTAGCGCCCTCCAGTGGTATGTTGCAGCAATAAAAATACTTCATATGTTGACTCTCTTAATTAAGATTCAGAAGGTTAAAAATCATTTTTTACTCACCCATCCCAACCCATCCCCCACCCCCAAAAAAAGGTTCATTTGCTCTTCACAGAAGGTTTTAACAAGTAGCCTATAAAAAAATCAAGAACATAATCAGTTCTATTGTGAAGTAGTGGGAAACCTCTTAAATCAGGATGAGTCTGAGTGTTAGGTAAGTCAAGTTTATTTCTTTGACTGGCAGGTAAATTTACTCAACAACAGCTGTCATGAAAGGTAAACTGATACATGGTTTAAGAAACGATAAAGCAAAGCATAAAAAAGAAGAAAATAGTTATTTCGCTTAATGGAACAACTCCACCACTGTGATCTAAAGTGGCTCATATATCTTTAGATGATAAATCACTGTTAATGAAATTTTAGTCATTACTTTTAAATGACAGAGTTAATGCAGGGATCTACTGTACAGTTATTAAAAAGGCAGTAAAACATTGTTTGGACATTGATATAAGTGTCACTCACATGAACACATTTCACATTTAGGAAAAGTGAAATTGAGAAAGAAGTAAAACAGAGGAGAATTTCTAAACTAAACCTTATCTTAACATCTGTTACCACCTTAATTTTACACATAGCCCAATAACAGAGGTGAAAAAAAGGTTTTAGTTTCAGAGAACTAAGGTTCAGCAGCAGAGCTTCTCATTTCAACCATTACAACCGACGTGTTTTCATATTCCACCTCTTCGGGGACTTTTGAGCCTTCAGCTCTCTTCTTCTTCAGAGCAAAGTAGATGAAGATCCCGATTATTATCAGAATGACCACAGCTGCTCGCAGACCACATACAAGCAAAGAGGAATCTGTTCAAGCAAGAGGACACAAGAAGAAAGAAAGTGAGGTTAATGCTTCAGAAATGACAGGTCATATCAGCTGATGCAATGAACGTAGGAGTAGATTTTCATTTGCACATGACATTTGATCTTTTACCTGCAGTTGACTCTAAATTCACAGTAGGTTCAATACACTGGGTTTCATTGGTAGGAAGCAACCACTGTGATATACGTGTCCCATTGAGTAAGGTGCAGATAATCTTACCCAGTCAATTTAACTTTAGAGGCTAATTTTGGATTAAAATGAATATTATATGATTGTATATCATCAGAATTTTAAAGCCTTGAGAAACTTGCTGCATTGTGATGTAACTATAATGGAGTAGGCTTGCAGTCTGTTTCACTCTTTTTTAATTTAAACTGATATGAGTTATGGTCATGTCATCAGGGCTCAAAAATTACATAAAATAAACTGGATTTCCTTGGTAGGAAATCACATTATTATTGTAATATGAGAAAACCATAGCTGTATATTTATGAGGAGAATCAAACAAATAAAGCACAAGCATTTTGATGAATCTAATGCAGCAAATTTAGTTTTCACTTACTAATGTACCATGGGTCTCCTCCGCTTGGGAAAATCCCAGTGTGGTTGGAGGGTGTGATATCATAAGAGGGAGTATTTGGCACTGTTATGTCAGTCTCCTTACCCTCAGGAGTTGGTTCAATACACTGGGTTTCCTTGGTAGGAAGCAACCACTGTGATATACGTGTCCCATTGAGTAAGGTGCAGTCGAAGAATTTGAAGCCTGTTCAAGAAATAACAGATTTACCACTCGTGTCTGTTTAGATAATTGAGTAAAAGTCACCATGTTTTCTTCTTGTGCTCTCACTCACCACAAGAAGAGATAGTTTTTTCTTCTTGGACACTACTGATGTGATTCTTGGCTGTGCAGGCCAGTTGTCCTGTAACGTCTTCTTTCAGAGTGATGTTCTGACTCTCACTATTTCCTGAGAGGAGCTGTCTGTCTGTTAGCTCGTATCCATCCAGAGTCCAGCTGTACTGTGGACTGTCTCCACCCTTAGAGAAGCAGGAGACCCCCATTTCTCCATGGGACAGACACCCAGAGACCAGATGGACAGAGGGCACAGTAGCTTCAAGAAACACAGTCAGGTGACTTTTTAAAACAGAAACATAATAGTTTTTATCTTTTCAAAGACAAAACATTTTCTCTTAAAATGTATTTGCCAAATCTGTATATTCCTCAGTGAGCAAAAATAAAATTTATTTACCTTGAATGATCAACCTTAGAGTCTGCTTCATCAGATTTGTTCCACTAGAATCAATAAAAAATTCAAGAACGTATTCACCAGCATCTTTCCTGTTCAGGTTATTGATCCAAAATGTTCCATTTTTGGGAGTAAATGAGAATCTTTGATCTGGCGGTTTAGTCACAATCTTATCCCTCCGCCCACTGATGATTACTGCAGTTTCTTTCTTCCACGCGTATTTAAATATTTTTGAGGCGTCATCCATCACCCGGAGGAGCACAGTTCCTCCCAGAGCTGCATAACACTGAGCTCCACTCTGTCTGCCATCACAGGATGTTTCCACACCTGGAATATAGAGAGATTAAAAAATTATCCTACTATGACAATACTGATCATTCATAAAAACAACAAAAAAAAACTATCTTATCACAGACACATGTAAAACTTTTTGTATGTATAGAATAACTGCTGGGTAAAAATATGTCTTCAGACCAAACAGGCTCAACTCTTTTTCTTGAGAGCAAAAAAAGATTCACATTGTTGTTTCGCTTAGATGAAGTAGTTTATTGTGATCATTTTAAGTAGTCCCCTTTGTAACCAGAGAGCTTTATCTTATAGTGAACTTTCGTATGTTTCCTGACCTACAAGTATTTGACTTTCTGTGCCAATAATGACTCAAAAATGTGTTATTCTGAATTTCTGAAAAATGGTAAAGACAAATAACAAGACTGATAGTAAGAAACAGAAACACTCCTGTAGCTATTCTGAGGTAGTTTGAATATTTCTGGATCCATCTTATCAGTTTTGACATTTTTGATTGAACTGTTAATGAGTTCAGCACTCTCTCCGGTGCTCTTTAATCCTTGAAAAACTCATAACTCAAGATCAGATGAGTCACACAGGACATAATGTCATTTCCTTAAAAGACTTTGGTTATAAAAAGAAAAGCTCTGGGGCTCATTAGGTTTGCTGTAACTGTTACTTTAAACTATCCCTGAGCAGAATACTCATCCAAAAGTTTGGTGATGCCATAAAAAGTATATTAGCAAAAATTTTATCGGTATAGCAGAACTGATAACTATAAAACTCTCTCTCTCTTTTGTGAGGGAATATCAACACATGTTGTGATGTTTATTTTGAACTTCTTAATCAAAAGTTATTCAAAAGTCATGTTGAACTTATTAGTACTGAATATTCAGGTACATCAGTCCCAGTCCTAAATCATGTTTATATACTAATATATATATATATATATATATATATATATATATATATATATATATATATATATATATATATATATATATATATATATATATATATATATATATATATATATATATATATATTACCACATGTCATAAATTCAGAAACACAACTCTGAAAATCAAAACCAGAAAAAAAATCTGACTGTAAATCATCGAAAGTAATGGTTTGAAACAGTGCAGCATATTCAGTAGCACTCTCTGTAATAAACTCACCATGTGAGACTCCAAACAGCAACACCAGCAGTCCAAACACAGCTTTCATGTCTGACACTTCTTCTGTTAGAGATTAGGGGAAGCTGTGTAAGCGCAAATAACTATGTGCAGTTTTTGTGGGTGTAGATGAAGAGATCAAGTTGTGGCGCTAAGAAAACAAATGCAGACGTCAGACCAAAGTTTTTATTTTTATTTATACACTTCCTCCTTTTTCTTAATCTTTCAGAGTCTAGTTCTGTTTTTCAATTCTGTTTTTTGTTTTTTACCTAGGATAAAAAAAACTTAATCCTTGTCAGAAAATGAAATAGGAAAGGTCAACGCATCATTTAAATCAATGAACAAGTTGTTGTTGCTTTATAGTGATTTGCATACAGATAAACAACCATATTTGGTATAAACATTTAAGAAATGGATCTTGGGTTGCCTACTGCCCCCTATCTGCAGAGACTGTAGTCCTCGGGTGTGCAGCCTTGGTTTGATCCCGGCCTGCAGCACCTGTGCTTCTTGTCACTTCCTACACTCTTGTAGTTTCCTGCTGACCCCTGTCCACTTACACACATTTCCTTTTCATATAAAAGTGTGAAGAAACAGAAAAAAGAAGAAGAAGAAGAAGAAGAAGAAGAAGAAGAAGAAGAAGAAGAAGAAGAAGAAGAAAAAGATGAAGAAGAGGAAGAAGAAGAAATGGATGACAGATTATTATTCATGAGTCCGTTTCATAAAGTAAAATAAAAAATAGAAACATTGAAGTGTTTTACATGTTTTTCCATCACAGCTGTGAGCAGTTTACTAATTTAGTGCACCATTATTTTAAATGTCTGTACAATTTGTGTCTTTTGTTTCCATGTTCTCACCAGATGAAGTTCCTCATTTGTAAAAGAATTACCGACACAGGGTGTTAACTCACACATTTAGAGTGTTTATGAGAAACCCAAGTCTTATGTGTAAGTCTCACCATTAAAGGCTCAACAATGACCTCTGTCATCTCCTTTATGTCTTTCAGTTTTCTAGAGAGAAATTGTTAAAGATCGAGGTGCAGGTGTGGCCTCATCCCGTCTCATGAAGGCTGAACCGTTGTGCCTGTCCCAACCAGCAACTGACCCTGCAGTATAAAAAACTATGGGGTCCTCATACACTCAATGCCAGATTGTTTAACAAACTCTTCGAGTAGAGAACTGGATGTAACTGTGGATATCACAGTGGATAATACTATTACAAATCTTAAAATTTTCTTTGAATCTAATGCGATCACATTAAAAATTGAACAAAGGTTTACTGTTTCAATGATATAGATGTATTCAATCTGGCATGTTGCTGTCTCCACTGTAAGGCAGCAGAGGGAATAACAAACCACTTCTTGATCTGAAAGTTATATATAATTTTATGAATTTTAGGGGGTTTTATCATCTATCTAAGTTATCACTGACACAAAACTAACAACCGTTGTGATAATTACATGATAAGAAAACAACCAAAACCACTATTTAAAAAATTCAAGGCTTAAGCATTAACTGTGGGAATAAGGTTTGAACGTACTGAAGCAGGATCCAAAAGAGCCATAGGGTTACATCAGGATGCAAAAGTGAATACATTTATATCCCTTTACACATTTCAAAGAAGCTATATTTCATTTTGGACAGTGAAAATGCACAAACCTATTTTGTGATCTTAGTATAAAAGAACTTTTTAATAATGTATATAAGGCATGATGATAATATCATAATAAACTCTTTTTTATAAAGCACCCTCCAAAACCGGAGTTCCAAGACGCCATACAGACAGAATCCAAAATACAAGAGGTAAAAACCATTAAAACAAGATGTCAAGATAGCCGCAATACAATAAACAGAAGAAGAAGAAATGAATCAAATAGTACTATACTTGAAAAAAAAGGCCAAACAATAAAGGAATATTTTTGAGTGCAGATTGGAAGGAGGATACAGACTCTTGTGCATAGGACATTTGCTTGAATTTCACAAATATATATACTTTAAAATGAAGTTAAGTTCACAAAAAAAAAAACAACCGCAAAGAGAGACAAAGATAATTTCTGATCCCCCTCCTAATATTTATAATGACACATTGCCCAAATACAGAAGGTAAGAAGTGACACAAGAGGGTCAAGGCTCAGCTGCTGAACTTCTCATTTCAACCATTGCAACAGAAGTGTTTTCATAATCGACTCTATTGTGGTCTGCAGGGATTTTAGCTTTCATTTGTTTGTTCTTCTTCCAAGCCAAAAAGACAAAAATCCCTGTCAGCATGAGAAAGATCACAGCTGCCTTCAGACCGCATATGAGCAGGACAGGATCTGTTCAGACAAGGGCACATGAAAATTACAACTCAGGCAAGATTATGAGATAAAAATCGTCTGGTGTGTTTGATGTGAGTTATGTGAGTGGGAGGTTTATGGACACTGATGAAACTCCTCTTACCTGTAAGAAAGGTTTGTTCCATACACTGGATTTCATTGGTTGGAAACAACCACTGTGAGACGTACGTTCCGTTTAGTAAGGTGCAGTCAAAGAATTTGTAACCTGAACAGAAAAGAAAGTTACATATCGAGTACCACTGCTGTCACTTTTATATCTTATTATGTTCTTATTTACCACATGACACGATCCTCTCCTCTTCTGAGACACTACTGATGTGATTCCTGACTGTGCAGACCAGCAGTCCTGATAGGTCTTGCTTCAGAGTGATCATCTGACTCCCTCCATTTCCAGAGAGCAGTTGAGTGTACAGGAGTGTGTGTCCATCCAGAGTCCAGCTGTGCCGAGGACCGTCCCCACCCCCGGAGGAACAGGAGACTTTCTGCTCTCCCTGGGACAGACACTCAGAGACCAGCTGGACAGAGGACACAGGAGCTGAAGGAAAGAAAGGATTTTAAATATATATATATACGTATATAAACAACAGTGAACCTGTCAGCTATAATCCTTTTATGCCTCTGGAGAACTGTGACTGACAGAATAACATTTAAAGAACCTTTCCACTTTTCCAAACAGAGTAGACAAGCATGAGGATGTACGTTCATTTAGATATTTACCTTGAATTGTCAGCTGTAGAGTTTTAGACACTGATTTCAATCCACTTGAATCAAAGATTTCAAGAGAATATTCTCCAGCATCTTTCCTGATCAGGTTATTGATCCTAAACGTGCCATTTTGGGGTGTAAAAGAAGATCTGTCTCGAATTGGATTAGTCACAATTTTGCCCTGCCTTCCTTGTAGTATTTCTGTTGTTTCCTTTCTCAGTCTGTATTCAAACATTTCAGAGGCATTGTCCATCAGGTGGAGGACTAAAGTTCCTCCCAGAGCTCCATAACACAGAGCTCCATCCTGTCTGCCATCACAGTAGGTTTCAACACCTGGACATGCAAACAAAATTAAAGCAGAGAGTGAAGATGAGTGTCTCCAACATACAGCACATTTAATCAGTCAATCAAAGACTTTGATTTGTTATGAGGTTGTGGTGTTGTTGCACTCAAAGAATAGATTTTCCAGAAGAATCATAAAAAAATTAAATTGTACAGCAGGATGTTAATAATTAGTTTCCAATGCTATTTTCTCCGAGTGTGCTTACTCACCACAGGATGATATCTTCACTTTTTTGGAGACACTACTGATGTGGTTCCTGACTGTGCAGACCAGACGCCCTGACACTTCTGGTCTCAGAGTGATAATCTGACCCTCATTATTTCCAGACAGCAGCTGGGATTTCATTAGTGCGATTCCATTCAGAGTCCAGCTGTACTGAGTACTGTCCCCTCCTCCAGAAGAGCAGGAGACCCTCATATCACTCTGTGGTAGACACTCAGAGACCAGCTGGACAGAGGACACGGGGGCTGGAGGGAACACATCAACAAACACAAAGTCAGTGCATGAAACCTGAAAAAAAAGCAGATTGAGTGAAAGAAATGTGTAAAATATGATGTTTCATCAATAAGAATTAAACTTTTATTTACCTTGAATGGTCAGCTGTAGAGTTATGGGCTCTGGTTTCAATCCACTTGAATTAAAGATTTCAAGAGAATATTTTCCAGCATCTTCCCTGATCAGGTTATTGATTGTAAAGGTGCCATTTTTGGGAGTGAATGAGGATCTGTTTTTTATCAGGTTCGTCACATTCCTTTTCTTCCCCCCACTAAGTATGGTTGTTTCTTCTTTCTTCCATTGGTATCTGAATATTATTGAAGCATCGTCCATCAGGTGGAGGACTAAAGTTCCTCCTAGAGCACCGTAACACAGAGCTCCATCCTGTCTGCCATCACAGGAGGTTTCCACACCTGGAAGATTTCAAAACTGTTGAAGAATATCATAATTTGCCCTTGATTTTTGGAAAAATCGAGGAAACTCTAAATATAATTGGTCAAATTCAATGAGGTTTTCTGTCTTTTTCTGAATTAGACTGCAAACAGGAAGTAATTATTAGAAACTTCTGGTCCCTTACAGTTTTAACAACTGTTAATTTGCACAGCAAGCTTTGAAAAGGAACCACCATGAAGTAAAAATGAGGGAATGTCTGTCTTGTCAAGTTGATCCATTTTCTAACTGTTTACCATGAGTTGGCAGAACTCAGCTAAATCTATTCAGTAACTAGAAAAGCACTCGGAGAGCGCAGACCTCCGCAAAGCAGCTCATGTCCCCCCTTAAACAAGAAATGCCCTTACCGGGATTCAAACCCTTGACCTTCTGGTTGTGAGGCAACAGTGCTAACAACTATATCACTGTGCCACCCATTGCTTATTTGTCAGCATTGAAAATTCCAACCACACCCTTATTTTTGTGTTCTGGGTCACAGTATCCAGAATTTTGTCCAGATCACTACCAAAATCTAATGGGATCCTCCTGGGGCTGAGATGCACCTCTGGTGAAAATTTCAGGTCAATCCGTCTGTTACTTTCTCCGTAAAGTTGCTAACAGACAAACAAACAAACCAACGCTACCGAAGTAGTCTGAAGGAAATGAGTCATGGATTCAATGTAGTTCTGCTTTGCCATTTGATTTTATAGTATTTTATTGTTGAATCCTTGTAATTAATTGTAGTTGATCTTTTACTTTAAATATTGCTTACCTTCAACACCCTACTTAGCTGTTTAGATTTCATATTTCATTTACCAACTTGTGCATATACTAACAAATATGATAAAGATCTCTGAAATAGTAAAAAGGCTCACCGTAACAAACCCCGAGCAGGGTCACCAACAGTCCAAACACAGTTTTCATGTCCAAAATGTCTCCAGTTCGTGGTCAAGAAAAGCTGAGAAGGCTCTGGTGAAAAAAGTGTCTGTGTATTCATATGCAGTTTTCAAATGTGACAGGAAGATATATCAGCATGTCAAGTGTTAAACCACTACACATACAAAAAAAAAAACCTGTGACTTCTTACACTGTGGGTCTTTCATTTGGTCTTCCTCTTTTTCTCATTACTCTTTTTCTCTTATTTTCTCTTGTTACAGTCAGTGATTATAACCCAGGTCACAAAATGACCAGATTAATATTTTTAAGAAAAAAAAATTAAAAGATTGAAAACTTTGTGTCTTTGTGATACTAAAACAACACTTTTAATGGTTAATATCTGTGGAGGCTGTTTGCTCTTGTAACAGAACCATTTAACGTTTTCATCATGCAGTGTGCTGTGAAAAAAAAGTACTCTCATTGCAACAAAGTGCCCACTTTGCTTAACCTTTGTCTTAAAAGCTTTTTAGAAATGTTGAGACATGTGACACTGGTACATTACCAGCTGTATTCTCACGAGAGGTAGGCCCTTCATATAGATGTTAAAAAGGACAACACTAGAATGGCAGAAACACAAGTTTATATCAATCACTCGGGTTTACACCTTTCCTATAAATTATCATACATTTTCAGATAAAACTTAAGTATTTTCTGCTGTCTGCAAGATTGTATGCTTTTTGTCATTGTCTGTTTGTTATGGTATGGTTATGGTATTGATCCTTTTAGGGGTGTTGTTGGCTCAATGCACTGGTTGCTTTTCGTTTTGATCACCCATCGTGGTATGAATGTCCCATTAGGTAAGGTGCAGTTGGTGTGTATAAACCCTATGAGAAAGAACTAGATCAGTGTTTGATGAGAAGGAGGCGGTAGACCAAAAGGAGGCCAGAGGTTGTTCTCTGTAGTAGGATCCATACAAAACTGATTATCAGCAGTATTAAATATTCTGAGTTTTGTGCCTTGAATTTCACATTTTTAATTTCATGTACTCTATTTGAATTTTATATCTGTTCATAAAAAATAGAACAGCTTTACCCTATGATGTTAAAATGTAACAATCAATCAACTATAGGTCATACTAATGAAAGTGCTTTTAGTTTTTAACAAATGTAGTCCTCATGAGGTCTCCTGTAATTCAGCTTTTAAATGATATTTTTCAAATGACTTCATAAAATGTGTCAAACTAGAAAAATCTGTGATCTCACCACCAGAGACTCTAAGCTTTAACAACAGAAATAGTCAAAATACAGCGTCCATGTCTCCTTAGTGTTCGGCCTGAAATGTTTTTTCTTGTCAGCTGCAGATAGGAAGGTATCAAATCTCTTATTGCACAGGGGGTTATAAAAAAAAAGAAAGAGGAGGAGGACAGGAAACACTCAGTACCATACATGTGATGTTATCAATAGCAGAAACAACAAGTCACCTGCTGAATGATATTCTCTCATACATAACTATTCTCCAGTAGCAGCCATGGTGTTATGCTCTCAGGCTGATGAACATTCCCTGGCAGTTCATTTTAACATTAAAGCAGCTGATATTGCTACAAAAGCTCTTGTAATCTTATTTCTTTAAACCTGCACTTTAGATCACAAGTTGTTTAAGTCTTCTGTTATGTTTCTGTGTGGCACAGAATCAACCTAATGCAATTTTATCCACCTTTTAGCCAATTCTCAAATAAGGCCTTATAATTATTATATATTTTTTCAGATGATTAAACAAAATTCATTATTTGATGTATCTTACCAGAGTAAGTGTGTTATTAGTACTATAAACTGAATCTTGATGATATTCTCAGACATCATGTAGTTATTTCCTTCTAGTTGCTTTTGATGTCATCAAGTCGCATTTGAGGCTGATTAAAGTTTTCTCTGCCAGAACAAAATGTGGGTTTAACTTGTTCACAGCCTGCAGTTGTCATCACAACACAAGATCATATGTAAACTTCAGCATTGACTGACAAAGAAAATGCAGGAATAGTAGACATGCTTCTTGGTTGAGTGGGTTTAATCTTTTTTTATTCCAATCTCAAACCAGAGGGGCAAGGTTACAACTTGCAGAGACAGTTAGTGGTGCTACAGCGCTTTTTGCACATTAAGTGAATTTTTAAAATAATGCATTTGTTTCAAAACAATAAGTTTAGGAGTAAGGCAAATTAGAGGCACAGCTGATTTGACAGACAGACAGACTGACCCATTAGTTTTCCTCTTTTTTCTTCTTTTCCTCTGACCAAAAATTAGCAAGTGACATCTCTAAGACGACATCTCAGTATTATACAGTTTACGTTTACTGTTAATAAAAGTGCAACTCAATTTCTAACTTGAACTTTTCTTTCACACAATATCAACAGCCCAGCCACAATGCAAAATTAAATACTGTTATTGTAAGACTTTTATGTATACTGCTATTTTTGTTTCCAAGATCAACACTCACCAACATTCAACCTGTAAAGTATCAAAGAGACAACATAACAGATTAAAACTGAATATCATGAAGTCAAAACTAAACCTGAAGAGTGGCTGCCTTTGTGATAAATTTAGACTGACATGAAGTGCATCACGACTCTGATGTGAGATACAATCAGACATTTCCGCTCCCAAATTAGGTATCAGTCAAGTCCTGTTCACCACTGGTTTCCTTGATCAGCGGCTCTGTGACCATCAGTTTACAAGCTACTGTGTTATTCATGTTCATCTGAGGAGTTTGCTCTTAGATATTCCCCCGATCCTGCACAAAGAGACAAAAAAAAGCTACGTTATTTTACAGAAAAAGCAGGATAAACATTTTCGGTTTTCAATTTCCCACCAGAATATTATAGCATTAACAGATGTTGCCATTATATAGTCACCTTTTTACCCGCTTTCCTTTTGCAACAAGTTCCCGGACACACACAGCCAGTAGCGGTTCTAGGCACGGGCGAACAGGGCAGCCGCCCGGGGCGGCATTTGTGTCATGACTCATGGGGGGCGGCACGAGCACTTCCAAAAAAATAAAATAAAAGATAATAATAATAAATCTTAACCGCAAAGCGGTTTTGTATTAACTCTTGTTGTCAAATTGGCGCCCCCCGCTGCTGTAGGCGCCCCTGCTTGCTCCGAAGGTGCTGCACAGAGGCTGACGGACTGTGTGAGATGAGGCGGGGAGAGAGTCGCGGGGGGACAGCTCTGCTCTGTGTACGCATGTCAGCATATCTGCGGGAGCGCGGATACGTCATTTTGTAGTTTTTTAATCATTTCTGGAGTCGCGGTGAATGAAATCACCGTACCCGTCTGCCTTTGATAGGCGAATAAAGAGCTCGGGTTCATGCTCGGATCTTGCTACGTGCTTGATGAGCTTCATGAGTAAAGTAAACAATGACGGAGGCAGAGAGCAGTTCAGAGGAGAAACATCCAGCAGTGTGAACAACCTCTTCATATGGAGTGCTTTTGCTCACACTATCAGCGTTTTCTCTGGGTGTTGCATGACTTTGGGTGAGAACAGAGATGAACACACTGTCAGCCACGTATTTATTTATTCATTTTTTAGTTTTTAGTTCTGCTTTTGTACTGGCACTATACTGGGGCAGCTGTTTACCCTTTCAACACCTTATTTTCTATATTTACATTTGTATTGAATGGACACTTTATCATGACTGCCACTTGTTTTACAGAAAGCAAATTATTTGTCATTCTCCAGTGCAGAGCCTTTACTTTTATTTACACAGCCACTTTATTTCATTTGAGCTTGTTTGTTCAAGGTTTTCAAAAATGTGATGAAGGTTTGCAAAACTAAAAGAGAGCTTTCTTGACAGCCACATGCTTAAGCTCTCAAATACTTTTTGAATTTTGTTTCTATCTACTACAGAGGCCGAGATAGCAGCTTTTTTGTAAACCTTAACACGTCAAAAAACCTCAGGATCTGGGGGCCCTTCTCAAAATGGCCCTCAGGATTGTGTTTTTTTCTATTGAAGGATTTCTGCAATTGAGAAATATATTATTTTTGTTGTTATAATAATAATAATGATACTACATAGTAATACAAAACTATCTGTTCAAAATTCTATCTCTTTTTGTGTTTGTGTGTGTGTGTGTGTGTGTGTGTGTGTGTGGGGGGGGGGGGGGGGCTCGCCCGGGGAGTAATTTGGTCTAGAACCGCCACTGCACACAGCAAAGTATCACCAGAATGAGTAGCAAACCAGCTGCAGAACAAACTATGATGAGGATGGGCAAAATGTTATCTGGAAAAAGGAGATCATAGAGACAGTTACACACGGTAAAAAGACTTCAACTTTCAACAAAATGAAAAGCTAAAGATTGTACCAGTTGTTGCTGAAAATAAAGAAATACTCCTCCTGTGGCTGGCAGCTCAATGGTAAAAGGAATTATAATGCAGTTCACCACCAGAGGGAGGGATATTTGCAGGAATATATTCTGTGTTTCTGATGTGTTCACAGTGATGTGACCTTATAGGGAAGTTTCAAATTGATCCCATTATTTGGTCACATTTTGTACATCAATCAGTTAAATAACCAGAAAGTGACATCATCTTTGGCCTCATTCCTCCATGACACAGAAGCTTCAAGTGAGAGGTTTTCTGACCAAAATGTAAGTCAGCCACAAAAAAGAAGAAAAGCTACCATATGACAAACACTGAAAGTCTCAATTCCTGTAAGTATTCAGTACTCATAACCTCTCTGTAACAGCACCTTTTTTCATTTCAGGTTTCTCTTACAGTCTAGTTGGTCAATGTTTAAAAGTAAGTGACCATATGCAAGTGGCTTCGGAAAATTCTGAAGAATATCTGCAGATTATATTTTGGATGTTGTAGTTTTTTGAAAGCAAAACTGCAAAAGCTAGAGAAACATAAGCACATGTTTGTGACCTCACCACTGCTACTTTCACCTTCAATCCTCTGTTCAACCACATTAGTGCATTGTACTTCAGTATCACTATTACCAGGTAAAAAGTTACAAAACTTGCCTTGAACATCCAGCTGAATTTCAATATTTCTCAGATGGAATCCACTTTGATCAAAGATCTCTATTTTGTACTGGCCGGCATCACTTTTCTCCACGTTTGTGATCTTCAGCGTCCCATTATTGATGAAAAACTCTGTCCTGTTTTTAAATGGCCCCTGTATGGTCACCTTTTCCTTTCTCAGAGTGAACACGTCTATGGCTCCAGTGGGAAGCTGTTTCGTACACAGCAGCAGATGTCTGCTGGCGTTGGTCATCACCTGGATGTACACAGATCCTCCGCGTGTGGAGGTACAATGAGAAGTGTTGCCTGTGGCATTGCAGCTTGTCTGTGCAGCTGGAAAGAGAGCTAAAGCAGGCAAATGATATCAGCTAATAATTCAGCCATAATGCTTTTTAACAGTTATGATTTTTTTTTATCACTGTTATAAAAAAAATGTTTTGAATGAAGAGGACTTTACCATGTGATACTCCAGCTAGCATCAGGAGAAGAAGAAGGTGATCCATGCTCCACTGTCACAACCTCCAAACCTTTAAAGGATTATTTATCACCACAGATCTGAAGAAAAATCACTTCTTTCACCATTAAAACAGATATGATGATCTTCAGAACAAAGGCTGTGCTATAGATTGAAACAGGAAACGGTAAAAGGGGTGTTGGTCTGGTGCTTTGGAGGCAGGAAACAGATTCAACTGACTCACTTCTCCTTCAAAAACAAAGCTTTTGGCAGCTAGCGTGTGTTAGGAAATACATGCAACAGGTGAAGAAATATAGATGGTGTTGCAAAGACACACATGACCCTCTTACAGCAACATGACAGTGAAATGTTACTGATGAAACACCAAGGGAATGTATGAAAAATAAAAAGGGTCCTATTTCACAGTAATCTCCATCAGAAGTGTTTTCCCTCTGTTTCATGTTCAGTACAATGGTTATGTGTGTAAAACAATGTCTTTCACTCCATAATAATCAAAACGAGAGATGTTTTTACAGTATGTCAGTGAGGTACTCTGAAACTTTGCTTTTGTAAGCATTAAAAGTTGTTCTTCTCAAGAGATTTAAAACCTTGATTTTTTTCCCACAACCTTTATGAAACACTGTATTGATGCAACTAGATTTCATAATTCCTACGCAGCTTAGCCTTTCATTGATCCCCAGTTAAGCTTTTACCGCTGTCAGATTGATATCTTTTTTTTCTACTTCCCTCGCCACTTACTGCAGGGTTCAGATTTTGGTGAACTTTCATGTTTACCTTTGAGATCACACAGGAAGTTTTTTGCCCCTGCATTGTAAAATCACACACCCAACTAAATCTTAAGTTCCTGTTTGTATGTGTGGTACATGTGGCAAGGGATGACGGTTTCAACACGGCATAGAAGTTTTGCTTTAACTATGCACACACATACTTATGTACAAAATGACCAGATCGACCTCACAAATGACTTGTATGGTTCACATAAGACAAATGTGTATCTACCCTTTGAAGATTAACAAAAAAGAATTCATTATGATATTAAAGCTTAGTTGCAGAGGTTGAGGATGGAGACATTTTGTTGAGTGGTTTTGAAGATTTGGCTTTTAAAGCTGCTGTGAGGAACTTTTGGTCTAGATGGTATTGGTGTCTTCTGTGGACAAAGAGATACCACCTATCTCTTGTCCTGTACACATAAAATGAGGGTTTTTGGACAAAATTGTTAAAAATAAAAAAGTTTGCTCATTCAGCCTTCAGTCAATCATCCAGTCTGACACCTAGCCTCCTACAGCTTTTTTACACATCGAGATCTGCTGCAGGGGAATTATTATGCTTGTTGCTGATGGTCTTGTCTGATTGTGAAAGTCATAAAGAGGTATCAGTATCAGCTTTAGTCTGTTTCTCAAACAGTCAAAAACTCCCATTCAGTGCCTTTAAACTTTGAATTGCTCATGTCTTCCAGTGTTTGTTTTCCGATTTGGGCTGCTTGGGGATTTACAGGAACTTTACAATGAGTTCAGTCACAACTACCACACTTTAATAAGTTTCATTCTGTAGCTGGAAATGAATTAATTACAGATATTGAGCATAGGTTTTATCTCAGAAATGTTCCACAGAAAACAGCATTTTGTTATTTTTACTTGTCTCTTTGATGGCAATAGTCTGAAGCATAAACAGGAATGTTTTGTCAGAAATAGCTTAATTTATAATCAGAAAAGGTTGAGAAGCAGAGAATTAGAGTTTATTTTGAAAAACAACAAGGTCTTGCAAATAATGCCACAGTAGCAAAGAGGTATTCATCACTTTTAATGTAAAGGTTTATTCATTAAAGTTAAAATTAATCATAGGTGATTTGTCACTTTATCATCATCTGTGGACAGATTTGAGCTCTGTTGGGATGAGATCTCAGCAGAAAGTAGAGATGAAAATGAACTAGATGCACGGATCTGCAGAACTTCATAGGTATGTTTGACTGGGACAATGTACTTTGTGAACTGGACCTTAAGGCTGAACAGACAGCATGGGTAAATGCTGTGCAGTTCTTGAAGCTATTAAAAAACATGACCCATCTTAGTGTAGCTTCGTCTTTGTGTTTAAATCTTTACTAAAAATAGATACTACCCAGTTTTATGATTTAAACTTTAATTGGACTCTTTCATTAATTACCTTATTGACAAAGTGAACCAACACCTGCATCTCCAACTTGGTATCTGTAACTGGACCTTGCAGAAACGTATAATTTTGTCCTAAATTAACAAAAATACATTTTCAAAATCACACAGATCTGTCTCTCATATGAGCTTCTCCTCTCAGAGTGTCTCTGGTTTGAACTCTCCTCAGTTTTGTCTTCTCTATATCCGGTTGGACATTATTCTTGTGTTAAGTCTCCTGAAAAATGATCTGCTTTTGTAGAATTGAAGCGTCTTCTTCCAATCTTTCTTCTGTCTCTGGTACACACTGTCCCAGCTATCCTCCTCCTCATCTCCCACCCAAGGTCCCCAGGCACCCCCATTCAAGTGGGGGTCTGCCCGTAGGTCCTCTGAGGGGTACCTTACCGGCACCGCAGTGCGATTATAGTACACCAACCTAGCTAGCAGCTCTTTGACAACATCTGGTCTCTGCTCGGACTGGTCAAAACGTTCATAAGGGTCTCCAGAGATGTTGAAAAGCCACACTGATTTCCCTGGGCTGGTGTGACGCTCCAAGTTCCACCAGCTCCCAGGGAAACCTGGAAGAATCTGTGGAGGTGTCCAGTCTCCATAACCGGGGTCTCCTGTTAGGAGTTTCCAATCTCCGGCTCGTATTGAGGCCTGCACAGCTGTATTCCAAATCCCATACCCTTTTTGGAGTGAGCCACTGCGTGCATAGTTATACAGAGGGTCAATATTGTGGAGGATCTCCAACCTGGGGGACTCCTTATCTTCACTGATGGCTTCCCAAACATCATACCCATCCAACCCTTCTGTCAGGGATCCATTGCCGCCAGCTAATCCCACCAATGTTGGGTACCAGTCGGTGATGTGCACCAGGGCTTTACTAACCCTCCTCTTTTTCCTCAACAGAGGGCTATGGACAAAACCCAGACCGCGGACACCACCTTCCCAGTAGGTGCCCTTGCGTCCTCTTAGTGGCCAGTTACTTCCACCAGACAGAGGCTGACCCCCATTGTCTGTGGAGAAGATGATGACACTGTTCTGGTAGTACCCGTATTTGCGGAGGGCGTATGTTATATTCCGAACTGCTTCATCCACAGCCGAAACCATAGCAGCATATTTCCTGCGTGCCACATTGCCCAGCCCGCGGTATGGGTAGATGTACTCTCGAGGAGACTGCAGGGGCGTGTGAACCGCTTGGAAGGACAGGAAGATGAACAGCGGCTGGGACTGAGGATCATGGGTTGCCAGGATCTTGCGGACCCTCTGCGTATATAGGTGAGTGGAGTATTTGCCTCTCTGGCTCCAAGCAACTGATTCCCCCTCATGCAGGTCAAAGCCACAGAGCCCTGGGCCATCACAGGAGTCGTAGGTGTAGTAGTTCACACTGCCTGTTAGGGAACCAAAGTATGTGTCAAAGCCGCGGCGGGTGGGGAGGCACTCTTTCTTGTAGAAACCCAGGTGCCACTTTCCGACCATGTGGGTGGAGTAGCCCAGCTCCTGCAGTCTCTGAGGGAGGGTGACCTGGGTGAATGGCAGGCAGTTGGGTTGACGGGGCCTGATGATGGAGTGTTGCAAGCCGGTGTGGATTTGATACCTATGGAAGTAAGGATTTGGAAAATAGTCATAAGGACAAACATAATTGATGCACCAGTATTGTACTGGCTTCTTGCAATTTAATGATGTCACTCTTATTTAAGTCACTTCTGGCTGGCCACTTCCTGTTAAGTCATGTCCTGTGTTTGCAGAGAGGACTAGACATACACAGGACATGAACTAGAGTTAATCTGCTGACAATTTACTGTGAAGAATAATAGAAACAACACTTTTGGATGTTTAATATATTATATAAATATAATATAATAACGATAAATATTATATTTAATATGTTTAATATAGCAACTGAGATGTCAAAGATTACATATCAGTAAATATTTTGTGGAAAAAAAAGTATAATGTGATAAAATTAAAACATTTAAATCATGATTTTTTTGATACCAAAATTAGAAACAAACATTTTTTTGCATTATTTAAATACACAGTTTTGACTTTCATGATAATGGAAAACGTCATTTGGCTCCCTCTGCCTTCTAGACCACTGATTAACTCAGAGTTGCAACACAATATCTGAGAGCACTACAAATTTCTTGTCTGACTTTTTAATTGTGCAGGTTTTTAGCTAAATTGAAAATCATGTTGGTGTGTCTTGAATAAAATTATGTTTAAATAAACTCAAAGATTATGCTATTGTCCTTTCTGTTGTACTTACATTCGTTAAATCCCAAACATTTCCTGATTTTAATGTCCAGTTTTGACTCTGCCTTTCCTTTCAGTCAAAAGTTGTGGATGATCAAGCACAGAATTGTAAAGTTTCTGAAGTTTCTCTGTCATTTTCTTCTAAATATTGAATGTTGAGACCATGCAGATGTAAAGATTTGTGTTAAACAAAAATACAGTATATTTTTATTAATAATAATCAGCACTCAGGTATTTTCAGAAGTCTGAGGACGAGTACTTTACCTGCCAGTGATGAGTTGACTTCGGGACGGGGTGCAGATAGGCTGGATGTAATAATTCTCCAGTTTCACTCCATCTGCTGCCAGTTTATCCAATGTCGGAGTCTTGATGTCAGAGCTGTGGTAGCCAATGTCATTGAATCCCTGGTCGTCTGTCATGATGAAGATGATGTGAGGAGGCTGTGGGACAGGAGATCTGTCAACAAAAGACAGATCAGGCTGGTTTTCCACCTGGTTAGGACTCATCATATCCCAGGTTAGATACCCAAGGCTGAGGAGGCTTATCATGGAGAACCCCGTCAGAGCTGTCGTTGCCATGGTTCCTGTGTCTTTCTTTCAGCTGGTTTTCAGTAAATCATCATAAAATCATTGTGCAGGGAGTCTTAACAGATGTTAACTTAAAATTACTTTAAAAATCAATCTGAAATGTGAATAAATGCTACACCTCCATCCTTACTGACTCTGCTGAAAGTCTCAGTCTCCTTTTGAAAACATTTCCCCTTTCCTAGTGGTCCTATTAACCCCGCCTATTTGCCTTTCTGCCTCACTAAAATAACATCAACCCCCTACCACCCAAAAGCCCACATACACTCAGAAACATGTTTGATCTCTCAAAAAGTAGTTCTGGTGTATTTTTACAGATTTTTTTGCTAGATGTTAATATCACTCTCAAAACTTGTACAAAGTTCAAGACTGTATTTATGTTCTCTACAGGTCCATTTGGCTTTTTTCAGCTCAAAACTAGGTGAATATCAAAGCAGAGCAGCTCTTTCCCTTCTTCATTACATTTCATGGTTTTTTTGATTTCACTGAACCACTCTTTCAACTTTACAAATTACTCGAAAGTAGGAAAAGAAACCCTTCCAATCCGACCTCATTTAGCAGCTGGTGACAGAGACTCTACAGATGGACCTTCACTCAGGAAAACACCACATGTGGGGGGGATTTTAGTCTCAGGGTGACTGCGGGGCCCTGAAGACAGTCACAGACAGTGTTTCTCCCTTCCACTCAAATGCACTCACAAACACTCTCTTATTATTCCTGCTGTTTTTATAAGGGCTGCAGACCTGAGGAGAGAGACAGACCAGACTTCCAAAACTCTGATAACATCTCCAACCAAGCGTCAAAGAACCACTTTATAGATTATCCAACGGGTCAACAGAGACTGTGTAGACCTCCATCAGGTTGTAAATACACTTTGACACAAGGAAGAGTGGTGGTATATGGTGAGAAGTTCAAGTATTGATACCAAAATTTTAATTCGAGTTTGATTTGTGAACACATTTCCTTCAAATGTAGACTTAATGTACTTCAAACAAACTAACAAAGTTAACTAACAATTACCGTCCATGCTGCCTATCTAGGTTGGTATTGCAATGGCTGTTGTCGATCCTGGGTGAGAGGCAGATTAAACCCTGAACAGGTGTGGAGTCTGGTACAGGACTGGCATGGAGATAAACAACCTGCTACACTCACATTCACACCTACAGGAAAATTCACCCAATGAGCACATCCCTTTATTATCAATAGAGAATATGAAGTTTGCTTCAAAACCTAGATCTGTTGAGTAACCCAAGGTCACTGAGGTAAAACATGACCTGCACGTTAAAACAAGATCTGTCAAAGTGGGGAGTTGGTCACCACTCTGGAAGGTAAAACAGCACACCTTGCAAATGTTGATATTGGTCCCAGAGAGGCTTGTGGGCAAGAATGTCGTCGGGCAGCCAAAGGAAGTATGAGTCTCCTGTAAGGGGCATGAAGTTGCGGCCGGGAATGTTTGCCCACAGGCAGCAGGAGCATAGAGTTGAAGGCAGGTCAACCCAGTAAAGAGAGAGAGAGGAAAAAATGATTGAGGTGCACCTGAAGCTTTAACACCTTTGTGTTTATTTATGTATACTTTTCCTAGAGGGAGCAGCCTGGGTATCTTAGGGTCATCACAAAAATGCCTTTAATAAGATAGACAGATGTATTCGAACAAATCTATGTATTAGTAAGTGCGTTTATGTGTGCGTATGTGTTTCCAGGAAAGTAGGAGTCTCCAGGACTTTTGGCAGCCGCACAGAAAATATGTGACTCACCTGTTTTCTGTTGGGGAGATGCAGCTCACCAACAGCGAGAGCTCTACTGCTGCTACACTAACACAAACAACACGATTAGATTCAAGCACATCAAGTTATACACTCTTTAATATTAGCATAAGCTGAGCACACATTCTTGTTGTGCTCTAAGGTGTGGAAGATTTTGACAGGTCAACACCGCAGATATATTAGAGATTACTCACACACCCTTTTTTGAGGTGACCCATTTTTAAAATAGAACCATTAACCGAGACACACTTTGATAGTAATATTTATGGCAACTGTTATGTTACAATCAACCACAAGTTTGGCTTTCTAGGATCCCTAAATGTTGAACTAGACACGTGCTTTGTTTTCTTAGTCTATTTTCAGTTATTGGTTTGTCATCTTGTGCTGTTGCTCAATTTCAGAATAAGAAGGACTAATCTTTTAGGATTATTGTAAACCGCATTATTGTAAACCACAGCTAATTCCAATTCTAGCCTAAGCTGAACATAGCCAGTGGTCATATTTGTTAAAGAAGGTTACTTTAGGTTAAGAACAAGTCCTGCTGAGTTTTTCATCGCCCTGTGTCCTGTGATTCAGTGAAGTTTAAAGCCTGAATATCAGTGTTGAACTTGTTTGATTTTAATCTCCATGGTTACTCTATCTCTTTTAGACCATTTTGTGTATTACTGGACAATAAGAGGAAAATCAGAGCAGAGTCGATTGGATTTAAACCAGTTTTTACACAAATAATTTCATGATTCAAAACAATTATCAAACAAACACACGCAGACATTGCTCTCTTATTTTTGTCACCGCCCAACCAGGTTTCGAACCATTTGTAGGGAAGCTTGAAACTCAATAATAAGTTGATAGGGCAATCAGCGACAGGGAGGTGCTGCTGCTGCTGCTGCCGTCTCTCTGTGTCAGTTGCCAGATGTTGGCTTTGGCTATAGAGGAGGGGCTGTTACTGAATACGGCTGTTCCCCATCAACACGAACACTACCTCCTTTCTAATCAACACAGTCCTGCCGGTAAACCAGCACATTACTCCCTCTTTTACCACAATTTTCTAATCTGAGTAAGACTGGATGGAGGTTTTCTTTCTTCCTGTGTGCCAATCTTTGAGCCAAAACCCTCACTTCAACATGTCTGTGTTCAGCCTGCACCTCCCTGTGAACAAAAGTATCTTTGTTTTAAGAGGTTCTCTGCAGATCCCTTCTTAATTTCTCCACTTTATTGACATCATTTCTTCAAATCAGGGGTAACTTCAGGGTGAACTGCACTCATCAATCTCTTTTGTTTGAATCTGGTGAGATTCATCAGTACCTTTTCATATAAATGTCAGTGAGCAGAGGGCAGAAAATGTAGAAGCACTGAGATAAAGAGAATATGGTTTAAGCTAGCAGGCTAGCCCACAAACCACTGAATGTTTGAGATTATGCAACAACCATTATGGTGATAGCTGTCCCCACAATTTGATCCACATAGCCTTTATAAATAAACACAAAATTGCAGATGCATAGATAAACTCTACCTTGTCTTAGCTTAAGCTAAACTTCAATGGAAGAGATTACGTATCAAACAACTTTATTGTGTTCATTTACAGTACATTTTCACTCGGTTAAACATTCATGTTTATATCACATGTAAGATTTAAGCTAAATCTTTACTTCTCTTGGATGTAGATTTAATAAAAACTTCACTGCACTCAGATGTCAGTTCACAGGTTGTTTTACGGGAATATTCCACAAGTTGTGATGATTAATCAAAATGGACAAAGGAAAGAAAACCATGTGGATTGGTCAGGCTCTAAACCTCAAGTAAATTTAAGAGCCGCCCCCATGAAATGTTTTGGCAGTCATGCAGAAAGAATAATAATATAACTCTTACTGACTCCCATTAACAGTGTTATTTAATAAATTACGTTGTTCATACTCTCAGTCACATCATTAAAATAAAGAAACTGTCTCTCCACATTTAAAAAAAACTCAAATTGGCTTCTTGGTAGGCTAAGAGCAGTCAGGTTTTATTTATTTATTTTGGCCCATATTTTGTTAATCCCAACTGTTTTAATGGTGAAAAGGTACTTTTGCACAGAGACAGGTTAATTTTATCCAAAAACCAACTTTTCAGTAACAGAAGTTGTGTCCTCTGAATAGCTTTTAATTTGTTTAAAATCGAGCTACATTGTACAGTGACGCATCTTTACTCCACAGAAGGCCTCCTGGGTCTACATGTGACAAGGACTCATTTCTTGACTGTGTGTACGGTTTTTGATATGAAATTAAGTCAACATTTTCTGTTATCTGTTTCATTAACTGGTCAATCGTATTCTTTTGGAATGTATATCATTATAAAAAGAGTCAAATTTAGCGTTGTTTGCCATAAAGAAAGCAGCACTGACAGGTAGATCCCTGGTCATAACAGATCCCACTGCTGCAAATGTAAATACCTGTAGAGTGAGTGCAGATGTGAGCTGCTGAACATGCAGAATGCAAAGCAGATTTATTTTAACAGAGTGCCATTTATAGGGTAACCTGTACAAACACCCTGGTCATTTTTATGGCATCATGCCATCAAAGACAAGGGGAGAACTCTTTGTTTTTTTCCTGTGTCCAAGGATGTAAACTCATTTGGACTCCTCTGTCTTTGATTTCCTTCTATTCATACCTAACCCCACTCTTAAATACTACATCACTCATTAGTTCTGTGGTATTTACTGGAAAAAATGAGAAAAATATTGTGTTTCACATTAAACTTTGGTGGTCTGTGTTTACAAAGAAAATGGAAGTTGAGTCAGCCACATAAGCATCTGTTTCGCCAAACCTGTGCGGTGACTTGCGTGTGTGAGAGAGTTTAGGAGACGGGTTTGGGGAGATGGTGAAACCCAGCTAAGTGAGATCCGCTGAGTCCTGACATCTAGTCTGGAATGCAAACTGCTTTCCTCTCCTGGTTTTGCACCATGAATGGGACTCTTTCAGCAGTTTGATCCTGCTGACCCTGTGCAACTCTCCTCCAGTTCGACTCAAGGTCTCACCACCAGCTCCTTCAGATCCACTGCCCAGACACCTCAAGCTTTCATCTTAATACACCTGGTTCCTCAAATTTTCCGTCAGATTTTGAAAAGTGTCGCTTGCTTTGATTGCTTATTGATTCTGTGGTTGAACTGTGAGGGATGTTTTTCCTGAATGAAGAAAAGAGTAAGGAGGCCTACAGTCACAACAGTAACAGATGAAATGACAGCCAGAGGGGCAAGACAATAAGACCTTTTATTTCAGGCTTTCAGGTTATAATTTGCTTATTTTCTAAAATTAGCCAGTGGTCTAGACTAGCCTTCTCCTTTCATTCTCACTTTGTGAATACACAGTCTTCACAGTTGGATCATCATAAAAATCCAAAGAAAATTGAATAAATTGTGGTCTTGCTTGGAGAGAGCTTGTTCTTTCACATCCTTTATTTCAGATTTAGCTGAATGGTCAAGTAGATGAGACTTATCTGTAAAGTCGATGATAGTAGAACTTTGTGTGATTGAGTTAGCCCTGGTTTGAATTAAACTGCAGGCCATCACACTCTGACAAGCTGCCTTGACCACATATATTAAGTTTTATACACAGACTCAAGAACATTTTTCCTCAAATAAAGAAAAAAAGAAGTAAATTAGATTAAGAAAATGACCCAACTGTTACCCTAGATTTCACAAGCTATACTTTTCTTTTTTTTGGAAGACCAATGTAGGCCTGTTCATCATTTTTCAGACTTTTCAACCTATATAGAATTGATATGGTGGATTGTTCTGCCTCCCAGGAAGGAGCTGATCCTTGCAAGGAGTCTAAAACTGGTTTACAGTTTCACTTTACTGTCTGTGTAGGCATGATACCCAAGCCCAACTCACAGAGGGGGGCTATTTTTTTCTTTGCTTTCAAAATATGGGCGTGGCCTGTTGTGTCGATAAGCCACTAGCCTGGCCGGGCCATCCTGTTGCATGAATCACTTGATGTTCCTTCCCACCACAGTCTGGACTTCGGCCCATAGAGAGCGTGTATTCCCGATCAGGAAAATGCAGCCCCTGATTGGTCCATGTGTAGTGGTGACGTCTAACACATGCTGCGGGACTTTTCAAAGCCCCGTTCATTCAGAACGCCGTTAATTCTGCAGTTGACTCTGCAAAGTCAGCAGAAATTGTTTATATACGCAGAAGACGTCGGATATAAACGATTTCTGCTGACTTTGCAGAGTCATCAAGTGATTCACGCAACAGGATGGCCCGGCCAGGCTAATAAGCCACACCCATAGACTGCATATGGACAACTTGGTTCCACCTTCCGCCGGTATACAGGTTTGAAGCCAAAGCTCTCGGGAATTCTGTGGGGTTTTTTTTCTCCACTTCCTGAAACAAACATTACGCAGTAGCGTTGTATCCACTCCACCTCAACATCACAAGCAGGGGGGAGAAAAGCTCCATAAGCTTTGCTGGCTGGAGGCGGGATTTATGACCTACACTGCAGCCCGTCACCAGAGGGTGCTGTTCTCGGAGTGGCTTCACCCAGCAAGAAGGCAGACGGCGTCTATTCTATATACAGTCTATGGCTGCGCCCATCTTTCGAACCAGCCCAAGTTTGGCTTTGTGCCAGGCCTGATACTCAAGCAATTTTTCCAGGACTAACTTTAAGTCCTGAAAATTGCGACAAATTATAGAAAATAACAATAATTAAAGTAAATCATTGACGTTCAATTGGGTCCTCAAACCATTTCGGTGTTCAGACCTGAATAACTGTTCCTTCGCCCTTACTTTCGTATGCACTACAACTCCCATGATGCATTGTACGGTCAAACGGAACCACTTCCTGAGTTCACAGTTCAACATGCTCCATGCGTGTTTTGTGGGAGTACTGCTAAGTGAGTGTGTGTGTGTGGTGTGTGTGTGTATAATGTGTGAAGTTTAAACATTTCTATACTTTTAGTGTTTAATTTGACGTATTTGTGGTCGTATACTCCGCGTGTCCAGCATGTCTGTGAACGCAGCAAAGCACGAGTTGATCCAGATGATCTACCAACATCTGAAGGAGCAGGGTTTCCACTCAGCTGCAGATGAGCTTCAGAGGCACAGCCCACAGGTTAACACTACAGACACTCACACACAGACACACGCACGCACACACTACTGTATATAGAGATTTGTAAGGCTGTTTCACTCGCTGCTTGAAAACATGTGATTTCAGGATATGAAAACTGGAAATGTTTCACTTTCATTTCCTCCGAATAGACAGACTGCTTCACTCTCTGACTACCAGCGTCTGTTCAGTGAAACACACAGTAGACTATAAGTTCTGGATAATGGAGCAAAAATAAATTTTCACCGTGATTTCATCTCTTTCCATCTCTGATCTTGGTCCCTTTGTTTTCTTCTGACCAACTTTTGTTCATTTATTGGTACCATATTTGAGTTGTAATTGTCAGCTAGTCAACTTTCTCATTTTAACTGGAACCATTTATTTATATGACTATAGTAAAGCTTTTATTCATACAGTTATCACTACTAGACCTACCTGCCACCCAAATCTACTTTTTAGTAGTTAAAACGAGCAGATACTGTATTTTCAGAGTGTTAATTTTAAAAGATATATTTGCTGTAGACAAAGGTGTTACTACTCGACTGATTTGATCAATTGATTTTGTTCCTGCTGCACTGTACTCAAGGGCAGTAATGCCCACACTTGGCAAGATCATGGTAGGCACAGACTGATCTTAGCTTGAGTCTTATAGTTCAGTGATTTTAGCAGATACTCAGACTAAGATGGCAGCATTAACAATATTTTGTTTTAAATCAAACGATCACAATCACTGTCATTGAAACACCGCTAATGTGATTAGTTTTATAAGTGTTTTATCGGCACTGACAAGCAAAAGTGCCCTCGAATAGCCTGTCTCTCATTCATACGATTACAAAACTCTTTTTGAGCTTGTTGTGATTATTTATTTTGCATAATCCCCCAAAGTAAGAATTGTCAACTGTAAAACTGAAAGTTTGGTATTTATGCTCTTGTTTCTTTCTGCAGGAGGGGACCGATATATCTGCTTCTTTATCCGACATCTATAACTCGTGGTTAAAGTGAGTCTGAGTTCTCATTTTTTTGCAGAATCAAGCCTTTTGGTGAGGATGGCATGTGATTTTGCTGAGTTTGTGTTCTGTTTTTTTGCAGTAATTCAAAAAAGAGAAAAAAGGTATCTGGCACCAAGTTAAAAGACAAAGGAAAGAAGCCAGCCAAGGGTATGACTGTTTCTTATTTAGAGCATAAATCCCACTGCATTGAAAGCTTCCTTACATCGAATTATCCTCTTTATAGCTACTGTGTATAGTGCTCCTAAAACTTGTGTCAAAGTTAACTTAGTCGTGTCAAGTTAAAGGCAGAAAGTTAAGTTAGTCAAGTTTAAAAATAGATTTTTTTAAATTTTGTGTATATGAACTAATTTATAATGCTGCCACTCACTTTTTATTTTTTTTAATGTCCAGCCACCCCACAGAAAAAAAAGGATAAAGCTGCAAAAAAAGGAGAGTCACAAAAAGAGACGGTCAGTTTTGTAACATTATTTTTTATGCAACGGTATAGCCGCTTATTCAAAAAACTTCTGGTTTATCAACTGTGCTCCTCTGTCTTATTTTTCTTAGCCTTTGACAGCAAAAAGGAAAAAAAGTAAAGAAAAATCTGCAGAAAATGCCACCACCAAGGGAAAGAAATCCAAGACCCCAACAAAGGCTGATGTTGTGGCTCCTGGAGGCGATGATTCAGACTCTGACAGCAGTCTGGATGTGGAGAAATGGAAGAAACTGCTCCTACAGATGACAGGTAGGTGTGTGCAGGAAAAAGACTAATTGAACAGGATCGCTCAAGTTCAAACATGTAGAGAACAAGGTGATGAGAAGAAGTGTTGAAATGTTAAAGGAAAGTGCAACTAACCAACGACTAACAACTTCATCTGTTATTTATGTTTCATCATTCACAAAAGACGCTTTCAGACCAAAGTCCAACTGCTTATGTTTTAAAATATATTTTTTTTAATTTACATTTTCACATAAAACATTGGAAGAAAGAAGTTTATATTCTTGCCATTGCACATGAAAGTAAAACATCTAAGAATATATAAATAAGTTTAAATCATTCACATCTGAATTGGACAAAGTTAAAGGTGAAAAGTACATGAATAGTTGAGAACTTATGACATGGAAGAGTTAAATTACATGAAGTTTAGGGAGAAAAACAAGAAGAAATAGATAATTCATGGTGTGGTCATCAGTTTAATGCTGCAATATCGGTAGCATCCGTTTTCTTGGGAATGGATGGGATGGGATATTAGATGCTGCCATGTGACACAAAACTTTTCTGCCTCCTTTTACCAGGTGCCTGACAGGAATAAAAGCTGTTATTACTCTATTCCTGATCTCTGAACAGTAGCTGTTGTGCCTCTGAATAGTGTAATTTTAGGTGAAAGGGCTGCAGGTGAACAAAAACATTCTAAAAACTGAATGTCAGAAATTAGATCAAATTGGGCAAAAGTACTGCTGGGCGATACTGCTGGCAGAGCACATGCAATGTAAAAGGTTACAAACCCCGAGCAGAGCAAGGAGCCCATGGCGCCTGTGCAGCCCAAACAGCCTGCCATTCAGTCCACTTTCTCTAGTGCAATGCCTTACGACAGAACGTCAAAGAGACACAAAGACCTTTCAGGTGCAGTAGCTTATTGTATTGCAAAAGACATGCTACCAATAAATTTCCCTTTTTATATTGCGATATACACTCACCGGCCACTTTATTAGGTACACCTGTCCAACTGCTCGTTAACACTTAATTTCTAATCAGCCAATCACATGGCGGCAACTTAGTGCATTTAGGCATGTAGACATGGTCAAGACAATCTCCTGCAGTTCAAACCGAGCATCAGTATGGGGAAGAAAAGTGATTTGAGTGACTTTGAACGTGGCATGGTTGTTGGTGCCAGAAGGGCTGGTCTGAGTATTTCAGAAACTGCTGATCTACTGGGATTTTCACGCACAACCATCTCTAGGGTTTACAGAGAATGGTCCGAAAAAGAAAAAATATCCAGTGAGCGGCAGTTCTGTGGGCGGAAATGCCTTGTTGATGCCAGAGGTCAGAGGAGAATGGCCAGACTGGTTCGAGCTGATAGAAAGGCAACAGTGACTCAAATAACCACCCGTTACAACCAAGGTAGGCAGAAGAGCATCTCTGAACGCACAGTACGTCGAACTTTGAGGCAGATGGGCTACAGCAGCAGAAGACCACACCGGGTGCCACTCCTTTCAGCTAAGAACAGGAAACTGAGGCTACAATTTGCACAAGCTCATCGAAATTGGACAATAGAAGATTGGAAAAACGTTGCCTGGTCTGATGAGTCTCGATTTCTGCTGCGACATTCGGATGGTAGGGTCAGAATTTGGCGTCAACAACATGAAAGCATGGATCCATCCTGCCTTGTATCAACGGTTCAGGCTGCTGGTGGTGGTGTCATGGTGTGGGGAATATTTTCTTGGCACTCTTTGGGCCCCTTGGTACCAATTGAGCATCGTTGCAATGCCACAGCCTACCTGAATCTTGTTGCTGACCATGTCCATCCCTTTATGACCACAATGTACCCAACTTCTGATGGCTACTTTCAGCAGGATAATGCGCCATGTCATAAAGCTGGAATCATCTCAGACTGGTTTCTTGAACATGACAATGAGTTCACTGTACTCAAATGGCCTCCACAGTCACCAGATCTCAATCCAATAGAGCATCTTTGGGATGTGGTGGAACGGGAGATTCGCATCATGGATGTGCAGCCGACAAATCTGCGGCAACTGTGTGATGCCATCATGTCAATATGGACCAAGCTCTCTGAGGAATGCTTCCAGCACCTTGTTGAATCTATGCCACGAAGAATTGAGGCAGTTCTGAAGGCAAAAGGGGGTCCAACCCGTTACTAGCATGGTGTACCTAATAAAGTGGCTGGTGAGTGTATATCGATATCGACCGATATGAAAAATAAAATATTGTCATAAACTTTCCCATATTGCCCAGCCCTAGGCAAACTCAAAACATGTAGGGTAAGGTGACTGGTGTTTGATAATGTTTGTCACAAACTGGGTCTGTGTCGTGACAACTCAGTAGGCATAACTTTAACCAGTGAAGATTGTGGACAAACTTGAATTAAATAATAATGTGTCATAAACACAATAAGAAGGACTGTATTCTATCCATGTCTGCTTCTGAGGTCTGTCCTAAGATCTGCCTCCTATTGTTCCTGTACTGAGGTAAAAATTTCCAGTTTATAGGAACCTAATAAAAACCACATTTACCCAATCGACTCTTTAGCATCAGGGTGAAGACTCAGAGGTGAGTCCATGACGGGACAAGGTGGTTGTGATGGGAAAGAGGTGGAAGATGCTGATGTGAATTTTTTTATTCAACTACGACGACAATACTAGTGTTGTCTGTGGATATGACCGTGTTAGTCCCTTTAGAAGTCAAATGAGCTAAAGGTAAAAAGTGAGAGCACAGCTCTAGACACGACAGCACCACCTGTGAACAACCCCACCCTGGAAAACAGTGATTTCATATAAACAGAGTCGTGTGGTTGTCATTTGATGTTCCAGAATTTATGCCACAATGCCATGTTTGTTCAAAGTCTTCACTGTGTTTACCCGACCCACAGAAGCCGACGTAGCCAAGATGGACACCATCAACGCTCTGGACTCTACACCGCCACCACCACCCAAGAGAGTAAGAGTAAGGAAACCTCGGGCTAAGCCTCCAGCAAAAACAAACACCAGCGCTCAACAGAATAACGAAACAAGTGTAAACAATGAAAAGGTGGAGGAGAAAGTTGTGACAGAGGCACTGGTGAAGAAAAGTGAACCAAAGCAGAGAACGCCAAAAAAGACCTCCATCGTGAGCCAAGAGGAAAACACCCCCACTGCAGAGGAACCCGCCGCATCAACCGTCTCTCCATCAAACACGCCAAAGAAAGAAAAAAGAAAAGCAGTGAGTTCAAGCAAAGAAAACTCTGATGAGACGCCGTCTGAGCCCAAGAAGAAAAAAAAGAAGAAAGAGGAAGTAACTGACGACAAGGTGAAAGGGGATTCCAATGAGACTGTTAACGATGGAGAAGAAAAGAAAGAAAAGAAGAAAAGGAAGAATGCAGTCAAGGAGGAAGAGACTGGAGATAAATCTAACAATGAGAAGAAAAAAGCAAAAGGAATAACAGAAGGTAGCATAAAGACTGACGGAGATGTAACGACAGAGAACAGCAGTGAAAATGCTCATAATGTGTCAATTTCTGAGCAAACAGTGGAGGAAAAGAAAGCCAAGAAGAGAAAGAAGAAGGAGGAGAAAATGAATGAAGAAAATAATGCAGAACAGACTGACATAGATGTAAACGATACACTGCAAATAGCTGAAGAAAAGAAAGAAAAGAAGAGGAAAAAGAGATTGGATACCGAGGGAAATTCAGAGGCGGTAGCAGAAAAAGAGCCAGAAAATCCAGAGCAGATAGTTGAAGAGGAAGGAGCAAAGAATGAGAGCGCCAACAGTGAGGAACAGGTTGAAGAGGTAGCTACAGAGGTAGAAGCGAAGAAGAAAAAGAAGAAGAAAAAGGACAAAACGAGTGAACATAATCAAGAGGAGGAGGAGGATACAGAGGTGATATCAGAGAGGATTATCAACGAGGAAACACCAGAGCAGATCACCAAAGTGAAGAAGAAAAAGAAAAAAGAGTTATATTTGGATAACAACGTTTTCGACACAGAACCTCTACCTCCACCCAACTCTGAAACATCCAGCCCTCCAAAAGAGAAGAAGAAAAGTATGTTTTAAATACACACAACAAAGCCTCTTTTCCTTCATTTTTTAGTGTTTGTAAGATGTTGACATTGACTTTTTATTTGTTTTGTTCAGAGAAAAGCAAGCTTCAATCAGCTGAGGATACAGAAACAGTCCAAGACCCCACGGAAATTGAAACCCTCCAGACACCTTTGGGTAACAGCATAAAGAAGGTATAACAATATTGTAGTGTGCTCTCTGTACTTCCTGTTATTGTTAAATGTTGTGGTTTTCTGTCAGGTCAATATTCCTAATAATCATCAGTCTTAAATGACATTTATCTGTTCTAAACTCACCTATTCTTTATTTTCACAGAAGAAGAAATCCTCCAAGAGCAACGATGATGACTGATTTGTCATCACTGCAAAACTAAGAGATTAACAGGACATCTTTTCCATCCAATTTGTAACCAGATATAGAAAGATTGCCTAAAACTGTAAACAAGAATTTAGATTTTATTTTTTTAAGTTTTTTAAGCCCAAACAATTTGTGTTTTATATTCTGTAAAGATGAAATCATACCAGTTTAGTGTCTATTTTTCTTTTATTTTAATGTGATATTTTCATTTTAATTGTAATGTTTTTTTTAGTATCTCTTCATTCAACAGTAAAATGCATGAATTGTCCCTTTCATCCTGATTAATTGTTTTTGTGTTTTGGGAATCATTCACCTGATTATCCATAATCTGTGGACGATGGGGAAGTATTTGACACCAATATAATTTGACCTGTTTCATATTTATTCTAAATTATGTGGCAACAACTTTGACAACTTCCTTGGGTAACATATTTTTTTTAATGTGAATGTATGTTTGCAAAAAGCATAAAAAAGTTTTAAATGTTTGATAAAACTTTCATATCTGCATTGTATATAGTGCTTTTAGTACAAATTAAACTCCATGTTGTTTTTATTTACTTTGCCCCTCTCTGTTGTCTCTATGGTCTGGTGTTTTGGACAGGAAAGAACAGAGACTTATTGTGTTGGTCTTCAGAGGTTCTGGAAAAAGACAACAATCTAGGCCTCAATGCTACAACCCAAGAAATCCTAGACTCTATAACTTCATCTCATCTTTACTCAACACAGAAAAAAAGCCTTTTATAACTCATACTTTGTGTAGCAAACTCAGAAGCTGTTTTTTTTTACCTTATCAATTTCCAACCTAGGAACAAAATCAATCTGAAAAATAGTCATTTATATAAATAACACAAAAGGAAAATAAAATGTAATCATGTTCACCTACTTATGCAAGGGACAAGGCTGAAAACCAGTAGTGTTGAGTCGTTTGTGAACGAGTCGTTCAAAAGAACCGAATCTTTTAAGTGAATGTACTGAACCAAATCACTTCCTTGAGTGATTCGTTCAGCATCACTGGGCCAGCAGCCGGTGAATGAGGGACCACATGCACTGACGCCTGAATCACTTGGTGAATGAATCAAGCATTGAACTACATTCTGGAATCATTTTTGTCAGACAAAACTACCTATTTTTTCATTGCTACATTGCCACCACAACAACTTGCATATAGTAGGACACAGCATATACATGTGGGAGGCGGAACCAAGTTGTTCATAGTATGTACAGTCTATGGTCTATCAAAGCAACACAGCCAAACACTCTTGTTACCTGGTCCCAGAAGCTATGAATTGAACTCAAGACTGGACTGTTCAGCAGTGTATCAGTTCAGGAGGTCAGAGTCGCAGGCACCTCCCGCCAAGTGCTAAATGATTCAGTGATTTGGTGAATGAAACTTTTGAACGAATCTTTTTAGTGAACTGATTCTAGTGATTTAGTACATCTAAAAGAACTGCCGTGCCCATAACTATCCTGATGGCGTTGCATTACAGACGCATGAGGAGGGTGTGTCCACTGTGTGTCGCTGTGAGCACTTTACTGAGGGTTAATTACACACGAAGAAGAACTTCTACTTCTCCTGTTTGGCTCCATGTAGACAGCGACACCCATAGACATAATAAAAGGGTAGACCCCGCTGGGGGTGCTGCGCAGCGAGAAATGCGGCCGCCATCTTGGTCAGGTCAAGCTTCCCATAGGCTCCGGTCAATCATATTCATTCATTCATTCATTCAGCGATGCCGGAGCACTGTGCGGCGTATTCCTGTGCCAACAGGCGGACAGCAGAGAACAGGGCTCAAGAAATAACTTTTCACAGTTATGATTAAACGTTTTTTCAACATTACGCTTGACTGTAGAGTCATTTGTAGGCCAAAGAGGAAAACTATCGGTCAACTCCAAAAAGGAAACAGCATTTGCGAACAGCTAGCTTATTCACAATAATAGCAACTTTGCTCTATTATCAACAGATTTGCATTAGATTGAAAAACTTTTGTTTGAGAGAGGTTCTAAGAAACGTTAAGAAATAAAATAGAAAGAAGAAGGAAGAAAGTGAGCTCTGTTTTATTATCTGTTCTATTAAAGATTTCTTTGTGGTGATCTCCTGTTTCATTTTGAAGATTTCCTAAGGACAAAAACTTGAGGAAGAAGTGGGAGATTGCTGTTAGAGGGAGAAGTTCGCAGCAAGTGATTCCTCTGTGCTGTGTAGCCAACAAGCAAATTGATATGTAGTTTAGATGCTGTCCTGTCATGCTGTTCTTGTGTTTAAATTTTTTGGATATGTAGGCTATATATTTGTGTGTATTTCTTTGTGTGTATTTTCCAGTTATTAAAATAGTGCTTCTATATGACATTATTTGTGTGTGTCTACAAATGGATAAATAAAATTAAACTAAATAAAATGTAATCAAATCAATATATAATGAATTGGCCTATTAAAACCGCCAGTTATTAATAATTATTGAGACATAGCAGGAACCTAGCTCTAAACCTAGATATATACTTGATTAATTGTTATACTATAATACAGCCACTGCTGTCATGTTCTAAAATATCATTTTATTCATTCTGAGTATTTGAAAACGCCAAAAAAATATGGCCTCTATCATGCCTCTTTGAATGGCGTTTGCAGAGAAGAAAATTACGTAGTATTGAGCGAACTATGATTCCTTTAATGCGCTCAGACTTCATTCCGCCGGTTAAACAGCGGTGCAGCGTGAGGCGGATGACCGGACCAAGATGGCGGCCGCATTTCTCGACAGCGCCCATTCATGGTAGCGGCCGATGCGGGGTCTATCTTTTATTATGTCTATGGCGACACCTCTCACCACCAAACAGGCAGCCAACTCATCCCAAATCGCAAATTATTCACATCCATATAACCAGATGTGGAGATTAGACAGAGTTCGGCATAAAGCGGGTCGACATGTCAGCCACTTGGACGAGCTGAGGTCAAAGAGACGAGAGCACGAGAGAGGTGAGTGTGTGTTTGTTTACATGCGACGTTCACGGACAGTCAGTAATGGATTGAATCATGTTCAAACACCATGTATCACTATTCCAATCATTCAGAGCTGAGACAGGCACGCAGAGATAATCAGCTTGTAAGCAGGAGACTCCTCCTGAGTGAAGATGAAGACCAGTTGGAGATCACCATGGATACCGACCTGGGAGAGCAGGTCAGACAGACAGTATGATAGTGATGAATAACACTTTGAGAGCTCTCCTAAAACTTGCAGCCTAAATCTACTGCCTGATTCCTCAGGATGTGGTCAGTTTGTTCCACAAACTTCAACACAACGGACCAGAAAGAGAGATCCACCTTAAAGCATTGAGTAAAGCTCTGCGAGACCCCCCAGCCCAGCTCATCTTCATCAAGTACGGTGGTGGTAACTTTCATCCCATATTCGTTTAAGCTTTAAAACTGTTACTGCCAGCTATCTGTCTCATGTGTCATACATCTGTCCCCCCACAGACAGGAGAACAGCATGCATCTTTTGGTTGGTTTCCTCACTGGCTCCAACGCTTCGTGCCGTCTACAGGCTGTTCGCTGCCTTCATGAATTGTCTCATTCTCCACACACAAACATAGCACCAGCGTGTCTGCCTGCCACCCCCTACCTGCTCACCTATCTGTCTGGTCAAAGCACCAAGTTCACTGTGAGTACCTGTGTTTATTATGTCATGTCACATTTAACCCCATACACGAGGTTAGTTGACCATAGGAGACCACTTTTTTTTGGCATGCTATATTATCAAGACAGTTACGTTTACACTCATTCTGTTGGTTTGCAGGGATGCACGACATCCTGAAATGTTTGCAGATACACTAGTTAGAGACAAAACTATGGTTGCCTTGATGTAGTGATCTGAAATATGAAAAATGTCTCATCTTACCCCACTCTCCACTACCCAGGAGTTGTGTCTCTACACGCTGGGTAACTTGTGCCCAGAGAGTGATGTCGTAAAAGAGAAACTCCTTGCTCAGGGAATCATACCAGCTTTGGCCAACTGCATGGAGGTAAACTAACAATTTTATAAGTCTTCACATTTATAAAACTTGCACCAGTGTCTTCTAAAATTTTCAGTGTTCCTGCAAGTAAACTCGGTCAAAATCCTAAAGTCTGACATAATCCCGAATTTATGGGAACCTGTCACCAATGCTAATGTGTCACACTTCATGTTTCTCTGCATTTTCAGAATCAGAAACATAATTTTGCAGTTGTGGAGGCTGCAGGTTTCACTCTCTCTCAGCTTCTCCAGGACAGAGACGCAGTCGTGAAGATAATCCCGTAATAACAGATCATTCCATGTATTTATTTGCTCAATTTGTATTCTATTTGAAAATGTTTCACTAAATCATCACCTCTTTTTCGAGGGGCTGGCCTCACAGTTATCCCTGTCCTTTTTTTTGTAGACAAATCCTGGCCTCCAGTTTACCTTCACATTTGTTATCAGTCCTGACTCCTGACCCAAACTTTGGTCTGGCACCTGCTATTGAATGTGCATGGTGTCTGCACTACCTTACATGCGGGTAAGAGCTGAAGAGGATTTTTAACAAAGTGTCATCACTATTTTATATCTATGAATTTCCTATTGTGTGTAAACTTTCCACAAAACAGTTTCATTAACTTATTATAATGATGATCTGTCTGTCTCTTGTCTTTGAATCATTCTGTAGCATGGAGAACAACAGAGTGCTATTGTCTTATGGGGCCCTGTCCAAGTGCAGTTCCCTGCTAGTGTCAGTAGGTGGTGCTGTGTCTGAAAGAAAGAAAGAAGATGGACTCGAGCTGGTGAGAAAACAAAGTGAAATTCAGAATGATGCTTGTTGCCAAAAGTCAAAATTTACTTGTAGCCAAATGGAAAAAGCTCAAACAGAAAGATGATTATCTATATGTTTGGTAATTTGTCAAAATCATCCATCATTGCAGTTGCATTCTTCGTTGTATTTAAGCCCTTTAACATCAGAGATATTTGGTTTAGATCTGAAAAAGTACCTCAGGATATTATGTGATATAAGTTAAGGAATGAACACTTTTTCACATTCAAAGCAGAAAAAAGTCTGATGAAGCTCACAATATGTTATGCTTCAGAGCAGCTGGTGTGTTTTTTTACAACCCTATTAAACCAGAAGAGTAAAACATAACCATAAATGTCTATAAACTAGCAGTGTTCTGCTTCTCCTCCAGCTCATCTGTCCTCTGCTGAGGTGTGTGGGAAACCTCCTCTCCTCCTGCTCGGTGGAAGACCTGAGCTCTCAAATTGCTGATGCTCGTATCGTGGTGACTTTGTTTGAACTTCTTCAGGCTCATGTGCAGACTCAGCCAGCCTTAGCCAGAGAGAGCGCCTGGGTCCTTAACAACCTCACAGGTTTGTATTAAACACATCTGGCTTTGGTCTTTTGGATTGTGTGAAACGGGGATTTCTGTTTTTAGTATGTTTGGGTAAAATGCCTGAGGTACTGTCAATATGAGCAGCTATGTCAATGTTTCACATCTCAAGGCACTATTGGTCAGTTGTAGGGATTTTAGGCTCAAGCTGGTTTGCCATAGCAGTGTAGCTTGTAAAAGAATAAAGGAGCATTTGCTCCTTTATTCTTTTTAACATAACTGAGCACATTTCTGACCATGGACTGTTTCTGGAGGCTTTAGTTTAAAAGAAAAGATCTGTTCTGATCTGATCTGACACATGTAATTGCAGAGGTGTTGGAGGGGGTGTTTCCTCCTGTATCACTTTTTAATTGTTTTCGATCTCTTGCTGCAGCTCACTCCAGTGCTTTCTGCTCATCTCTGCTGACTCTCAACCTTGTCCCTGGACTGATTCAGCTCCTGTCATTTTCTCAAGGCTTAAATACCATGGTAAGTGAGAGTCCAAACCAAACTGAAATGATCACTTGAATAAGACATTGTACTTTGGGATTCAGTCCTCCTGTTCTGTTATTTGTTGCTAAACTCAGATCCTGAGGGTTCTAGCTAATATCGCCCACAAGAAGAAGGAGTTCTGTGTCCAGCTGGCCCACCTTAAATTGCTGTCTGCCCTGTATGCCACATTAAAAATGGCCGACCAAGACATTGTGACCCTGAGTATGGATGTCCTGTTCATGCTAGTAGTAAGTGATTCACAGGTAAGTTTGGGAAACCTTTGGATGAATAATGCTATTTAAATTAAAACCTTTTACCAAACTTAAGTAGAGGTGACAGCATTTGTCTGATTTGCTCTTTGTCCTCAGGTCGCAGAGGAGTTTGTGAGGCATGATGGGCTGTCACTCTTACAAGCTCTCCAGTACAAGAGTGAAGGAAAAATAAGACGAAGAGCGACATATCTGCTGGAGAATCACCTCCAGTCCTACACATCCTAACGCTCTGAAGAGACTTTTATAGTTTGGTCAGTTAAATAGATAATAATTGAGAATTTTAAAACAGTTCCCAAAAAAACTCACATTCCTTAACCAACAGGAAGACACCAAAGTGATACACATATTATAAACAGTTTGACGAAATACACTCTGAGGACACTTCTGGAACACTTGGCATTATATACCTTCGAAATATGACCTGCTGGTTGGATAATGAAATGAACTATCAGTGTGTCATTAATGCCATTTTAACTCTAGTAAGATTAAATGATTTTATGATACCTTGCACAACTTTAGGTCTAAAACTTTCTTAAATTCACTATTTATGGTTAATTTTGTGAAGAATCAGTGAAGAGAATAAAAACACTGGTATGAATCTGCTCCTCTAGAGCAGTTACTGCATATCCAGACATATTTGTATGACTGTAAATTAGTTGAAAGAGGGAAAGCAAAAGCGCCCTTTTTATGAACTCTTTCATGTGTAAATTAATAAATCTGTGATTTTTTTTTTAAATTTGTGTGTTTCTTTTTATAAACTAGTGAAAATTACATTATACTGTGCATTCATGGTTGACAAAATCATCTATGACATTTTGAGGGCATATGACGTGGATACATGTAGGAACAGTGAAGTTTAAAAGGGAGAAATTAAAAAAAACATATTTATATAAAAACATTAAAGCCACAACTAAAAACTTGAAGACCATTAAAATTACTGCTCAATTAAAGTAAATTACATGAGAAAAATAATAAAACTGCAGAATGTACCCTTTAGTCTAGAACATGTACTTGGAGTGAACAGATGTATTTTCAGTCAAAGATAAAAATGAACATAAAAAATCAGTTAACTAAGCACAGGGTTGATACCATTGTGGGTTTTTTGCTGGCCTGTGTAAGATGAGACTAAATGGTAAGAATATGGATCAATGATGAGTCAAGTATTGATAACTAGCACAGAGGCTTTGAGGTTTTTTAATGACAAATTTAACATTTTGAACTTCAGTGCCTCCTTTACATGATATGTTATGCAAATAAAAGAAAGAATTCATCAAAAATGCCAGGAAAATTATTCCAATCAAGTCCTTATTGGAGAGAATGAACTTCTGTATGAAGCTGAAAGCACTGTATCAAGCAATATTATCTTTGATCATGACAGATTTATTTTATTATTTAGACTTGAAAACAAGATTCTGAAAAGCTCCAGTGAAAAAATTATTAATTTAAGGACTCATTTAAGGATTTGGATGTATTCGTCTGTGTCTTCTTAAAATCCACATGCACTTTTTAAACACACACTTCAAACTTCTTGTCACCAAGAAAAACATTATTTTCGTAGATAGATGAGGTTTATATCCCATAAACTGTTTCCAGAAGAATTTTTGCAATTGTGTCTTGTGATAGGGACAACCAGACTTCCTGTATTTGGGGTTTTAACCAATCTTGGTTCCTGAGAAAATTTTGTGCAAAAAAATGTCTTTGCCTGCCAACAAATACCACAGCTCCTCCCACTGATGGAAAAAAGCCCACTCAAGTTTCTTCACTTCCTCTGTCCTCCCACAAACTCTCCTTCCCGTTACCATCCACCCTGCTCCTCTACTAGAAAACCAAAACAAGGTAGGTGGTTTCATGTTTTCCTGTATATCCTTGCAATCTTTGGTAGATATCTGGACCAATCCGAGTTGTTCTGTTTATATCTGACTAATTGACTGTCATATACAAACTGTGAGGCTGAGGAGTTGATTTTGGATTTATTTCTTGTTTCCCCTCCTATTACCAAACACAGAGGATAGTCTGTGAACAATGGAGGGCACTGAGTCAACAACACGAGAGAGAACAACAAAGGATGAGAATCAGGATGTGCTCTTTTCCAGCAAGCCTCTGCATCGCTTTGTCCAAAGAGAGCCGAGAGCTCTTGGGGTAATGTAACATAAACTTTAAGCTCTAAAGATGTCAACACTTTCAAAGAGGTACAAATAAATCCAAAGAGCAGCCATAAACTATTAGTGGATACTTTAATTAATCCTTCTTCCTCTCTTTCCAGATTGCCATCGTGATCTTTGGCTGTGCAGAGTTCCTGATGGGATTTCCGCTGGTCAACGAAATTGAGAAAAGTTCTCTTAGAATCTACATCCCCTTCTGGCAGGGGGCTCTGGTACGTAAAATCTAAGAGGCTGGTTAGCAGCTTGGCATGTTGAATATGGTCAAATATTGTGCTTGACAGGCTCCAATGCAAGGAACAAAGGTATATAAGGAGGATATACAGTATAGTGAGCTGGCATCCCGAGTCAACTTCAGCCGCTCTGAAACGAACGTATTACAACATGGTATCCTGTTTCCTGAATCAGCACAAAAACAAACTGTTAATGGGGTTGTGTGCTGGACTGTTTCTCAACTGGTAGTGGTAACTTCTCAGGAATATTCACTTAATGCCTGACCACCATGAGGAATAACTCAATCACATAAATTCATGTGGAAAGGGCTGATTCAGCAAAAAAGGCAAAAGGCATGTCAATATCTTCAAAATTAAATACACCTTAGAAAAAATATAAGCTCCTCGAATTCCAAGAAGTGAAATCTGTTAACTGTGCGTGCACAAAACTTTTGGGAACAAGTCATTACCCTGTATGCACAAATTATCTTGAGCCTTCAAAATAATTATCTTGTGCACATAAAATAGCTTTTCTGTACACATAGGATGATTTACTTATTCTAACAAAATAACCTGTGTACAAATGAGACATGTAGGAATGAGATATTGTGCAAATAAGGTATCAAGAAAAAATATATTTTACACACATTATACAATGTTACTCTGTGGACTATCATGAAAATCCATTACTGGAGTATATTTTTATTTTCTCTTCCGTTCTATAAACTTAAGCCAGAAACATTTTTTAAACAGGAAGAACTTTTTATGGTTTCATACAAGTTTGTAAAGAAGTCAATAGAAAACTTGATGTGTAATCAGTGTCAACGCTCAATCAATCAATGCTGTCTTTTTGTTTTGTTAGTTTCTTGTCAGTGGTAATCTATCGATCTACACAGAGCGACATCCAACCAAGAAGATGGTAGGTACATTATGATACCAGTTGACATTTGAACTATCTTCAGTTTCTATTATTTCCTCTTTCTGTATACTCACCTAAAGTAAATGAACTTTTCTTCACCAGGTGACAGTGTGTTTGGCCATGTACGTCGTTTCCCTCCTGGGAATTATTGTTTCAACTGGTTTCAGGATAGTCAGCCTCTCTTATTTGGGCTACAGAACCATGTACCCATACTATTTAAGTGATCAGTGGGAACTTGACAGAATGGTGAGTAAGAGCACGTATTTTAAGCTGAATGGAGGTAATGCGGTTTCCAACAGTGTGTATAGATAGCTTTCTTTTTGACTTTCTTTTGCTGTAGAAGCAAGTTTATGGCATGGAAGCCGTATTGTGTACCTGCTCTCTATGTGTGTCGGTGCTCCTCATCTTCCTGTGTGTCATAGCAGGTTTGGCTCTGAAGTCCACACGCACACAGGTAAGGCATATTTCATGGTTATGTTTTCAAAAAGAGCTTCACTCACTAGAATCAAACATTTGTAATAAATCAAACGGTGCAAAAAGAAACAAAAGGACACCAAAAACAGACAATGTAAAAGAATAGGATTGTAAATCTCAAGTTTTAACAAAGTCTGCTGTCCCTTCAGTTGTAATTTTGTGGATTATAATCAGGTCAAATCAGATTTGTTTTTGTAGTATCTTCAGGGTTATCTTATATGACAAAGGTCTTTATTGGGAAGCCTGAATGAGATTTTAGGTTAGATTACAGAAAGAGTGCCAAAAATTGGGATTAAACAGAATTATTGATTTCAAATCCTGAATCATGAAATCACTAAATACTGCCTATGTACAACTTAGTGTTGGTGCAAACTTAAAGGAGAGTCTTACAATAGAAATCCCATTTGTGTGTCAGTTCAGATTTTGTGGTTTTGCTTTTCTTGTCCCTTACTTGCACCACCTTTACATCCTCAACAGATTATCATCCAGCACACCTCAGCACCACAGAGTGACACACCATCAAACTGAGATCAACCCCCTCTGATCTACTGAGTCCATCCCTGGCTTTCCTGCTGTAAACCCACCCTGTGAATGTTACAGCACCTTGAGGCAACAGCATTTTAGCCAGGCAGATGTACCTGTCTTGTTTCTTTCTCTTGGCTTCACTCTTGAGTTTGTGTTGCTGCAGAAATAAAAGCAATACTAATCCATATTTTCATATGCACTAATCAAAAGATCATAATAACCACTACTCTCCTCTTAAGAGGCTGATGTACACAGGCTGCATGTGTCATAAAGTTGCCTCAATGTGGGGAGATTCTGTCATGTTTAACATTTAAGTAATAATATAAGGATTTAGTTCTCACCAGGAAACCTTGCATACATTTCAATTGCATTGAAATCAAAACTAAATAGATTCACATGTTGAAGACACAAGTGAAGCTAATGACAGTGATTAAAAAGGAGGGAAAACACAGGAGGAAAAAGTATTGCATAATTAAGCAGGAATCACTTAGAAACTTCACCTAGGAACTGAAAAGTGAGACACACAGACAAAATAAATCACTGTATTTGATTTTCCTGATATTGTGCAGCCCTACAATGAATATTCTGATTGTATATTGTGATAACTAACCCTTGCTCACTTAATCCATCGTATTCAATACTGTATGTTTGATCAGTACCCATGTTATCTGCATTATCATCACAAGATGAGCAATATCTCTTGATAACCTCCATAATCATAAGAATCGTTGTATACATTTAACTGATGATATTTTTACAGAACAACTTAATTCAATACGCAAGGACCCTGTGTTTGTTTTCCAGTGCAGCATATCCATCTACCATGTTTAACGCTATGTTTAATACAGTCACAGTTTGATCATTTTTTAGCGGACAGATGGCATCTACTCTGTATATTTTCCAAATTTGAGTGTGTATCTGTAAAGTTTGTCATTGCGTTTACATGAATGTGAAGAACATCATTTTTCTGTGAATATGTAAAAATCCACAGGTCTAGTCCCTCAGAAACAGCTGATGGCTGGGATACAAGGATTCTGCTTCAGCTTTAAGTGGTGCAATTCAAAGAATATTGATTATCTTTGTTAAATAAACAATGAAATCGGATGATGTTTGTACTGAGTTTGATAGCCAACTGAAGTCAGAGTGCAACATAGCTACAGTTCATCACAGCTGCATCTTAAGTCATTGTCAGTATTTCTGTGACTATTATGTCAGGCGGGATTTAAGCCAAAAAACAATTACTACAAATTCTCTACATACAAATCAAGTTATGGTTGCACTCTTTAAATAATTGTGTTTGTCTTTACAACAACAAAAAAAAGAAGAAAATCAACATTTCTATTTTCACTTCAAAAGCAACAGATATGAGAAAATCTAAAAATATATACTAAAATATACTTTTGATAACCAAATAAAATATGAGTCTCGAAGCAGAATGACCCATTCTGGGGTATTTATTTTATTATCTACTTGTATTTTTTATAAATTATTGCTGATCACTCTTTTTAGTGCAGCTGATAATAAAGTTGTATAAATCTATTTCTTTATTTACATGCAGCCAGGTAGCCTGAAAATCCCCCTCGCAACCAATAAAGATGTACTGACACTTATTATAATCATTATTTAGACTGGACCTAAAAAATGTAGTTTGTAGTCAATCTGAAAGTATAAATTCAAAAGTACAACCTTTGCACCTTCAAGTCAAAACAAAGAAATTAGAGCTAGCCTGTAGGGCTGATACCAGAGCAAAAACATGGTCTATGTTGCTTTACTCTGTGAAGCAGATGTTGCTATGTTGTTTCCACCTGCAGTGTCACGTGTTTCTCAGTCACTCAGTGTTGTTTCAAGCAGTGCACTCTGTAGTCATTAGCTGTGGCTGCTGGTTATCAAACCTGACAAATAGGTAACTCTAGTCATATTCTCCTGTTTTGCTCTGGTTGAAATCGCATAATTCCTGCACCATAATCTGCACAAAACATGCTCAGACATGACCCAAATTGATGTTCACTACCAAAATAAAAGCTTACTTAACAGCATCTAAATCAGATGATGTGCAGCAGACAAAATTAAACTGTGAAAAATGTCAAAATGTCACAGAAACTGAATGATACATTTTGAGTCACAGGACCCACATGAATTCAGTAGGAGACAGGAATCCCTGGCCAGCAACCACAACATGAAACTCTGCCTTTTCACAGATATGACAGCTACATTTCTTTATAGATTTAATTGAATCTTGGTGTATTTTGTTACAAATTTATGTTTGTGAATACACTGACTCAATGCACTGTGCTGTGCAAATGGTTGGAGTTTTTATGAGCTTGTATGAGCTGTAGCCATGTAGGTGGAAGTTAGGATGTGTGATGTGTCCAAGAGAACTCTAGGTTGAAATTGTGCCCACAAGCAACAAACGAGGGATTTTATGAATTTATTAGTTTTTTGAAATGTATTAAATTTCCCCCCAGGAACTAATCAAGTTCTTCTCCTTGATTATTCTGCAGGTTAGCAAGAATTTTCGTCTGATAAAAAGCCTTAAGAATTCAGTGATTTTCACGTCCTTTGCAGCACCAGCACCCAAACAGCCAAACTTACATTTGTGAATTGATGAACTTTGTCATGCACACTGATGTATAAAATTCAAAAACTACAGAGACGCCGATAACATTTGGTCACTTAATTTATTTCCAGTCATTTGACTGAGTAAACAAACAGTAGTTCAACATTGCAACTGAAATCTTCCTTGGTGTTGGCAGCAAAGGGAAGAATATCCAGCAGAAGTACTTCTTTGGGTCACATTTGGTCCTTGTGCATTGATTAGTGTTCACATTACTTAATAGATGTAGCTAGGGGTGTGCAGAGACTGCATGGAGGCCTGGTCAGCTGAGCCGGAGGGCTTGTATTCTCCTTTGGAGGCCAGGCCGTTGATCTGTGGGGAGAGACACAGGAGTAGAGTGAAGGCAAAGTCAAATCTGTGTTAATGATAAACCAAGTTACTTAACCACATTAGTGCAAGACTGAAACACAAAGAGCTTTCAGAATAAATCATTTACAGTGGGTATAAAGCTGGGTAACACAAGATAAGAGTCTTTTAACAGCTAGTTTTCTGCCTAACTATAAATTGACATACGCAACATTTTTATGTTCGTCTGTTCATTAGATGTGATAACTGTTCACGCCCTTGGAGGTTACCTTCGCCCTCTCGAAGAAAGCTTGCTGTGCAGCTGCCTTGTTGGCAGTTTTGCCCTGCCAGGCAGCAAGAGCAGAAGCCTGAAGGGCACGGCCATAGGAGAAGGACAGCTTCCAAGGGCGACGAAGGGGCACCTGGTTGATGGCATTCAGGTGGACAGAAGCCTCCTCCTCGCTCTGGCCGCCAGACAGGAAGGTGATGCCTAGAAAAGACACAAAGAAAATGCAGTTTACATTTGAGTTTACAATCAGTGCAGATCACTGATGACGCCTCCATTTTTATCTCTTTGGAGGGACATTTGGTGTTTGAACACTCACCTGGAACAGCAGCAGGAACAGTGCGCATCAGAGCAGTCACTGTGGCCATGGCAACCTCCTGTGGGGTGTACTTCTTAGTGCAGGAGTGTCCAGCAGTGACCATGTTGGGCTTAAGCAGGGTGCCCTCCAGGTATACGTGATGGTCTGACAGAGCTTTGTACACAGCAGCCAGAACCTGAACATGAGTGGGCAGATCAATTAGAGCATGTAGTTCAGATTATCTTAAATTATGGAAATATTTTTGCAGACTGGACCAAAGAAAATAAACGCACCTTTTCTGTGACATACTGGCAGCGCTGCAGGTCATGGTCGCCGTCAGGGAGGATCTCTGGCTCCACAATAGGCACCAGGCCATTCTGATGTTGAACATAAACACTAGTTCAAGCTTAAGAACTCTCAGCAAGGAACTTGGACCAAGTTAAAACCTGATAATGGCCGTGCACACACACCTGTTGGCAGATACTGGCGTATCTGGCAAGGACGTTTGCGTTCTCTGCAATGCCAAGAGCAGATGGGCAGCCGTCTGAAATCTTCAGCACGCACCTCCATTTGGCAAAGTCACAGCCGTCCTTCTTGTACTGGGCACAGCGCTCTGAGAGTCCGTCGAGACCTTAAGAAAAATGACAACACTAGTTTGTTGCAACATCATGCTAGGGCTAATGTGGCATCATTTTATCAAGGAACACAAGAATTGTGAAGCTAAGAGGGCTTTTTTACCCTGTGTGGTTGTCTCTCCATCTGTTCCATTCAGACCAGCTGTGCCTTTGTCCACCTTAAAATGGAAGGTAGAAAATCAAACCCATCAGTTACAAAACAAGGGTCAACAAGACCTTGAGATGTGCACATTTCATTAGGATGACTTATGAGGGTCTTTACCTTGATGCCGACAACGATTCCCTTATCCTTGATGACTTGAGGGAAAAGCTTGCCACTGTCTGATTTCTGGTACAGCGTCTCGTGGAAGAAGATGACCCCTCCTACACTGTTAGCGAGGGAATTATCACATGAGAAGAGGATCTCACGGAAGCTGCGACGATTCTCCTCTGTGTTCTCCACGTTGATCTTCTGGAGACGCTTTGCCATGGTCCCTTGAGAGAAGAGGGAATGTAAAACATTTTAGTTGCAAACTCCGCAGCCTCTCCTTTGTCCACAAAATGGTATCTGAGAGTAACTGAGGCCTAGACACTCACCTGTCGACTCATCTGCTGCCAGGATTCCCTTTCCTGGAGCCACAATCCTCTGAGCGATGTCTGCTAGCTCCTTCTTCTGATCCGGAGACAGGGATGGAAATTGATGAGTCATCCTTGGAGAAGAGCAAAACAAGTTATCACATGGGTGATTACAAACTATTCAAGACTATTACAAGTATGAGGAAGATTGTCTTTTCTTCCATCAAAACACAATGGACCTCTGCCTCCTGACTTCCTGCTTCTCTTGCAACACCTCTGTAAATATTTGGCTTGAATGACAGAACTTTGGCCCTCGAAGAGATAAGTTCTGCAAGCAAGTTCATAGTTCACAAAAAAGTTGCACAGTTTATGCAAAAGATGCACACACATTTAACCCTTAATATAAATCTAGACTAAGAATCACATTGTTTAATTGCACATATAACACTTGGGAACATGAACAGCAGGTTAACACAAACGGATGTGTGTTCCCTGTCAAATATTTGCGCACACAAAGATGCCCACTGGCAAGCTCCTGCAGAAAAGTACAGCCCCACAAAAGTAACATCAGCACACCTTTTAAGCGAATACCCAAGACTATTAAGTTAAAATCATGAATTGCATTATTACTTCAATTTTTGCACACTTGGACACAGGTGGAGCCCCTTGGCAAATGTTGCAGAAGCAAAGATTTCAGTGAAACGGTTTGGACTGAAGCAGCAGAAGACATCTGCAAGAACTCAACACTTAAAACATGTGACTTACTTGAGAGAGTTTTTCACACAGCGACGACGACAGAAGTGGTAGATGCGCCTCCACAGTTCCCAAAGACAGGATTAACTAAGAAGGCCGAAAAGTTGGTACAACGCTGTATTTATGGCGTGTCCGGGGCTGTGGAGGAGGTGCTCGTGATGTGGCGGGGCGTGTGTCGTCCCGGTAACGCAATTGGCTTTAGACGGCAGACAGGGGCGGTGTTAGCACAGTGTGGCTTCAATGCTCTATTGTGGACTTTAAGCTCGTATTCATAACTATGGGCGAATGAGTTAAAAACAAGAAGGGAACATTGTGTGACTCTGAAACAAATGAGAAACACTAACCCTGCACGGCCTGGTCTGGCCCCGCCCCCTCTGTGGTTCATCACACACTCGGATTAAATGATGGATTGCAAAATTGCACCTAAAGTTTGATTTTTTCTTTTATTCCAGTCAGTGTGATTAAAACAAATATGTATCTTTGCTTCACATTGGTGTAATAAAAGCACAAACATAAGCCAAAACTGACAGATAAGAACACAAAGGATATCTGCAAGGTAATGGGGACTGTATGTGCTTAAGTTGGCTACATCAGTCATGCATGTGTTGTTTTCACAAGTCAAGGTAAAATGACATTTAATGTATTTAATGCAGTTATGTAGTATGTGTTTTCATCTGTTTTTATATGTGGTTTATGAGTATGTGTAGTGTGTAGCCTGTTTTGCATTTATCACTGCTGCAGCAGGACCAATTGTCTCTTGAAGGCCAAGTCTTTAGCTTAAGGGTCATAGTTTTTCATGGTCAAAGCATTGACAATATTTTTTTCATGAATAGATACAAAATAGATTGCTTTATTTCTTTCTTTCTTTCTTTCTTTCTTTCTTTCTTTATCTTGAACTTTAACAACAACAAAAAAACAACTAGAAACAAAAACACCAAACAAAATAATACATATGTACACCAAACAACTGTACATGTCAAAGATAAATTGACACAATATGTGTCAGTCAGAATGAATAGTTTGAGAAGGAACAGAATGAAGAAAAGAGCTTATCTAGTCCTGCCCCTCCCTTGCAAATTAGAGATTAAAAAAAAATCTATTTGTATAAATAAAAAAATATTTGTATAAATACCGACATAGTGGACACAAGATATCTGCTCAACAATACATAGGTTACTTGTCAGTGTTATAATATTCAGAATTAATATTACTTCTATGCAATCAGGTATATCTAGTATAAATCATGTATATCTAGTATAAATCATGTATATCTAGTATATTCATTGCTGTGTGATAATAATAGTCTAAATAAACTTTGTGTACCTTACAAAGCTGACAGTCATTTTCTTCTGCCCAAACATCAGATAAATAGGCTTGTCTTGCATGAAGACCACTTCTTCACCTTTATTCAAGTTACATCTCACTACATCTCCTGGTGAGTAAATAGTGCATACTTTTTGGTATGGACATGGAATTTTAAATATTTTGTTTTATTTTACAGCCAGTTTAATTTATTGGAAAACATGTGCTTTATTTGTTCAGCCAAATTCTACTTTATCTATTTTCTGCGTCACGCTGCAAGTCAGGCACGTCATGTCTAAACAGCTAGGTCACATATCGATCGCTCAAATTGGGCAAAAAGCCTTCCCAGAGTTGTTTGAAATGCTCTCATTTTTCTCTGAGTGACCTCAGCAGGTAAGGGGGTTTGAACCTTAAGGCTGGAGTTGATTTGTAACTCATAAATAATCAAACGCCAGCTTTTACGCAACCTGAACTCTGCACCCTGTGCAATGTGCTCTTTAATAGAGCTGATTAGAGATCAGTCTTTGTCCATGCATTCCTGAGAACCTACACTGACTGTAAAAGTCAAGACAGTGCAATGTTGCCCAGACATGTTTGCAAATCTCCACATGGAAAGAACTACAGAAGAAAAGAGAACTGGAGAGGGTCGTTGGTTTCTGGTTTGCAAATCAATCACCACATTATTTCCAAACACTGAATACTGATCCAACACTGCAGGGAAGCATATAAAAGGGAAGTCATTTTGCTTACTTGAGGGTGTTGATGAAATAAGTCATGCACATGCAGTACAATTGTGCATCCTGATTTAGCTGCCTATTCTCTTGAGCATAATTTTCTAGCCAAAAATACTGTAACACCATCATCTGGTTTCTGCAATGATATGTAACCTTTGGCTTTGTCCTACTGAGGGCCCTGTCAAACTCAAGTTATAACAACTCTGCTTTAGTTTACTATGTGATTTGGTTGCACATGCAAGAAACAGCAGGGTTCATGAAACTTAAAAAAAAGAGCATTAATACATTGAAGAGTTTGAGCAAAGTAGAACTGGTTGGTTCCTGGTTTTAATGTTAAATAGGCCGAATCACATTTCTGTGATGTCCAATGTGCCCTGTTAAATGGGGAAGTGGAGACAACGGGGGCAAAACCATAGACTGTTTATACTTCTATATACTGTATAGAAGTATATATACTGTATATACTTCTATATACAGTCTATGGGCCAAACTGTGAATTTCTGACGTTCTCGTCGCATATTCGTACAGGCGGAAGAAGTGTTTTCCTCCACGCCGCCGGGGGGCGCAATGTCCGCTGAAGACAGCTCATCTATCCGTGAACGTTTCCGTTTCACAGAGGCAAGAGCCGCAGCAACACAACCATAGACAGATTTAGTTGATAATAAAACATATTTAATAGGGAAAAAGTAAGTATTTGGTCAAGTTTTTGTGAATGGCTAAGTATTCAAGAGCTATGGCGTTGATTTGTTCAGTCGTAGTCACTTTTACATGATTATTAAAGGCGGTTGGAGCTCGCGTTATCAAACGGCTAACGCTCCTGTAACGCTAGCTGGAACTGGTCGGTTTGATCAGTTTATTGAGGTTTAAAAAGTCTTTATTATTCCTTATATCTATGAACTTAGGTAGTCAAAAAGGCTGCAGAGCAAACATACTTTAATTCTTAACATTGACCACGTCTTAATTGTCCTTTCGTCTGAATTAAACAGTCCTCGTCCGTGATCTCTTCCCTCATCGTCTCTTTCAGGTCTCTGAGGATGTCGGGACAGAAGCGTCCTGCGGACTCCTGCGGTCCTTCGTCCTCCGGTGCGCCTCCAGAGAAGCGGAGGGAGAGGGAAGGAGAGGACGGGGGTCCCGGTGTTAGTGCCGCTGCCGGGGGGAGCACCGCGGTGGAGACGGTCATCAAACTGGGAGGAGTGTCCAACTCAGTGAGACCCCTCTTCTGTTACCTAAAAGAGAACTAAAATCCTGTCCTAAAGCCAAAGAAAAGAGGAGAGCTTCTGAAGCAGAAGTTAAACTATCAGTCTGTTTATCTACTCAAGTCAAAGTAACAAGCACACTGGTTAAGATGTACTGATAACAAACGTTAACAGATGGCATTGAGAGTTAAGTGCATTAATAAGATGTAAAAGCGTGTTTTTTTCTCACTAATATGATGAACAAAGGTCATGTGTGGAGTGATTATGACTCTGCAGCTATCCAGGGTGAAGTTATTGAGCATTTTTGCTGCATCTTTTGTCAGATGGTCCCTGCACATTTGAGTCATTGCTAGCTGTGCAGAGAGACTCTTTATGATAAAGACCTAACTGATTATTTTAAGTTAAGGGGGTTTTAGGTGTAACAAGCAAAATGTACTTGATGTATATCTTGAAACAAGGTGACAAGTAGCACCAGTTTGGAACTTTTTCCAGGAATTATCAAGTAAAAGTTCAGATTAGAAGAATTTTTCATAAGACTACAAGTATACAAAAAGCTACTGCCGGGGCGGCAGTAGCTCAGGAGGTAGAGCGGTCGTCCAATAACTGGAAGGTTGGCGGTTCGATTTCCCCCCATCCCAAGTCTGTCCGTTGTGTCCTTGGGCAAGACACTTAACCCACCTTGCTCCCAGTGTGTGTCCTCCACTGGTGTATGATTGTGATTGTTGTTTGGTGGTGGTCGGAGAGGCTGTAGGTGCAAAATGGCAGCCACGTTTCCGTCAGTCTGCCCCACATCAGGATATTCTGACGTAACATTAATTTAGGGTCAAACACACAGCAACACCGAGTTAGACTCCCCCTCGGGAGATGAATGTTTCCAACCGCTTGCTTCTCTAGTTATACCAACTTTGGTGACGACCGCCGGATAGCAATACACAGCGGTCTGAAGAGCCATAACCCAACCCCAGCCAAAACGCCACTCTATAGCCACAAATAATGCTCAGAACAGCACCTTACTTCATCAACAGGACATATGAGGTCCCAGCCATAGTACTAGCCACCAAACATCTTTTTAACTTTGCCTAATTTCTTTAGCGAAGAGACTAAACACAACTCACCTACTCTCTTCCAGCAGCAGCTTGTTTGTAGCGAGACCTCAGGCCAGTCCATTACGGACTGCTGGGGGGTGACGCAGCTCAAGGAAGAACATTTATGATCATTTCTTTATCATTTCCTTGAAGTAATAACCACCATATTATTCATTTTGCACTGCAGACGTGGCAGTTCTTCTGCTTTAGTGTCTCGGTCTGATCTCATTTCCATAAGGAAATGATTATAAATGTTCTTCCTTGAGCTGCGTCACCCCGCAGCAGTCAGTTAGGGAGAGAGTAGGTGAGTTGTGTTTAGTCTCTTTGGATAAGAAATCAGGCAAAGCTGAAAAGATGATTGGTGGCTTGGACCGTATATGTACTGTTGATGAAGTTAGGTGCTGTTCTGAGCATTATGTGTGGCTATAGAGTGGCTTATTGGTTGAGGTTTGTTTAATGGCTCCTCAGACCGCTGTGTATTGCTATGGAGCAGTCTTTGCTAAAGTTGCTGTAACTACAGAAGCAAGCGGTCGGCAACATTCATCTCTCAAGGGGTGTCTGACTCTGTGTTACGGTGTGTTTGACCCTAAATTAATTTTACGTCAGAACATCCCTTTAATTAATTCCTTGTTTGTTTTGCTTCTTCTCTGTGCAATTTACTCAAGTTTGAAATGTTTATTCTGCAGGAGGAACAAGACATCAAAGCTCTCCAGGCAAAGAACCGAAAGTTAGGAGAAGCTCTTGATCAAAGACAGGTAAATCTTTGCTATATTGTTTGTTGACTACTCTTGATACGCTGGTGACCTACACTTAGGCACACTGTTTAGACAAGGTTAATCTGACGCCATGTTGGTCTGCAGGTAATTGAAGATGAATTGCGTGAGCGGATCGAGAGGCTGGAGACCCGCCAGGCTACTGACGATGCCAGTCTGCTGATCCTCAACAGATACTGGAACCAGGTAAACAAGTTCAAACAAAGAAACTGAAGCAAAAATTGGCTTTCCTTAATTAACAGGTTAGTTTTTTCCTCAAGTTTAACCTGGTCAAATGTGCTGCTGTTCTCCCCTCCAGTTTGACGAAAACATCAAACTGACCATCAGGCGTTATGATCAAACAAGTAGCGAACCAGAGAAACCTTTGCCAAATGAAGGGCGGAGCCTGAAGCCAGAAACTCCAGAACCTGATGGTGATTCTAACCAGGAGAGAGCGAAGGACAGGGGTAAAGACAGAACTGAGGCATTATCAGGATTTCTCACTGATGAACTCTTTTGTTTATGTAACCAACAAAACACACATCCAAACCAAAACCTTCCATGTTGTTGGTTTTCACCTAGGCCACCAGGGAGAGACGACCAACTCCTTCTTGGCCACATTGGCTAGCAGCAGCAGTGAGGAGATGGAGGCTGAGCTTCAGGAGAGGGTGGAGTCCAGCCAAAAGCAGGCCAATCATGTGGTGGAGATCTATGAGTGTCTGAAGAGCACTGTGGATAAACTGAGGGCTGAAGTGGATTCCGGAGCAGGTGAGATGAAATGGAGGGCAGATCTAGGTGGAAAGTTATGACAAAGGAGGAATGAGGTTTAGCCAAGAATAAAGTGAAGTTGGGTAAATAATGAGTTTTATATTGTTGCCAATCTTTCAGAGGGCAGTCTGTGGCAGGTCGCTTCCAAACTGAACGCACACCTGACTAGTGAGAACGAGCGGCTGCAGCAGCTCACGGAGGACCTCAAGCAGAAGTACAGTCAAATGACGAGCGAGGTACCGTGGCAGACTTAGTCTCCTTACGTCAAGTCAATATCAACGGTGATCGAGAATTTGCTTGCACAAGAATATGTCCCGATAAAGTTATCGAGTGTTGTCCATTTTACCTTCTAATCCAGTCTCGAGGTCTGGGTCGTGCAGCCAACAAAGCAGACCAGCGAATCGGTGAGTTGCAGGTTCTGATCGAGGAGCTGCAGTGGGACATGGAGAAGATCCGCCGCAGGGAGAACAGACTGAATGCGCACTTGAGTGAAATACTGGAAAGGGTGAGTTTGTGGTCCTTTTTCACTGTTTCTGTCTCTTTGTTTGCTAGTGACAGTGTTAGACAAGCTTCTTCATGCTGATGTTGAAGTATCACAGTCTGTAATTCTTCAGGTGAACAGCAAAGGCTATAAAGTGTGTGGGGAGGCCAGCAGCGTCTGTGGGACCATCACTATCAACAAGAGAAAGGTACGATTTTCACTGAGGTTTCAAATGTGAATTGATCCCAATGAATTTTTGAGTTTGTTTCTTTTCACACCTTGCCTCAAATATTTTTGTCTCCCTTTTTTAAGTTTGAAGAAATGAACAGTGAGATGGATGAGAGCAGAGAGCTGGCAGATAACCGCCTCATTGAACTGCAGAAGCTCCAGCAGGACCTGCAGAATGTGCATCAGGAGAACAACAGCATGAAGGTGAAGATGGCCTATTGTTGATACTAAACAGAGATGATGGCATGTGATTCACAGAAGCATTAAAGCTTCACAAACCATTCTTCTGTTAGCTGACATCAGTGAACTACACACTGCCATAATTTAACCGACACAAATACATGTAGCATTTTAAGAAACGTTAATTCAAAGTGGTTGAAGTAGTGCAACAACGGTGTCTCAAAATACTTCCTCAGTTTAAATTCCAACCAAGAGAATCCCTCTGGTTGTTTGATGTGTCCCCCTTTTTATCTCACTATTATCTCTACTCATTTTTCCTCCCTTTCTTTTTGTTCAGGCCGAGCTGATGAGTCGAGCAGACGGCTTGGTAAAAGAGACTTCTGAATACCGCTGTCTTCAATCCCAGTTTTCTGTCCTCTACAATGAGTCTCTGATCCTAAAGGCTCAGTTAGATGAGACACGCGCTCGTCTCAACACTACCAGAACAGCAAGGCTCCGACAGCTGGAGCACATGGAGGTAAATCTAGAGGTTCTACTTGACAAGTGCACGCCAATCAAGCTCTTTTTGGTGTTTGGATTTGACATTTTGGACACTACAAAACCCAGTTTAAGTGTCTTTTATTTTTTCATTGATTGAAGTTTGACTTGTTACAACTGTATCAACTCTTCCCTACAATGCAGTCTAAAAGGAGCAATAGCACCACCTGCTGCTTATTTGTGTAAACCATCCCTCACATTCATACTGATCTATGAGCAGTAAGACTGCACAAAACGTGTGTTTAGATAGGGTGACCATATTCTGACTTCCCAAAAAAAGGACACGACTACACGGGGGCGGAGTCATAGAGTCCCACTTTGTAAATTTTGAGAGTTTTCAGGTTGGATCGGGTGTCTTTTATGCGCTTCTAACTCATTAAAATTGAAACTTACGTATCAAAACAAATTTGAAGGATTTTATAAACTTCCCGGACAGCCCCCGAAAAAGAGGCCATGTTCGGGTAAAAGAGGACATATGGTCACCCTAGTCTGGGTCTTTAAATTCTGTAAACATTTGAACCACATTTCGATGGAAACGCGACTACTTTATTTGTGTGACCCCTTCTTACTTTCATCCGTTGATATGCAGAATGATGAGGTGGCCCTGCAGAGGAAGGTTCGTACAGAGGTGTTTCAGCTCGAGGACACCCTGGCTCAGGTCAGGAAGGAGTACGAGATGTTGCGCATTGAATTTGAGCAGACTCTCGCTGCCAACGAGCAAGCAGGTAACTCACGTTCCAGCTGGGATGTATTGTGTTGTGAAATGAGATTTACATCAGCTCTATGGTCAAAAAAAAAAATAGCTTCATAGCTTGATTTTCTCTTTTCCCAGGTCCCATCAACAGGGAGATGCGTCACCTGATCAGCACTTTGCAAACACACAACCAGCAGATGAAGGGAGAGGTGGTGAAATACAAGATTAGACTGAGGGAGACTCAAGCTGAGCTCAACCAGGTGGGAAAGATGCATTCACCTTTCATAAGCATGAGAAATGAAATTTTCGTTGTTCAGTTTGATGACTTCATGTGATGGTAATGACAAGAAGAGCACAGCAGCGTGTTCATACAGTTGGCTGTCTCTTTAAGGTTCGGGCGTCAAAAGGAAATGCCATCCTTCAATCGCAGTCGAGCACAGAGATGGATGTAAAGGATGAGACGACCTCTCCTTCTACTCCAGCTGTTTCTGGAGAACCTGCCATCAAGACAGATCCTGACAACGGCTCTTCAACACCCAGCAGCACCGGTAACTAACACCGCTCTCACTCTGTGACATTTTAGTTCAGGTTTTGATACTAAAAAGCAAAAGCCAGTGTTTACAGTGTTGTATATATCTGTTCGTTTGTTTTATTTTATCTCTGCAGGAGCCTCGGTGAAAACAGAGCCTGGAGTAGAGCCTGAAGCAATGGTAAAAGAGGAGGAGAAGGAGGAGAAAAAGGAGAAGGAAGACAAGAAGGAGAAGGAGGTCATAAAGAAAGAGGAGAAAGACAGGGAGCGGGAGAAAGAGAAGGAAAAAGAGCGGGAAAGGTCAACCCGTAGTGGGAGCAGCAGTGTGATAAAGGAGGAGAAGGAGAAGCCGGGGAGCAGCAGCCAACCAGAGGAAGTGGCCGGCGAGCGCATGTCCGTTGTCGGAGGATCAAAGAGGAAGGAGATGGAGCAGCTAAAGATTGTCAGGGCGGAGCTCAAGTGAGTCCATGTGTGGAAGTGAATACTGTTATCCATCTGTTGGCGAGCAGTCAAGTCATCTGGGTCACACACCTGCATCAAAACCTGAAAATAGATCAGACTTAGAGCACATTACATTTTCTATACATATCCATTAGAATTCTTGTGTTGTATTATTTAATGACAAAGCTTGGGTGTTGTCAAGTCTGGTAGCTTTTCCACCTTGACTTGAATTTCGACATCAGAGGAACATTTTTTTTCCTTTTGGCAAACAAAATACTTGCTATGCCTTAAGTTTTTAAAATACGGCCAAAGGGACGCTTTTTTTCTAGTATGAGTAATTTGGCTTTCCTTGTTGCTATGGTTACTATCTATCATGTTGTACCAAAACATATGCCTACCGGAAGACTTATAAAAGACATTACGTGTCCTCTGATACAACGAATCACCACCAGTGACTCATAGATTACAAGATCCAGCAAAACGATTTCTGAAATCTCTGATCTCTGAAAATTTTATGCAAAAAGCCTGAAAGACTGCAGTGGGATTTCTCCAACATTTTTTATTATAGGACTTTTTAAAAATAATGCACAGAGTTTTAAAAGGATTTCTGGCTCTTGTCTTTTAATGCTGATGTTTAACTGAACAGTGTTTTTTTTTTTCATCATGTCTATGATTGTGCAGGAAAGCTCAGGAGTCTCAGAGGGAGATGAAACTGCTGCTGGACATGTACCGCTCAGCACCAAAAGAGCAGAGGGACAAAGTCCAGCTCATGGCAGCAGAGAAGAAGTCCAAGTCAGAGGTGATCATAACGCTGCATATTTGCAAAGTGAGTGAAACAAAGCAAGTGTTAGGAGGAAGGTTAATGGATGTTGATGTGCTGATATAGGGAGAGGAGCTGCGACAGAGGCTACGGGAGCTGGAGGAACGAGAGAGGAGAGAGGGCAAAAAAATGGCAGATGAAGAGGCTCTGAGGAAGATCCGCTCTGTGGAGGAGCAGATTGATATCCTCAACAAGAAGCTCTCTATAGCCAAACAGGTACACCTGCTTGTCATACTCTGATTTATCACGCTCAAAATATCCTCCTTTCCTTCCTGACATAACCTCCCCCTCCTCTCTGCAGGAGGAGGATGCACTACTGAGCGAGATGGACGTGACAGGCCAGGCCTTCGAAGACATGCAGGAACAGAACATTCGTCTGATGCAGCAGCTCAGAGAGAAAGATGATGCAAATTTCAAGCTGATGAGCGAGCGTATCAAGTCCAACCAGATCCACAAGCTGCTGAAAGAGGAGAAGGAGGAGCTGGCCGACCAGCTGCTCACTCTAAAAACTCAGGTGAGACTCTGTAAGGTGGGACGTGACCGAATAAAGGCTTGTTTGCACTTGTTTTGTCACACAAAGGGCCAACTGTCATTTATCTGTTTTAACTTGAAACGTGGTTTTTCAACAAAAAGATTCTCATGAAATAAAGATCCCCTACGGTTACCTGCTGCATGAGCTTTTCTTCGCTTGTACTTTTGTTGCTGCCTCCAGTGCAGCTCAGTTCACTGTTATCAGTATCTTTTCAATTCGTTTCTTTTCTGTATTTCTTTGTCATCTTATCTTAATTACACTTTTGTGGATTTAGGTCGATGCCCAGCTGCAGGTGGTGCGTAAGCTGGAGGAAAAGGAGCGCCTCTTGCAGGGCACAATCAGTACTGCAGAGAGGGAGTTGGCACTGCGAACACAAGCCTTAGACATGAACAAGCGCAAGGTAACACGATGTTCCGCAATGATTGGCCACAGCTGTGGAGTAGATGGAGACAAAAAAAGAACTTAATCCAACCTGAACAGGCTTGCACCGCTTACGAAAAAGCTCACCAATAAAGTATTGACAAATGATTGCGTTGTGTGAGAGGACTCGTATCCCTAATGCCTCTTTCTGTACTCCAGTCGCAGGATTCCGCGTTGCTCTCAGAGGAGGTGCGGACTCAGCTGGAGCAGGTCCAACAGAGGCTGAACCTGGTCAGAGAAGAGGTCATAGAGAACAGTATCTCCCGTGAAAAAGAGTCTTTTAATGCTCGACGTGCACAGGTAATAAGAACACACTCATAGACTCCTGCAGACAGGTAGACCGTATCTGTGATAGTTTCGATTGTGCTTCAGCATGAAAGGTGCAAACAACATTTCAGACTTGAACACTGTCTTTTAGGGATCTGAAAATTATGAATGTGGATGAGTTTCCTCTTTTCTCTTTGTAGACCTGCTCCCAGTTTTTTTTTGTCCTCTACATCACAAGTGATCTCACTGTGAAGCTAACCCTCTTTTGTTTCACGTTGCACACTCACTATAGTAGGTAGATGCAGGAAGGTATTATACAGACTGCTAAAGGGTATCCATAGGGTCTGTTGACAAATGACAGTAAGCTAAGAGAGACAGACTGGTTTGACTTAAAGTTGTTTGCTGTTTTAGGAGGACATCTCCAAACTCAGAAGGAAGATCGAAAAAGCGAAGAAGCCTGCTGAGAAGATCAGCAACGGAGATGAGATCCTAAATGAAGAAATCAATGACTATAAGGTTCGTTTCTGTGGGTCTTATCATACTGAAAACATCCAGCTTCCTGTTTTTCTTCTGCAGGAAATTCAAAGAATTCAGACCAGTCACTGAAGGGGAGTCACCAGGGGGGTTTCCCTTTTTAAAGTCAGTTTTCAACAAAAGTCCCAAGAGAAAACTTTGATCGATCAAAGTTGTAACAGAGGATTCATTCTATTTTTATTATTTTAGCGAAACATTTGCATTTTCTCCCTACAGAGACCCATTATCCAAAGAAGAACTGCCACTTTAAGAATATTCTTTTCAATGATTTTGTTAGCCTCGGATTAAAATTAGCTGTGTCTTCCACTCGCTCTTCATTACTTCCTTTGTGGTAAGGAGATAAAAATCAGCCTCTCTACACTTTTTCCAAAGTGTCAAGCTTTTTTTTTCCCACCAAACTAATACAGCTAGCCTTAAAAGCTAGATGAAAAAAATTAAACCTGACTTCTCTTACACTCTGATATGAAAACCTGAATTTGGTCGTTGTAAAAAAGCAGAGTTTAGAAACACCAGGTCATAAAGACTGCAAATGATCGCTAGCTGCAAAAGCAACAAACAAGTTGATGGAACTTGCAGTTTTAATGAACAATAATGTATTTATCTGTTTCACACTCTTTTGTGTGAAGACTTCACACATTCAAGTGTTATTGAAGTCAGTGTCCATCTCTAAAACTACAACCCTATGCCATACTGTTGAATATGTATCCTCTTGTTTCTATACTGCCCATGATCTTGAGCATCAGTAGTGGCTACATCTGGGTTATATTCAGCCTTAGTGTTGTGCTCTACAGGACGGTTGAGCTTCAGGATATTTGAGTCCTCTCTTTGCAGTCCATTCAGCTCAGGTCAAAATGGCAAAGTTTATTGTTCAACCACTCTCACTCTCTCCCTTTCTCTCTTGTTTCCCCTCCAGGCACGTTTGACATGTCCATGCTGCAACTCTCGGGTGAAGGACGCAGTACTGACTAAGTGCTTCCACGTCTTCTGCTTCGAGTGCGTAAAGACGCGCTATGACACTCGACAGAGGAAGTGCCCGAAATGCAACGCCGCTTTCGGGGCAAACGATTTCCACCGCATTTACATCGGCTGAAGCTGTGGTCATACTGACACTGGAGCTCTTCCCTCGCTCCTTTGTGTGAAGGACACTATCAGCGGGACATGTGCTGGTCTCTGTGGCACTCTGTACAGAACACTTTGAAGTTTTTTTTTTTTTTCTTATTTTGACTGTGACTAAATCCAGCTTCTTCATTCAGTATTCACCACCTTACCGTGCATTTGAGAAACCAGTGGAGGAGGAATGTAGAGACCTGAGATTTTGCGAGTTTGCATCACATTCCAAGTTGCGAGTGCGTGTGTGTGAATGTGTGTGAAAGGTGCAATTTACCAAACCAGGATACAAATCAAGGAAATAAAACCACACTGTATGACTGTTTTATGTTGCCATGTATGTATGATCCGTCTTTATAGTTTTTTTTTTTTTTAATATAAATACACTTGAGATCCATCTCTTGTTACATCAGACTGGTGAAATCTGTAAACCTGCTTTGTTGCTGTGTCATCTCCTGTTCCTCTGGTTATTAAACTGACTTCTGAAGAGCCTATGTCACTTTTTTACATCTTAAATGTACATCAGTTTTTTAAATAATCCCAACATTAGACCTTGAGCGTTAAACCACATGTCCCAGTGTGCAAATCTCTCTTTATCCGTGTGCAGAGTGCCCTCCTCCTCTTCCTCCTCCTCCTCCCCCTCCCTGAAGATGTAGACGTGTTTGCATGCTGGAAACTGTCGGCAGGAACGCTTGGAGGAAGGGAGCGTCATGCGGGAGCAGCGACAGGGGTATTTTTTCTTTTTTTTTGACATTGTGAAACATAATCCATCGCAGCAGCAGAGCATTTGATAGAAGCTCAGAGACAAAGGAACGTCAGAGTGACTTGGTGTAGAGCTCAAAGCTGAATAAGAGGCTTTAGGAGACTCGTGCTCGGCTCAGAGCCACCGCGGTTTTTTTTTTGTTTTCTGTTTTTTTTTACGCGCAGAGAAAGAACTTTTTTTGCAACCATCCTGCGCCATATTTTTGTAGTACTTATTTTTGCTGCGTCTCTACTCCACAAAGATCTCTACCGAGTGTGGATCCAAAACAGTTTCTTACCAAATATAGACACCGTTAATGCTGGGGTGTCCTTGACGGAGCTGAGCGGTCCTAGCTGCCAAAGTTTCTAATTCAATTCTCTGACCATTTGGAGTCATTGGGTTTTTGTTTTGTCTGGTTAAACTCTCCACTTAGTTGATAAAGAAGCTTGAGTTGGTCTTTTATTTTCGACTTTTTGTGGAAAGCAGCATGCTGATTTGAAACCTCTCTCAACAGAAGCCATTTTAAGTCTTTAATTTCCTCTTTAGTCATCGAAGCAGCAGTCCGGACAGCAGAGTTAAGCTTAAGCACATTTTTCCATTATTTTTGTCTTAATATACCTAAAACCTGCAACAATGACTCTCCGTGGATATGTCATTACTCGGTTCCTGCTGGTACTGGGGTTGGTCATTGGTTTGGCTGGAGCTGAAGTCGAGGTGACCAAGCCGACCGAAGGGAGCCCGCCGCCGGTCACCCTCCGGACTCTGGCCGCCGGGACCTGGCAGGAGCTGCAGGGACACGCAGAGTCGGTGCTGGGAAGCGGGGTGATCCGATCAGTCGTTGAGGTACAGAAAGGAGGAGGTTGTTCTCTCCCTGCATTAGGAAGTGGCTTTCTCTCCCATTATCCTGTTGTACTGGCTGTTTGGTCTAACTTCACTGTTCTCTCTCTATAATAATAACTGAACCTATTAACTAATGTTGAACTCCCTACCCTTCCATCTCTCTCCAATATTTCCTCACCCTTCACACACATTCCTCTGCCCATGCCTCTCAACTTGTTAATCTGTCGCTTGATCCTCTCATTTTCTCTGCCCTCATTTCACGTCTTCATATATCCATGCATCACCCACAAACACACTCCTCTGTCTCCCTGCATCCACCCCTGCTGTGGCTCCCTTTCCTCAGAGTGCAGTGTTGTTTCTTGAGTCATTTCTGGGTCAGGAGAACGTCTATATGGTGGCCATGGTAAGGAAAACCTCCTGGAAGTCTCCATCTAGTCTGCACTGAGTCAGCTCATGTGGTTTAGTTTTATCTCCTGTCAGCCCCATAGTTAGAGCTGGGAGTAGCAGCATGTCTGTGGTGCAGCTGTTACCATATGTGTGTTTGTTTTATACTGTAGTGGTTGCATGTGAAGCCCCAGTATTATGCAGCTTGTAAGCTTGAAGTGATGAGAGTCTTTCTAGTGATGACAAGTTGACCGAAGTTGTTGAGCTTGAATTAGTTGGTAGCTGTGACTGCAAAGTATAGGGTGTGTGCATGATCTATGAAAGTAGAAAACATTTTTTAATGACAGTGGAAATCAGTCTCCCCCCAGCTTTGACTGGTATCTATAGAGATTTTTAAAGTATCTATTAGTGACTTTAATTCCTTTCCAACATCAAAACTGTACACAAAAGTTTAGCACTGCTACTGAAACGTCATCTAATCCGAGAGTGAAAAATTTTCACCCACCAGTCAGCTTTTTGTCGCTCTGTTAAATTCCTCAGAGCTGTCGGTGCAGTTTTTACATGTTAAACTTACATTTTGCCTTGAGCTGCTTTTTTTTATCCAGCACCTGTGAAGGTTTTTGCCTTTTTTTTCCCCTTCTGCACCATTTGTTATAAAAATGTAGAGCCTAGTCTGTCAGTTTTAGTTGGAATGAAACTGCACTATAGTTTAAGTCATTCAAATCTGTTAAGAGGGGCTCACAGAAACACAAAGAAATTAACATCTTCACTTTCTTAATTCAAATGTAAAATGCTGAAATGTATCTTTCAGTTGCTGTTTTTCCCTCTAAAAACTTCGTCTTTGAGTGTAAAAGTAATCCATGCAGACAAAAACATTAAAGTATTACATCAGTCGGTAAATTAATTCTAATAATACTAAAATGATTTAGACTGTCATCACTGTTACAGAGTGACAGATGCTTGACTTTTGCTCGGACATGCTGCTCAGCCCTCGTGTATGCGCCAGTGTGTAGTGCAACAGGTGCAGATAAGAAACTTGTCCAACTTACTGGGCTATCCTTGACCTTGCTTGACAAGGCTACACTGTGTATGTGTGTGTGTTTTCCTTTGTGGTATTTGGGAAGGGGTTAAACAGGAATAGAGAGGGGCACCGTCCAGCCGTCACTCACACGCACAGCTGTTTGTCCAAGTCAACAATACAACACTTCTTCTGTCTCGAGGAAAGGTTGTGTGTAAAGGGATGGTACAGTTTGTTCAAAATATCAGTGTGCCGGTGAAAAGAATCAGGAGTCCCAGTTTCATTTGCTGTCTCTGAATGTGCATTAGCGCCACAAGCATATTTCTTTGAGCTCAAACTGCATGACTGTTGGTGTGATGAGAATGCTGCCTTTCTTCATTGTCACTCTCTTAAATAACATGCCTGTCAACCTTCAACACAGTTTTTCGAGATGGTGATCCGATTCCTGGCTGAAGGAGCTGCCAGTGGCCTGAATGTCATCGCTGTGTACGTCACAGAAATCCTCAGGGTCACAGGATTCGATGGTGGGTACCAGGATAAACAGTGTCGCTGCGGCTCTGCTTTTATACCTCCTACATGTGCAGGGCTTCAAAAGTTAGAGAGGATCTGTTCCACTGAAAGTGTTCAGGGCCAGTGAAAATATGCAGTCTTGCCTCTCCCTCAGGGAATTTGTCTGCCACTCCTTTTTTCTGTGACACTGTTTACTTCTTAAGCTCTCTGTTAACAAAAACGCATTGTCAAGCATCAGTTCTCATAAAATCAAGCTAAGCTGGATTTCCTCTTTTCTCCACAGCTGCCTTGCCGCGCGTCACTCCAGAGGGTGTGGCAGCCATCGCCCAGTGGGGTCTTCTGGCCCTCATTGGCTACTGGGTCCTCACCATCATCCTGCGTATGTTCCTTTGTGTGGCCAAGCGAGTGTTTTGGGTGGTGAGAACCGTTTTGGCACTCTGGCTTTTCGGACTGATTGTGATGGACCAGACCGCCACAGCAGAGACCACAGCGGTGCGGGTGGGCGGCCTGGTGCTGGTGTGCGTGGTGTTGTCTCTGCTCACTTCAGGCTCTGATAAGACTCCTTCAGTTGAGGACCGACTGAAACTCCTGGAGGGTCGAGTGAAAGCAGTGGAGAAGAGGAAAGAGGAGTAATGACCAGAGCGGGTGGAGGGGAAAGGCTTTAAAATGGACAGAGGTGATGGTACTGATGGATAAGAGAATAGATACTCTCATGGTTTCTGAATATGTGTCAAACTATTTTGGGAAATAAAGAAATCTGAGGAATTTTTAAACAGAAATTCTCCTTTTTGTTGCCTTTAAAAAATGTCAAATGATCACAAAATATACCAAATAATAGCAAATGTAAAATTTTACTGGTAAGTAATAAATTACAGAGATAATAAATGGCCTCAACAGGAAGACTAGTGTTCAGAGGATAGATCATAACAGGGTTTCTGCAGGTTTCAACAAGTCAAATTTAATACTTTTTAAAACTTTAATGAAAACAATTTAAGATCAATTTTACATCCATACTGGCAAAAAAGGACAAAAGACAAGAAACGGGAACATTTTAAACTAACTTCAAATCAATCTTTATTTGTAAGTAACGTCAATACATTTTTAAGACCTTTCAAATTTGTGTTTAAGACATTTTATGAGGTTTTTAGAGAATTTTAGACATTTTAAGGCCTTAAATTCATATTGTTGGATTTTAGACGTTGAAAGACTTTCTAAGACCCAGCAGAAATCCTGCATAAACTGTCTATCATTATCTTTTCCACAACCACACTTAATGAAAAGTTGAAGTAACTTACATAAAAACTTTGTAAAAGTTTACAGGGATAATAATTATCAAGATTATCATTTTAATTGTATAGATATAAAAAACCAAGGCCTAAGGCTGCCTCAAACTGTATGAAACATGGACATAGACTCAGAGGGATTATTCGCCATAATTATGTAAATCTAAAATGAACTCTTAGCCTCAATGTCTTCAAAAGGAACGAGTTACAAAACAAATCAACCCAAATTTGTACGAATTACTGAGTTATTCAGAATAAAGTTGGTCAGGATTCCTTGTTTTTCCCTACAAACTTCAGGTAAACAATCAAAGATCTGCAGTTTTTTTGCACAATCCTCTGTGTTTCAACACTAGAGGTTGCTGCTTGGTCTGTAAATAGAAACCAATGTTTCACAGCTTTTTGCTAATGTGAGCATGCTAACTAAGTTACAATGACAATGCTACAATACTGATGTCAACCACTGAAATTGAAAGAAGAAATACCGCTTGTTTTGGACTTTCTTAAAAAAAATAAATCAAATTAAAATCTTTGACTTGTTGGTGGGGCTCGAGGAAACAAAACCTGCCTTTGCACCTTTTTATCATGAAAATTAGGCTGAAATTATTCTAGATACAGTATGTTGGTTTGACGGCAGACTAGCATGTCAGTTCTGTGCTATACTTAACTATATTTTACTGTACTATACATGATAGGAAAAAATCTTTATGGTCGAGGCAATTTAGATAAGAATTTTTCAAGATACAATGAACCAGAAGAGAGCCAATCTCTTTGATACGTCTGTCAATTCACAACACAAATCCAGTGTGTTGGTCCAGGCTAACTGGCCCTGTAGTCCGAGTCTCAGGCCTCTGTGCCTCTTTCATTCCCTGCTGCCCAGTCAGCTGGAAGCTTTTTTGATCCTCTAGGACCTAGAGTCTAGGTTGACACTAATGATCCTCGCCTTCACTGCCACTCCAGCCGAGTGGAACAACCTGACCTGAGAGCCAGAATTATTCCTGCTCACTCAGCCTGCAGCAGTAGCAGCAGCCGCAGCATAACACCACTTCCCTCCCACTCTCTGCTGCTGCTTCTTAGCCAACTGGGCCAAATATGACACCACAATGAAACAAACTGTGTGGACATCTCCCTTTAACATCAACTTAACATAGAGACAGATGACTGGTCTTTGATTTATGCACATCAGAACTATTTGATGAGGATTTTGCATGCAGCCCAAAAAAAATCTAAGTTGCCCCTTGACTGCTGGTCCTCTTAGCTCTCATGTTTTATAACTTCATTGTTTGTTATTCAGCCCACACCTTTGCAGAGGAAGTATTCAGCTGGGCTCAGAAAAGAGGTTTTAAAATGTAGCTGTTGTGCATTGTGAAGCTTTTAGATAAAGAACCAGACGCTGAAATGAAAAAAAGACGACAAAAAAGGGGATTCATTTTGTACTTATGCTCATCATGTGGCCAGGAAACTCCTTCTAAATAAGCACTGCTGCTGAAGGTCTGTTGAACATGTACATAAGCAACTATTTGCTCTTCAATTTACCAACAAACACCTTGAATAGGGATAATTCTGTCAGTGATGAACATGCACGCACAAGCCCGTACATCCGCCAGTCTTTCTGTTTTCACCTGTTCTAGTTCGATGGAAAAAATACAGGTTTTATTACTTGTTTCATTATCACATCAATTACATTTTGCATTGTCAGTGTTGCTGTTTTTAGATTCACCAACGGTTCACTAACAGTGTGTAAGCAGAGAACTGGTTGCTGGCAGATCCATCAGAGGTATGACTGTACTTCCTTTTTCAAAGTTTCCGCTGTGATTTAATATCCACTTGGCTGAATTCCTCCCTTAAACCGCCTGTTGGTGGTGGGAAAGAATTTTTGTAGTTTCATGAGCTTTTAGCTGTGTGGTGGCATGCTGGATGGGCGGAGCTTGTGGTGATATAACAGAAATAAAAGGACATTGTGTTTTATTACACCAAACATGGAGAAAGTGGAACAAATACAAACAGACATCGTTAAGTGGACTGTTACTAGCTTTAATGCACATAGCACACAATCTGAATACACAAAGAAGCATGTAAAAGTGCCCTCTTAACTAGAACATCTTTTTATTGTATTCTATTCTGCTCTCACAAAGGTCTCCCGTCAGTGCTGAGAGAGGAAAAATGACCACTATCCTGTCTCATTTGTATTACAGCCATTAATAACATGCAATTCAGCGTGTTAATAAAACCAAACCTACAATAACAGCTTTGACATCAAGCTTATATCAAATATAAAAACCTCCAACAGCAGCTCTGTGTTTGGAGTACATGTGAGGGATGAACAAGAGACATGCAAACAGAAGGAAAACACAGCTTTTTTTTAAGTTTATGGCTTAAATTTGTGTTAGTAAGACACATTTTTGTTATTTAATGCACTAGTATTAGACATTGTATATCTGTGACTCTTGTGAACAATGGAATATGTTAAGTTTCATTAACTACATACTGATGTGAGCAAAGGATATGTACCCTATCTGAAGTAATTTTTGTTTAAATCTACACTACACTACATTGAGTATAATGCAAGTATCACATATTAAAAAAAGGATTTCAATATATCAGAGCTACAAAGTCAGTCATAACCGGTATGTAATTTCTGTTAATTGAACAAATGAGATTTGCAGAGTAAAGGCAACTTGGTGTCTATTTCATCCCTGAAAGTGCTCCCACTCTGCAATAAATGACACAGCACCCTGACATCAATCAGTTCAGTACTATGAAAAAACTAATGAGATTGTTAAACCCAGAGGCTCAAACTGAGGTAGGAAAAGTTTGGAAATATCTCACAACTTCTGAACTTGGTGTTCCCATATTATTGAAAACTGTCCTCTTAGCCATGACTTTGGCTCACGAGCTTTAGGCAGAAACTTGGCTCTTCTTGTGACACCTGAGGCTGAAATTTTATGAGAGCGGTCACAATATTTGGCACAATGAACCGTCATAGATTGTGAAAAATGTAGAGGGACAGATTGGTTGGTTCTTGAGGAGTAAAGGTCTTTCTCGGTTTAGGTTTCCTGAAACTACATCAGCTAAATCATCCTGAATTTGTCCTTTTTGACATTCAATAGTGGTTTAAAATCACTCTTATGAGGTAAAGTGGGCAGCTGCTTAGTTTAGCTGAGCTTTGATACAAGAAAGAGAAGGAAACAGCTTACCTACACTACGGGTCAAAAGTTTTAAGAACATCCTAATTTTCAAGTTTTTTATTGAAATTCAAGCAGCTCAAGTCTAATATAAAAATGATGAGAAAAAGGCAATTAACGATAGAAGAGAGACAGACAATCATAACACTTAAAAATGTAGGTCTTTCCTACAGAGAAATTGCCAAGAAAGTCAAGGTGTCCGTGAATTCAGTTTCCTTTACCATCAAAAACTTTTGACCAGTAGTGTAGCTCTCAGCATAAGTAACTTAATTTGTTAACTGCATTTGTTCTTCTGCTGTTTACTCAAAATGTTGAAGAACTGTTACATTCAGCTAAGAATGGACTATAACTTTTGAGAGGTCCTCTCAAAAGTTAAGTTTGTCTGAAGTATAAACGTGAGAGAAATCGGAATCTGAGCTGAGCGGCAGAGCAGACGGGATGGAGAGTTCAAATCGAGGTCCAGGGTCATCAGAGGGGACAGGGAAAGTTGGAGCATCAACCCGCTCTGTTGGAAGGGAGGCCTGGAGGAAAAGAGACAGAGGTTTCACTTTGCTGATTGACTGATTGTATCGTATCTGAATGCCCAACACTTGTGGGTTCAAAAGACAGTACAGCAGTGTCCCAACATCTCACCACCAGTCATCACAAAGTTGAGTGTTCCTTCTACTGCTCAGTTGTAAACACTGTATTCTGCATTTTCACTGCTTTGCAGACAAAATCTGCTATAAAAAAAGGTTCCTCATCTAAATAACAACTCTAATTTTCAGAATCACCCAACTTGAAGAAATCATCATGAACAAAAAACAGTTTTCTAAAAAGTACATTCCTTAAGCTATGATGAACGGGACAGTAAAACAGAAAATGAATCTAGGTCACTACATCATAACAAAATATGGTGTGAAAGGTAACTTTGTGTTTTTCTTAGTGTTTTTGCACACAGAAGAAAAGAAAGCATGTGCTTGATATACACACATTGTGGCACACTAATGTGCATGTAGAGGTGGGGAAGACTGACAACCATGAAATACGTTTAAACCTTTTGAGAAAAAAAAAGCCTTCTTTGAGGCAACACTCAAAATGTCAATAGAACCTTCAGGATAAGAACATTTAAGTCCACAGGGAAGGTGTGCATGCTCAGGCTGATCAGGCCGTACCTCAGAGTAGGCTGGCGGCACATCCGCAGGTGGAGGATTGTGTATCTGCAAAGTGATTAGACATAAAACTTGTCAGTCATGAAGAGAATAAGTATGAGCAATAACCACTACCATTGCACAGCCCGACTTGTTACTGTGTACCACTTGTATGCATCAAATTGTATTTTAAATTTAGCTGAAATCATCTGACTCTCCACTGCAGTATTCATTTGTCCTCAGATAGCTGCAGGAGTGTAAATATGCTTGCTGTTTGAACTGCATTTGGTAGACTAGTTGACTGATAACTTTATCCTCTGATCTAAAGTAAAATCAAACAGTTAATAATCTTAAATAAAACCACATACACTGTGTAATACATGGACATAGTCTTAGTGACATCACCCACTGGCATTTTGAAAACGTGCCTGTCTGTCAGTCAACCCAGCCTCACACCTATAGGTGCAGCCTTATGTGTTACTGTACTGAGCTGTGGACATGTTAAATTTTGCTTGAAGAATGTGCTGTTCAAGATGACAGCAGGGATTTCTTGTCTCCCTAAACCATCTTCTAGTATCCGGTTATGGGGGTGCTGTTATTATTATTTGGCTTCACTTTAAAACAGCAGATGTTGCTACTTGGTTCAGGCCAAACAAAAAAGTTTTTTTTTTTTTTTTTTCACACTGTAACACTAATTAGACACCCCCTTGAGAGATGAATGTGGCCGACCGCTTGCTTCTCTAGTTATACCAACTTTAGTAACGACCACAGGATAGCAATACACAGGGGTCTGAGGAGCCATAAACAAACCTCAACCAAAACTCCACTCTATAACCACAAATAATGCTCAGAACAGCACCAAACTTCATCAACAGTACATATAGGGTCACAGTCGCAGTACTAGCCACCAAACATCTTTTTAGTTTTGCCTGATTTCTTTAGCAAAGAGACTAAACACAACTCACCTACTCTCTTCCAGCAGCCGCTTGTTTGTAGCAAGACCTCAGGCCAGTCCATTACGGACTTCAGCTCAAGGAAGAACATTTATGATCATTTCTTCAAGGAAATGCAATCAGACTGAGACACGAAGGCAGAAGAACTACCACGTCCGCAGTACAAAATGATTAATATGATGATTATTACTTCAAGGAAATGATAAAGTAATGATCATAAATGTTCTTCCTTGAGCTGCGTCACCCCACTGTGGTCCATAATGGACTGGCCTGAGGTCTCACTACAAACGAGCGGCTGCTGGAAGAGAGTAGGTGAGTTGTGTTTAGTCTCTTTGCTAAAGAAATTAGGCAAAGTTAAAAAGATTTTTGGTGGTTAGTGCTGTGGCTGGGACCCTATATGTACTGTTGATGAAGTTAGGTGCTGTTCTGAACATTATTTGTGGCTATAGAGTGGCATTTTGGTTGAGGTTTGTTTATGGCTCCTCAGACCGCTGTGTATTGCTATCTTGCAGTCGTTACTAAAGTTGGTAAAACTAGAGAAGCAAGCAGTCGGCAACATTCATCTCTCAAGGGGGTGTCTAACTCGGTGTTGCAGTGTGTTTGACCCTAAATTAATTTTACGCCGGAATATCCCTTTAATTCAAATGAAGTTCTGACGTTAACCATAACTTCATTTAAAAAAAGTTGCTTTCATGATTTTTTTCAGCAGACATTTTTATCGTCCTCTTGGGAATTTCATAGATGAGTTCAAATCCAATTGAGAACTGTCCCATAATCTTATGTTGATATGTTTCTCTGTGTATCAAGATACTCCTTGCCAAATTGTAAATTGGAATTTCTATAAATTCAGTATTGCAACTGGGTGTCTTGACTTATCTTTCCAGTATTAACAGGTTTTGGATGCGTGTGACGGAAAAGTCCAGGCGCTCATTATCATTTAGAGATGGCCAGTCCTCAAGTGAGGTAAAGTTATTTCTATAAAATACGTGTTCTTACCAGCGGGGTACTCTGATTATAAGAAGGCAGAGTGGGATATAATGTCTCAGAAGGCTGGCTGGCCTGGTCTCTCCTCGGTCCGACGGGCTCTCTGTCATACTGCAGTTTGTGTCAAACAAAAGCAAGACAAGAACACATGAATTCAACAGCAGGACATGAGTTTACATGACTGTTTTCTATAGGAGGGGGTCAGTATGCTTTAAAGAAGAATGTGGTCACCGTAGGGTGGCTGTTAGCAGGTTCAGCATCAGGACTCTCAGCTTCACCCTTTTTCGAGCTCTTTTTACAGCAGCAGCGCCTCATACAGGTACAGCAGCAAAGTACACCGAGGGAAACACCAACACCAATGCCAATGTGGGTTGCATCAACAGCAGGTTCATATGGGTCTGGCATAGAAGAAGGTGAGTGAATGCATAAAAATTTGAACAATTTATATTAGTCATGTTATCTCTGAAATATGAAACACTTGCTCCATTGCTTCCCTGATCTAAAATGTGAAATATCCTGTGTATCACTTTTTGTTTCACAGGGAATTTAAATAGGACACTAAACAGAAAGCTGCAACCCTAAAAATTATGATCAATTTTCACAACTTTAAGACAACTAAAAACATATAAATTAATGATGGAGGTATTTATAACTTGATAACTACTCATAGTTACACTATTTTCCAAGTAGGTTCACTTTTAAAAGAAAAAAAGGAACATAACAACTACAAATAAAAGACAGCCAATGGCTCAGCTGTTTTTTTTGGTTTTGGTTTGAGTAAGAAATCTCTGTCCAGCTTAGGACACTGTCTGAATCTGTGGTCTCACAATAAAAGCCAAAGCTAAAAACAGGTAAAATCACAGTAAGATTTAAGTAATTAGAAAATATTTTGAATCATAGGTGTCACTTACCCTCCATCGCCAGTGAGAGCTCCATGACCTGGTTGTCCTCCTTGTCCCTGACCACATAGACCCCACTGCACGCCTTTGGAAGGTCATAATGTACAAGCCTACAGCTATATTGAGCCTCAAATCCTGAACAACCACCAGCATAATAAGTTACTATCCTACCTCGCCGAACTATATTAGTGTCATCTGCTTCTAGAAAGTTTGAGGTATAGTATACGTTGCAGGAGTCTGGTTCAACATCGAAATCAATGCTGAAGTAGTCACCAGGGTTTCGTGTTTCACTTTGTTGGCGTGCTGGAAGAGAAAACACACAAAACAGTAAATTTCAAAGTGATCTTTATCTTTTAAGTCACATCAGTTAAAATGCTGCACCACCTTTTTTGTGTGTGTTTCTGTTGTTGTTTTCTTTTTGTAAGTTCACTGTTAGAATTTCATCCATGTTCCTAAATAGACATGGGGGGTCGTGAAAACTCTATAAATGTGGCTCCTGAACCATAATCAGCAGAAGAGTCAAGAGTAAAACTTGAAGCCCCATGATGCATTTACGCTAACAGGTTGAATCTACACTAACTACATATTCTGTACTCACTAAGGGGAAACACTTCAACAAGATAGATATTCTCCCCAAAGTATTGACTCTTTTTGAACATGAGAGTGTGAGGTGTTTGCCTCTGGTAATTTGACACTAAAATCTAAACTCTAAGGCAGCATTTGACTTGTACTATAATGAGTCTGAATTCTTGATAGTGGCCAGGAATGAGTTACAGACTTCTTTTTGACCACAACCTCTTTTTGGTACAATCTATGTTAAACCCAATCTAAACCCTTGAAAGGCCTTTAAACTATGACAATAACATAAATGGAACAAATTTAGAGGTTGTACTAGATCTAAATTTAACTTTCAGTCCATAAGAAAACACCAGACTGTCTTGGAAAAGAAATACCTGAAAATAAAACAACTAAAAAACAAAAGAGAAGCATCCTTACGTATGACCTCTAGGATCTTGTAACGCTGCAATATATGATCTTTGTCTCTCAGTGAGTAGCGTCCACTGTCTCTCTGAGTTATTCTATCTATCACAAAGTAGGATCCATCCATCCACAGCCTGCCGTCTTCACCGCCTGCTGAAGGGTCATCCCGGTTCCACACGACCTTGGCAGTTGGGTTTCTGTTATTGGTGAGCTCAATGGTTTGAATCCCGCTGGACACCCATGTCCTGAAAGTGTCCCCATAGTATAATTCCTCATATGAAAAGCCTGGGAAGGGCAGGAACAAGCAGAAGTCAAATACTGGTTACAACCTTGTGAAAACAAATATGAGGGTTGTTTCGAGCCAGTACAGCAGTCAAGAAGTGTTTTAAAGGAATAAAAGCATGTGTTTTATGGGTAAACCTCAATGAAGTACTTGATACACAGTAAAAAAAAAAAAATACAAAATGTTTTTATTACAAAGTGATTTTTATTTGCATGAAAACCTTTGATATGTTAGGTTTTTGAATTTTACCTTTTAGCTATAGAAGAATCAGATAAAGTGATGTACACCTCTAATAATTCCACCTATATTCTTTAAAATTATGAAAGAGGTTATAGTAAGCATGCTACCTCATTTATTCACAACTTAAACTATTTTTCCGTTATTTTTAAGCTGTTACTGTATTTTTTTTCCATTTATTTTAATAAAGTTTAAAAATATATATCAAATATTTAGCAAATTATTACATCTTATTTAGATGCTCACTTAGCCAACAGAGGAACCTGTCATGCCTTTACTGATCTCCTCCTGCACTTCTGTAGGAAGTGTTTTCTGATACAATAGTGCATTGTTTTAGCAGTCAAGTGCATTATTTATTGTTAATATTCGTTGAAAAACAACATACATTATTTTAAACTTAAAGAAAAAAACTGTTGCTTCAGCGTGTCAATTGTCTGGCCTGACACCTTTCCCTTTGCAACAATTAGGCACTGAAATAACAGCCCTGAAACAGTCAGTCTAGTAGCTGATGTTCTTGTTTGCTATAGCAGCATCAGTGTAAATTTCAGTCTTTTTCATAGCCAGTTAAAAACTCCCCACAGTTTGTTTGTTTTTTTTCTCAGTGCTTTTACGTGATTGAAATATGTTGCATCAAATGATTAAAGCTGGATTGTTTCCATCTAATCATTTTTTATCACAGGCGTCGAGCTACTCCATAATATATATGTATATATATATATATATATATATATATATATATATATATATATATATATATATACACAATCTTTTAAGTGGACATACCCAATGACCTTTGATTTATGTATTTTTTTTAACTCATACAGCCTAAACATGGATGTTACGCTTCCGTTATTCGTACAATTAGTCGTAATTTGGCTTTTTTTTTCAACCACTAATGGACAAGAGTCACCGCTACCACAGTTAACGACAAATACTACCTAAAACTTACTATCAATACTGAAGAAATGCGACTTGACACTTTGACTCACCAAATGGAACCCAGACACTCAGAAACAACAACACTAGCATCTTCTGTTGTGATTGATAACACACGCAAACAGCCTCGTGTAAAACGTCGTCCAGATCTACACGCGATATGTTTACAGTTCGTCAAAACATGACGGTTATCGTGATATCGTGCGAACTTTCCTGCTAACCTACACACCGTAAACAAGGTCGCACTAAAAGCCGTGATAAGCACAGTTAGCCGACCACAAGCACAGTTTAGGGAAGGAGAAGAAGCAGTATGGAACTCCTGCAAGAGCCTTCCCTATAGGGCGTGGGCCTACCGTGATGAGTTCAGGGACTGTCGGAAAGCACTGTGACTGCGCCTCTTCAATCACCATATACAGAGTCAGACAGCTCTCCAAACTCCAGAGCATGTTGCATCATATTTTACAGTAACGTTTGTTCGATGACTTTTTCTAGCTCAATGATAAATATTTTCTGTGCCTGACTTTGATGTTCACTTTCAGGTAAAAAAAATGAGAACAACAATAATTTTGTCCTTGTTTTATTATCTGCAAAATCCACTGTGACATCTTACCCCATGTAGTAAGACAACTTGCCCGATGGTGGGGCAACATGTCACATGTTCACACTCTCTATTTGATTGCTTATAACTTTGCACTGACACAAGATATGAAAATGACATGAATAGGAAATATATACCTGAGACTTTGGTCTTTCATCTGGTACACATTTTGTTTGTATATGATGTACTGATTCCAAGAAATGTATAAGAATGTAAAAAGTGTGACAACAAGCCCCGGTCTCCCCTACCTGATTGCACTTGTCTAAACCCCAAATCCTTCAAGTGGAGACTTGTTTGGCAACAAGCTGCTCAGAGACATCTTCTTCACCACCTTCAGTTATGTTTGTTTGTTTGTTATTCTAATCTGTGTGGGCTACGGCTTCAAGTCCGTCACTTGCCCCAACATCATCGACTTGCATTTACCACATTTATCGTGAGATGGCAAATATTTATTGTGGAGGAATTTCCTGACGATAAATGGTGAATGATAATTTATCACCCATTTCTAGGGATAGGCAATGAAATTCACTAAAGCTGAGTTACCAAGAACGAAGCAAATATTTTGAAAAATACTGAAAAGACTACAATTGACATGACTGCATTCCTTTATAACACTTTAATGGACATGAAGATTTGCAAAAATGTACTTTTACCTGTTTCTAATAAATCTCATTGTATCTTTGATGATACGGTAGGCTCATTCCCAGAATACTTCAGAAATTTGATATTGACCCTGAGCAACTTGGTCTGAAGTTTACATTGTTCATTTTCCTTTCTTATCTTTACTTCTCTCATGGAGATACCAGCACACATTTTGAAGATGTTTTTAGACATTAAAAAAAAACAACAAAAACCCTGATCAGGCCTGAAAAAGATGTTCACATTGAAACACAGAAATCAAACAGTGCTGAATATCACTTCATGACGTAACAACAAAAGCCACTTTGATGCATTGTTGCATGTTCCTTTCTCTAAGTGCATTTCTCAAAGCATTTGCAAGCATTATTGATTTCTTGATTCTTTATTATTTCTTTATTTCTTCTTCACACTGAAATGAAGGACCAAAATGACTGCTCAGAGGGCACAACGCTGATTTCATCTCATGCTCATTTTCGGTGTTTCCTACAGAAAATTGAATTTCTCTGATGAATCAACATCGCAGACCCTTAGGTCTGAACTGAGGGGGGGAGCAGAGGGGATGGTCAATCCTTCCAGCTCAAACCTCGGCTCATGGTCCGAAGAGAGATTATCTATTCCAAATGTAGGGGCTGGAGTGTCCTCATGACCTCCCACGGGTGTAACCTAAAGAGAAGGAACCAAAAAAAAGGTCAACGTTTATGTTAATGATGAAACAGGTTAGAAAAACATATGGCATTATTTCCCCCTTACAAACTACCATTGCTGGTAAATTGCATGCATTAAAAAAAGAATTGACACATTACAGGTGTTTGTATTTGTTCCTCGGATGATGGGATGTTCACCACTGCACTGTAGTCCTAGAGTAGAAGATAAATATTAGTCAGGAGTAAAAAAAAAAAATAGTTTAATACAATTTTTCTGGGATTAAAAAAATAAACAGGTCGCATGAAAATAACACTGAATCAGCTGAACCATTTTTAAATCACAACACATCCATGAATATACAAATAGCAACCTCTGGATGACGTAGACATTGGTAAAAACTTAAAATGAGATGATTGTTAGGCAAGCTGTGGAGGTCTTAACAGTGTCTTTTTTCAGTTATTCTCAGTTGATCTATCAGCAACAAAGCAATGAACCCATAACTGAGTTCATCATTTATCATCCTGATAGTTGGAAAACTTTCACACTTACCGTTGGGTCAGAGGAGGGATTTGCAGTCTCTCTAGAAACACCAGGATTTATTGGCTGGTAAGAGTGAGCTGGAGCAGGTGAAGGAGAAGAACTTGGAACTGTAGATTGGTCCTTGTCCTACAATTGAAACACAGATAATGGATTAAAATTGATAACACATATTCCAAACACTTGGTGTGATTGCCTGCTTGAAGACACGCTTACATGATGATTGGGATAAGGTGCTACTTCAGTCTGAGAGGCAGCCTGGCCTTTAATGCAGCACTTTTTCACACAGCAGAAGCAAACAACAGCTGCAAGGATGGCCCCAACAAAATAAGGAACAATGACAGACACAGGTGGAAATGCTGCAAAGGCAGGAGAAATGGGTAGGGGTCAGTGGCATTAGAGAGAATCACCACTAAATTTACAATTAATTTTCATTTTTTCTTCCTGAAACTTTAAACCCCCCTGTCGCTTACCGGTACGTCCAGGGTGTACCTCCAGATTTACGGTCAGACCCAGGTTGTTGTGCTTGTCTTCAAATGCATAGGTGCCAGAGTCTCTGGTTTCTAAACGATCAATCTGTATGCCATCAGGCAAGAGCTGAACCCTGTCATTAAACTGCTTGGAATATGAGTAAGGGTTACTGTCCGTGAGCAGACTGCCTGCATTAACCACTGCTATGTAACTCCTTGCTCCATCAAGTTTAACCCGCACAGTCCAAGGGGAAAGAGTTGAAGGATATCTGATGATGAGCTTCTCACCTGCAAATTTTGAATATGTTGAGTATTTCCCTGCAAGTGAGAAAGATTAAAACATTAAAATTACATTTAAAAAGATCCACGGCAACGTAAAGATCAATTTCACCATCTGCCAAGATTCTTTTATCACCCTCCACAGTGAGCAGCATCCTGGACAGCAGTGATCTGTCCCTCCGCCTGATGATGTAGTAGCCATTGTCCTCCTGGGTGAGCTTGGTTATCTTCCAAGAATCACTCCTCACCTCTGCTCTGCCTCCTTGACTGGTCTGAGGATCAGAGCGGCTCCACAGGACCTTTGATGAGGTGTTGCTAAGATGGGTAGAGAACTCCAGGGATTCAGCCTCTTGAGGAATGTCACCAAAGTAGCTTTGACCAGACAACCTGCTGACAGGGTCAGTGCAAACTAAAAAGGGTCATACAAAATAAAACAGGGAAACGTTTAGTAATGGTGCATTAAATTGCAGGAAATAGCTTATTTTTGATCGAATGATCTGCAAGTACAGTGTTACAGTCTCACCTGAAACATGCAGTTCATCGACATTAATCATCAAACCAAAGATGGCGGAAAAATTTCCAGTATCTTCCTCTGTCAGATCAGTCATCCGAGCAGAGTAACTGGACACTTTTAAACGTGGATCCTTTGACTAAGTATGTAAAGAAAAACATATAAATAAATATCTCCTGTTTCAAACCTGGTTTGCTCTAAACAGATGCTGAACTTGTCATATTTCTTTCCATGCAAGAATCTCAAAATAATAAGAGGGATAGCTTAAATGAAAGTTCAAGATGTTGCCCACCTCTCCATCATCCATTATTATTTTCCTTGTTCCACCTGCTCTGGGAGTGAAGTACAGCTTTTCATTGTAGAGAGGAGGTGTATACATTAACGGAAATGTATATGTCCCGCCACGGCACGCCTCAACCCTTTCAGCAACAGATGAACCTTCAAACAGGAAGAACCCCGAAGAGAGGCAAGTCCACTAAACAAATGGTAGCATTGCAAATATTCTTAAAATTCTCCCAAGACCACTCAGAACATAAAGAAAATCATCCCACTTCTTTATATAATGTGCTTTTGTTTATTCACATCTCTCAGTCATTGCAGTTGGCCGGTGCACACAGCACACGGACCCTGCAGCTAAATGAAGCTCAGCCATCTCAAGTAAAATTATTTACATCTATTTTAACTCAAGATAGCGTTTCCTCACTCATCTGTGGCAAGTTCAAGAGCCCTTATCTGGTCCTCTGAGTGTGCATCTGTGTGTGTGAGCATGTGAGTGCTGTTTGTGTTGAATGGGGGTTGGGAGGGTGGGTGGGGTCTGGTATTTGTATTTATTTTAGGGGAGACCGGGGCTTGTTGTCACACTTTTTACACTCTTGTATTTTTCTTGTAATCAATACATCACACATAAACAAAATGGGTACCAGATGAAAGACCAAAGTCTCAGGTATATGTTTTGTATTCATGTCATTTTCATATCTTGCATCAGTGCAAAGTTATAAGCAATCAAATAGAGAGTGTGAACATGTGACATGTTGCCCCACCATTGGGTAAGTTGTCTCACTACATGGGGTAAGATGTCACAGTGGATTTTGCAACAAAACAAGGACAAAATTATTATTTTTCTCATTGTTTTACCTGAAAGTGCACATCAAAGTCAGGCACAGAAAACATTTATCACTGAGCTAGAAAAAGTCATTTAACAAACATTAACATGAAATATTATGTAACATGCTCTGGAGTTTGGAGAGCTGTCTGACTTTGTTTTTTGGCTGGGGTGAATGTTTTGCTGTACAGAGCCAAGGTTTGGTAGTTGACATTAAAGTCCTTTATTGTCCTCCAGATTGATTTATTAGCTAGGGTCATCTGTCTGACTGCCCTCAGCAACACGTCAGGTACTGCACTGCCATGTTCGTTTTTTCTTATGTAATTCCTGACCACGTCTTCTTGCTTTCTTCTCTACTTAAAACCACTCTTTTCTCTGTAAAAATGAAGTCAAGATTTCAATGTGACAACTGCTGATAAGCAGACTCTCTGTGTTCATTTTAATCTCTTAAATGCGACAACTAACCCCAAAATGACTGAGACATGTTGCCCCAAACTATCATGTTTGCAAATTCCAGCTCTTGCTTAAAGTTAGCTTAAAACAGAACAATGACTGAAGTATGAGAGGATGCCTTAAACCCTCCTCTAACAAGTCCACATGTATCACTGCTAGGATTTTTATCTGGAAGAAGCTTATTTTAAAAATATATAAAATCTTTTTTTTTTACTTTGGGTTGTGTGAAATGGTTAATTGGTGCTCATCTCAGCTCACAATGTTCTCTTCTCTTCTCAGACAGGACACGACCCCTGACCATGTAAAGGAAGAAAACTAGTATTTCACTTTTTAGTTGCGCCCTCTGGTGGCAAAGATAACTGCAGTGTGACAACTTACCCATGTGACAACAAGCCCTGGTCTCCCCTACTTCATTGTTTTTTTTTAATATCCTGCATGAATGGACAGCACTTTGTGCTACACTCCATGTATGAAAAGTGCTTTAAAAATGAGGTTTGATTGATTGAATATGTGCCTCACCTTTATGATTATTGTTGGAGACTAAATTCAAAAACATTTACATGTCCAAAAGACTATATCAACACAAATAATATAAACAATAAGATTTAAGTTCATAAGACATTTTAGTAACTTTGATCGTTGATCATTTATATATATATATCTGTGGAGCCTCGATGAACAGCGGACATTGTGTCCGGCCCTTCAGGCTAATGGTAGATCACGTGATGTGAGGACTGAATCAAGTGTGACGGAAACCGGAGGAGAGTGGGCGCAGGATGAAGCCTTGAGAAACCCAAAATGTGTTGAGTTTAAGATTTCTTTTAACTAAACTACACTGCAGTAAACAGTGTAATCTCTGTAATTTTCTTTTCTTCCTCTTTGATACTTGCTCTCTCTGGCAGCACCTTTAAGCGCAACTGTATGGCTGTTTTTCATCACCCCTGGTAGTTTTTTTAACTTTAAATGGGATTAATCAAAATTGTAACTCCACACGATGCCGATTTGATGACAATAGGATGTTGGTACATAGTTTGCTAATTTGGGTGTGTCTTGCAGATATAGTGTCCGCAACTGTGTGGGGACAGCCCATCAGTTCTCTTCTTTTCTTTGTAGTTCTGGCTGTAGTGTTTTTCTCACCGAATAAGATGCAGAAAGCAGTCATGCACGACAGTAACATGTCCTGTAGAGAGAGCAGAGTTTTCATTTACATCACTGCAACAGTTACGTAGGACTGTCACAACACAGCTTTAAAACCAGGAAACACGAAACTGAAAACTAGTTATTTTAGGCTGGTTCAGATTAATGAATAAATATCAACTCACTGCTGTACAGTCCATGAACGGTCCAGTTGTCTCTGTGTTTTTGTGATCACAATCATCAAATGCTGATGTTTTTTAGGGGCGTGTATTGTGCCAAGGATGACGCCATCATGCCAAGATATGGGGGGTGAATCGTGTCAGAGATGTCCAAATGGAGCGAATTCACCTTGCATGGATGGACACTTGTGGCCTATATCCTAACCTTATACTTGTGGGTACAGGTCCGTGTACATAATCCTTTCATGCAAGAATCTCAAAATATGAAGAGGGATAGCTTAAATAAAAGTTCAAGATGCTGCCCACCTCTCCATCATCCATCATTATTTTCCTTGTTCCACCTGCTCTGGGAGTGAAGTACAGCTTTTCATTGAAGAGAGGAAGTGTATACATTAACGGAAATGTATATGTCCCGCCATAGCACCCCTCAATCCTTTCGAGAGGTGACCAGATGCAGCGCAAGATGGCGGACCCAAAGATAGAAAACCACATTTACAAAACGCAATAAGTTCCTCCGATTGGCGGACCCAAAACAATTACTTCCGGTGGAAAGGCTTTCTCGTTGGCGGACTTCCGGCGCCGAAATACTTCAGGTAGTCGGATTTAGTCGCCGGATCCTTTTTTTTTTGCTCCGTTCATTCCATAAGAATCGAATTAAATTTATTATTGAGCTAAAAATCAAAATAAAACGTTTATGTATTAATTATGACTACTGTTTTGTTCTGATTTAATTCTGAAGTTTACAGTAATATGTATATATAGCCTGATGTCCTCATATTCTGATAATTTGTCAGAATAGGTAAATGTATGTAGAAGTTATCATCTTACTCAAATTCTTTTGTAAGAGTTTGCTACAAGTATGGACTGTTTTAACCTCTCGTTACACATCATATAACAGTGTTTTCTAACTTTTCTCTCCAATAGCTTTATTACACAGCACATCAATGTTTCTTAACTTCTCTGTGACCTTGTTTCTCCACTCCTATTAGGACCTCGTTTAATGTCAACAATGTTGCCCTGACCCTCACATATTTTCTGTTGTTCATAATTATGTTTTATGAGAGTGCTTATGTTGCTGCACAAATTTACTCCCCCCATCCTTTAGTAACATTGTGTAACCAGGGACATAATTTATGAAATGGTGTGCTTCCTGGTGAACCTCTTCAGGATTGCTTGACTGTGCAAAATCCAAGTATACAATAGTTGTAGAGACACAAGTCACATGATCTCTTTAAGGTTCAGAAGAGCCATATAGCAAAAACAATTGAATAGCGATATCATTACAGACTGTGTAAAGAAATGGGAAATTGTCATACAACTGCTTTGAAGATTTCTTTAATTTTTTCCAAACAAAATTGTGAACAGTAAAAAAAAATATATATATACAAAATTCAGCACTGCCGTCGGTGTGGTGGGGGGCTTAAAACACGTTGCCACAGGCCATCATCAGCTCTGCTCTGAACCGGTTGATGCCATGCTCCTTCAGTGCTTTGATCAAAAGCTGAAAAACAGTCAAATAATGTGAACAATTGAAGTTATGCAGTATGGGTTAATTGTTGTTCTTGAGCTTTCCAAATGAATAAGAACAACCTCTTAACAATATCATCATTTTTCAAAGCAAGCTATATAGTTTGATCTACTCACCTCTGGGAGCATGACGTCAAAAACGAAATCAAGCAGATGAATCTCGCCTCTCTTTATTTTTTTAGAAATGTTTGTTGCCACCTCAATGAACCGCAGGAGCTCGAACATCTATTGAAGAAAAACACAGAAAGTAAACACCTTTCAAATGTAACACCCCTGAGAGTAAAAATACTCATGATGGATGGCATTTTTACTTACGCGCTGCTCACTCCAACTTAGTGTCCTTATCTTAAGATGCTGCTTTAGTCGGAGTGAGGTGGCGGGATTCCTCCAAAGGAACATTCTGTTGGAGCGGATCTTTCCAGACAGTAGATCATCGTGTAATGTCTGAAACCAAAGAGCAAGAGACAAAAATGTAATCATCTGAAAAAGAAACGGTGGCTTTAACAACTGATAGTGCATTCAAAAGCAACCTTGATCTGTGTCTTAGAAAAGACAGCATGAATTCCTCAACTGTCAACAGCATCCTTGATCCTGCAGAGAAATAAGAAAAGAGCAAGCCCTCATTTTTTCATCCTTTGAGCCTCGTATTTTTGACTGATACTATGTTTCCTTGATAAATTATGTTATACCGAGGATGCTCAATGGAGTCCTCGCACCCGCAGTCAAACGGCTCCATTTCAATCCCAGCACAATCCTGATGCAGCCAGCCCCTGCACGTCTTGCACTGGACCCATTTTATGACGTTTACCTCAGGGTAAAGCAATCTGATCAAATGAGAGACAAACATAATATTAAACAAACACGCTGTCCAATTGATTATACCTCTGCAGCACATTTGAATGTATAAATAATTTTCCTGCATGATTCGTGCATTTAAACTATATGTAAAAGTGGTCACTTCATGGAAAATCACTGAATAGGCCCCGATAATTGCATTTATTAAATTGAGTCTGCAACACACCTCTCTCCTGTGTTGTTCGATGTCTGGTAGACACAGAATTGCATTGAATCTGCCATGCACATTCTTTGGACATCCGATACCGTCTGCGTCATGGTTTCCTTGACAAGGCAATTTGAAAAGTAACATCAATTACCAAATACATCGAGACAATGTTGATCCATACAACTGTGTGCATTTTGAAGGACTCCCACTGAGATAATACTGTTTTTACAAGGCAATTTCCTAACCTCTGTGTCCTGCTGCTCTGCCTTCCTCTTTAGACTGAAGACCGGAGTATGCTTTCCAGCAATGAGCTCTTGACATTCTTTGGTCCAGTGGGCGAAGATTTTCCCACAACTGTAATGACAATATGTCTTTAAGTACAATATATTGATTGTCTTCCAGTTAATTAGGACATCTAGTTTACTTAAACTGTCTACCTGTTCAAAGAATTGTTCTCCAGGAGCAACAGGCACCACCATCGCCGCCAAACAGGCATGTCATGCTGAAATTGTTGTTTGTATTTCATTTTAGTGCACAATACAAAATACAATCTTGAGGATGACACTGCGTGTTGAAAAGTACTTACAACTGAGTAGTCAAACTGTGACTCCATAACGATGTACATGGCAGACTTTAAAAAAAAAATTATGAGACAACATGTGAGATAACTTTAAAAAAGTCCATGTTGGAAAGTTATTCTAGATACAATATTTGTGCATTACAGCTCGTTATGACCTACCATCAACATGAATATGCCACAGTCTGAGCCGAAGTCCTGGCTGGGGAAGCCCTGATTTAACAAAAGCAAACGTTAATCATCTTGTCACATACACTTTGTAGGAGCCAGATTGGGGTTTTGCAGTTTATTGTTATGTATTTTTTGTGCCAGCAGATGGTGCTATTGTGCCCGTCTATTTAATGGGTGGGTTGATTAGGAGAGGTGCGCACATAAAATGATGAATGAGTAAATAAATCAAAACAACAGAAAATGTGTGTGACATGTGACATTATTCCACCTGCGGGCACGCATCAACTCAAGCAAAAAGGTGTTCGCCACAAGTAACAGCATTGGAAAGCTGTTATACACTTTTCAACTGTAATATAGAGCATGCACAAATACCTCCAAATCTCTGCCCGTTTTCTCAGTCCATTGCCCAGGACATATCTTCTGCGCAATGTTCCTGTTAATTTGAGAGCGTCACTTAGATTTCCCATGATGGAAACAATGGAATGCAGGGTTAGGGTTAGTTTGAGTGGTCGGAGGTGAGATTGAATGAATGCGGACGGCTTGCTTCTTTTCAAACTTCCTGAGAGTTCTTCTTCTTCTGTAAATTTTGCCGTCAGAAAGTGTAGGTACATACCGCCACCTACTGTTCTGGCATCGCAAAGCAGAAGTTCAAAGTTCATGTTTTGGGTCCGCCAATCGGAGGTAATGCGGAAACTTATTGCGTTTTGTAAATGTGGTTTTTTATCTTTGGGTCCGCCATCTTGGCGCTGCATCTGGGTACTCTTGATCCTTTCAGCAACAGAGGAACCTTCAAACAGGAAGAGCCCCGAAGAGAGGCAAGTCCACTAAACAAATGGTAGCATTGCAAATATTCTTAAAATTCTCCCAAGACCACTCAGAACATAAAGAAAATCATCCCACTTCTTTATGTAATGTGCTTTTGTTTATTCACATCGCTCAGTCATTGCAGTTGGCCGGCGCACACAGCACACAGACCCTGCAGCTAAATGAAGCTCAGCCATCTCAAGTAAAATTATTTACTTCCGTGCTTTTCTCCTGAGAAATGACTGGAATTTCTCGGATAAGAAGATCTGTTTTCCAGCTGGAAGCACAACCTCATTGTCCTCTAAAATTAAAATAAGTGTTGGCCAAAAGAAACAAGCCTACTAATCATACACAATAACAAAACTATATTCAAAATTAACCATGTAACACACAGAGAAATGAATGAATTTCAGATATTGAACTCCTGGATGTTTCATTGAACTGAATTTACTTGATTCAATAAATGAGGAAAATGTTTCTGAAGATTTTTCCTCACCCCTTGTGATCACACTTTAAACCACTTAACTCTAAACATTTCCATCCAGAGACACCTTCAAAAAACTGTATAATGACTTGTTATTGGAAAATAATTTGAGATTTCCTCAGATGTTTTGCAGTACAGAGCCAAGATTTGGTAGTTGACATTAAAGTCCTTTATTGTCCTCCAGATTGATTTATTAGCTATGGTCATCTGTCTGACTGCCCTCAGCAACACGTCAGGTACTGCACTGCCATGTTCTGTTTTTTCTTATGTAATTCCTGACCACGTCTTCTTGCTTTCTCCTCTACTTAAAACCACTCTTTTCTCTGTAAAAATAAAGTTAGCTTAAAACAGAACAATGACTGAGGTATGAGAGGATGCCTTAATCCCTCCTCTAACAAGTCCACATGTATCACTGCTGGGATTTTTATCTGGAAGAAGCTTATTTTAAAATATATAAAGTTTTTTTTTTTTTTTTACTTTGGGTTGTGTGAAATGGTTAATTGGTGCCTATCTCAGCTCACAATGTTCTCTTCTCTTCTCAGACAGGACATGACCCCTGACCATGTAAAGGAAAAAAACTAGTATTTCATTTTTTAGTTGCGCCCTCTGGTGGCAAAGATAACTGCGGTGTGACAACTTACCCATGTGACAAGAAGCCCTGGTCTCCCCTACTTCATTGTTTTTTTTTATATCCTGCATGAATGGACAGCACTTTGTGCTACACTCCATGTATGAAAAGTGCTTTAAAAATGAGGTCTGATTGATTGATTGTGGGCCTCACCTTTATGATTATTGTTGGAGACTAAATTCAAAAACATTTACATGACCAAAAGACTATATCAACACAAATAATATAAACAATAAGATTTAAGTTCAAAAGACATTTTATTAACTTTGATCGTAGAAAACGAGGGTGAGAGAGATGGGGGGGCAGCAGGAACAGCAGCTCATGTTCTTCATCACCCCTGGTAGTTTTTTGGACTCCACCCGATGCCGATTTGATGACAATAGGATGTTGGTACATCGTTTGCTCATTGGGGTGTGTCTTGCAGATATGGTGTCCGCAACTGTGTGGGGACAGCCCATCAGTTCTCTTCTTTGTAGTTCTGGCTGTAGTGTTTTTCTCACCGAATAAGATGCAGAAAGCAGTCATGCATGACAGTAACATGTCCTGTAGAGAGAGCAGAGTTTTCATTTACAACAGTGCAACAGTTACGTAGGACTGTCACAACACAGCTTTAAAACCAGGAAACACGAAACTAAAAACTAGTTATTTTAGGCTGGTTCAGATTAATGAATAAATATCAACTCACTGCTGTACAGTCCATGAACGGTCCAGTTGTCTCTGTGTTTTTGTGATCACAATCATCAAATGCTGATGTTTTTTAGGGGCGTGTATTGTGCCAAGGATGACGCCATCATGCCAAGATATGGGGGGTGAATCGTGTCAGAGATGTCCAAATGGAGCGAATTCACCTTGCATGGATGGACACTTGTGGCCTATATCCTAACCTTATACTTGTGGGTACAGGTCTGTGTACCCACAAGTATAAGGCTAGGATATAGGCCACAAGTGTCATCACAGGTCCGATGTACCCACATGTATAAGGTTAGGATATAGGCCACAAGTGTCCATCCATGCAAGGTGAATTCGCTCCATTTGGACATCTCTGAACTCCCAACCACCAGTCTTGTTTATACCTAAAACAGACATAAAGACAGTTAATAACCTGTGTTTGTGGAGAATTCAGCTTAATTAATTATAATCTGTGTTTGCTTAACATGTGCGTATTTTTCTCACCATCTTCTGATAAAAGAGGAGATATGCTGACTCCTCCAAACTTTGGCACACATTCTCCCTTGTCATGCAGGTGACCTCGGAGTCATTATAGTTTAGCCAAAGATCACCCGTAGTCTCAGGATCCATATCAGGGTGCAGCCCGCTGCTGATGTAGTGTCCTAACAGGAGAGGAAGAAGAGTTTGCATCAAATGTTGGAGCGAATTTCAGACAAGATTACTGAATAAACCCAGCTGAACAGCATTATAGCCATAAACATGTGAGTCTTTTGTGATTTTATATTTGTTTGTTTTATGTGTTGATGTAAAGACAGTCATGGAATAAAAATGATCCATTACTGTGAGAAAACATTTGATCAAAACTCCAAGAAAGTCAGGGTGAAATAGTCAAAATGCTCTGAAGGAAAACTTAATAACAGCAGCCTTCATTTGTACATTATAGGGACAATTAGGTATTAATGCAGTCGGCCACAGGGGGCAGTAGTGGTCCATAATTTGAGCTGCAGACAGAGCAGGTTTGACTAAAGAACAAGAGTAGAGGGAACTTTACAACTTGGCTTAATGTCAAAAGGTTATTCTCTTGTAAAAATGAACACACAAATTTTCTCAGATGTCTCAGTATTTTCTCTGAACATTCAAGGTAACGCTGCATGATGGCTTTAAGACAAATCTGTAGAGGGACCCCATGTCTGCAGTCACAGCAGACTCTGGGATCTCAGCTGTCAAAGCGTAAATCAAGTGATCTCACCATCAAAAGTTGTTCTGCCTTGTGTCATTTCATAAACTTTAACAGTTAGTAGGCTCTCTGAAATTTTAATACAATGAATTGCAAAGTCTAGAACAGTGTTGTACAGTAAGTACGTAGCATTACTTTTACTCCACTACATTTCACAGAAGCATCTTCACTACTACTATTTTTTACTTTGTTGCTATGACAGCAGGTAAGGGGGAAAACCTTTTTTTCCCTTGTACCTATTGTTGATTTGCATTGCACTTGATCATTATCAATCGGTCACTCAAGCCTGGGCACGTCCGCAGCTGCTTGCAGGCTGCTGACATGCCCACCTAAATGTCCAGTGGCTTTTTTGACAGTTCTCATTGTGTTAAATTGTCAGCCTAAGTTCTTTGTTGGAGGATGCACTATTGTTTCTCCTGATCAGTGCTGTAACCAGGGTTCTGTCCCTCCCTCCCATTAATTTTTCTAAGCTGTTGCTTGCATCTATCTGAAATGTGTGCTTATTTGGGCATAAGTAGCTTTTGCAAAAATTAAAAATATGTTTGTACTTTGACGTTGACTTTTTACTTTTACTTGGGGTACATTTACTTGAGTACTTTTGATACTTAAGTGGAAAGAATGTGATAAACTTCAAGACTTGGACTTCAGTAGAATTCTCATGGGAGACTTTCACTTTGACTTGAGTCATTTTCTGGTAAGGTAACTGTACTTCAACTCAAGTATATTTGTTTAGTACTTCATACAACACTGGTTTAGAGTGTTGTATGAAGTACTAATTCTGGTGCTTTAGCCTACAAAATATGTGATTATAAATCATAAAAAATGGTTATAACAAATTTCTTCAAACATTTTTATAAGTTCAGCAGTTCTTTGAAAGTAAAATGATGGAAAATGTTACCAAGATCCAAGAGTGGGCTGTACCTTTTGCTGAACTGATTCAACGACTTCATAATGTTTTATCTTTCTTACAAAGACATGGTTTGAAGGCTAATGTTAATTTGATATTCCTGAGACTTGAAAGACTCCAGCCTTTGATTGGCATTTATCCATCTGTTATGGATCTGAGGACCTAACAGAAGACTGCACTGGCTGATCTGACCCTTACTGAGTGAATATTTTACCTGCGTTCCCTTCGCTGCCTAAATGACTGATGACACTAACCAGACTGTACCAGCTCTTAGCCTGAGAGCAAACACATAGAACAACTGTTAGAAACAAGAAGCACACACACACACACACACACACACACACACACACACACGCACGCACACACACACACACACACACACACACACGCACACACACACACACACACACACACACACACACACACACACACACACACACACACGCACACACTTCTACACTCTTACACTCTGGTGCATAAATGTCTTACCTGGCTAGATGTCACTATAAGTTCCCTGGTGAGGTCCACGGGGTCGTGACATTTCACAAGCTCATAGGTCTCAGTGAAGTTAAACCTTTTCAGTTGGAGCACCAAGAAACTGTGGAGAGCAGCACAGAGGGAATGACCACAGGATTATTAAACTGAGGGAATTTCTGAGCATGAAAGTACTGAGGAGAAATAAACAGAAAATAATCTGTGCATGTGTCTGCAACAGAGGGAAACAGTGAGTCTGTGATGGATGTAACGTCACCCACTTCGGCAGGGTTGTGAAGGTGGAGCATTGTGCTGAAGTTTTGCCTCCACACTTGCAACTGAACTCCAAGTCTGTCTCCTGCAGAGAAAACATGCTGTCAGATACAGTGTACAGTAAACATGGAAAAACAACAACCAAAAATAACCGCAGAGTGAAACATTTGAGTGGCTTCATAACAGACAATGTGGATGTTGATTAAAGAAGTCCAGCGTCTATACCTTCTCGTATTCCTCCAGCATCTGCTGCACCGAACCCCCAGGAATCAGGTCCAGAGAGAGATTTAGGAACTCCTCTTCTCTCACCGAGGGGGAGCCACATCTGCACGTTAAAGGGACAATACATATAATTATATACTGAAGTTATACATGTTGAGAAAAAAACATTTAAAGATAAAAGAAAAGATTACTTTAGGTTTAGGTGACCTTACTTGATAAAAATGAGCAAAAAAATTAAACAAATGAGTCAAACTGGAGGTAAATTTGTCCTGCAACCATCTGTATGTTTTTACCTCTTGCATTTTCGAGTATTCTGCATCTTGAACACCAGGTTCCTTTCCACAGGACAACTGTAGGTCCTCCCCAGTATGGAGGCAACTTGCCCCAGCGGCGCAGCCAGGTCCCTCATCTGACCCAGAACAGCAATCAAAAACTCGTGGGCATCCTGAGCAAACAGAAACACAGGTTTGACTGGATAAGCAGACAAGGAGCAGCTAGTGAAACTTCAAAGAAAACAAGCTGACTTACTTTTTGATGGTTGTCCACAAACTCTGGAGCCTTGACAGAGATAATCCGCTTCAATTCACACAGAGCCTCAAGTTTGCGGCGCCTGTCACCTACGTCACGGAGACATGCGATGTCCATGAAATAACTGCAGAGAAACAGAGAGGAGCTAGTTTCAGTTTGGTTGAAAGATTTGCAGATAAACTGAAGCTTCATGTCTCAGCAACAGAAAGTTCCTGGTATCCGGAAATTAACTTATCCTTGGCAAAAAAAAACAAACAAAAAAAAAAAAACCTGTCATGAAATATTTTTACATGGATATTATCTCTTTGTTTAATGGGTCAAATCTTTTAAGCAGATTTATTGTTCATTTATATTAAATGTTGAATCAATTTTAAAACTTAAAAAAAATCTCTTTTTACAGTACAGGACAAAGAGTAAGTTCAAAGCCAAAAACTGACATAAAATTATACATAAATATTGTTTTTAACTTATAATGAATCACAATTATTTAACCAGCTTCAACTCTGTTTATAAATATCAAATGATAATTTCCAGAATTTTAACCCTATCCCAGTCTACATACACAATGCATTGAAAAAATATACTATTTTCCAACATAAAAATGAGGAAACTTTCAAAATAAAAAAAAAATTAAAAATTAAGCTTGGACCATTTTTGTGATCACCAGTAAAAATGATTTGGGGGTATGTAATTTTTTTTTTTTTACAATGTCAGATTTAAAAAACCCATTCAATCAGAATACTTGATTTGAATTATCTTACATTGACATATTTCATAAGCTTTTATTATTCATATCTTTTCCTCAGTTTCAGTCCTGTATATTAATACCTATTATTAATCATTCAGATTTTTTTTTACCCTTTAAATGCCAGTTCATTAACACAATAAACCTGATTTTTCATTTTAAAAAAAAGACAAAAGCTTAATATTTCTCATATCCTGAAAACTAAAAAAAGCTTTGGGTCAATTTTGAATAGCAATATTAATTTTGATGCATTATTCCTTTCTTTTCTTGTATTTCAGTTTGTAGTTTAAATCAAAAGTTCCACTCGTAGGTTCAACAACACATTCTGTTGTTGAAGCTGTTTGAGAGCATATTAAGATCACAGTTGAATTTTAATCCAAGCCACAATCTTTTCTGAACCAAACCAGGAAACGTTGGTGTACAAAACTAACAAATCAGAGACCATTTCTCAACGTAAACCTTGTATTTGGCATGTTTTGTATAAAATTATTCAAGGATAGTTAAGGTGTTTGAAGGCGATACACAATAATCTAAAACAAAAAATTATACATTTTTGACTTTTTGCAAGTGGTGTAAGTTGCTTCTTGTGACTCATCTGCAGTGCATGGCTTTGCTTTAATGTAGGCGTAAAATGACCTAACCCTCCTCACCTCATCAGCTGGGCCTCTGGGAACACACTCCAGACCTCCTCCTGGCTCCTGATGTCCCTAACAAACTGTGTGAGCGTGAGCAAGCTCTGGAGGCTGGAGTTCATGTAACAGTTCTGGGCTGGATTTGGAAATCTGACACACAAACACAACAAATGGAATCATGTCTTAACATCACAGCTCCACAAACTGAGGATTGTTTTATCAAACTGTAGCTGCATGGATAAAAGTGATGAATGCAGGAAATCACATGTACTCACCCAAGATTGATCTGCCAACAGGTGAGTCTCTGTTCCCACTGTGACAGTCTTCTCTGGGAAACCTTGTCAGTGCTGCAATGAGACAAAAACAAACCATAAATAACAATGAACAGCAGAGAGCTACAAGTGTGTGAGGCTGGTAATCTACTTGTACTGAATCATATTTTACAGTTGACCTCATCTGTGGAAAAGGAGGTTATTTTAGCAAAAATCAATATTGAAGTTGAGGTGGGATTGAATTTAAGGAGAGGAAAGATCTGAAGAGATTTGACCAACACAACACTCAGAGTTTTTAATTCACATTACCAGCACTGCCAATAATCCTTTTTGACTTTCATTGCCAATGAAAACATGTCCCAAGTAAGAACATAATGTTTAAACGAGGGTGAAAGTGATAACCTCAAGCTAACTCAAACCATAACTTTCTTTATTGAGACATCAACCTCCTCATTAACTCTGGTACAGAAAGAGTGTATTAAACTGCTCTTTTCATTTGAAGTTGAAGTCAAACAATCAAATTGGTTATTCTACAGCATTAGGATCTTAGGTCCTGCTTATGTTAATGTTTATTGGTTTCCTCAAATATGGACTAATGATCCACAGACTGACCCGTTTGTTGTATTTAACTGATCAGATTTGTGGGACGGGTCTCTGACAGCTTTTGTCACACTAACAGAAGTTTGCACAAGCACAGTGGTCATTTCTTACTTGTCCTCTACATTAGCCTTTTCTTTTGCTGAAGAGGCGATAACAGTCTGCTGAGCAAATGGGACTGTAAGTTTCTTCTCCTGCTGGCGTGGCTTTTCCTCTTCATCTTCCGATACCAGGACGGAGTCACCAGCCTGATGACTTTTTTCTTTGACAAGACTGAAAAAAGAAGAGAGGAACAGACTGTGATAACCTCAAGCTAACTCAAACCATAACTTTCTTTATTGAGACATCAACCTCCTCATTAACCCTTTTAAGCCTGTAATATTAACAGTCCGCCTGGTCATTCTCTTTTTTTAGCTGTAAATGTGTCAAAAAGTGTCCTCTGTGTGAAATCTTTTGCCCCTTTTTTCAAGATAAGTTAAACTTTCAAAATCTCTCAAGTATTTTACATTTTTAACATGTTATATATGGTTAAACTGTGTGAAATAACAAAAATAAAAAACGGAACTGATTTTTTAGAAAGTTTTGTATTTGTGAACACTTAACTCTGGTACAGAAAGAGTGTATTAAACTGCTCTTTTCATTTGAAGTTGAAGTCAAACAATCAAATTGGTTATTCTACAGCATTAGGATCTTAGGTCCTGCTTATGTTAATGTTTATTGGTTTCTTCAAATATGGACTAATGATCCACAGACTGACCCGTTTGTTGTATTTAACTGATCAGATTTGTGGGACGGGTCTGTGACAGCTTTTGTCACACTAACAGAAGTTTGCACAAGCACAGTGGTCATTTCTTACTTGTCCTCTACATTAGCCTTTTCCTTTGCTGAAGAGGCGATAACAGTCTGCTGAGCAAATGGGACTGTAAGTTTCTTCTCCTGCTGGCGTGGCTTTTCCTCCTCATCTTCCCTGAAATTTTCCAACACCAGGACGGAGTCACCAGCCTGATGACTTTTTTCTTTGACAAGACTGAAAAAAGAAGAGAGGAACAGACTGTGATAACCTCAAGCTAACTCAAACCATAACTTTCTTTATTAAGACATCAACCTCCTCATTAACCCTTTTAAGCCTGTAATATTAACAGTCCGCCTGGTCATTCTCTTTTTTTAGCTGTAAATGTGTCAAAAAGTGTCCTTTGTGTGAAATCTTTTGCCCCTTTTTTCAAGATAAGTTAAACTTTCAAAATCTCTCAAGTATTTTACATTTTTAACATGTTATATATAGTTAAACTGTGTGAAATAACAACAAAAATAAAAAACGGAACTGATTTTTTAGAAAGTTTTGTATTTGTGAACACTTAACTCTGGTACAGAAAGAGTGTATTAAACTGCTCTTTTCATTTGAAGTTGAAGTCAAACAATCAAATTGGTTATTCTACAGCATTAGGATCTTAGGTCCTGCTTATGTTAATGTTTATTGGTTTCTTCAAATATGGACTAATGATCCACAGACTGACCCGTTTGTTGTATTTAACTGATCAGATTTGTGGGACGGGTCTGTGACAGCTTTTGTCACACTAACAGAAGTTTGCACAAGCACAGTGGTCATTTCTTACTTGTCCTCTACATTAGCCTTTTCTTTTGCTGAAGAGGCGATAACAGTCTGCTGAGCAAATGGGACTGTAAGTTTCTTCTCCTGCTGGCGTGGCTTTTCCTCTTCATCTTCCGATACCAGGACAGAGTCACCAGCCTGATGACTTTTTTCTTTGACAAGACTGAAAAAAGAAGAGAGGAACAGACTGTGATAACCTCAAGCTAACTCAAACCATAACTTTCTTTATTGAGACATCAACCTCCTCATTAACCCTTTTAAGCCTGTAATATTAACAGTCCGCCTGGTCATTCTCTTTTTTTAGCTGTAAATGTGTCAAAAAGTGTCCTCTGTGTGAAATCTTTTGCCCCTTTTTTCAAGATAAGTTAAACTTTCAAAATCTCTCAAGTATTTTACATTTTTAACATGTTATATATAGTTAAACTGTGTGAAATAACAACAAAAATAAAAAACGGAACTGATTTTTTAGAAAGTTTTGTATTTGTGAACACTTAACTCTGGTACAGAAAGAGTGTATTAAACTGCTCTTTTCATTTGAAGTTGAAGTCAAACAATCAAATTGGTTATTCTACAGCATTAGGATCTTAGGTCCTGCTTATGTTAATGTTTATTGGTTTCTTCAAATATGGACTAATGATCCACAGACTGACCCGTTTGTTGTATTTAACTGATCAGATTTGTGGGACGGGTCTGTGACAGCTTTTGTCACACTAACAGAAGTTTGCACAAGCACAGTGGTCATTTCTTACTTGTCCTCTACATTAGCCTTTTCCTTTGCTGAAGAGGCGATAACAGTCTGCTGAGCAAATGGGACTGTAAGTTTCTTCTCCTGCTGGCGTGGCTTTTCCTCCTCATCTTCCCTGAAATCTTCCAACACCAGGACGGAGTCACCAGCCTGATGACTTTTTTCTTTGACAAGACTGAAAAAAGAAGAGAGGAACAGACTGTGATAACCTCAAGCTAACTCAAACCATAACTTTCTTTATTAAGACATCAACCTCCTCATTAACCCTTTTAAGCCTGTAATATTAACAGTCCGCCTGGTCATTCTCTTTTTTTAGCTGTAAATGTGTCAAAAAGTGTCCTTTGTGTGAAATCTTTTGCCCCTTTTTTCAAGATAAGTTAAACTTTCAAAATCTCTCAAGTATTTTACATTTTTAACATGTTATATATAGTTAAACTGTGTGAAATAACAACAAAAATAAAAAACGGAACTGATTTTTTAGAAAGTTTTGTATTTGTGAACACTTAACTCTGGTACAGAAAGAGTGTATTAAACTGCTCTTTTCATTTGAAGTTGAAGTCAAACAATCAAATTGGTTATTCTACAGCATTAGGATCTTAGGTCCTGCTTATGTTAATGTTTATTGGTTTCCTCAAATATGGACTAATGATCCACAGACTGACCCGTTTGTTGTATTTAACTGATCAGATTTGTGGGACGGGTCTCTGACAGCTTTTGTCACACTAACAGAAGTTTGCACAAGCACAGTGGTCATTTCTTACTTGTCCTCTACATTAGCCTTTTCCTTTGCTGAAGAGGCGATAACAGTCTGCTGAGCAAATGGGACTGTAAGTTTCTTCTCCTGCTGGCGTGGCTTTTCCTCTTCATCTTCCGATACCAGGACAGAGTCACCAGCCTGATGACTTTTTTCTTTGACAAGACTGAAAAAAGAAGAGAGGAACAGACTGTGATAACCTCAAGCTAACTCAAACCATAACTTTCTTTATTGAGACATCAACCTCCTCATTAACCCTTTTAAGCCTGTAATATTAACAGTCCGCCTGGTCATTCTCTTTTTTTAGCTGTAAATGTGTCAAAAAGTGTCCTCTGTGTGAAATCTTTTGCCCCTTTTTTCAAGATAAGTTAAACTTTCAAAATCTCTCAAGTATTTTACATTTTTAACATGTTATATATAGTTAAACTGTGTGAAATAACAACAAAAATAAAAAACGGAACTGATTTTTAGAAAGTTTTGTATTTGTGAACACTTAACTCTGGTACAGAAAGAGTGTATTAAACTGCTCTTTTCATTTGAAGTTGAAGTCAAACAATCAAATTGGTTATTCTACAGCATTAGGATCTTAGGTCCTGCTTATGTTAATGTTTATTGGTTTCTTCAAATATGGACTAATGATCCACAGACTGACCCGTTTGTTGTATTTAACTGATCAGATTTGTGGGACGGGTCTGTGACAGCTTTTGTCACACTAACAGAAGTTTGCACAAGCACAGTGGTCATTTCTTACTTGTCCTCTACATTAGCCTTTTCCTTTGCTGAAGAGGCGATAACAGTCTGCTGAGCAAATGGGACTGTAAGTTTCTTCTCCTGCTGGCGTGGCTTTTCCTCCTCATCTTCCCTGAAATCTTCCAACACCAGGACGGAGTCACCAGCCTGATGACTTTTTTCTTTGACAAGACTGAAAAAAGAAGAGAGGAACAGACTGTGATAACCTCAAGCTAACTCAAACCATAACTTTCTTTATTAAGACATCAACCTCCTCATTAACCCTTTTAAGCCTGTAATATTAACAGTCCGCCTGGTCATTCTCTTTTTTTAGCTGTAAATGTGTCAAAAAGTGTCCTTTGTGTGAAATCTTTTGCCCCTTTTTTCAAGATAAGTTAAACTTTCAAAATCTCTCAAGTATTTTACATTTTTAACATGTTATATATAGTTAAACTGTGTGAAATAACAACAAAAATAAAAAACGGAACTGATTTTTTAGAAAGTTTTGTATTTGTGAACACTTAACTCTGGTACAGAAAGAGTGTATTAAACTGCTCTTTTCATTTGAAGTTGAAGTCAAACAATCAAATTGGTTATTCTACAGCATTAGGATCTTAGGTCCTGCTTATGTTAATGTTTATTGGTTTCCTCAAATATGGACTAATGATCCACAGACTGACCCGTTTGTTGTATTTAACTGATCAGATTTGTGGGACGGGTCTCTGACAGCTTTTGTCACACTAACAGAAGTTTGCACAAGCACAGTGGTCATTTCTTACTTGTCCTCTACATTAGCCTTTTCCTTTGCTGAAGAGGCGATAACAGTCTGCTGAGCAAATGGGACTGTAAGTTTCTTCTCCTGCTGGCGTGGCTTTTCCTCTTCATCTTCCGATACCAGGACAGAGTCACCAGCCTGATGACTTTTTTCTTTGACAAGACTGAAAAAAGAAGAGAGGAACAGACTGTGATAACCTCAAGCTAACTCAAACCATAACTTTCTTTATTGAGACATCAACCTCCTCATTAACCCTTTTAAGCCTGTAATATTAACAGTCCGCCTGGTCATTCTCTTTTTTTAGCTGTAAATGTGTCAAAAAGTGTCCTCTGTGTGAAATCTTTTGCCCCTTTTTTCAAGATAAGTTAAACTTTCAAAATCTCTCAAGTATTTTACATTTTTAACATGTTATATATAGTTAAACTGTGTGAAATAACAACAAAAATAAAAAACGGAACTGATTTTTTAGAAAGTTTTGTATTTGTGAACACTTAACTCTGGTACAGAAAGAGTGTATTAAACTGCTCTTTTCATTTGAAGTTGAAGTCAAACAATCAAATTGGTTATTCTACAGCATTAGGATCTTAGGTCCTGCTTATGTTAATGTTTATTGGTTTCTTCAAATATGGACTAATGATCCACAGACTGACCCGTTTGTTGTATTTAACTGATCAGATTTGTGGGACGGGTCTGTGACAGCTTTTGTCACACTAACAGAAGTTTGCACAAGCACAGTGGTCATTTCTTACTTGTCCTCTACATTAGCCTTTTCCTTTGCTGAAGAGGCGATAACAGTCTGCTGAGCAAATGGGACTGTAAGTTTCTTCTCCTGCTGGCGTGGCTTTTCCTCCTCATCTTCCCTGAAATCTTCCAACACCAGGACGGAGTCACCAGCCTGATGACTTTTTTCTTTGACAAGACTGAAAAAAGAAGAGAGGAACAGACTGTGAGCTTTAAGAAAGAATTAATAACACCTGATTTGTGTCACGGGATGATTTAACTCATCAGGTGACACCGAAATTGATCAATTCTGTGAACAAAATGAGTTTGTTACCTTCTCTGGAGTTTCTGAAGAGGCTTTTGCTCATCTTCATGATCAGAAAGCGGAGTCACGCGGTTTTTTCTCTAATGGAGTAAAAATAATTTTGAATCGTCAGCAACAGAATCGAATGAAAGATGAACCAGAACTAACACTTATAACAACACTGAAGTCCAGACTGGTTATCCTCTGCTTTACTTACACTACAGCAGTTAAAAAGCCTACTACTCCATTTCTTCTTCTTTGGTTGATTGTTTTTCTCCCCAGGTGGGGGCGCTGTGGAGCCAGCCAGACCATCTTTTCTCTGTCGAGTAACAACAAATATAAAAATGAAACCACACTGTATCAAACATTTTTAGTGTCTGACTTTGAATGTCACACTAATAAAAATGATCTTATTTTAACAGCTCTGAGACTTACCAGAGGTCGCCTAAACAGTCTGCGCAGCCAAGAAAGCTGTGGGTTGCAGTTTTCTGTGTTAGAGGCCTCTAACACAGTGACACTGGTCAACACAGACACACAGGTTGATTATTTTAATATGAACAAAACAAATACATCAACAGAAATGTCCGCAGAGGCACATGACAGTTACACAGACTCAAACCAGGGTGGTATTCAGACGATAAATTACAATAAACATGCACTAGATGGTCTTTTAGAAAGTATCAGAGTCAAACTGAAAAAGTGTCTTTTTGTATCAAAAACAATGCAGCACACTCACAGTGGTTTAAAATACCTGAAGGTTATTCCCTGTTTTTGTGTTGTTGTTATTGATAAGTTAACCCCCTCTTTGTTTACACTTGTTCATTACAAACCTAAGTACTGAATATCTTTAAACTGACACAGCGTTTTTAAAACAAAGCTTTTTTAATGCATATTATCCAGGAAAAGGCCTCATACAACACATGTCAGGAGGTCTGTCACCCTTTTTTAACGCAAATATATTTTTCCTTCAATCTCAAACACAGTAGATTAAAATGGTCTTTGTTTCCCTTACTGGGAATTTCCCCTTGTGGGACTAATAAAGGAGTATCTTATCTATCTGACCTGACTTTACTAGTTTTTGACTGGAGACTCCCAGTGAGAGCAAAAGATGATAAAACTTCCTCATTTCATTTTGTGTTTTTACATATTTCCTTTGTCTGACTGATTAATTGATCAGTCAATGTCTTGTGTGAAGCCTTTGAATTGTCTTATTCAGTAAAAAACAAAAAAAAGAAATGTATAACATAAATACATGTCTTGTAACCAAACAAAAACAGTGTAAATCCAAAATCAAATCCCAAACAGATTTAACTCTGAACAGTCCCAGATTATAATCTGCTGGGAGATCTCTGTCATGTTTCAAATGTTACACTCTGCTTATTAAATGCGAAAGAGGCAAAAGATTGTTTTAGAGACACTTTGGTAAACTACTGTTTAATATCACACCCCTATAAATTTGAGTTTGCATTTTACTGTCATCATAAGTTAAACGTGTTTCTTACCCCTTGTTGAAGCTCGAGCACACAATTCTCGGGGCTTCTCCACTTACAGGAGTGGGTTGATTTTTCTGTGCAGATTGAAAGAAGAAATAAAAAACATAAATACATGACTTGACAGGAAAAATAAAGTGTTTCTTCACTAACGTTAGAGATAACATCAACTCTTCTTTAAATGATGCCTGCCAGATTTCAAACCATCACATCATAAAACAGAGATTTTAATCCTTCAACTATGAAACAAACCTTAGCTTTGCGATCAAGCATCGTTGAACTTCTTTAGAAAAGTGAACCTGGACTAATTGGTTGAATTCCTTAATCGAAAATTGGTTGGATTTCTTATTCTAAGTGATCTGGTCGATGTCTCACTCAATGCGATCTGGTCTAAGCTGTGCTCAGTGTGATCTGGTCGGTGTCTTGTTCGAAGTGACTGTAGACTCCTAGCTTTGTAGTGTAGGAAAGTTCTAAAATGTTGCCCAAGCAACACATTCAAAAATAAACGGAACCTGTTATCATTTAAACTGAACTGTCATACCACTGTATTCATGCATGTATCTATCATGTAGTTTACATGATTTATATCCATATTTAGACAGATACCCAGAATCCATATACACCACAGACTAACAAAAATGACAACCTGCTTGTGAAAAACACAACTGTGAGACTATAGCTGCTCAAAACACACACATACCTGTAACCACACACGCACAGATGCAGTAACTCTCTTACTTGTTAGATAAAATGTGTATTTTTTCTTCTGTTTGATTGACATTGTTTTGTATCATGTTGTTTGTATTATTTCCTTTTTCAATTCCTCAGATTTCAACATTAAAAATGTTTGTCACTGTTCACATCTAGCTATTGTATCATAACACTAAAGCCTTTTATTTGAGTCCAGGTTATATCAGAGCTTTACTGTCTCTCAGCAGTTGGCAGTATTAAACAGTTATAAACACACGATTTATTGTCACATGGTGCATCATAATGGAAAACAACCAACAACTGGTTTAAACAGACTTTACCAACATTCAAGAGTTTGAAAAAGTGTCAGTAAAACTTTTTAAAACTGACTGCAAGAAGAAGCTGAGCGAGTGAATTTCATGAATTGCAGATGAAACAAAAGAAAAGTCTTTTTCTCTGTCCAGAGGTGATGACCAGAACTAACACTTATAACAACACTGAAGTCCAGACTGGTTATCCTCTGCTTTACTTACACTACAGCAGTTAAAAAGCCTACTACTCCATTTCTTCTTCTTTGGTTGATTGTTTTTCTCCCCAGGTGGGGGCGCTGTGGAGCCAGCCAGACCATCTTTTCTCTGTCGAGTAACAACAAATATAAAAATGAAACCACACTGTATCAAACATTTTTAGTGTCTGACTTTGAATGTCACACTAATAAAAATGATCTTATTTTAACAGCTCTGAGACTTACCAGAGGTCGCCTAAACAGTCTGCGCAGCCAAGAAAGCTGTGGGTTGCAGTTTTCTGTGTTAGAGGCCTCTAACACAGTGACACTGGTCAACACAGAAACACAGGTTGATTATTTTAATATGAACAAAACAAATACATCAACAGAAATGTCCGCAGAGGCACATGACAGTCACACAGACTCAAACCAGGGTGGTATTCAGACGATAAATTACAATAAACATGCACTAGATGGTCTTTTAGAAAGTATCAGAGTCAAACTGAAAAAGTGTCTTTTTGTATCAAAAACAATGCAGCACACTCACAGTGGTTTAAAATACCTGAAGGTTATTCCCTGTTTTTGTGTTGTTGTTATTGATAAGTTAACCCCCTCTTTGTTTACACTTGTTCATTACAAACCTAAGTACTGAATATCTTTAAACTGACACAGCGTTTTTAAAACAAAGCTTTTTTAATGCATATTATCCAGGAAAAGGCCTCATACAACACATGTCAGGAGGTCTGTCACCCTTTTTTAACGCAAATATATTTTTCCTTCAATCTCAAACACAGTAGATTAAAATGGTCTTTGTTTCCCTTACTGGGAATTTCCCCTTGTGGGACTAATAAAGGAGTATCTTATCTATCTGACCTGACTTTACTAGTTTTTGACTGGAGACTCCCAGTGAGAGCAAAAGATGATAAAACTTCCTCATTTCATTTTGTGTTTTTACATATTTCCTTTGTCTGACTGATTAATTGATCAGTAAATGTCTTGTGTGAAGCCTTTGAATTGTCTTATTCAGTAAAAAACAAAAAAAAGAAATGTATAACATAAATACATGTCTTGTAACCGAACAAAAACAGTGTAAATCCAAAATCAAATCCCAAACAGATTTAACTCTGAACAGTCCCAGATTATAATCTGCTGGGAGATCTCTGTCATGTTTCAAATGTTACACTCTGCTTATTAAATGCGAAAGAGGCAAAAGATTGTTTTAGAGACACTTTGGTAAACTACTGTTTAATATCACACCCCTATAAATTTGAGTTTGCATTTTACTGTCATCATAAGTTAAACGTGTTTCTTACCCCTTGTTGAAGCTCGAGCACACAATTCTCGGGGCTTCTCCACTTACAGGAGTGGGTTGATTTTTCTGTGCAGATTGAAAGAAGAAATAAAAAACATAAATACATGACTTGACAGGAAAAATAAAGTGTTTCTTCACTAACATTAGAGATAACATCAACTCTTCTTTAAATGATGCCTGCCAGATTTCAAACCATCACATCATAAAACAGAGATTTTAATCCTTCAACTATGAAACAAACCTTAGCTTTGCGATCAAGCATCGTTGAACTTCTTTAGAAAAGTGAACCTGGACTAATTGGTTGAATTCCTTAATCGAAAATTGGTTGGATTTCTTATTCTAAGTGATCTGGTCGATGTCTCACTCAATGCGATCTGGTCTAAGCTGTGCTCAGTGTGATCTGGTCGGTGTCTTGTTCGAAGTGACTGTAGACTCCTAGCTTTGTAGTGTAGGAAAGTTCTAAAATGTTGCCCAAGTAACACATTCAAAAATAAACGGAACCTGTTATCATTTAAACTGAACTGTCATACCACTGTATTCATGCATGTATCTATCATGTAGTTTACATGATTTATATCCATATTTAGACAGATACCCAGAATCCATATACACCACAGACTAACAAAAATGACAATCTGCTTGTGAAAAACACAACTGTGAGACTATAGCTGCTCAAAACACACACATACCTGTAACCACACACACACAGATGCAGTAACTCTCTTACTTGTTAGATAAAATGTGTATTTTTTCTTCTGTTTGATTGACATTGTTTTGTATCATGTTGTTTGTATTATTTCCTTTTTCAATTCCTCAGATTTCAACATTAAAAATGTTTGTCACTGTTCACATCTAGCTATTGTATCATAACACTAAAGCCTTTTATTTGAGTCCAGGTTATATCAGAGCTTTACTGTCTCTCAGCAGTTGGCAGTATTAAACAGTTATAAACACACGATTTATTGTCACATGGTGCATCATAATGGAAAACAACCAACAACTGGTTTAAACAGACTTTACCAACATTCAAGAGTTTGAAAAAGTGTCAGTAAAACTTTTTAAAACTGACTGCAAGAAGAAGCTGAGCGAGTGAATTTCATGAATTGCAGATGAAACAAAAGAAAAGTCTTTTTCTCTGTCCAGAGGTGATGACCAGAGCTTGATCATTCCTTCTGAACTACTCATCTGACAAAGATCTGTGTGAGAGAAAGAGAGCTGCTGAATTCTCGTACTGACTCGATAAAAGATCTGTAAAATAAAACCATCAAAGTCTCATCTGCATTTAAAAAAGTGTAGTCTGCACAGGATATACAGCACCAACATTGCAATCTTAATACTGTGACTTTTCAAGCCCAAAACTAGTGCAAGGCAATAGTTGTTGATCGAGTGATCAAAAATAAATAATACACAATAAATGTTGCATTTGATTGTCAAAAATCAGGTTGACACAAGATGATGAGCAAAAACTGTTTTGTTTACAGGGGGTGCCAAAATTGGTACGTGTTGAAAGTTTCTTATTATATTTTTATATAAAAAAATTAAATTTTGACAGAAAGTTTTTCACTTTGACTGTCATTGCATATCTGCTCCATATATCTGTTATTGGTCCCATGAACTGCTTATAATTTTTATGGATATCAGTATTGGCCCTGAAAAACCAATTTCACTCAACCCTCAGTCTGCTGTAACAGTGATGCATTAAAGCTCCTGTAAATAGATTTGATCTGATTATGAAAAGGACTGATAGTAATTTTTATGTCTGATTATGACCCAAAATGTAAAAAAGACCATTCAGAAGGTGACTTTATGTTTCTATATAGTTCTTTTTACCATCTGAAAGCACTGGCCAAGTGAGAAACTGCCTGCTGTTATTGCAGCCTATAGTTTTCATATGTTCTGCTGCAAAGAGTCACTGTAAGTGAAAAAATTGACTGTTAACAGAGAGCAGGAGTAGATTATTTTTTGTTTAGAAAGAGTTCGCATACATGCAAAAGTATTTGGCAAAGAAAACTATAATGACTTAGTGCCCACATGCCTTTTGACCTCCTCAGGTAGCTGTGGTTGAAGCTTTCTGGCCAATTCTGTGAATTTTGATGACATTTTCAAACAAGCTGGAGTGGTTCAACACAACTTTGTCATTTTGTTTCTTCATAGACCTTAATCACACCCCCGTCACACCCTAATCACACCCTCATCTGTATACTATAACTCATCTCTCTTCTTCTCTCCTTCACTTCCCTAACACCACGTTCACCCTGACAGTGACAGACCCCCTCAGACTGGGGCCACTTAAATCAGGAACACAGAGGGGACTGGGTAGAGGGGCTGAACCGGGATGAACTGAGGGGAGCTGTTTAAAAACAACTGCAGGGCTTCAAATTATACAAGGAGGAGGATGAAAAACAAAATTAAAGACAAAATTTTTTATTTTTTGTTGCTATAAAGTGAATTTTTAAAAGGGATTCAACTTTGGTAAAATGATCAAGTTAAAGATCACACTGATAATTGTATATTATATTGTATATTGAATATTATATTCTAACAGATCTGAGTCAACTTTGCCCCTTATTTTACATCATTTTTTTGCAAATACACATGAACAATTAATCATGAGTGGTATAAAATAAATTTCTTTTTTGATTATTATTTTCAGTGAATGCAAACATCCACAAATGTTTTTTAAAAATGGAAAAAACAAGAGTCCAGATGATAAACATATTATAAAAATGACTGAATTCAACTTATTTTCTTTCTTTCTTCCCCCCCCCCCCCCTAAATTATTAAATGAGTCTTATCTCTTTGATGTTTCAGACAAGTAAAAAAAAAACCTAAACCTGATCAGGTTTGACTGATGAAGGTCTAGTGGGACAAAATATAAAAATTCAGAGAAAACATCTGCCCTCGAGTTTTTGTCCGGTCCTGATATCATTTGTGGTCAAATATTGGCACACTGCTCATTTATAGCTCCCACGCTCTATAACGGCGTTCCCATACGCCAATTGCGCGTTTATACCCTAAAACACACTGAACACATCGCAGCGTGTGACGCATCTTGCGCAGAAGCTGACGAGAATACCAACTGCCATCGCCATCAGTCCAAGGAGGGCAATGCCCATGCGCACTCCACAGAGGACGTTGTTATCCTCTTATCCTCATTCACATCAACATTCCTGAATATCCAGCGGTGGATTTATTTCTCACACATCCTGTAGGTGCGTTTGGAATTGATGCATTTGACCGTAACCTTACTGTGTTGTAATTGACGCATTATAATCATCTGGCGGCTTGGATGTTTTATTGGCGTGAATGTTGTTTATCGGCTAGGAAACAAATTGGACACCTGCGTGGACTTGAGATGGCACACCACACAGCGCGTCGTGCACGAAGCAGTGAAAACAATGTCAAATGGATGTACAGAAAATAGACTGTAGCGCTGCAGAAATATCATCAAAGTTGTGTTTGAGCTCCCCCTTGTGAGGCTTGATGATTGATGACCTACTGATTGGCTAACAGGCGTTATTCTGTGAGGAGGGTTATGATAAATGACAGTCTCCTTCCTCTGTGGATTTGTGTCCACTCTGTTGAAATAATGTGGTTTGTCTTCACAGGTGAAGATGTCTTCTTCTGTTCTGTTCACTGCCCTTCTTGCTCTTCCCCTCGCTGTGGGTGAGTTATTGATCTAACATTGGTACCCCTTTAAATTATGCATCCCCTGGTTGCAAGACAGTGCAACTAATGGCTAGAATACTTGTTAAGGTATGTTTAAATCAATCAATCAATCAATCTGTAATCAGTAGCATGAAGTGCTTTATAGAAAATCATCAAAATCGTTTAAAAAAATCTGAATCTTTAAAGTGTAAAGATGAGGAATCAAGTAAAAATAAGAAATAGATTTTAAAAATGATAAATATAATCATACATATACACACACATACATGCATACCCATAAATGGACATGTATATATACGTATATACATGAAATAAAGTTTAAACAGTACAGAATGACCTAGGGAAGTTAGGAAACGCTATCATGAGATCATAAGGAGGGGACACCAGAGTTAAGATCAAAAAAGATTAAGAAAACAGATAAATTGATATAATAAATACGATGATAAAACACTAAATGAACACTTTAATGTACCATACTAGAGAATACTAGATAGGAGAATAAAACAGAGTCAGCAAAAATGATAAAACAGAATAAGAATAGGATAAGAATTAATACGAATGTTAAAACTTGAATAAATATTAATAAATAAATTGTAAACTCAGCCAAAAGTTCAACTAAAAAGGTAGGCTTTAAGTTTACTTTTAAAAAGATTAAACATGTTATAACCAAGTGTCTATGTGTCACCGCTGAAGCTAGTGAGCCATTTGAAACTGTCATTGCAAATGGAAATTAAAAAAAGATGAAGGTCTTATTATCAACATATCAAATAATTTGTTACCCAGAAATGCTCCATCTGGTTTTGATAATCTTGTTCTTTTAAGGAAGTGAGGGGTGAACAGTCCCTATCAAGGTATACAGACAACCAAGTTAATAAAAACTGTAATGAGGGTAAAAAAATAAATAATCTAGACGGTTATACTACTAAACCAAAAGACTGTGTGGTTCGTTGAGAGGCCTATCTCTTTTTGGGAGCAGGGTCATTCCCTATTTAGTTTGAGTAGTGCAGCTAGATGAAGTAGGTACATCTAGTTAGTGGAAGCATCAAAGTCAGTCATCTGCCGTGACAGAATAAATGAGGGGCCTGAAGAAGAGGTAAGCATATGCTTGGGGGACACCATAGGAAAACTGAATGACATAAGAATATTACACATAGACTGTATATAAGATGGACGCCGTCTGTCTCCTCGCCGGGTGAAGTCACTCCGAGAACAGCACCCCCTAGAGCCTGGCTGCAGTGCAAGTCATAAACCCCACTTCTGCCAGCAAAGTGAATGGAGCGGCGGACGGCCTTTAGAAATTAATTACACAGAAAATACACTTTTCTCACCCCCGACTGCGATGTTGACATGTAGTGATTATTAGACTGGTTTGTGTTCAGGTCTTTTTTTCTCTCTGCAGCTCCATTTTAAAAAGTTATTAGGAGTCATAAAAACAGGAAATTGCGTCATTCTCTACACTTGCCGCTTGTGTGTCGCTCTTTTTCGTTCATCGTCAAGACCAATCGGGTTTGCTAGCGGAGAAGAGGATTACATTTTTCCATCGTTTTTCTCTTTTGTTACATTGGAAAAATGAGTTGTTCTGCAGTAAACTGTGTTAACCGACATGTGACATGACCGCTGACACATTTCACATTATATTAGGAGAAGTAGAACTTACTTATTCTTGGTCGCGACGAGCGGGGAAGCTATTAGCGTTACGAATGAAAGGCTGGAAGGACATCCGGGAGGGGGGCACTTTTTGAGCGGAGCGTCATCGCTCCGAGTCTCCCGCCCAGCCAAAAACGTCTGCGTACAACGCTACTGCGCAGCTCTGGTTTGGAGAAATGGAGAAAAACCCGGAATTACCGAGAGCTTTTTGGCTTCAAATCCGTATACAGGCGGAAGGCGGAACCAGGCTGTCCATCTTATATACAGTCTATGATATTACACAGCAAGTTAAATATGAATAACTGCAACCAAACAAACTTCGGGCAATAGCACCCTGAGTTTTTAGGCAATTATGGAGGTCCATAATTTCCTCCGTATAGGTTTGATCCAAACAGAAATCTAGATAACTAATAAGGATCCCATTCACTCTGCTTTCCTCACAGGTTGGGTTGTATTGGGTAAGTCCCAGCAAAATTTTGCTTAACTTAACCTACCTCTACATGATAGTTCTTGAGGAGGTTACCAACTTTTTTACTTTTTGATTTTTACTAAACTAACAGGTGAAAGAGAAGAAGCCCAAAGGCTTTGTGCGGGGAAAGAATTTCGTCTGCCAGTGTACTCTACATCCAGAATAGTAACTTTTACACCAAATTTGGAGGAAGAGAAACGCGTCTTGCTTGAAAAGACAAATGTAAGCACAGATGTTAGTCTCTTCTTGAGATTTTTTTGGTTATTTGTGTGTGCACAGATTTCCTAATCCTTTTTGCTGACCAACTGCAGGTGAAAGACCCACGGTTTGAATGGACCAGAGATAAGATGTTAGTCCTGAGAGAAGTGACTCATGCTGATCAGGGACTTTATTCCATCAAACTGTCATCGGGATTCACTTACGAGACTGTTCGTTTGACTGTTTCGGGTATGACAGTTTCTGCTGTTTTTAAAAGTGTATCTCTGTGTTTTACCCAATCCACCTGCATCTCTAATTGGTCAGTAGGTATTGTGATAATACTACATCACATGTAGGGTGTCCTTCATTCAAGTTATGCTTAAGTATAGGTATCTTAGAGAGAAAAATGTACTTAAAATATGAAAGGTGGGCCTTCTGCTAGGAAATTTCCCATGAAGTTAACATTTGGGATGTAATACTGTCGTAGTATCGGTATCGGCAGATAATAGCTTGCGAATTGAATTATTGGTATTGGTCATTATGGACATTTCTCCAGATATATTTATCAGCCCTGAAGGTACAGCTTTTGGTTGTGTCACAAAGTGTTGAAGACAGACAGACATATTAGTACATTTCTGTATTGACAAAAAATATCAAGAATAAATTGCTGTTTGACTGTAACAAATAGACTCTCATAATAGCAGTATCAGATAAACTGAGAAACTTCATCATGAAAACAGTGTGTATGTATCAGTGCCCATATTGGCCAAAATAAGTTTGAAAATATCAGCATTGTGGATATTGGCAAAAAAAAATCCAGTATGATTCATCTACTTTTCATTTTTATAGTTAGCATTTTTTTAATTAATTAATTCTTTAGTAGTTCTCTATCAATAATAGTTTGTGCTTGTTTGGACTGCCTTATAGTCAGTTGGGTATTTTAGACCAGAGGTTCCTATTTTAAAGGTCAAAGATACTTCAGACTTACTCTAATCCTTACTTTGTGAAATATTTGATTATTTTCACTCTTGAGATCTCAAACTATTAACCTAATGAAACAATGCAGTTGTATTGGCGGTTATTTGATCTGCCTAAATATGGATTTTTTTGATGCAGATTATTCCCTCTGCCTCCCTCTCTCTCTCTCCTGCTCCAGAATGCATTAAATCTTACTACAGAAACTACGGAGAAAACTTTGACTACAACATCCCTGAAAATGGCTCCTTACTGGAGTTTTTACCACGGGGCGCACCGCATGAGGCCATGCCTGTTGTGCTGTGGAACAAGACGGACCCTGTCACCAGCAATGCAGGTCGGGGGCGACTGAGAAGTGGGAAGCTCTGGGTGGCTGAGAGAGTGACACAAGCGGACCAAGGCAACTACACTATAAGAGACGATAAGGGGAAAGCCATTTCTCGCAGCACCCTCACTGTCAGGGGTGAGCAGAGACAGACAACATGAAGATATGCTTTGAGAAGCTGTCTGATGAGTTTCTCACTTAAGGACACTGTTAACTGTAAAATTTATATTTATCTTTCCTTTTCCATCTGACACCCTCATGTACCTACCATGCTCTCCTCCTGTTCATGATCCTGTATGTGGTCACAGGGCACTCCTTCAATGTCACTCGTTTCACCAAGGAGTCTCTAAACCTGCCCCTCTTTCTTCCTGTCCCTCATGCCCATCTCATTTTCATCCCCACCCGATACCCTGATGAATCTTCCCTGGGCCCCTTTGACCCCAAGCCCCCCCGAGGACCTGTGCAGCTCATGCGGGAGGGCCACATAACAGACTACGACATGCGCTACAGGGGCTTGATCTCTCTGGGCAGGAATGGCAGCATGAATGAGGTTGTCATAGTGAGACTAACCCCAAGGCATGATGGAGTCTATGAAATCAGAGACGAGGGTGGCAACTTGGTGTCCTCTACCTTGTTGCAGGTGATTGGTGAGTATCCAAAGTTGATTTTTTGTTTGTGAATTCATTGTGTCTTTTGAATCGTTATTCACTCTTGTCTCTGTGTCTGCTCTCTTTAGAAAAGGGAGGCCGTTGGCGAGCTCTGCTCAAGTCTATCACTGTCCCTTCTGGTATGTTTGTTTCACTGGCTGGTTTTATTCTCTTCATGAAAAGATATCCGAGCTGTAGCCTCTCACAGTTCATCCCTGGCTTAAGGTCAAACCGCACGCCACCAAACAACCCTCCAAGGGTCAACATCCAGGTGAGGAAATCAGGAGAGCCCTTTAAAATGCCTTAGAAAATTCAGTAAGTGTAAATAATAATTGAAATCTATATTTAGGTTCCTTTTATATCACTGTAGTGCTACTAAGTCTTGCAGGTAGATGTGGTATGGTTTTCGGGGGCTTTTTTGTCTTAGTTAGGTAAGGCAGCTGAAGCAAAAGGTAATCCCTCTGGAGATCTATACTCGTGTATAATCTATGTAAAATATGTAATAGTATAAATTCCTAAAACATAAAAACAACAACATTGATTTGTACCATACTGATGCCATAATAAGTCGTTTGTAAGACCGTCCATAGAAGAAAGGGACCAACAAAAAAAACTCTGTATGGTTCTGAAATGCACTCAGTAGTTTTCTACCTCTGTGTTCTCTAAGGATGTGTCACTAAACTTAATTGGTGCAGTGAGCTTAATAAGATGTGTGTTTGCAGGAGTATAGCCAGCCAAGTCCCCAGCCCTCGGGCTTCTACGGTCATCCACAGCATCCTGGCACACCCAGAAAGTGGACCCCAAGTGCCAGTCCCTCTCACACTGTGAGGCTGATTTGTAATTAAATATGTCAACAGGTTGTTTTGTCTTCAATAATTAAACATAATTCTGTTTGTATTTCAAGGTGCACAGTCCTGTTATGATAGGAAGTCCAAGAACACAAAACCAAGAAGCAAACAGACTTACCCCGACAAGCTCTCCTCGTCATAATTCATCTATAGAGGTATAACTTAAGTTTAGAGGTGATGATTTGGGTTTAATAGATTAAAATACTCTCTAAACTTGTGCTTTTGTATCTTTTGTAGCAGGACACGCATAATGAAGAGAGAAAGATTTCCTTTTCAGTACCAGGAGCTTCAGACTGCCTCCATTCTTCTGAGGACTGTGCTCAATTCCAGATCAAAAAAGATGGAAACAAAGAAAGGTGGAGCAGATCACAAGAATACTTCTCTACACTGCCCCTGGACACAGACACCTCTGAATCCTGCAGTGTTTACACTTCTGAGAAACTGAACTTCTTATAAAAAGGACAAATAGAACTGGACTAAAAAAAGAAGGAGAAGACAATGAGAAATTACGAAGATGTTTTATCGTGGGGAGAGACATTGATAGTGAAAAATAAGACCTTGCTTGTGCCTTTTGCATATTAGTTTATAAATTGAACAGTTCAGTACCAATATTGCATGTTATTTTAGCACTAGCTTTTGTGTGTCATGTTGCATATTTCTCTACACTGTTGACGGTGCTCCTGAAATCTCCTGTTGTTTCCTACCTCCAGACCCTCAGGACCAATATATTCTGCACTGTATTGCTGAGTATGTGTACATTTGTGTGAATAATGCGATCTCTAGGGCTACATAGAATTCAGAGTTGTCATACGAACATTCGAGAGGGAATTCCGAAGTACTTTACAGTATCAGAGTTGTTTACCCCATTCACACTGTCAACCATTCCTTCCTGAAACAATGCTTGATTGTCATGTTAGATGTTCAGCAGTCATGACTTTTGGAAAATACGTGAATTAACCCCTCAAGGTCATCATAGTACTCACACTAGTTATATACAGTGTTACAATTTCCACCAAATATTGCTATTGCTTATTAATTCATCCTTTGTGCAAATTATAATAATTTCAGTATCAACCAATAATTCTTCAACTGCTCCTTGTGATACTTTTGGAAAATGTGTTTGCTTTAACAATAAAATGTATCTCTAACACAAACATGAGGTCACTGTATAACTGACTTTGTCCAAGACTTTTTTCAAAGCTTTTTTGCCTTTGTTTGATAAAACAGCTGAAGAGCCATAGAAGATATGGGAAGTAGAAATTAGGAGGAAAAGTCTAACAAATGTCATGGTTGAGAATTAGGGCAGCAACGAGGTCCATGACCTCAGTGCATGGGGTGCACATCTATGCTGCTGGGCCAATGGCACATCGGACCAACACTTACATCTATGTCATTTAATCTATGACAATTATTTTTTGTGCCAAAGACAGCTGACCGGTTACCAACACAAGTTTCACTGTTAATGCAAAATGTATGTTCATCTTGGTAAAGCAACCCAAAACCCTGTCATATTCATCTTATATTATTTAAACGGAGGAGAAGTTGTCGACAAACAATACATTTTTTTCAAGAGTGCTGACAAGGGCGAGAGAGCGAAAGCATATAACCCCAGTTTTAGTATCGCTAAAAGGTTCTTTTATTAGTTTTTAGATGTATTTATGGTCTTGGCCCCTCTTATTTATCTGACTTACTTTTATCATATCAACCCTCGCGAACCCTGAGGTCCTCTGGCATAGGCCTTTTAACCTTACCCAGAGTCAAAACAAAAACACACGGGGAGGTGGCTTTCAGTTTTATGGTCCCCAGTACTGGAACAGCCTGCCGGAGAACCTCAGGGCCACACAGAGACTGTTGAGGCACAAGACTCACCTTTTTATCCAGGCTTTTCACTAATTGTCTTTTTATATTTCTCTTATTGCAAATGTTCACTTTGATTGAAGTTCTTAATGTTTATTTATGTCACTTGATTAATTTAAAAAAAAATGTGATGCTTAATGTTCAGTAAAAATATATTTTTAAAAAAATCGTGTTCTGCTCACTCCCTAGATAGAACTACATTATATACATAGCTGGGAGCAGTAATGTTCCTCTACCGGCTTTAGGTGGCAGTGGCGTGTCAGTGAACCTTGGGAGCTCGGTGAGAGGACACAAAAGCGTAGAAGAAGAAGAAGCTCCGTTTGTAGCGGCAATGAAAGGACAGCGTGCCACAACTAATTTAAGTTAAACATAAGTTGAGTGTATATTTGCTTCCCTAGATAACAAAATCCAAGACGAGTTTTGTTTCATCTTCAGCATACACTCGTAGGACTGCGTCGGGAAGATGTCCTTGTTTTGTGCAAGTAAGTGAAGTTGACTCCATTCATATGACGGAGGTGTTGTACGTTAGCTAGTCACCGCGCTAATGCTGCTAGCTAATTTAGCTAACGTTAGCGGCCATGCAGCGCCGCCTCCTACACGACGTGACCGCGTAGTCTTTCTGGTAATGAAGTAGGTGCAAACTTTTAACATGTTCTTGCATTTTGACCAGTTTCCAACGAGGTACCGGAGCACCCGTGCGTCTCCCCGGTGTCTAACCAGGTGTTTGAGCGCAGGCTGATCGAGAAGTACATCGCAGAGAATGGGACGGATCCGATGAACGGACAGCCTCTGTCTGAGGAGCAACTCGTAGATATCAAAGGTAAAAACGAAACTACAACAGATTTTATTATAGAAACGCCCTCTTAACTTGTGACCAAATATGAATGCAGTCTTATTCTGAAACACACATATCTCTGTGATACCTGCATTTAACTGCAAGAAAAGCTTTCCAAACTCCATGAAAGTAACACTGATACCTGTGTGCGTCAATGTATTAGTAATAGTAAGAAGGTGCACAGAGTGTGATTTCTGTTGTTAGAGGCCTTCTATAATAACCACTAATTTTGTAGTAATTTGTGTTTGAATAAAAATATAAAGGGATACAGCTCTGTTACTGTTTTTAAAGTAAGTAAAAATCTTATTGAGATGGGTGTTGATGTGAACAAATGAGGAGTGATTAATTCTTAACATATTTCCTCACTAGTGTGGGTACCTGTCATTACCAGGTTGGTTGGGCTCAGTAATTAAACCATCTCATGGTTGGAGGTAAATCCCAGGCCCAGCTGCCCTTAGAAATCAGAACCAGAATCAGCTTCATTTACCGAGTACGTGTACACACATAAGGAATTAGGGGTGGGAGAAGAAATCGATTCACATAATGATCACGATTTTTTGTTTTACAATTTTTAAATCGATTTTTTTTCAAGAATAAGTCTTAAAAACTGACTAACGTGATGTGTATTTTTTGGGGGGAATATGTTTCCTGGAATAGTCAGTAGACAATTGTAATCATTCAACTGTTTCACTGGTGTTAAAAATGCAAACTTAAGGTGATGGCGAATTGGTACACCTTTTGCTTTCTCAAAAGAAAAAGATACGTAGCACATGGGTGCATCCAATACTACAAAAAAGAAGAGAACCTGGTGAGTTTCACTGCTTGGTTCAGGAGTTGAAACTGTACCACGGTAGCTTCAGAACCTGTTTTAAGATGTCCGATGGACAATTTGAAGTTCTGCTGAAACGATTTGCTCCAAGTTTGAAGAGGCAAAGGACTAGACACTAGTGTTGAGATGGCTTTCTGTCATGATAGCATGTACTGAGTCAGGGCCAGTACCAGATAAGCACATGAAACTATGGTAACAACCGTTAGCTTACATTAGCACAGATGATAGTTAAAACAAAGATGTTTAGCAAACTGTTAAAGCACACAAAACATCGTCATATCAGAAATCTGACGCTATGACTCCACAAGTTGTCCTTCAGGTTGTTATCTTTGTAATGTGCCCAACATCAGCCGATCGGCCATGTTGGATATACAGGTGAATCTGCCGTCGCAACAACACGAAATCTGATTGGTCAGAAGTGGACACACAGTATGCGAAACTTCAGAAAAATTGACCGTGATACGAAAAAAAAAATGCTGTGATATTGCAGGACGAGAAAACGTCGCTGATGTGAATGCTTCTATTGACAGGATACGCGTTAATAATAAATAATATTAATAATAATAATACATTTTATCTGTAGTGCTCTTTACATCAAGCGACCTCAAAGGGCTACATCTTAAAAGCAAAGAAATTTGATTCCAGTATACTGATGCTGAAGTGTGTCAGGCTAGAAACTTCTCCTGTAGGTGTGAATGGGATAAGATGATACTGGGGCTTTATGCTTGTGCCATCAGTGTATAAATGTGGTGTGTGTAGGTGAATGTAATGGAAAAGCCCTTTGAGTGTTTAGAAGAAGATGGGAGACTAAAATATCATCACAGTCTGTTTTATCATTTGCCTGCTATGAATGCTTTGATGAGGCTGCTTATTCCCAGTGTGTGCAATTTTTATCTCCTAGTGTCCCATCCCATTAGACCAAAGGCCCCATCGGCTACAAGCATCCCTGCTATTCTGAAGTCTCTTCAAGATGAGTGGGTAAGTGTTGTTTACATCGAGGAGGTAGCAAAAGAGAAATGCTCAACAAAGCACCTTTTTAATATTATAGTGATACCCCCTAAAGCTTGTTAAAGTTCTAGGTGACTACTTTTCTTTTTTACCTTGATTTATTTTTAAATAATAGTCATTACAACTAAAATGAAGTATGATCATGTTTTTAAATTTTGTATACCAGAGTTAAGCGCATAATCTACCATTGCCCCTTTTCGTGACACATAAAATGCCCCAAAAATCACTTTGTGAAGAGTTAACCATGGCAATAGAGCCTTCAACAGTTTAGCATTGCCCTTTTTGTTTGGGAAAATTCCAGTTTTTCAGTATGAAGAGAGTTTTACTATCTCATTTTCCTCATTTTTTCTGCTTCAGGATGCTGTTATGCTTCATAGCTTCACTCTGCGGCAGCAGCTGCAGACTACCCGTCAAGAGCTGTCACATGCCCTCTACCAACATGATGCTGCCTGCAGAGTCATTGCTCGACTTACCAAAGAGGTCACTGCTGCGAGAGAAGGTGGGTCAAAAGCAGTTTCTGTGTCTTCTGTTGCGGGAACAAGTCAAATCCACATTAAAAAGCTTTTATATGGTCGATGCTTTTAAGAATTTCTTACGACATAACAAAAGCATGTTTTGTGAGATTCTGTTTTTAGAGATTCTGTTTCTCTTTCACAGCTCTTGCCACACTCAAGCCCCAAGCTGGACTGGTGGCCCCTCAGGCGGTCCCTGCTTCTCAACCAGCTGCAGCTGTGAGTGATAGACTTTTGGTCCTAGTCAACAAGAAACTGATAGGTGAAGCTCTTCATAGATCTTTTACAGTACTCTAACTTTTTTGGTGTCTGCCTCTTATAACTCAGGGTGCTGGTGGAGAACCTATGGAGATAAGTGAACAGGTCGGAATGACCCCAGAGATCATCCAGAAGGTGAGATCTGCTTTTCTTTCCTTTTCTTTTTGATAGCAATATCTGGCTGTTAACTTTTGACTTTTTCATCAAAAATAAACATGTTTCCTTTTTCCTGTTTGCAGCTCCAAGACAAAGCTACTATCCTCACCACAGAGAGAAAGAAGGTATTATTTGTCTTTTTTATCAACTACAATGCAGTATTTTTTCGTGAAAAGTCTTCATGTTGTGTAAATATTACCTCATACAGTATTCTGGCCCAGTTCTTAATGCCTTGATTCATTTTCAGAGGGGAAAAACTGTCCCAGAGGAGCTGGTTAGAGCTGAAGATCTCAGCAAATACCGTCAAGTGGCTTCACATGCTGTGAGTATCGCTCTCTGAGTAAAGTTTGTTCCCCAATATCACATGGCACGAGCAACTTTAAGTTTACAGAGTACACACTGTGATCGTGATCTGTCTCTGTTGCTTCAGGGACTTCATAGCGCCAGTGTTCCTGGTATTTTGGCCCTGGACCTGTGTCCCTCAGACACCAGCAAAGTTCTCACTGGTATATTGCTTTCACTTTAAGTTCAGCTCAATTTTGAATTTTCCAAGGTTTTGCAGGTTGATTTAAGATGTTTTATTGAATACAGACTGATTTGTGTTCTTCAGGTGGAGCTGATAAGAATGTTGTGGTGTTTGACAAGAATGAGGAACAGATTGTGGCAACACTCAAGGGTCACACCAAGAAAGTTACCTCTGTCATTTACCATCCATCCCAGGTAAAGTTTTGAACATCAGCGAGTCTAATAAGTGGTGTTCAGAATACTCAGTTAAATGTTATGAGTGATTCCTATTTTTGATATTTTTTTTGATCTGTTGCCAACTCTCACTTTTGCTTCTAGTCTGTGGTCTTCTCTGCATCTCAAGACAACACCATCCGCGTGTGGTCCGTCACTGGGGGTAACTGTGTCCAGGTGGTTCGTGCCCATGAGGGGGGTGTCACTGGACTCTCTCTCCATGCTACTGGGGACTACCTGCTGAGCTCGTCTGAGGATCAGGTGTGGAAAAACATTTGCTTACCATGTACCTTGTAATTAATATTGACACTTTAATTGTGATCTCTTGGTGACAAACAGATTTTTATACATCTTTTTTTAATGTTTCTTTTTCCCTTCGCTGCAGTACTGGGCCTTCTCTGATATCCAGACAGGTAGAGTCCTCACCAAAGTCACTGATGAAAGTGCTGGCTGTGGTAAGTGTCACTTATTTGTGTATTTTGTGGTTCAAGTAAATGTGTTACAATTTCAGGTATGTAATGTTTCTTCTTTCTTTTTTAAGCTCTCACCTGTGCTCAGTTCCACCCTGATGGTTTGATTTTTGGCACTGGCACGGCTGATTCCCAGATCAAGATCTGGGATCTGAAGGAGCGCACCAATGTGGCCAACTTCCCTGGCCACTCTGGCCCTGTCACCTCAATCGCTTTCTCTGAGAATGGATACTACCTTGCCACAGGTAGGAGACACTAACAACACTTACACTGTTGCTTCTTTCCTTTCATATGAAAGTGTTTGGTGTCTGCAGTATACAAGTTTAAGGGAGTATCAAAAAACACCCATATGTTCTTGAAATACAGTCAAGATCTTCAACTCATGTTGTAGAGGAGAAACCAAGAAAGCAAGAATTTCATAATCAAATGACATATTCTTGATGGCATTACACACTGTACTTGGCTGTTCTTGTGCTCCAGGTGCCCAAGATAGCTCTCTGAAACTGTGGGATCTGAGGAAACTGAAGAACTTTAAGACCATCACACTTGACAACAACTATGAGGTAAGAAACTGAGTCAGCTTTTTGTCTAGCAGGAATAAAAGGAAGTTTTGTGAAGTCATTTTTTTACCCAGAGTGAGAAGAAAGGATCAATACTGTTCACATTCAGGGTTTCCCCTGCATGTAATTGATTGTGGCACACCACCATGGCAAAATAAAAGCCACCACACCTAAAAGATCAGTTGTGATTTTTTTTTTATGTGGTGCACTTGTTTGCTGCACTGCAGGGGGCGCGCATGCACAGAGTAGTAGCAAGTCGTCTGCAATCACACAGCATATATATATATATTTTTTTTCTGTTTCAGGTGAAGTCCCTTGTGTTTGACCAGAGCGGTACCTACCTGGCTGTGGGAGGTTCTGATATCCGTGTCTACATTTGCAAGCAGTGGTCTGAGGTCCTCAACTTTACAGGTAAAAAGGGGGAAAATACCCCCTATCTCTTGAAATTGTTAAACCAGAATGAATGTCATTTGATGTGAACTCATGGAGGCAGCCCACCTGACCTTGATTTTTCTTGTCTCTAATTGCAGAGCATACAGGATTGGTGACAGGAGTGGCCTTTGGAGAACATGCTCAATTCCTGTCCTCAGCAGGAATGGACAGAAGTCTCAAATTTTATAGTTTGTAGAAAAGGGTCAATTTAGTGTGAAGGCAGGAAAAGAACAGAAAGGATGATTGAAAGTGACTGCGCTATGTCTGGACATTTGCTCTCCGAAACTGTGTCCCTAAGAAAAGAAGAAGAAAAAAAAATCACAGCTGACTCCTCATTAGTTTGTCTGTCCTTGTGTCTAGGAAAATGATCCCATAAAACTGTCTACTATATAAAAAACCACAGCAGCATGATTAGCATAAAGCATATGTCGGCTCTGTTTAACTAAAATGTCAATGATGTGAAATAACATGCAAAAGCCAACTTACTCAAAATTGTCAGCAAATACTACTCTACTATTGTATTTTCTTCAGGGTGTATGTGTATGGGGGTTCTTAAGTTGAAATACAGCTCCAAATTGTAAGTACTGCGTGGAGTTGTAAGTGCTATGACCATAATCTGTTTTGCTTCTTATTGTAGATCAGCCAGTATCTTTAGTTTAAGTTGGAAAAAAATGATAACAGTACAACTTGGTTAAAAAAAAACAGGTGTACAAGATCCTCTGTGAAAAATACTTGTTTAATCTCCTTTCAGTTTTATTTCTTCTTTCATTTGTTCCATTCAAGTTATTTTGCTTCTTTTTTTTTGACTGTATATTTCTCATTGATTGCTGTTTTATCCTTGCAACTTTCCCCTTTTACAATAAAATACTTTTGTATTTTAATTGTTTGGTCTTCTGCATAATTTCTGATTTCCAGACTGTCTTTAAAGTAACTCAACCAGGTTGCACATGACTGAAGATGTTGAGGAGTTTCACATTAACCATTATGGTGATAATGACAAAATTACGTCATGAATTCTTAGCTGTTAATTGATGGGTAGCTGGGAAGAGATTCACCATATACTGAATGATGTAGCCCATGTTATGTTTAACAGAGACTGCAAGACCTATACAGTGAGATTTGGGCTTTGAATACTATGGAAGTAAATCTGTGCCATCTGATTTTGAATTCGAATTTCTGACACTAATTTTTTTTGCATCAAAATCATACTTTGAATTTCAAAAACCATTGAATTTCAAGCACGCATTTTCATTTCTGACACTAATTTTTTTCACAATAATGCAATAAATTCAGTGTAAAAAAAATCAGTCTCTCAAAAGATTTGTTTAGTAAAAATTCAATTAAAAAAAACTAAAAAAAAAAAAAATTCAACATAAAAAAATGTCAGTGTCAAAAAATTCAGTGTGAAACAGACCGAATCAACATCTGAGTAACTAGGGTAAACTGATCGATTCCTGGCTCAATCATCTATTGTTCAGCCAATCAAATAATGCTAAATTGGTCATGTGGCACCGACCCAAGTGGAAGATTGAGGAATCGATTGCTTTTTTCCTGGTAATCGAGCCAATCCCTAACCCCTAACCCCCATATGGGGTTTCACTATATAGTTAACTATGTAGTGAACTCAATCATACACTACATGACAAGATGCAATGCCCACCACCGGTAAGTGACCACCAGATGGTCACTACATTTTGCAATTCTTCATGGGAAATTCTGATTCGCCTATATTGGGCACTGGAATTGATCACTCAGGTTTCGGAAACTCCTCAAAATGGCGCTAACCCCCATATAGTCACCTATATAGGGGTTAGGGATCCATTTCGGACACAGCCTTACATTAAATTTTTTGACTGAATTATTTGATGCTGAATTTTTTTTATGTTGGATTTTTTCACAGTTTTTTTTTAGTGGAATTTTTACTACATGAATATTTTGAGAGAGAATTTTTTTTTTACACTGAAATTATTTCATCATTGTGACAAAAAATAAGTGTAAGTCTCAGTCTGCTGTTGTGCCAGTCTTCTCGCTTCCAACCGGGATGCGTCTTTTCCCCCCGGAAAGTCACAAAATCGCATCGGACTTGATGTGTATAGTCATGCATGTCAAAATTCTCCTCCAAATATTTCGGGATTTTGCGTTCTATATTCGCGTCGGCCATGGTGTGTAGGCTAAGGACCTTATAAAAATGTGTGCTCGAAATTCGATGATTTTGAAATTCAAAGTCTGATTTTGATGCAAAAAAAAATCAGCTTTGGAAATTTAAATTCAAAATCAGATGGCACAGATTTACTTCCATACAATGCATTTTTATGACTTTTTTTTTTCAATCAAAATAGGTACAGAGAGTGTTTTTGAATATTTTATAACTTGTACTTTTTATGTAGTGGGAAAACTTGTCTGAGGAGAGTCTGATCTCTCATCTATGAATGGACACGAGGACGGCTCAGTTAATGAGTGACATGCTGCACTTGATTATCGTCTCTTAGCAACTGTTGTTAAGCGACTGCACATATGACATCTATTTACTGGTTATGTAAGAAAAACATACTGTAACACAGAACTAGTTATAGGCGTAAACTCTGACCAATATATAGATTTTTAGCACCATTTAACTCGGTGTTTTAACAGAGTCTGTTAGTGGACCTCTGGACCTCTCCTGGTTATCCGAGAGGCAAACGTCAACAGTCACGTGAGGCCCCAGTAACGTGACTCAAACGGGAAGTGCAAGCCGAGCTGTTGAACTTCTCATAAACACGTCTGGATTTTCCCGGTGAACAGTCTCGTCTGTAAGGAGCTGGACAGCCTGAAAGACTGCGGAGAGTTGGAGAGCTAGTGGAGTTAAAGAGGCGGACAGGTGAGAAGTTTTTCTTTCTTATTTAGTGTCATGTGGAACTGATACCAATCTCTGCCTGAGCGGATGTACCGCTATTGTCCTTACAATCAATCAAACCTCAGCGCTATTTCTCAACTACTGAACACAATCTCTGATTTCTTCACTAACCGTAACTACGATTTCAACATTTTATCTCAAGACTAGATTTTCTGTGGTTGATAACTCAGCCTTGATTCATCAGAGTGGCGTAAGACTGAAAACGAAACTTTGTCCTGTTTCTGGCAATTACATGAGAGCTGCTGACACTCATTGGAGAGCTGAAACAACACCGGGAATGAAAAATAGCACCAACGTTTAAAGAAATGTGCCTCATGGAAAAACGATTTTATTGTTCCCTATGAAGTTTTTAGTAAGCAAAACACTACCATAGCAAATGTAAACCTACTACCTATAGGGGAGAGTGGGGTAAGATGAGCCATTTTTCATATTTTGGATCACTACATCAAGGCAATCACAGTTTTGTCTCTAACTAGTGGATCTGTATATATTTCAAGATTTTGTGCATCCCTGCAAACCAACAGAATGAGTGTAAACATAACTGTCTTGATAATATAGCACGCCAAAAAAAGTGGTCTCCTATGGTCAACTTACCCCTACTCTTCATCCCAGCCCTCCCTCACCTTCTCTCTCCCTAAATAACAGTCACTTCTTCACATTCATATGTATTTTTTTATCTATTATACGCTATTCAACTGGTACAATAATTCTTTTTATTATTATTATTGCATAAAACTGCTAAAAAGCTGTTTTGTAAAAAGTCATTTTAACATGAGAATGCCTGTAAGTGATTCAGAACATTCACAGCTGTATTTTTGAAAAGAAAAAATAAAACATTTCAACAATCTGAAACTACTAGAACTACTATTATGACTTTATTAGTCCTCTAAGCTAAAATGGTGGACTTTTATGCTAGGTTTTTGACCTCATGTTGTAGCTCATAGATACTAAAATTGATGTATTAAACACATTTAAAATGAACTTTTTTGGTCTGAACACAATTCTAGTAAAACTTAAGACAGACTAAATTCACTTTCAAGAGTGAAATTTTTTTTTTTTTTGTAAATAAATGTCTAACCCCTTCACCCTTGTGCTTCTAACCTTCACAGACTCCATGAATTAATGCCCATCTCCTAAATATTTGGTCACATGATCAATTTCTTTGACCATTTCCAAGCAACAGGGGGTGGCTCAACTTACCCCACTCTCCCCTGTACTGATTTGTTGGTTTATTTACAGATCCATCCAAAGTTATGCAGTTTAAAGCTGATTTAAGACAATGACGGCCCCACAAAGCTTTCATATTTGTTCAAAAGCTGTGCATTTAAGTTTGTGGTCATTTTGCTTTTGTAGTTTTCAAACATTGATAATAAAAGACTGACCAATGTGACTCTGAAAAGACAAGATGAACTGCAGAGCTCTTGTTTAATGGTAGATTAGATGGAGTTATTATTTGAGTGTACTGTGGAGGGATTTTACACACAGTGAAGAAACTGATCATGCGATACAGGCAGAAACAAGCCTATGCAACACTGGAAACCCCACCTGGTCTTCAATGTCAGGAGAACTTGATGCTTCCTTTTTTTTAGTTCCCATTCATATCTTCTCTTTCTGAACCCTACAGTCTTTTGTTGCAGGAGCTGATAAACGGTGTACTGCCTCTGTCCTCATCACCTTCTCATTGTTATCCCTCATCTCACTTTAACAGCTATGGGCTCCATGTTTCGCAGTGAGGAGGTGTGCCTGGTGCAGCTCTTTCTGCAGTCTGGCTCAGCCTACAACTGTGTCAGTGAGCTGGGAGAGCTGGGCCTGGTTGAGTTCAGAGATGTGAGTAGTTCAAACCTTTGCTTTGGTTTTCACATCATGACCCCAGATACCAATTTAAGTTAGTCAGCTGATGTGCAGCGCAAATGTTTTTCATGTGCAACTATTTTGCTCACATTAGTGCAATTTAAGAAATGCTGGATTGTCTTTTTCCTCCTTTGGATATTTCAAACCAGAGATATTTATCACCACTCCCATGACAATCATCTGCTCTGCGTTTGATCCGTTTAGAGTCGGTGATATCTAATGTGAAAAAAAACACCCCATGAGTCACTTTTTCACTATATTTATAAGTGTAAATGATGCTGCTGTTATGAATCTCTGAGAGAACAGCTCACTTTTCCATTTCTCGTATTGTCATCAGATGACCATGAGTAACTCTGTTGGTTTCTTCCTCCCCGCTCTCTTGTCACATTGTAGCTAAATCCTAATGTGAACGCCTTTCAGAGGAAGTTTGTCGGCGAGGTTAGAAGATGCGAGGAACTCGAGAAAACTTTCAGTAAGCACTGATTTGTTTCTCCTTACATGTATTATTTATTTTTTTATTGAGTTCTTTTTGGTAAAATTCTCCATTTGCCTTTTCTGACCTCCTTTATCTACCCTTCAGCATTCCTGGAGCAGGAGATCATCCGCTCCCTGTCTCCTCCATTAAAAGGCCCCCTTCCTCCTCCGTGCCCGACACCTTTGGCCCCTCAGCCCCGTGAGCTCATCTCAATAGAGGAGGAATCTGAGAGGCTGGCCAGAGAGCTCAAAGAGGTGAGCACTTAATACAATCAAGGCTGATATGATCAATTGAAGAAGAGTCTCTGTTCTCTCATTCCTACGCTATCAGAGCAGATCCTCTTCAGAAGGGTTGAGAGATTGTATTTTACGTGTGACTGTGCTTTTCACTAGGTCTCCAGAAACAGGGACAGCCTCCGTGCTCAGCTGACCCAGCTCTGTCAGTACAGAGGAGTCTTGACCAAAACACATTCCCTCACAGCCTCACAGGTGGTTAAAAAAGAACGACAGTCATTCGGCAGTTCCTGCATTCATTTTTGCACTTCCTGTTGCATTGTTGAAAGACAACTGCAAATGAAAACTGCATCAACTCGTCTATCTCCTTTTCTCAGGCCCCACCACCTGTACTAGAAAGTCAAGGCTTGTTTGATAACCGCCAAGATGTTCACCTAAGGTAGATTTCATTTTTCGAAGTGTACATTTGGTGCACTTTTTTTGTGTGTTCGTGTACATTTAACAGATTTTCTCTGCATCTTTTCACTCGTAGTTTTGTGGCAGGAGTAGTTCATCCATGGAAGGTCCCCTCATTTGAACGCTTGCTATGGCGTGCGTGCCGCGGTTATATCATTGTGGATTTCAGAGAAATGGAGGATAGACTTGAGCATCCAGACACGGTGAGAGCTGGTGGACAGGCACAAACATAGAAATAACTTTTATCAAGACAGACATTTTCTTGAGTTTTTTTTGTTTCTTTACTGTTTCATCCCTTTGCAGGGGGAGATGGTGCAATGGACAGTGTTCCTCATTTCCTTCTGGGGAGATCAGATTGGACAGAAAGTGAAGAAGATTTGTGATTGGTGGGTCAGCCTGTGCATCAGTTAGTTTTTTATTGTCGATTTTTATACTTGTAGTGTCTGTTGAACTTGTTGCATATCTAATTAATAAAACCTTGTTGCAGTTTTCGCACACAGACATTTGCCTACCCTGAGAGTCCTGCTGACAGAGAGAAGATTCTTCAGGGGCTTGAAGGCAGAATTGAGGACATCAAATCAGTGAGTACAGTGCATATTTAATAAATGCACAGATCATAGATATAATCATGAGGTTTTACCCTCTTTTTTTGAAATATCTACCACGCAGTGAAATATAGCAGCAAAAGTAGCTGGTAATATTTTTGAAATGTGGTTTATGTGCACTCAGTCTCACTTCCCTCTCCCCCAGGTGTTGTCACAGACAGAGGCCTTTCTGCAGCAGCTGCTCATGAAGGCGGTGGCTGTGCTGCCCCAATGGAAAGTGCGGGTGCAGAAGTGTAAAGCGGTTCAGATGGTGCTGAATCTCTGCAGCCCCTCGGTCACTGACAAATGCCTGATCGCTGAGGCCTGGTGTCCCACAGCCAAACTGCCTGAACTGCAGAGTGCTCTCAGAGAAGGAGGGGTAAGGCCAATGCAGAACTGAAAACGTGAAATAATAACATAAGCAGCTTGCTTTGTGTTTACTCAGCCCTCTTCTCCATCCTCAGAGGAAGAGCGGAAGTGGAGTCGACTCTTTCTACAACCGACTGCCGTCTACTACCCCTCCACCCACACTTTTCCCCCTCAACTCTTTCACAGCTGGCTTTCAGAACATTGTTGATGCTTATGGGGTGGCCAGCTACAGAGAAGTGAATCCAGGTTTGTAGACTCAGCACTTGATGAAAAAGTTTCTTCGGACCCTGAAAGATAAAGTAGACTATGAGACTTTCAAAGAAGAAGCCAGAGTGTGTTTTCTTTATTGAATTGAAGTTTTTTCTCTGAATGACTTTACAGCCGTGTACACCATAATTACATTCCCATTCCTGTTTGCTGTGATGTTTGGGGATGTGGGTCATGGGATACTGATGACGCTGGCTGCCCTCTGGATGGTTCTGGAGGAAAAGGACCCTAAACTGAAGAACAACACGAATGAGGTAAACGAAGAGCGTTTTATTTTGAGGAAGAAGACATTTTGCAAATCTCAGTTGCTCATGAGGTATATCGTGTTTGATGTAATCCAGTTTGCATTGGGAAATGGATGCATTCAACCGTATTTTTCAGAACAATTAAATGAAGAAGTGTTGTTTGTGATCTGCTACAGACCAAAATCCATGAACAGTTTCTGAGACCAAACTCTATATGTGAGCTCAAGAACCAAATGTGAGATGTTTGATAAACAAAAGGGTGGAATGACCTCCCCACATATCAATTCCGATAACTCCTTTTGTGTATTTCAGATCTGGAGGATGATGTTTGGAGGACGGTATTTGATTCTACTGATGGGACTCTTCTCAATCTACACCGGGGCCATCTACAATGAGTGCTTCAGCAGAGGCCTCAGCACCTTCAGCTCAGCGTGGCACGTCGGCCCCATGTTTGAGAAGAACATATGGAAGTGAGAACACTACGTACTTTTGCTCTGGGCTCAAATGTTTTTTTTCTCTGTAATCTGCAGATACTCTTTCTTTCTGTGTATCTTACCTTTTGGGTTTTCTTTCAGCGCATCAGTCCTTGCAGGGAACCAGTACCTGTCCATGGATCCTGTTGTGACAGGGGTTTTTACCAGCCCCTATCCATTTGGCATTGACCCGGTATGGGCAAGAATATCAATAAAGCCTAAACATTTTCTTTTAAGCAATCGTCTTATTTGTTGCTGCAGTCATCTGAAGTATTTCATATTTTTTGTTTTCTCAGATCTGGGGTCTGTCCAACAACAAACTAACTTTCCTCAACTCCTACAAGATGAAGATGTCGGTCATCATTGGTGTTATTCACATGACTTTTGGAGTCTGCTTGTCATTCTTTAATTACTGGTTTGTAAACATCTTTTACTTTTTTTAATCAGTTCTCATTCTGAATGTTTGCCCTGACTCACACTGACATGTCTTCCTTCCTTTATCTGCTTTTCTTTTTTGTTTGTTTTTATCAGGCACTTTGGACAGTTAAGAAGCGTATTCTTTGTGCTGATCCCAGAGCTCTTCTTTATGGTCTGTCTGTTCGGCTACCTGGTGTTCATGGTGATCTTTAAGTGGATTGCCTACACTCCTGCCCAGTCCAAAATTGCTCCTAGTATATTAATCCACTTCATAGATATGTTCCTCTTCACGGACAACCCTGAAAATCCACAGCTCTACACAGGACAGGTGTGTGACTCGGTCATGTCTCTTAAAAAGGAAATATATCTTTTCTTGTACTTGTACAGCTCAACTTTCTTGTTTAGAAAAGTGCAAAATCACCACTAAGGTACCCTTAACCTACCTCTGACTTTGAGCTTAGTGTATTTACATATTTACATTTACAAGCTACTTTATTCTCTTACAATGTAGCTTATAAATACAATAATTCATGGTGGATTTCTTTCAAACCTGAGGTATCAAACATTTCTCAACACACACCATTAAACACGTCTATAGAAGATTTCTCGATGGGTTTCTTAAAAGATGACTTACCGTATTTTCCGCACTATAAGGCGCACCATCAATGAACATGGGGCTGTTTTTCATACATGGGGCTCACTGGATTATAAAGCGCATGAAGCCAAACAAAACAGTCAGTTAAGTCAAACTTTATTTAACTCATTCAATAGCTCTGCAAGGCTATGGTAGCTGCAGTGCTTCGAGAAGCCAAAAGGATTTTAAGTGTGGCTTAAAGTGCGAAAAATACGGTAATCAGTATGAATCAGACTGGATAACTTCCCTGAATGAGAATGATCAATCTTGAGTCAAGTCTATAAGTTCTTTTCAAACAGTACTACTATGAGCTGAAACACCGGGATGCACTAGTGTCAAGTATGATATTCTTTGGAAAATGATCTGCTTAAGATTAAAAATATCTTTGCCTTACTTCAAAAACACTCCTTTCATTCACATTAGGTTGTTTAGTTAGTATGTGTTTGTTAAAAAGCATAAAAAGGTCAGTCCGATAACTCTTATCTTTTATGTGTAGCTCGTGGTGCAGAAGATTCTGGTGGTACTGGCCCTGTGTGCAGTTCCAGTCCTCCTGGTTGGGAAACCTACTTGTGAATACATCACATTCAAGAGGAGACGGCGCCATATGGTGAATATGTGTTTAATGAATCCCCTTTTGTCCTTGTTCTAAAGTGTGATATATTTCTGACTGATTTTTTTTTTTTTAATCCTCTGCTGTAGGAGGAGGACAGACGTCCACTTGTGGCTGACGATGGCTCCATCAATGTTCGTCAGGGGGAGGTGGAGGGAGGTGCAGCTGAGGAGGAGGTAAGAGAGTAGCAGGTTTAACTTTGTTCTGAAAAATATTAAATAACCAAGGTCAAATAACCATGTGTTAAAACTGTGCTTTCTGCAGGAGTTTGATGTTGCAGATGTGTACATGCATCAGGCCATCCACACCATAGAGTACTGCCTGGGCTGCATCTCCAACACCGCCTCTTACCTCCGACTCTGGGCTCTGAGTTTGGCTCATGCACGTAAGCATAGATGCATAAACTCACAGTGCTCACATGATAAAGGGAAAGACGGACTTCCCCTTCAGACTCACACCAACACTCCGATAATTTTCCGCAGCCAGTTAGTCACACATCGTAATAAATATTTTCCAAGCATGGATGGCTGTCTGAGTTATTTGACCAGACTGAGCTCTGATTTTAAAAGAGTTCAGCAAAAAATATCAAAAACTGTTTTACCCCAGCAAAACAAAAGCTCTGCTGTTTTCATATGTGAAATCAAAGCCAGCGTATTGATCTCCAATTTCCACTAGTCAAATTGAAACTTGGCTTTTATTTTAAAGTCAAATCATGCTTTCCTTAACAATCCAAAAAGAGTTAGGGCTCTGCAACTTTTCTGTCTGTGTTGGACTAAGGTTATGTATTATACATGCACACCTCTTCCAAGGGCTTCATGCTCTGTATGTTTTTCATCACTAGTTTTAAAGATCTCTCATCTCAGTTGACTTTTTGAGTGTATTTTAGGACTTCTGTTATATCTACTAACCTACATCAGACAGACTTCTGAAAAAACTTAAATCTAGACACATTTAGCAATAAATGTTCTGACTAATCTGATTGTTTTACTGTTTATTCAATTTTTTGACATATAATATTCACCATTTGTGTTTTGTTTCTATGTATGGTTGCTCTTTGTCAGAAATGTTGTGAACCACGCTGCTGCATACCTTGGCCAGGACACCCTTAAGAGATTTTTAATCTCTATGACTTTTCTTTTCCCTCCAAAATAAAGGTTAAATATGATACACCAAAACTTGTATCTCCACAGAGCTCTCTGAGGTGTTGTGGGTGATGGTGATGCGGATTGCTCTAAGGTGGCAAGGCTATACCGGATCTGCTGTCCTCTTTGTGGTCTTTGCCTTCTTTGCGGTATTGACCATCTCTATCCTCCTTGTGATGGAGGGGCTCTCTGCTTTTCTTCACGCTCTGCGTCTGCACTGGTAAGGATGGGAGAGAGAAAGTGACAATGAGGGAAAAAACAAAGTAAATGTTTCATAACCACATGTAAAGGCTATTCATATTTTCTAGACTGCCTCTGAATGTCGTTAGCTATGGAGGCCTGAATATATTGAAAAGCGTATCACATGATTGAAGAGGAAACAGGACACAGCTAAAACGTGTCAGTCAGACATCAGTTGTTCAACTTTGTCAACTGTTGCAAGTTCCCAAGGTTCCCTAAATCAAGACTTTTGATCACCACACTTGTAGTTGGATTAGAAATGAATTTTACAGATGTAGTTCATGAAAAATACAGTCTCACCTAAAACCCTCAAAGAAAAATAAGCTCAAATATTTCCATCAGCCTAACGGAACCTATCTTTGTAAGCAGAAAATTCAACTGAAAAGTAGGACTAGATTTCAAAGCACTTCAACAAAAGACTTTTTTTCCTCTTATGGATCCAAATGTCTGCCAAAAGGGTTTTGTCCTGACAGTTGTGACATGCAGGATGTTGGAGTATCCACATGTGATGAATGTCGTCTTTTCTCTATGTTACAGGGTTGAGTTTCAGAACAAGTTCTACAGCGGAACAGGCTACAAACTGAGCCCTTTCTGTTTCTCATCTCTGATCAACGCATCGCCTCCTATATGATCAGCCAAATGATCTCTTAGGATTGGCCAATGGTTACATTAAATTATGAATCTCACTGGTACTAAACAACACACACATGCCTGATTAACTGCCTGTCTTCCACTGGGCTATGAAACTGTAATGTAATTGCTTAATGATTATGATAATATCAACTATTTTGCATTGGTAGAATGAGAATGTGCCCCCAGATTATGAAATTATAATGGCATAGTATGAAATGAAGATGTACTATTTTTCCCCCTTGCTAACTTTTCACTCTCGGTGTGTTTCTCTTGATTGGTAATCATTCACTCTCACCTCATGAACATTTGCAGTATATTATAGTAATGTATAATGAAAAGGGAAAGCACATCACCTAAAATATAGACTTCAGTTTAAGGGAATATAGTTGTTGAATCTGTGTACTGTGCTTTAATAGGCCAGTCTGTAAGATTTCATCAAAATGGCAGGGAATAATCTGAATAATCTTCATGAGCCAAAGATACTGCTCTTTCATTGTCATGTCTTCCAAACACAACAGGTATTTAGTATTTTTATTTCTCATGTGCCTTACTCACTGACCGAGTGCTTGTGCACATCCATTGTTTTGGAAAAATCATAACATTCATTATTGTGCCACCATGATTAAGACATGTATCCCTTTTTTCAGACTGTTTGCACTGTATAATGGAACAAATTTGAACTGAAAATTAAATACGATATTCTTTTGTTACTTTCTTGTGGAAAGTCATTTATTGAAAAAGCTACGTTATTGTTGCATTAACTTGATTCAAGTTTGATCGGTTGTGCCAAAAATACTCTTATATAAGCAGAGGGCTTGTATTTAAAGACTTGCTTTAATTTAAGTGAACAAGTGTTAACCTAACAATATATTGAACATGTTAAGAGAGAAGGTATATATAATATTTTGAGGTTCAAAAGCAAATGGAATCAGCAACGACATTATTGACAATATCTGCATAGTCATTTGAATGCCTGTTACTGCTTTCACAGGGTAGGTGCGCTGAAGAAACAGGCTTTGTTACTTTCCTCACAGCAAATGTTCACAGTGAGTGATACATTTCACAATCTAGGGAAAACAAAAGGACCTTTTTGTGAAGTACAACTTTCTGAAAGGTGAGACAAATTTATCAACAACATAAGATTTTTCACTTTGTTGACTGGGGGCACCAAAGCCAACAATGATGAAAGTCCCTTACAGGACCTTAAACAGTAAAATGTATTATTCACTGTAAGTATTTGCCATGGGAAAAAATTAAAAGGCTGTTTCTTCAGCCTGCTTTTTGTTATCTGGTCTGACATCTACCCCCTAACAATGGTTTCAGGAATTTAAACTTACATCAGAAAAATTATCAGCCTTATCATGACAGTCTCTTTTGCATGTATAGGTCATAAAAGAGCCATCTCAAGAGATGCTTCAATCTGTGTTTCATCTAGTTAAAAGGGCCTTTGAATATGTAGCGATAGTATTACATGAAGGTGTAAAATGACTGAAGAATTAACGCCTTAAAAGCACTTTATTGTATCATTTTTGAATTAATTTTGATCATTTGGTAATCTGAAACAACGTAAGCTTTTTTAAATGTTAAGTGTATGGGAGAGTGGGGTAAGTTGAGCCAACCCCTGTTGCTTGGAAATGGTCAACGAAATTGATCATGTGACCAAATATTTAGGAGCTGGAGAAGGGGTTAGACATTAATTTAAAACAAACAAACAAAAATTCACTCTTGAAAGTGAATTTAGTCTGTCATAAGTTTTATAAGAATTGAGTTCAGACCAAAAGCGGAGTAAGCGGAACATTTGACGCGCTCCTTGTTGTTTCTTTCCGCGCTACTTTGACTGTGGCACAAGAAAGTGAACTGGATGTTGTCTGAATGTCAAAGATGGCGCTCCACATGTAGCGTTGATCCCAGGTTATTAGAGAACTGAATAACGCAGTATGTTTTGATGTTAGGAGGTCCAGTCAGATGATTACAAATTAAATAAATTGTATGATTTGACCGGAGGTGAAGAGGGGATGGCTCTCAGTGAAATCTGTCGAAGTGCACGTTCAGCTTTAGGTCTCATTCAACTACGTCGATCTTTGGTGGTCGCAAACCAGACAAGTAAGTGCAATTGTGTCTTTTTTATTACCGCTATCTCGTGTTGAAACTATACAGCGTAGTTTTAGTTATCAGGCTGCATATCGAGACAGAATCATGAACCCACAGTTTCTGTTTTCCAGCTCGGTGTCTGAGTCAATCAGTACCGCAGCCAGAGCCCACTGAGGTTGAAAATGAGGCCGTGAACCCGACCTTCGAGAACAGAAACCCACGGAACCTCGAGCAGCTGGCTCTGGCTGTGAAGGACCGAGGCTGGAAGACCACTTGGCCCCACCGGGAGTACTACCACAGGTCAGTGTAAACACAGTGCTGAAATGTGACAGAAAACTATGTAAACCAGGTCACTCATTTCCCATTCCAAGTCTTTAGTGATAGTCTGACAAGTTATACATTTCATCTGTGTTTCATGTCTCAACAGACAATTTAGTTTACTGTAAATAGAGACACCAGCAATGTGAGTCATCTGATTATAAGTCACAACAGAGGGTACTCTTAAAGGGATATTCCGGCGTAAAATTAATTTAGGGTCAAACACACCTTAACACCGACTTAGACACCCCCTCAAGAGATGAATGTTTCTGACTGCTTGCCTCTCTAGTTATACCAACTTTAGTAACGACCACAGGATAGTAATACACAGCGGTCTGAGGAGCCATGAACAAACATCAACCAAAATGCCACTCTATAGCCACAAATTATGTTTAGAACAGCACATAACTTCATCAACAGTACATATAGGGTCCTAGCCACCAAACATCTTTTTAACTTTGCCTAATTTCTTTAGCAAAGAGACTAAACACAACTCACCTACTCTCATCCAGCAGCCGCTTGTTTGTAGCGAGACCTCAGGCCAGTCCATTACAGACTTCAGCAGGGTGATGCAGCTCAAGGAAAAACATTTATGATCATTACTTTATCATTTCCTTGAAGTAATAATCACTATATTAATCATTTTGCACTGCAGACGCGGTAGTTCTTCTGCCTTAGCGTCTCGGTCTGATTGCATTTCCATGAAGAAATGATCATAAATGTTCTTCCTTGAGCTTCGTCACCCCGCAGCAGTCTGTAATGGACTGGCCTGAATTCTTGTTACAAACAAGTGGCTGCTGGAAGAGAGTAGGTGAGTTGTGTTTAGTCTCTTTGCTAAAGAGATTAGGTAAAGTAAAAGGTGTTTGGTGGCTCGTGCTGTGGCTGGGACCCTATATATACTGTGGATGAAGTTATGTGCTGTTCTAAACATAATTCGTGGCTATAGAGTGGCGTTTTGGTTGAGGTTTGTTTATGGCTCCTCAGACCACTGTGTATTGCTATCCTGTGGTCGTTACTAAAGATGGTACAACTAGAGAAGCAAGCGGTCTGCAACATTCATCTCTCGAGGGGGTGTCTAACTCGGTGTTAAGGTGTGTTTGACCCTAAATTAATTTTACGCCAGAATATCCCTTTAAGTCCACCTGATTCAGAGACATTATTCTAAGGGAGCTTAGGGCACACTAGAAATTACAATCAACTATAAAAAAACATTTTTTTAAGGTCATCACTGCTGATTCTTACAGTGTATCTCATTTTCTTAAATATCTATCTATCTATCTATCTATCTATCTATCTATCTATCATAAATCAAGGCCACAAAATCTGATGTATTATTATTATTATTATTATTAATATTATTATTCTTGATATCCTCCTCCCAGGTTAGTGTTTTCTCGCACCCAGCACCATGTAACAGCAGAGGTCTTCGCCAGCGGCTCCTCTGACCCGGTTGTTTCCTGTACAACTAAGGAGTGGGCGATAAAGAGGGAGCTCCCCTCCACGAACTGCGTGGCTGCATGTCAAGCTGTGGGTGAAGTTCTGGCGCAACGATGTCAACAGGCTGGCATCACCAGGATGGTGTACAGGGCGATTCCATGGACATATCGCTCTGATGCTGTGAGTTTAGCTGTGTACATATGCAGATTTATTTGTCTGCTCTTCCTCTAACTCTGTCGCCTGTAACATGTCTCTCTCTGATAACCTTCCACAGGTTCAGTCTTTTAGGACTGCGATGAAAGAGGGAGGAATCACCCTCAGTGAACCCAGAAGAAAATATATTGGCACCTGAATATGGCGGCATACATCACTGCATCTGGAAGATGTTTCCTTTTTGCCTAGTACAACTATGCTGATATTAATGTGACCATTACAAGACTCTATAAAGAAAATCAAAATGATAAATGTTTGTTTCTTGTAGATTAAACTGTTTGTGATCAATGCAGTCATCTGGTGCATTATTCAAACAGAAAGGAGAGTCATTGGTTTGAATCCATTTCTTTATTTTTCATTTCAGTGTTGGTTGTAAACAGGAGAGGTGCAGACAGTGAAGAGCTTAACACACAGATATGTTGAAGAGACTTTCGGGAAGGAGTCATTTTGACTCTTAACACAGCGTGATGTTGGCTCAGGCAGTGTGAACAGTGTGTCCTGGGATAACAAAGTGCATCTTTTCTTCAAACATGAGCATGCAGATTAAATTTATAGTAGCTTGGGTTCATCAGCTTAAAGTAAGAATACTCCACATCAGCATCAAATGAGAGCATTTTGAATAATTTCCCTGGACCCAATAAAAGAGAATATATATATATATAGATCTATGATAAAACCCTGAACACTTTACTCCAACATGTTTGTATAAAACACATAACATGCACCAGAGTCATCAGCAATTATGTGTTGGAACGTATACTGTTACATTTATAAATACATTACGCATACATGCTAAACCTTGGCAATCACATTTATGCTGCAATCAAACAGAATGAGAAACACCAGAAGTTAAAAGTAACACACAGCCTCCAAGTTGGAGTTCAATCATCACCGACACCGATCACAGAGTCATGTTTCATTCTTAGGTTGAAGGCACTCGTACAGCCCTGGTGAATTAAAAAAAGGAACATTGCTTAACATTCTGACATAATACAGATTTTAAAAATTCACTATGTTCATCGGCACATCGTAATGCATCATTTGGCAAGAACACTTCCGCCATAAAACTGGCCCTGACTTGGTCCGTAATAAACACAGTTTGGAAACAGAGAAATTCTCTCATGTAAAGACAGTAAGATAAAGACTTCTGATGTGAGAAGGTGAGACATAGCAAACCATCGACCGGGAGTTGACTTGACAGCATACAGCATCACATTCTCAGAGGAAAAGTTTGGCAGAACAGTTATTGCATAGATTTCATCTTGGGTTGCAATGTGAGAGCCGAAGGGAAACAATGAGGGGAGAGACCAATCAGACATGTATGTGGGAGACATGTTCTGACAATAGTTTATAAAAAACATGACAATTTACACTTTGATCAGCAGTGGACCATCAGTTCAACAGAACAAACAGTGATATGCTTAACATAAAATAAAGCTGTTATCATCTGAATAATGTCAAATATAGAGCGAGAGCTTCTCAGTGTATAAAAAAACCTTGGCATGTTAGCAGAGCACATTTTTCGGGTGTTGTCTCCTTCATCAAACATGTTCCTCTTCTTCAGGTCCCTCTGCCGCCTATTTCTCCCTGCTCTCCTATCTCTTTGTTCTCTTTAGGGTTTGCTCTGTCCACTGTTAGGCAGACTTCTTGGTTCAGGTGAGACATCCACACACGCTGCCTGGTGGATTAGACCCCGTCTCCCCTGACTCCGTCTCCGTTGCACCGGGGACCGCCGTGGACTACCAGGGAGCTTCGAATGTAGAAAAATGAGAAGAAGTTCAGAGTTAAAGGTGTTCAGCTGAAATGAAAGAGTACTGGAACTAAAGTGAAAAATAAATCTGAGCAGCATCTGACTAAGAATTAAAGGGAAACACACATTCACACACATCTTTATCTAACATGAATATTCTCTGGTTACTCTGATCAAAGAAAGTGTGTGCAACATGAAAACTATAAGGAGCTTTTACCTGCCCTTTATCCTCATCGTCCAGCTCACTGATGGACTGCATGAGAGAGAAGAGGTTCATCCTGCCACTGCGGTTCACGCTTGGGACCACCTTGAAATACAAGAAAGACAAGAAATTGTGAAGCAGAAACAAAATGAACTGAAGTGATTTTTACAGCTTTCGAAGCAGTCTTTCTGTTTTTGCGTGCTCACCTTCTCTGGTTCATTTACAGTTATAACAGGACTAGTGTCTGCCGGTTCAGGTCCCTGGTCAGTATCAGATTTGGATTTTGGTTCTTCAAAGACCTGGGTGGGTTTGGGAAAATAAAGACTGAAAAAAATCTTCAAGGCTTAAAATGCTGATAACATATTACTGACTTATTGCAATACCTCTTCTGCTGAATCTTCTTTTTCTGAACTCTCCACATCCTCCTCCTCAGAGTCAAGTTCTTCATCCTCATCTTCTTCTTCTCCTTCTTCTAGCTTTTTGTCCTCCTCTCCCTCCTGTTTGTGCACTGACTTCTGCCTGTGCTCTCGAGACTTTCGCCTCCAGAGAGCGCTGTGGCGCTGCTGGCTGGAAATATGAAGCAATAAAACACAGTCATCACATCAGCAAAAACATCGATCATTCTGAAAAGCTGCAGACAGTGAAAAATTTAATGTATGCACGTGTTAAATTCAACGTCCCTGGTGATGGACAGAAGCCTGACCTTGCATTGAGGATACCGTTGTATGTCTGTAGCTGCTTCATGAAGCCTTCATTTGGCTTGATGACGGAGCGGCGGTCTTTGACGTAGTTCAATGCCACATCCAAAGGCCAGCGCTCCTGCTTCATGGCGTAGGCTATCACTGTGGATGCAGAGCGGGAAACGCCCATCTTACAGTGTACCAACACCGCCTGTCCGCTCTTCCTGTGATGCACAAAGGTAACAAGAGTATCACTCACAAGTTTTGGTGATATAAATTAAAAAGCTTAGGCAGGATGAAGGTGTAAAGTCAGCTGATAATCTGCTTCACTGAGTACTTAATAACAGAAAAGCAGCACTTCTCTGTTTTGTTTGTAAAAATTATGCAGCTGAGAGCTGACTTGTTTCATCTTCTGAGCTCAAACTGGATTCAAATTAAGTGCAATATCTCAAAACTGTCAAACTAGTCAAGTACAATCAGCAGGAGAGTCCATCATATCAAGAACTAATGAACATTTTTAGAAAATTTAAAAAGTTATCTACTTCTCCTTGAGAGTGAGACAAAAAAGATTGATTACAGTCTAATGGATGGATGCTAAATATGAAGCTACATCTAGCTTTTGGTTTGCAAGAGCTCAGACCAAATACAGAAGCCTTTTCATGTCAAAAAGGTATAAAATAAATCCACCCTTTTACAACTCTAACACACCTTTTCACATATCAGATACATGTGTGGGCAAATTCTGTTTTTACACCTTAAGAAGTCGTGTTTGGGACTGATGCTAGGCCAGGCAAAGTAAGCACCACTGGTTACCTAGCAACTGCTGAGTACCAAGATATAGTCTGGCACCTTTAGAAGTGCTGATTTCGATATTTGATAGCTTGGCTTGCCGTTCCCTTCTTCTACTCAACTCTGTGTCGAAATAACCATCTTGTGTGTCAAGTTTATATTTGGCAGGAAGATCCAAAAATAGTGTCAATTTCCTGTAACTGAGCGAATTTCCCCAAAACATCCAATTTGACTTCAAAAACCTGCACTGGTTCCTATCATTTTACCATAGAAAGGCAATTCACATGACAATATACAGGAAGTAGTTAATGATGTGTAAGTTTAGTTTTGCAAACATGTCACCTCACGATTGTTGATAGGATTTCAGAGTCTAGCAACAACAAACTTGACAAACTTCATGTGGTAGCTTTTAAAAGTGTGAATTTTCTGACATGTAGGTGACAACCTTGCAGAGTTGATGAAGTTGTATGTGTCCGGCCAGTGAGCCAGCAGGTCTGTGGATTCCACATCGTACACTCTGATGTTCATGTAAGTGAAAGACTCTGGGAAAAAGTTGTCAATCTCCCTGGTCACATTCAGAATATAGCCCACGCTGAAATGACAGAGACAGCAGAGCAGAATTAAGTATTCCCTTTGTCACAGCGCAGAGCAACACAAAGTGTCACAGCAGGAAACACTGACTTGTTTTTCTGTAACTCCTCAAAGTTAGCTGCATTCCACTCTGAGCCCTGAAAGCAGACAAAAACGGAGAGGATCAGTCGAGGGCAAAGGCGACAAAAAAAAAGGAAAGCGCTTGCAGAGTCATCTCCCCTATCGTTGTCAACACAAGTCTCCCACAAAGAGGAAGTACAGTCACATGAAAACATCCTGATGACAGCAGGCGACTTTCAGAGCCAAGAGTGAAACAAAAGTATTGAGGTGTATCACCATGAGGGGTAAACTTTTACTGTTTTCAAAGGCAAACAACTGCTCACCAGGTACAGGTAGTCAAAGATTTTAGAGGGTTTGTCCATCTGGGCCATGGTGACCAGGATCTCATTGTCTATGTACTCCTTATAGGGTCTTATGTCGAAGGCAATCCTCTCTTTCAGGCTACAGTGGACCTACAGCAGCAAAAGAAGAACATTTGTACTTGCATCCAAGCATTTTATCTTCGATTTTCTATAGACATGCTTTAGCAAACTCTAGCAGCAGCCAACTTCCCCTTTCTGAATGCACGTCTCACCATTTTAGATGTAAGGTTGGCCAAGTCTGCAATCATCATGATGTCTCGTAGGTGCTCTTTGATCAGCGCCTCATTGGAAACTCTCTCTGCAGAACTTTTCAAACAAACAAACAACAAAAAAGGATAATTAAGCACCTGCAGACATGGGAAAACTAAAAATGACCACTTTAATTTGATTTCAACTTCAAGGTCTGTCAGTTACAATTGTCCGTCGCTGTCTTTGCGGACCGACTCCAGGTCATCCATGGCCTCCCACTCGTTGAGGCAGAAGCGGTCTGACTCGACGTGTTGCTGGTAGTGTTGCGCCCATTCGAGGCCATTTCCTGGGATCACGGTTGCTTTCACCGCTCGCTCACAGCAACCATGCAACACCTGCAGCACGGACCTTACAGCAGTGCAGATATTTTACGTTAGGATTACTGATTTTTGCGAATGATTACAATCTTAAAATTGCAGAGATTATCAAAGATTACAGATTATCTGCAATTTTTAAATTAAGTCTTCAGATGTTTTTAATAGTTGACATATTACCTACAGTAGATACAGAATAGGCCCTATTTCAGCCAACCTCATTCATAGGAGTATATATAAGAACACTTATGTATTCCATATTCACACAGGGGCTGTTATGATCACCTCCCACAGCAACAATTACACTGATCGATGAGGAGTTCCCATACAAACCAGTTTAAAAAAAACTCTTAACTTGTGTCTCTTACTGTTGAGTTCAAAGATTGTACAGAGTGACATAACAAGGACACTGATGATTCAACTTAAACATAGAGTTGTCAGCATTATTACCTACCACATGGTCTGCATGGAAACAGGCTTAAAAATTCTGGTCTCCTCAGCTGACGTCACGCTGAAACCACTGCGAGAAGGACAGAAATATGAGCTACAATAATAAATCGGAGGTAGATCAAGGCAGAAATGTGAATGTAGTGATGACAGGAAGTATTGTTGAATCGTCAGAGGTATTATTCATTTATTCAGAGTTAATTAGCAGCAGTTCTTGTAAAAAAGCGGAGGATGAACATGTGAAAACAGACAGAGAGAAAAATTAGCACGGTTGGAGGTGTGATCTGGCCTCATGGGGGTTGTACATGCTGAGAGTGTCATGCCTGTCACACTAAACTACCACAGCTCATTAGTTTAAACACAGCGGATCAAATGCTCTGGGTTAGCCTTTATGCTCTAAGAGCTGTTAATGTTAACTGCAACAGCACCTTTCTCTGCTTTCTCCCCCCAGAGGAGAAAGAGAAGAGTTTTTGCACCGTGATGAGTGGACACAAGCAAATAATAACCTCTAATCATAGCCAATGTTTCACATCCCTGAGGCACTAGAACATTAACAGGCTGACGCACGTTTCAACTAAACATTTAGTCCAGAAACAGAGAGATTCAAAAACTCCTTTGCTTTCATTTTGTTGCAAAAACACACGATACTCTGCTTATACAAGGGTTCTGAGGGAGTGATAGCAGCAGTTGTAATTTATTGAGAGTGATTCAGCTCCATAAATAGACACATTACTCAGTCACATTATCTCTGGCTGGTGTCCCAGACATTAGACTGCCCCGTCTGTGCTGCAGCCTCATGGAATCCTTTGCTTTTGCTTTTTTAATTTTAATCTCTGTTCCTTGTTTAAAAGCATTTCTTACCCATCTCCGTCCAGATAAACCTGTGTGTCGCTCCACACTGGTAAAACCAGGCCAATGGTGCACTCATCACTGTAGAGGGGGAAATAAGGAGGTAAAGACACTCGACTTAGAAAGAGCTTTATCTTGTCAAATCTGAACCAGATCTTACTAATCCAATGGACTCCTCTTATCTTGTGCTTTCTTTGTGACACTTTACACCAGAGTTTTGGTTACACACACCTGTCTGAGTTGGGGAAATCCATGCCCAGCAGGACGCTCTCTTGTTTGTTTCCGAGGGTAGAGACTACGATCAGATACCTGACTCTGACTGAACTAACGGACTCCAACTGCACCGCCTGCAAGACAGAGTACAAATAACAAGAGGGTTAGAGACCAGAAGCAAAAGAAGGATGTGCATGAGGAGTACGGAAATTCGTTTATTTATATAGTCTTGTTCAGGGTTTTAAAAATGTAACCAACAAAGTAGAAAGTAACTTTCCTGGCAAATACTTATACTTTACACTGAAACACTGACAAGAATCCACAGAAAAGATCATGACTTTTCTCTTTTTAAACCCTTTTTACCATTTGATTCCAAACAATCTTCTGAACCTCTCTATTCTGGTTAGTCTGCTACACTTTAATCTGACACTCTAATACAAGCATCTTTTATCAGGCCTTATCACATGGTTCATAGTCAGTATTTGTTTTTAATGATATCTGCTTTTTTATCCTCTTATTTTGAGTTTATTAACCCTATCAGTAAACACACAATGGTAAGATACATGACAACAAAAGACAAACCTGACTCCATATGCTGCCTACAAAACCTACTGGTCAACATCAAAATGAATAGGAGGCTTTGCACAACAACAGATACATGCTGATTCGATGAACTATGCTGGCTGAGGCATGCGAAGCGGCCGGTGTAATTCATGGGTGTGGAATTCGGAAAAATGTAGACCGTGAACGGCAGTTGAGTTGTCGCACATATCTCCCAGCCACAGTATACACCCAACTTACATCTGCAGAAATACTGAATTCACAGGTAGACTATAACTATTTAAACAAGTGACAATGTTCAGACTTCCTGCATGTGACCTCTGCTGGATGTAAAAATGCTGCTACCTCTTCTGATGATGAACTGGTGAACTTCTCCAACAGTCCAACTGCATAAAATGTGTGTCTTTGTGCAAAGTTTGTCCACTAATACCAAGAAATGACGCTATTTGCTAACTACTAACACTAAACTGTGTGGAAGGGATGTTATTATATATACGTAGGTAAGCACAAGACCAGGAGACTGTGGCAATAAAACTATAACTGGCTGAATGATCTTCTGTAACTGAGAGCAGAACTATGAAACCACTCGTGTCATTAGCAAAGACTCTGTAATTATTTTTCATGTGCCATGACACTGCACATATCCTTCACCACATAAAACATAGCTGACACCAACTCTAGAGCGAGTTCAGTGCTGAATTTAAGACGTCTATATGACGCAAGTTGAAGCATGTTTATGGAAGAGGTTACTTCATTAATGAAAATTCTTTCTGCACACTATTATTGAAGCCTTGCTGATCTGAATTTGTAATATGCACAGACACAGCAGTCCTCACCAGCTTGATGGTGTCTTCCGGTCGGAGCTGTTCCACCATGGCGTGAATCTGCCTGTGCCGTTTGTCTGACGCTCCATCCCCTTCCTTCGTCGGAGATGTCAGAGGGGGAGAAGTCTCCTCGCGGAGGCCCTCCCTCTCGTCTTCTTCCAGCAAAAGGACAGCTCCCTTCACGAGGGCAAAGCTCTCCCTATCGATGGAAAGAGCTCCGTTAGAGAACAGGGAATCACTTTGTCCGATGGCAACATAAAAACCAGAGAGATGCACATCTACCTTTTCTGGAGTCTGCCTCGTCTTTGGGAGCCTTCATCCTTAAAAAATCAAATTTAAGACAACAAAGCCTCATGATGAAGATGTAAAAGTAAATCCATTCCCCCTCTATTGTATGTGTGATTTATGATAGATTAACATATCTATTCTGCAGACAGTCACTGTGAAAGAGTTTTTAAATGTACACATCAAACCTCAGTAATCTAATGCTGGGGCTCTAATAACACCAATCAAATAAAAAGACTTATAAAAGTCATTAATCTAATGCTCCTGAGGTGACATGTCTCTAACTTGATGAGTAAGTCAGTGTTCAAATGCTACAACTAACTTCCTAGGAGCACTGGAGAAAGTGTGTGTGAAGCTTTTCCTGTTGAAAAATGTCGACACATGAGGCCGGAAAACATGTTCTCTAATGTCTTGGGTGAAATATGGTGCAACATAGATAAGATGCAGTTGAAGACTGAAGTGACATGTGAGCAAAAGGGAGAAGGCACTAAAGAGGGAAAATAAAGATATCTAAAGTAAAATGATAGAAAGATACAAATTAGAGTGCAGGAGAAGAGAGAGAAGTAGCAGTAGCAACAAAGGTTTACAGAGAAAGAAACTGAAGACAGTAACATTACCTGTTACGCAACTGACAAGTCCAGACAAGAGTCAAAAAAAAGAAAAAAAAGAAAATAAAGACGAGAAGTGGGCAGGAGCCAGGAGAGGATTGATGAGGGTTTAAAGAAGGAAAAAGGAGAGAGCACAAGTTAAGATATAGAGTGATTAGATTCAGTGGCAAAATATGCAAAAAATGAGACCAACAATCTGGTCATTTATGGTTAAGCTGTCAATGATGACTGTGACTGCACAGAGAAGCCAGTTAACTCATGACAGAGACAGAGTGAAATGATGAAACTGTGCTCATGTGTTTATGTACACCAGACAAATACAGTGGCAGTGAGTGTTTGGACTGATAGAGGTTGATTCAATTGCTTTCTAAACCGCTTTGATGAGCTCATATCTACTTAATCAGTAAACACATTAATCCAATCACATCTCTGAAAATACACATTAGGCTCTTTATCATTCAGGCAAACTTGGTGATGATATCAACAAAGGCACTCATTCAGCACTGACTGCCCCTGCATGCAAAACTTAGATTGACAGCTCTTATAATTCTGCATCAGCCTTTACAGAGAAAATTTACAAACTGCATATCTTGCTATTTGACAATTGTTTGTGTACAGTTAGGCTTGAACATGGCTGAACTCACAGAAGCAGTGGAAATGGATGGGTTCCTGTGGAGTGTCAACAGAGCCATGGCACAGTACAGGTATGTCTCCAGTTAACCTGCAGCTGCAGGCAGGCAAGCACAGACAAGCTCTGCAGGCTCCTTAGCCAGAAGTGTGCTGAGGGCGGGGTAAATGCTGGGTTTTTTTTCTGAAATGACAATCGGATATTCAATTACACACATATATGGACTTAATACCAGAGATTCCAACTGATGAGTCAGGGAAACATGACCTGGAACCAGAGGGAATAGTTTTAAGTATTTAACCCCCTCGTGGTTACCCCTGCTGAATCAGGGGTAGCAATGGGTTGTAAAAACACATACTGTATGCACCAAGAAACTTGACCATGTCTATTTCTAAATGACCAATACTACTTGTTAATATGACTGGTTGTACAGGCTCACTATTATAATGTGTCTTGGCATTTCAGTGACCCAGCTCCTTCCTATAATTGGGTTTTATCACATATTTGAATAGTAACTTGAAAATAAAGGGGGCTGCTCTTCTGGCGGTCAAAAATTGTAAATGGTTGAGTTTCCTTTGTTTCCTGGATATTAGATGTAGAGAGATGATTGTTTTTAAAGTACACAAAGGACTGTACATTAAATAACAGTGCATAAAATGTCATTCACCAAAAGAAATGCCATATAATAGTTTTTCAAAGCTACAGAATCAACCCCATCAAAATCTTTCCATAAATGGTTTCTTGAGTGTGTAGACTGCTGACCATCAACATGGCATGAAGCAGAGTGGTAACGCCTTCGTTATATGGCAGCAAGTATGAGATATGATTTCAGATCTTTGCAAGGAGATAACATGCTGGTGTATAATCTGGTTTATATTAACAGGTGAGTAGCCTTACAAACAGATCTGAGCCTGTCAAACCGGCTAAAAACAAACAGCGGATGGTTTCAGGAACAACCCACAAACAAGCAGTGTAGCCTGTTACACTGAGTCCGAGCTAACAGCTGACAATACAGTCAACCACTGCTGTCTCCAAGACGACATTTGGTTAAAATAACAATCTCTCACCTTTCTCAAAGACGGCTCCCCCGCTCTGATTTTCTGATTCAAAACGCGGGTTGTTTGTTCCCAAAGCAGGAGAGAGCTCCTTATTCCGCCCTCTGTTGATTTCGAGGGCGAAGACTTCACCATTTACAGCTCAGCGCTGCCCCAGAGGAAGAGGACACTTTACACCGAGCTGAAGCAACCCGAGCACGAGGACAGAAAAACGCAGGAGACGACAGCTACGTCATACGCACACAGGCTACGCTGCGTCAACCTGCAGTTACTGGACTGAAAATGACAGCCAACAAACTATAATTCTAATGCGTAAAAGTTTCGCCTAAGTTGAAGTTCAACGTTATTTTTATGCCGCTAACACAACATTATCATGATCGTGTTTATTTTTGTTGATCGACGGTCTATTCTAAATTTCCTGTATTCAAATAATGTGGCTGGTTAAGGTTTACTTTTATAGTTTACAATAACACATTCAGTCAGTGTGCATACTTTTGATCCAAACACACTCCTACCTGTAATTCTTATAACTATAATAGCATTATCTATGTTCAAATAAGAACTATAGATTTTGATTACATATTCTTACACCAGGAGTTGTATTTTAACATATCTATTTGGAAGTGCTGTATGGAAATTGCAACATGCCACACAAATTTTTCAAAATTTTTTAACTTATTTTACTTCCTTGTCACTAATTAAAGACTGTAGTCCAGAGCTAGAAAACCTATGTGATGATGTCTCCAAATATGTACCGTTGTAACTCAATAAATTATAATTATCTAATATTTACATTTGCTGTCTGTATGAATTCCAAAGGCAGGCTTTGCTCTAAGTTTTGTGTTTTTTTTCTTTTCTACATTATGTTGTTCTCATGTATATTATCACTGTTGTTCTGTAAAAGTAAGATGAACATCTGAATTGCACTTGTCTCCCATTGACAGTTTTGTAAATTGTTGAATATGTTAATAAAAAAATAAAAAAAGATATCTATTCAATTTCGCCGGCTTTATAGGCATGACATTCGGGGTTAAACATGTTGCTAAAGCAAAAATACAACGTAGAAAATTACAAGATATAACCACACACTACAATACACACCATAGATAACAACATAATGCACATTATAATCAAATATGATGGAAAAAAGAAAGGAAACATATCACAACTGTTAATGCCATATTTTAAAGAAAAATATATTGCATGTAAAAATGTGTCTTAAACTAATTGTTCTTATTTCAAATGTACATATTGCCTATCTCTAATGTATTTCCAGTCATTCCACTATACATATTAAATGGTCACTGATACTTTTGAATTTTATGACTTGATGTTTAAACATAGTGCCATTAAATATTAAAGCCAGCCTGAACGTATTGGGAGTATAAAACAATTTATAGCAGTGAGGATGTAGATTTGTCTAGTAAAAGCTTAGTTGTTTATAATCTATTTAAGAGCGTGCTTAGAAATAAAGTTTAAATGGCTTAAGCTACAGGTATCAAACTCAAGGCCTGGGGGACAAATGTGGCCCGTGGAACAATATGATATCTAAACATATCATATTTGTATTATTACTGGCCCACCAGTATGAGGTCTGCAGATTTCCTCCAAGATAATAATGTAAACTTTAGCACCATTATTTAAAATATCTTTAATAAACCATGAAAATCTGGGAAAGTAAAGAGTAAGGCAGATTTGATAGATAGTCAAGAATGTGGGGGAAAAAATGTGTTTTATCCATATTTCCAATTTTGCATCTCAAGATTAAAAGTCAAACATGATTTGACTTTTCAACTCAGTATTTAGAATTATGTCATTTTAATCCTTTAGATTCCAGTTTTAATTTTTAAGTCAAGTTTTGACTTTAAACCCTTGATTTCAAAATGATCTCATATGTTGACCTTTCAAACTTATGATTTAAACTTTCTCCTCATGTATTTGCTCTATTTTTAATATTGTGTTCTGATCTTTTGAACTAATCTATTGTTGTTTTTTTTTCTTTATTTTCAGATTGCCTTGAAATTTATCTTTTTTACTTTTTGAATTTCCAAGTGTTTTATAATCATTGCTGATTTTGTTATACATTTTGAAAAGGAGGCTGACAGTTTGGGTCAAATGTTGAACCTATTGGGCCCTCAGGTTAGATTTAAATCCAGATTATGGCCTTTGCTGTAATTGAGTTTGACGCCCCTGGTTTAAGCCATTTAAACAATTGTCGTAGTATCTATGTAGGTTACAGTTTGCCCTGCCAAATACTGTTGCTTATTTGATTTATAAGGTATTTTACAATGTATTACTTAAAAAGACTATTGTACATGTTGATTAATGCTTCTAATTTTGTATCTACAGTTATTTTACTACCAAAAGTACATTTAATTTGAAAATACCATATTCAGACTTGATTGTCCCCTTCAGTTGAACTTTTTCTACTGTATACAGTACATACTTTGCACAAATTCATCAATCTATGTACATATTGATTGATGAATTTGTGCAGAGCATTTTCAACAATTTCACGAACTCCCTGAACAAAAACATGAATTGCGATAAATGGCATAAAAAATGTGTTTTTAAATCCTTGGTATGAAATTGTAAAGGTTGGACTGAAATAAGGAAAGTTCAACCAAAGACTCTTCAATTTTCTCGATAGCTTCAACTCCGCGCATGCGCAGTGTCATCTATAAACTGAAGTACTTCCTGATGTGTGAAGGAAAGTGTAAAGTGTAGTTTCTCCCAGTTGAAGGTGAAAACGTGGCGGAACGTTTGTGTAGAGTGTGTAGTCGTCCAGCCTTCACACAAAGCAAGTCGGTTTTCCGTCCGAAGAGGATTCTCACAGATTTTGGTCGTTAAAGTGGCATGCAGACAGTTGCCAAACTTATGAAGGTCTACGTTACAAGGCGCATCCCGCAAGAGGGGATGAAGATCCTGTCAGCGTCCTCTGTGTATGCATTATCTTATACAGCATGACTGAGTCTGTTAGACTTTAAAACTGCAGCATCAAATCGTTGGAAGTAGAAATTTTCTAGGCTGTCATTTATAGTGTGCCCTGCATGTGCTTTTCCCTGCAGTTGGGTGATATGTTAAGATGGTCATGATGAGTCTCCTCATCTGTTGCTGGTTTAAGCTCCAACCCTTTAAAATGATAGTTCATCATTCATGGGACTGCCGTGACTTGGTTAAAATGGAAACTACAGTTTGTCCTCATATGTGCATGTGACCGTGTGAGTGCTATTCCATGCATTTTGTCCTTCTCTGTCTCCGTGGAAACAGATGTGAGGTGTCTCTGTGGGATTCAGATGAACCTGTGCCCAGGGCAGAGCTGCTCAAAGGTGTGCAGGGCACTCATGGTCTCCTGTGTATGCTGTCAGATAAGATCGATGCAGAGCTTCTGGATGCTGCAGGTACTACTCATCCTTGTGTGGAGCTAAATCCATGAACTGATCAGCCAATCAGTGTTAATTTATTATTGTAATGAAGTTGTGGTTCTCTCAGTGTTAATACTACTTTGACTGGGTATACTATATTTCAAATCAAATATAAATTTTAAAACAAACTGAATGTTTGACACAATATCACCTAGGGAAAAGAATAACCTGTATGTAGTGGTTGTTTTTTGTTGATGACAGTCAAAGGAGCAACTTTGAATAGATTTGGGTTTTCAGCACTGATATAATTGTAAAGAAACTGGACTGTTCCACAGTATCCTGTAATTTGAGATGGTGAATTTTTGTTTTTCGTAAAGTGTAAGCTGTGATGATCAAGACTTAAACAAAAAACTCTTGAAATATTTGTCTTTGTGTGGGATGGATCTAGCATCATGGAAGTTTCTCTTTTTGAGTTAAATTATGGCAGGAAAAGAATTTTCTCAGGACCCTCTAATTTTCTTCGCACCTGTACATGCTGGGCTTGAAAGCAGGGTGTTGGATTTAATATAATTACCAAACCAGTAGGATGCTTCAACTTTTATCAAAATAAATCAAGCAAAATCAGTGGCAGGTTTTTATTGTGTCTTTATCAACTCCACTCAACTCAACTTTATTTATATAGCACTTTACACACAACAGAGTTGATCCAAAGTGCTTCACAACAACACAGAGGAAATACAAAAACAAAAGAGAACAAACAGATGATGAAGAAGAGCAGACTGAGTGACAGTGATAATAATAACGATGGCAATAAAATTATATTTTCAATACCATCACTATCATCATCATTCATAATAGTAATAATAAATAACAATTATAATAATAACAGTGATAATGACAACACAGATCTACTGACCTACAGAGCTCACAGAGCCTACATGGGAAATGGCTGAGCTATAAAAGTCAGGGACAGTTAAAAGCTAGGGAGTAAAAGTGGGTTTTAAGTTGAGTCTTAAAAATCTCAATGGTGGGGGAGAATCTGATGGAGGGAGGAAGAGAATACCACAGTTAGGGGCAGCGATAGAGAAAGCCCTGTCCCCTTAACACTTAGTCCTGGATCGTGGGACTGACAGAAGTCTTTGATCAGACGATCTTAGTTCTTTCATTGTGTGATATGGGGACAAGAGCTGTGTGACGTAAGAGGGGGCAAGACCATTCAACACTTTGTAGACAAACATCAGGGTTTTAAACTCCTGTAGCTAACAGGCAGCCAGTGAAGGGAGGCAAGAATGGGAGTAATGTTGGAATAGTGTCGAGAGAACAGGTGGAGGTCTTCATAGAAGAGATAATATGATGAAGTTCTGTTAAAGTGATGGAGTTAAAAGAATTTAGAACTGCAGTATTTTCAGAGGAGATGGCTAGGCTGTTTACAGATGGATTAATACTAGCTCTGATGTTAATGACTTTGTCTCTAAAGAATTTTAGGAACTCCTCACATTTAGAGTCAGATGCGTCAAGGCAGGAGGTGGGAGTGGAGGAAATGACAGAGTTCAACACACTAAAAAGTACCCTAGGGTCAGGACAGTTTTTTCAATGATATCAGAAAAATATTGAGCTTGGGCATTTTTGACAGCCAGCTGATATTTATCCAAGAGATTCTTCAGGATTTGGAATGAGATCTGCAATTTGTCCCGCTTCCACCTTCGCTCTGCCCTTCTGCACACTCTCCTAATTTCTCTTGTTTTTTTATTAAGCCCTGGTGAGGCCAGAGGCTTACGTTTTTTAATTGTTAGAGGCGCAACAGAGTCAAGGGTGGCCGAAACAGTACTGGTGAAAAGAGAGCGAATTTCCTCTGTGCTCACATGAGATGGTGCAGCCTCGATACTGTTATTGTTGACAGCCTCTCTGTAGGCTTCTGCAAACTTAGTGGCAGTGGATGAATTGATAGTGCGGGAGCGGAGAAGAGCAGGGCGAACCGGAGAAAGATGAGGCAAATCGAGATAAAAAATGATTGCTTTGTGATCAGATACATGAAAATCTTCTATTACTGGGTTTGAGATAGAGATACCTGAGGAGAGAACTAAATCTAATGTATGGCCTTTAACATGGGTTGGGCCATTCACAGACTGGTGGCGACCAAAAGATTCGAGTAAGTTTATAAAATCACGAGCTGCTTTATGTCACTGATTTGACTTATCTTGCTCTAATTCCAGGGCCAAACTTGAAAGTAATCAGCACCATGTCCGTGGGATTCGACCACTTAGTTCTTGGTGAAATTAAAAAACGGTAGGTAGACATCAACCAAATAAACTATTTGAGGAGCAGCATTGAGTAAAACAGTACTGTCAAGATTTATTACTCTGTGTCCATAAACAGTGGCATACGTGTTGGATACACTCCTGGTGTCCTGACTGACGCCACAGCAGAACTGACTGTAGCTCTGCTGCTTGCCACCGCCCGCAGATTACCAGAGGCAGTGGAGGAGGTCAAAAAGTCAGTGTTATTAAGCTGCACATTTAGCTATATAAGCATCTTCTCTGTTTGTGAATGTGTTGTTCTGGTAATAATGTTTTTCTCTTTGTCTGTCAGTGGTGGCTGGACCTGTTGGAAGCCTCTCATGATGTGTGGTTATGGGCTCTCTGGCAGCACTGTGGGAGTCATTGGGCTGGGACGCATTGGTTATTGCTTCATTAACTTCTGAACAGCCATTTTATTGTCATCTTTGTAATAGATCTTCTTGCCATTTGCTACTAGCACGTAATGATTTATTTTTTTAATTAACTTTAAGATCAAGTGAATAAGTTTGGTATTTATTTTGTTCAGGCATGGCCATTGCTCGCAGACTCATGCCATTTGGAGTGAAGAGGCTGCTGTACTCTGGGAGAACTGCCAAGGCGGATGCCACTGAGCTTAATGGAGAGTTTGGTAGGAAAAACTGAGCACTCAAGGGAAAGATAAAAAGCATAGTCAGAAGTTAAAAACACAAAAGATGTAAAAAAAAAAAAAAAACAATGATCGTATAAAAATATCAAATAAAAAGAAGGGTAAGGTTGTGTTCGATCTATTTCACTGTTTTTTTTCCTCCTGTCCCTCTTTCGAACAGTTCCCCTGGACACTCTTCTGGCAGAGAGTGACTTTATTGTTGTTTCCTGCTCCCTGGCACCAGAGACCCAAGGGCTGTGTGACAAGGCTTTCTTCAGCAAGATGAAAAAAACAGCAGTCTTTGTCAACTCAAGCAGGTAGACTTGAGAGCTCTGTAAACCTTAATGTGTATTACAGAAAAATCTGTAATATTATAAAATTATTTTTACTTTCGTTTACCTTACATCCTTATTTTCAACATGAAATTGTTGGTTCTCTTTGACCTGCTGAAGTACTTCCACTCTAATCCTAAAAAAAATGTCAACTTTCACATTGGATTTTCTAGCTGACTTAACTCTCTGCTTGCTGGCACTGGCATACATTCGATATTTCATTGCCTGATTTGATTAGGAAAAAAAGAATAAGTTAAATTTTTTGTGACTGTACAAATTTCTGAATGGGGCCGGTCCATCGGCACGCATGCTTACTGATCATTAGAAATGCTTTGTTTCTGATACTGGTACATATTGGTATAACTCCTGGAAAAAAAGCACTGGATTAGAAAATAATTTCAGCTGTCTTCATTTTTTACCCAAACTTTACAAATAGGTAAGATACATGCAGACTCACATGTTTGATGATGTTGGTTTCAGAGGAGCCGTAGTAAACCAGGAGGACCTGTATGAAGCTTTGACCAGTGGACAGATTGCTGCAGCTGGTCTGGATGTAACAACACCTGAGCCACTTCCAACAAATCACCCTCTTCTTACACTTAAAAACTGTGGTAAGTAGATATAATACAACCCCAAGTCCAAAAAATTGGAACGCTGTGTAAAATGTGACTGATTTTAAAGAATTTATAAGTTTCTACATCTTTAAACCCTTTGTTCAAAGACAACATATCAGATGTTGAAACTGATCAAAGTATTGTTGTGCTGTTTATTTTGGTAAAAAGTCATAGTATGAAAGGCATCATACATTACTCTAAAGCCTATATAAATTGTCCAGCATTCATAGTGCTGCAGGAGCCATTTTTGAATGAGTTTGTTTCCATAAGACATGGCGTGTGGCGTTTGAGGTCACACTGGATAATTGGTGGTCATTTTCAGATGGTAAATACATTTTTTGACTGCTGAGGCAGCATGGTGCTGATGAGTTGTACGTTGGTCCTTGTTCATGGAAAGTGCTGTTTGATGGGCTCTTCTGAGTGAGAGTTTATATTGCATAAATCGGTTGGACCTCGAGTCATTAGACACAGTACTTTGCAGTGTGTTATTAAGGTCATCCAGGTGTTCTACTTCAGTGGCCTTAAGCATCGGCTTGGCCTCTAAACGTATCTTTCCAAATATGTAAGCCTTCCATGTCATAAACACTAATATATCTCAATACCATCAGAGATGCTGGCAGTTGAACTCTCCTCTAATAACAAGCAAAGAGGCCCCACTTCTCTTTAGAGCAGTGGTGTTCATGGTTTCCAAAAAGGACTGTCTTGTGTTAGACCACAGGACAGTTTTCAACTTCTACAGTCACCAGCTTTTCTAGGTAGTCTATGTATGGCTTTCTCTTTGCAGGACACAAGTTTAACCTTTATTTTGGATGCAGCAACAAACTGTTCAAAAGCAGTGGTTTGTGAAGTGATTTTGAGCTTGTGCAGTTAATTGCATTACAGTGTCATGTATGTTTTTGTAGCAGAGCTGCCTTAGGGCCAAAAATCAAAGCCATCTTTTATCGATTTAGGTATAATGGGTATTTTTCCTTATTCTCTGAATCTTTTCATGATATTGTGAAATCCCCAAATTCTCTCCGGTTTTAAATATTTATTGAACTATTTATTATCACACTCAGTCACTCACAATCAAATTGATCATTCTCTAACTTTGATCATTTCTCTGCGCACAACTTTTAATTAAATAAAGGGTTAATAATTTTTGAATCATTAAACTCGGTCTTTATCAATGCTACACAGTGTCCCAACTTCTTTGAAGCTGGAGTTGTATGTGAATATGGCTCTTGTCCCATTCTAACTCCTGATTTAACATTTTTACTTGTCTTGTGCAGTGGTGTTACCACACATCGGCAGTGCCACCTACTCCACCAGAGGCATCATGGCAGCTCTCTCAGTTCAAAACCTGCTGGGGGGTATACAGGGCACAGAGATGCCCAGTGAACTCAAGTTCTAATACCTGAAACTGAGCTGATGTGCCTGCAGTACTAATAAGAAACACTGTATAGATTATCTTGTATGTGGAAAGCTGTATCTGAACCACAAAACCTTTCCTAAATGCAGACACTGCTCTAGAGATTAGCCTTTGACTTCTTAATCTGCACTTTATTCAGATGCTAATACTCTATGTTTACCGTTACAAAACACTCTAACACTCCAGTTTTGTGTAAAATGGGAAACTGAAAAAATAAAAACTAATCTGAAGCTTTAGTTTTTTTTGTTATCCTTTCGAAACCCCTTAGGCTCATAGATTCATATTTATTCTCATCACTCTTAACACAGCAGTCACAGTATTCACTATTCAGAGAATTTTGTTGTGCATTTACATCACTTTGGCTACATTCGATCTGTTTATATGCCACAAATAATAATAAAACAAAGTTCACAACATGGTCAGGAACATTAAAACATGTTAAAAGCAAATTGAAATTCATTTCCGATTAAAATTTTAAAAAATCAATAAGTAACTGGCAAAGTCATACACAAAGTTTGAATTGTGAGTTCATTATTTTACAGATAGTTGATAAGTTTTTTTTTTTTCTCAAGGTGAATCAATGAATTTCTGTCAAGTTCTGATTACAGCAGGGTGTCTGTGAATGATTGATCATCCTTCCAGTTTAGGCAGGTGTTTTTCGAGTGTTTGTACAGATGGGAGGACTGGCTGAAGCGCTTTCCACATTTAGGACAGGGATACGGTTTTTCTCCTGTGTGGACTCTGATGTGCTTCTTACAGTCAGTCAGGTTCATGAAGGTCTTGCAGCAGATTTTACAGGCATACTTCTTCTCTCCTTCTACTAGCAGCACATGGTCTTCAGCTGCTGCTTTCTTGCACTTGGACAGAACATCATCTGAAGCTCTGGTTAGAGATGGTCGCTCATCAGAGGGAGAGCTATCTGTACCTGCTTCTGACCCGGGCAGGACTTTAGGGGCAATGCGACGGAAGGTTGTCGCCCCTGAGCTTTTCCCAGCCCTAGAGGGTTGGACAAGGGAGGTATCTAGTCCGAGGCTTGGCCTGATGCCACTCAGGAATCCTGCAAGAGAGTTCTGGGTGGGCTGAAGGATGAGTGTGTCACTGAAACTAGGGCCCTGAGTTGGAAGAAGCTGCTGCAAGGGGACAGATGTTACAGGGAAAACAAATGAAGGGGAGGAGGAATCAGAGGACTGAGCAGAGGAAGTGTTTGCATCTTTTGAGTTTTGACAAAGCTGGCTAGTATCTTCAGCAGCCGCAGAAGTGTCACTGGCTGTCGCTGCAGCGGTCGCAGCAGCAGTGAGGCTTGCTAAACTGTCATCCTCTTCCAGACTTCCCATTACACTCTCAGCGCTTGGATTAAGGAAGCAGGAAAAGGCAAGTTCAGATAGACTGTCGAGTCCCTCACTGTCCACTGATGCCTCGCCTAGATCTCCAGCCTCTCTCTGTGGATCAGAGTGAAGATCTGTGCACAGCTGGGAATTCAAGGGGCTTACAGCAACTTCTGCTGGACAGGCAGCGTCCATTTTCTCATCGTCTAGTTGTGTATTCAAATTTTTAGTGCAGTCTTGTAGAGGAGAAGGAGGAGAAGCGAGAGTGATTGCATCTAAATCTGGGGAATATGAGCTCAGATTCTCTCTTTTTACTTCAATTTTTGGCATCTTTGGGTTGTCTCCCTCTTCCTCCCCTTCATCCCCCACCTTTACTTTGAGTACAGTGTCTCCATCTCTGCCCCTCTCCCATACACGTATGCCCCCTGTGCTGCTGTCTGACTGGCTTGGCAGCTGGATCTCCTCCATCTCTCCCTTTGTAGCTTCATATTTCTCCTCAACTTCTTCCTCCTCTTCACTTTGCCCCTCCCAGAGTCTGTTAGATGGCGACAGAAGTTCCTCTCCTCCATCCTCTGTACTGACAGTGCTTCTGGTCACTGTTGGTGAACACTCTTTGTAGTTCCCCTCTTGTACCCTGCAGAACCTCTTCCTGCCACCGATGCAGTCCTCGTTGGACTTTCTCTTGTGTCTCACAAGTGCTGCTGTGCTCTGCTCACCGCTGGTTTCCCCCTTCATCATCTGGTCTTCAACCCCACCAGACTGACTAACCTCCACTCCTGCTTCACCCTCGTCTTCACCTTTCTCCAGGAGAGATGTGCACGGCTTGAGCAAATCTGCTTTTTCATATGCAGGATTCTGCTGCTGCATTGACCTCCATCCTTTAGGCGGGGATGCAGGAAAGTTTTTCCTGGACAGGTGGAGCTTGCAGGCCTTGACCACAGCATTAAGGTGCAGGTGTGATGCTGCTAGAAGCACATCCATAACATTGGAGGCCCTCAGAGAGAGGTTTGAGGTGTAAATCATGTCTAACAGGGTAGAGAAAGCCTCAGGGGTCACCACCTCTGGATCTAGCGTCAACACACAAACCCCTTCACCTTTGTCACCTCCTCCTGAACCTTCGACTTCATCTCCATTGTCACTGGAGCTCAGTAGAGCCCTGAAGTGGGAGCTACATGCTGCCAGGATGGAGCGGTGAGCCTGGAAGCTCTGGGGTCCAACTGCCACCAAACAATCACACAGCTGAGCATGCAGGCGCTGGTGGTTCAGCTGCTTAAAAATATGCTGGAAATGGCCTGGAAAGTCCATACTAGGAGGAAAATATTGCTTTAAAATTTGACAGGTTGTATCACTGTTGTTGGCTGTACAGTAACAGAGAGGAGATCATTGTCCAAAACAGTCATGTTATGATCAGCTTCCTGTTGCCCTCATCTTAGTTGGCAGACTACTGCGTGGCATTTCACAAAGCCTACCTCTGCACGATTTTGGTCTGTTGTTGTTAAGGCTTCCTGAAGATGCTCTCCGGAGTATGGGCGGGCCGGTGCAACAATAACGCGGAAGGATGCGGAGCGGTCACAAGCTTTGTCTCCAAGAACAGCGCGGAAATTTAGCCCAACTGTCCCCCTCTGCTGCGGAACCCAACTGCGATGTTTTGAAGCGATTTTAAATAATGATACAAGATGAGACATATCTCACAGGACCGGTTAAGCAAAGGCTTTCGGCGCCTCCATCTCTTGAAGTCCGACCAACCTTCAGGAAAAACCACACTGCCCCCATTTGGTGATCACGCAGAACTGCAACTTTGGTTATTGAGACACCTTACAGTTTTCAAACCTGAAGTTAAAAGCTTTTATATTGCAAACACATCACTGTAATATATTTTCACATACAAAATGTATATTAACTAGTCTAAATATCAACATGGTTATAAAGGAATAAAATAATTTCTTGAAAAATGGCTTGATCACTCTGATAAGGGACCTTTAGCAGAGCAGTCATATTGCTATCATCTACAGTGCCTTGAAAAGTATTCATACCCCTTGAACTTTTTCACATTTTGTCACTTTACAACCACAGAATTAAAAGTATTTTATTGAGATTTTTTGTCATAGACCAACACAAAGTAGCACGTAATTGTGAAGTGGAACGAAAAGGACGCATGGTTTTCAAAAATTTAAAATAAAAATATGAAAAGTGTGGTGTGCATTTGTGGTTTGCATACTGTACAAGGCACTGTATAGGCATTAGGGATGTGAATTGTTATGATTTTATTAATATCAATGCCATTATCGATTCTGCTTATCGATTCAATTCTTAAACGATTCCGTTATTGGTGCCTTTCTTTGATTTAAAAAGAAGTAGACCATAGGTTTTCACAGTTAACTTCAAATTTTTTTGAGTCTCTGATAACAGTAGTCTAAAAATAATTAAATGACAAACTATTAGTACAGTGTTTACTTCGGTCAGTATTAAGTCAAATTCGGGTGACCATATTCTGGATCCCCAAAAAGAGGACATTACTAAGTGGGAGGCGAGGCCGCGTGCAAAATTTTGAGGGTTTTTTGGGTCGGGTCAAGTGTTTTTGATGCACTTCTAACTCAGTTAGTCCAAGTCTTGCATGCATTGTGCTTATCTTAACACAGGACATACGTACCTTCTGTGCCGTTGCTGAGACAGAGCAGCGGCGGCTGACAACCAGAAGAAAAGAATCAATAAGGGAATCGTTAAGATAAAAGGTAAGCGATGTCGATGGATTGAACCATTTGGAACCGTTTTTTACCAAGAACTGGTTCTCGACTCCCATCTCTAATAGGCATCTAAATGCTTTAACTAGTTTAGGGTTAAATTCTGAGTTTAGATGTTCATGGCTGTAAAGGCTGGTTTTAAATTTCAAGCAAACAACTGTAATAAAAAAGGTTAGTTTTGCTGATATTCTAAATGGAAGACAAATGCACCATACACGTTTTTTCTATTTTTATTTAAGGTTTCATGAGAACATTGAGGCCACACTATTCACAAAGTCAGCAAAATGTTGCAGCCTTCATGAAGCATTTCAGCCTCAGAACTGAAATACTTGAAATTTGGTCTGAAAGTTTCTATTTCATGTGTCCAAAGTACCAAACTAACAATTACAAACACTGTGTCCCATTATTGCGTAAACATGGCAGTCAAACTTAAGTCTTTCGTGACATGGTCAATGAGACAGGTGAAACAAAAAAACCACAAGACTAAAAGTATGTACAAGACATTTCTTGAGGTGACGTGAAGGACAGACTGGTCATCATCATGGGAGAGTTTTTCTGTGATGGCTCCTGATGGCTCCTGTTGGTCTGTGGTTGGACAAACTCTCAAGTGGATGGACGAAAAACAACAGACTCTGCTTATATGCTGTCCAACTTCTTTAACACGTATGGGGCTGCAAAGACAGAATTAAAGATCATTTATGTATGATATCAGAAAGAAAGGTATAGTAAAAAAAGACAGCTGCTGTTCTTGTTTTGTTCGTAAATGAACACAGTTTAGCAGCACAGAACCTTCAGATGGAGGCGTGTGGATTTATTAGAGGTATCAAGTAAACTACAATGTCTTAAACACCACTGATAAGCAGTGTTGGAAGTCAGTGATGGTGGTTTTAATGATCAATGTCATCTGTCTGTGTTGTTACTCACTGGCTCTAAGAAGAGCGACGTAAATAATGAAGTTTCGTAACGATGAGATAACGTCCTGACGCATTTTCTTCTTCATCTCTTCCGGGTCCATTTTAGGCCCGAGTCCCTCCAGTTTGAACATCGTAGCTTTAGTTTTACTTCTTTTTGCACCTCTGTTCACCTTTGGACAAGGATCCCTCGATGTCGGAGCGTGTATGAAATAATCTCAACCGGAAATACATACGACGGAAGTTACGTTTTATCTACGGCGAACATAGAGGGACAAACTGTACGAAGGCACTAAAGCGAAGCAAAAATGAATCTCAAGGCAGAAGTAAACACAAAGGTAAATATAATTAAAAAAGGAGGAGTCTTGGATTGATTAGTACGACTTTTTTTCCTTCAACAATATTTTTCTTAACTGAATATCACCGAGATTATATCCTTAGTTGTACATTTTACAAGTTTGCAGGTTTTATTTATTTTTAAAAATGGGAACAGTATATATTGATAAACATTTACATGTAAATTCGTGGGATTATAGCCAAATGGCTGATTTCCATCCCCAGTCACAGGCAGGTTGATGTTAAACATAAATGCAATAATGTTACAAGTACAAACAACATGACTAAGACAGTAAAACAATGCAGTGACAACATACACATATTTTACATAAACAACGTACACAGACCAAAAAGTGACCAATCGTAAGGGGACCAAAAAGATTAAAAGAGAACTGTAAAATGCTAAAGTGCTAATTAAAGTGTCTGATGCTAAAGGTGTTTAAAGTGCCATTTGCTACAGTACACTTATGACCCAAGGCCTAAAGTTTGGGAGCAACAAAGTACATTTTAGTTCAACTGACTTACTAATTTATTGACGCAGACTGCCAAAAATACTAGTTTATTAAATTACCCCAAACTAGATGACACAACTGAAACTGGACCTTTGGGGCCCCTGCAAAACTTGAGGGCAGTCACTTTGCAGGGAGATTAACCTATCCTGTTAGGGTACTACAGGCTTTTAAGATAATGTTGGCCATTAATTTCCATGTAAACATGACTAAGTTCAATAGAAATAGCCCAACAATATATAAAAAGAACACTTATTACTATTGTCATTCAGAATCAGAAATACTTTAATAATCCCCGAGGGAAATTGCTTTTGTCACAATACTCTAGTGCAAATACAGTAAAAAGAGGAGATAAATAATAGATAAAATAAGTAAAAAAAAGAGATAAATTGATAAAATAAGTAGAAATGAAGAGATAATATACAAGTATACACACCATATACAACACAAATATTTTTTATTATTGTTATTATTATTATTATTATTATTATTATTATTCAGAATCAGAAATACTTTAATGATCCTCAGGGGAAAATTGCTTTTGTCACAGTACTACAGTGCAAATACAGTAAAAAGAGGAGATAAATAATAGATAAAATAAGTAAAAAATAAAGAGATAAATGGATAAAATAAGTAGAAGTAAAGAGATGATATACAAGTATTTACACTATGTACAACACAAATAAATTATTATTATTATTATTATTATTATTATTATTATTATTATTATTATTATTATTGCTATTATTATTATTGTTCAGGATCAGAAATACTTTAATAATCGTAAAGGGGAATTGCTTTTGTCACAGCACTCCAGTGCAAATACAGTAGAAAGAGGAGATAAATTATAGATAAAATAAGTAAAAAATAAAGAGATAAATGGATTTAATAAGTAAAATAAGTTTAAAAAACGAGATAATATACTAGTATTTACACTATGTACAACACAAATAAATTATTATTATTATTATTATTATTATTAATAGAGACCTCACACTGGATAGAGCTGACCTTGCGGGGGAGGGGTAGGGGTCCTCCGGGCAGACAGTAGAGGAGGCAGAGAGAGAGAGAGAGAGAGAGAGAGAGAGAGAGAGAGAGAGAGAGAGAGAAAGAAGGAGGGAGGGAGGGAGAGACAGACAGAGGGAGGAGGAGGGGATGGGTTATTTCTGAGCCCAGGGCCGAGGATTAGGCAGAGAGCAGTCCCAGTACGATGACAGCATCCAGCACATAGCCAAACCCCCCACACACCACATCGCCATCACCATCCGGCCAGGGGAGGACTGTCTCTCAGAAACAACCATCACCTGGCCTGAAAAACCTCCACCTCAGCGATATTTTCTCTGGGATCACGCTGCTGCCAGACTCCCGGTTCGTCTTTCTCCTCCTTCGACCACGAGGTGAGTTTGCTCGGTATTTCCCGGTGTTATTGTCTGATGAAGGAGCGCCCGGCTGTGGACTGAGCCGCCTGCACCTTGCATCCTTTCCGACCATTTGGACAGATTTTTATCCCATCGAAATGAACAAATGAGCCGATAGTCGTTCCCACTCCGCCCGCAGGCTGTACTCGTGTCCGTGTTGGAGTGAAGCGATGATCAGATTTAAATCCGATTAATTTTTGTAAAGGAAGCAACAAAAGACTGACCTTTTTTTTCTCTTTGTTAAGCCAACTGGTTTCACCGGTATGGCAGCGATCAGTAATCAAAGTTAGAGATGGGTCAATGCTATGCTAAATATTGATTCCTTTAAGAGCATTTTTAAAGCATTTATGACCGATAGACACAGTCAATATGTGATTTTTTTTCTCACTTTCACATCCTAGCAGCTCATTGGGCAATATAAATCAATATTTTACACAACTACAATCTGGAACTAGGTCAATTTGTCACCATGCTGAATGCATTCATCTATGTGTTCACAAACACATGTCCTATGCAGCAATAGTGGAGATCCATGCTGTCGTCTGCGCAGTTATAGATGGGAAATGATCGGACTAAATCCTGACGGATCAGGGGGGATGCCAGGAGTCTGGGTAGTAAAACACGCACATTATGAATGGGCGTAGGCGATGTGCATACACATCTTGACTGTCGCCTTTCCTTTTTTTTTTTCCTGTGCTCCTTTATCCTTCGGCCAGCAGCAGCCTCTTTCCTGCGCCCTACCGTGCCGTGCCAGGCATGACAAGCTCAACACAACTAGACCGGAACAATGCGTTTTGCTGTTCAGGGGCCTTCATTTAATGCATGACATGATTTAATATGACCGCTGATTGTGGCTCCATTTAAACACGTGTATTAGCCCTCCACAGCTATACTATACATGAAGACATCATCTAAGATCATCACTCAGTGTTTTTTCTGCTGCTTTGTGTGGTGGATACATTGAGATATGAATGAGCCGGCACATGAATGAATGAATGAGTGAATGGGTGAAAGCAAGTGCAGTGCAGCTTCACTATCTGATTTGGCTGTGGATGCTCAGTGTTTTGCTTTCACTCATGTCTGCACAGTTTTCTACTGCTGCTGCAGGCTCTTTGCTGTGACTCAGGGATGTATGCTTCTGCTACATGTGATGAGAGACGCCGCTGCTCCTTGGTTACTCTGCCAGAGGAGAAACACGCCAGGCAGAGCGTCCACATCAAGACAGACTTGATGCCTGGCTGCGTTAGCCTCGATTTGCCCCCTGTCTCACTCAGTGTAGCCAGCCATCCTTTTCCTCTCATCTTCTTTTTCTTGGCTTCATATCTCCAGGGCTGATGGTTGCTTTACTCCAGTCAAATGCCTTGACCAATTGATCATTACGGTCATCAATACGTGAAGCTGTTCAGGTGATTCGTATTATTGTTTCAGCTATTGGCTCGTGGAATCATTTGATTTATCAATACCCGATCGTCTTAGCAAGTGAAATTTAGCAACTCAGGGATTGGGGTTAAAGGTGTGTTTGGAAATATTAATTCATCAAACAATGAGCGTGGTCAAGACCTCGTCTTCTTCTTTGAAAAGCGTCTTGGGATGACGACTGTTGTGAATTGGCGCTATATAAATAAAATTTGATTGATTGATTGAAATATTGGGTGTATCATGTATAGACAGCTGGATGTACAGTAAAGACTGATATCAGAACAAAGGATATACATGTGTCTTCTTCTGAAACAGCACCCAGAGTCTACTAGAGGAAAAAGGAGTCGTGACCTCATTGGTGTGACAGCTCCATGGTGATGGCACAATTGACTGGCAGTGACGCCATAATGTAGGCCAACTCTATTCCTGCCACTGAAAACATTAAGTGTAGTGAAAAGAATTATCCTGAGTAAAGCAGTGCTTCATAAGCAGGTTTATCCTCTTCCATTCTTTGCTGTGATAGAAAATATACAGGAAATCATACTGTAGCTATATGTGAGTGTTATTCCAGAGCCCAGAGGCCTTCTCTAGCCAGTGGCTTGTTGTCTGCACTCTTATTACTTTTACTTACAGATAAGCCCTCTATTGTACGCTTTTGCAAGGATCACTGAGTTGAAGGAAATTGGCTCAGACAGCACCAGAAGAGGCAGACAGTTTTCCAGACTTGCTACATCTATCGGTCTCTAACAACCAAAGACTTTCCCCAGACATCAAGATCTTCCTCTGTCTCACTCTGTCTCACCGCCTTTCCCTCTCCAGAACCATCAGAACCATCGATAAAGATCTGTAACACAATGAAGTGAGCGCACTATTAATCTTCAAAAGACCCATTATTTAATAGTTCACTGGGGAACTCTAGCCTTGCCAGGTCGTTGATGAAAGGGGAAATGAAATGAGTAGTGCACGGTGAGTCCTGTCTTCATAATGCTAATGGAATGAGCTGACAGGCTGGATGAAAAACAGGAAATGTGCCTAAGTGTGAAAGACAGGTAACGGTGAAATAAACTGAAAAACAGCAAGCAGAATGGTGTTAAGCAGACTAAAACAAACACCCAAGCTGCTGTGTGACAGACAGCTGCCTTTAATGGTGCTATTTTATATCATGTCTTTGCAAAAATAACCCAAATTTGTTCTGTACAAGGCCACAAAAGAAACACAACACCAAAAGTCAGAAGCTCCACCAGCAGGTCTAAAAGACTGCACTGCTCTGGGCTAGATAGTAACGTCAACATGCAAATTACTTGTAATGACAGTTCTAGTGTGAAATTTTAGCACATAAGCCTAAATGGCAATCCATCTAATGGTTGTTAGGAGATTTTACCAGAAATAACAGATTTTTACCCGCTGCTGCTGAAAATCTGTGTCCCAATTAGATTAGGATTATTTTCTGGGAACCATCAGAATCTTTTCCTAAAATAGTGAAGAGTTTATTTTGTGGAAAGTGATCATTTGAACTGAACAAATAAAAGTCTTGACCATCTTGAAATCATGAAAGCTATTAGAGCTCGTCCTCAGGGGACCACAACACCTGTTTCAGATGGTGAGTCATGACAGGAAATGGTGGGCGACCCTGGGTGATGTAACACACCATCTTTACAGCTAGTGTGATTTGTTACCTATATATGTGCGTACTGTAGACAGTATTCACACTCCTCCATAGCCTTAAGAGGACTTTGGTCAAGAATCCTTATATTGTATAGTTTGCTGAAACAGTAAAGCTTTTTCAGCCAAAAAAAGCTTTATTGTTGGGGCTTTTTGCCTTAATATTGCTAGGATACCTGCAGGAAGACATGATATTTGGGGAGAGGGATGGACTGACATGCACTAAATTATGCCAGGACTTAAAAATAAATCCTATGGGCTGGAGCCGCTGTACACGAGGCATCTGCTCTAACAACTGGGCCTAACAGGCACCCCAGTATCAAACTGTTTATTTCTTTTTTATTTTTTTATGTCCTTTGATATCTGACTGCTATGACAGATGTTATAGGAATCTCCATAATGGTAAAAATTTCTTGGAATTTCCTCCTGTGGGAGTGATAAAGCAATATCTTATTTTATCTTTAAAATGAAGTAACTACCCTCTTTACTTCATGATGGCAGTCAATCTGTCCATGAGTCCAAATTTTAATGCTTAATTCACAGCTCTATGTACAGATCTAAGAAGTAAATCTAAAAAGGACTTTATTAAAGGACACCCCTCCCCCGGGTTTTTAAAAGGCATATCTGTGTCACCGAGAACCCGAGGAATCTGGTTATTAATGCATAAAGGAGAAGTCTCATATCAGCAAACTTTTAATTTCTTGAGAGCAGCGGTATGACTGAATCATCTCTCTATCCGGTTTTTCCTTAATTTATTACTTGATTATTTAGGAATCTGTTGTGATAGTGAAGCTACCTTTGACTTACAAATTATAAAATCATGAGATGCCAAAAACATTTGAAACCCAGAAAGATTTAAGTTCCTTTTGAGTCAGAATGCAGAGTTGCTTTTGTAACCTCAGATTTTTGCGTTGCCTATATTTTCAACAGGAATTAGCATAATGCATAAAGTAAATTTGCCATTCATCTCAAGTATAACCTATGGGTCAACCTTTGAATTAAAAGTGTTGAATATCATCTAAACTTCTTTTGAAAGAGGAAAAATAATTAAGTATTAATCGTCTGCTCTACGTGTTCTTCATTTTTACAACTTCCACAGTCATGAAATCTGAGGTAATCCTGCTGCCTCACATAAACCTGACCCTCCCAACCCAGACACTCACACTCACGCTCACACACAAAAATCCTCTGCATATTTTCACACGCTGTAGTCTTTTGCCAAGTGTGCTGCTGTTGGATCGAACGTCCACCGCCAGCAGGGACTGTGAGCCAAAATGAATTGTCAGGTTGCTTAACCAACCCCTGTTCTTGCTCCTCCTGCTGCTACTGCTGTGCTAAGCCACATTTGGTGCAGATGTGTCCGGTGTGTCATATTCCACTGGAGGGGAATTTGTGTGTGTCAGTGTGTGTGTGTATATGCATGTTTGGGACAGATTGGGAACAAGATGTCGAAAAGCAGCCAACTGGTCCTTTCTAAATAAAAGCAGTTGTTCTGTGAGTGTATGAGGCTTTTGCTAGGGTCTGGTTTTCCACTGAGTAATGCATCACTTGCTTATTATATTAAAGTGAGTGTGTACAGCCGATAGAAAAAAAATTACTGCCGAATTCCCCCTCTCAGTCAGTTTGTCATCCCCATTAGTTTGGATTATTTCAGCAGCTGTATGTGGACACATTTTCCTCCTCTTGGGTCTGGTCCAGGTGTGTGTGCGACCTGCCCTGGCCCGGTCTGGCCCAGCAGTGCTAATTGGTCTGTTTTCCATCCAGCTGGCTCCACAGAAGCTGCTAGTTCATTGGCACCCCACAACCCCTGAAAAGATAGAGAGAGAGATGAGGAGGAGGAGGAGTGTTTCTATGAACTGCATGCACACTCATACCAGGAGACAGGGTTGAATAACTGACTGTTCGGACCGGGACAGAGAGACATTGTATGGGCAAATGAGCAAGACGGTGGGGGCATTGTCTCAGGGAAATGAGACATATATTAAAACAGAAGGATTGAGGTAGTAGGGATTACCAGACAGACATGTTCCTTGTCCTTGATAGAGGGGTGAAAGGGTAGAATTAATAGAAGAAAATAGAGTAAGTGAAAATCCAGACTGGTTACTCTGCCTGTTGATAAGCTGTGTTTGTGTGTTGGCAGCTTGAGGACTAAAGGGCATGACAGCCCAGGACAGGATTCACGATTGCTATTGATTCTGAACCAGATTAGGAGCAGACTCATCACCAGTTCGCAGACTCTCAGGCTTTACTGCCAAGGCTCAAATGAAAATGCTGTCAGACCAAAGAGGGAGTGCAATCTCTTCATTTAAGAGGGGCTGTAATCGGGGAAAATTAAAAGCAGCACAATAAACAGGAGTAAAACCACAGTGCTGTTTTGTTTGTTTCTCACCTGAACATACATTAGTGTTTGCTGTGTGTGTTTTTCCCCTCAGTTGGTAGAGAAATGCGTGATTGATCAGATTTTTCTTCAGTAATGTCTCACTGTAGATACTTTTGTTCTCTCTTTTCTTCCCCTGCAGCTTTACTCTGCATTTCTCTGCCACTGCCCTCTTCACCCTTTTTTAAATTCCCCCCAGTCACTCCCCCCGCAATATCCTGCCTTTTCTCTCTTTTCTTTTCTTTTCTTTGACCAGTTCTCCTTTCAGTATCCCTTCCCCTTTTCTCAGCCCCTTCAGAGCCTCCTCCCCTCTCCCCACCCCCATACATCTCTCCTGTGGCTCCCTCTTCTTCTGCACTCCGCTCTTCTTCTCCTTGCCTCTGTTGGCAAAGTGGCAGAAGGCCTAGCTAGCTGCATTAGCACCATGCATTATTCATGTGCCCTGCAGTCTGTGTGGGTCTAGGTCCTTTTGCTGGCTTTTCACCGGGACACATGGGCCCTGTGAAAGAGCTCTGCGTACAGGACACAGGGCCGGATGGAAGAGCTGCACAGATGGGACTATCAGTGCCTTGATTTGTGCTCCCTCTTTTAGATGAAAGCTCTGGGGAGTTAAGAGTTTACTTCACAGGTCAACATTCAAGTCTACAATGAGACGGTTATCTAACAGAAGATCATGAATGTTTAGTAAGTGTTTCAACAGCCAGGCTTTTCACAACAAACTGTATTTTTCTCCCCAAACCAGAGGTTGGCTGAGGTTTCAGCCATATCTGCCCCTTATGTTCATATGAAAGACTTGGCCTGGTTTATTATTGGCTGAGAGCTCTGCCTGCCTGGCAGCGTTTCTCTCTCCCCCACATCCGGATTCACAGGCTGTCCTCTTTGCTTTTAGAGCGCGCCCCAGTAAGACATGTTAACTGAACTGGGCGGTATGAAATTTTAATTTAGAGAACCAGACGGAGATGGAGTGCCTCCTCTCTACATCGCCATGCAGGAGCGAGAGAGAAAGAGAGAAAGAAAGAGAGAGAGCCTTGGGGACCAGAGGAGGGGCCTCTTGGAAAACCACAACCACATAGCTGGTTTGGACTCACATCTGCTCCGTTTGACACACTTATTCGCTCCGTCTGAAAACATCAACAACTGGAACAGCTCTCTTTTGATAAAGAGGTTAAAGTTCTGCGGCAGATACGGCTGATCAGACGTAATCGTTGTTGAAATCCTGTCGTTCACACTTCAATCCATTTTTATATCCACCATGTGGTTATTTTGATTCGTGTTGATGGGATATGACAGGTCTCCCTGACAGCGCTGCTCTGCTCTGCACAGGTGGCCACAAACAGATTGAGATTGGGATTGGCCCTGATGATCACAAGGAGCCCCCTCCACATCTTTTCAGCCAATCCTGGAGGGGCTGCAGCGCTGATGTCTCAGAGGGCGAGAGGGTATTTGTGTTCTGGAGTCCTAAAGAGACAAGCCACATCACGGTGAGTCACACTCTCACAGTCTTCTGATGAAAATGGAAGAAACTGAAAATATAAGGGGGATTATCAGAGCCTCTATGGTTCGAGTGCAGACTGAATCTTTTTGTGTCTTTTCTAAATTTAACTAACAACAAATACCTCAATTTTACTCTAAAGGATGAACTAGTTATACATTTATTATCTTCTTGCTTTTTACTACTGCTTTCCTTTCGTTTTTAAACAATGGTGGGTTGTTATTGCAAAGAGGAAGAATGTGAACCTCGTGAACTAAGGGTGTGCATGTGCAGGTATATAAAAAAATGACTGTCTGCACCACCCGAAGAGACTGTCATCCGAGACGACTACCTGACTTTGCAAGGACAGCGAGGTTAGAGAGACAGAGCAAGAGCGGAGAAAATGAAAGACTGAAGAGAGACTGACTGAGATGAATAGCTAAAGTCACCTGACATATAGTAGCAGATGTAACACATGTGCACCTTTACACCTGTAAGTGTTGTGCACATCCAAACAACAACATCAACATCAGACCAGAGTTGTTTTTGGGGTTTTAATGACGCTGATTGCTCAAACGAGGCGTTTGTGTCATTATTCAGTCTGGTCTTCTGGTGTACAGCTGTCAGTTACCTCCCATCACTCATCCCTCGTCAATCTGTTTCAATCCGGATCAGCGAGAGGTGCTAAAGTGACACCCTGACCAGTGTGGGCCGGTGCAGAACGAGGGGCTTTAATCCTCTTACAGGACAGACCTACACTGTTAGCTTTACTAATACTGAGAGAGGTTAGTCATCACTGGGCTACGACACATTCTCAGAATGGTGTATTAGCCGCTGACCATTTAAGGAGGCTCAGAAATGTGGCTTTACTCACAGCAGCACGATTTATTCAACATTGCTTAGTTCTGCGATTGATCGCAGTGCAGGCTTTACTGTTTCCCCATAACTCAGCTCATTAAGTCCAGAGAGGTAATAGAGCTCTAATGAGTTTATCTCCCTAATTTATCGGACACCATGTTTTGAAGCCCCATTCAGTTGTGGTGGGTGGCCAGAAAAATGTTCCGTTTATTAAAAGTCTCAAGAAGTGTCCTCCATATTTCAGAGAGCTGATCAAACTCAGCTCTCTGCAGCAAAGCTATGGATCCTTAGTTTTCAGGAGGACATTCATCATCATTAGCTGTATTGATCAGGTCTGGGTAACAACTTTTCTCATTCCTGCTTAAGTTTACTTTATGTTTGTCAGCCTAGTGGGGCCTGGCGCAGCAGGGGAAGCAGATGAAATGCAGTAAATCCCACAGGCTCAGAAAACTAGATTCTCTCTTGTGTTGCAAACAGACGAGTCCTCAAATAATCAAAAGAAACTCTGAAATGTGATTCTGTAGCATAACCCTGCCCTCTCAAATCTTTGTTGCTGTTACATGAAACACAAAAGAAACATCAACATGAAAAATACACAAGTCTTTGTGGAGTATGTTTTCAGAAACACATCATAAACACTGTCACAGAGTTATCAGAGGCTCTACAAGCTTAAAGCCAGTGTATTGATCGGCTGAAAGAAACAAAACACAGTTGAGCGAAGTCGTAAGTCTTGAGATTTGGATGGAGTTCAATGCTGACCAGCTTTGCCTCTCCTGGGTCTGACTGAGCCCTCCATCCTTCATTATGTCCCCAGCTCCCCCTAATAAAAGAGCAGCATAAGCAGAAATTTCACAGCTGCAGAGTTTGTGGGCAGCATGCAGATAGTCGCATATTTAGGCTAAAGTTTTTTGTGATTTTTGTCGGTTGCAAAAATGTGGTTGTGTTTTGGAATCAGGTTATTTATGTGAATGTGTGTGACATGTGTTGTTGTTCCTTCTGGCTACACTCCTCCCCGCTCTTTTCATCCCTCTGCCTTCTTAGCTCCCTGTTCACATATCTGATTATTCATCGCATTCAAGGCGGGCTACACGCTCTGAATGTAAAAACACAGCAGATGAGATGCTAATTCATCCTGAATGCACAGCTTCAAGATGCAGAGCCTAACTCTGAACAATTTCTTACTTGTGTTCTTCTACCGAATCCTTCCATCTTTTTGTGCCTTCTTATCTCTGCCTTTTTTTCTTATTGGGATTATGTCTGTTACTCATCCTTTTATCCCTTTTTCTTCTCTCTTTAGATAAATGGAGGAGAAGGAGCGATGTAGGAGCAGATCTCCAGCTCGGAGGGCCAGCCGGGTGCAGCAGGTGGTGGGCACAATAATACGTCGCACCAGAGAGTCATTGAGCAGGTAAGTTTAGGTTTTTTTTGTCATTGTAAAATGTTTATAAAGTCCTGATGAGGTGACTCCAAACTTTGCAAACACATTTTTGTTTTCCTGCTGATTTTTGTGGTGTATTGAAAAATCTATTCTGACAACTCATGAATCTTTTTATTTGTCAAGGATAGGGGATGACTAGTGAGTCCTAAGGGAGAAAATGAAGTAGATTTTGATGAGAAAACAACTGAGTGTGCAGTAAAAAAAAGTTGGCACTACACAGCTAACTGTAGCAGAAAATGCCAACCCCAAACAAAGTGCTTTGTAAGCAACAACAACAAAAAAACATCTTATATAAAGTAAAAATCTAAACTCAGGTTTGGATTAGAGAACGGCTTCATCCGGTTCTTGAACTGCTGCCAGATTTTGTAGGAGGAAAGAGGTGTGCTGTAAATTCAAAGGGTTGCTCTACCGGTGATAATTGTTTCAACTGAGAGAAGGTGTTCAGTGTCAAATATGAACAGATTCTAAAGAAGATAGAATATCAGGAAAGTAGTGAAACCAAATAATAAAGTGTGTGATATCTTGACTTGGTAAAAACACAATCTGCTCCCTTCCTTCACACCCACTGTCATTCAGAGGCTTAACACATAGTTGAGTACATCTACAAACCTGACTGTCCTCTCACACACAAACACACCCAGAGCTGAACCACAAATATGCTTTCAAGAAGCCTCCATTCCTTTGTTGTCCTTTTGCTGCCTGTTTTCTCGTTCTCAGCAGACGACGCAGTGCGGAGAGGAAGCCCGTAGAATCAGAGTTATTAAAGTCTCAAAATGTCACAGCCAGCTGACCCAGTAGGACAGTAGGCCTCAGGGAGGGGATGTTTCTATAAATTAAAAAAAAACATGTGCATATAGAAAGTATTTTAGAGTGGAAAAGGATATATAAGGTTTCAAATGAATGTGAGTATTGTTTTGCTGTCCAGCTGACTGCTGTGGAAAAATGATTAGTAATGGCCACATGGCTGCTTATAACTATCAAGAACATATAATGTAGTTTAAAGGTTACAGCTCACCAAGTGACTTCTTAAGAAACACAGGAGGGTTGAATGTCTTCACATTAGCAAGTCACATGACTTTATAAAACACAGTTTAGAGACATCATTGGTTGTCAGATTAGCCTAAATAAAGTGGTGCTCCTCTGACTTTTCCTCTCGCATCAAATATGGAAACTTTCTCTGACCAAACTTTTAGTATAGCTGTCCTGTTAAAAGCAACGGTAGTGTTTACTAGCAAACGTTGGCATGCTACAATCAAATCTGCTACAAAAAAAAAACCTCCTGTTTTAAATGTAAGTTTGAGCTTGTGAGCATTTCAGTGCCAAAGTGCAGCAATGAACTGCTTTTTTCTGTGTTTGGTTTTTTTAAATAGATAAATGAATGACTCATCAGTAGTACAAAAAAGGCGAAAGTCTTGGAAATTGAACAGTAATTTTAACATCTGTTAAAGAAACAAAGAAATATCTTGTATTTAATAGTATCCTGCTTTATGTGTATCATTGTTATTGTTATTATTGTGTACAATAACAATACAATATTGTGTATTGTTATTATCATATAGGACATTTCTTATTGTAAAGTTACTTTAGTTTTTGATCTTTTGGAGGATAAAAAGATTGGCTTTTTATTGTTCTGATTTGATAGAAAGATTTTTGAATTTTTTTTATTAGCCTCCTCTAACATTGCAGCTATTCTTTTCTGAGGTTCACTCATGCAAAAAAATGGAGGTTTAATCCAGACCGCTGCAAAAATCAATGTCAAAATTATAAAAAAAAAAAAAACATGAAACATGCAACAATATTGACTAGAGTGTCAGAACATCCTGGGATGCTGCCACTCATTGGTTGGAAGGTCATCTGTTAACTGAAAGGTTGGCAGTTTGTTTCCAGCTCCTGCAGTCACATGCCAAAGTGTCCTTGAGCAAGACAACTCATGCTGATGGTCTAATCCACCCCCATATTACCCTCTATCATCGGCACATGAATGTGGTGTGAATGGGTGATGAGAGGTGTAAGACTGCGAGGGAAGACTAGGAAAGTGCTACATAAGTCCATTTACCATTCCTGTCAGGTAACCTTTGACTCTGTTTGACCTCCGCAGAGAGCGGTTGCTCGGCGATGGGAGGTCTCAGCGCTCCAACAGTCTGTCCAATCAGAATTTTGTGGCCAAGCTGTCCCTGCAGATCACCAGGGACCCGGTCCTGGACAGCAGCACAGGACATGGCTTTATGCTCACCACAAACGCACCCCTGCTGGTCAGGGACGTCGCCACAGGTACTCAGAAGTGCATGCCTCTGTTTTCCTGCTTCCGCTCAAATAGCAACCTGCGTTATGCAGGAGTGGTCCAGTTTTGAGACTAATCCTGCTTTGTTCTTTTGGGATTTTATATTTAAATGGAGCAAATAAGCCCTTGTTTTTTTAAGTACGACAATTTCTACTGTAGGCGCAGTAGTTTTAAGAAAAAGAGGAAACCCGATAATTTTAGATTCTGTGTCAAAAACGAAATGATCAGAAATCTGAACAAGTTGTCTGCATGTGACTGAATTCTGACTCAGTTGTAATTTTCAGGGAAGAATTTTCTAGGTTTAGTTCTTATCTAGCTGTTTGAACTTAAAGTACAATATTTAATAGGATACTTAAAAACCCAGGAATAACCGGTGTGCATCACTCTCTACATACACACAAATACTGAGTCTCTTCTGGCATCCAGACTGCAGGGCACAGTGCCAGAGACGCCACGGAAACAACACAGCCACCTGCTCATCCTTTCTAAATTCAATCACTTTTCATTTATGCAACAGATACATAACAGGGAGCAACAGAGAGACATGGTGAGAGAGGAGGGGGGAGGGAGAAAAGATGCTGATCCACCATTTTCAAACCGAACCTGTGAAATAAGCCTAAAAATGCGACAATAGCTCTGTAATTGCTATCTGCTGCCGAAAAAGAAAGGGAGAAAGAGAGAAGACAAGAGAAAGAGAGAGGGAGGAACAGGGGAGATAGGTGATGACAGAGGACAAGATTTAATAGACAGACAAGATGTCAGCAGGAAGACACAGCAGGGAATAGACCAAAGACCAAAGTGTAAACATGGCCAAGGAGAGCAGGATAATGAGTGCAAAGGAGTGCACAGTGCAGGGAGGTAAAGGTTTCTGGGTTGCTGGGTGTGGGAGGAGTCAGTGAGGACCTGATGGTGTTGAGGTGACCGTGATAGGGAGGTGGAGGACAAGGAAAGAGGGATAGAATGAGGGAAGAGGAGGAGAGCGGGAGGGGAGTGAAAAGATCAGGATGTTGGCCGAGCTGACATGAAAGCTCGAAGGGGGGTTGGGGGGGTAGGACGGGCATGTCTGGCAAGACTGAGGGAGTGTGTGAGTGTAGTGTGAGTGCGTGTGTGCGTGTGTGATGGCGACAGCGGGCCAAATGTGGAGGACAGACGGGGCTTTGCAGAGAAGACAGTGTGTGAGAAAATATGGGTGAATATGTTTACAAACTTATACATTTTTGTCTGTTTATGTGTTTGTGTTAGTGCGTGTGTGTGCAATGGAGTAAGCTAACTGTGCTGTGCCTCAGTCAGGCTCATTGCCTGAAGACAAATGAGTATAAATAACAAGAGAGAGCCGAGCCGAGCTGGACAAGACCCAAAATATCTGTAACCCCTCACATCCTGGAGAGCTCAGCAAAATGCTGATGAGTCAGCCAAGTTGAATAACAATATTTGTCATATTGTGTGCGTGTATGTGTGTGTGTGTGTGTGTGTGTGTGAGTGTGAGTCCGCCTACTTTGCTACATGCATCCCCCTTTATCTGAGCTAAAATTGCAGGCCCACATATGCAGCTGGGTTTTTGTTTTATGCAAGCAATTGCTGTTTTCATCACGTGTGTGTGTGTGTGTGTGTGTGTGTGTGTGTGTGTGTGTGTGTGTGTGTGTGTGTGTGTGTGTGTGTGTGTGTGTGCGCGTACGTGTGTGTGTAGGGAGTCCTGCAGATGGGATACTGTACCCAGGGGACCAGGTGCTGCAGATTAATGATACAGTGCTGGAAGATTTGAGTGAAGAGGAGTTGGAAAACATCTTAAGGTGAAAAGATTCTATCTATCTATCTATCTATCTATCTATCTATCTATCTATCTATCTATCTATCTATCTATCTATCTATCTATCTATCTATCTATCTATCTATCTATCTATCTATCTATCTATCTATCTATCTATCTATCTATCTATCTATCTATCTATCTATCTATCTATCTATCTATCTATCTATCTATCTAATCTATTTCCGCCTACTGTAACTACTTGACTTGACTTGATATAACCAGTATGTTCACTCTGTCCAGTGACTAAAATCTCTGTCATAGCTGTTGTGCATTTTTCAGTGTGGAGGATGATTAATGTGTGTGAGAGGGTGTGTGAGGGTAAGAAAGGATTAGCAAGTTAAGGTCAAAGGTCACATTAAAAAGTGCTTAATTGACAGCAGGAAGAAAAGATAATGATCTCTGTTGTGTGCGTATATGTGTGTGTTTATGTGTGATCTAATGTGGGTTTTTTCGCTGCACAGGGACTTGGAGGATTGTATCACTGTGACTATCTTGCGGCACATGACAGTAAGTACAATGAAGACATTGATAGCCTCACACGCATGCGCTCAAACGCACACAGACAAGCACACACTCTCTCTCACTCGTTCACTCACACACACACACACACACACACACACACACACACACACACACACACACACACACACACACACACACACACACACACACACTATCCATCCTTCAACTTAACTCTCTGTGTGTTTTAAGCATGTGACTTTAAGCTCTATAAGCGTCGTCCGATTGGATTGACTGATTGAGTTCTGTGTGTTTGATTGCATCTGTGGCTGTGCGTGTCCGTGTGGCTTATACCAAGTCATTGCACTGGTTTGAGTTTGTGGGCTCATAATGTACATGGTGTGTTCTTTGGCTTTACAGAACCCCAAATCATCCATCATGTCAGCAGAGAAGAGAGCTCGTCTGAGGAGTAATCCAGTTAAAGTGCGCTTTGCAGAAGAGGTGGTGGTCAACGGGCACACTCAGGTGGAGAAATCTCATTTGACATGAAAAAGCAGCTGTTTTTACACACTCATAAGCAACTCCCATTCTGGGTCGTGAACTCTTTCCATCAGTCTTTATTCGGTGTTGTTTATTTAAGCTGTTTTTATGCTTTCCCTGACCTTGTTTAATAATGATTCCTGTCTAACCACACAATGAAATCTCTTACTTCACTCCATCAGGGAAACTCTCTTCTCTTCCTGCCCAACGTCCTGAAAGTGTATTTAGAGAACGGACAGACAAAGGCCTTCAAGTTTGACAACACAACCACTGTCAAGGTATGCAGTTTACACAATAGAGCTTATTTTACGAAGAAAATTGATTGAAGTGAGTTTTACCTGAGTAACTTTTCTTTTTTGACAGCCCAGCCAGACTGGACTTTGCCTTTTCCTTTGTTGTCTCACTTCAGGGCTTCACCAAACTCCTTTATCTCTCTACATGAGCCTTTTCTTTTATCTGTTAACCCTCTTTCACACCTACTGTACGTGAAAACTACAAGACTTTACATCCACCTTTACTTTATTTTTATCATGATGGCATTTAAAGGGTAGGGCTGTGAAACCAGGAGAAAAGAGAATGAGGAATAACATGCAGCATAGAGGGTCAAATTAGATCTAAACCCACGCCCCTTGTTCTGTGGAATATAGCCTCTTGATATGAGGTGTGCGATTTAATCCCCGATTTAAAACCCTTTCCTCAGTTTTTAACTAAACTAAACTTGATAAAAGGTTTTTGTCATATTGTAGGCTAAAGCTAACAACAGCTTAGGCCTCAGCCCTCACAGAAGGATTGTGTTAGGTACAGTGATTTAACTCTAAACTGCTTTATTTTGTGTTTACTTATCTTTTGTTTAATTGGATAAGAGGAGATCTCTCTACATGATTAGGCTTCAGGTATAAACCCTGTGAACAACAAGCACTGACTGAACCCGAACACAGAAGATGACCTCTGGTAACAGCGAAATGATGACTACTAAAGGGTCACAACGAGAACCTTTTAAGTTGATACCCCACAATGTTGTTGCTCTTGCGTTTCTCTTTGTACTACAATATTACAGAGACTACAAATCGATCCTGTTTGACTGAATTAAACTCATTGACTTTAAGGGAAACAGGTCTTGAAATTAGATGATGTGTTTAGCTTCTGGTTTGGCCAGGGGATAGCAGCATCAATCTCGGACTGCTGACATGTTCGTCGATACCATTACCATACCACTGTTTAATAATTTATATGACAAATCTGAGCTGAATAAGGTGAGGTTACTGGAATGAATGTGCTCTTTAAAATCATTCAATTTTCTATTCACGCTCCTTCTAAAATTTGTATTACACTGCCCACATTATCCAGATCTAAAGGAGTATTTATTGGTGTGTGTGTAGTTTGAGCATTATGAGAGCAGAACGAGTCGTGAAGAGCTTCCTAGAAACCAGTGGGAGTATTTTGCAGCGAAGCAAACCACAAACTGTGGTGTGATTGCTGCGAGGCTGTGAGGGAGTGGGTTGGCTGTTCTTAGTGGTTCTTGATGGCGGAATAACACAAAATTATTAATTATCATACTTCTGGAAACAAAAGTAATGAAAGATTTAAAGTGAGAGAAAGAATTTATTGCAGCCACATTACAGTGAGGAATGTAGAGCTGGGTCCTCCTGGATTTCTTCTCTAAGTCCAGGCGGATATGATGTGACATTGGACTAAATTAACTTCATAATGAGACAAAGGGTAGTCTTCTGGATATTGACTCACCACCGGTAGACTTATGTCTTGTCTATATGAGTAGATTTTATATTTATATGTCCATTTGTTTTCACAGAAAGAGTTTGTCTAAGGGAGTCTGAACTGTGTTTTTTTTATTGTTCCAGGACATTGTTTTGACTCTAAAGGATAAGCTGTCCATCCGGGCCATTGAGTACTTTGCACTGGTGCTAGAGCAACAGTACAGCATTACCAAGCTACTGCTGCTACATGAAGATGAGCTCGTACAGAAGGTGAAGGAAATGCAAATATTAACCACAGTTTTGGATGATTTATGTGTAACTCTGATATAATGTAACCTTTCAGGCTTAAAGAATACACCCTGGATCTCTCCCAAGTCAAGAGTCGATGTGGTGTTGTAATTTATACACCTCTGTTTGATGTTTTCATCAGGTGGTGCAGAAGAAAGACTCCCATGACTACAGATGTCTGTTCAGGGTGTGTTTTATCCCCAGAGACCCTACAGACATGCTGCAGGATGACCCCTCTGCTTTTGAGTACTTCTTTCTACAGGTTAGATAAGATGGATTTTTGTAGTTTATTTCAGTCAGAGTCACTTTGTAAAAAGAAATTTCCCTGTAATAAGTATATAATGCCCATTCTGATATTTTGGCAATTGAATGTTATTTGTTTATTTGTTTGTTTGGAACCTCATTAGCTTCCACAAAGTGGTTGCTGGTCTTCCTGGGATCCAAACACTGAAAATCACAATATAATTACATTTTAACAATTAATTATTAATAAATACAATTACAGATTCAATTTATGGCTCTTAACAAAATTAAAACACACCAAAACATACAGTTTTATTTTAAAGTCCTTTTAAAATAATATCCACTGCTTATTTGCCGTGTGTTCCCAGGCAATTAATTCCACATTTCTAAAGATCTAAACAACACTGTTCTCCTCATACAATTGGACTTTGAGAATGGAACAGTTAAATGACCAGAGCTAACCTGCAGAGTGACATGTTGATGACCTTAGCCACTGTAAACCATTTTGTCCACAAAGAAAGTTGGATACCCTTTAAATATGGCAGTATGCATATGTTAGCTGAGCTCTACTTGATGGTCTGCCTTCATTAAAGCCATGCTCAATCTCCTATCCATTCTTCTGGTTTTGGTGCTTAATCAGAAGTTTTCCCTTTGAGTGTTTGCTCCCTGCATACATGTGGAAACCAGGATGTGCATAAAGTACAAAAACTTCAAACCTTGATGAAGGTTTAACAAGTGTCCAGAAGACAACCAGTTTATGCATCCTCCTCGAACCGTCCCTGAAACAAAAACACAAAAATCATGACGGTTTATTGTGAACATATTTTGATTTAACATAGAACTTAGTTGCTAACAGTTAATACATGACAATATACCTCTATTATCCACAAGCCACAGCTTGTCTGATGTTTTATAGTACAGTAAAGCAATGAAAAGCCACTTGTGCCATATTGATCACTCGTTTCATGAGAAGTCCTTACCTCCCGCTGCTGTTTTTTTATGAATGGAAGCTAGGTTGTCCCATTGTTGTGTTTAATCAAGAAACTTGCAAGCTGTGTTTATTGTCATAATTTGAAGTTGTGCAGTATCCAAGAAATGTATAAAAGGCTTATTGTGATGTCTGTGTGAATTACATCTGATTATTTATTCTCGTTTATTCCAGAGCGTCGGGGATGTGCTGCAGGAGCGTTTTGCAGTCGAGATGAAGTGTAACACCGCACTCCGCCTGGCTGCCTTGCACATGCATGAGAGACTAGATAGTTGCGGACAGACCAGGGCTTCTATCAAGAGTATAACGTGAGTCATGTTTGTGCGTACATTTAACTTGAAGGTCAAGCCGGTATGACATTGCGTGTACGACACCAACTCCAGCACTACTCTTTGATGGATTTGTGTCATTTTGATCATCTCTAGAGATTTGAAGTTGCACTACTGCTGCAATCACTTTTTATTTGCTGGAGATAGGAGAGGATACTTTGTGCTTAATATATTAATGAAATTGGAAAGTGTTTGTGTGTGTACCCGAGCGTGTGTTTCTGTACTTAACCCATGAGCACAATTCCATTTTACAAAAGCCCTCACCAGTACAGAATAGGTAAATATATTGGAATCATGAACACAGGCTTTCTTCTCCTCAAATAAAACTAATAATGTACACTTAAATGTCAATAAAAGAGCATTCACTTGAAAGCTATTATGGAAACTATGAGGTAAATAGTAAGCGGGTGTATTTGCTATTTGAGGCTACTTATTTTAAATTTTTAAGCTGAAGTGCTGTTGAATAAGATAACTATATCAATATAAGATGAGGTCTGAAAATGTATATTGTAGTTTGTATACAGTATAACACCAACATTTCAAATTTTACAGTGATAAATCTGCATGTTTTCAAGTGCAACATTTAAGCTTGCAGAAAGCCAATGTTTGTCTCATCCTCAAAGATTCAGATTTGTTTGTTAATTTTGTAAGAATCTACCTAAAAGCTCCCAGGACATGACGGACTTGTTTAGAGTTCAGGTGCTAGATCAAAATTTTTGCTGCAGCTGTGGGCCAGCATTTGCAATGATGCATCAGAAAATAGAAAACACAATATGACTCCAAGATTTCCTTCGCCTTTCCACTTTCTGTTACACTGGGACAAAACCTAATTAAACACTTACTACACGGGGGGCTTGTAGTTCAGTTTCATTAGCATTTCAAGCATGAGATAGCAATAGCAGACTTCTTGTGTGGTCTGATTTCTTTGTGTGTGTGTCTCTCTGTGTGTGCATTTACAGGAAAGAGTTTGGCCTTGAGAGCTTCATCTCTCCTACACTGCTGAGTAACATGAGGGAGAAAGACTTGAGGAAAGCCATCAGCTACCACCTCAAAAAGATCCAGTCTCTGCTAGAACCACGCCAGAAGGTAGAGACAGACCAAATAAGGAGAGGAAGGAGGCACTGAGAGACGTTGTCTTACATCTTGACAGTTCTGTGGTGGCTTGATGGAACTTTTTAGCCGACACATACAGCGAATGCTATTCTTGCTGAGGTTTGAAGTGGTAAAGGCGTGACAGGAGGTTGTTGGGTTGGAGGGTAATTGGAAAGTAAACAGCAGATCATGGGTTTGTGTAATGTTTCTTAGAAAATTAATTCAGCATATTTCCCTGTCGAGGGCATTGTTTTGGTGAGTGAGTCAACCCTGACTTTTCCACAGGGTTTTTTGTGTACTCGGGTTTGTCTCTGATTCTCATTCTTCCTGTTTTATGTTGTTGTATAACAGGTAATATCTGCCAATCAGGCTCGCTTGGCCTACCTCACTCAGCTGGGAGAGCTCATTTCATACGGGGGACGATCATATACAGCTACGATGATGGTGAGGGTATAGAGGTTTATGTGGCCCAGTGGATCCATTTCTTAAAGCACACACTATACTGTTCTATTTAATTGATTTAAATAATTAAATTATATCTCATACTTTTGACATTACTTTCCACACTTATCTTTCTCCTTTTTTTCTAATCTGAAGTATCCCTCCTTCCTTTCACCCACATTCAGCTTCAAGACAGGGAGGTGTTGGTCAGCCTGCTGGTTGGAGCCAAGTACGGGATGAGTCAAGTCATCAACCACAAACTCAATGTTATTTCTACACTGGTGGAGTTCAGCAGCATCAGCCGCGTGGAGCTGCTCTCGGAGTCGGACAAAGTCAGCCTACTGCGCATCTCACTGCACGATATGAAGGTATAGAAGATGCTGATATTTTTTTTTCATGGTCATCAAGATAGATCTAGGCTGTATTATTCATGAGCATGTTATACACTGTCGCAGATATAAAAAGATCTACATTCACTGACTATGTTCAAGCTGAAGATCATGCTTGAGTTAAAAAATAGGTCAACCATTTCTCCTCCAACACACAGACCAGATTACAGCCTAAGGGGGTGTATGGTAGCGTTACAAAGCTAATTCACTGTACTCAAAGGTGACTCTCTCCCTTCTTTCTCCCACTCCATCGCCTTTTCTCCTTTACCCCCTTGGCCTTAATTACTGCCACTTTACCTTATCCTCTGAAATGCCCTCCCCCTTTCAGCCATTTGCCTTACTGATGGACTCTCTGGCAGCCAAAGACTTAGGGTGTCTGCTGGGAGGCTACTGCAAACTCCTTGTGGATCCCAGTGTCAGTGTCTTCCGTCTGGGGCGCCCAAAAGTGAGGGTGCACCGGATACCTGCTGAAGAAGGTGTGTGTGGGAGGTTCGCCGTAATAGAGGGCGTGTGCTATGAATCCCTATCAAGTGAGCAAAAACTGTTTCACTTAAAACCATCACTTTCTGGCTTTGGCCTTTTGATAGACATTTATCACATCACATGTTGATGTATGTCACCAGCAAGTACGGGTACGGATAGAAAAACCAGACCATCATACCATCTTATCCCAAACTATTCTGATCTAATCATGGACTTACTAATTAACATGTGAATGTTTGTCTGGTGTCTGTGCATTTTTTGATGTTATTAGGTTATGTGTCTCGCTGCTGTAGTGACTCAGATGACTCATCAGATGAGGATGACCCAATGGATTCTCAGAATTACAAACGCCCAGACCCAGCAAGTCAGGACTGGGAAGAGAGGAGGAGGGAGGAGGAAGAAAAGAGGAGAGAAGAGGAAAGACAGGAGAGAGAGGAACACAAAGGCAAACAGGAAGTGAAAATAATTGTGACAACAGAAGGTAAGGAATATGAGGGTGAAGAGGAAGAGGGAGCGTCAGGAAGTGGTCTTCGTAAATTTAGCATTATGGATGAAGAAATGAACCTGGAGACCACCTGGTACCACACAGACCCCCGGGTCACCAGCAGCTTCTCCAGCTTGTCCAGTGGCTCCTTGAGTGCTGCCCTGGAAGAGAGCAGTGCAGCAGCAAAAGTCCCATCTCGTCTAGGTGCACTTCGCTCACAACCCACATCTGACAATTTACCAAGTTTGGATGTTCACCACCCTTTCCTCCTAGAGCCAAAACGCCACCAAGGGCCCCTGCGACCCACCAACCTCAATTACCGTGGCAACGACAATTCCTGTCTTTGCTATGCCGAGCTCTCCAAAGCTGATTTCCTCCCCAGTCCACCTGAGGCAACTAGTGACGATGATGATGATGACGACGATGATGAGGAAGAGACGGGTGTGCAGGAACTCAGGCGCATGTCTAAGATCCCAAGTTCAAGAGATTTAAGACTGATTGACAGTGAGCCCTTTGACAGATCGCCTGTTAAACGAAAGAAAAAGATCCCTCCCAAAGTCCCATTACGTACTAGTTCGATTCCTGGCAATAAAGCAGGACAGGCCGAACACCGTCTCTCAAAGGATGAGGAGGGTCTATATCTCACTCCTTCACCCAATCCCAAACCAGCTCTCCTAGTCAAAGACACTGTTTCAGACTCTGAGGATGAGTTTTTTGATGCCCAGGAGAGATTCACTCCTCCAGTTCCAGATCTGTCAGGTTTGTTAACAGAATAATCGTTGTGTCTATGTGAAGAAAAACCTTTGTGTTTTTTGAAAGTCTTTGGTCCATGGTAGTATTTTGACACTGTTAAAATGACTGTGACCTCATGTGATTTAACAAAGTCAGTGAAAGATTTGTTAAAATTCACGAATGCCTTTCTTTTTCTGTCTTTTTCTCTCCATCTGTCTCTGTCTCTTACAGATGCCGAGCTTGCTGACAGGCGTAATGCTAACCGGTTGAGTGGAACCTGGAATGGTCTTCCAGCTGTCCCAGGGAAACAGCCCCCCTCTCCCCTTGCCAATAAAGTCCAATCCTCCAAAATTAAGACCGAAGTCAAGGCAACTAAAGGCCCCATTATTCAACCTACCAACCAACAGCCCAGTCCACCAAAACCACTTCAGAAACCTGAAGTTAAGGTCAAACCACCACTAGCACCTAAGCCACAGCTGCCTCCCAAGCCTCAGATCATTCCTCCCAAATCCCCCCAGCATGGAAGATCATACGCTCACTGTAATGGGGATGCCTCTGGACGTCTGTCCTCTGAACTCTTGGAAATGGAGCCAGATACCATGGAGTTTAAGTCTGTCACATCGGGGGCAGGCGGACTGCCAATGTCATCACCCTTGATCACAGCAGTACGGTGCAGTAAGCAGCCAGTTCCTGTCACAACATCACTGACGGAGGAAAATAAATTAACGCAAGAAAACAGTGCAAAACAGAATAAAGATCTGATCCACAAAAACGGCACGCATGTTGTTTCTAATGATAAAGCGTACATTAATAATGAAAAACAAAGTCCTAAAGTTGAGAGGAAAAGCAATGGGACTGCCATGCCCACAAAGACGTCACCAAACCCACCATCTATTCCACGATCAAATTCAGGTACAAAACTATCTGTTCCTCCACCTGTGCCCCCCAAACCCACTTCTCCTATGAATTTCCATCCACTATCACTACCTGCAAGTTCACCTGTCTCTCCGACTGATCCAACTAAAGGGATCTTTAAAGATAGTGTCAGCCCACCAAATGGACTCCACCCTTGGAGCAGCCGCAATGGCAGCATCCAGTCAGGACCCCGGAGGGTTTCTCTGAGTCATGAAAGCCTGTCACCCAAAAATACAGATGCACCTCTCACACTTACAACCTCCCTCACATCGACCAACTCCAAAGGGGTTGGGGGCCTAGAGAGCAGAGAACCTGGAAGGTCCGGTTCGGGGTCAGACTTAAGGACGAGTTCTTCCAGTCTTGGAGGCAGACTACCAGCTTCTGCCTTGAGAGGAAAGATCCAGGCTTTACCTTGGTATATGACCCGTTCACAAGAGATTTTGGGAACTTTAGACTATCCGTCCACCAGCTCCATTAACGGGGATACATCTGGCTTTGGCTCTGGGTTGTCTGTTGCCAGTGGTTTGTCAGACCTAAACAAGACTCCTGTTAAAGAAAAAGAGAGTGTTACTGTAAAATCAGGAGGGAAAGGGGATGTTCTGGAGGATGGGGCTGCTGTTGTCATAGCCACCATCAAAGAGGCCCAGGATGTGACCTCACATATGAAAAAGGCCAATGGGACAAATGGCTCCAGTCCTGACCTGAGTTTTAAAGACTTTAGCGCACACCGAGGCAGTGTTTCATCAGAGCAGCCACAGTCAAGGCCCCATTCGGCAGTGGGGTTGGGAGGTGTGACCAACATGCAAATTGGTGGAGACTCACCCACCTCCTCACTTGCAGATAGTACTCCTCCACAGCAGCACCGAGAGGCTTGTGGCTGTCGCACTGTCTATGCCAACTGTTTCAGCGGAGACACCGAGGATGGTATAAGCTTTGACGAAGAGCTCACTGTTTATGAGTTCTCCCGACGCACGCGTCCAAAACCTGCCAAAACTGCCCCGGTCCCTTCTCCTACAACACCTTCGCCAAACCCCAACATCCTGTCGTTGCTTAAGGACAACCCACGCCCACTCTCCACATTTTCCACTGCCTCCTCTGAACTCAGTCCCCTGGTTTCCCGCCCAGTGTCACCAACAAACTCACTCGGTTGTCCTCTCCGTTCGCTTACCAACAAGAATTATGGTGGACTAAAGGGAGGTTTTACCTCTCTACGTCAAGATATAGACCAACTTCTTCTGGTCCTAGAAAGGGGAGCACTTGAGCAACAAATGTCCGGTCAAGACTCAAAGCAGGGTATCACAGGCATACAAGTAGAGCCTGACTTAAATCACAATGGAGCTGACACCAATACAACCCAAGTAGCCAGCCAGTATTGTTCTGGGACAAACACTGCTGCTATGACAGAGGCAGAGAGAAGTCTTCTCCAGGCAGAGGCTCGACGATTAGCATCTGGCTGTCAGCGGGCCACACGTGTAGGTTGGGCTCCCGATGAAGCACTACGATCGTTATCTAACAGCTTCAGTGCCCTTGTTCAGTTGTCGGCAGCTTGCCTGCGAACCAACCCATGCCCTGGCTGTGACATTTGTCATGATGAAAGTCTGGTTCACAGAGATGAGGACGATGACAGCCAGGAGCCCATGGACAAGCTAAAGGAGATAGTGGGTCTGTACCGGGAGTTTGTAGGGGCTGTTGAGACAGCTGGAACTGGAACTGGTAGTAAAAGTATGGGCCTCGCTGGGTCAGGACAGGGTCAGGGAGAGACAGACGGGGTGAGGCTACTAGCCAAACGCTGCACTGTACTCATCTCCTCTGTCTTTGCACTCACACAGCTCTTCCGGACACGCACATTAAACACCTCAGACATGCCTGGACACGTACCTCTCAACTTTTGACCAGTAAACTTTACCCACTAGTTACCCACAGACTCTAAAGGTGATACAAAAGGAAACAGCACAGAGCAATCTGGTGTGTAACCCCTGTGTTCTTGTACAGTAAGTGCCATGCACACCACAGCACAAACTTTAACCTGTATTACTGTATTACTCACGTGGAAAACACTTACGAACAAAACCCTGAAGGAGAAGAGGGAACATCATTGCTCTGTCCTCTTCTTGAAAGCATATGGACTATGCATTTGTACATATGGATTTTATAATTGTCTTATAATTCTATTATTTTATGATACTATATGTGTATGTATGTAAGGATGAATTACCCATGTATGTATTTATGTATTTATTTTTACAATATTTGCACCATGGTCTGTGATGTGCAGGTCTCTGGGGAAAAACACTATGGATGTCACTGGAATTTTTATTTCTACCTTCTCTTGGAGACAGTATTAAGGTATCTGTTGCTGCTTTAAAGATTTCTCTACTCCTCAAGGTGTAATCTGTAAATGGTCGTTTTTCAAGTTTGGTAAAACAGTATGTTTTACTGACTAAATACAGACAACACAGTTTACTATATGCTTGGAAAAAACAGAAATTAACTGATTTGTTTTTTATGTGCAGATATTGCACCTTGTGAAGGATTTCGTTTTTCAACACTGTAGTCAAGTATAAAGGGGATACAAAACTTAACCATAACAAAAACCAGGGAGAGCACTTTGACTGTTACAGATTGCACCTTTCTATGAGACGTACCCTTGTGTACAGTGTTTTTTCTATCCCGTCCTCAGTCCTGAATGACTTTGCGTGAATGCTTCATGGAAATTTTCCCATCACACAAATGTATGCAGTATTAACATTAACCTAGTTTTCATCCAAAGGACATAACACATACAATATATTTTCTGGGGATGCGTGGATGAGGCCCAGGAAGCAAAACAGGGGACCTAGCTTGTGTAGTTAAAAAAAGGGGGGTTTTGACTCGGCACAAGGGTGACTGTTAAACTATGTCCAGATGTAGCAGAGATCCAAAGTCTTAACACACTGAGCCACCACTGTTCCCTACAAAAACAATCCCTTCTCAGTCGTACCACCATATTAATATCGTACTGACTGACAGATGAACTGACTGCTGTATGCTGGGGTCAGAACTGTAGATATACGTATATTTATATCTTTGTGTCCTATTCCGTCTCTACTTTCATTTATGGCTATGCAAACATAAACTCTTCACCCCCACATACTGTATCCTTGTTTTTTTGTGCTAACATTGAAAACAACTATAACTGCATTATGTTGGTATGAAAATAATGGGTGCTTCCTTGTTTCAAATGTTGGCCTTTGTCTTGTTTTGGGAAAATTACTGCATTTTTGATCTTAACATTTTGCAACAAGTTGCATGGCATATGTCAATGGTAAAGACTCCTGTCTTATACTGATGTCTGTGAATTGTTCATAAAAGGAAGACTTTGCTTGATCAGTTTGCTGATGTACAGTGTTTACTTGTTAGCTTGTCCATATTACATGATGCCAACTCCTTTAATGAGTCATCCCATACGGAGGAATTACTTTAAGAAGGTAATTAAGACACAATGCAGAGAAAGGAGCCGATCAGATGCGTGATATATTAACTCCTTTAAGTTGATGATGATAGGAAACTAGTTGAGTTAGAAGAGAGTCTCTTTTTTGAAATTTCAGAGCTTTCACTTGCACTGGTGGAAATGTCCAGCAGCCATTTCCATAACGGCGCTAACATCAAGACATAGGTCTCAGGAGCATCTTGTTGTTCATCACACAGGCCCACACAGGGAAGAGTGCCTGTGCCACCTATTTGTTTTGTTTCAGTATGTTTAAAATGTATCAAAAGTATTTTGTTTTCAAAGAAGACATTGTGTTTCTACAGTACATGAGCAGTCACTTTTCCATACCCTCGTACAATAAAATCTATGTACCAAGAAAATGTATTGTTTGGGAATAAAGTACACATTGACTGAAACAGATGTGAACATGTGGGTATTTTGGTTTCAAGTATGGACTAGTCATTCGATACCAACTTCAGGTATAAAAGCTAATCTCTGGTACAGCCAAACAATCTAATAAGACAAGGAGATAAGAAGATAGTTTACCACAATCACTGTAAAAGATCAAATTTAACACTAGTAGTGATCACCAAGGATTGGAGTGGGATTTCTTGTCCAGCATTGCATTCCTCAATTTGCCTGCATGTTTCTCTAACATTTTGCACTAGGACAGCCCTCATTGAATTACAGCAACCTATAACATTCCTGTTTAAAAAAAAAAAAAAAACACCCTGCAAGGATTTATTTGGGATATAAATGCTAATGTTTTAAATAGAAGGATGCTCAGAAAGAAATTTGTGAGGGTTAACAGTGACAGTGAGTGAAATGAGGCTTTTAACTACAGCAGATCAGCTCTGCCTGATCCAAAGTCCACATCAGACTGCCCTTAATCTGCTCTTTATCTGCAGGCTGACTTCTTGACACACAAATCTAGAAAGTCAGACTATTGCTGCTGTGGCAGATATTTCATGATCAAATACATAGTGGAAAAAACTTTAAGTAGTTATAGATTTTTAAAAAAGCTAATAAATGAGAGCCACTGTGCCAGACTTCATGATTTAGTGTGAAGTTTGTTCTATTTGACTGCAGTGCATTCTTTAGCTGTGGGTTTTGTGTGGGTGCCTAGAAAGAGTAGATGAGGGTACGTGTTTGATGATGTTAACACATTGCAAAAGCGACACATTATTGTGAATTATTAGTTAAAACTGGTTCTGGCACTTCAGTTTCAGCTTCATGCATGTCCAACACTTTCATCAAATATCATTTGTGTTTTGTCTTGAAACATATTTTTGTCTTTTGGGAAAGTCAGTTGAGAAATGTAATCAAAAACACCCCAATTCCAAACAGATCCATATCAACGCGTTTAATAGGTTGACTAACATTTCATTTGGTTGCCACGATTAATGGAGGGTCAAAGATTTGTGCTTTGAAGAAAAAGTGATTAAACAAACAGCATGAATTAATATCTGTAAAGGTTTCCCCCGTCAAAAGCCTCAGTGAATACAAAGTTCTTCCCAGATAATCCTGACAATATTTAATAAAACAGCACATGTTTGACTGCCATAAAAAAAAGAGAGCTGAAGAATCAGGCCAAGTGATCCATTTACATGGCAGCTTGAGCTTTTTGTGCCAGTGAGTATTACCCTCTGTGCCTGTCTTCTCTCAGCAGCATTACTGTTCAGTCTCTCTCTCTCTCTCAGTGTCCGAGCAGCATGCCTTTCCTCTTCGGGCTGTCGTACCCAGCCAGAGCGGCTGCATGGTGACTGCGTCTACTCGAGCTTGAAATCTGAGCCCATTATGTCAACAGATGTTACAGACAGAGAGGAGAGCAAGCGTGAGATAAGGAACTGTATAAAAGAACGAGCAGAGGGAGAGAAAGATGTAGAAAACAAGAACAAGTATAAAATTTGGTTTAAAATAAACTTTGAGGAATCAAAAAAAAAACTGAACAACAGCTGAGAACTGAACAAATGCAGAGACAGTAAATTGTCAAATCAACAGTAAAGGTCCTCTTTTCTGTGACTGAATAGTTTTGTTAAAACATCTAACTTCACACCAAGGAAAACCCGTTTCAATGGGATCTATTTTTTTTTTTTTTTTTAAACGAAAATCAAAATTCATTTCTTCTCCACAATAAATTATAAAAACACACAAGATCTGGGTGCGGCTGTATGTTTTACTGACATATAGTGTATATCAATGGGCACTTGTCAAATTCAAAAAAACATAGAGATCCCGCCACACACTTCATAAAATAAACCAAAACAAAAAGCTTGACAAAGTTCCAATTGGCAAAGATGAATCACATGTGAAAGGTGAACCTGTCTTCCTGTGTCTGATACACAGAGTTAGCAAGAACCTTAATATAATCATCACAGTAATTAGTATCAAATCTTTGTGATCTCATCAATGTATGGACAGAATTGGTAGCAATGAAGCAAAAAAGTAAAATAAAGCAACTATTACTTGACTCAACAGGAAATCTTGGATATTTAGATGATCAAAAAGTACAAAAGTGTTAAGTGGCAGATTATAGCCTCAGAGAGAAAGTGCTCTTGGTCAAAAAGATAGACAGACATTGTCTACAGAACATCACAGCACACAGCAAATATGGAGAAACAGCGTCTCCGACAAAACACTTAATCCAGTCAAGTAACCTTTGTTTGTAGCTGCGGAGAAAAATCCACTGGAGTTCATTTTGTACTCCTGAATTTTTGTACACAGAGCAAACAAGGCCGTTTCAATTGGACCCTGGCACAAATGTATGTAAGCTATAGCGTGCATATTGTGTTTTGATACTCTGACAACAGAAAATGGTTACGGCATGTGGCAGGTTGTTTTAACTCATACTGAGTGTTGGCCCCTGTCAGAAGTGCAATTTTACTGCTCTTCCTCAGTCATAGAAACTCCAGCATCCAAAAAGACAGTGCCACAGCAGATACAATCTGCTTTATGATTTTCTTCATTCTTCACAACAGATTGACTCTATCGCTCTACACGTAGTTTCCCTTTAAATACTTACTCTTACTTTTTAGATCTTAATTTTTCATCTATAACCACTCTTTCATAGGAGCTTTAGCAGCAGCTCGTAGGTGGCGTTGATGATCCCCCAAGAGAGCAGTGAGCGGTGGTAGTTGAGGTGAGCCCCTCTGAAGAGCATGGCCACACTGCCGCCTCTTTCTCTCCACACTGTTAGCAGCACCTGTCTACAAGGCTGGAAGGCGCCACCGACCTGAGACTGAGCACGGGACTTCACAACATTTAATGGATAAAACATGATGCCAAGGGCTGCCCCTAATAACCCCCCACAGACAAAATCATTCACCATGTGACCTGCCCGACTAGTAGCCACTGGAAGCTGCTCTTTAATGGGTCCACGCAGCCCAAAGAAGAGCACGTTGCTTGGGCCATTGCGGAGCAGAATGGGCACGAGGCCACGGTACCATTCCCTGATACCATACTCTGTCAGAAGAGTTCGGAAGGTGTGAGCTGTGTTGTTGAAGCGGCCGTGGTGCCGATGGTCTTGTAAGAGAGTCTGCACACGCTCAAACGGTGTCAAAATTGCCTCTGCAGTTCCTGCTAATGCTGCAGCAAAGCTTCGCGTGACTATTTCTGGCACGCCAGTGCCACCTGCATGGTCCAGTAAGACCCTGGAGAAGTCCTGGTACAGACCAAACATGATGGCCACTGTAGTGCTCTTCTGAAGCAGTGGAGGAAGCAGGCCCCGGTACAGATTTCTCAGCCCATCCCTCTGAAGCTGCCGTATCGCCTCTGTCGCCATAACACCATGAAGCTGCTGGCGGAACAGCACCTTTTGGATGGGAAAAGTCACTATGATGTTTGTAAAAGCTGCCACAGAACCGCAGACATAGTGCTTCCCTTGAGGGCCCAGCTTGGCACCAAGGGCATCAAAAGGCAGCAGGGAGCGCCCTCCTTTGGTCAGGGCAGCCTGGGGCTGAGGGGTCCGGGCTGACTCGGAGTCCATGGTGCTTACAGCCATGGGAGGCTCAGTGTGCCACAGTCTATCCCTTCAGCATTACAGCAAGACACCCTGTGGACAAGAAAAGAAAGATCAGATATATTTACTTGATTGACAGTTTCGATCTCGTCTTTGGCCGTTATTTGCCTTCATGTAAAAGAGACAAAATACAAGAATAATGATAAAGTGATGACCTACTTTCCCAGAAAGAGCCCTTCATGAAAATATGGACTGAGAAACACACTTGGCAAGCATTTTGGTTAAGAAGAAATTAAACTAATTTGTTGTCCAATTAATATCATATAATACAATTTTTTTAAATATCCAATAAAATTAAAACTCATTACTCGATAATTTTGCCAACTTTACAGGACCTTGTAAACAACTGTGCTTTTGTTTGAACCCCTGCCTAGTATTAACTTCATGTGTTTACTTAAATATTCTCTATAATTTATTTGTTAAGACCAAGTTTAATGGTCTATTCATGCTTCATGCTGTCTTTAACAGATTAAACTGTTTAACCTCATCAGTCTGCCTTCATCTTGTCTGAACAGGACGCCCAAACCAGTAACTGATAAGACTTGTTACACAACGGCCAGTAGTGGGAAAAGAGGGAACAGCTATTAGTGGTACAAGACAATAGGACAGCTAATTTAATATACATTTAGAGAGACTGTGTCCTCACACAGCAAGTGTTCAATAAAACACTTGATTCAGTAGTACTAAGGCGAAAAGCTAGAGGCCCTATCTACCTCATATAAATCTACTTAAAGTCACCAGTAAGTAGAATAAAAATAGGAGTCTTAACTGATTCATTGATTGATTGATTGATTGATTGGTGGATTAACAGACCAACCTTACTGTCCCCCTTGATGAATATTCATCTTTGACTTCTCAAAAGTACATAAAGTGTGTTAATTATGTTATTATACTTATTTTATCTTTATTTAACCAGATAAAAACCCATTGAGATCAACATCTCTTACACAAGGGTGACCCGGCCAAGAGGTCAGCAGCTCACGTCATGAAAAAACAAACTACTGCATTAAAAGAAACAAAATAAACAACATACAATGGTGAAACTGAGCCCCTACTAACGTAAAGCAAATCGTCAGGGAGGTGTCTAAAATAGATCAAGGAAGAGACAGTTGAGGCAAAGCTGTGAGGTCATTGGAGGTCACGATGTGTGACCCAAAATATCACTGCGGGAGTTCTTCCACAGAGTTTCAGGTCAGTGTGACAGGGTAATAAAACACTGACTCGCCATAATGATGAATGGATAAAAAGGTTTATGTATTATATTGTATTGTACTGTAACAATCGCAATACTTGGGCGTAAATGAAATCCAATTTTACAGCCTACCATAAATTATACTTTCAGGAAGCTTCTACATTTTCAGTTTTATTGACATGAACAGACAGGTTATTATCATACTTTATATTAATCATTCATCATGACACAGTGGGTGTTGGTTGTGCTCTGGAATTTGTAACATTAAAAGGTGTTCCCTGTATTTTCTCAGCTTTGTTAACAAATGTAAAGAGGGCAAAAATATTTGGAACAACCAGTGTTGATTATCTTGTCCCAAGATACACGACTTTATTCTGTCAGTCTGCTCTTTTCGTAAAGGGAGCAAAACTTTGGAACTCTCTACCCACTACTCAGTAATTAGAGACCAACAGTAATGCATTTAAGAAAGGACTCAAACAGTGGCTAAAATCAAAACAACAGTGCTCACATGATTTGTCTTAAACTGGCTGATTGTTTGACCATGTTGTCCTTGCTTTGTAGCTTATGTATGTATTTAATAAGAAAAACTGTCTCTCTTGTACTGTTGTACTGTTATTGTACACCATATTCCTTTTTTTCTCTCCTTTTTATTTTCTTACTTCATAAGCCTCCGGTGGACAAGTGTTGCGAATTAGCAACATGTGATGCTGATTGAAACATGACTGGACTTTTTTTTTTTTCATGCTTTGATTTTGCTCAACTCAGTATTTAGACTTGTATCATTTTTTATACTTGAGCCCAATTTCAAATTTTAAGTTATATTTTGACTTTTTATACCTGATTTCAATGCTCTCCTCATGTATTTGCTCTTTAAAAGCATTATTTTTCTATTTCTAATATCATGCTCTGATCTTTTGAACTAATAAATAAAAATGTTTCTATCTCAGATTGCCTTTAAACTTATCTTTTTTGAATTTCCAGATGATTTGTAATCATTGCTATTTTTGTTACATGTTTTTTGAGAAGGAGGCTGACAGTTTTGGTGAAATGTTGACCCTGTTTGGCCCTCAGGTTCGACCTAAATCCAGATCATGGCCCTTGCTGTGGTTGCGTTTGACACCCCTGATCTAGAGTGTCTCTTTGTTGTACTTCAGGGAACTGAATACACACTTGATTACTGTGTACTTTTAATAAGCAGAGTCATATTAGAAAGCAATAAGGAGGTATTTACATTTTACAGCTAATACTAATACTAAAAATAAGTAAGACTTAAACAGTCATCTGAACAGTTTGATTGAGTCAAATGACATGAGCACAAGACAAATCTACATTATGTAATCCATGATTTGTCTGTGTCCAAATCTGCAGCAAACACACACACACCCTCTGATCAGCGCTCACTCCTCCTCTGCACTCAGTTGTCTTGCTTCTTGTCCTAGCATGCCTTCTGTCGGTAACTGTAAGCTGAGGCAGACATTAAGTCTCAATTATTATCAGCAAATAAGAGCTCAAAAAGCTGATATTCTTCACTGATTGTAGAGCAAGCTAAGGGTCAACCCATCTGCGACGGGCCAGCACGCTTTAATTCAACAGCTAGAGGGGCTAACCCGAGTAGCAAACTGGGCTAGGTCAACAGTCATCGGGCCTCCTTGACTCCTTGTGTTTTTAACAATCAGCTGTCTTTATATTTAACACAAGTAAGCAAGACTGTCAGGAGAACAAGGTCATATCTGATTAACGTTTCCTCTTGTATGATGCTGTAAATGTTAGCATGGTCAGAGTCGAGCATAATCTGAGTTAAAACGGACAAGCCCTGTTGGCTGATTGGTTGCAGACTGAATGTCAAGAGGTAAAAGACTGTCCTACACTTCCGGCTACAGTTAGGAAATCAGTTTTACCTGCTTTAGTGCACCAGTCGCTGTCCTGTCCCTGGACAGAGAGCGAGCAGGATTTCTCAGGGTAATTGGGACAACACCGTAGGTCGTGTCTGATCTGCAGCCCCAGCAGCAGGTGACAGAAGCGATGCATCTTAAGCGCATGCGCACTACCGTAGATTTGAAAGCATGTGGATGGGTTAACCTCTGACACGATTAGACTTTTATGAAATTTACGTTGTTGCACGGTGTAAATAGCAAATTTTGTAGGAAGCTTAAATGATTTACATGTTTGTGATGTGAAGTAATACATCCAAATGTCTGTTTTCGTGTTGTATTGCAACTAGACAGTCTATGGTTGCAAATAGCTGTTTGAATATTGGTCGTAAAGTATGTTCGAGCATTATTTTACGACAGCCGAGTGACTGTAATGTCGCAACTGTGCAGCAGTCAGAGGGACTGAGGATATGTATGTATAACCAAGCGATAAAGCATTGTGTTTGTCCAGTAGGTCCAGTAGGTGGCGGTAATGCACCTTCAAGTTGGTTTTCCAACTGCCAATGAACTCCATTGTAGAAGAGGAAGATGTGTCGGAAAAAAGGATGTACAGCGTTCACTGCCTTCGTTCCTGTAAAGCGGCTTTAAATTCATCTCATTTCATGGCCAAATGTACGCCTATTGTAGTATTGAATACCAGAGGATAGTTTCGCGAACAGTCCTGGCACATGCGTCGATTAAAGAGCACATAACTAACGCTAACTATACAGCCATGTAACTAGCTGTTGTTCTAGTTTTGCATATTACCGCTAACCTTAGCTCAATGCTAGTGTGTCTATAAATACCGTTGCTTTTCTGAACAACTTTGCGCTGAAAGATCACTCCCTGTAAGATGTCAGCGCAGAAAGACTGCGAGTTTCTGGTGAAAAGAGCCCGGGAGCTGGTCTCAGATGATCCCTGTGCAGCGAAAGCCTGGCTCATAACAGCAAGAACCCTTTACCCTGCAGACTTCAACATTCAGGTATCATCTTATAGCCAACCCTGCTCTTTATAAGGGCTGAGCCACTACAGATAAAACCCTTTATAGATTAAAATCATTATCAAGTGAATTTTATGTATCATTGGCTGTTAATTGATAAACACTCATTTTACAGTATGAAATGTACATCATTGAACGCAACGCAGAGAGGACTGCTCCTGCAGGGAGGCTGCTGTACGACATGTGAGTTTCTCTGTAATCTACCATCTCTGTGGTATTACTGCAAAACACAAGGGCTCTTTACTGAGTCTGAGTTGACTGTAAACAATTATTTGTGTAGGGTAGAGTGGGGTAAGATGAGCCATTTTTCATATTTCAGATCACTACATGTAGGCAATCATAGTTTTGTCTCTAAATAGTGTATCTGCAGATATTTCAAGATGTTGTGCATCCCTGCAAACCAACAGAATGAGTCTAAACATAACTGTCTTGATAATATAGCATGCCAAAAAAGTGGTCTCCTATGGTCAACTTACCTCGTGTATGGGGTAAGTTGAGCAGTATCCCTACAACTCCCCCACTCTCCACCCCAGCTCTCCCTCACCTTCTCTCTCCCGAAATAACGGTCACTTCTTCATATTCATGCGTATTTTTATTAGGGCCCAACCGATATAGATTTTTTGGGGCCAATGCCAATACCAATTATTAGGGGGGGAAAAAATCGGAAATAAATGTCTAACCCCTTCACCCATGTGCTTCTAACCTTCACAGACTCCATGAATTGATGCCCATCTCCTAAATATTTAGTCACATGATCAATTTCTTTTACCATTTCCAAGAAACAGGGGGTGACTCAACTTACCCTTTGGCTCAACTTACCCCACTCTCCCCTATCCTTTAGGTTCATAAACTTTCCAGATCAGCCCATCGTATGGCGAGAGATCAGCGTTATCACTGCTGCCCTGCGTGGTGACTCTCAGGACAAACATGCACAGTTTTTACGAGGTGAGTGGTTTTGCAAACAAGGATGTAGTATCAAAATTTAGGGAAAATCATCAGTGATCATGTCGCTAGTGTGATGCATGTCTATTTTTTCCTATGCATGCATGTATGTGTTGTCTCCCCAGGGCTTTTTGAAACACTTCCAGGTCGAGTGCAGTGTGAGATGCTCCTCAAAGCCACTGAGCAGTGTTTCAACACTTTGGAGAAGGCAGAGATGCTGCTCCTCCTGCTTAAGCGTTTTCCAGAATCTGTGGTCCAACATGGGGTATGCACTTTAAACAAAACACATATGTTGACATTTGCACTAGGTGTATAAATAACTAACAATCAATATTATGTTGTATTTTTAGGTAAATCTTGGGGAAACGTTGTTAGAGGCAGAGGCCTCAGAGAATGTGGAGACACCTGTGAACTGCTTTAGAAAACTTTTTGGTAAGTAAATGAGGAAATTAACTAATTTCCTGATTTTTAAATCAATATTCTGTGACTTAAACTCTTTCTCTTTCCCTCTCAAGTGTGTGATGTCCTTCCCTTGGTCATAAACAACATGGACATGCGCTTGCCAGCCAGTCTTATGCAGAAGTACATGCTGAAAGCAGCTGAATTCTATATTGGCTACGTCACTCGTGGACCCTCACCTGATGGACAGATACAGGGTAGAGCTTCTTCCAGAGCCACCCCAGTGGTTTCACTTAAAACAGCAGTATTTGTGGTCTGCCAGTGGAGTATACATCAACATGTTCCTATTTTTTCCCACTGTCGCTGTGTCAGTAATTTCCACACTCTTTCTTTCATTTAAGGATCGCAAGAGGGAGGGTCTCTGAAGTCACCCACTGTGTCTCGAGGGTCCCAGAGATTTGTAATTGATGGCTTGTCAGAAAAGTCGTCAGTTGTAGCAGAACCTTGGGAGAGGCTGCTGGATATCCTCACTGTGGTTGGAGCACGCTGCGAGTGGCAGGGTGACAAGGGACAAAGGTAATCTTTTTGGAGCTTTTCAGCCAATCAGAGCTGTGCTACAGTGTTTTTCAGTCAGAGGGATTCTACCACAGCCAATTACGACATCAGATGGTGTTTTATGTAGATGTAGCTTCTCTTAATGGACTCTGATTTAACACTGTAGAATTAGTTTCCAAATTCTTTGTATTCTTGAGTGTTCAGGTTGTTAATGTTGGTAAATGTAGTTTATACTTTAGCTTATATTTAATGCATTACATTTGGAGTTGATTGTAATATTTATTCTGCTGCTATTGAATAAAACAGAATCAAAATGGATTATAATTTAAAAAAACATGCACAAAATAAACTTGAAAAATGTAGGGGTGGTCAATGGTGCATGTTTGCTGTTAGTGTATGTCACTAGATAAGTCAGATGTAGAACTCGATACTCATGTAAAATCTTCAAGAGCAGAGATTAGTGAATATTAACAAGGATAATTTTGTCGGAACAAAAATGTATGAACAGTAATTTCATTGTGTCTTAAGAAATCGTCAAAGTGACAGGCACACGGGAAGAGATTGTTTCTTCATGTTTTTGAAAGCCTTGTATTTCCTGTGTGTACGGTCTGCTCCAGGAGTTATGTTGACATGCTGCAGAGGGTGAAGGAACTGTGTCGCTACCTGCCTGGTCTTGAAGGAGACACAAGATCCCGCTGCTGCAGTCAGGTAGTCATCTGTGCTGCTCTCGTCCTCTTCCGCAGCGCCTTCCTTTATGTGTCAGCTGTACAGCCGGCGCTATTCCAGGGTAAGATAATATTTGCACCCACACGTACAACCAATTTTAATAAGTTTTAGGACTTGTAAAATCTGTATCTAATATTTTGACAACATATCAAATGTTGAATGGGAATGTTTTTATCGTTCCATAAAAAATACACATGCTCATTTTAAAATTTTCATGGAACAATTACATTTTTCAGTTTCAATGTCTGATATGTTGTCTTTGTGCTATTTTCAGTATAAAAATAGACTTAAAATGATTTTTCAAACCACTAAAGTCTGTTCTTATCAACATTTCACACAGTGTCACAACTCTTAAAGGGATATTCCGGCATTTCTTTCTGCCTTAGCGTCTCAGTCTGGTTTCATTTCCATGAAGTTTTTGGTTGCGATTTGCGCATGGAGACATAGACCGCTGTGCATTCCTATGGTCTGATCTTTGCTAAAGTTGGTATAACTAGAGAAGCAATCGGTCAGCAAAATTAATCTCTCGTGGGGGGGTCTAACTCGGTATTACGATGTGTTTGACCATGGCTTAAATTTACGCCGGAATATCCCTTTAAGGAATCAAGGTTGTATTTTTCTGCTTGATTTTTTAATTCTGTTCCCTTTTAAAATGAAATGATTAAATGATATGTTTATGTCTTTCAGGTGTAAATGCATTGAGTTCAGGGCCATGGATTCTTGTAGAAGATCTGAGTTTGGTATATAATGATGTGGAGGTGGAAAGAGGAGCCAAACATGCTCATAAGAAACGCAAGCTGGCTGATGGGAGGGAGAAAACAATGGTGAGGACAGATCAAACATTTCTGAGATGTTTCCATCTTATAAGTATGGGACCAAAAGAAGGGTTGATGATCAATCTAAATGCGTTTCCTTTGTATCTGCAAGTTTACTTTGTCTGTCTATGCGCTGTCAGAGCTCAGATGATGAAGACGGGATGGGAAAAGGTCGTGGTCGACACGTTTTAGTGAACAAGACTGAGATGCCTAACTGGTCAGAGACCCTAGACAGTTTCCGCACTGCAAGGGAAAGCTGGGACCTCCTCCACTCTCACGACAGCTTGGAAACAGGTCATTACCTCCTTTTCACAGCCGTGCTGCTCTGCACTCTTAGACAGGATCCAGTAACTCCTACAGAGCTATCGAAGTTAGCGATGCATTTTAGTCGTAAAACTGTCTTGAACTGATTTGTTAACTTGTAAGGGTGAATAAAGATGGGTGTCCTAATGATCTGATTGTATCGTTGTTCTTCTATAGAGTTCAAAAAGATCTGTGCCTCCTGGAAGACAGACAGCTGGCTGTGGTTCAGAATATTCCTGACAGACATGATCATATATCAGGTAAGAAAAAATTAATGTTTCTGTATGTTTTTTTGACAGTTACCTCAGTGCTGTTTTATCCTTAGTTTATTCTCGTAAAGTTTTTTATAATTTTCTTTTTAATGGCAGAATACTTGATTGTCCTTGAAGTGAAATTTACTTATCCTCTGAGCAAAAGAGGACTATTGGATGTCTATTTTTTTTTTAGACATAATTTTAACCATCTAGATTCTGTATATTTTTAGATGGAATTTAGACGTTGCACTTTAACCCATTATTTGATAACTATTTATTTCAAAAAGCAACTGTGAGTTGCATAACTGATCTCCAAGTACTTAACCAAAATAATTATGATAGCAGTTGAGCGATATACAGTGCAGTATAGATATAGCCCAGATTTAGACTTTGTCTAAACTTGGTCTAAATTTAGACGTCTAAGAAACTTTCATTTTTAGACCTGTGGTAGCCTGATTTTAGACCAGTCGCCTCGGCTACATTTAGACGTCTATTAGACCTCTTTTAGACCAAAAATGCCCAGTGAGTATAAAAGAAAAGGGAAGATCCCCTCAGGATGTAATAGAATTAAAGCAATGTATGATGAATCCCATGAAGAGAAAATGATTTGAAAGTCAAAAAAATCTGTACATGTGCTACCAAAGCTCTCTGTATGCTGATCATGTGTGCATGTGTTGTTGGGACATGTGTTTTTCTAGGGACAGTACCGTAAGGCCCTCTCCAGCCTGAACCAGATGGCTGCAGTGCAGCAGCCTCAGCCGGGGCAGCAGAGCCCCTCAGGCCAGGCAAGTTTGGAGCACCACAGGGCCCTCATCCAGCAGGCCTCCTGCCATTATGCACTGGGAGAGCACAGGGTAAACACATACATACACACACATGGACCTATTTCTTTGCAGTATGTCAAGAATCGCCCCAAAATTATTAAGTATTTTTGAGATTGTTTTGAGTCCAGCTTTTTTTCTTTTTTTTAAAGTTGAAATTTACCGTCTTCAATGTCTCTATATATTTCTTTAATTCTATTTCTTTTGTTTGTCTTCAACCATTGTGTAACAACTGTTAAAGTAATCATTATTAATAATACACAAGTCTGTTAGAGTTTGCTTAATGTGTCATCCTACAAATAAATCAGTTGCATCAACCGGCCTGCAGATGGCACACAAGTTTAAGTATAATTTAGACCAAGAATGATAGTGGATCATATTTATTAGTTACTGTGTCAGAGATTCAATTCCAGCTGTGTATAGTAAAATAAAGCTGACCTTGCTTAATACTCTTATCAATTGAATCATCCCATTTTGCTGATGTATAATGATATCATGTTACTTCTTCTTTTGTCTAGTGTATGTTGTAAAATATGTAGCAAAAACCTTTGTTGTCTCCAAAGTTGTGAGTGTTAAAGCTTTACACCGTCACACATCAAAACTTGACATTGTGCTTCATCAATGAATCAGATGGCCTGTGAGAAACTACTTGATGTGGTCAGTGGACTAGTGCCTCCAAACCAAGAACCAACAAAAACCCAAGATGATCAGAGTCGAGTCAAGACTAAAGCGAGGAAAGGTAAAGAAAAAAAAAATCTGCCTTTGAAAAATTGATCTTGGATCTATTTCGTAATTGAATATAAAATGTAAAACTGACTTCAGATATATCTTGTGTATTAAGTGCTAAATATTTTATACTTTTTCAACTTTGGGAACATTGTGTCTTAAAGCTGTAGCACTGATGTGTGACCAGTAAATCAGTACCTGTGCAACAAGAAAACCGCAACTTCTCTTTACAAGTGAAATATGAATCAGAAGCACCTGACTCAGTTAAACCTGCTGTTAATGACACCATTGATGACATGCAGAATATTATGAACCGTCTCATTTTGTCTTCTAGGTAATGACCTCAGATTGCTGCCCTGCACTAGCAAAGCTGTGCTACCTTTCTGTCTCCAGCTGATGCTTGCCTGTTTCAAGGTACTGTGGCGAGTGAAGTGCATGAAATTCTGATTATGTTGTCATTTTTTTTTAAATTGTTGTACTTGGATAGGACTGTTGGACTGTTTGACACTAAATCTCGTATAACCCACTTCATCTTTTTTCATGCTGTATCCATTTAGCTCCGTGCCTTCACAGACAGTCGGGACGATCTGTCTCTTGGACATGTAGTGGTGCTCCTCCAGTATGACTGGCCTCAGGGAGAGATGCTGTTTTTAAAGGCAGTGGATAAGATCTGTCAGCAGGGCAGCTTCCAGTACGAGAATTTCTTCAACTATGTCACCAGTATCTTTTTTTGCAGCTAAACTCACAGCAGTCATATTGTGAAGTGAGATAGTTGTTATCCCAGATTGACTTAGTCAGTTTTGCTGTACAAGTGTATCAAACAAAAGCAGAGAGGAGCACAGAAACAAATACACTTGAGATTAATTTCATCATCTATGTTCTACTAGATTCTTTCCAAAAAAGCCCTTAAAGACATTGCAACACACTGTGCAATACAACTTTAAAACAGTTGCTGAAAATTCAAGTATTCTGGGTCTGTGTCTGTTTTGTCTCAGTGGATGGTCTTTTTCCATAAATTCATGATTCTTGTCAGACATTGACATGCTGGAAGAGTTTGCATACCTGCGCACTCCAGAAGGGGGAAGGATTCAACTGGAGCTGCTGCCCAATCAGGGAATGCTTATCAAGTAAGAGCTTCTTATTCAGACAAGTTTCTCTTTGCATCGTGACTCTGCGCACTCCCGTTTTTGTTCCTGTTTTCAAAGAGAACAGTTCAGTTATTGATAGTTTTAAGTAGACATGGCCTGTGGGGAAAATTGTACTCTGAAATGAGAATGCTGTACAGGAGCGGGCATAAGAAAGAGAAGGGGTCTCTGGTCTAAGTAAACCTTTTAAACTCCGTCATTCAGAGCTGTAAAAGTAAAACCAGTTGAATGCACCCACACTGACTGAGAGTTGTTGAATGTTGCTGTCCCTCAGGAACCCTAGTCCCGCCCTGGGGGTGGAGTTAAATACCCTTCTGCTACAAGGGGTGCAGACGATGGACAGGTACCCCAGGCCCCTCCTCCCACAGTCCCATCCCTCCCTCCTTCCCTCCCTCCCTCCCACACCAGTCACCCTCCCTCCATTCCCTACTTCAAGGCTTGTCATCCCCCTGGTTTTGATTTGGGCCTGTCATTTTACATCAAGAGTTAGTCGTTCTTTGATTTCCTGTTGGCGTTTGTTTCTTTGAGCCATTGCTCGTCTTTCTGTGGTCATCACTGTTGTTGTTCCTGTTATAAACAGACGATGTCAGTCTTTTTTGTGCAGTCAATTTAGTTTCCTGCTCGTTCATGACACTTGATCTCATTTCATTTGTGGACATGTTTGTGGGTTTTTTATGATGATGGTATATTGTTGTTTGTTGTTTTAATCAGCTGATTTAGATAAAATAGTAAAAAGAAAAAATACAATTCTTTTTATTTCATAATGTTGTGTTATCTGTGTACAAAACTCAGTCTCTGTTTGTGTTAAGTAACACATTTTTTACACTCTGTGTCTTTGTTTTGACATTTTTCTCTTTGTTTTTTTCCCCAGACATCACACAGTAACACGCGGGATCACCAAAGGAGTGAAAGAAGATTTCCGTCTCGCCATGGAGAGGCAGGTGTCGCGGTGTGGGGAGAACCTGTTCAGTGTGCTTCATCGTTTCTGCATCAATGAGAAAATCATCATCATCCAGTCTCTGCCTTGATGCTTAGCCTGTGACTTTTGAACTTTTTTAGATGACATTCCAGTCGCAGTTTTGTTTCTGACTCTCATCTTCACCATCTGATGCTTTGCTTGAGGAAAAAAAAGTCTCATTGGCTGAAAAGTTGATCTATTTTTCAGAGAATTAAAAAAACTGCTCTTAGATTTGAATTGTATGTGTTTGTTTTTTCTTCTTTTCCAGAACAAGTGCTGAACCACATTTGGAGTTAAATCATATTGTGACAATAAGTGGGAGTAATGACAGAACAGTTAAGCTCAGTTTGGATTCCTTTAGGAGACTTTATTGTTTTTGTTACACACTTGATTAAACTGTTAGTTTATTTACATTTTGTAATTAAAGGTTTTCTTAAGAATGAGGAAATCTATGACATTTATTTCAGACTTGATTAAAAAAAAGAAGTTCCTTTTCTTCTGCTTTACCACTCCTCTATTTTTTATTCACACTTCCTCTTCCCACTTCACCTTTCTGTGCAGCTCTATCACCCATATTATTCCTGCAGCTCTGTGGCAGCTGCATCAGGCAGGTCACATTGTAGAGCAGCCCTGAGGTTAGCCCAGAACAGCCTGTGTTTAGCTCTATCATGAGGCCACTCCAAGTATGTGTGCCGGCTCATCATGGACTTCAGCTGGTTGTATTTTGATGGGATCAAATATTGAGGCAGTGGCTCCAGTAGCACCAAGACCACGCTGTCTGAGCCCCGAGTGAGGTGCTGGTGACTGGCAAAGTACAGCTCATAATGGCACCACTCACTTTTTACGAAATGGGCAGAGAGAACAAACACAGAGCGCCTGCACTTCTCCACACAGGTGATGATGTTCTCTACGATTGTCTTCCCAGGCACAAAGTGTCTCTCGTGATGGCAGATTCGAAGACCCCCAGCAGGTCCCTCAAGGTTGGGGAGAAGAGAATTGTGCACCCATTTTGCATCATGTTGGCTGTAAGATACAAATGCGTGAAACTCAGTACCCACCATATCTTCAGGTCGAACTTCTCTTCTGGCGCGGTGTTTGGCTCTGGTCCACTGCCCAATCATTTTCAAATACCAGGGAACATCCCAATAATGGCAGAGCGACACTATCAAGATTAACAATGCCACTGATGGGCCCAGGATGGTGGCAGCTAGAAGGCCAGTATTACAGTAGATTTCTGGGATTGAGATGACATTCAAGGTGGTGTCCCTGTCAACCTCTGGATAAGTGCAGTGATAGTCAGCTGGCCAACCCAACAATTCAATTCCTGAATGACTTTTCTTATTTTCTGCCGTAATGCCAAGACTTATGAAACTCTTCAGATCACAGGTGCATGTGTACGGGTTAAAACCAACATCCAGGGTTTTTAGTTCAGAACAGTTCTCCAGTTTGTTCACAGATGGAGCACTGAGAGAATTAAATCTGAGAAAAAGCGTATTTAGATAAGGGAAACCGTTGCACCCTGGCAGGTCCCGCAGTCTGTTCTGATTCAGATTTAGAGACAGCAGATTTGACAGTTTCTTGATGATGGACAGTGGTAGCACAGAAATCTTGTTGTTCTCGAGGTCTAGTGTCTCCGTTCCTGCTGGTAGACAATTGAAGACAGAGCCTGTTAAACCATTCGAAGAAAGAATCAGATTGGTGATGTTTGGTGGCCATTCACAATTTTCCAGACCATCATAGACAAGAGAGTTGAGGCTGAGATCCAGATCTTTCAGCAATGTCATGTGTCCCAGACGTTTGCTGATCGAGCCAAGGCTTTTCAGATTGTTTCCGAGCAAATTCAGTGTCCTAAGATTTCCCAGATTCTCACACTCAACAGTTTTTTGATTCTCCACTCGGGAGAAGATGGAGTCAGTGAGAGCACAAAAAGAGAAGTCCAGGTGGAGGAGAGGACTCTGGGACTTTGGACATGTCATATGAATTATTGAAGTTTCAGTGACAGCTAAACTCTCAACTGGCATGTTGATAAAGAAGTCGTACACAGCCTCCTGTGAGAAAAGGAAAGTTGTCACCTCCACCTGGCTTGCTGTAAAAGACTTCACTTGAGATGTCTTGGCTACTTCAGTTTCTTTTTGTGGCAATCTAGATAAGGTCACTTGAATTGCACTGATATGAGCTATAGATGTACTCAGAAGCACATTTACAGTGTCAGTTAAGTCTTCCCAGGTGACTGACATGTTTGTGACTTGAAGATGAGATGTGTGGATTTCTGCTTTATCTCTCAGCGGCTGGATTAAATCTTTCAAGCCATCAGCCAAATTTATCAACTCCAATTCAGCAAAGACCAGCAGAGCATCAGCTAGCAGATCATAGTGCATTCTGGGATGACTAGTGAAAGCTATCTGAAGCTTTTTGGCTTTGACAAGCTTCAGGCTGCCTGCCTCATAATTCAGATAATCCTCAAGGTGGAGACTTAGAGTATGTAGTTTCACTGCAGTGATGCTTTGGAAATCGTTCATACAGATGTTCTTTGCTCCAAGTGCCAAACTCTCCAGATTTACCAAAGAGCTGAACTCACTTCCAAGTGCCATTGAGAGAAACTGGTTAGAGGTCAAGTTTAGTACCCGCAGATTCTCAGTGTGGAGCAGATACCGCTGATTTGACAGGTTCTTCAGCTTGTTGTATGACAGGTCCAGCTCTTCAAGGTTGGGTGTGTCCAGGAAGGTCTGTGGATCGATTTCTTCTAAAATATTCCATGACATGTTCAGGGACCTCAACAGGTAGGTGTGTTTAAAGTCTCCATGACGAAGCTGCCGTATGTGGTTATGTGAAAGGTCGACAAACTCAGCAGCCTGTGGCAGGTCCTCTGGCACAGAGGAGAGGTTTTGGGATGAGCGGTCAACGAAGCCGTCAGGGAAAGAAGCGTCCAACTGGAGAGCCACCAATGCGGCTGTCACACAGAAGGCAGCGCTCACAGTCAGCATGTTTGTCTGTATAAAAACAGGAACACTGACATTAATATTATGAATTAGATATAATCACTAAGTTCTCATTTTTATAAAGTTCACCTAAAGTTAGCTGAAAGCAATACAGGCGCATCTTAATAATTTAGAATAGCCTTAAAAAAAAAAAAAGGTCAATCTTTTCTGCCATTCAAGAAAAAACTTCAGTAGACTATATTCTGGATAATTTTTTTTAATGAATTTTTTTAAAATTTGAATTCAATTCAATTTTTTAATTCAGCTTTATTTATATGGCACTTTTTGTACATAAGGAAATGCGATTCAAAGTGCCTCACAGAGGCTAAAAACAACAATAAAGACAGAAACACAACCTGTCCACCCACACACACAACCATGGACCCACACGCACTCACCCACACGTACACACACACAACCGCACACAGTGTGAGAATTTATGATATAAGTTAAAGAGACATGGCCTGACACCGAGACATTACATGAGGGAAAAGCTACCTTTAGGAAACACTGGAGATAAAAATAGAGATATAAATGGTGAAAAGAGTAAAACCTGATGGACTAAAATAAGAAAATAATAATATTAAATGAGCAAATAAATAAAAGGGGTAATAGAAGTAAAAACCTGTGAAGGGAAAATGAAAAAGGCTAAGAACATAGATAATGAATAGAATGACATAAAATAAACATTAAGAACTTTGATTAAAATTAACATTTGAGGATCACGTTCAAGATCCTCCTTCTCACCCACAAAGCCCTTCATCATCAAGCCCCTTCTTATCTCACCGACCTGCTCCAGCCTCATGCACCCCCCCGTAACCTCCGATCCTCCTCTGCCCATCTCCCCACCCCTAAGTCACGGCCCAAGCACCGAACCTGGGGCGATCGGGCATTCTCCACAGCTGCCCCTACGCTCTGGAACTCCCTACCACCCTCCATTAGACACTGCCCTGACCTCACTACCTTCAAATCCCTTTTAAAAACTCACTTATTTAAAATTGCTTTTAATATTTAACTGTTTTATTTTACTGTTTTCATGTCTCTGTTTTATTATCTTGGGTTTTACATTCTATGTAAAGCGTCTTTGAGTGTTTTTAAAAGCGCTGTACAAATAAAATTAATTATGAATTATGAATTATTTGCAATAAGAGAAATCTAAAATGGCAGTTAGTAAAAAGCCTGGTTAATGAAGTGAGTCTTGAGCCTCTTCTTAAAAAAATCAACAGTCTCTGCAGCCCTGAGGCTCTCCGGCAGGCTGCTCCACAACCGGGGACCATAAAAACTAAAAGCCGCCTCCCCTTGTGTTTTTGCTTTGACTTTTGGTAAGGTTTAAAAGGCCTGTGCTGGAGGACCTCGGGATCCACGAGGGTTGATATGATGAAAGTAAATCAGATAAATTGGAGGGGCCAAGACCATTAAAACATCTAAAAACTAAATACATAATATTAATAATAATTATGAATATTATAATAATTCTAATATATGTATATATATATATATATACATATACATATGTATATATATACATATATCATTATAATAATAAATTATGATTATGATAATAATAATAATAATAATAATAATAATAATAATAATAATAATAATAATAATAATAATAATAATAATAATAATAATAATTGTTATTATTAATTATAAATTATTATAATAATATTCTTATCATTATTAATATTATCAATAATAATGCATCTAAAAGGACCTTAAAATCAATCCTGATACGGATGCTGATTTAGATATCTTTGTCCAGAAGAAGACGTGAAATTCCTGAACTAATAAAATACAGGCAAGCTGAAGGGCAGTAACAGAGCAACCTGAGCTTCATTAGCAGCTTCATTCATATGAACATATTTTAAAGAAGACCTTTTAGTATTTGAAATCCTAATTCTGACTGGTCTTAAGAGTTGTTTTCATACTTTGACATTCTGGATTTCTTATTATTGTGAGGTTTCAGCCAAAAGCATCAACATTAGAAAAAAGAGGCTTAAAATATTCAGCTGAACATGTCACAAATTAATGAAATACAAAAGTTAACCTTTCTGAATTGGATTATGAAAGGAAGAAAAAAACTTTTCCCAGGAGTCTAAATCACTGAGATGCACCTGAACAGATTGTGTCAAGTCTTGAAAGTCTTTAAATCATCCAGCTAAGAAATAGCTGGATTTGTTTGAGAGGGGCAAATTTCCTTCTCAGACAAAACCAAAACTACTACAGTACATACACAATAAAAATGTTAATACATCTATGATTATTCTTTATCATGAATATGTTAATTTTTCCAGGTTTTTGATCCGAACTTCAAAAAGACAAACGGTAAATATTGAGCAGTGATAAGAATAAGCCTTCTTAATTTCAGTGGGGTGGAATTCATTAAAGTATTCTTAATTGAAATACAATAGACTTAAATAGATGGAAAGACTTACTTTCATCACTGATCATTTTGAAGGCTGCAGCATGTTAATTTTTTTTTTTTAGAGATATATCTGTTAAATATAAATCCAGTTACAGTACAATACGTAGATAACAGCACTCACCTGAGCTGAAGTCTGTATTTCATCAACCGAAGAACTGAAACCTCTCAAACATCGATTTTAAACTGCCGACCTGTTTTTTAGTCCAAAAAATGAAAAAACGTTTTGACTGAATCGCCTTTATTTATAGCTGAAGAACAGAGTACTTCAAGTCGACCGTTAGACAACCATCAGCTCTGCTGACTGTTGGCTTCTGCATTTGTTCTTCTCATTTTTCTTTTTATAAGAAACTTCAGCAGTTATTTGGGGGATCTCTGTGCTGCAAGGAAGTGGTTGTGGAAATGAAAGTAAGCTCAGTCCAATCAGAATGTTATCTCCTACGTCCTCTTTTCACTTCCCTTTTTCAAGTATCAACAAAAAACTGAAAAAAAACAAACAATTTTTATCTTTATATAAGCATCTGTGTCATGAAGAAGGGGTGAAATATAAAAGTGTGAACAGGGAACAAGTATTTCACTGATTCTGTGAAGACAACGAGTTTGATTAGCCAAAAATACTTATTCACTTTATTCCCCACCTGTCACAATTTTACAATCTCATATGTTTTTTATGAAATCTGTTTATGTGTATGTTTGGCATTGTAAGTTCTATGAATGACAGACTACAAATGAAGCCTATTGCTTTGTAGGCGGTAGACGCCCGTTTTCTAATTTAATTGCTATTATAACCATATAATGCCAAGTGTTTCCATGACAACCAAACTGTTAACTCCAGTCAGCTACAGACCCCACCTTTAATCAGAAAGGATGAGCGTGATTGAAAGGAAGACAGACACAAACATGCACTTACCTTCAACGTTTTTGTGCGAGCAGCACTTCTGTTTCCTCGGGGCAGTGGTTGTTACTCACCCTTAAAGTGGAGTTCAATTGAATAAAGTGAGATGTGCTTGTGTAACCGTTCTCACCTGGGGTTGTTTGATCAAATACTGGAGGACTGATGTGAACTTGAGAAGCACCTGGACACGAGTTAACAATTACAGATTGCACTGTTTCATTGTCCTTCCTTCTTTTTTAAACATATCTGTAAAGATCACATTTAAAAGATTAAAGTCCTGGACTGACTTGAAACTTGTTTGAATTAAAGTGCTTCAGGTATAAGGACAGAAACAACTCTGAGTGTCTGCAATGTAGGATTCTTCTTTGTTATGAAGCTCAGATCAGAGTACAAGCTAATTATTTACACAAGGCCCGTCTTTACAGCAATCAGCAGCGTGTTTATAGCTGTGTGTGTCCTCACAGCAGAGGCACATAAATAGTCTGTGTGTTGTTCCTCTCTTTTTTGTACTCGGATATTCCTGATGGAGCCACAGGTGAAATGATTTTGTACTTTGTTGAGTTTGTATGATTTTATTGTACAGATGAGAGCGGACAAGAATCAATCTTTGTGAATATAAGGCAGCAGGGAGGGGCTGAGTGGGAGCTTAATATTGGTAAATGTAGTTTATAGTTTAGCTTATATTTAATGCATTACATTTGGAGTTGGTTGTAATATTTATTCTGCTGCTATTGAAAAAAACAGAATCAAAATGGATTATAATTTAAAAAAAAACATGCACAAAATAAACTTGTAAAAATGTAAAAATGATGATGTCAAGGACAATGTGTTGGCCTTTTTGGACTGTGCTGTACACTTGGAGGCAGATGGGTGTCTCAACGTTGAAGTGTACAGGAAAGCCACACACACGGACCAATATCTACTTTTTGATTCCCACCATCCTCTACAGCACAAACTGGGTGTCATCAGAACACTCAACCACCGGGCTGAGAACATTCCCACAAAGAAAGAAGGTAAGGAAAAGGAACAGAAGCACATCAAAAATGCCCTGACAACCTGTGGATACCCTAAGTGGGCCTTTGTGAAGAACAAAAAGAGAAAAAACACTGAACACGAAAGGGAGGAGAGACGCAAGAGCACCGTAATCCCTTACGTTGCACGCCTGTCGGAAAACTCAAGAGGATCTTTGGCAAACACCATATTCCTCTTCATTTCAAGCCTGGTAACACACTAAGGCAGAAGCTAGTCCATCCTAAGGACAAAACATGAGACATAAACAGAGTAATGTGTTGTGTATGCCAACTCCTCCCAGTCGTTGCATGTCCCCTTCTCTTGTAAGATAGATATCTGCTCCTCACACTCATTGGCTGAAAAGTTGATCTATTTTCCGGAGAATTAAAAAAAACGCTCTCAGATTTGAAATGTATGTGTTTGTTTTTTCTTCTTTACCAGAACAAGTGCTGAACCACATCTGGAGTTGTTAAATCATGTTGTGACAATATGTGGGAGTAATGACAGAACAGTTAAGCTCAGTTTGGATTCCTTTAGTAGACTTTATTGTTTTTGTTACACACTTGATTAAACTGTTAGTTTATTTACATTTTGTAATTAAAGGTTTTCTTAAGAATGAGGAAATCAATGACATTTATTTCAGACTTGATTAAAAAAAGAAGTTCCTTTTCTTCCTCTGCTTTACCACTCCTCTATTTTTTTACTCACACTTCCTCTTCCCACTTCACCTTTCTGTGCAGCTCTATCACCCATATTATTCCTGCAGCTCTGTGGCAGCTGCTTCAGGCAGGTCACATTGCAGAGCAGCCCTGAGGTTAGCCCAGAACAGCCTGTGTTTCGCTCTATCATGAGGCCACTCCAAGTATGTGTGCCGGCTCATCATGGACTTCAGCTGGTTGTATTTTGATGGGATCAAATATTGAGGCAGTGGCTCCAGTAGCACCAAGACCACGCTGTCAGAGCCCCGAGTGAGGTGCTGGTGACTGGCAAAGTACAGCTCATAATGGCACCACTCACTTTTTACGAAATGGGCAGAGAGAACAAACACAGAGCGCCTGCACTTCTCCACACAGGTGATGATGTTCTCTATGATTGTCTTCCCAGGCACAAAGTGTCTCTCGTGATGGCAGATTCGAAGACCCCCAGCAGGTCCCTCAAGGTTGGGGAGAAGAGAATTGTGCACCCAGTTTGCATCATGTTGGCTGTAAGATACAAATGCGTGAAACTCAGTACCCACCATATCTTCAGGTCGAACTTCTCCTCTTCTGGCGCGGTGTTTGGCTCTGGTCCACTGCCCAATCATTTTCAAATACCAGGGAACATCCCAATAATGGCAGAGCGACACTATCAAGATTAACAATGCCACTGATGGGCCCAGGATGGTGGCAGCTAGAAGGCCAGTATTACAGTAGATTTCTGGGATTGAGATGACATTCAAGGTGGTGTCCCTGTCAACCTCTGGATAAGTGCAGTGATAGTCAGCTGGCCAACCCAACAATTCAATTCCTGAATGACTTTTCTTCTTTTCTGCCTTAATGCCAAGACTTATGAAACTCCTAAGATCGCAGGTGCATGTGTACGGGTTGAAACCAACATCCAGGGTTTTTAGTTCAGAACAGTTCTCCAGTTTGTTCACAGATGGAGCACTGAGAGAATTAAATCTGAGAAAAAGCGTATTTAGATAAGGGAAACCGTTGCACCCTGGCAGGTCCCGCAGTCTGTTCTGATTCAGATTTAGAGACAGCAGATTTGACAGTTTCATGATGGACAGTGGTAGCACAGAAATCTTGTTGTTCTCGAGGTCTAGTGTCTCCGTTCCTGCTGGTAGACAATTGAAGACAGAGCCTGTTAAACCATTCGAAGAAAGAATCAGATTGGTGATGTTTGGTGGCCATTCACAATTTTTCAGACCATCATAGACAAGAGAGTTGAGGCTGAGATCCAGATCTTTCAGCGACATCATGAGTCTCAGACGTTTGCTGATCGAGCCAAGGCTTCTCAGATTGTTGCTGTGCAAATTCAGTGTCCTAAGATTTCCCAGATTCTCACACTCAACGATTTTTTGACTCTCCACTCGGGAGAAGATGAAGTCAGTGAGAGCACAAAAAGAGAAGTCCAGGTGGAGGAGAGGACTCTGGGACTTTGGACATGTCATATGAAGCATTGGGGTTTTAGTGACAGTTATACTTTCTACTGGCATGTTGATAAAGAAGTTGCACATAGCGGTCTGTGAGCCAAAGGGAGATGTTGTCCCCACCTGGCTTGCTGTAAGAGACTTCACTTGAGTTGTCTTGACAGTCTCAGTGTCTTCATTTGGTGATGTTGTTAAGGTCACTTGAAAGACACTGAAATGAGTTATAGATGTATTCATTAGCACATTTGCATACTCAGTCATGTCTTCCCAGGTGACTGTCACGTTTGTGACTTGAAGATGAGATGTGTGGATTTCTGCTTTATCTCCCAGCAGCTGGACTATATCGCTCAAGTCATCAGGCAAATTCATCAACTCCAATTCAGCAAAGACCAGCAGAGCATCATCTAACAGATCATAGTGCATTCTGGGATGACTAGTGAAAGCTATCTGAAGCTTTTTGGCTTTGACAAGCTTCAGGCTGCCTGCCTCATAATTCAGATAATCCTCAAGGTGGAGACTTAGAGTATGTAGTTTCACTGCAGTGATGCTTTGGAAATCGTTCATACAGATGTTCTTTGCTCCAAGTGCCAAACTCTCCAGATTTACCAAAGAGCTGAACTCACTTCCAAGTGCCATTGAGAGAAACTGGTTAGAGGTCAAGTTTAGTACCCGCAGATTCTCAGTGTGGAGCAGATACCGCTGATTTGACAGGTTCTTCAGCTTGTTGTATGACAGGTCCAGCTCTTCAAGGTTGGGTGTGTCCAGGAAGGTCTGTGGATCGATTTCTTCTAAAATATTTGATGACATGTTCAGGGACCTCAACAGGTAAGTGTGTTTAAAGTCTCCACGACAAAGCTGCTGTATGTGGTTATGTGAAAGGTCGACAAACTCAGCAGCCTGTGGCAGGTCCTCTGGCACAGAGGAGAGGTTTTGGGATGAGCGGTCAACAAAGCCGTCAGGGAAAGAAGCGTCCAACTGGAGAGCCACCAATGCGGCTGTCACACAGAAGGCAGCGCTCACAGTCAGCATGTTTGTCTGTATGAAAACAGGAACACTGACATTAATATTATGAATTAGATACAGTCACTAAGTTCTCATTCTTATAAAGTTCACCTAAAGTTAGCTGAAAGCAATACAGGCGCATCTTAATAATTCAGAATATCATTTAAAAAAAAAAGGTCAATCTTTTCTGCCATTCAAGAAAAAACTTCAGTAGACTATTTTCTGGATAACTTTTTAAATGATTTTTTCTATTTTAATTTTGATAATGAAGGCAAAAAAGTTCTTTTTTAATTTCAATTCTGATGGATCACCTTTTGGTTTAGTTTTTAACACAACGACAAACATTAGGAGGGTTGCTGACCCGACAATTATCCAGAAGATGACTTCTGACATGCTCCCCGAGGAGGGTGAGCCACAGCAGGTCAAGGCTGAAAAGGCTGTTTGGTTAATCAAGAGCCACCACACACAGACATCTCCAAGAAAGAAGATACAACCGTCGGATTCCTAATATCAAGCCAGAGACAACATCCTACTTTAACTGAGGAGGAGAAAAAGATTTGTACTGTTGCTCAGTGGTGTAAAGTCCTCTTTTACAATGAAAGTGTATGAAATACAACTAATGGAAGAACGAAGTCAAGGTCCTAGAGTCTGGAGGACAACCAGTGAGGCAATAAATCCAAGGTGTTTGACAGTTTTGCTGTCTGTGATAATTTTGACTGCAATGGCAATTGTTGGTGTTGGTTGTCTTGTTTGATTAAGTCCAAACTCAATGCAGCTGTCTACCAGGACGTTTCAGAGCACTTTGTTTTTTTCCATCAGCTGATGAGCTTTAAGCTGGTTTAGATATCTTTGTCGAGAAGAAGACGTGAACTTCCTGAACTAATAAAATACAGGCAAGCTGAAGGGCAGTAACAGAGCAACCTGAGCTTCATTAGCAGTGCCACCTCTGTGTCATCACCTTCATCACAATCTGATGCAGTGATTTATGATAAATTATATGAACATATTTTAAAGAAGACCTTTTAGTATTTGAAATCCTAACTGTAAATATTGAGCAGTAATAAGAATAAGCCCTCTTAATTTCTTAATCAAGAAGGCTTATTCTTAATTGAAGTACAATAGACTTAAATAGATGTAAAGACTTACTTTCATCACTGATCATTTTGAAGGCTGCAGCATGTTAATTTTTTTTTTTTTTAGAGATATATCTGCTAAATATAAATCCAGTTACAGTACAATACGTAGATAACAACACTCACCTGAGCTGAAGTCTGTATTTCATCAACCGAAGAACTGAAACCTCTCAAACACCGATTTTAAACCGCCGACCTGTTTTTTAGTCCAAAAAATGAAAAAACGTTTTGACTGAATCGCCTTTATTTATAGCTGAAGAACAGAGTACTTCAAGTCAACCGTTAGACAACCATCAGCTCTGCAGACTGTTGGCTTCTGCATTTGTTCTTCTCATTTTTCTTTTTATAAGAAACTTCAGCAGATATTTTGGTGAATCTCTGTGCTGCAAGGAAGTGGTTGTTGAAATGAAAGTAAGTCCCAATCCCAAAGTTATCTCCTACATCCTCTTTTCACTTCCCTTTTTCAAGTATCAACGAAAAAATGAAAAAAAAAAAAACTATTTTTATCTTTATATAAGAGTCTGTTTCATGAAGAAGGGGTGAAATATAAAAGTGTGAACAAGGAACAAGTATTTCACTGATTCTGTGAAGACAATGAGTTTGATTAACCAAAGAAACTTATTCACTTTATTCCCCACCTGTCACAATTTTTACAATCTCATATGTTTTTTATGAAATCTGTTCACGTGTATGTTTGGCATTGTAAATTCTATGAATGACAGATTACAAATGAAGCTTATTGCTTTGTAGGCGGTAGACGTCCGTTTTCTAATTTAATTGCTATAATAACCATATAATGCCAAGTGTTTCCATGACAACCAAACCTTTAATCAGAAAGGATGAGCGTGATTGAAAGGAAGACAGACACAAACATGCACTTCCCTTCAACGTTTTTGTGCGAGCAGCACTTCTGTTTCCTCTGGGCAGTGGTTGTTACTCACCCTTAAAGTGGAGTTCAATTGAATAAAGTGAGATGTGCTTGTGTAACCGTTCTCACCTGGGGTTGTTTGATCAAATACTGGAGGATTGATGTGAACTTGAGAAGCACCTGGACACGAGTTAACAATTACAGATTGCACTGTTTCATTGTCCTTCCTTCTTTTTTAAACATATCTCTAAATATCACATTTAAAAGATTAAAGTCCTGGACTGACTTGAAACTTGTTTGAATTAAAGTGCTTCAGGTATAAGGACAGAAACAACTCTGAGTGTCTGCAATGTGGGCTTCTTCTTAGTTATGAAGCTCAGATCAGAGTACAAGCTAATTATTTACACAAGGCCCGTCTTTACAGCAATCAGCAGCATGTTTATAGCTGTGTGTGTGTCCTCACAGGAGAGGCACATAAATAGTCTGTGTGTTGTTCCTCTCTTTTTTGTACTCGGATATTCCTGATGGAACCACAGGTGAAATGATTTTGTACTTTGTTGAGTTTGTATGATTTTATTGTACAGATGAGAGCGGACAAGAATCAATCTTTGTGAATATAAGGCAGCAGGGAGGGGCTGAGGGGGAGCTCGAGGACTCTGAGAGAAAGATAGGGAAGACTGATCAGGTTGTCACATGGATTCTGCACGTCAAGGCTTCAGATGTTGCTGTTTTCTTTTTGGTTTTCTTCCTCCACCACCATGAACTTCTTGCTTTCCAAAAGAAGATTTCTGATATTTTTCAGAGTTATTTCTCTGGCTGACATTTGCCACCCCCTTCAAGTGGATTTCTAAAACAAGACAAACTCCTTCAGTATGCTGGACCATCCTTCACTTCCTCCTCAGCTCCTCTCACTCTGTCTCCTGTTTCTGGTGTGTAGTGTGAACAAGGGGGCCTGTTCCCCTGGAGAGGGCAGGAGGATTTGGCAGCAACCCAAGCCGGACCTCTTCATCAAAGACCAGGCTCTCCTTCATGACAACTTCCCTTCAGGATTTCTCTGGGGGACAGGGACATCTGCCTTCCAGACTGAGGGAGCCTGGGATCAAGAGGGGAAAGGCGCATCCATCTGGGACCATTTCACCCACTCAAGTGCTGGCAGTGATTTGGAAAACAAGACGGCAAATGTGGCAAGTGACAGCTACATGCGCTGGGAAGAAGATGTCGAGGCACTGGAATATCTGGGTGTTAAATCATACTTTTTCTCTCTCTCTTGGCCGAGAATCTTCCCTGATGGGGTTGCTAAAAACCAGCCAAATGCAGCCGCTGTGGAGCATTATAGCCGCCTCATAGAGAAGCTTCATGAAAAAAACATTGAGCCTGTTGTCACTCTCTATCATTGGGACCTGCCACAAGCTCTACAAGAACGCTATGGAGGCTGGAGAAATGACACACTGGTTGAGCTGTTTGAGGAGTATGCTGCATTTTGTTTCCACAAATTTGGGAGCCGCGTTAAGCTCTGGTTTACGATGCATAATCCATATCTAGTTGCTGTGCAGGGGTACGGGACAGGTGTGCACGCCCCTGGAGAAACAGGAGGTCCAGCTGTCCCTCTCATTGTGGCCCACAACCTGATCAGGGTAGGTTAAGTGTAATGATCAGTGAGTCTGAAGTGCATGTAGTATTTATGCAAGCATATAATCTGTCTGCGACCTTCGAACCTCTGCAACAGTATCAGGTTATGATGGACAGTGTGTGTGTTTTCACCCTGCAAATGATTTTAGGTCACAAGACAGCAAGGTAAAAGGCCTAACCAATGCTGCTCTCATATTTTGTCAGAAAGAATAAAAACACTGGAATAGGATTTCTTACATGGTCAAGTAGTTTTTTTATATACACTTTTATTTATTTGTTTTTCGTGCCATTACCACTCTACCTCCAGAAAGTGCAATATTACTCACTATGCTGCTATTTTACCCTTAGTTTTTATTGTTTTTATTTTTTTCTGTATATAAAATTAAACACCATCATGCTGTGACATGGAAGCCAAGCAACGACATTTTGTTGCAGAGAGAAATCACTGCTGTTTAATTCTGTGCAATAACAAATAAAGAAAATCTAAGTCTAAGTCAAGTCCAGTGCAGCCTAAAAACTCACTGTTTCATCATCTCCTCCATTTTAAAAGCAGCTCATATTTTACTATGACAAGCGTGTGATCTGTAAACAGAACACTTGAGCAGACATGGAGGTCAGAGTCCGCCACATCAGCGCTTTCTTGCAGGAAGTCATGGAGATACGCTTCGCTGATAATCATCCGTGTTTATACAGCATAGCACAGGTGGTATGTGAACAGTTAGTGTGGTGCAGATTAAATGAGCAATTTCCTGCTACTTATTGTCTTTATGATCACACTCTCTTACCTCAAGGAGAAGAAGAAGAAACAGCTTTTGACTTCATGGTCTGTTTCTTATTGTTAGTTTGAAAAATGTCACATTCAACTGTTACTGAAAATGAATCAAGATAAAATAAAAACAAAAAAAGTCCAGGTAGAGGATCAGATGCACCAAAATGAAAAAAAAAGTAACATGCATGACATTTTCAGTCATTTTAAGCACATCTGGACCAATACAAACATCAAGTAATATTGTGCACAATACCACAACCCTAGAAAAAGATTCAGACATTATTAACTCTGTTGTTCACACATGAATGTCCCTACTGTTAGGCTTTTAAGTGTCCTATTTGAAAAACATGTTTTTTTTTTTGTTTTTTTTTTGCCTACAAAGTGATTGAGTATTAGAAATCAGGATATGAAACTGTGAATAAAATTCTATCTGCTGTAATTTTCAGGCTCATGCCAAAGCTTGGCACACCTACAACAACTACTACCGTCCAACACAGAAGGGTCAGGTATCCATCGTTTTGGGATCTCACTGGGTCGAACCTCAAAGAGGAGAAGCTATGGGTGATAATGTCGAGTTTTGCCAACAGTCCATGGAGGCCGTCCTTGGCTGGTTTGCCAACCCTATCTTTGGTGATGGAGACTACCCAGTCTCTTTAAAGACCAAACACGGAGCTCTCATGCCCTCATTCTCCACTGAGGAGAAGCTCTGGGTGCAGAACACAGCAGACTTTTTTGCTCTGTCCTTCGGGCCAAACAACTTCCGTCTGGGTCGAGGCCTGGAGAGGAATGGGCAGACGGTGTTCCCTGACCTGAGGCGTGTACTGGGCTGGATAAAGCTGGAGTATGGGGACCCATGGGTGATTGTTGCTGAAGGAGGCTGGTTTTCTGAAGCCAGTGTGGGAAGAGAGGACACAGTGGCCATTTACTGGATGAAGAGGTTTATCTACCAGGTTCTGCAAGGTAAATATAGAATAGAAAGAGGAAACATCAGAACTTAGATAAAGATGAAAAGAATGATCATTTCTTTTCTTTTTTTTTTGGTGTGTTTTACATTCAGCTATCAAGTTGGATGGTGTAAAGGTGTCTGGGTACTCCACTTGGTCATTGGTAGATGGATTTGAGTGGAATTATGGCTTCAATGTGAGGCGCGGCCTTTTCAACATTGACTTCTGCCAACAAAACCGAACAAGGATACCTAAAACCTCTGCACAGTACTACAAACAAGTTATTACAGACAATGGTTTTCCCAGGGATGAAACCTCCAGGGAGATCAGAGGCAGTTTCCCCTGTGACTTTCACTGGGGGATCGCTGACTCTACTTTACAGGTAAAAAAAAATATATTATCTACTGACCCAAGAGAAGTATTTAATTAAAGTTTATACCTAATTATTTTTCTTTTTTGTAGGTCCAGTTCTACCCTTTCTCACCACAGTTTACAGACCCACATCTGTACACCTGGAACCTGACAGGAGATAATTCATTGCATCCAGTTTCTGGGGTGACGATGCAAACTAGACCAGCCCAGTGCACAGACTACCTAGCTATCCATAATCATCTTCGTCTGCTGAAATCTACAGGGGCTTCTCACTTCTGCATTGCCCTCAACTGGTCTCTGATTTTACCCCAGGGAGATCTTTCGAATGTGAACGTTGAAGCTTTAAGGTAAAAATTTATAAATGTGGACTGATTCTAACCCAGTGTTTTTGCACCTTTATCAAAAACATTCTCAGTTGAGATTCTCATTTTGTCTACACACTTGCATTACCTGGTTGTTTTACCTTTTATCATCTCACGATTGTTCCAAAAGGTACTACCGCTGTGTCCTGACTGAGCTCAAGAGGATGGACATAAATGCTGTCGTCATACTCTACTACCCCACACATAGAGCTCCGAATCAGGGCTTGCCTGAGCCTTTGTACGCCTCTGGTGGTTGGCTTAACTACAGCACAGTGGAGGCTTTTCAAGAGTATGCTGCACTTTGCTACCAGCAGCTTGGGTCCTGGGTTCCTTACTGGATCACTATAAATGACCCAAACAGACTGGTAGATGTATATTCTAGTGAGAAAGAGAAGCATCAAGCGGTTCATCACTTGATCCTGGCTCATGCAAAAGCATGGAGGCTGCACGAGAGGGAGTATTCAAGTCAGCAAAGTGCAAAGGTATCACTTGCATTACATGCAGACTGGGCTGAGCCTGCGAATCCTTTCCTGGATTCACATTCAGCAGCAGCACAGAGGTTCTTGTTGTTTGAACTCGGTCGCTTCTTGGACCCTTTGCTGGGGACAAAATACGAGAAAGAGCATGACAAAGGGGACTATCCTCAAGAAATGAAGGCGCATCTGGAGGAGAGAGCCCGAGTAACGGGCATCCCTGGCTCCCCTCTCCCTAATTTTACCAAGACCGAGAGAAAGGAGATCAGAGGAACATTGAGCTTCATCGCCCTGAACCATTTCACCACTCGGCTGGTCTCTCCATATCCCCCCACACATTCTAAATTGAAGCACAAGCAGCCCCCTGATCATGGCTGTCTGATACTTACTGATCCCACCTGGACCTCCTCTGGTCTGGGACAGGCCCTGGTACCCTGGGGCCTGAGGAAGATCCTGAACTGGGTGAGCCAGAGATATGGAGAGGCTTTGCCTATCCTTGTCACAGCCAGTGGGGTGGATGACCAGGCTGTTGTGGAGGACAAGCTCAGGCAGCACTTTCTCAGGAGTTACCTACAAGAAGCACTAAAAGGTGAGACACTAAAAATTCAGTTGGCTCACAATAGCGCCCCACTTAAAGAAAAGTATCTTGTTGTAAGTATTTTGTTCAATATTTTTGTGTTTTTGTAATGTTTTATAATTGGGATGACTGCTGTTCACTTTGCCCATATTTTTTTGGAGTTGATCTATTATTATATTGTTATTGTCCTCCATTACAGTCTATAATGAGGTATGTGGTATTGCCAAGTGTATCAGCTTTTGGACCATCCCAATACCACCATAACAAAATTAGCTGGAGGTAACAATAATAGGCAACAACAATACAGTAATACGTATTTTTAATCACCCTGGCATATGGGTTGGAACTAGAACTGGAATCATTAAGACAAAATTGGACAGTCTTGTCTGGCTTGTTTAATCTATGTCTGTGCATTCATAATTTGTGAACACCTGCTTCATATTTGCCCCTAATTATAAACCTGATATGAAATATGTGTCCGCAGTTAAGTCTGATATGTATCATTAATTTTCAGTGGGAACAAAACAGACCTCAGTACAGGATGTTGATATGACCATAATGGATCCTGCTATAAAACTAGACTTTAAACCTAACCCTAGAGATTATAAAAGAGAGGGGGAAGAACAGAAAACATACTGCAGTGACAGTGTTGGCTGCACAGATTGCCTTTATTTCCCCTTAGCTTACCTGTATTTGCATATGCACTGTTTGCCATAATATTGACACGGTGTGAGTGGGGAGTGAATTAACGTCACACATCTCTGTGTATTTGTTTCCAGCTCATAACTTTGATAGAGTCAATCTCCAGGGCTTTTACATGTGGAAACTGCAAGATCGACAGGTCCCCCAGTTTGGCCTCTTCACATCATCGCAACACAACTCAAAAGCCAAAGCCTCCATGACTGTCTACAGAGAGATCATCACTCATGGTGGTTTCCCCAAAGATAACACTACTCAGACCTGCAGGCCCAGTAAGCTGCAGGAACCCTGCTCCGCCTGTGTATGGATGTCCGAAAACAAAGCTCTGCTTGTGTTTGGAGGCTGTCTCCTAATCACAGCTGTTATGTTTGTAGCGCTCCTCATCTTTGTCATCATCACCAAGAGAAACCAAACAAGAGAAAGGGGGATGAAGAAGGTGAACCGAAGGAATGAAGGGTTTACTGTGTGCCCATGTCCGCCTGTTAAGTATAAACTGTAGAGACACAGGCTCACATTAACTGCAGACTCCTGCCGGATAATTTATTTCCTATTTTCATTTTTATTTTGAAAAATTGATCATGTGACTTTTATGTTTTACCTCATTAAAGAACAGGAATACGTAACCTAACTGCTCAAATAACCTTTGAAAAAAATGTGTCAATTATGTATGTATGGTAATAAAGCAAGTCAGTGATGACCGGCCCAAAATGTGGCTTAACACAATACTTTCCTTGAACTGGGTTATCACATTTGTGTTTGCACTATTTCAAAAATGTAACTTTTGAGTGGTAAAGTGGATAAACAGTACAATGAACTGATGGATTGATGTATATGTGGGTGGATGGTTGGATAAACGGGCGAGTGGATCCACTTCATCAAACTTGAAAAATACTGTATTTTTCATTTGACAGAGTGCATCTCTTCTAACAATGACGCCCCCTAGTGTCATAAAACAGAATAAAATACTGATATCCTCAGTAACTCCACAAAGAGCAACTAAAGCACATCAGTATTTCACACTGTCATCACTTTATATGTTTTTAACACACAAATCCCCCTTCAGCTATAATAACTTCTTCTTATTCAAACAGAAGTTGGATACAAACAGAAAACTGTTATTTCGAGCAGGAGGAAGTAAGCCAAATATTCACACATAATCTAAATATTGCAGTGTCAGGACTAACAAAATAACAGATTTGTAGATTCATGCCAACAAGCTTTAATTAGCAAGCACTGACTATGAATTTTGCCACCTGACACAGTTGCTTGAGGGACAGCTTACATTAGGCCTGCACATCTGCAGATGGAAGATCCCTCTAAATTAGGAGTATTTCCATATTTCCTGATATGTTTTCAACCCACCCTGATAATTCAACTTTGATCATATGTGTTAAGTAGTTACAAAAAACATTTATTTAGGCTAGTTATAACGTGTTATAGGGGAGAGTGGGGTAAGATGAGCCATTTTTCATATTTCGGATCACTACATCAAGGCAATCATAGTTTTGTCTCTAACTAGTGTATCTGCATATATTTCAAGATGTTGCAAATCCCTGCAAACCATCAGAATGAGTGTAAACATAACTGTCTTGATAATATAGCATGCCAAAAAAAAGTGGTCTCCTATGGTCAACTTACCCCGTGTATGGGGTAAGTTGACCATAGGAGCGGGGTAAGTTGAGTCGTATCCCTACTACTCCCCCACTCTTCACCCCAGCCCTCCCTCACCTTCTCTCTCCCTAAATAACAGTCACTTCTTCACATTCATGTGTATTTTTATCTATTATACACTATTCAACTGGTACAATAGTTATCTTTATTATTATTGCATATAACTGCTAAAAAGCTGTTTTGTAAAAAGACATTTTAACATGAGAATGCCTTTAAGTGATTCAGAACATTCACAGCTGTATTTTTGAAAAGAAAAAGTAATACATTTCAACAATCTGAATTGAAACTCTGATCCTCTCATCAGACTTCTACTCATACTTACCCCTGGCCGAATGGCTCAACTTACCCCAGAACTACTATGATGACTTTATTAGTCCTCTAAGCTAAAATGGTGGACTTTTATGTGAGGTTTTTGACCTCATGTTGTAGCTCATAGATACCACAATTGATGTATAAAACAAATTTAAAATGATCTTTTTTGGTCTGAACACAATTCTAATAAAACATATGACAGACTAAATTCACTTTCAAGAGTGAAAAAGTTTTTTTTTTTTTTTTTTTTTTTTTTTAAATTAATGTCTAACCCCTTCACCCATGCACTTCTAACCTTCACAGACTCCATGAATTGATATCCATCTCCTAAATATTTGGTCACATGATCAATTTCTTTAACCATTTCCAAGCAACAGGGGGTGGCTCAACCATAGACTTATATACAGTCTATGGGCTCAACTTACCCTTTGGCTCAACTTACCCCACTCTCCCCTATTACTTTATATTGCAAAGTTCATTATACCTATTGTAATACTTCATGTCAAACACGTGTCATAACTTCCCCACCTATTTTATCTACCAACCCTGTGACAAATCTTGACCTAAGATCACTTTTGCTTTTTCAAATTTGAACAACGGCGGCAAAAACTGTATGAAAAGCAAAAACAATAACGCAGTAATAATAATAATAATAATAATAATAATAATAATAATAATAATAATAATAATAATAATAATAATAATAATAATAATAATAATAATGTATGCAGCGTGAACAGATGGACCAATAGGAAACGGTGTTGAGGCAGCACAGATCACATGATCCCTTCTCCTCTAGACTGCTTGCAGTTGGGTATTAAAATGTTTTCAGTACCATCAACCATTGTGTTGTTACATATTTGAGATGAAACATCTATGTTGAGCTTTTTTAACGTTCTACACCGTCGCAGTAACAAGCGGGACCGACGGCTCTCTCTCTCTGTGTCTCTCGGTGAACCTTGTTTCAGCTTCTTCTTGTTGTTGTTGTTGTCGGGGTGTTGTGTCAAAAAGTGCAGCGCTGCCGTGAGCAAAACAAGCTAACGTTAGTCAGGTCGGACGGACGGACGGCGGCGAGGCCCCAACCGGGACGGGAACACGGGGGAAACCATGGCCAACATCGCAGTTCAGAGGATAAAACGAGAATTTAAGGAGGTGATCAAAAGCGAAGAGGTCAGTCCTGACATGTGTGGTTTATCGCTAAAGACTCACTTTTCTCTTTCTTCAAGCAGGAGGGTGAATGTGGATGACGCGTCGCTGCCTCAGCTGTCAGCTGCTAGCTTTAGCTAACTCTATCAGACACGGCAGAGCAGCGAGCTTTACAGACCACAGCTTCAACTGACTTTTATGAAACCAGAGCGACCAAAGTGAAGGCAGGGATGTTAATGTTGTCAAGAAGCAGTTTATCGTGTTATGGGAGGGTTTCAGGAAACAATTGAGGGTCGCAGTGCTAATGTAGCTTACCTGCTTGTGATGCAATCTATGGTAACCAAGCTAGCTGTGTTAGCAAAGAGTGATCAGCTTGTATTACTTAATATCTCGCCCATCAATTCTCTATACTCATCTCAGCTCTTTTCAGACGGCCTGTTTTATGTAGACATAGTGTGGGAAACAAGTTGAGGTCAACTTTTGGCTCATGCTGCGGTGGGGGTATCAACTTGTGCTGCATAGACAGGTTTGAGTTTGACACTTTGTAGTCTGCCAGTCTTCTTCATCAAAACGCCTCTTTGCCTTTTTCACTTCTGCAGACAAGCAAAAACCAGATCACAGTGGATCTGGTGGACGAGAACTTCACAGAACTTAAAGGGGAGATAGCAGGGCCACCTGACACACCATATGAAGGTGAGGAAATGCTGCCTTAACCTTCAGACATGTCTGCCCACTGAACTATAGAAGCACCTTTGCAATCTGGTGTAACTCAATACAACACCAGCTCTACCATAACTCTTTCCATTAGGAAGCTGGTGGTGTACTGGGGTGCATTATATTGACAATTAAGTAGAATATTTGGACTGCCTTTCATTCAACAGACTCAGGGATAGCTTCTTCCCGAGAGCTATCACTGCAGTCAACAACAACAAATCCAGTTGAACCTGCCCCCCTCAACCAACATTTATACTGATCATATTGATCACAGTGCAATCAATGAATCATTTATCTGTGCAATAAAACTGGGCTTCACTGTGCAATAATCGGGTTTTCATATCATATCCTGTATATGTTACTATATATATCTGCATATGTTACTGCCTCTTACATTTCTTATCCTTGTGTTTTTAGTGGTTTTTATTTAAATTGTTTTGCACCAAAGGGAGCGGTGCTCAAATCTCGTTGTGCTGTGTACAGTGACAATAGAGGCGATTCTGATTCTGATTATAACACACTCTATTTCACAACCACCCTCCGATTACGCCTTAAACGATAAAAACAAAATAAGCACAGTGATAACCTGTCTAAACATGTCAGTAATAACTGAAGATTTGTGTAAGAGCTGTTGGGTTGAGTTAGATTGCCCAGGGTCTCAGAATACCAAGGCTGGTTTTGATTGATTGATTGTTTATTTTGAACATATATATAAAAATATATAATAATAATAATAATAATAATAAAGGAAATAATACAACAACAAATGACAAAAAGTTATTAATGTTCAAAAAGGAGTGGGAAGAAGTCAAGACTTATCTAGTTCCACCACTTCTCCTACACTAATGGTTTAAATATATATCATAATATTGTATAATAATGTTAATCATCACAATAAGCAATAAATAGCTATAAAAATAATCACCACAGTGAATAAAACAAAACAATAATGATAATAGTACCTATGATTGTACATCCCTGTAGCCTGTAAAAACATATTCTTTATATTTTCAGTGAACATTTCAGTGAACGCTTTACACAGTGAACATTGTAACACAATTGTTTTGTGTGTTGTTGATATTGAGTCAGGGAACACAACTGCGAGAAGGTTCTACAAGCTGATTATTTCATCAGTCTTTACTTTCGTTTTCATTTTCTTAAGAAAAATTGAACCAGTCACCTTTATGTTGCATGCTTGATAGTTATACATCTGTTTTTTTTTTCCCAGGAGGTAAATATCAACTAGAAATTAAAATTCCAGAGACGTATCCATTCAATCCACCCAAGGTAGGCATCCATAACTGTTAACATATCTATTCTCTAATGAACATTTGCTTCAGAATTGTTTTTTTTCATGCCTGTGATTGTCTTTGTTTTCATTAAATCTCTCAGGTGCGGTTTATCACAAAGATTTGGCATCCCAACATCAGTTCAGTCACAGGTGCAATATGTCTGGACATTCTCAAAGACCAGTGGTGAGTGAATGAGTGCTAGCATTCTTTACATTCTTTGTCCACCACACATTCACTGTAAAATACCGGTACTTTCCCTGCCCTACAAGGCTTCTTCTGCCAAAGACAAACCTGTTTCTAAGTTGCTGTTGTCATTCACACCTCTGGCAACGAAACAGTTTTCTTATCTGTTATATAAACCTAATGTCTGTTCTTGTAGCTTGTGTGTATAAACCTAAACTCGTAATTGTCCTTATGGGCTGAAACAGTACAAATATTAGTGTTACTAACTAAATCTGTTGATGATATAGATTAGCTAATATTTTACTGTCTTGCCTCAGTCATCTGTGGCAAGTTGAAGAGTTCTCATCTGATCTTTTGTGTTGCATTTGTGTGTGTGAGCATGTGAGTGCTATATGTGTTAAATGGGGGTTGGAAGGGTAGGTGGGGTTTGGTATTTGTATTTGTATTTATTTTGTTTTATTGTTTTTAATATCCTGCTTGAATGGATATCACTTTGTGCTACATACTATTTATTAAAAACGCTTTTGATTGATTGATTGATTGATTAACCTGTCTTCTTCAAAACAGGGATTTCTGTGTTTAGGCACATTTAAATTAAAGGTGTTTAAAGTAAACACCACACTGTTATATCAGGTATAGAACATATTCCTCCATCTCTGTAAAACACAACTACAACACATCTGTATGAGCCCATGAGGACAGGACTCTACCTTGGTGCTTCACTAAACGGCCCCCTGTATATTCTTTCAGGGCGGCAGCTATGACACTGAGGACGGTCCTCCTGTCATTACAAGCTTTATTGGCAGCTGCAGAGCCAGATGATCCACAGGATGCAGTGGTAGCCAATCAGGTTGGTGTGCATTTGCATTATAATTTAAATTTACTTAATTAATTCACTGCAGATATGTATTTATAATTTTACCAGCAGAGCTTTTTAGACTACGCTTGTGATACTGTATATGTTCTGAACCAAGCTATCTATGACTTGAGGAATGAACTGGGGTTTGAAAACAATGAGATCATAACTTTTCATTTAATTTTTTAAATTTCTAAACTACTTATGGAGAAAACTATTAATTGATTAACCTTCACAAATAAGTTGTAGCCTGTTGTGTAAAGCAAGGAATTCCCCTCCTTCAGTTTTCTTTGCTTCCTGACTTTTTTTGTCTGGACAATGGCAGTAGGATGTGGGGAGACTTAACATTGCTGTGTCAGGAAATACATCTCACAGAAGCACCTCTGTGAGCATCCAAAGTGTGCATCAGAACTGTAGAAATTAGTGGCCATAAAGGAGTTTAACATATAAGTGCACTCCTGGGGGTCCTGATATGTTCACTGTATGTTTGACTCACTTGTGAACTACCTTTAGCTGTCACCTCCAAAACCCTCATACAGGTGTTGCCAGTCTTTTTTTTTTTTTTTTTAGCTTCACATTGTTCATAGTTGCATGTGAAGCAATAATCGTTGCAGTGCTAGCAAAGACATGTTGTAAAATTTTATGCGTAGGCAGTACGCGCGGCTGTTTGCCCTACTCTACAGGGCACATTTTAACACCTACATACTATCAATAACTCACAGTGTAGTAACAGTCATCTGTCGCTGAACAGCCCACAGCCCGATGAAACACACTCAAAGGACTAGAAAAAGGTTAGATAAGATTAAACGAGTGATGTTTTTTTGTGTTTTAAATAACCTCTTTTAAAACGAGGTCTTTAAAATCGAGAACTTAAAATAAAACTATGATGTCTTTGTGTGGAAAACAATTTTAATGCTTGTAGGTCACGATGGAAAATCTACACCTGCACTACATTTCAAAAATGCCAACTCGAGAAACAAAAAGCTGAGCGTAAGTCTGGCAGGCTTTAGCTCTTCTGTTTCTTTCGCTCTGAATGTTACAGCAGCCACATATACAAAGTGATGTACGTACAGTGAGTGGACTACTTTTCTGCAGGTGCTTATGTACTGGGGTAACTAAACAAACACATTGTGTATTATGCTGACTAACCTTAAAAATCTAATTTGTTCCTCACACAGTACAAGCAGAATCCAGAGATGTTCAAACAGACGGCGAGGCTCTGGTCTCATGTTTACGCAGGCGCTCCTGTCTCAAGTCCAGAGTACACACGTAAAATAGACAAACTCTGTGCCATGGGCTTTGAAAAAGTAAGAATCTTTTGACTTTGTCCTCCACTGTTCTGCACTTTACTGTTGAATTTTGATGAAAATGACATTTTTGTTCTGTCTCTTACCAGAATGCAGTAATAGTGGCATTGTCGTCGAAATCCTGGGACGTGGAGACAGCGACAGAGCTACTGCTCAGTAACTGATTCTTGACATGTATTCATCTTCCTTTTGATCCTTATTCCCCTTTGCATACACACACACAAACACACTCTCTCCCCTCCAAATTTCCAGCAATTTCAATTCATCTTCACCCTGTTGCCCCCTCTGTCACACGGTGGAGTCCTCACCTCCACAGTAGCCCCCTCCCTCATCCCCTCAGTGTGTCATCTATCCCACATTCTCATCATCTCTGCTGTACCACACTCCAATCAGCCGCTCTGTGAGGTCTTATCTGTGGTTTTCTTAGGTTCATTCAACATCCCACTCTGCTACAATCACAACTGTCACACATCTCGCCCCCTTTGAAGCAGATGCCAGACTTAAGACCCTGCCCAAGCCCACCAGCCTCCCAGCTTTTAGGCTGTGCCCAAGAAGTTGCTGTCAGCAGCTTATACTTGCCTATGCAGTTCATTTACTTTTCATTTGTGAAAACCTTTAGTAGCAGAGAGAAGACGTTTTTGCAGGCTGTTTTGGCCTTGATCATGATTTAAGCACACTGTTGGGGTGGTTTTCTAAATAGGGATTGAGCCAAGTCCTGTTGACATATGGGATTTTTAAGACTTAAATTTAGGATGACGTGTAAAATGTTTTCCTACATTGTCAAAAACAAACACTACAAAGCTGAGCAATACAAAATCAGCCGAAAAGAAAAGCTTTTTGTGATAGCATCACTACGATTTTCATGGCACAAAAGAGGGTGTGTAATGAAATCAGATTTGGTAAAACTAAACTAAATTTTATTCAGGCACAGGATGGGATGTTGCTTATTTACTGCTCTGTAAACCAGTTCATTGAGTGTCCCTGAAATTTTCACACAGTAGCATTACTTATTTTCAGCCACTTTTTGCCCCCTTTGAACTTTCTTATGAAAACAAACCTCTTGCAGCAAACTCCAGCACCCATTCCCACGCCTGCCCTCGACACGGCGTACTTCACCCATCTCCTCCTCATATTCCTATTCCATCGTTTTTAGGCACATTTGGATTCTTGTTTTTAAACAGAGAAACAAAAACCATATTCATCAGTAACACAGATTGTCATAAGTCTGGGTGGAAAAGTTCAAAACGAGTACGAAAGGTACTGCAGCATCTTAACGACGCCAATGGATAAATATGTCAAAATGAATCATCTGTAAATAAAGATATTAAAGTCTGTGTAAATTAAAACACTCTGCTCGTGTGACCTGTCTTTACAGTGATATCAGTCTCAACTGATATCTGTTCTTAAAGAAATAGGAGACTTCCAAGCAATAATGTAATGTTCAATTAATTTATGTCAGTCTGCTGATAAAAGATTTATAACAAATTTGACCTGCACAGATTTGAAAAACCAATGGAGAGAGAGAATTTTTTTAAAGACCAACAGAAAATGAACGCATCGGGAATAACACTGCCAGTAAAAATAGAGCCGACCTTGAGTAAGAGTGTAGAAGTTGAAGATAAATTATACCTAAAGCATGCTATGCTATACATTAGTACTTTCAGTAGTATGTCTTGCGATTGCTCTACATTGTTGTTTAAAAAGACAATTTTTATCGTGTATTTGAAGCATGATAAAGGGGTGGCACGGACACTTTCCATAATGTTCAAACCACCTTGCTCAGAGTTTAGCATACTGAGAATGCACAACAGACAGATGGCCTGTTTGGTAGCCTGTTGTGTTATGTTGAACCACTCCAAGAAATCCTGGCAATAATCTAAACACGTACAACTGCTTATCAGACCTAAGCAGATTCATATTTTCTCATTTTTAATCACATATTACTTTGAGACAGTAAGGCTGTTGATTTTACTGTCCAGTGTGAGTATGACTGGGCAACAAAAGCGCATTTTGTAGCCTTCTTGTTGCCATATCCCTTTTGTTTATCCTCCATCTGGAACTCCTTCAAGCACCCTGCAGCAAATTTACACAAAGCCAAATTCTGCAAGTTAAATAGAGCCTTGAGGGTTTCGGAGACTTCCCTACAGCAAACCTTTAAAGGTGCACTTTGCTCAAGCCATGATACAAGAGCTTTTAAAATTTTTGACAGGTCGAGGAGTAAAGACACCCACAGTGCTACTGCAGGGAATTATGTCATCTATGATGCAACTGCAGGCTTAAAGTGGAGAGGTCATACTTCAAATCATTTCTCATGATTTATGGACTCCAAAAAGCACTTTGACTTTGTTCTTTGGAAATATTTATAAGGAACACATGATTTAATAACATTACAAGATTGAGTGTCAAAGTTTGTGTTTAACTTTGATTCCAGACAAAACTTGCAACAAAACTTGGTTTTCAAAGTCTTTCAGTGCCGCTGTATTTAACTTGTTGTCAAAGTTGCCATTAATATCTCTCCACAATGACAGGTTTAGCCACAATCTTAAAGGGATATTCCGGGGTAAAATTAATTTAGGGTCAAACACAGCATAACACTGAGTTAGACACCCCGTCGAGAGATGAATTTTGCAGACCGCTTGCTTCTCTAGTTATACCAACTTTAGGATAGCAATACACAGCGGTTTGAGGAGCCGTAAACAAACCTCAACCAATATGCCACTCTATAGCCACAAATAATGCTCAGAACAGCACCTAACTTCTTCAACAGTAAATGTAGGGTCCCAGCCATAGCACTAGCCACCAAACATCTTTTTAAATTTGCCTATTTTCTTTAGCAAAGAGACTGAACACAACTCACCTACTCTCTTCCAGCAGCCGCTTGTTTATAGAGAGACCTCAGGCCATTCCATTACAGATGACAGCGGGGTGACACCCCTCAAGGAAGAACATTTATGATCATTACTTTATCATTTCCTTGAAGTAATAATCATCATATTAATCATTTTGCACTGCAGACGTGGTAGTTCTTCTGCCTTGGCGCCTCAGTCTGATTACATTTCCATTAAGGAATGATCATAAATGTTCTTCCTTGAGCTGCGTCACCCCGCAGTAGGCTGCTTGGAAGAGAGTTGGTGAGTCTAACACAGTGTTACTGTTTGACCCTAAATTAATTGTACGCCGGAATATCCCTTTAATAAAACAATCTGTATTATAAGTGATCAAACCTTGTCTTCTCTCCACATCTTTCTTGCACTTTGCACTGATAGGTTTGGAAGCATGTTGTTGCACCAGGACAGCAGCGCACCTGTCTGCCCATGTTTGATTGACAGGTAAATAGCCCATTGTGTGGTGGGAGGGCTGTTGGCTACAGAGCTCTCTGGTTCGCGGTTATCCTGTTTCTTTGATGCTGCCATGTGATAGCTGGAGTTCTATTCCTTGTCTCGGGCTGCAGACATGTGGCATCCCCTGCCAAGCTGAGCTGTTTGGCCGCTGCGCAGCCGGATGAAACGGTGCCCCGCTATCTGCAGCTCAGTTCAACAGGGGTTGAACGGACATCATGTAGGCCTGATAACGGAAGAAACGAAAACACCTTTAGTTTAGCTGACGCTGTTATCTTTCACTTCATCTTTCAAGCTGGTTATTTTAAAGAGCTGAGGATGATTCACATAATCTGTCTGCTGATGTTGCTTCCTGAAGGTGAGTAAAAACTTCAAACCTACAGATAAGATAAGAGACACTTTTAGGACAGTTTTAATAACTTTTTGCTCTTGTTGTTTTAAGGTTGTTCATTTCTCTTTAAAAAGAAATTCAAGGGTTGTTGCAGTTTTACTTATAAAACTGATTCCTATTACAAATATACCACTCTGCCTTTTAAGTAAAGAGCAGAACAACGTGGACGTTCATTTTTGCATTTGATTTCTAACTCACTGTATTTATTCCCAAGGGGATAATTTCACTTTCTGAAACTCTGAAATTGTTTAACTAAGAAGTTCAAAGAATCTGTCGAAGGTACTTTTTCTTCATGATTGACCAAACACCAAAAAAATGTTCCCACTATAGATGATTTCAAGTCAAGTCAAAGTCAACTTTATTGTCAAATATGCTATGTTAAACATACAGCACAGATGAAACTTCAGTCCTCTTAGACCCACGGTGCATGAGAATAAACTATAAGAATAAAACTATAAAAGTATAAATATAGAATAAACAACTAAGCTAGACAAAAGACTACCTTAAATACTCTCAATTTACAAAATAAAGATAATATAAACAGCATAACAGTATAATCAGTGTAACAGTATAAATATAAGCAAGAATGTGAGTGGAATAAAGTGAATGTAAACAGTATGGCAGTCCTGATGTGGACACAATAGTGCAAATAGTGCAATACAGAACAGCAACAGCAATAACATAGAATACAATATTTTTATACTGATTAAAGAGGTGCTACTATGCTTATTTTGCCCTCCTGAAAGCTACTTAGCAGCATTCCTGAAGCCTCCTCCACTGTTACCATGCAACAAAGTTGTGTTTCTTTTTCTAAAACGACAATTTGTACATTTTAAGGAGATTTAAGGTATAGCTATTCAGAGCACCCTGTAGTCTCATCTGGAATTACTTCAACACACATTAACCTTGTAATCTGAAACGTTGCTCATGTATAGTACTGATGTCAAACACTCTAACATAAGATTTGTTTTTAAAGTATGAAAAAAGCATAATATCACTCTCTAAGCGTACCGGCAAGAACATGTGAATGAAAACATTGTTCGAAAAGTAACGTCTAGGTGTTGCCACACAGCCTTTAAATAGTATTTCTTACACGTCTACATATGTTGTAAGAATAGCTACATCACTATTTTCAGCGGTTTTGTTTGCTTGTCACAATGACTAATGACCCCACTTTCCCCCTGCAGTGGCTCACTCAGCTCAGGGTCACTTTGCTCACAAGCTCCTGAAGGATTTGATGGAGAATTATTCAAGCGCTCTGCGGCCTGTAGAGGATACAGACCGAGCACTCAATGTCACCTTACAGATCACCCTCTCTCAGATCAAAGACATGGTGGGTACCAGTTCATCCTCATCATCCCTCAAATCAGAACTTGAGCCACATGTCATCGCAAGCAGTTTATATGACTGCATGAAATTAATATCAAAATAAGATATGTTTTAAATGACACAACCATCTGTACCTGATGGATTTAACTGTAAGTCATTTCCTTTTTGGGATACATCTGCAAATCTGTCTCTGTTAAACCAAAATATATTTGCTGGAGTGTATGACTGACAGACCTCCTCCTGTACAGGACTGGCCTACTGTTACTCATCTGTCTCAGGTTCCAGTTCAGGTTCAGTGCTGTGTCATTCCACAGTGAATAAGCACTTGTTTGGTGCACGTGAGTTTGCAGTATGTGGCTGAAGACAGATTAGAGCTGGTTGTAATGTTTCTGTGGTACGCCTGAGTGTCAGTTTGTCAAGGTTGTCAGGAGATATACCACTAACAGGTATTAGTGTCCTATTACCCAGAGTACTTATGCTGTAGTGAAGCTCTGGCAGTCATCTCCACCCACCTCCATCAGTCACTAGCTCTACCCATCCACCTGATACTTACAGACAGGTCAGCTGTTGCGATGATCAGAAGCTTGTCAGCCCCAGTGATGCTCATAGGAAGTCAATGAGCTGCAGACAGGAGCCTGAGAGGATCTTTCTTAAAGCTGTTAGTATGTCTAGTGATTATTGTGTTTGAGTATGTGCAATTACAGTCTAATCAAAATCGTGTGTATGTTTTTGGGTACAAAGGATGAGAGAAATCAGGTGCTGATTGCGTACCTGTGGATTCGCCAGACGTGGCATGATGCATACCTGAGGTGGAATAAGGAAGACTATGATGGACTGGAGGTGATCCACATCCCAAGCAGCCTGGTGTGGAGGCCTGACCTCGTCCTCTATAACAAGTATGCCCGTACGTCAGACACACACACTGGCACTCACACATTCAGTCTATAAGGATCAGATCCTGCTGTTTCATCTCATTTTGTTTTTTTGTTAGAGCAGCAGCATCTTGATTTGGCTTTGTGTTGGGGTCCTGCTCAACCTGTTGGGTTTACAGTCTGCTGTAACAACATGTTCACTGTCATTTCTTACAAAGAAAATTAAGGGATTACAGAAGTGTAAAATTAGGTATGTTGTTTTTTTTGAGGCTCTCATAAACCTCTAAAGTGTAGGTTTTATTGCAAGAGTGTAAGGCAGAGTTAAGCACACTCCATTTTCTGATGAAAACACAAAAAGTAATCAACGCAAACAAGATCCTCTTTCCACTCAGTTTTATCAAACACATGTCAGGTTTTATGCTTCTTTAATAGTGGACTTCACCAGCATTGAGCCATGACCTGTCAAATTCCTGTGAATATTTTCTCCTTCAGAGCTGACGATGATTTCTCAGGGCCTATGGACACCAACGTGAGACTGCGCTACAACGGAGAGCTCACCTGGGATGCTCCTGCCATTACCAAGAGCTCCTGTGTAGTGGATGTCTCCTACTTTCCCTTTGACAGTCAGGAATGTAACCTGACATTTGGTTCCTGGACCTACAATGGAAACCAGGTAAGAGATCAGACACACATTCGATCTTGCCAACATGATGATGAGTGGAGGTGCTTTGCATACACTTGCTCCATACACTTATCCATAACTGTGTTTTCAGGTAGATATCATTATGGGCATGGACAGCGGTGACCTGTCTGACTTTGTGGAAAATGTGGAGTGGGAGTGCCGTGGCATGCCGGCCACTAAGAATGTCATCATGTATGGCTGCTGCTCTGACCCGTATCCAGACATCACCTATACAGTCCTCCTTCAGCGCCGCTCCTCTTTTTACATCTTCAACCTCCTTCTCCCATGCTTCCTCATCTCCTTTTTGGCTCCTCTGGGTTTCTACCTGCCTGCAGACTCTGGAGAGAAAGTATCCCTTGGAGTGACAGTTCTTCTGGCTCTCACTGTGTTCCAGCTAATGGTGGCAGAAAGCATGCCTCCATCTGAGAGCGTGCCCCTTATAGGTAAGAGTACATTTATGGAAAAACATGACAAAACCAGGACAGAATTAGCTAACAACCAGCAGCTTGGCTACAGGTATGGCAGCACAGGGCAGTCATTCCTAATTAAGAATGAAATCTGTCAACAGAAATAAGACAACTTGTCACAAAACTCTCTTGACCCTCTCTCCTGTGCTCACCAGAGTGCTCGGCTGGAAACTCACCATATAATCCTGACTACAGTTTTTAGCAGCCGTCATTCTCAGGATTGGAAGAAAAATTTGCTGTCATAATGTTGTGCTGCTTGATTGAAGGAGTCTGAAAATTCTTAATTTCAGTTGTTCCTCAATAGCCAGTATAGCTAAAAGACCAACGAGGAGGGAAAATTAAGGAGACACAAAGCAAGTGTTATTCAACAGCTACCATTTACATCCATCAATTTCTTTGTTTACATTACAGTTAATTAGAGATACATGATACATAGGAAAAACCTAACTCCCTAGTAAATGTGTTGCTCACTAACAGCAATGTTGGACAGGTTCAGTGCTTAGTTGGTGGTATCCAAGCTGTGAATTTCTAGCCAGCATCCATCAGGAATCTTGCATTACCATTTAATGGTGATGATAGCCAGGAAAGGGTTGAAAACTCTCTTAAACCTTTGTTTTTTTTCACATGTTGTTTAACCTTGAAATCTGGCCTAATGTCTCTAGTGCAGCCTTTAAGACATCACTGAACCAGTTGGTCAGAGTAAGACTTTTCAAGAATCCTAACAGCAAACTCCTCTCCTGTCTGTTTCTGTTCCTGCACAGGGAAGTACTATATTGCTACTATGACCATGGTCACAGCCTCCACATCGCTCACCATTTTTATCATGAACATCCACTTCTGTGGCGCAGAGGCTAAACCAGTCCCTCACTGGGCCAAAGTCCTCATCATTGACTACATGTCCAAGATTTTCTGTGTTTATGAGGTGGGTGAGAACTGTGCCTCAGCATCCACCTCCACCTCTACTTCCTCCCTTCATTCCCCCCAGGATGACATCCGTTACCAGCACCACAAGTCCCACGTTCATGCAAACGGTAAACCAGGGAACCATGCCAGTGGACATGACTGGCAGAGTCAGAAATACCCCAGACCTCAGACCCCCAAGCCGCAGCACCATCCCAGGGTGAGAGCCCAGCATCACATCACTAGAGAAGGGAGGAGCCACCTCTCCAGTTCTGCGCCTGGAAAATATCAGGGCTCTAACGGAAAGATCCTTACAGGTGATTGTTGCAAAGAAGACCAGAAGGTCCCCTGTTATGCTGAAGACCAAAAGCTTCCATCTACAGGCCCCACTGTTACCTTTGGCCCCTGTGTGTTCTGTAGCTATGGTAGTGGTCTCCCTGGCGTGGACACCAAGCTAGTGTGCAATGTTGAGTATATCGCAAACTGTTTCCGAGAGCAGAGGGCCACGTGTGCCAAAGGTGCAGAGTGGAAGAAGATTGCTAAAGTGATGGACCGATTCTTTATGTGGATCTTCTTCATCATGGTTTTTCTCATGAGCATCCTCATCATTGGCAAGGCACCGTGACTGAGCAATGATGATGCAATATTTTTTTCTTGTTATTTGGCTAAATGAACTGCATTTGATTATTTAAAAAGTTTAAGGGGACAATTTTCCTTTGTTAACGGTTATACTGTGGATTCAAGAGATATGCAAGTTGACAAATTTTGAATTCGTTGGCACAGCTATACGCTTTACGGGTGTAATATTTTATCAACATTTACTGAATGTTAACAACCTCTTTCTCTTTTACATGTATTAAAATAGTCAGCTATTAATAGCAGCATTAAGTACTTTGGTTTTCAGCTAAAGCAAATAAGATGACGATATGTGCAGCAAATACAGGGAATCAAAAAACAACCAGACTCTACATTTTTTTTAATATCTTTTATCTTTGCAGTTTCCTTCTATGCTTCTGATAAGACCCCTTTTGTATCTGTGAGTAAACTACGGGCAGTCCTTCATCATCTGACCTTTAAACACAGGTTAGAGGATCTGCTGTCAACTTAAAATATGACATTCAAGGACAGCTGATGTCTCATTCATTACTGTGAAATCTGATGCCGGGGGGGGGGGGGCTGAGTGACACAGGGTAAGCACATGCCCAAGATCTTCAGAATCATTTTACGTTCAAAATCATCCATTGAATAGTTCATGAAGAGGCTTTGTTTGGAGTGCAACCAGGGAAGTGAGGATGTAAAGTAATATGGATCATCAATAATGTAGAAATAGTTGCAGACTCTGACACCCCCATACCTTGAACTTGGAAAGTCAAGTGCTTGTAGCTGTTTCTGTGGGCATACATGTGCGAGGTTGGAGAAGAATAATGTGGCATAATAGACTGCACCACAGACCTGGGCTTTGAGACATTTTATTTAAAAAGTATGTGAGATCTTTTTATACATAAACTCCAAAAAACAAATAATGTAGGTGCCTATGTCCCTAATTGTGGCGTGCTTTTGTATGTCTTATATGAAATAAGCTTTATTAGATTTGAACTACAAAGAAAATACTTGCATCTCTAAAAGTTTTTTTTCTTTATAAAAAATATCAGTAATAATATTGTTACTTCTCCCACTACTTGAGAAAAAGCATATTCTCTCTTCCTATTCCTACTTCATCTGTTATAACACGACAGATGAGTCAAACAAAGCTTACAGAGAAAAACAGGATACTGTGCCAATTTCTTGTAGTTGTCACCACGATACAATGATCTTACAGTAGAGGGCGCTCATTTCTCATAAACTATCCTCATAGTGGATTCCCCAGTGCTTGCTGCTGAAAGGTGCAAGTGATAACAGGGACGCTAAGATTTGCAGAATAAGTCTTACTTTCTCTTCATTATGTATTCTGCAGTGGTTAACTTAAAATGTTGTGCCAAAGAGGAGAACAAACACTTTTGTGCCATTTAAGTCTTTCACTGTAGACAAGAAATGATGTGTCTTGCACACTGCACTTTGATGTTTAAACCCACAGGCTGTTATTGAATGTGAGTTTGTCAGAGAGGAATATTGGGACAGCAAGTCTAGCAATTGCTCTTTTGGGTCTATCCAGTCCTCTCTCCTCTCAACAGGCAGAAGGGTCATTTCTTTAAAAAAATCCACCTCTTTACAGTGATTTTCATGTTGAGGTACAAACCAAGAAGAGCATATCTTATTCTTTGTGTCCAAGGGAAGCTGACTGCGAACCAAGTGAATTTTGACTGGCATTGCAGCTCAAGCAAGGATAGAGAAACAGCTGAGTATTTAGGTGCCATGCAAAACTTCTCCAGCAGGAAAACTATCACCACTCACATTAGCAAAGCAAATGGGAAAATCTCTGTGATGGCACACTGAATTGTTGTCAATGACTAACATGGTGAATTATTGAACTTCTGCTCCACATTTATCTCATATGACGCACTAGTTCAAAGTTTCTGTGAATATGACTTGTAAACAGATCTCAAACTGCTCAAAAGAGTTCGGAGGCATTCAAACTGGTGAAGTGTTAATCACTGTTAATTAATGTTGATTGATCCACCAAACTAACCCAATAATAATATCTTCATATGAAGGGCCTCTTTACACTCTTCGTGCTTGATTACTTCTTATGTATTTACTGTTTTATTTTCTTTTTTACTATAGAACCGGGAGTTTAGCTTAGCACTTTATCCAACACTATGACCTTTTTTTCTTCCAAAAGTTAGTCTGGGTAATTTTGAGTGACATTTTTGTTTTCTTTGAATAATTATTCTTTAATTCACTCTTTTCCAATACAGGGCATTGACAGACAAGCAAAGACTAGCAAGCTTGAGGCAAAAGACCAACAAAGGCAGTTGCGTTGGCTGAGCAGCAATGCTTTGAGCCACAGTCTGTGACCTACCACTGTTTAAATCATTCTCTATCCCAAAAACCATGTAATGTTTGTCAGATATCTCCATGATTTTCATCATAACTCTTGGTTTATAATAGCAAGCTAGCTGTCACAACTTGAAGTTAAACAAAACAAGAAGGACCCAAAATGCAGAACAAAAATTAATTTATTTAAAGGAAACAAAAACTTACTTTAAATGTCCAACTCAAAAATCCTTAGAGGATGCCTTAATATCTCCTCTAAGAAGTCCACATGTATCACTGCTAGGATTTTTATCTGGAAGAAGCTTATTTTAAAATATATAAAATCTTTTTTTTTTTTACTTTGGATTGTGCAACATGGTTAATTGGCACTCATCTCAGCTCACAATGTTCTCTTGTCTTCTCAGACAGGACATGACCCCTGACCATGTAGAGAAAGAAAACCATTCCACTTTTTGGTTGCGCCCTCTGGTGGCAAAGATAACTGCAATGTGACAATTTACCCATGTGACAACAAGCCCCGGTCTCCCCTATCCTCGCTGCGTACAGGGGTCCCAAACCTTTTGGGTGCACCAATGCGTTTAAACACTACTAACTTCATGCGGCCTCGCTTTAAAACAGTTCATGTAACTGATTTTTTTTCTAGTTGAACTGCAAATGATTTCGCTTGACTTAATGCTCCGTAAAACTATGGCAAGACTCCTCTGTTACAAAAAGACACAGAGGACATCCACAGTTAAAGGGATTCTTCATCCGTGAAAAGCAAGTCCTTGAAATTAGCATGCAGTTGTCATGGTGATGGAGGAACGCTAATCCAAAGTGCTGCACCATGTTGACAGACATTTAGAAAGTTAGTTTTAAAGTGGACACAAACTTGTCTGTCTTATAAGAATAGTTTTATAAATTGACGGTAAAGAGACTCAGGGGTAGGAATACCGAGCTCCAGGAAACACATCTGTGGAGACGCCCCTCCTCATAACGGACCCAGATTTATAGTTGGGGGGTTTATTGGCAGTTAAAAGTTAGCGTTGTGTCAAGGTTAAAACAACGACCAACTGCAGAGCCGTTAAACCGACACACCGACACCAGCAGATATGAGGAGTTACGAGTAGGAGAGCAGGACTTTGGGCACGAAAACGGGACTATCGTCCGTCAAGGTAATGAAAAATACACGGAAGTGTTTTTAAAGTTTTGACAGACAGACACTTTCTTTTCGATGTTGTCGATGAAACAGTGTTTGAACATAACAAACAGTAGTAATCAGATGCTAACTCACTTAAAATTCAGTTGATGCTTTGCTATATTTAATGGGAACCTCGAATTCTGTATGTGTTTTCTACAATAACCACAGGCTAACTATTCCTCAGTTTAGTTTAATTTGATGAAACAAAGCAAAGTGAAACAAAACGAATTTCAAAGATATCTCATATTTCTTGAAATGGTTACACTTTAAGAATAATGGCTTGACTGTGACTAAACTACTAAAAGGATGACATTTTGCTGCCTTTTCTTAAAGAGTGTGCGATGAGGAAATGCTGTTCCTGCAGTTTGGCTTCTGTTATTTAATCCTCACTTTGTACATTATGCCTGATCGTGTGCCATCAACATTAAAAATTGTTGTCTTTGTCACCCAGAATTACAAATACATTTAAAGCAACAACTAAAGAACTACATGTAGAGGTGCTGTCTGCTGTTTGAAGTCCTTAAAAAATATTTTTCTATGCTTTTCAGGTCCCTGAAATATGGTGAAGAATAAGAACATTGGTGGGCGTCTTAAGCTCTCCTGTAAGACAAAAAAGACTGGCTTCCAGAGTACAAAAAGCAAGGACCAGACCCCTGTGGATAACCCAGCAGGCAATGATGATCCTGCTGTTCCTGCAGACATCCAGACCACCAGTGAAGGTCAGCTGGGCTTTCCAGACAGGGTTTACCTGCTTGCATCTGTCATCTTCCAGAATAACCATCAGGAGAAGCCTGCTGCCCAGCAGTTAGTGAATTACGGCAAAGAGAGAGGGCTTCCAGTACCTGCAGTCAAAGAAGAAAAGATGCAACGTGCAGCTTATGAGCTCGCCTTTAACACGCTGAAATGTGAGTTGCTGTTTTACACCAGCAGTATTAAGTGGGTTTTCTCTGTTTTACAACTGGATAGGAGAGACATCATCAAAGGGGTTTTCAGCAGCCTCTATTTTGACTACTTTCAGGTCCCACTGCATCAGGTAACACCTAGCCAACAACAGCTTTAAGAATGAAAACGGATGATCCCAAAGATTTGAAATGACAGCCAGAATTGAATACAGATTGACTGATGAAGGGCATGTGGAAGAGGAAAAAAGTCTGATTGACCAGAGGGAATACTGTACGTTGCCACAAATCAATTTTGCCCATAATCTGTTGTCTGGGATAAGGGTGGGGTCCTGGTGGCTCAAGTCACAGGGCTGTGTAATCACCATGGCAATAAGGGAGGGGAGGTGAGCTGACTGTCAGCACAGTGAAGATGGCTGGAATCGATTTATGCATTCTTAGAGGATGGAGAGGTCAGGGTGCAGGAACACCCCCGTAGCCACAAATGAATTTGTTTCTTCTCACCATCTAACCCCTGAACTTGGATAAGCCTTGGGCATACATGTCTGTCAGTTAATGCAGATCACCTTCAAATATCATCACAAGTTCTGGTGCTTGTTGCAGTGACCTACATTAGTGTTATAGCTGGAGGTTGTGATACTTAAAATACACTGCAAGCAGCAATGGAGAATTCTAAGGATAACAACAGAGAATTTGTTATCCTAACTCCAAGGATATTTTCTATTTAATATTGTCTGTTCTCTTCAAGAGAGGATGTCTGTACACAATTTGTGACAATTGATAATAAGTCTAGTTAATAACGCAAATGTAGCTTTTTTACTTTAAAAATATAGACATAATCCTTCAGCAGAGGAAATAAAGGTCTGCTTGACCTTAAAACAAATAAAATGTATGGTATGTCTTCTAAAATTGAAGCCCCCTTTAATCCAGAGTCTGTTTAAAAGACAAATTCCCTTTGTTTCTTTCTGACCCCAATTCCCCGTGCCTGGCTTTTCTGGCTCGCTCGATCGCTCCTTTGTAGAGTTTTAGATTATAGTAGACTCCAACAGAGATCACTTGAAGAAAGCAGGTGCTAAAAAATTATCACTGAGTAGTTAAGAGGATGAAAGATGGATACCTGCTCTGGTTGCTTTATACCTAATAACATGCTTTCTGTTCATGGGAGCGTAAGGTAACCGAATATGGTTGTAAGATTTTCATGCTTCTTTGGTAAATCATCTTTGCACCACAAACCAACATCATTGGGACACAGAACAGCATATCTCTGATGACTGTTTATGTTAAACATTGCCCTGATCACATACATATTTTGGCCACATATTGGATCCACTCACGCTGACAGTGCAATAAAATTGGATGCAGATAAAATGACACAGCCTGAAAACCAATGTTAATCTGTACTTTTTCTCCTCCCTCCCACGAATTGCCTGACTTTTGGTGCAGAAATTGATTTGTTAGTCGCACACATCCATACGGGTTGTCACACATACACATGCAGGCACACAAGACTCATCATTCATGCACTGCGTTAGCATGACTGATCCAAGATTGAGCTGAGGTGGTTGTAAACCTGAGGAAATGCTTAAGTAGCAAAAAAATAAATCCACCGAAAAAAAAAAAAAAAAAAAAAAAACAGGGCAAAATGCCAATGCTTTTGTATCGATCCTGTGATTTTAACTCTTATCTGCTGAAAACAAGGAAGTCTGTAAGCTCTCTGACAGTGGCTGAGAATACAGATTTGTATGGTGCTGTCCTGCTGTCCTTGTCAGTAATACTGACGTATTGAGGGGGAACAGATAATAATGTTTCCTCTAGTGTAAATCTGACATTTTATAAAATATGACTTGGCTCAAATGAGAATTTTAGTGGTCTAGTTGTTTTCTGGTATGTCCTTTCTTTTTTTCCACTTAACTCTGCCTTGTTTTTATATCTTCAGGGCTCCGCTATTCTGCTGACCTTGTCTCTTTTAAAGCGTTTTATTCATATCTGACTGACTGGCTGATTACTGACCTAGAGGCAGTTTGTTCTCAGGGTTTTTTTCTGGCTAACTCAAACTGCATGCTCTCAGTTGTTGGGTTCTGTGAGTTATGTAACAAGTTTTGTGTGAAATATATCCGTAAAATATTAGTTGATCTTGTTGCCAGCAACAAGAACCACCCCCCTTCCTCTCCCCCTTCTGTCCTGCGTCCCCCTTCGTTCCGCTGGCTACTCCTCTGAGTGTTTCAGCCTCATTGTCCATACTGCCCAACCAGGCTGCCAGACGCCCTTGTCAAATGACTGTGGCTGCGGCTGCTGCTGTATTCTCTCTGTACGGCTAAAAAGGTTCTTGGACCACTTTGTATAAGGCTGGATTTAGAGCTTGAGGGAAAGGCTTTTTTCGTCCTTGACCACGGTCACAGCAGTTACCACCAGTATGCCTCAGCAAATATTAAATTGTCCAGGTAGTTAGAATATAATAAGTGAGATAGATCTGCCATTTAGCTGAAAGGTGGTTGTATAACTCATGGCACATACTCCTTTTGGCTGGTCCTCTGTTAGATTAATGTGCAACCGGGTGTACTGATGCACAACAATGTGAGACAAAAAGCTAGCTGAAAGAAGAAGAGCCTGGGTTAAGATCTGGCTCTTTCACAAAGGATCTGTTTGACTGCAGTCACCATCAGTCACTGCTCATTGTGTAATACCTGGATGGATGCCACAGAAACACTCCAAGCTCAACACTTTCCTGTAATGACCAGCGCCTTCTGCTGCTCCATGACTTGACTTTTTTTTTTTTTTTTGTATGACTGATTTCACACTTCTTCCCTTCTACTGTATATTTGAGGAATTCTGTGTCTGTTGTGTGAAGATGATCACTGGGGATGATTTATAGCAGAGTTTTCTCTGTTTTACTCAACCCGCTCTGTGTGATTTATAGCATGCTGAAAACTATGCCCTCTAAAGACCCAACAATCATGGAACCCCTCTTGGGCCTGAGCTGCTCTGTGTGCTTATCTCTTCATGGCTTATCTTTAAGACCTTCTGCAGTGGCTACTATTTAAAGACCTCATTGACCTGCATCAGCTATAAATTTGACCAGTGCTGATGATACGCATTTGTCTTCACAATTTCAGATAAGCTTTCTCTTTAATAGCAGTAGTACAAGCATTTACTTGTGTTGCCTGTTTTTGGTGTGACAGAAGCACAGTATTAAATAATTTTGTGCATATTATATAGATTTCCTTCTGATCTATCGTATGTACATTGTATTTATCACGTCTGGGTTATTAATATTAGCTTCACAAAAGGTTTTGTGTATAAAGTTTTTTTTTTTTCAAAAAGCGCCATATACCTTTTCTACTCGAGGAGCATTTTTACTCTTTAGTTGCAAATGCTTAAGAAGGTCTGTGGCTGAAATTGTCCGTTGCTAGGTGATATGTTTTCGTGTCCTGATTAATTAAGGTAATAGACATTTATTGTGAGAGTTGGACCTCGCCAGGGCTGCCCTTTGTCACCGGTTCTGTTCATAACCTTTATGGACAGATTTTCTAGGCGCAGCCGGGGGGTGGAGGGTGTCCAGTTCGGCAGGCAGAGGATCACGTCGCTGCTTTTTGCGGATGATGTGGTACTTCTAGCTTTGTCGTTTGCGGCCGAGTGTGAAGTGGCTGGGATGCGAATCAGCACCTCCAAGTCCGAGGCCATGGTCCTCAGTCGGAAGAAGGTAGATTGCTTTCTCCAGGTCGGCGGGGCGGTCCTGCCTCAAGTGGAGGAGTTCAAGTATCTCGGGATCTTGTTCATGAGTGAGGGTAGGATGGAACGGGAGATCGACAGGTGGATCAGAGAGGCGTCAGCAGTGATGCAGACGCTTAACCGATCAGTTGTGGTGAAGAAAGAGCTGAGCTGTAAGGCGAGACTCTCAATTAACTGGTCGATCTACGTGCGGACCCTCACCAATGGCCATGAACTTTGGGTAATGACCGAAAGAACAAGATCGTGGATACAAGCGGCTGAAATGGGTTTCCTTTGCAGGGTGGCCGGGCTCAGCCTTAGCGATAGGGTAAGGAGCTTTGACACTTGGGAGGCGCTCAAAGTAGAACCGCTGCTCCTCCACATCGAGAAGAGTCAGTTGAGGTGGCTCGGGCATTTAGTTCGGATGCCCTCTGGACGCCTCCCATTAGAGGTGTTCCAGACATGTCCCACCGGGAGGAGACCTCGTGGCCGGCACAGGACCAGGTGGAGAGATTATATCTCTTGCCTGGCCTGGGAGCACCTGGGAATCCCCTCGTTGAGAGGAGCTGGTGGAAGTGGCTGGGGTGAGGGCCGCCTGGGCTTCCCTCCTGAAGCTGCTGCCCTCACGACCCGGACCCGGATGAAGCGGAAGAAAACAATGACGACAACAACATTTATTGTGGTGGATTTTTTTTTTACATTAGGATATAACTGTTTGCAGATGCGTTTGTTGGTCTTCTTCAATGGTTTCTACCCAGTGTGCATCTGTGAGAACTAGAGTTCAGATTGGTATAATTTGTGTTATTGTGATAAGAGAGAGAAGCCATGGTTTACATGTTTTCTTGATGGATAACTCTAACCTGAGCTCACCTCTGAAGCTAAAGAAGCGCTCCCGTCGAGAATAAGAATGAACCAAAGAAAAACCACAAATAAACTTGACATGAACTACATCTAAATATTAATCTCAGTTCTTACTCCTGCACAAATACCTAATTTCCGCCTTTTGTATATACACCTCCGTGGTAACAATGTGAGGCCATTTCCAACCCTGTTAGTAGCATGAACATATTGGTGAAATGAACCTTTTCCCATTTTCAGTGTGTAATGAGCAAACAGGATACGAGCAGTGTGGCTCCGCTAGCAGCTGATATTTAATCCTCACCTGGATAAACTGGATCCTGATAGCATCTTCCTCTGCAACTCATATTTAAAAGGAAATACCTACTGTTAACAGATGGAAATTGAAGGGATGTGTCTATCTGCTCTCTTATGTATATTTATAGGAGAAATATCCTGTTGGCTGCCAAGATAGTTGCTGCCTTGATGATATCACAGCCAGAGCATAAAGATGAAATGCTATTTGATCCATGCTGTGATGTCTGATAGGCAGCTCTCACTTCTTTTCAGAATGTACTTTACCTTTCAGACTGCTATTCAGATTTTATAAGAAGGTCACAGTGAAATTGTACTGTTGAAGAAAGAATGATCCCAAACCTGACGGACACTAGACCCAAATAAAGTTGTGCAGCACATTTATTGATTTAATGAAAATTGTTACATAAGACAAATGAGTCTCTATATTTATTTTTTGCAACTAACAGCTGATAAAGAATGAAGATAACTAGATTCATATGATCATATCTCACCATTAGTGTTCAGATGTAGTTATTTGTTATTTGAGATGTCATTAATGTCATTAGCCCCTAGATTTCACACACCCACTTAACCAAGACACAATGAATGAAAGAAATTAGGCAAATGAAGCATCAGATTACCTCTAATTAAGCAGCAAATAAGCGTTGAATTACGGTAAATTTACCCCCCTCATCTAATTGAATTATCATTCAGAATTAAATCAGGATCATTGAGGGTGCCTCTAGGAGCCTCTCTTTGTTTATCTTAATCTCTTTTCCCTCTTTTCCTTTCTAGACACGTTCTCACCATTAGACATGGATTTCTCCTTTGTAGCTTATATTTTCCCAGTAAATGGATTGGAGTGATTTTTTTCTCTGCCCTTGTCTCCTGCTCTAAATGAAAGAGTAAGGATGGGTTTCTGGGGATAATTAGAAACTGATATAAAAGATGGGGCTAATTTGCATTATTATTAATCAAACACATAAGTAGTAATAAAAATTCCAATTCCCATCATTCCATCTTACACTACTTGACTCTGTTTCTGTACAGATCAAGAGTTGCTGGAGGACATCATGATTGACAGCTGCTTTTTCCTATCACGGCAAATGGTAAGTGGCAAATGGTAGGTGCAATGTTTTTAAATACAATATATGAGTAAAGTGTAAAAAAATAAAGCCCAATCCCCTTGAGTGTGTTTTCATTAGAGGCACATCTGCGCCTTTCAGCTTGCCTCTGAAAATCAAAGTCTTCTTGTTTCAGGGAAAAACTCGACTTAAGTTTCTGATATAACCTTGATATTTCTGTGTGTTTCTTTCTTTACATCATGCCGTTTTCTTCTGTCACTTCTGACACTGTTGTAGTCGTCTCTCGCCTATGTTCATGTCCTGACAGTTGGGCTTCACACAGTCTTTGTTCTGCTGTCTGAACCTCTAATCGGGAAGTGTAATATTGATGCACTACACCGATGCGCTCCTTTCTTCAACTCACGAAGCACCATGCATCTTTGATACTCCCCACCCTAATCAATGGCAATAGCTCCCTTTGGAGTTACACATCTAAAAGGTGCTTTGTGGCAGCAGTTGCCTGGATTTGCCTTTAATTGCTTTTCTCAAACAAAACATCCCATTAATTAGTGATGACATCTAAATGCTGTAACACCTCAGACAGATGCGGTGTCTGTAATCAACAGTGTCTTTCCTGCATATGTCCTTATACTTCAAGATGAATGTCATGACTGAAACTAAAGCCATGCCTTGAGTTGTAAAAGACAGATTCCCAGCACAGCCATGAGTAGCGGGCTGTTAGACAGTGTAGAAACGCTGTGCTGCTGAAATGCAGCGGTATCCTCTGGAGGAGATTGGCATGTACTTTCGCCCTACTTTTAACGGTACACATAAAAAGAAGCTGTGGAAACAGGAGGGTTGCTAGCTGCTTCTCTAACAGAGCTGATGGTAATAAAACATTCACAGAGCCAGTCTGTGAGCAAGACGCTGGTTAAGAAGAAGAGTAATGAAGCAAGGGGAGTGGAATGTAACAGGAAATAGAGCTGTCATGGAGTAGCCAGGTTTTAGACATGACTGTAATGTATAGGAATATATGCAGACTCATTAATAGACAAGAATGTGTGTAATCATCAGAGCAAGCTCAGCACACACAGTCACATACAGTACACCCACTGTAGCCAAGTGAAATATGTCCAACGACGAAATGAATGGGTCTCCCTGTGTGTTGGTGGCAGGTCATTACTCTGCATGCTTCGAGCGAGACAATAAAACCCAAACACAATGAGACAGTCTTTAGAACTCACTCTCACCTCTTTTTTACACTGCTGGCATCTATAAAGTTCAACCTTGATAGGGAGGAGAAAGAGGTGGGTGAGAGGGAGGGGCAGACCGGGAAAGAGGAGTTTAGTGTGTCACATGAGGGTATCATGAAAAAAATGAGAGTGAATAATGAAGATATAGATAGGCTTGCATTCTGAAAGAGCCTGGGGCACATTCGATCACAACAGAGGGAGAAAATGAAGCCTAAACACTGCGGAGGAGGGATTAACTGAATGATGGTATAAATGTGAGACAAGTGAATTATGTGCATTTGCAAATTTGACATCAAATTTATATATACTAAATGAAGCAGATTTAACTTCAACCATGTATAAAATTTCTCTGGAAATACTATATTATGTTGTCTTATGTTAAAAAATTAATATGCATCAAATTAGAATTTGTAATGATACGTATGGTAGTGTTTATGGGACCAGTGTCGACCATCAGTCATGTTTGGCATCTCGCATTCAGCAGCTGAGAAAATTCAGACCAGTCCCATTTCTCTTGGCAAATACCCTCATATGAGTTGACTAATAACAGCCCACATGTTTACTGTAGGACAGGTTCCCGCTATGGGGAGCAGTTGCCGGGCAACTTAATGACTGGGAATTTTCCCACACCCAAGGGTTTCACCTTGGTAAAGGGCAAGTGGAGCTGAGGTGGAGTGACGACATGAAAAGGGACCAGCTCAATCTGTCTCTGAAACTGACCTTTGCAAAAAAAATGAAATCAAACCTCCTTGAATAAATTAAATGAATGAATATGAAGTGCTTGGCAAGTCTTTAGCTTGGGCGAAAACCACAGTTTACTGGTGACTCGGCTCATTAGCCCAGTAGTGGGGATGTTGCAAGCTGTTACTGCTGCAGAACACCATCTGCCAATTATGTAGTTGGTGTCTTCCCACCCTTAGAGACAAAAATGTGAAGAAGGAGTAGGAGAGAGGAACTTAGGTGTATAAGAGACAGAAAGTGGAGAGCTGAAGGGATCACAGTAGCCTAATTGTCTTAATCCACAGAGTATGGACAGAGACGTATCAAGTTTCCTCCAATGTAGAAACGTATTCCTTTTTACCGACAGCAACAGAGTCATGTCAGGACAACCTTGGGCTAATGAGTGTAAAGAGAGAGGTCATGGAGAGATAAAGCTGGATATGTATCAAACAGAATGCCTCTATAATAGCTGTTCCCTCGTTTAAAAACTACTATCTCCAATTAACTGTGGGATTTTTTTCTGATGCTCCAGGCAGATGATCAGATGAGCCTTGTTGCCGTCATGCTCTATGACTTCCAGGACAGAAAGTTCCTCCCGCGGGAATGCCAGAGGAGGGAAGAGCGCATCCAGGAAGTAAGGGAGGTGGAGACCTATCTCCTCAGGTAAGAGGACAAGGAATAACAAGAAGGCAAAAACATTGACAGGTTGAGTGGTATTATCAAATTGGAGGAAATTTTGTAAAGAAGATGTAGGAAAGGTACAAAAGGACACTTCTTTTGTATGTGTTGTTTGTAGGAGTAAAACAAAGCTGGCAGCCTCTCTGGCTCGCTGCAGGATCAAACATGATCTTGTGTCCATTGAATGTATTCTACCAGAGAGTGTAAAGAAGAAGCAGGAGAGGTCAAGCAGCCTCCCGCTTTACGCGTGGGTAAACACACAGAAGAGCAGGTAAGCAGGCGCAAACACACGCACCCCTCATTTCCCTTCTCAGAGGTACAGACACCATCTACTTATACATGCACACCTCTTTGTAAAAATCAAAATGCACTGTAAGCATATTAAGAGTGTGTGTAAGCACCTGCACACACCTATACATATATACGCAGACCTTTAACTTGAGGTACTACCTGATGTTTTATGGGCCAGGTATCTAACTGACATCCAATTAAACCAGTGGACTAGGTGTGTGCGTGTGTATGAGTGTGTGCACCTTTGTGTTGTTGGGTGAGTGTGTGTAGTGCATGCTCTTTCACATCCACTGACAGGCTGATTCGGTTAGGTGTAAATCCTGCTGCTGTGGACAGATTCAATCAGCAACAACCCTCAGCAAGCTCTGGGACTGTAAAGGTCACCTGAAGGGACTAGTTGTGTGCATTTGTGTGTTTGTGTGTGTGTCTCCATATGTGTATCTTAACAGCTTTTTTATTGCCTATTTCACCATTAAAGGTCTTGAAAAGGCCACACAGCACTTCTACATTATTATCTATGATGACAGCCCCCTCCCTTTTGTCTTACCTCTTACCTTCTTCTCATGTCCTTCATCTCTTCTCTTGGGCGTTCACTAATTTGCTCTCTTCCGCTCTTTTCCTTTAAGCCTCAATGAGGTCCAAAGTGTGCTGATGACAGCAGGCTTCTTGCAGGTGGAATCAATTGGGCAGCTGGAAGGCCAGACCTTCTGCCAGGATCCCCACTGTGGGGATGTACTGGTATTCCCTGCTCAGCTGAGGGCTCAGCTGTACTCTACCGAGCTGCTTAGCAACCACAAACTCATCATCCAGGTACGAGAGAGGAGCTGTCTGAAAAGAGCAGTCTCCTCCCTGTAGACTTTGATTTAGTGTATGAAATCAGCCTGGTGCCATCAATCTCTGATATTCATAATTTCGCTTTGGTAATAGACTTGCTCAAATTGATTATGAGACTGAGATCGCGTATGCCAACCAAGATTAGTTTGCCCTGAAACAAATATTTCACACCACTTCCTATCATCCGGCCATACTTTACTCTGAGTCATAAAGATTTTTTCAGCTCGGGAGGGGGAGAGGAGTTTAATCATTTAATTTCTACTCCATTAAAGTCAAGCTGCCATACAAACTGCAAGCAGCACACAGCACCACAACACAATTAAATCAGATTTTGCAGCCAAATTCAATCAAATATTCAACACTGCTGGCTAATTCATCATCCCTCCCTCTCTCTATTTTATGAACTTTCATCTTGCTTTCTCCCTTCTTATTCCTCTTTTCCTCTGTCCTTGTTCTTCTCGCTGGTTTGTCCTTGTGATCTGGATACCAACTACAGAAACTTAACCCATCCCAATGCTCCCAACGGGATACATTCAGCACTATTTTCAGAGGGGACCCCATTGATTGAAGGACATCTTGCCTGTAACTTGACTGCACTATTAGTCTCATTGTTTCTTCCATCTCCTCTTCTTACCTGCCTACCTCCCCTTAGTACCTGCTTTGCACCAGCTGCTCCGAGCTCCCTCTCCCGTCTCATCTATTCCTGCCTCCATATAATTTATCACTCTCATACATTTTAATATCTTAATCTTCCCTCTTTTTTTTCCTCACAAACTTACAAAAAAACTTGAAACCTGAAACTTAGCTTTGCTGTGCGTCAAAAATGTAATGTTTTTTTCTCAATGTGCCTCTAGGATAAATCTTGCAGCCTAGGCCCGAATGCAGTTTGCTCCGTGCTAACAGAGGAAGGAGATGTTCTGATGGTGGGATGCTTCTCCAGCCTGACTGTCTCCCACACTGCTTCCCTCATTCTCAAGAAACATCAAACCAACTGCAATAACCAGCCTACAGTGTATGTTTGTGTCAGTGACCATACTGACACCCAGAGAGAGGACCTACATCAGGCCGTCATCGCCATGGGCTGCAAGAGTATGCATGAAATGCTTTAGTGTGGTTTCTGTCTGCATCTTCGCATGGAGATGAAATCAGAGACAGTCGTTTTTCTGTCTTTGTTTTCAGTAATTTATAGTCCTTGTTTGTCATTATTTCTTGACCCAGTGATTGAGGTTTATGATACTTAACACTGGCACTTAGGCCTGCTGCAGGAATCCACAGTTTTCCACAAATGACTCTTTTTCTGAGCAAAAGTTTGTCAAATGACAGCTGGGAAGGGTTTTGCCCTTCTTTGACCCTAAATGAGATAAGTGATATAGATGATGCATACATGGATGGGTGGATAGATAGACAGATGGTTTATAAGTAACAAAAGTTTGTGGTTAAATTATACTAAACATTGATTCGGCTCTCTTTTTGTTTGCAGGCCAATACAATAAAGTTTGAGGGATGTGTAGAGATAATATGAAAAGAAAAATATTGAAAAAATTGTTGTTGTCAGTAAACCCTCAGAGATTTGCTGGCTTTTAAGTCTGACTGTCTGAGCTGTATGTAAATATCATATGCTTGTAGTTGTTGCCCCATCAGTTAATCATTAGGGAAACAATTAGCACGTAACGAGGCTGACATTTTTTTAATTGCAAAAGACGCCCTCAGGCTGGTTATTATCATCTACAGAGATATACAAGAACATTTTTAACAGACTTTAAGTAAATATGTGTTTGTGGTTAACCACTGTTAAATAAAGTCAACGTGTTGTTCAGATGTGAAGCTGATAGCAGAGGACTTCCACTCTTTGGATGGAGGTGATAAGCGACTAAAGAAGGTGCGGGTTATCCTCTTGACCCCAAAGTGTTCTGTGTCTGCAGTCAGCAACCCGGTCGAGTTCATACTACAAGAGAATGGAGGTACAAACAAGACATTTCTATACAGCTGTAAAGTGTGAATTTCCAAACAATGTTTCTGTAACCTTGTTTCCTTTATATCCTGATTTGTCCGTACCAAAGTATGTCTGAGGATGGTAAGTCATCACAATTCAGAGTGCTGTGTGAACTTTAACAATTTGAGCTCATCCTGTGTGACTTGTAGGAATAAAACTTGTATTATGTGAATGCAAGTTATGACATCTCCAAACCCTTCATAGTTGTCTTCCTTTTTTCCAGTTCGACATGAAGTCCATAATTATAAGATAAAGCATTTTTACACTGAACATTTTTATTACTTACTTCCCTTCCATCTAACTACTTTTTCCTGTGTGCTCTTGGCGATGACTTTTACTGAAATTCTGCTCTTTTGAACCACTTCACTTTCATTTTCTCAGACCCAGACATATTGCAGGACTTATCCCAGGACTCCGTTTCCCAAAGCAAACTGGAGGCTCTGGTTGCCCAGCAGAGGAAGGATATTGATCATTCCTTGAAGTGTGAGTGTTGAGCCACCTGCTCATATGTTGACTTGCGCACAGACACACACACACCAAACCCAGACACACTCAAACTCATGAAGTATGAGCTCGGTCTCCAGTGTGAAGCCTCTCTCACCTCTCTGACACGATGAAGCTTATACTTCCTAATTATCTAATCTGGTTTACCATTAGACTGAAGCCTTTGGTGTCCCTTAGAGATCGTCTGAGTCTTAATTAGGAATGCTAATGGTGCTTTGCACGGACCAGCCGCAGTCTGATGAAGCATTCCCTGCATATTTTACTGAAGTGATTAGTGATACTGCTTTATATTGCACACTGTCTTAAATATTGAATGTATCTCAGTGACCTACTTTGTCAGGACATTATATTGTACTTGTTACGTGTTACATATGTTCCATCTTGCAGTAAAGGCTTTACGGCTCTGTTAAATTCAATATACTGTGTGTAGTTATTTATTCCATTCAGCAGTGTGTGAAATGGTGTTCACCCATTAACTTCGGTCTGTTGTGCCGTGCATTCTGTGTTGTTCAGGTTATTCTCATTGAGCAGGTGGAGTCTTTCTGTCAGTGATGAAAATCAGCTGTTTTAATCAGGCTACCATCGAATGGCCCTTGACTACATTTTTGCTTGTGTAGATGCTTTCTAGTACCATTAATTAATGGTGGGTATGTATTGAGTGTCTCTGCTTTGTGGGTCGATGGACTCATTTCAGCGTCTTCACACAGGCACATCAACAAAGAAATGCTCTCACACACAGGTACAAATACGCTTCTGTAGCTCTTGAGGTGGATATCTCATAAAACAGTACATCCTAGTGAAATGTCTGAGCTGAGATCTGGCCTTCTGAAAAGCAAATTTTCACATTTGGTCGGGAAATGATTTAGTACATCTGAGTGGGTTTTATTTGTTATTGGTCTAGTCTTAATGGTTCCTGTCTGGCTATAATTAGAGAGCAAGAGAAGAATCAACGCTTAAATGAGGAGAGTCAAACTGCAGATAACTTGTCAAATCAACAAGCCAGAAGCAGCTGAATAGGCGAGCATTGTACATACATAAACAAGTCTGGAAATTAATATTCAAGGACATATTTCTTTATAGGCAGTGCATGATGAGGAAGATGACTGCATTCGAATAATCTTTTAATTGTTACAAAATAAAGGAAAGATTTTTATATTTGATTTATATACAGTTTGTTTGAAGGTATGATCGACTTGTGAGAAAAGCGGTTAAAGAATAAACGCTGTTGAATTCACATCCATATATCAAGTTACTTTGTGTTTGTGTTTTGTACAGTTCCACGGGTTTTGGCAGTCATTTACTCCACCTGTTCATCATACTCGGATGAGAACGAGGTGGTGGTGAACAGAGCCCTGGAGCAGGCCAAGACCCGCTCTGAGCAGGAGGGAGAACCAAGACAAGCAACCTTCAGGTCAGCCTCAGCCTCTGCAGCATCTCAGCGCCCTGGTGCATGATCAGCATCTGCCTCTGTCCTTGTCTTTGTCTTTGTTTACTTTTTTGCCTTGCTGTCTGTCAGCAAGCTCAGGTGCTCGTCTGTCTCCTTCCAGAAAGGCTTCTGTCAAAGCCTCAGCACACCTCAGGCACCACCTGAGGGAGATCCAGAGGAAATATCATCAGGGATGCCATTTTATGTCTAGAAATGCTGTGAAAAGGGCAGATAAAAGGTTTCCAGATGGCTCGCCCTCTCACAGACATACTTTTTCTTTTTTCTATTGTTGTTTTATTGTGGGTGTTTGTCGAGTTTAAACAATTGCTGAAGTTTACAAATCCCGCAGAGTTAAATATACCAAGATTTACTCCTCTCTGCAGTGAGCTGCCTTGGTGTGCTGGCTGTGCCTCAGGCTTGCATAAATAGACTCAAATGTTTTTATTACTGGTATGGATCAGAATAAGATGCTTGTCCATTCACCTGCATAGTTATAATAGCTTTTCTGCTGCTTTTTCTGTCAGTAGTTGGTTTTACTATACTTTTCTTCTTGTGTATCTGTGTTTAGGATTATTCCATCTCCATTCAGCAATCCTGACTCTGCCGAGGCCTCAGGTGAAACAAAGCCTTTCTTCAAGTTGGAGCCCTCAGCGCTGAGCAATGGTTGCTTTCTGGCTGTTTTTAGCAAAGAGGTAAACATCACTCAAACAGAGCACCTCACAGAGTGAAGCAGTCATTAACCCGATGAATTGACAAATGAGTTGGTTTCTATAATTATAATTTATTGTTGCACTGGAACAATCACACACACGGGGTCTGTAGTCAATTTGGTATCTTAATATTTTATAGAGCGCTGAACACAAGACAACTGTAATGACTGATAAGTGACAACAATAGCTCAATGTTGCAGCTATTTTTTGCTGCAGTTTTGCAAACTTTGTGACTTTTTTATACAGCTTTTCCTTCGAAGCATCATGTTTTAATGGTGACATTGCTTTTAAATGAATTTTACTCCTTCAAAAGTCTCTGTCGCAACCATAGACTGTATATAAAATGGACACCGTCTGCCTCCTCGCTGGGTGAAACCACTCCGAGAACAGCACCCTCTGGTGACGGGCTGCAGTATAGGTCATAAATCCCACCATCGCCAGCAAAACTTATGGAGTTGTGGACAAACTTTAGAAAGTAATTACACAGAATATAATTTTTTCTTCCCCCTGCTTGCGATGTTGACATGTAGTTACTGTAAGACTGGTTTGTGCTCAAGTCCTCTTTTTTCTGCACAGCTCCATTTTTAAAAGTTATTAGGGGGTTCATGTTTACTATGATTGACACTTGATCATATGAGTATAGGAAAATTGTGAAGCTCAGCCGCGGGATACGCCGTTTGAGCCGAGTGTCATCACAGCGACTCTCTGCTACTCTCTGCAACTCTCCCGCCAAATGGGTATCATGCTACTGCGCAAATGGTGGAGTGCGTACAACGTTACTGCGCAATGTTTCAGGTTTCAGGAAGTGGAGAAAAATCACGGAATTACCAAGAGCTTTTCAGCTTCAAATCCATATACTGTCGGAAGGCAGAACCAAGTTGTCCATAGTGTATACAGTCTATGGTTGCAACTTCCTCACAAAATAATATTAGCAGTCCATGCCTGCTTTCAAGGCAGCCAAAAAGACAAGCAAGGAGGGACAAATATAATTCATCTAGTATCAGGCCCCAGTAGGCTGTCTGAAATTTAGTGACAGAAAAGTACCAACAATAGACAAGTCTCTGATCACAGACCTTTCCAAAACAAAACCAAGAGGGAAATGTGGCTGACAGTTTGGTTTTAAAGTGCTCAATAAGTAAAAACACATCTTCGGCTGCAAAAATTAAGCCATAATTTGGTTTCAACTTCTCAGACTGGTGCTTGGCCAAACCCTTGAGACAGAACAAAGCAGAGTGGGACAAAGGTCAGGCAACTAGCAGAAGTAGAAAGCTAGGTCACAAATGTAGGTGTCCTAACTGAGTCTACTCAAAAAATAAAGTGCAAAATGTCTAGAAGAGGTAGGGATGAGTGGCAATGCATTTAGAACTGTGGAAAAATCAGTGGATAGAGACTGGAAATAAAAGTCAGGTTGTTATGATATAATGGAGGGATGAGATAAGGGAGGGAAGTTAAAGTTAGAGTCAGAACAAAGCATTTCATTATCCAAGTGGAGCCTGGGAGAATAGAGAGAAACTAGATCTTCTCTACTTTGCTGTGTGTGATCTGTCTGTGTCTGCATAATAATTCTACTTTAAAATTAAACACATTCCAAGTGTCTCTGGTTTGGTTGGGGTTTATTGCAGCAATTTCAACAACTGACAGAAGCTTTATGATACTTCTCAGACTTCTATATGAACACTAACAGGGAGGAGGCACTCTGCCCCCGACTCTGTTTTGTGTCTCCTTCAACCTCCATGTTTTGACCAAACTTACTCCTCTCATTTCATCTGATAATCTCAGTCCAAACCACTATCCTCGTCTTTTTTATCATATTGATCTTGGTCTTAAGTACGGTTATTGCAGGAGGTAAGCCAGCTCTCACTTGTTATGGCTGCAGTTCATTGACAGAGGTGCATTAGCAAGTCTTTGTGACCGGGTTCCCTCACATCCTCATCATCCACAACATGGCCACGTTTACAACATACTTCACACATTATGAAACCTGCTCTTACACTTATTATACCAGTGTGGGGTTATTAAGCCATTTCACCCCTACTGGGTGTGACAGAGCTCGCTTGCACCATAGCGCCTTCTCGTCTCCGGCCATCCATCATGTTTTATTCCTCCACAGATAGGAATGAAAAGATAATCAAACTGCAGTAATGGAGCTGCAAGCAGGACTTTTTTTCCTCCCTACCTCCAATAAACTCAGCTAATCAAAAGTTATTGTGGCACTCTGAAAATGCCATATAAAAATAGCAATCGTATAAGTGTTTGAATGCTGTCTGGCTTACATTGACTTTGATTAAAGCCCCCTGTAAAGTGCATTGATAGGCACTCTGTACAGAAACATCTGGGGATGATAAAGACGATAAATGAACGTGTTTCTGGTCTAATTTCCACCAAAATCTAAACTCATCATGGATGGAATTTAGAAATTTAGTTGATATAAAATGGAATTCAACAGTTCCTGCACTTTTCACTTTGCCTTTTCAGTTTTATTGTTTAAAGAGTGAGTCTGATGAATTTGGACACAGGTATCAAAAGACAATGGGCTCAGCTCATTTTGGCACAGTGATGAAGGAAGCGAAAGATTAACAGGGTATGGCAGAGTTGGTTAGTGGAGATGGAGAGAAAGTGAGATTTACAGAAGTGAGGGGAAAGAAAGGGAAGCGAAGGAGAGTGCCTGTTGAATAATTCAGCGCCCCCTGTCTGCATGAGTTAGCATCAATGAAGTTCAGGGTGTCCACCAAAGACTGCAGCCCTGTTTCTGAAGAATGTTTACCTGTATGCATGGAGTGTCAACAGTTAAGAGGAGCAGAGTCCTCCTTATATACCCATGCACGGCACTTAACAGCACGCGCACACACCTGTGTACACTGGATTACACATATCTTATGCAAGCATATACACATTTGCATTTAAGTGCGTGCAAACACTTAAAAAACAAAATATACAGTTAAACCCATACAAGCTGTGTGTCTCAGCAGTGTACACAGTGCTTGTGAATAATTCAGGTGTTGAGGAGAGCAGTAGGCTGCTGTGTGGGCTGCTGCTGAGACAGCAAGTGACCCTGCAACCAGCAGCAAGGACATGGTGGTTGTCTTGTCTCCGCCCCTTCCCTTTCTCCTCCTCCAACTTCTTCTTCTTTACCCCTCCTCCCTTTCCACTCTCCTCTCCTCTCCTCTCCTTTCCTCTCCTCTCCTCTCTTCTCCTCTCCTCACCTCGCCTCTCCTCTCCTCGCCTCGCCTCTCCTCTCCTCTCCCCTTAAGTCTTTTCTCCCTTGCTTCCCTATACTATTGTACTAAATACACATGGTCTACAGCACCAGGACTGTAATTTGCGTTTCTAATGTTGAAAAAAAGTCTTTCTTGAGTATATCTTTTTAGTGTTGACTATGAGATTTTAGCTTTGTTACTACTACCTATAATTCCATTTTTTATCATTTTTTAGACATTTGTGGTTATGTCTAAAAAACTGAAAGATTCTGCATTCTTCTTTGTCAACAGCCAGAGCCAGAGGTCAAAGAGACACCACATGAAGTGCTACAAAGGGCAAATGCCAAAGGCATATTAGACAGAATCGGCTTAAACAAGCCTACCAGAAAAGAGCGACATGGACAAACCAACAGAATGACAAAAACAACCAGTGCTCTAAACTCGACACCCAACCTTGCTGTCAGTTCACAGTCTAAGAACAAGGAGACCAAGGGCAGCAGCACTTCAACTTTGTGTGGACATCAGGAGTTTAATAACAGGCGGCAGGCATCACAAGGTGGGCATATTTGCTTCAGATCAGTATTGAAGGGATTCAGCATGTTCACGCATTCAAATCCAGTTCTTTCCTCCGCTTCTTCTTTTTTTTTCCGCTTTTACAGCTTTCATTTCTTGTGTCACTTGAGCTGTCAGCTTTAAAACTGATCAGCTCCCTTGGGAGATGTTTGCTTTTAATTTTCTCATTTCTAATGATTATATCTTTTTGAATTACTCAACTTTTTAAAAAGGAAATGGAAATTCTACAAATTCACTGAAAGTTGTTAATTTCTGGATCTTATCAAATTAAGATTCTCTTATTTAACAGACCCAATTTAATCTGTACTGCATTGACGAGACATTTATGCTTTAACATTTTTTGGTACGTTGTACTATTTGTGAATATAAACAGTGAAAGTTTTATGCTCTTTTTTCATGCTTTTTTCACTCTTGCATTGGTGTGTATTGCATGAGTGTTGAGACTCAGAGAGGGTAGTTCATAGATGCTTAAAAAAATCTTGCAAACCTGTAAAAGTTGCCACAAACTTTGTTATAGACCAATAAAGAAGGCATTGAAATGTATGCAATCTTGTGCTGCTTGTGTCAAAAGGGTGAGTATGTACACTTCAGCCTGTAAAGCTTTATCCTCTGCCTTTTCTTTTATACTATAACATTGGTAGAAATTTCTGGAGGACACCAATGCAAGCACATTTTCTGAATCAATGCCCTGGGCTCATTTCTGGAAGTAAAGATATGACAATTGGGATGCTCACTGTCGAGTCTTTTGTGTGATAGCAGTTATGGTTTTGGCATATTGACAGAAGTTTGAGACGGTATTTTTTCTAGAGATCCCAGGGATATCAACTGGCTAAACCAGGATTACAAAGTCATGATCACCAGAGTAACATCTGAGAAACAGAGAAGAGACATGTTCACACTTTTTTTAATATGTCAAGGCACGACAACCCTCATCAAAGTAATTAATTCTCATCTGCTTAAACTCATCACCAATCTTGTCCTCCTCACTTCTATTCTCAAAATCAACCTACTGTAATGTAAAATCTTGTCTCATGCAACATTCAAGTCCAAACTGATATGTTTTTGTCTTTCAGGAAAAGTCAAACCCCTGAGCCTTCAGGCCTCAAAGATTACAACATCCAGTCCTTTCTCCTCTTCAAAACTGGAAAGCACCAGCTCTCTGTCATCAGCCAAACGAGAAAACACCACATTAAGGAAAACCATCAATCCTGTATTTAAAACTACAACTTCCAGCACCCCTCCGCATCTGGCTCCTCCTCCTACTACCCCCACGGTTCCTCCAGTTATCCGCCCACGCAAGGTTCAACAGGTGGTGCTGAAGCCTGTTGTGCTTGTCTTTCCTCCTGTTCACTTTCCCAACTTCTTTCCATCCCAGAATGGCCAGACAGAATATTGTCCCAGCATCAACCACAGCAAGCTAAGGACCCGAACTCAAACTGAACTCCTTCCCCGCTCAAATGGAGACATCCACAAGGATATCTTGGTGAAATCCCGACCTCTGTTTAAAGTCGAATATCCATAGAGTATTGACTTTTATGTTGAAGGATTATCCAAATAAAGTCAGAGTCAACTAAATCCCTATCATAAAATGTATTATTTTTTTATAGAATTCCTAAAAATGATGCTACTTAGAGTCTGTGATAATGCAAGTCCTTTTAAAGGTTTCCAGTCATTTTCCTGCTCTGAACCCGCTCAAACTGCAAATAATCAAAAAGGTGTGTCAATGTCATTTCAATGTTACTTTATGGGAAATACCGAGTTAATTGAAAGGACATATTCAAGAAGCTAACCCTTTTTCCTTTTGTAATGCATTTATTGACACATCAGGTTACATTTACACGGTGAAGAGATGAGTGAAGAACAGAACTGAAATGTTTTACAGCATCTCTCTTGTTTGTTTTGTGTGTGCATCTCTTTCATTCAGATCGGACTATATTCACTGAGTTCATGTCGAGTGCAGGTGATGGCCTCGAGCCATAAGAGCAGTGTAGAGGTTTTGATAGCAGTGACAGGAAACTTTTACTGCTCTATGTGTGTATTTGTGTGTGTGTGTGTTTGCGTGTATAACTTGTTTGTGAGTGGGAGTAGTCGGGCTGGATTTACTAAAGAAGAGAAATTATTGTGAACCCTAACGGTCTGGCACTGATTCTGTCTCTCCCATGCTGTCAAGCAAGGCAAACACTGCTGTATACCACTATTTATATAGCCCCAAGCGCTTCTCATCTGTTATAGTCAAAGCCTGGATCTGGATTCTCTTGCTACTACATAAACCTTGAGTGTGTGCAAAAAAGATTCCTGAGGAAATTGAAAAGTTTGAACAGAGGCAATGTGACATTCATAAGCTTCATAATTCTGCTTTTGAAGCATGTATGCAAAACAATTACAATCTTTAATTTAAAGCTTCAAATACATAAAATGCTGCAACATTTCTTTGCTGATCTCATCCAATCCAGGAATGTCAAGTAAAAGTTTTTGATTAATTCATTTTCCTTCACTCTGTAATGCACAGAGAAACCTTTTTTTTATGTAAGAGTAGGTTAGAATTCAGCCAGATTGTTTGTGCAGATGTAAATCCAGTTATGGTCAAGAGAAGATGACTTGTGCTGACAGCATCTATTTCTTGTATTTTCACCTGTTCCCCTCCCCCTTCAAAACTTTTTCAACTCACCCAAAAGACAAAAATATCCCTTCAAGAAAACATGCAAAATCAGAGCCCACATCTGTCCCATTTTCTGTCACCAACACCTGATCTTCCCCTCATATTTACAAGTATTGTGCCCTTAATTCTCTCTTCCTACGTACAATCATTTACATACAATTCATTATTAAAATCCTGTCATTCATCCTCAGAGGAGATTTTGTCTGTTTCAGATCTGTCACACACACTGGGAAGGGATCAGTCAGTTTTAATGATGCCTTTTGGTGGGATGACAGGTTTTGCCTGTTTCTTCTTCACCTGTCAAAGTTTCATGACAGACAAAACCTTTTCTGTCCTTGAAGGCTCCCTTGGCTTGGCGTCTCAGGCATCCAGTCCAAGAGCTCTTAATGTGCTGATGACTACGTTTACAGAGGAGAACAGAGCATGAAATGAACTGAGTAACCAGTCTGTTACTAGAAACTTTAACCCTTTGAGTAATCCATCCACCTAAGAAATTCACATCCCATCAGAAGCAAGCAGCATTCAAAGGTCAGACAGTGACGCAGCCATTTCCAATCCTCCTCATTACACAGCTTTCTCAATATTTTATCATCTGGAAAAGTGGATGACTGCTTCCCTTTTCCTCCTCTGTAGTGGTGTTTGTTAATATATATGAACATCATTGGTTACCATGGCTGGTACTGCTATTGTGTTGTTGTGACTGTGTGGGAGTGGTTCAGGCATTAGCCTGGTGTTGCTGTGGTCACTGGTGACGGTCATTGCTGGGGGAGTTCAGACGGCTGTTTCTTGGTTTTCAGAGTGTCTATGAGAGACTGAACGCCACGTTTCACGCTGGTGGTCACCCGGCGAGTCACTGAGTCTGCAGAGGGTGAGGACGAGGAGCCAGCACGCTGGGAGGGTGGCCGTGCCACCAGACACTTCTGGTACCGCAGCTAGAGAAGGACAGAAGGTGGTCACTGACTGGAGTAACTCGAGACAGTTCAGGTTCTGATGCACATAAATACTTACAGTTATAGTCATGACTCTAAGCAGGGTTAAAGGTGGGGTAGGCAGGATTCTGTTAAAGAAGCATCTTTTTTTGTGGTGTATAAACAAAAAATCTTTTAATATCAGTCAATAGCTATTAGTTATTGATCACATTTGGTAATATAACGATAACGCTGAGTTCTCTTATGTCTGTGTAGTCAACATTTTAAATTTTTTGAGCGGCCCGCTCTTTCTGACTCTAAACAAAGCCATTCTTTGCCTCCCCCAACCTGATTGGTTGTGAGGCAGACGCTGCTCCCCCGTGTTGTCCACGAGCCCAAACAAAGTTAGCGTGCTCCAATATCGGACAGTAGAAACCAACCAGAAAGTACAGAAAATTGTCTGAATCCTGATTTGGCCATGACTGCCGACACAAGCAAGAAAATGAAGTAAATACTGGAGACTCTGGCGGAAAAACGGGCGCTTAAAAAGGAGGTAGACCGGACAAGAGCTAAGAAGCCGTGTCAACATCAGCGTAAATGATGGGGGACGCTTTGGGATCTTATGGGCCCTGTAACCTTTCTGCTGGACAGGTAAACCGCTTTAACAAAGTAATCCAAGGGTCTGTAACAGAAGTGTTTCTTGTCAAACGGGACCTGCTGCGTGTTGTAGCGTCACCAATCTGTTTACCTCGGGTCCTGAGGAGCTGAGGGGAAAACTGTTTGGGAGGGGTAGTGTTTACATTCAAGATTTCTCCCAAAATACTGGCACTTCCTCAGATCCTGCCTACCCCACCTTTAACAAAGCGAAAAGGTTGCCAAAATGAAGAGATAATTTGAATATTCGCTACAGACAACATACACGATACAACAACAAATACATATATTCATTCTGTTGTAATAGAGGCTTAATCGTGAACTTACCACACATGCTGCCTGCACAGCCTCAGACACACTGCCTGCGTTTGGGTCGCACCAGAAAATATGACACTGGAAATGCTGGCTGCCAGTGTCCATAATGAAGGCAAATGTGTGCACATCCCGTCCCACGCCCATGAAGGATAAGAAACGGACACGACACTCCACCAACACCTCCTCGTCCTCCTCCTGCACAGAGAGCCAGGAGGAGAATCAGATGTGAGTTTAACTGCTCAACTGGATCTTTCTCTCTTAATTACAAGCACATTCACATCTCCTGCATCGGTTACTCTGCTGCACAGAAACATAAAGTTCCTTACCTTTTCTTTGATGACAGCCAGAGTGGTGTCAGCTATACTCAATATGACAGGGGTCCAGTCCTCTTTGCCTGTGGAGGTCACGAGGTTGTCTATGGCCCCATTTATAATGTCCATGCCTAAGGTGCAAAGCAGAGGATTATCTGATCATTAGGACAAAAACTCTATTATGGAAATCAGGATGTGTTAGGATTCATGTGTAGTTCTCAGGAGTAGTTCAGATTTACCGATGGGGCGAGACACAGATGTCATACCCAGATACAGAACATGAAACTTCTGCACCAGCTCAGTCTTTGGCATGGGAAACTCTGCAGAGAAAACACACACAAGTTGAAACTCGGGGATACACACAGTTTGCCTACAGGGAATTTGATCACACAACAACATCTAACCAAAAACTCCAAAAAGAGGAGTCCACACATGATAATTGGTTTGAGTTTGAGAGTAGAGAAATAAACAAACCCTGGTGAATATTTTAATATTTCAAGATGTTGTTGACATGGTTAGGGTACGAAAAATGTTTTCACACGCTCAAGTTTGCAGGATTTCAGAGCTCTATGCATGAAAACATGAACATCAGCTATTCCTCTTCCTGCTTCGGTGAATGAGGATGATCAAAGAAGTTATTTCACCTGCATTTCAATCAGCAAAGAAGTTGACATCCTTTACCCGCAGGAGCTTTCTATCATCACACCGTGCAATTAAGTGCATACGCTAGAGAGCATTTCGAACAAGGTGAAAGGCAAGAGTGGTTCAAAAACTCACAAGATTTGATAAAAGTTTATGACTTTATAGAATCTCATATCTTCTCATTCACTCATAAAAAGACACTGTGCCACAGGAGATACAATTTCATCAAATTATGATCATTTTGAAGTGATTATTTTACATATTGAGACTGTCAAAGCAGACTGAAAGCAATATGCTGATGCTCCTCTGGTGGAAAGTGAAACACTTTTTACACCTCTGACCACATCCTGGCTGTGTTTGCTTGAGGAGGCAGAACTGAAAGGTCATTATGGTCCATCTCTATCGCTCCATCTCTATCTTTTAATCTCTATTCTGATATTGCCTAAAGTATGAGTATATCTTATTTTCATGGGCAGGGCACTCTATACCCTATATCAAATTACACAGATAATGGTTTTACATGGATAGAATAACAACTCCTCTCCATAATCTTGTTTATTTTTGCTCTTCCTTGGTAACAGTAAACAGTTGTTCAACACTGAAGTAGGCACTGGTTAATTATTTGTCCTTTTGAAGGCACACTGGATCAAACACCTCATAAACTGGAGTTATGTATCATGATGCAAGATAAATCAGTAAACATGATGGAGTTGGTGCTTTGTGACACCTGAAAACGCACGTTTTTCAAAATCGATACAAAGCAAAGATTTTATATTCAAGCACATTTTCTGTGTCCTGTCGAAAATGGCTCTGAGACCTAATTTGGGTCCTCACCCCCAAGTTGAGAACCAAAGTAGTTTTCCCACTGGTCACTCCAGCAAGGTAAGACATTAAACTACATGAGGGCAGGTCGGGTCATTTGAAGTTGAAATAAAAATTGTGATAAACCAGCCCATTTACAGCACGAAATCTTCCTCATGTTGGATTTAATGCCCACTTTGCTTCATCCACACCTTAATTACTGAATTCCAAAGATTAACAATTCATCTTTGGCTCATCTCCATGTGATCAGTATGGACTCAATGGGGGGAATCAATCAGGGGTAATTGCTTTTGCCTGGATTCACCTCATCAGTGTGCTCCAATGAAAAACCATCCCTGGTATATCTCACAGTGTTGGCATTGGCTGCTAAAGCTCTGAAAACTGGTTGGGTGAGTCATGACCTAAGCCATCCCCACATCATTAATAATTCTATATTTACAGCAGAGCTCAGACAGTCCAGATCCAGTGAGCACAGCAGGACCATTATCCAGGTATTGGCGCTCATCCCAATCCCAAATCATTTGGCACTAATCTCTTTAAATGTGTCCAAACACAAAACAGTGCGGTCAGAGGTGCCCTGAAAAGATCTCATCTAGACTAGAACACGGGCCCAATCCCAAACTGCCCCCTACACACTCACACTGGTGCACACTCATGGTGGGATATGCAGGTAGTGCATCGGCAAAAATGGAGGACAAGGAAACAACATACATATATAAGTTCCGTATGTGTCCACCTTTGTCTCACTGACAAAAAAATAAATAAAAATAAATAAATAAATAAAACAAAAGACGTGGTTTGGAGAGTGTAAACGAAACTCGGAAATCTTATTGTGTGCAGACATTTGATTTGATAGTGTAGGCACGTCTAATGGTAAAGGGGTTCAAAGACGTGTGGAATCACTAATAATCAGAAGTACAATTCAGCTCCTGTCACTGTAATGGTTACTGAATTTATGATTTCACTGAGACAATAAAAAACGAGACAGCCGGTGCGGCTCAGACCTGTACATGATACCCGTTTACTAAAAAAAGAAACGCTGTCATGTACAGGACGCGTCTTTATGTTGCTATGGTGATGAATCTTTCCATTTTCCGGTGGAGTGAGGAGGGTGTCCCATACCTGCCTGTCTTGTTTAAACCCTCCGATTTCAATTGAGGCGCACTCCACAGCTGTGTGACTTCGGTACTAGTGACACTCAATAGTGAAGGGCGAGTGTGTAGGGATCGGTTTGGGATTGGGCCAAGGACTCCTTTCCATCCATTGGTTTTGCTGTGAGTGGATGGACTCAATTAACACACTTTCTTTCCTGTTAAAATACTCTGAGTTCAAACCTGCTCTGAAAGATATGATTCCAGTAGATTCTTTGATCCTTGGGTTGGGATGAGTACCGTAGAGCACCAGGCCTCGCCTCAAAGAAACACTAATCGGGTTTTAATGAGGTCAGCTGCCTCTGTAAGTAAAGAGCCAATGTAGTTCTTTTATATTCCGATGTCGGCGCTCCTATCCCCCTCACTCAGCAGATACACACACCAGCTGAAGTTACAGTGCAGGACGAATTGTGCTGGTGTGTTTTTTTCTCTCTCTCACATAATTACTTGGGACTGAGAGGAACAAGCAGTGGGATTTAACGAAATAGGAAACAGTGAATAGAATTAGCAATGGGAGCAGAGATTGTGGAGCAGGAAGTCATTCTGGAGTCAGTGTTATCAGAGAGTGAATGAACCAAACACTGCTATCTTTTCTGTTCAGGATTGGTCACAGTCACCCCCCCGAGGTGATAAGGTCAGTAAAAAAGAAAACATATACATGGTTTTGGATGAGAAAATGTGTAATGTGGGACGAGAAATCACAGTGGAGAAGACAGCTCAGTGCTGACACATCCAATTCTCTGGTGGGAAAACTACAAAAGAAAAATCAAAGACGAAATTTTGTGTGTGTATGTGTGTGTGCATTGTGTATACCTTGTAGGGGTACATCTGAGCCTGTCTGGGAGGAGCTGCCAGCTGCAGCCTTGGCACTTTTCCTCTCAGCCATAATCTAGACCATAAGGGGAAATAGAGAGAGGGGAGGGTAGAAAGAAACAGGACGAATTGGAGAGAGGGAAAGCTATTAGAAAATGTAGGTACAAAGAGAACGAGAAAAACGAGAAAAACAAGCATAACACCAAACCAACATTGTCTGCTTCCCTGTACGTTCCTCCACCCTCCTTCAGCTCTGACCCATTTCTTTGTAATTAGGATGTAAATCTCTCGAACGGGGTCAGAAAAATATGCCTTCATTTTTGACGGTTTATTTTTTCTAAATAATAAATGTGCTGTATTTTAGTTTTAAGCAAATATTTCTTGGGTATTTCTTCTAGCAGTAGGGTGCAAGTGTGCATTAAAAATGTGCTATAAAGCAGCAGGGCAGCGTGAAGTTGGTGAGGCTGTGTTTTTAATATTCACCGGATAAATCTGGGGCTTTGTGTCACTGAGGAATAGGTTGTATCAGGCTCCAGCTACATAGGTAATACTTAAAGTTGCTTGTGGTATTTCACAGGATTTCTTGACAATGAGAAAAAATTTGCTAACGTTTCCCTTTTGAAATAATACCTCTAAATTTTACTGCCTTAAATGAGGCTTTAATTCTCGTTTCTTCTGCTGCAGTGCACAATCTCTCTCTCCAAAAGTCTGCATGGCCCCTGCACTGAGCTGCTGCACTTTCCTGCTACAGATACTTGATTAATTGTAGGTGTCATTAATCAAATCTTGAGGTGAGTCTGCATTTCTACTCACAAGGGAACATACGATATATGCTCACACTCTCACACACGCACACAGACACACAAAGAAATGGTCGGCAAGCTCAGCATGCTGCGCAGCTGCAACACTCAGGTCACTAAGTTCCTCTGCTGCAGTAAAAAAACAAAATTTAACCAGTGTATATATAACAAAAGCAGTGTGAATAATTGTGATTGCATATACATACAGATGCATATCCTCCCTCCAGTCAGGGGTAGGATTAGGAAATGAACAGAAAAAACTCTTCTCTAAATGGGTCAGTGTCCCTCTCAGGGAGAAGTTCTGTTGTTTCAGGTGAATTTATCCCTTACAAGGTCACTGCTGACCTAAGGACAAACTGCTCTCAGGGCTGTGTGTGTATATTTGTGTGTGTGTGCGCAGGAGGGTGTATGTTTCAAGAGTTTTTCTAGTTTGTTTATGAATTGCAATAACTTTGAAGAAGTTTGCAGTGGCTTGCAGCAAAAAAACATTCATTAGATTTATCTACAGTTGAAATTGCATTGGTTTCTATGTTGCTAATGTTGCTAATGAAGTTTTCATATACATGACACTATTCAATGCAGAAAGAGAAATCCCTGACAGACTAACTCTGGTAACTCCAGACTGGTGAAACAATTTCTGCTGCTCAGAAGCAGAAGACTTGGCTGTTTAATCATTTGCACTTCCATTAATAAGAAGCATCTATCACTCAGTACAGTTCTGTCTGTTCCATAAATATATTATGATGTTATTGGTTCTTAAGAGGAACAGATTCATGGACTGAAATCTCCCACAGCCCACTGGGAAAAATGCTGCATCAATACACCAGGGAGAAACCAGGAAAAATGCAGGACAGCACACTCACATTTATTAAGAAGCATGCTAGTGTAACAATCTTGAGTGCTGCAGATGAGAACATCATTTACAGAATTATCTGTTTTCAGTCTATGCAGAGGAAATATGAAACTCCAGAAATATTCCTCCAGATTAAACCTTAATAAAACTTTGTTATCATCATATAAATTCAGTTTTGGCTTTTGGGGATGCACCGATCAGCTTTTTTCATCTCCAATACTGATACAGATATCTACATTTTAGTATTGACCGATACAGATCCAGTTCTGACACAGAAAAGCCGCGCTGAATTACCTTTTGTTGTAACCTGAGGTTTTACCACTGCCCCTCGTAATGGTGCAGGTAATGCAAGTGGTCATCGAGCTTGCAGGCTGAGGTGTTATGATAAAGTTCAAGATAGCAAACCTCTTTGCTCGCTCCATTTTGAAAACAATGTGGGCATCTGCTCGATGTGTTTACCACCCACAGCGCATAGCATAGAATTAGACTGAATAGATTGGCCCCATGCATCGGGCCCATTGTCACAATACCCAATCTAGAATTTTCTTCAGTATCGGGACCGATACCGATATCAAATATCGGATTGGTGCATCCCTATTGGCATTCATTTCCAAGTTACCTTTACAATTTAAAGATGAGAATGACAGCGGTTACCAAGGTAACTGGACACAGAAAGCATGACAACAGCTGCAGCCTTATGCTGCGTTTGAGTTACCTCAGAAGTCAGAAGTCCGAGCAGGGAATGACGTCACACCCGAGTTACCAGCGCAAGTCGGAAAAAAACAAAATCGGAGGCGGAAACAAGATGGCTACATGTACAAAAGTTATTTTAGCGCTTGCCATGTACGAATATAAGACAGGACAAGGCAAGCGCTAAAATAACTTTCCTAGATGTAGCCATCTTTTTTCCGCCTCCAATTTTGTTTTTTCCGACTTGCGCTGGTAACTCGGGTGTGACGTCATTTCCTGCTCGGACTTCTGACTTCCGAGGTAACTCAAACGCAGAATTAAAAATGCTCAGAAACTTAACTGAGAGAACTTGAAGCTCATAGAGAGACTTTCTGTTTCAGCCTGCTAACCCCCACAGCAACTGTTACAAACCTTTAAAATAACCATTCAGAAAAGTTTCTGTCTGATAGTCTGGGTTTCCTGAGGTCAGATTTCATTTTTAATTTCAATCTGTTAAAAAAAGCAATACTGTTTTATTCATTTGTGTCAAAAGATTAAAACTGAATCTAATACTGATGATAACAGCAGACTCATGTTTGACCTCACAGTTTTGTACCATTAGTTCCATTTATGTTAATGAGAGGATAAATAGTGAAGACCTGATAAGAGAGTCAGAAATAAATGTTGTCACAATGAGCAAAGAAAACAGCAGAGCCCATAAAGAATCAGGTTTGTTACCTGCTGAATATCTTTAGAGTTAGAGATGTGAATGTTGACTAAAATTTGACAGAAACCTCAGATTTAAAATTGAAACAAACCTGCTGGGCATATCCTCAAACAAACCTGATCTGCACTTGTAAATTGAAAAAGCTGATTTGAAAGTATCTGAATTTGGACAAGTCTGAGATTGTGTCCATCAAGATGCATGAAGAAAGAGAGAAGATAATGTTGTTCAATAAGAATGGATGATAATGGGAGCATTCAGGGCTTTGGGCCCTGTATGGAAAAAAAAATTGTAGTTTAATGAGTGTAACAATACCTGTGTGCACACAATACTAAGAAGACAGCCTTAATGGATTCATGGCCTCCAGGCTCCTACAGTGAGCTTTTCAGTCTGCACCATTACTGGATTGTTCTCAGACTATTTAACCTTTAGCTAGACATTGAACCAGAAGGCCAACTAAATTTGTTTAACACTTAAAATTCAATGATTTCTGTTCAAAGTTAGAATTTATTGACTTCCAATTTGATTCTTACAAGATAAAGTCATTGAAATGAAACCTTTTTTTATCACTACCAGCCATTTCAGTCTCTGCAATTTTAATTAAACCCCATTTTCCAGACACAAGGTTTATTCAACCAATAATGAAACACAAAGAAACAAAGAGGAGAGGACAACTGGCCGTACGGTTATCACTGTGGGTAGACAGGGGATAAGTGATATGCAGATTCAGAGGTTCCTCATCCCTGAGCTGGTTAGTCTCTCTCTCTCTCTCTCCCTGTCTCTCTTACAAAAAAACAATAACTTATACACTGGTGGCCATTGCAGCAATAGCAACTCAGTGTCTGCTGACTGTGACAGCTGTGTGGACAGATGGATTAAAAATGTTAGACAGCTGCTGATGAAGGAAGACTTATTATTATCTGATTATCTTGGACATTGGTTATAACAATAGCATTATCTCCCATGTAGAAATCGAGACACGAATTAACTGTACTCACTGCATATTTATTTTCTTTTATCATACGTGATTTATTATTAATTTGCTACTGCAACTGGGCCATTGTGTTTACATGCTACTTCATTAGTATGCTAGCTGAAATAGAAATGATTGTCTCCTTAACAGCTTGGCAATCAACGATGACATGAAATCAGCAGGTCACTCGGTAGGGGCAAGATTACTGATCATTATAATAATGTTCTTCTGTAGCACATCTTAGTCCGGTTGTTGTTGATGTTCTCTGCCTTAATCCATCCCTTTCTATCCACATCTCCCTCCCTCAGCAGATGGCTGTTTAACATGAGTCCAGTTTTGTTTGAGGTTTCTGCCTGTTCAAAGATGTTTTTCAGCATAACTTGCTAAATGTTAGAAGATTAGATGAGATAAGACCAAATCTCATCTAATCTTAAAATTGGGTCTTTGTGAAGAACTTAACATAAATTACAGTTTTTTTATATACTACCTTGAGATAATATTTGCAGGAAACTGGCGCAAGATAAATAATTAATCACAACCCCATTGAAAATGATCCATAAGAAAAACTTTGAGGTCATGTACATGCGCACTGTAAACGCAAAGCTCTTAAAGGGATATTCCGGCAAAAAATAAATTTAGGGTCAAACACACCATAACACAGAGTTAGACACCCCCCCTCGAGAGATGAATGTTGCTGACCACTTGCTTCTCTTGTTATACCAACTTTAGTAACGACCACATGATAGCAATACACAGCAGTCTGAAAGGGCCATAAATAAATCTCAACCAAAACGCCACTCTATAGCCCAAATAATGCTCAGAACAGCACCTAATCATTTCTTTAACATTTCCTTGAAGTAATAATCACTGTACTATTCATTTTGCACTGCAGATGCAGTAGTTCTTCTGCCTTGGCATCTCGGACTGATTGCATTTCCATAAAGAAATGATCATAAATGTTCTTCCTTGAGCTGTGTCAACCCCCAGCAGTCTGTAATGGACTGGCCTGAGGTCTCGCTACAAACAAGCAGCTGTTGGAAGAGAGTAGGTGAGTTGTGTTTAGTCTCTTTGCTAAAGAAATCAAGGAAAGTTAAAAGGATGTTTGGTGGCTAGTACTATTGCTGGGACCCTATATGTACTGTTGATGAAGTTAGGTGCTGTTCTGAGTATTATTTGTGGCTATAGAGTGGCGTTTTGGTTGAGGTTTGTTTATGGCTCCTCAGACCGCTGTGTATTACTATCCTGTGGTCGTTACCAAAGAAGCAAGTGGTCGGCAACATTCATCTCTTGTGGGGGTGCCTAACTTGGTGTTACAGTGTGTTTGACCCTAAATTAATTTTACTCCAGAATATCCCTTTAACCTTTCTCACTCTCCCTCCTCTACTCTCACATGAAAAGGATCATAAAAGTCTGTGTTTTTCCCTCATTGCTATTTATTTTATGTAACATACTGCACAAGTTAAAGCAGCATCTAAGTCACAACCTTGAAAAGTAGCTGAAGAAAGCTGCCTCAGCTGTGAAACATCTCCCTTTTTTCTCCTCCATAATCTCCCTTGATTAAAGTCTGATAGCTTGTTTCAGAGCCGCAGATAAGCTCATTCATGCAGGGCCGGTGGTGATAATGATACCCACCTTGGAGCAGATTTCGTGGAGACTTGTTGCGATGGCTGCGGCAGGGGTATCACAACGGAACACGTGGCACTTCAGCACTCTCGTGTTTTTGTCTCTCGCCACGTAGGCAAAGTCCCTGAGACACATAAACAGAAAACATGCGATAATCATTACACACAATTGAAAAGTGAAATGAAAAACAAGCTCTTATACAACTGTCCATCAGATATACCAAAGATTAAACTCTGTCTGTAGACAATTTTTTAAAGTTTCCCTTCACATTTCCAAGATTTTCTTCATTTTTTTTAAATTTGTGAAAGGATTGGGAAAAAAAACACACAATCAACATTAAAAATGCTTAAAGAAAAAGAAAAAAATTGATGAAAATGAAGGAATGGAAAAATAAAAAAGGGAGTAATTTATGCAAGTAGTGTGAGGGAATGTGTGCACACACATTGTCTACTCCCTAATAAGGGGAATGAAATGCATTGATTTGTTTATCACAGAATCTCATTTTATGTACATTGTAATTTTTTTCTGACCTTTAATGTCATTTATTCTATTTCATACCACTCTTTAGTTTGATAATTTGATGAGAAATAGAGGTTTAATCCACTTCATTTTAACTCACTGAGCAGTTGCTTTTAACAAACAGAGGTAATTTCCCTCCTAAAGTTTCCTGGTATTACTCCTCGGAGAGCCACTTAAGACATTGCTGCATATTAAGACTAAATCAGATTTTAAGGGCTTTAAACACTCCCTCCCAGTGGACGTCTATCTCAGGGCCAATACATGGATATGATTGCAAATTAGTATTACACATTCCCCTCAGCACCTTTTACTTGAGTTTGTTGGGTTCAATTTCAGTATCATCAACAGCCTTGTGATTACCATCCTTTTAAAAACCCTCCTGGTGATTTTAGTCTCATCTCTTTATTGAAATTAGTTCAGTTTGAGTTTGTCTCACATCTTTTCTTTGTTCCTCCTCCGGTGAGGTCAGTAGGTGACAAAACTCTGTCCTCAAACTGTCAAAACATGAGATTTTTAACTCCTTTTTTTCAGTCTGTTACTGTTTAAACTGTCAGATAATCAACAAGGGAAAAGACAAAATGAGCTGCAAATATTTTATGAGCAAATTCAGAATGAGACGACAACAGTCACTATTACTGTAATTTGCATCATAAGATTTATCTAAGGATTTTAGCTCAGTGTTTATCTCTTTTCTTTTTGAGCTTTTCTAATGACACCGCTAACTTATTTTGAAAATTTGCATCATTACTTTAGTCTCTTACACGCTGCCTCACAAATGTTGCTGCAGTTCTTAAAGTCAAGGTTTATTCATGGAATAAATTAAGTGAATAACCCAAATGATCTGTTTGTTTGTCAGAAATGACAGTTCTCTCAGTTTACAGTCATTTCTTTGCTGAAAATGCTGCTTGCCAATTTTGGCTTCAATGACACACTCTGGCACAGGCAGATGTGCGCGTAGCTGCCTGAGGAAATGCTGTGCCAAATGCTTTGCAGTCGGGCCACGGTAGAGAAACATGATGAGTGTAAGGATGTGACTGAGAGGGGAGTGGGTGAGAGATGAAACAGAGCAACTTTTGGGAGATGAAACACACTTGTGTGCATACACACACAATCACACATCCACAGACAAAAGATGAAAGAGAGTCATTTCATCCCCATTAACAGGTACAACATGCTGCACAACAAAAGGAGATAATGAGCTGAAACTGAAAAAAATGAGAATGGATTCAAAATTCAAAAGCTCCAAATAAGTCTCTGACAAAAAGGAATTTGAAATGGTTTGTAAATGACAAAAAAATGCCGCAAAATGACAAAAAAATCATTAACATGCAAAGTCAGTGATCAACTGGGGCTGCATGATGAATTGTTTCAACATTGCAACTGTGGTATGCACTAGTCATTGTCACATTGCAGGACGTGCATTGTCAGTCATATGCATGCTTTATTATCACATACATGGAAGATGTAAGATGGATTTTAAGACAGTCCCGTTAGTTAACACTGTGGGCACACTTGACTGCAGACTGCTTGACTGAAGGGACAGCGTAGTGTTTATTTTTACACTTTACACCTGCAGTACTCGTGCATTATAGTGACATGTCAGTCATGTATAGAAGAGGATGGTGAGTATTTGTGAAATTTTGTGAGAGGCTATTTCAGGGCTTGTGACGCATGGACGTAAGTATATGGATACATGTAAGTTAATTCTATATTGTTTATCCCATAGGCTGTGTATAGAATGGACACCGTCTGCCTCCTCGCTAGGTAAAACCACCGTGACAACAGCACCCTCTGGTGACGGGCTGCAGTATAGGTCATAAATCCTGCCTCCTCTAGCAATCCCTATGGAGCTGTGGACAAACTTTAGAAATTAATCACACAGAGTTTACATTTTTCTCCCCCCTGGTTGTGACAGTGAAATGTAGTTACTGTCAAAAAGGTTTGTGTTCAAGTCCTCTTTTTTTCTGTACAGCTCCGTTTTAAAAGTTATAAGGAGGTTCATGTTTTCTATGATTGACACTTGATACAGCCTATGGGTGTACGAAGATTGCGTAACTCACCCAGCGATACGCTGTTTGAGCCGAGCGTCATCACAGCAACTCTCGGCGACTCTCCTGCTGAATGCGTACAATGCTACAGCGCAATGTTGGTTTTAAACAGTGGAGAAAAAACCCGTAATTACCGAGAACTTTTTGGCTTCAAATCCATATACTGGCGGAAGGCAGAACCAAGTTGTCCACAGCATATACAGTCTATGGTTTATCCATACAGTTAATGTAGTGACGTGTCGCTCCATCTGTACTCTCTCCTTATGTGTCTCTGCTTCTCACTGCAGGTGTCAAAGTGTCAGATGGCTGAATGAAGTGTAGGATGAGTGGGAGGGGGGTTAAACTTGAAAGCATCTCATTATATTTAACTATTTACCAGACAGACAGACATTAGTTGTTTCTTTAAAATCTTGCAGCCCTGTTTACACCTACACAGAAAACCTCTGCATATCAAGTTATCACCACAGGTGTGCTCTGGGGCTCTGGGAGCACTGTGGACAATGGAATTGGATTTTTTTGGGGAAAATATTTCACAAAAGTGGTTTCTAGGTTTGTGTGTTTTTGACATCACTTCTATTAGCACTACTTTTAAGTATTTATAGCATGTTTACAGCGTTTTTTTTCCCGTTTTCAAAGCTGTTTTGAATGTGCTATTAAAGCAACAGGTTTCTGATTTTGCCTCCTGGCCATCCTACTTATGAAAATGTTTTGGATGTTTCCCTTGTTGACCACTGCAGTGTTTTCAGCCAGGATTGAAACGGTTAAGAAAAACAGATAAAGCAGACTTAAAGGGTAAAGCAATGACATGTAGAAACTACTGGTGGGAATACCACATGCAGCTGAACAGCTTCATGCACATACAAACCTGTACACACACACACACACACACACACACACACACACTGCACACGCCCAAATAACAACAGACACAAATAGAAATATGACGAACACAATCTGCATTTATCACAGCAGGCTTTTTGTGTTTATGAGTCCATTATCCGGCCTGTCTCCTCTGCTTAATTGTGTGCTCATACACTTTGGGTCGATAATACTCACTGCCTGTGGCCATGGATGAAAGTGTGATGGCCCTGTGTGTGTGTGTGCTTTTGTTTGTGTTTGTGTGTATATGTATGCACGTTCATTCAGGGATATTCAGGCATTGTGTCACCAAAGCAGCATGAGTGGCCTTGCTTCACATCCTACAAATGTTTCTTTTATGACTTCTGCACCCTCTCTGGGGGATCAAAGTGCTATAAAGCAGCATGCAACTCCTGATAGGAAATAGCCTGGGGCCAGTCTGGATGGCTGATGATTTAACACCAGTGATTTAGACCTCCAGTTACTTCTACTGCACTCCTGCAAAGAGCAACAGTGACTCAGGGCGAAGCAGAACCACTGATTCGATGCCCGATGTGACGGATGTGATTGCACGAGGGGCTGGTGGTAGTGGGTCTTGACACAACGATTACTGAAAACAATGGAGAAGCACAATCACACTTGAGCACACCACAAAGAGCAATTACCTTTCTCTGGGTCCCAGGAAGCAAGAGGAAGCGAGAAGTAAAGGTAAGGGAAATAGGGAAAGGAAGGAAGAGGAAAGAGCAGAGTGAAGAGAAAGATGGAAGTTTAGGAAAGTTTGATGGGAAGATGAAAATGGGGAGATGGATGAGCAAAAGAGGGGGAAAAGTAGGATCCATGTTAATTCTCAACATACTGAGTCAGAAACAGATTCATTGCTCTTTAACCTCAATCACTGCCTTTCTTAAAGTGCGCCTGCATGCATGATTTGTCTGTGTGCACAGAAGCTTAGTTTTGTGTGCTTTTCATTTCACAGGCTTAGTATGCTGCTACTTTATGACACAGCACAGCTTTCCTGCTAAATATGCCAACGCAGTCACAGGCACACACACCTTATTACCGTAGCTTTTCCTCCCCCCCGCTCCCCATTTCCCCTTCATCGCTACCTCCTCTCAATCTCTCTTTCATCCTCCGATTTGCTTTCACTCATTAATCTTCCCCTCAGCTCTCTCCATCTTTCACTCTTTTGCTCACTCTCTTTTTCCTTCCAAAAAAACTGGAGGAGCAAGAAAAAAAGATGCACCTCTGAAGGATTCATATCAACAGTGTAACTTATCACAGACGCTCCCTCCATATATCGTGAGGTGCTCTGTTATCAGACGCTCAACAAAGGAGGTGCAGGCTGAATAAAGAACAGAGGGCTGATTCAAACATCGACCGCCTTTGATTCTTTCATGATCCACTTAGTGAGGAGAAGTGTGCGTGTGTGTGTGTGTGTGTGTGTGTGTGTGTGTGAGTGAGGGAACAGCAGCTGGCAGATTATTTCAAACAGGAGTCTTCGGAGTCAGATCTGCTGCTCGAGTTTGCTCTCAAAGCAGACGGTAGTCGCCCACGTGCACACACACTAACACACAAACACACATAAATACAGAAGCTTCAGCAACACATTGATATAAATAAAAAAACTAGAAGCTCCAACCAGCCACATGTACACGTGCCAGAACTGTCATATCAATATATGTCTCTGCCCCTCTGCGTGAATTTCAATCATGTTTTTCTTTGTTCTGAGTCCATTTACTTTCAATTCTGCTCCATTTACAATTTAATTTTTTCAGTCTGTCACTTCGGTGGTATTTGATGTTTTGGCTCCAACCTCTTAATGCCTCAAAGCTGCTGCTCTCTGTTAACCTTGCACTACACCACACCCTATTTTTCTCTCTCTCCTCCCACTCATTCCCATTTGACTGTCAGAAAACTACACCGCTACATATGTCAACAAAAGTTTTGTTTTCTGTGATTAAACCGCTTGTTTTTAACTATTTAATCATTAGATACAAAGAGACAAAATTGTATGCATGCAAGACCTTCCAAGTATCATGTCTACAGTCCTATAAGGGGACTGAGCTGTAGCTTGGCAGAAGAGCCAGTTGAGCTCTTAAAAATTAAGGTTCAATCCAGAGTCGCAGGGTCCACATGCTGCAAAATCTTTTGGCAAGACACTTAAAGGGATAGTTCGGCGTAGGCCTGGACGATATAGAAAAAAAGCATATCGATAAAAAATAAATCATATTGATCGATATCGATAATTATTGATATAATTATTATAATTATTTAACATATATTTTAATTGCAGCCCTGGATGTTTTATGCTATTGCTTAATGACCTACTTTTAATAAAGAACACACAAGCACTGAATTCAAATTCAAACCTTTATTCAACCACCTTTTTTATTTTACCACAACTGAAAGTTTTTAAAAAAAGAACTAAAAAAAAAAAGAAATCAACTTAAGTGGCCTGAGTGACGTCAGTAAATACTGACAAACATAAAGACTAAAGTGACCAGAAAATCTGATAAATAAATATTTAAATAGTCTTTTGATGAAAATAAACAAAACAAACAAATATATAAATAAACAGAATAGCTTTAGGTGGGAATAGCATACTACCAGTTTTAACTGTGTGGGAAACTGCCCACAGCCTGGTGTCTGAACACTGAAATATTTCTCCCGGGGTCGGGAGATTTATTTTTTTTTAATTATCATGTGATTGACTTAATACACAAACTAAGCACGAGAAGCAGGACTTATCCACGCCGGTGTTGTGTCGTAGAATGCACCCCTGCCGAATGCACCCCCTGCTAGTAGCCATGATCCAAATACTCGCGTCTTTGTAAAATATGAGCTCATTTGAACGTATTTCCTCCGCACCATTCTCACCTTTTCAACCCCTGACCCATTTTCATGCCTGAAGCGCTGTGTTTGAGAAATACTTGCGGCCGGGCACTTCATATCGCGGGTCGAGAGTGGCTAGAAGCTGGTCGAAGCCAGGCTTTTCAGCGGTAGTTATTGGCAGTATGTCCCTCGCTATGGAGCATGTTACTGCATGGGTGATGTCCTTATGCCGCTCGGACGCTTTGTCGTATTTTGGCAAGAAACGAAGTCCAGTTTGGTCTGCTTCACTTGCTTTGTGCTGGTGCTGGCAGCGGTTCCAGAGGATTCCTCCGACGATGACGTGGAGCCGCGGCGCGGCCGACACAGCTCGTACTCCTGCGGGTGCGATCGGTTTAGATGGTAAAACAAGTTGGTTGTGTTACCAGACTTGGTTTTTACTAATTCTCTGCAAATTTTGCAAACGACCGCTGTTCGCTTTTTGTCAGACTTCTAAAAACCAAAACATTGCCATGCTGGTGAACTACTGAAACCTTTTTTCGGGACAATGTCCTCCGCTTCTCCTTGCTGTATCATTTTTTCTAATACACGTGCTGTCTGTTGTGGTTTGATAGGGGCTGGGCTTGGTGCCGTAGCGTACCTGGGTCTGCGTTTGTGATTGGTTGGGAGGAAGTAATGACTGTAGTAAAAGCTACATGATAGGCTATGATGAAAAAGAAAGGGGAAACTGTGTTTTTCTATCGAACTTTTTATCGACCCGTTTTTTTTCTATCGCACCACACGTCTATCGATCAATATATATTGTTATCGAATTATCGTCCAGCACTAGTTCGGCGTAAAATTAATTTAGGGTCAAACACACTGTAACACCGAGTCAGACACCACCTCGAGAGATGAATGTTGCCGACAGCTTGCTTCCCTAGTTATACCAACTTTAATAATGACCGCAGGATAGCAATACACAGCGGTCTGAGGAGCCACACACAAACCTCAACCAAAAAGCCACTCTATAGCCACAAATAATGCTCAGAACAGCACCTAACTTCATCAACAGTACATATAGGGTCCTAGCCATAGCACTAGCCACCAAACATCTTTTTAACTTTGACTAATTTCTTTAGCAAAGAGACTGAACACAACTCACCTACTCTCTTCCAGCAGCCACTTGTTTGTAGCGAGACCATCGACTGCTGCAGGGTGACACAGCTCAAGGAAGAACATTTACGATCATTTCTTCATGGAAATGCAGTCAGACCGAGACACTAAGGCAGAAGAACTACCGTGTCTGCAGTGAAAAATGATTAATATGATGATTATTACTTCAAGGAAATGATAAAGAAATGATCAGAAATGTTCTTCCTTGAGCTGTGTCACCCCGCAGCAGTCCGTAATGGACTGGCCTGAGGTCTCACTACAAACAAGCAGCTGCTGGAAGAGAGTAGATGAGTTGTGTTTTGTCTCTTTGATGAAGAAATTAGGCAAAGTTAAAAAGATGTTTGGTGGCTAGTGCTATGGCTGGGACCCTATATGTATTGTTGATGAAGTTAGGTGCTGTTCTGAACATTATTTGTGGCTATAGAGTGGCGTTTTGGTTGAGGTTTGTTGATGGCTCCTCAGACCACTGTGTATTACTATCCTGCGGTCATTACTAAAGTTGGTATAACTAGAGAAGCAAGTGGTCTGCAACATTCATCTCTGGAGGGGGTGTCTAACTCGGTGTTATGGTGTGTTTGACCCTAAATTAATTTTACGCTGGAATATCCCTTTAACCTGAAACTGCATCTAGAACTGATGTTGTGTAAATGTCACACACACACACACAAACTGAAATAGAGGATAAGAACTATGAAACCTCATGAGTGTGCAGAATATTTGAATCGCAGCCCTTCATTATAAGTTTGGCTGTGGCACAGTTGGGTCATAGACGCAGTTGTTAAGTCACATAAGATATAAGGTTATTTTCCGAGTAGTTCCATAAAGACGAAATACGCAGTGTTACAGTAGCAAAAGTTTCGCACAGCAGTAAAAGCCAAGACATGATAAATAAGTTAACACTCTAAAAATAAACATGCAGCCGTAACTGGAGCTATAACTGGATGAAGCGCAAGAGAGGACAGAATAAAAAATTAACCAGCTTAGACTCATTGACTCTCTGTCTCGGATGTGTCTGTCCAAACCTCAGGCTGTATCAGGAGTTTTAGAATAATCTATGTATATAAATTAGACATTATACATTCAGACAAAAGGTAGAACTTAATCCCCACTCACATCAGAGACTGAACCAGCTCAGTGTATCTGGAACATCACTTTAAACAGGGCTGAAGACAATTCGATCCCGTGACTCTTGATTTTATGATTTGGGTTGAAGGTCATCTAACAGTCTCTTAAAGCGCATACATTTATATTTATTTTGGCCCATGGACTCTTGTAGTTTTCATTGCTTGAGTGTAAGAGAAAGCCAGGAAGTGCCAAGCCGCCTCGTGTGTCATTTAGTTAGGAGTCTATTGGTTTACATGTTGGCTTTATGTTATATTTCATAGACTTAATTTCTATGGTGGCTGACAAGCATTAAGGATCTCCAACAATCTTGCAGTAAATGATCAATTGACCAATTCAAAGCACATGCAGAAGTCCAAAGCAAATGCAACAGTGGAAACTGCAATGCAAACGCAGACAGCTGACCTTGACTACACTTCAGAAAACCTTTCTGTACATCAGAAACTATTTCTCAATACAATCAAGTGGGTTTTATTCAATTGTTTTTTTAAAATTATGTATTGACAGGGTATAAACAATCATCGGACACACTCCTTTCTTGTTGTATTCATCAAATAACAGATAAATCTGGTCTTCCTTTCTGTCTCATCAACACAAAACTGTTTCACTCAGCGCCTGCATGCCTGGAGCACTTCCCTCAGAAAGTCTGGATTTACAGTTGCATTACCTCCAATGATTTGTCAGCTCATCCTATATTTGTCAGCTATGGTAGATTTAGCATCTATTGTACTGAACGATATTTTTGTGGAGGCAGAAAAAAGTAAAGTGTGATGTTACGGTATATTTCTCCCTGACCTCAGTTAGCACAGAGAGGTTACATGAGGTAGAGACAGACAGGCGGTGAATCAGCCAACATCTTAAAATGAATGACACATGGACCTGAGAGATGTTGGAAGAGTTTTTGGCAGGAAAGTGAAGAGACACAGATATAAATGTCGAGAGAGAGAGAAGGGAATGATGAAGGCAGGAAGCCAAGGAGCCAAAATCAAAAGGTGGGAGTGTAGCAGAGAGGAATGGGAACGAGGTGTGAGACTCACTCATGGGGGGGCTGAATAGAGGAGGGAGAGGTGGAGAGAAGAAAAAGAGAGGTAAAAAGAAGTATGAGATGAAAGCTCCAAAGCAGAGAGATGAGTTAAAGCAAGACTCCCACCACTCATGTTGTTCTTTTTCTCTCTCTGTGTGTGCTCCACATATTTCCAGAGCCGAATAAAGAAGGACTGACTCACTACTATCCATCTCGCTTTGATCCTGATGGCTGAGAGGCAGGCTCGGCAGGAGACGATACGTACGACTCACAGATTAAATTAGTTCATGGCTGCAGATGTATGGTGTTGAGAAAGTGGCACATACCGTCAGTGAGAGCTGCTCTGACATCAGACACACGCTGCTGCTGTAGTAATAGTAACATTAGCATATGTACTGCTGAATGAAAATCCCACCCTCACACACTTAAATATTATTTCAGTTTGTGACACTCAATGGCTCTTTTTTTCCAATTGTCTTATTTGTGCAACACAAGTACGCCAGAAGTCTTTCAATAAGGAGTATAAATATCAAACTCTGATAACAGACGTGAAAGGAGGGAGTGTGAGAGGAAAATCTAGGATGTAAAACACTGCAGATCACTGAAGCTGAGGTTGGAAGTAAAAGCAGTTTCTCTGCTTCTCTTGTACTGGTTTTCTGCATGATTAGGATTATTGATTGTTAGAATAGATTCTTAAAAGCTGCAACTCAAACTTGATTTTCTCGCCTCACATTTGAGCATTTATTCTTAGGATGTGATGCAGCTGGTACAAATGATGAGCTGAAATGAAGACCTTTATAGAACAGGCCAAATGCCAAAATAAGCTTTTCATATGAATTCAGGGTCAAATACCATCCTCTATAGGAAGACGGGTTAAAACCCAGCTATCTTACATTTGTGTATATCTTAATGTCAGACTTAATGTTCCCTGCAGTGTTGATCTTCGCCAAGAGCAAAGAGCTAATCCCTGTCTATTTCACGGGCTGGTAACTGAAGGATTAACTGCATGTCTGGACTGACACAAAAACATGTTTGGTATGAGTGTCACTATGAAAGACAATGAGGCGCTCAAAGTTTCTGCAGGGGAATGTGTATTCCTTTTTAATCTTTTTCTTTGTTAAAAAATAAATATTAAAACAAATAACACAATATATAAAAACAGGTTTTTATCATTACTTTCTTTGTTTGGAGAATAGATGTGACTGTGTTCACACCACCAGCTTTCATGGTCAGTTCAAATGTTTTCTTTTTTCTTCTGCTATTTTACATGATTATTTTTCCCCTATCAGACTTCTGTGTCAATTAGAACTGACCTGCAAAAGACATTAAAGACATCACATGCAGCAGTCAATGTTTTTTCTCTTTGTGTTTTACATCGAGTGTCCATTACACCAATGCAAAACTGTCTGTTTGTTTGTTTGTTAGATTAGGCGATTTAACTGGATGACTGTCCCTGTCACAGTTTCCGAGCACCAGGCAAAAATCAAATTATTGACAGAAGTGTGTCCGCCTCTGCTCTAGTAGGCGGCGACATGGCCACTTTTAGCTCATAAGTACCATAGGGCGGTCTTTGGGTTGACCTATTATGTATGAAATCAATCATCACTTTAGCAAGAGGCGAACAAGACATATGAGGACATTGTCACTTTTACAGCTCTGTACTAGGAAAGTCTTTTCCTTTCTTAACTAGTGATGCACCGATCTGATAACCGATCTGATATTTGGATCAGATATCAGCTCCAATATTGATAAATTAACTGGATCGGATATTTTTTTCTTTTAATCAATTTTCTTTTAATACATGGAAGTCTTACTTCTTTTTGCTGTGTGCTAATGTGCAGTTTGTTATTTGTTAATAAATAATTTTAAATGATTCTCTATCTGTGTTAATTTGTTACTATTTAAAAAAAAAAAAAAAAAGGCTAATGTCAACCCTGATGCCTTCACTCACAAAGCAAGGTAAATAGTTTATTCATTCATTCAACAGTAGTGTTGGATCAGTATCAGATATCGGCCGACACACTCAGCCCAGGTATCGGTATCGGATTGAATCTGAAAAAAATTGGATCGGTGCATCTCTATTCTTAACCAGTTAAGGTTTTATTTACTACCCAGCTTCGTAGCAATGCATTCTCGTTATTCAACTTGCAGCTCAAAGACCACGAACACTGAGGCAGAAATTTTAGGCCCGTTTCAGTCCAATTGAGCCAAACTACAATTTCAGTCAGCCTAATGTGTTAACATATCTTTTAAAGTCCAGCTTCAGTCGGACGAAGGCAATAAGATTTTTTTAACAACATGTAAATGTATCATGTAACTCTCAAAAGTGTTGAAAATCCCATTCTTTCCAACTTGTCTATTTGTAAAAAATCCAATAGATTTAAGACATGAGTCATGTATGAGCATAAAAAAATCACAGTTGTGTCTGCAGGATGAGTAAAGAGGTTAAAGGTTTACTCTATTTATATTACAAAGTGAAAATACAGCAGAAATAATGTTTTACCACCAAGTGACACAATATAAAACTGAGCCACCACAAAGGAGCCAAACATTGCTCTCCTTAAAGTTTGGAAAAGATTGAAATTTGACCAAACATCCCAACCTGTTTGTTGTTGTCTAACTTAGTTGTGGCAGTAGCGGTAATACAAACCTGACAAGTTTTGTTGTTTTTAAACACACAAGCCAGATCCAGATCCAAACCTTTCCTCTGAAGTAAGAATTACAATTTGTTATGCTCAGTAACTTAAACTTTTATTCCCCCCTGACAACACTGTGTAATTTAAATTCAAGAGTTTGTCAGACCCCGTAAAGAGAACTCCTCCACTCTGCATCTTCAGGTGCTTAAATGGTGAGATAAAACACCAGAGAAGCTGCTGTTGAAGTTTTAAGAGGCAGTGAAAACAACACGATTGTGCCTCGTCCCCCGTCCGCTCTGCTGTATTTTCCATGCTCGATAACTTCCAGTATCACTCAGCAGAGACTCGTGTTCTCTCCCAACCATCTGTCACGCACACATCAACACACACACACAGTGCCATGGCATCACACACACTTCACACAGACTTCAATTATCAAACAGCTTTACAGAGTGTCTGGGTAGTGCTGGGCGATATGCTAATGCTCTTACATATGCTAATAGCACAGCCAGATGCTGATTAGAAATGTCTGAGGAAGAAGCTCCTGTGACTCTGCTGTCAGCGGAAAGTAGACAGCCAGGTGTGTGTGAGCTGTGTGAATGTGTGTGCATGTTATACTTATTGACTGAAACTATATGGGTGACTCTATGACTGCTGACAGGGTTGTGCCTTTGGCTTAGGTCCAAAGTGGATGTTGACATGATCCAGTTTCACGGAGCTATTGAGCATTAAAAAAAAGAACAACAGCTGCTCTGTGATTTAGAGGAATGCCCTTTTCATCACACTGCAAAGAGAATAACAAAACACCTGGCAGGTATTTTTGTATTTACCAGCTTTCTCTCTGTGAATTATTCCTCTTTAAAAACCTTGTTTTTTGCGCCACACTCTGAGACTCTTGGTCTTATAAGCCTATTTAAAACTTGTGCGGTGTAATATTATACCTCCTTAAAAAAAGCACCATGCAATTTACTTTAATACATTATTAGCATAAAACACATAGGGAAAAGTAAACACATTAAAGTAAGTGTGACAGCAATATTCATTAAAAAAGTAAGATGTAATAAATTCAGCCTAAAACTTCCAGGTAGAGTGCTGAAAAATGACCGTTTCTGCTGTCAAAGCTCGGGAAATTGGTTTTTACTATCAAACTCTGTTGATAGTCTTTTGCTATCTACATGTTTTCTCTGAGGAAACTCTTTAAATTTATTTGTTCAAACCTAATAAACATCGCCAAATACTGCTGTGAGTGTACCATTTTCTAAATTGGACCCCTGAGTGCTGATAATTGTGTTTGCAGGATTCAGCATATGTTGCCTGGGATTAAAGTTAATTGTGCTTTATTGTAATGGAACGTAGAATATGGTGATAAAAGAAAACAATAAAACTCCACAATAAAAGTGGATATAAGAGATGCAAAGTACACACTTTAAGACGCCATTAGTTGTGCTGTTCAGAGCTGCTGACAGATATCGACTTGGTTTTACACTGCAGCACTATTGATGATATGTTAGCATCTTCTATCTGGCATTTAAAGAGCTGTCTGTAGTGTGCTTAGATATACAATATGCTAATTAGACTCTCACTAATTCAGGGTTTTTGAGGATTCTTACATTATCAATAGTCAAGAATCACAAATCATGCAGTTATCAACCCTTTTTGTCACAGGAGAAAAACTTTTTAGCACCTTAAAAAAAGGAGATAGGGCCGTTTAATTGACCTGACAGAGCTGTCAACAAACTCAAAACCTTATTAATCAAGTGTTAAACCCTGCCTCGTATCTTTTTGACTAATGTTGGGTCAAATTTAACTCTTGAACCACTAAATAGAGACACCACAGCTCATCGAGGCTCCTTTAATAAGAAGAAATCTAATGTTGATACTAATATGTTGACTGTTTTTTTTCTCATAAACTATTAACAAGAGGAAGTAGACGGTTTGGTATTAAGACTGTCTGCACCTTCACTTGAAGTGGAGACAAAGGTGACCTGACTTATTTGAAAAGGGGGGGTCAGTAATTGCCACACCTCTGAACTGACTGACAAGGTGCTGCGTTGGCAACTTCTGTTTTACTCCTCATGGGAGTGTAATTTGAAGATGGCTTCAAACTGGTTCAAACTCATCACAAATGTGTACTGTGCTGATGATTCAACTTTTTTTAAGCTTCTGTTTTGGCTGAAATACTGATGTTCACGCTCTCCATGCAGTCCGTGGATAATGCTAATGACCACAGGCAGTCTATGAGTCTATGAAAATGAAAAAGTAGAGGGGTTATAAACAGGCATATGAGCTCAGCTTACTTTTCCCTGTAGGTTATTACCAATTAAATGCTCCTGTAGCACATTTATAAGCAGCACATTGTGGCTGTAATTAAAGTGCTAAACTAAAATACTTCACAACAACAGTACCATTTTTTTCATTAAAAAATGATTTTCTTTTGTATTTGATATCATCAAAAGTATTATGCTCACTGCGTATAACACTTTATAAACATAAGCCGTTATGATTTCTTATTAGGGTTTGGGAAATTTCACCTAAAAAGATTGTTATAAAGTCTTCTTAATGTATACTAAAAGCCTTATTGATAATGTGCTTTAAAAATGTGCTTGGCCTCCTATTGTACCAGAAACACAAATATTACAGTTGTACAGTATATCATCAGTTGTCTCATCTACTCCTCTTAGATAGAAACCGTATTTCTGAAAGTCTTTTTCTGAAATGAGGCGACAAAAGTGCTTTTGGAGCTGGATTTGGAGCTAATTTGGATCCTACCAAACATTACGCCACTAAAACCTCTAAAGCCTGTGCGTCAGTAGAGCGAGGTAAACCCCTCTGCGACCTGGTGAATTAGTCTTGGCCCACAGTCATTTGGTCTAATGTTGAATGTCTGTGCGTAATTACCTCTCTCCACTGTAAACTTGTTTACAGCACCAGGATGAGCAGCAAAATGAGCATTCTGGGCCAGAGGGCACAGCACATGAGGAGAAGAGGAGGAGGAGGAGGAAGAAGAAGAAGGAGCCCTTTTTGCATCTTTGTGTCACATGACAGACACAATCACACTCACAAGCAGATAAAAACACACTCATAAATACCATTACACCCCAAGGCAGCAGAAAAGTAGGACAAAAATCAAGTTGAAATAAAAATAAAAACTGTTGTCTACAGTGAATTGAGCAGCGAACGCAGCACACAATGCTGTTTGTGTCATTTGACAGACAGGTGATGTTGTTTACAGCTGGAGCAGCTAAACCTCAGTTTGATTAAACTTACAGCACCTCTGAGCATTTTCTAAGAAAACACACAGATTGACAGAGTAGATAGTGAAAACTGGTGTTAAACTAAGAGAGGAAAACACTCTCGATCCCAGTTTATGTTCACGCAGCTTTGTGACCCAATTCCAGACATAAGGAGAGAGAGAGGGAGGGGCAACAAGCGGAGGGATGCACACACACCATACTCATGTGTCAACATCATCTGATTTCATAACATATTTAGGAGCAGTGATAGGTGGGTGGATGAGTAAAATGCAAAGACAGCAAGTGTGTGTGTGTGTGTGTGTGTGTGTGTGTGTGTGTGTGTGTGTGTGTGTGTGTGTGTGTGTGTGTGTGTGTGTGTGTGTGTGTGTGTCAAGAAAAAGAAATATTCTGGACGAGAGAGGGAGAAAGATGTCCTGCTGTTCTCTCTGCTCTTGATCATTTATACATCACACTGCACTTGAGTGTGTGTGTGTGTGTCTGTGTGTGTACGTGATAGACAAAGCTTCAGTGAGATGTCACATTAGCAGGACACCCCCATTCATGTATGTTACTAATGTGTGTGTGTGTGTGTGTGTGTGTGTGTGTGTGTGTGTGTGTGTGTGTGTGTGTGTGAGTGTGTGTGTGTAAGTAAGAGAGATAAAGAGAGTGTGTGGGAGAGCGCAGGGATTTGGTGTCAAGTTAGCGTAGAGTTACGTACAGCTGTGTTCACAGTGCAGCTGGGCTCATACTGTATACATGTAACCTAATTAGCTGTATTCATCGTAAATCACCATGTTTCAGGCTCACGGTAATGAGCAGCCTCTTTACAATTCTCTCTCAAGGAGAACATGTTGGAAATTCACCAAAACACTTCACCAGGGTTTCAAAGAAGCAGGTCAGAGCTAAATGAGGAGTTCATTAACCGGTTAGACGATGTTATGAGCAGAAAATATCAAACTTTTGCTCTTTAAGAAGGCTTTTTTAATGTCTTGTGTGGCAGTAAGGGATCATTTTTAAGACTATTGTTGGACAAAAAGAACTTTTTAAAGATAACAACTTGAGCTAAGTGATACCAAAGTATTTTATTTGTTAAATCACCTCTTTCATGAAGAAAGAAAGTACTACAATTTTAGAATAACTCTGTTCAATACTCAAAAAAATAACTGCATGGTTGCTAAATTATTTCAAACTAATGTGAGGATCTTTTAACTGGCCATGAGCAAAACTAAAAATAATCACTCTTTTATAACCTCCAAGCCAACACCAGGAAAATCGGATATTTCTACTGATAAATCTGGATTTCTTCAACACAGAATTAAAGAGATAAGTGTTTTCAGCATTTAGCATCACAAGCCTCCAGCATCAGCCTTTTTGTCAATAACTCCTCAGTTATTTAGCGATCAGACCAGGACTTCTGATTCCAATTTTGTCAGCAACAATGGTGGAGTAGAGACTAATCAGACTCACATTTTCTAGGGAACAATTTCCAGGTCTGAGTTGCTGATGCTGAACCAATATTCATTTCTAATGATTTGTATTTGTTTGGAAAATTTCCTAAAGCAAGAAAATATGGAGCACAAAAAAAACAACAACATTTAAATAGTCTATCAGGTCAGGAAAGCAAATGTCCCATGAGACAACTCCGGTAACCTAGCAACAGTACGCAACGGTGAGTCGCACTTTAAAATAGAAGCTGAAGAAGCTACGAGGGAAAACCGTCGGTAGACTGCTGCGATATCAAACAAGGTGATCAACAGCAGGCTGATAAAAAAGCTTGAACATCAAGGATAAGTTTGACAGTTAAAGCTCCTGTAAGAAACTTTTAGACTTTGTCAAATCTGTCCACCTCTGTGGATCACGCTGCAGCTGACCTACTTTTCTAACCTTGTCATTGAGATAGAGATTCGATCAATCCACCATAGACCCTCTATTCTTAACACAAGGGACCTTTTTTTCCTGTTCTCCTAGAAACCTTGCGCTTGTATTTAATGTGTGTGTAACCCATCATCCATCACTACATAGACTAACTATCAACTAAGCTTCTGGTCATTAAGTTTATTACACATAAAACGGAAGGGTTGGTATTTTCAGCCAATCAGGGTTGAGAATCTCTGCTCTATCGGGACTTAGACTTCATTAGGCTGTTAAAGTTACATCAATTGGGATCTATTGATTTGCTAATCAAAAGATGATTAAAAGCTGATGAAATGCTTGAATAATAATCGTATAAGGTGATAAATTCATACCCTATTCTGCCACCCTGTCAATATAAATCATTAGAATAAAATGTACTACTATTGATCCTGAAATAACTAAAGGGAAATTTATTCATCAGGTTATAAATCTTTTCTACTGGGAACATCAGCAGCTGCTTCAATGAAAACGTAATCAAAAAACTTCCATCAGACACATCGAGTATTCAAATACATTCAGCCTGAACAGTCTGCGGACACTTGTGAAGTCTGAATGGATTGACGGGCCACAGGCAGCACCGAGTGTCCCGCTGTGATCAGCTCTGTGCGATCAGCGAACATCAGCATCACTTCGCATCACTGCCTGGACCAACCAGAGGTTTATCAGGGGGAGATTTATCGGCTGGTGGGCCCAAGGAGGGAGGGGGATCTATAGGTGGACCAGGGGGAGTAATTCGTCAGGAAGACAGGGATTACAGCAGCTGTGCCTAACAATGCTAATGTAAGAGAGAAAGGGGGAAAGGAGAGAGAGTAAAGGGGAAGAAGAGGAAATGTTGTATTTGAAGGCTCTTCATTCGTAGTTCAGCGTGTGTATGTGTGTGTGTGTGAGTGTGACATATGACTCCTCACTGCAGAGTGAGTGGAGATACTGCTCCCACCATAATGACCCTTTGGAGAATGAGCTTCTCTGGGTGGCAGAGTGGACATATCCTGACATAAGGTGCCCGTATTTGTGCGCAGAAGTGGGAGTGATGGATTGTGGGTAGATGTAAGGAGCTGACGTGGAGGAGCGATGACTTGCAGGGGGAGGAGAAGAGGTTGGCTGTGGGGCTAAAAATCAGAACAGGAGTGGAAAGGAAGAAGCAATCAATCACTTTGGCGTCTATCGAGTGGGTCGAGGTGTTCAGGCTGTGTCCCATCAGGCGGGGGTCCACACATGTTAATTAATCTGACCCAAGGCTGGATATGAGTGGAGAAGCTGGATCTAAACTGGATTGAGTGGGAGAGTGACTGGAAAGACCCCTCACATGCACATACAAACTGTAGTCAATGACATAAATGGAAGTGATTGCTGGAGTGTGTTCATCGTTAAAATATTAATGATTCTGGAGGCTTGCGTGTCCCTTCTCCTCTCTTCTCTCACTGCTATTCTGCTCAGATCTTTTCCCTGTCTTCTTCTTTACTCGCCCATCTTTTCTGCATGCCACAGCTGTCCACAGAAGGTCAACATTAGGGAGGGGGGGAATAAGTGAGAGCTGTGGGGAATAAGCAAGCGGGAGCCCCTTTGCTGCCTGCTAATGAATATGAATGATATGTATGTTTGCAGTGTGTTTCATTGTGTGTTTTTGTGCAGCCACCATTAGTGAAGAAAATTCTGCCATAGTTCACTTTGATCGCATGGAAAAAAGCTTGGGAGATCAGAGCTACACAAAGAGAGTGTAAACGGCGTTCATCACAGTGGCACACGCCCAGTGTTGTCTCAATCCTAACAAGTGTCACACGCCAAGGACAAGAAAACAAGCCGCAACTGCCCTCGTGATGTTGTAAATCATCTCGCTCTGGCTTTTTGCTCTTCGCTTAGTGTTCCCCTGCTCATTTCTCATCCTCCTCCTCCTCTTCTGCTTGTTAGGGTACAGGCACAAGGAGAGAGAGAGAGAGAGAGAGAGAGAGAGAGAGAGAGAGAGAGAGAGAGAGAGAGGGAAGTATTTATCTTACACACACACCTTTACCTCGGTGTGTATCCTCGGTTGAACAAATTCAGAAAGCATTGTAAGATGAATGTGTCAAAAATAGTTATGTTTGGGGCTCTGCAGAATACACACATAAACCGAGTGCAATATCAAACAGCTCAAAACTGCCATCACATGCACACACACTCACACACACACTTGAAAAACCCCTGCAGCACATCCAAACTCTTTAATCCCATCTTTCTCAATCCCTCTCTTTGCTTACTTCATCCCTCTTTCTTTCTTTTCACTCTTATTTTTTTGCAGACCTGCTGCTGCCTGCCTGCATCCTTACACCTGACACACAGAGAGAGATAGAGGGAGGAAGAGGGAGAGGGAGGAAGAGAGAGAGAAAGTACCCAGCTTGAAGTCAAACACACAGCAGGGGGCTGAGAAGTTAATGAGTGTAAAAAAAAAGACAAGAGAATAAATGAAAGTAGGTCTGTGAGCTGCAGTTAGAAATAAGCAGAGGGGGGAAGACAGACAGGGGGTCATGTTGAGACACAGAGAGAGGCAGTTTGAGATGATTTGAAGTAGAGGGAGGAAGGATGGATAGATAGATGGATGGATAAGGAGTGCTTGAGGAGTGAATAATAAGAGACGGGGTACTCACAAAGCCAGACATCCTCGCTCCGATTCAGACCACTGCTTCCCTGCCTTGTTAGCTCCTCTGCCACGGTGACATTGCTCCAGCCCGTCTAACCGGGATACCCAGGGGTAGATCTTTTACTCCTCTTTTCCCTCCTTTTCTTCTTTTCTTAATCCTCAAGCCCTCCTCTCCTTCTTTTCTCCCCTCCCCCCTCTCCTTCTTCTCCTTCTCTTCCCTCTGCTACACCTTTCCCCTCCTTATCTTCCTCTCCGCTTGGTTTCCTTCGCTTCTCTCTCCTGGTCCGAGGACTCTCCTTCAAAGTCCTGCTCAGTACCAGCAGGGAAGCATGCACTGTTTCTTTCTCTCCCACAGCTCGCTCGCTCACTCGCTCTCTCCCTCTCTCACTCTTCCCCTACTTGCTCTCTTCCTGTTTGTCTTTCAGATTCTCCCCCTATTCCTCAGTTGCTGCTGTATCTCTGTCTCTCTCCCTCTCATGTCTAACTGAAGCTGGAATAAAAGGGAAGGCTAATGACAGGACAAAGAAAGAAAGAGAAGCAGAAAAAAGAAAGAGAAGGCAGAGCTGTGCAGCCAATGGCATGAGAGGGGGGCAGAGAGAGCGCTGGAGACAAAGAGTAGAAATAGCGCAAGAACACTAAAGACAGAAAAGAGAGGATGGGAAGTGGGGTCGAAAACAGACACACCCACTCATTCAGCATCGCACACACAAACAGAGTGCTCCAGATTTAGACCTATGACTTCATCAATTTAAGTCCACGTGCAGACACACACACACACACACACACACACACACACACACACACACACACACACACACACACACACACACACATGCACTCATGCAAATGTGTACTCACACACACATATAGGTGTGCACATAGTTGGAGTTGCTGAGTGCTCCAGATTTAGCCTCATGACTTCATCGAGGAGCAGACCCCCCCCTCACTCCAGCCTCTCTTTAGGGACAGGGGGACTCATTCATATTGAATCAAGCAGGAGGAGAAAGAGAGAGAGAGAGAGAGAGAGAGAGAGAGAGAGAACATCACGGGCAGGGCAGGAGTACTCTAAAGACAGGTGGAAAAAAGAGAGAAGGACGGAGAGAGCATAGGGTGTTTTACTTCCCAATTTCTTCTCTTTCCCTGATCCGTTTTCACGCTAAATAAGACACGAAAAATCTGTCTTTTTCTGCCTGTCGATCACCATCTACCAGCTCAAGACAACCATCACCTAAACTCTCTCTTTCGCTCACACAAACATGCACTTACACATATTGTTCAGGGAATTATCCTGTCACATGTCAGCACTCTGCATCTATGTTTCACATCCCAGTCACAGACATGAAATGTCAACTGAACACCACTTTTCTACAAGATTTATGAGCCGGCTGCAGGGATTAGCTCCCCTTCAGGAGTGAAAAATCTGTGTTTGTTGGGGATTGTACTACAATCTTCCAAACCTGTCGACCAGTAGAAATATGTGGAGTTAAAAGTTAATCACCAGAGCATCACTATTCAGCGGATAGACTTAATGTTTTTATGTATCAAATAATGACTAGAGAAACATTAACCATCAGTCTATTACAGATAAGTCATCGACATAGAGTGAACTCGGAGAGACAGCTACTCCTACGCATGAAAGCACAAACATAATATTTCAATAATGATTGCCATCTTGCACATTATGTTAGTTTTCTCTAATCAGATCAGTCCAGCATTTGTAGTTAAAACATGTTTTATTTCTCAATAAATTACAGACAAAAATTTGCAAGAAACCAGCACATTTTTCTGTCGAGTAAACTTTTTGTAAAGGTCATCTCAGGCAATTTTTCCGTATATTTGAAAAGACAGTCGAGGAGAGAGCGTACATGTTTGGGGATGATACACAGCAAGAGGTCAGGGCTGGAAATTGAGTCTGCAGCTGCTTTTACAAGGTGAACAGATGTATGTTTCCACCACTGAGCTCAACCTGCGCTCCTAAGGCAAAGTCATTATATACCGTGAATGAACCAAATCCTTAAAGCCGACAAGTTTTCAATGAATAGTTAATAAATATTACCTCTCATTAATTCACTCACTGATACCTGAAATACTTCTTTATGGTCCTAGTTTTGTGTCAAGTTAAAGCACATAAAAATGCACAGTTAGCAGGATGCTCAGACTTTGATTATAGTGCGCTCTAGTGGCAGGACTACACTACTTCAACCTTTGGCAGAACATATTTATACCTCGGACACAAACATACACAAACACACACACACATCTTTTCAGTAGCTGTGTGTATGAAAGTGCACTCAGGACTTTAAGCATCAAATATCTTTAAAGTCAAACACACAGTACAGCTAAAGTCACTGGACAACTGCAGACTCCAAACTGCAGATATTAAAGAGCTGCTGTGAGCAAAGGAGGGAAAAAGTGGAAAATGCAACACTGTAAGAGAGAGAGAGATACAAAGTGAGAGAAAAAAGGATAAGAGAAGAGAGAGAGCTGGTCCGCACTGGCCCTCTCCTCCCCTTCCCTCCTCTCCCCTCTCCACTACACGCTTTATCCATTACCGCTGAGACAGACACACTGAAAAGTTTCTCAATCCTCTGAGATGGGAGAGTGTGGAAAGACTCCTCTTTCTCTCCCTCCTCCCTCTATTTCAAATCTATCACACACACGCACACATGCACAGAGCTAACATTGTGATGCTGTTGCTGTTTAGGGAAGGGAAAGAGGAGGAGGACTGGAAGAATAGAGGCATGCATCCCACAGCATCCCTCAGCGTATGATAGAAACTATAGCAGCACTTAAAAGGCAAAGAGAAATGAGACACTGAGAAAAAAGAAGTTAGCGTGACGCTGCAAGTGAAGTGAGATCAAGCCTTTTGCACAGAGGCTATTTTAATCTCCATTTTCACCCAATCTCTTAACAGCTGATTACACATGTCAAGACCAAACAGCTTTCTAGACGGCGTAACTCCAGGACTCCTCTCGTTTGTGTGGCATACGTCTCCTAAGAGGATCTCCCGGAGTCTCTGAGCTCTTAGAGGTTTAACATTTAGAGCAGAGAGAGAACTTTTACAAGAATTATACACTGGTGTCGGGATAATGTGAGCATGTAAAGCATTTAAAAGTACAAGCTCACATGCAAATAAGCCTGTACATCTCATCCATGGTTAACTAATGCATGTATGTGTTTCACATCAGCACAAAAGTGTCCAGATGTGTTTTGGGATAGTGGTTGAAGCAGCTGCTGCATGTGTTAATGGAAACCCTGAGGGGCCCATATCAATAAGGGTTTAGCCTGCCCCCCCTCCAATAAGCAGCTGTGCTGGCCTCAGCACACTGTCAGCTCACTGGTGAAAGGTTAAGACCATGGGACATAACCAAATGACTAAAGGCCCCAAAGGTCCTCATTCTACAAAGGAAACAAGCAGCAATGAACATATTGATGGGGCTTTGAATGCAGCTGCTGCAAATATACACTGAATAATAATAAGGCTGATTCCACTCACTGATGATTAGTTATTTATCCTGACTCAGTTCTTTACAGCCAGAAAAATCTCAAACAAATTTAAAGTGGTGTGTGTTTGCAGGCTAACTGTGTGCATGTCTGAAACATGTTAATGAGTTCAATCTTTTTCTCTCTGTGCGTCTCAATAGCTCAAGTTCAAAGAGAAACACGAAACTTGACCTTAAAGAGCTGCTCTTATTGCTGCTCGATCAAACAAACAAACATTTCCACCTACCTGTCGTGGTCTCGACCAACACCCCAGACACGAATGCTACTTATTGGCTGTGAGTGCAGCAGGCTACGATCATCAGGGTCAACCAGGGTCAGCATGCGGTCCTGAAGCACCAACAGCATCCCTTTACCCTACAAGATCACAAACCAGGACATGCTATCATTTGTACTAAAATCACAAAGGGTCAAGACCTTAAAGGGATATTTCGGTGTAAAATTAATTTAGGGTCAAACACACTAAAACACCGAGTTAGACACCCCATCAAGAGATTAATGTTGCGGACCGCTTGCTTCTCTAGTTAAACCAACTTTGGTAACGACTGCAGGATAGCAATACGCAGCGGTCTGAGGAGCCATAAACAAACCTCAGTCAAACTGCACTCTATAGCCACAAATAATGCTCAGAACAGCACCTAACTTCATCAACAGTACATATAGGGTCCTAGCCATAGTACTAGCCACCAAATATCTTTTTAACTTTGCCTACTTTCTTTAGCCAAGAGACTAAACACAACTCACCTATACTCTTCCAGCAGCCGCTTGTTTGTAGCGAGACCTCAGGCCAGTCCATTATGTACTGCAGCGGAGTGACAAAGCTCAAGGAAGAACATTTCTGATCATTACTTTATCATTTCCTTGAAGTAATAATCACCATAGTAATAATAACAATAGCAATAATCTGATTGCATTTCCTTGAAGAAATGATCATAAATGTTCTTCCTTGAGCTGCGTCACCCCGCTGTAGTCCGTAATGGACTGGCCCGAGGTCTCGCTACAAACAAGTGGCTGCTGGAAGAGAGTAGGTGAGTTGTGTTTAGTCTCTTTGCTTAAGAAATTAGGCAAAGTTAAATAAAGTTAAAGTTATCTCTCAAGGGGGTGTCTAACTCGGTGTTGCTGTGTCATTGAAAACACAGGGAATGATCGGCTCTACCCACTATCTTCATTTTAAGTCTGTTTAACCCCTTTAAGTTTGATTAAAAATAAAGGTCAAATTATTATATAGGAATTCCCTCAACTTTAGATCGTGGAGGACTGACCTCTCCCCAGACCCCTGCTGAGTCTCGTATGTCTCTCCTGCAGTACGACAGCTGTCTGATGCAGTGGTGGACCGCCACACTGCTCCGCCCCTCACACAGGTCCTGTTCAGCCATCTCTACCCAACCCAGCGAGCGCACTGGAAATGACTGAGGAGTACACACACACAAAAAGATTTATTCTATTCAAATTCATAAATGACATAAGTCCAGATTTCAGACACTTGAATGTTCAAATGTTTTTTTTTAAGAGGAGACATTTGCCCTGTAAAATAAAAGCCTTTTTGATTATGCACCATCACAACAGTGTGCTTTTTTTTTTTTAAAAAGAAAGCCTTTTTTTACCTTTTCCCTTCACAGGATACAGTCTTTAATTTGATCTTAAACTCAACACAAGAATGCAAAAGCTGTTACATAGAAATACAGTGGGAGAGAAAGCTGGAGTACAGTATGCAGCAGTGAGTACAGCAATAACCACGAGAGGTTTGATTGGAGATGACGTCTTATAAAATATGAAATGCTGTGTATGTGTGAGTATGTGTGTGTCTGCAGACTGCCTCAGGCCAGCAAATATCTCACTTCTCTTTCCCCTCTCACTTTTTCTCTTTCTGTGTCTGCTGGGGGTCCTCCCCCTCCTCACTGAGGCAAACCTCAGGAAACACTTGCCATGCCGATCCTGAACATCGGCAAGAAAATTCTCACAATCACACACCATCTCTGTGCCTCTGCCTCTCACCACTTTCTTTCCTTTTCCCTCATCAGACTTTCACACATGCCTGAGATAATCGCTGAATTCTTGTGCTCCTTCCCATTGTTACTGGATCCTCAGAGGTATACTCCAGCTTGTTTTTCTCTTGAATCTGACTTGGTAAAGCACCTCGAAATCTTGGGAAATCCTGATGAAACATGAATATTTTTGCACTTTCTCTTGAGTATTGAATCTTAAAAATGAAGCAACATTTGGCCTAATTTATGCCCCCTTGCTGCAAAACAGTGAGCATGCAACTTTTGAGGAATATTGATGCTATATTAATGAGCTCTTTGCTGGAATTTTAAATCTTTTTTTAATCAAAAAGCACCAAAATGCTGATCTGATCAAACATCAAACTTTTATCTTTCAATTTTGATGTGGTTCCAGGTCTGAATCTTTCTGTCTAAACAGGATATTCTTCCTTTCTTATCTCTGGTTTATACGCCCACCTGCTTTACATTTCGATGCAGTACTGCTGTACATCCTACTAGACGTGTGAACATATTTACCACAGTTCAGTTTCCAAAGGTACCACTAAGTGGCAGTACAACCAACAGAGAGAGAAAGAGGACATGATGCTCTTGAACACACCATGAAAACAGAACTCCCTCCATTAACAAACACAATATCCTCTGAGAGGATGTTATAAACCTAATAACAGAAACATGATGCACTCAGCAAAGATTGAAGTCGCCATACAGTGATTTAGTAGTGTAATTTTGTATTTTTGGGTACTTAAAGAATCTGACAGGATTTTGATTAGACGCCCAGATAGAACTGAACGTCTTTGAAAAAACATACTCTGTTAATCCCCATGGGAAATTACATTTTTTCACTTGGTTACTGAACATGCTGCATGCACATTAGCCAGAAATACACACATATACTAAAGCAGAATCATATGCACTAATGCGAGAGATCTCTGAGTGAGGGGGCTGCACAGGAATGAGCATCCTAGGCAGCTGGGGGGCTCTGTGTTTTTCTCAAGAGCATTAAACAGCCCAAACTTATATACTTTGGTCTGTACAGGGACTTAGACTGGACACCCTTCCATTCTTAGAAACCAAGTCTCAACAGACTGAGCTACTGTCTACCCAGTAACATCATTTGGAAGCTACATTTAAGAAATTTGTAGTTTAAGGTCTCTTGACTGTGATTGGAGCTGCATTTATTTTTCCTCACCTTTTTTGTTGCAAACCTTATTAAAGAAAAACAAATCACAATGAAAAGTGTGGACGATTGTCTGCCTATTTTTGTTTTTTGAAGAGCCTTAAAAATAATTTGTTTCTGTAGCATGGAGGCATAAATAAATCCATAATTTACTTAAAAAAGCACCACACAGTAAAAAATACTGCAGAGGAAAGACATCTTTGTATGTCTTTGTATGCAGATACGAGGCTGTAATCAGAAAACAAGGACTCACAGTATCAAAAGTTAAAGTACCTCATTCAGAGACATCATAAGTTTAAGCATGTGCTGAAATTTGTATATCATATAAAAACTTTTTCTATTACCAAATAATAAACTGCTGGTTTCCTACTTTCAGCCTGTATATCAAAAAACAGACAGAGCTTAATATGAAAACACAGATTTTTCTGTTTCTGTTGATTTCCAGTCCAAATGACTGAATAATTAAAGTCACTACTGAATCAATGACATCAACCAATCTTTTGAACTAATTTCAAATTCATTATAACCTATTTAAACAAAGTTTGTCTGTAAAATCATTATCTTTAAAGTATCTGAAGTGTGGTATATTTCACCAAAATAAGACGTAGAGGCAGGCTAGTGTAGCTGGAAATGAAAATGCACAACCAAACCTTATCAATAAACGTTGTCACATTGCAGCACTAAATACAAGTCAAGTATATTTTCACAACCTTACCATTTCCTCTGAATCACAGGCTGAATTATTGAGGTCCACCGTCTCAAGCTGAGCTGAGGGGCTGCACAAAAACATCAGAGAAAGCAGTCAGAGTGATATGTTGTCATGTTTTACAACTCGTACATAAATGTAACATAATAGAACAAATGAAATAACTCAGAAAACTAAGTCAATCATATGTATCTGTTGTAGTGTGTGCATTACTTGAGTTTAAGTGAAGCATAGCGGAGGGTCGCCCCTTCAAATGCCTTCAGACTGGGGTCTGGGTAGACTGGATAGTCCCTCAGCTCCTGAATTAAAACAGACAGACATCCAGAAGAGTATTCCTACATTAGAAATAGTCAATAATTAAAGTGTTGACATTGATTTTTATTATTTTTGAACAGATATGAGCGATATTAGTCTATGTTAAATAAGTACCTCAGTGCGGCCAGAAAGGAGACCGATGATGCTATGAGGTTATGATAGTTATCAGACGACAGTGGAGCAAATATTTGCCCTTGATTTGGCAATGTCAATAAGACTTAAGTAGAGCAGGTGGAAATTTAAGGAACACTTGAGGAATTCCCACTAACACCAAAATAAATGATAAAGTCCGATAATACCAAATGACATTTCTCAACCTGTATTTTATCAGGCACGTAACGCAAATAAATGTGATTCTGTGACTCACGTTGGCTGTGCAGGTGGTAATGTTGAGATTTGGTCCAGAAGAGGTGACATCATTGGAGGGAGTGGAGGAGGAAGAGGGGGAGGGGGAGGAGCCTGAGGGCGAGGGGACTGGCTCAACCGAACTGTCAGATATCAGACTGCTGGGGCGCTGTGGGAAGGAGAGCACAGAGCCAGCATGAGGATGGTACATTATTCATCACAAACAGCTTTCCAGCATAATGGATTAAGATGACACAGATAATAATGTATAATTAGTTTGTCATGTGTCACCTCTTCAATTATTTTAAAGGTAATGAAAGCAAATTTTGGAGATTGTAGTTGGCATGAAGCAGCATTGCTGACAATGTGAGAATTAGCTGTTTTAAGATTGCCTATGTTCTCATATTTCCCCCTAATAACTGTGATTAAACATGCCCTCCTTACAGATTTTGCCAATGTGAAGGTATCCTCATCACTTACGCTCAACACTGAACTGTCATCCTTAAAGAATTAATGTTTGATCCAAAACAGACGTCATGATTTTATAGCACCCCAGTTTGACTGATGACCATTAAACCTTTGAACAATTTCTACCGGTGCAACAAGCGGTGTCTCAGATTTTCAAGTCAGATGATTGTAATTCCATCGGTACACACCTATGGAATTCTCTACCGTTAGAAATGAATCTCAAACAGAACTAAAGAGGTTTAGTGTTAAAGCTAAACATTGGCTTAAGCAGCAGCAGAAATGTGAACATTAACTTCTCTCAAGTCACTGTCAATATAGCACTTTATTAATGTTAAGTGTTAAATTTAACTCGTGTAATTGTTTAACCTAAATTTTGTTTATTTATTTGTGTCACCTCGTCATTCTCTGTATTGTCCACTGTAGTTGTATTATTGCATTTACAGTATTCAGTATATTTTATCCTACACTAAAGCCTGACCAGGAACAAAGACTGCAAATAAGCTGAAGCTAGACGTCTTGTATGCATCACATTTTCCATTTCTTGTGGCAGTACTGTATGTATTGTCCCTATTAAATAAACATTGAAATAGAGATAGAAAATAGAGCACAATTGGTCCATAATCAGTTTGGACCATCCATGTGTGTGATTAGCTGATCTATGGAAACTACACCATCAATGTGACGAACTCTACTGCCTCTCAGAGCACTCGTCTCTGCTTCAAACTAAAATGAACATTAGGATGTCTGCTCGTGTGTGTGTGTGTGTGTGTTAGCCCCACCAATGCAGAGTGGGGACACTTTTCAACTCACTGAGACACAACGACATGAGTACAGTAACACTTCATCTGAACTGCTGTGCACACAGCTGGAGCAACCAAATGTGGATGATTTTAAGTTTAGCTAATTCCTAATCTGAGTCAAATGAATCACCTTTGGCTGTTAAAGGGTAAGATTCTTGATGTATATAGAGTATATAGCTTTGCTGACAGGTGGTAAGTCAGATAGAGATGTTTGTGTGTTTTGTGTGTCCTCTCACCTCACTGGGAGGCTTCAAGGAGTCCTGCGCTTCCTGTTGTGGGTCTTGCTCGGTGTCTGGCTCAGCGTTGGGAGAGGTGCTTTGGTTGCCAGCAGCAACAGGTCGGTGGTACTGTGTGGTGCCGGTGGGGACATGCCAGAAGTAGACCTCTGATGAGTCTGAGATCTCCCTCCAACCAGGGGGCAGATCCCCCTCACTCCAAATATCTGCTGAACAGTGAGAGTGAGACACAAACACACACATGCTGATACACACAGGAAGTAACATCAACAGTAATGTCACAGGCGCAGAGAAAAGACTTCACACACAAAGAGGCATGGACAGGGTACATTTTAGAGATGGTCAGCCTGTCCTATCTTGGTGTCCGTTGTCATAGCAACTCCAGGGCTTATCCCCTGTAGTAAGACAGCAGCTTCTCTACCTTCCTCTCTCTCCTGGTTCCTATTTCCCTTGTCTGCCTCCTCACATTTCTCTCCATATCCTCACTCTCTAGCTAATGCTTTGTCATACATTCTAGGGAATCACTGATCACTGAGTACAGCTCGGGTTTCTCTCTCCTTTTTCTTTTTCACACCCCTTTCTGCAGTACCTTCTCCTTTCGTTCATCCTCTTCACTCTCTGCACCATAAGGTGCCTCACAGGGGCCTTAAACTTTACAGCAGTATTGCTGTGGCAACTTGCTTGCTTAAGGAAAGGTTTATTGGTATTCTTCCAAATAAGCCAGTCTGAAGAAGTTAGAAGAGAGAGGCAGAAGGAGAAGAGATGAAAGCAGAGCAGATACAGTGTTTTTGAGAGAAATGATTGTCTGACCTGTCTCCTGTGGGGTCTGAGGAGAGGGCGTCTCCTGGGACAGGGTGGTCCAGCTGGAGTCTTCGTCCTCTGAAGGAGTGTCAGGGGTCAGGTCCATTCTCAGGCCCACCTTAGGGAGCCCCACGTCTGGTTCAGGATCAGGCACAGCAGGGGCTGCCTTGTTCCTTGTTGGGGTCCTCTCTGCAGCTCGAGCCTGTTTCGGGGAGGAAGGTGGGTACTGCTGCAAGAACTGATTCTCATTGTTTGGATGTAGTTCCACCTTGATCACCCTGGGCTGGGAGCTACGTGGAGGCTTTGCAGGACTGCGTGGACTTGCCACGGCTGGGACACAGAGCTCCTCCTTTATCTGGGCTGGAACCTGGTTCTGGTTGTCTGGGACCCACTCTGGGCTATTTGAAGTAGAAGAGGAGGAGGAAGTGGAGGAGAGAGGGGCCTCCATCACCACAGGTAGTAGGGGCTGCCTTGGTGTTGGTGTGGGGTCGTCCTCTTCTTCCTCCTCCTCTACCACTGGCTCCACCTCTTCCTTCTCCTCTCTTCCCTCCTCAGAGCTCTGCTTACTGATGGATTTCTCCTCCTTCTGGCTCTCCTTGTCTTTGTCAGGACTGGCCTGCTCCTTCTCTGGGAGTGGTTGCTGCTTCATCTCCTCCTTTTCCTCTTTCTTCCCCCAGGTGAGGTCCAGATCCCAGCCTTTCTCGTGGTACCCCAAAAAGCTTTTGGTCCTTCTACGAAAGGGGGGCAGCTGCGAGTTGTCCAGCCAATCAGAGCTTGGGTTATTGATGACATCATTGTGGATCTTGCCCTCTGTGTTGGCCCTGCTCAGCTCGAGCTGCTGGCTCTCTGCTCGTCTCTGCATGTTGGCTCCATTCTTGGCCAGTTTGGGGTTAGTTGTGTTGAAGAGGGAGGATGAGGAAGTTGAGGAGTAGAGGGCGGAGCTGGAAGAGGACTTGGTGGGGAGACCCCGCCCTCTGGTAGGCTGGTTTTTCGAGAGGTTGTCACTGATCCCCATGGCGCTTCGCACGCTGGTCATCGCATATCTCTGACGGCTCTTTGGCAAGGTGGCCGAACTTCCTGTCTCCATGGACTCCTTGATGACATCGCGTCCCAGCAGCTGGTTGTACGATGAGCGAAGGCTGAGGGATGTGGGAGGGGTGGCAGAAGGGCCGCTGCGATTGGCCAAACCCACATTTGAGGGGGAGGAGCCAGAGCGAGAAAGAGGTGGGGTTTGCACTGACATCATGACTGACGGGGAATACTCTGCAGTGATGGAGCTGAAGGGAGAAGACAGAAACACTTAAAGTAATGTACGTTTGGCAAATAATTAACAATGAAAAAGCAATAGACTGGCGCAAGTAACCAACTGGGGTCCTCGAGTCGACGTCTTTGGTATGGGGTTCTGATTCCTGCTTGGAGTGCATTCGAGTTACCTCGGAAGTCAGATGTCCGAACTGGGAATGACATCACACCTGAGTTACCGATGTTTCAGTTACCAAGTCGGAAGAAAGCAGAATCAGAGGTGGAAACAAGATGGCTACATCTACGAAAGTTACTTAAGCGCTTGCCTTGTCCTAAAATAAGCAAGGACAAGCAGGCGCTAAAATAACTTTTGTAGATGTAGCCGCCTTGTCTCCACCTCCGATTCTGCTTTTTTCTGACTTGGTAACTGAAACGTTGGTAACTCGGGTGTGACGTCAGTCCCAGCTCGGACATCTGACTTCCGAGGCAACTCGAACGCAACATTACTTCTTTCTCTTAACAGTAACACTGTTAGAAGCATGTTATTGATGCTTCACAATTTTGGATGCAGCATGCTTATATAAATAGTAACTTTACCCTGTCATATGTCATGTGCATATGCTGTTTACATGCTAATATTTCTTTTTGATGATGGAAAAAAACTACTGAAGTAAGCAGAAGGTAGCAGGAATACTCTAAAGGAGCTCAATGCCAAAGGACTTCAGCATCTGTACAACACTTTTGTATAACTGCCCCCAGATGTTAAAGAAGACTATCTGTCATGAGCTAATTTCATTGAACATATAGTCCTGCTACTCCATCTGGACCTCTGTAGTTTAATTGATTTTAGTAATACATTACATTTCTGGAGATCAAATCTGAATACAGTCTTTTTTTTTTTTTACAATAAATTCATTGAGTGATATTATGCCTGATGATGATGATGATGATCACAACAAAAATGTTGTTGGGTTTTTACCTAAGTTTGTGGGTGAAGTTTCGCTTGAGTTCACCCGAGACAGCCAGGGTACAACATGTTCCTGATATTTTTAGTGGTTACAAATATTCTTTTATTGAATGCCTTCTTGTCTTTGAGGCTGTTTAATGGTCGATAACTGAGTTAGAAAGATATTTAAAAACCTTTCCTCTTTTCTGATTTTATTCCTCATTTCAGAAACATTATTTTCATAAAGCATAATATGAAATAATGTGGTATACAGCAGTGCTTTATTTCACTTCTTTAAAAATATGATGTTTTCTTTTCTTCTTTGTGTGTATCTGACATCATCGTTGGTGGATCACATCATCAGGCTGAGACACTCTGTTCTGCTCTGCTCATCTGCATTTCTCTGATTTTATAACTGAACACAAACCCGGTCAAACCTCTTGCTTTCAGGTCTCAGTTAACACCCCCTGGTGCTGATCATTCCCTAGCCTCACACCGCTTTTACACATAAGGCGTCATCAAAGTCGTTCAGATAAATTACATTTGCATTATATTGGGAGTGAGTCACAACCTCAATGTATTCATCCAGGACTGACATGCAAAGCTGAGGCTGAGCAGTAAGCCAACAGATAGATAGAGCTAACTAGCTTGCTGTGTTTCTTTCATCTCTGGGTGGATCTGCCCTGTGATGCTGGAAACAGACTGATGGATGGAAACAAAGACAGAGGCAGAGAGTCGCTATATGATTTAAAAACAGCGCACATGTCACCTCTGTTTCTGGAAGAAAAGAAGCTGGCAAAGAAAGATCCGGGTATGACAGCATTAATGTAAAAATATCCAGTTGAAAAACAACAAACAAACGCACACACACATACATACACACACTTCAAACAATGCTGCAGTCATCACCACCTTTTTCAGAAACATGGAAAATACAAACGCAGCAGATCTTAAAGCCTGACAAGACCCTGGGAAAAGACAGAAGCAATACTTTGGAGACATAAAAATCCCCGGGCAGTGCACTTTGTTCATGCGGGTCCCCTATCCACCCCTCCTCCCCTCTCTCTCCCTGGGTGGCTGTCTTGTTGTCTTTCTGTCATGGAGCCAGATGGCCACAACAACCTGTTTGTGCTGAATCTGCACTCACACTCCAGGCCTGTGATACAGACACAAAAGCACAGTCAACAGGTACAAACTACCTGCAGAGAACAATGTGGCCTCATCAGCTTTTCTCAATCAGCGACACTTATCATTTGGGTCTTAAAAACCTTGTAAATCCAGTTTTTTAAGCTGATGAACAAATTATTTGATTAGCATATAAGGCGACATTTAATTTTCTGAAACCTTTCAAAATAAGATGATGTTCAGGCTTTTCAGTAGATGGAAAAAAGTGTCATGAAGCAGAAAAACAGCAAATAAGAGGCATGACTCAGAGGATGAATTACACATCCTGATAAAAAACTGAAACTCAAAATGAGTAATATGAAAGCATCATTTTATCTACAAATTACTCCCATCAGCTGCAGAGAATATGGATCATATGCACAGAGATGGTCTTTACTTTCACCCCCCTTTCACAACACTGCAGACCTCCATTAGTTAAACATCACAGGCCTGAGAGAGAGGATGTGAAGGGGGCTGGGGAGGAGAAGGCCTGGTTATTAGAGGGAGAAAGTGGAGGGAATGACACAGCATTTTGCAGGACAGTGGGGCACAGTGAATACACAGAGGTGGTTATACTGTTGGTCCTCAATAAATCTGTTGTGCTCTTTAACAGCAGAGGTCATTCATGAGATGCACAGGACACTGCGGCCTCTCACAAGATGGCGAGGAAGTTAAATTCCTATTTCAAAGTTTTGTTTCAGACAACTCATCATTTTTGCACTATTTCGTCCTCTTTCCTGTTATTAATTTGGGAAGATGGTGTTATTAATGTCCTCTCCTGGAGATTTACATACATGCAAACCCAAAACAACAGCAAGAAAACAGTGTTCACACCAAGGTGTCAAACCCGGGTACTTCTCTGTAAAAGGATACTGTCTGCAAACCAGAAGGTCACCATTTCTAGAGAGATCAAATCTTCTAAATCAGTATTAAACTATAAAAATATTCATGGTCTGTTAAATTGGGGCTGATGTTACCATCCTTTATCAACTTGATCTCAGTAAAATCAAGCCCCCCTTCCCCAAAAACTGAGCTGCACCCACTCTTGGGAAAGGAAATGCAACAGATGAATGCAGGAGAGAAAATGAACTTGAAAAAGTGGATGATGTCATGGGTGGAGTACCCTCGCCCCTCGTTTGCTGCTGTCACCTCAATAAACTCCCTCATTGGGAAAAACAGCAGGAGACCATCTTTTAATCTAGCATATCACCGAGGACGCAGAGGTGGAGTTGCCAATATTGCGAGAGCAAAGCTGTCGATATGAGAAACGCAGTAAATCTTCAGCATCCAGCTCCATCACCAGAGCCGCACTGGGAGGGGAGCGCATCCCATCGAAGAGCATCTATTTACATCCACTCACCGCTTCGGTCAGCCTCCGGGCTTCTGCGCCTCCGCTCCCACGACGACGACACACTTGAACACAGTCAGAGTAAAGAGCAGGGCCAACGTCGACAGCCGCTATATAAGTGCCAGTCCGCCCGTAGCTGCAGCCGGCCACCCGTATTGGATCACATCACATCATCAAACCCTCCCAGCCTGGCTCACTGCTCGCTGGCGGCCAAGCTGCGCTTTCTCTCTGCGCCAGAGGATCCCGGAGCGGCGTGGCGCTGTGGAGCTTTCGGCAAGTCGACCAATCAGAGCTGGGGACGCAAGACGCTGAGCGCGAGGAGGAAACGCAACCATAATAAATCCACCAGTGTTATTTTTCAACTCAAGTAATGAAATCACACATTATTGAGTCTCACGTCATCCAGCAGTCTAAAGAAACATGAATGGTGTGCAGTGATAGGACACCTTTATCACGGCCATCTCTCAAACACACAAGACTGTCTGAACACTGAATCCAAGAAGTCCCAAAACTACTGATGCCAGAGATCCTTCAGACCCAGTACTTTGTTTGTTATGAAGCCATAGAGTCCTCACCCATTATTATGAAGGCTTAAAGAAGGTACGCATTCTTCTAGCACCCAAACAATATTGGTTTAAGGCATATATTAAATGTATATGGTGTTCACAGTTCCCTCTAAATATGGGGTGTGTGTATTTTTTCTGTCCTTTGGGGAATTCTGATTTCAGATCTGTTTTCTTTTTGTGATCGCTGCAGCTTCTCTCACTTAGACTGTTTGCAGGTGAGAGGGGACACACCTGAAGTCTGCAGGTAGCAGGGCATATGGGCTGAGTGTGATCAGCAGTCTGGGAGATGTGTGGCACATGAGATGTGAGGAGAGCCAGTTTTGTTGGACTTATGTTGGACTAATATTTCATTTTTCTTCCTCTGGGGGGGATATTTTTGCAAAGCATTTAATTAATTGACATTTTATTGTCTTATTTTGGTGTGGCCGATTAAATTTTCTCCTTATTTTTGAGAATTCACATCTTGTTTGAGATTTTTTCCTTCCACTCACACTACCTACTATCTGAGAGTTTAACATTGTTAAATTGCAGTTGTTTAAATTCAATGTGTTAGTACATTTAACTATGTTGCAGATTATGTATGAAGCTCATAGGAAAATTTTACCAGTCAACATCCAGAGCCGATTTGAAAAAATAAGAGAAATTTGTTGTAATTTAAAAGGTGTTAAAATATATTTAAAAAGCCAAGATTCAGAGCAAAACTGAAGGAGCGCTGTGTTACAGTGAGAGGAATAAGTTTTTGGGACAATCTGAACAAAAAAACTAAAGAAGCTCAATCAAGATTTATCTTCAAAAGAAAGTGTCAAAGCCAGAATGTTGAGTAAATACAGGGAACGACGTTAATCTAAGTTGTGAAAAAAATGTGAATAAACGTGGTCTTTTCTGTTTGTTTTTGAAAATAAGAAATAATGAACTGTAAAAAGGCATGTTGGCCTGCAGCTTTTGTTTATTTTCATTATGTGTTTTGTTGAATATGTTATGAAAGAGGGGCAGACTGTAAAAATAGAGTTTTCTTCTTTCTGCTCCTTTTCATTCACGTTTGAGATTTTTCCTTGTTTGTATTTAATGTTTTAAATATTAACTGAATGAAATAAAGTATTAAATGAATGCCTCCGTCTTTGAAGTGGCTGCCATTCAATATCAAATGATACTCAAGTTCTGCCTAATGAAGGTTAATACCAGTTAAAACAAATCACCCCTTGAGATTGGATTTGCTTTTAGGTGCAATTTTGACTACAATCCCAAAATAACAAAACGGCCATAAAAAAAGATATTAAACATTATTCTTTTAATTTTTTTTTACAAGCAGTTGTTTCAAAGAGTTGAATGAACTGTAAATACTGCAGTATAGTGACATCACTTTGGTAGCTACATTTAACAGGCTGAACAACCCAAAAGATTGATCTGATTCTCTATGCCTCCTCTGTAGTTGTTATTTTATAACAGACAGATCAGAGCTTTAATGATCCAATCAAGCACTGTTTGATTAAAGGTTAATTTTCACATCTTATCCAAAGCCCTTTTTAAAGTTGCAGGTGTGTAAATGATACTTTCCTCTAGTTTAGTTATCTCTCATTAGAGAGTGAGAGAGGAGACAGCACCCTTCTGATTTCTGCCACATCCAAAGGCACCTACATTACACAAGAGAGAGGAGAAGGGAAGTGCACCATTGTGTAGAAAACAAACAGGAATACGTCAGTCATATATCCAACCTTGTATCCGACAGCTTTATCAGACTTATAGTATAAAAAATCTTAAACACATCCACACCAACACTTGCAGACACACTCAAAAGTATAAAACCTGTCCACTCTAATACAGACTCCACATTCTGTACACATCTTTACCTGCTTTCCAGCTTAACATTCACAAAACGCATCCTTTAGTTTGACCAGTGCTTGTTTCTAAGAGAACTATCCTATCCCAACAGTCCACTGACAGGCGCCTCCCTCAATGCTGTTAGGTTGCAGGTGAAGAGGAATAGCGGAAAGCGCTGGGGGGGCACACAGGCTGCCAGTGCTCCAGGAGTGAGGCAGGACAGGAAGGATGACTGGTTGATGGACAGAGAGGGGGTTTTGAGTGGCCTGCTGGAGTTGACATTCAGCTGCAGAGAAACATGGGGCCGAACGGATGGAGCGCAACACTGCATCTTCTGCTACGGAGGAGAGGGGGAAGAGAAATAAATTACCCACGCTTTAAGATGATCACTTCTGTCTTGGCTCATTAAAAGCTCATCACATGCACCAAAAAGCAATGACTCGTAAAGAAGTGATTTTTTTTTTTAAAGATAAGAGCATGTGTGCCTACCCTTACTCTCTGCTTTATTAGCCGGCCGACCTCAGTAAGCTCTTGGCATGTTTGTTTCCTGCTCGAGCAGCACGTTTGTAGTATTCAATCGCTGTGCTCAGATTCTGCTGCACCCCAAAGCCGCTCTCAAAACACTGACCGAGGAACAGTAAGGCACTGTTGTCCTACACACAGAGATAACAGAAACATGACAGTAACTGAATATGACTCAGCTCTGGGACATTTAGCAAGGCTTGTTTTGAAAATGAAGACAGTGTTATTGTAGTAGAGCATCATCGGAAAGCTGCATAATCTCTAAATGGGGACTGGGACACTCTGCCTCTGAGTAAAGAGCGACTGAGACGTTACACTGGGAGGGGTGGTGAACAGAAAGCGTAGAAGCTGTAAATAAAACCCTCGAAGCATCTAGAAGGGCACTCACTCCTCTCTCTGCTGCCATCTTCAGGTACTGCACAGACTTGCTCCCATCTCTCACAGGCTCCTGAGAATACACAGAGGCCAGGCAGACCTGAGCCTGAGGAGAAAGAAAAAACAGATGAAAGGTTTACTACTTCTGTGAGAAAACACAGACATCAGCTGATGAAAAAGGGTGCTCATATCCATCCACTACCCACTGTGAGGAGCACTGCAAACAGGACCAAGAACATGAAAGTGTGGTGAAGCTCTAAAACTTGTTTTTCGCTTTAAAGTTGATCCTTCTGTTGATGAAAACTTGCCAAAGCAGAAAAAAATTGAATCCAAGAAAACATTTTTATTGAATTGAAAATAGCGGCACAAAGTTATCAGTTATGTGACTTTATAAATTCACACATTTTCAGGAATATATTTCATTTCTGGTTTATTTCTCTGACTTTGTGTGAGTGAAAATGCTCACCTCTTAAGATCTCATCTAAGGCTTCAGAAAATCATTTAAATTTGTTATATTTAAAACTTTTAGACTTGTCACAAGCCAACCAATAACTGAAAAAAATATAGATTGATAAAAATAGATAGTTAACTGAAATGAGCAATACTGCATCATGAGACCAATCACCAATATTTGGACCTGATATGCATTGACAGTAACAATGAAAACCTTTTGGTTAAAGTTTACAATATTTTACAAACTCAAACAAAAATCTTTGTTCAAATGCCTTTAGCAAATGTTTAATCGAGACTGAAATGACTTGAATCGTGCACAGATGTTAACAGTTACCCTCACAGTACAGATAGGTTACAGAGTAATATGGCGTCTCGCCAATCAGCTAGCATTGTGGGCAGGACAGTAGGTCAGACGAAGTGGTGCGAGAAAACGTTCCCCCATGTTTGATGCAAAAGTATTACAAAACAGAGGAAGGAGATTTTTACCTCAGTGATTCCAGCTGCAGCAGCCTGTTCCAGCAGGTTGATGGCTCTGTTCAGCTCCTCCAAACTCTGGTGCCCCCTGATAGTCAGTAACAGCTTTGCATAACGATACTGTGCCTGTCTGTGACCCCCGGCTGCCGCCTGCTGGTAGTAATACAAAGCCTGAAAAAGAAAGCACATGAGACTTAGTTGAAGACAAGTTTTTTTGATGAGGAGGGAGAAGTGTAACAGGTGCTCTGTAGATTCCTACCTTCTCTTTGTCTTTGGAAACTCCTCGACCTTTCTCATAGCACACGCCTGTGTTAAACTGGGCCTTGCTGTAACCTTGCTGAGCCGCCGCGACAAAACATATAAAAGCTTCTTCATAGTTTTCACTCTTGGCATTCTCTAGACCTGTCACAGACACAGAGGAAGAGTATGCATCATTTTCATTCAAACAAATTTAAGAGAGATCCTATGATATTTGGTTTGTATTCATAATTATCAAGTAAGCAGTTTATCAGGGTTTTTTTAATAACAATGAATATGAAAACAAGATTTGGTGAATGAGTGTATCATTTAGATATTACCGATTATGTTGAGGACAATAGGAATGCTGGCGTCTCCCACATGTCTCAGGTTTACTGCTGCTCCTGCCAGCCTCTCCTCATCAGGCAACACTTCCTGAAAACACACAAGAGGATTAAAAAAAACAACCACTATTAAGAACAGATGACAAGTAAGTCAGTCAGTTTGAGAGAAAAGTCCACAAAATAAAGGAACAACATGTTCACCTTGTCATTTGTATTTTGTGTCTCTGTGTTGTCTCTGTTCGAATCATTCTGCAGAGGACATGATGCTTGCAGAAGTAAGTCCTCTGTCAGTAAAGCAAGAAAAGAGGTCAATGTTTCAACATAATGCAACTACAATAAAGCCAAAATGAGAAGAAACAGTCATATTTTCAAACAGTTAATCTTCTATAGAACTTTATTGTTGCAAACAAACCAGGTACAGAAGAATCCAGGTTCAGGAGTGCCTGGTGTTGGTCTGAGATGGAGCAGTCAGCAGCAAGTTCATTGTTGCTGTGCAGACCGGAGTCACCTGAATCGCTGCTGCTGTTTTCAACTGCAGACTGACTGTGGTTCTGTTTCTCTGGGAGACATGCAACTCTCCTTCCTACAGGCAGGACATCACGTCTAGACACTGGAGGAACCAAACAGTCACAAAACATAACAAAGTCAGGATTCAGAGTGAAAAAGTACATGACAGACATCATGACTCTATGGAAACTTTTTTTTAAAGATTCAACCTGTTGATATGGTAAAAGATGAGCCAACAGTGAAACACCGAGGCAAAAAAAAGGACTCACAAGTCTCTAGCAAGATGCGGTAGCCACACTTATGCAGGTTGGAGGGTGCTGTCAGGGGTCCTGGGGTGGGGCTCAGCTCGGTGCTTGAAGAGAACTGGGAGTGGATCCTCCTGCAGATCTGCATGAACAAAGCTGCTGCAGCTCCCTGTAGAAACCACACAAGATATCAGTGTCACTTCCATGTTATAAAGTATCAACAACACATTTAAATAAAGCTGCAATAACCTGCTTCAAACAACTGTGAGCAAGATACACCAAGATGAAAACATGTGTTGTTCATTTCATAGCCTGAATGCCTATATCTTTAAACTATTTCATGTTAGAAGATGAAGAAAATGTTGATTGTTTCAAGGTGGTACCCTTTAGTGTCATAACTTTCCACTGCTTAAAGACACTGGGTCCCATTCATGGAGCCGTAGTAGATCTGTGTGTGGGTTTGCACATTAAGATCCTCGTTACTAAAGTGAGTGAGTTTGAAAGGTGTTAATAAAGTGAAAAAAAAAACAACACATTCTGACATCTTTTCTAATGCTCTTGGTTGAGGTTTCCGGTAAACGCGTTAATGTTACAGCAACAGGAACATACCCATCCCACAGCATCCAGAGCGGTGTACCGTGGGAGTTCAGTGTAGTTGAATCGAAAGGTTCTCTGTTTCTTCCGTCTCTCTCCATCCTCCTGTTTCTGAGAGCTGATGACAGAAGAATAACCATAAACAAATTGATCAAATTTACGCCTGTTTCTCATGGCAGCCTGCTGAAGTAAACAGAGGGGTAATGGATAAAAAAAGAAGACCTGAGGTAGGACATTTAGTCAAACGTCTTTGTAATCAGTCTTTGGCCTGAAATTTGTGGGACACACAGTGCTAACCTTTGTTTTCGTTCTGTAAGCGTTGGCCATCAGACTTAGACAGACTTTGAAGAGACAAAGATGGAGCTGTAATGGGTACCTGCAGTCAGAGGATTGCCGAGAGGTGGAGAGGACAGATGAGCTGTTGAGAACCTCGTCTTCCACATGATGGTTCTGAGAGAGTCGCAGGGGGACGCTGCCATGGAAACGATGCAGAGCTGAGGAGTAGAGAGAGAAGACAAAAACAGCAGAAATTTGTCACTGCGGTCCAGTGTAAGGACTCCAAGTAAAATCTTCATGAAAATCAGAAAAAAAAACAGTTTGTAATTGAAAATACGTCATTAACAACTGGAAAATTTGATCATGTATGACTAACATGTGCTACTTTGAAATTTGCTGCTTGCAAAACTTTTAAATAAGACAGAATAGGGTTGTGTTTAAGGGTGTGTTGCATCAATTCTTCTTTGAAAACTCTGTAAAATTTGGGTTAAAAGTCTCTGGAGTTTTAGGATTGAAATGTTGTTTCATAACAAACTGGGATTGACACATAATGAAAGAAACTTACAGTAGTACTAAAAGATGATAAAACATGCAAAACCCAAGGTAATGGTAAAAGAATTAGAGAGATGGTGATAAAAGCTGAGGGGAAAGTCAAACAGACATTTTATTCTTTCCTAAATGAACCCCAATGTGGCACACTGCTTATATTTCATGGGATGTGCATGCAAGCCGAGTTGTGTGTGTTTGTGTACACCTGCTATCAATCACCTCTTTGTGCATATCTGGACTTCACTGTACAAACCGGGACTCACAATTAACAGCGTCTGTCTGCTACAAAACACGAAGAAACTCCAAAGCAATGAGGAGAAATAACATTAAACTAACCTCTCCCGACGAAACCGTGAACTCTCCACATGGTGATGTTTCCAGATTTAGTCAACAAGTTCTCTCCTACATGTCATAGTCCGATTAATTGCGGGGTTTTGCGGCCCTGTGAATAATCACAGCAGGCTGGACTCCTCCTAATGTTTAGCTCATAGTAATGTAACCTGTCACGAGTTATGTCGGCAGAGCTCAACACCAGACCGGAAGTATCCACGGTGACGCAACTTAGGAGGCTTCAGGAGGTGGTTTACTGCGTCACAGCGCCTCCGTGGGGTAAGAAAAGGAAAGAGAACCCATACTTTAAAGGGATATTCCGGCTTAAAATTAACCGTAACACCGAGTTAGACACCCCCTAGAGTGATGAATGTTGCCGACGGCTTGCTTCTCTTGTTATACCAACTTCAGTAACGACCGTAGATAGCAAAACAGAGAGCCACGCGCTTATCACAAACTCTATAGCCACAAATAATGCTCAGAACAGCGCCTAACTTCATCAACAGTACATACAGGGTCACAGCCACAGCACTAGCCACCAAACATCTTTTTAGCTTTGCCTGATTTCTTTAGCAAAGAGACTAAACACAACTCACCTACTCTCTTCCAGCAGCCGCTTGTTTGTATGGAGACCTAAGACCAGTCGATTACGGACTGCAGCGGGGTGACGCAGATCAAGGAAGAACATTTATGATCATTTCTTGATGGAAATGCAGTCAGACCGAGACACTAAGGCAGAAGAACTACTGAGTCTGCAGTGTAAAATGATTACTAAAGCAAGAGGTAAAAGTAAAGCAAGAGGGTTCTTCTTTTCCTCTTACCTTTATCTTCCTCTCCAGCAGATGGCCTTTTCCTTCTCCTCCAAACCACAAACGTCCTCCCAGCAGGCCGAAAAATCAGACACGCTTTTCCTGATATACTCCCAACCTGCTAACATGTTTCATATCCCTCATGAAGCTCACCCATAGGATATGTTGGACTCTCTCTCTCTCTCTCTCTCTCTCTCTCTCTCTCTCTCTCTCTCTCTTGTTTTATGACCCCTGCTTTGTCCTTTTGTAACTCAGATCTGACTCCCTCTTGCATTACGTGAATCTACCCTGTTTCCTATAACTGGTTCACCTGCCCAAACCTGCAGGTATGTTTGGACCAAAAGTCTTGTCTGTCTGTCTCCACCTGCTTTTGACTCCTTTGTCCTTCTTGTATTCATAACCCCATAACCCTGCCACCAGATAAATCAATCTAATTATTGAGGGAGGCCTTCTTTTCTGTCTTTCTTCTATTATGTGACATCTGGGCATATTGCTGTATGAAAACAGAACTACCTTTGGTATTTCCGACCTATATATTCATACATTTGTGACTCTCTCTATTGCACTATCATCCTGTGTCCTTTTTGAGTTTTTATCTCTTCACTGTATTCTTTTAAACTCCTCCTCTGTTTCCTATCAACATATCTAATCTAGCTAAGCCTTCAATCTCTCACCTACTTTCACATACTTACCTGTCTCAGCCCCTTCGTGAGCTTTGTTTCACACGTACTACATCATTTCTTTTGCTCTGTTTCCAGTTCATCGTCCTTGCAATGCTGGTGCAATCTTGCATTTCACTTGTCTTTTGGCCCCTTTGTTCTGTCATCCAGACCTCCTTGTCCGTTTTACATTCTCTGTTTGCCTTCCTACCTGCCTGTCAGCTAACCATCTGATGCACTTTGAATAATTTTAATTTGCAGGCCAGATTTTTTTTTCCATCTGTGTATCCCTTCTTCTTGCTTGCACTGCAGGGACAACAGAAACAACTGTACAGGCCTAGCTGTCAATAAAGATAATAAATTTACAAAGCATTTAATCCACAGATAGCCTCATCATTCTTGAGCATTTACATTTTATAAAAAAATATTTGAACTAATAAGCAAGGGCACCAAACAGAGCTACACCTGACAACAAACAAACAGAAAAAGCAGAGACATAAACTTCTTATCCACTTCTTACATTTCCACACTCGATCTGGAGCGGCTCTATCATTGTAACACATTCTCTGTCTCTCGTCATGTTAGAGAAGAAAAATCCAACTTAATAAAGTAATGACAGATCGGAACTTATGTCTCTGCTTTTTTTGGCTCAAAGAGTGCCATACCGATCTATCACTGCTTTAGCACCACTCTACCATGAAGTCCACACTGCTCCTCCCCACTTCGTTGGAAACGATGACAAAACTAGATTGCTGCATTTCGAGTTTTTATAGGGTGAGACTGAATCTGCCTTCTGTTTCCTTTCTTCATATCGATTTTTGTCTATGGCTGTGATCCACTGATCACTTGCAGTTTCAGAAGTACAAATACTGTCATCACATTGGCCTTTAAATGACAGGTTGATAATGATAATGACATATAAATCTAAAAAATGTCAGACATTACATTAATATCAAGGGGACAAGATGGCTGAACTTTATTTTCTATTTTATTATGATTGTTATTTCTATTTCTTTATCCTTAACATTGAGGTCTTTACAGCCTAAGGATAATGAATCTCTCTCATCAAGAAAGATTGCAGCACAGGGGCAAATCAAGGTTGTTCAAGTTCACCATCATCTTGACTGTGCACACAAGATACAATCAGCAAAACATCATCAAACTGTCTGATAGCACCATTGATTGAACTTTCTTTTTAAGTGCAGACTCTCTTTTTGTTTACCACAGTTAGACTACCACTTTTAAGGAAAAATAGTCATTTTACTTAAGGTAGGGCAACTCTGCCAAAACAAAATAGACCACAAACATCTAAGCATACATGTGGACCATAGTCAAGTTGTTCTTTATAACCACCTACATGTCTCAGTTGGGTTAGGTCTGTTGGGATGGAGCTTTGGTTCATTTTACTAAGTTGGCCTCTTTTAGATTTGGGCCCATTTTAGCAATAATGAGAAGAGAGTGAGACTCTTGTTACATGACATTTAAGTTTGTTTATCCAGAAACCAAATCTGTTTAAAACAAGGGGAGGTGTGTGTTTGTTTATACGGCTTGACTCCTGTTACAGTGTTTTCACTCCAGGAAAATAATACAGGAGAGTGTATTTCACTGAGTGATTAAGGTGTGCGCAACAATAACTCACGTAAATTAAGACATAACAAGTAGTGTATAAAACCCAATAAAAGTAGTGTCTGCGAAAATGCATGACTGTCAGATCCTTTCATTGCAACAATTTGCGAGGGAACAATGCATGTTCACTGTGAATCCTTCAAATTAATGTACTGTGGTCTGACTGTTCAGTGAAAGCATCGCTCACTGAACGTATCACTTAAACATTATACTGCAGGAGACACTGAAACAGTGAAACATAAATAAACACACACCTCCCCTTGTTTTAACAGATTTAGTTATTGGATAAACAAATTTAAAATGTCATGTAACAAGGTCAGAGGGGAGGAGAAAACGCTGGAGACAAGATTTTAAAGCATGTCCAGAACAGGAGAACCAAGAAGTCAAATTTTAACATCTTGTCTTTTATTGTTGATCAAGAAAGCTGGAAAAAGACATATTGTACAACTAAGGTAAGCTGGATGAAGCTGTTTCATTGAAAGTCTCTTCAGGCCTGAAGCACTCCTGTTGAAAGTCATATGTTGTTCTGGGGTGCTGTTGGTCACAAATGACTATTTTCTGCCCGCTTTTTTTTTAATGTGCATGATTTGAGCATTTGCACAGAATGTCTGTTCATGGAAATTGTTCAGGCCAAGAGCAGATTGTCTGCTCTCGTTGGCCACTATGGAAAAATTAAAATCCTTTAATCCCAGAAGACCACCAGCATTGAGAGTATCTTACTGTAAAAACGGATTTTCATCCCAACTATTGATAAAAAGATAAACAAAGATAATCATTTCATTTGGAATAACTATCCAGTATAAAAGTACAGACATGATAAAACAGGTTGTCTCATTATGCATGATCATCCTTGAAGCATTTTACTTTCAGTCTGCTGATTCCTCTCCATTACCGCCAACTCACCCTCAGTCTGACTCTCGTGTTTTTCATTTGCATGAGTTTTTGTGCAGCTATTCCTCATTAATCCTGCTCTCCGTCCTGGTTTGTGTTTTTTCACCTTGAATACGTCCCACCTCTCAGGAATCACCCCTCTCTTGAAGAGCACTTGAGCCAAATAGGAGAACACTAAAGTAGAGAAGAGGGTGCATAACATGCAAATAGTCCTAACAGGAGCGCGCTGGACATATCTGTTGTCCTCAGTAATGCATCCAGGAAAGCAAAGGACAACAGGCAACCCTATAGAGGGCTCGCCACTCAGTAGTCTCAGCAACACTCCAAGTAGAAAGCCCGTGATGGAGCCGTAGCCATTACAGAAGTTAAAAAAGAGGACGCAGACCAGTTGAGGGAACATGATGGTGTAGGTTATGTCTGAGCCCAGGATCCACAACACCATGATGCTGGTCTGTAGCAAGGTGAGGGATGTGCCGGCCAAGCCCACCAACACCATAGAGATGCGGATCACCCACTGCAGCTCCCTGTCCGATGCCTGCAAGAAGAAGAAAAGACTGAAACTGAGGTTTATAACGAGGAATTAAATATCAAGTTTTCTTTCCTCAAGTCTCCTCATACCTTGGTCCTCAGGATGGTCTTATAGATGTTGGTTGTGAAGATGGAGGAAGCTGACAACAGAGCTGAATCTGTTGATGACATCACAGCAGCAGCTATGGCTCCAATACCAATGATGGAGATGTAGGGCGGGCTGAGGTGCTGCAGAGCAATAGGCAGAATCTGACCAGCCTCTCCACGCTCATATGGAGACGGGGATCCATACTCCGTCCTGTTCCAGTCTGACAAAAAAAGGTGACATTGATCAACACTGTCTTTTAAGACTTATTGATTCAGATCTATCTCAGTACCTGTTGATGCTGCGACTGCTCCGATCAAGATAGATGGGATGCCGAGTATTAAGATGAGTAGGGCTGCAACAAAGCAGGTGATCCTCGCTGTGGCCGATGAGGAGGCTGACAGTGTCCTCTGGTGAAAGTCCTGATATCCAAGGTTACCCAGAGACTTACAAAGAAAAACAAAAAATCTGTTTAATATAACTTGCTTTACTCCGGACACTTTGGACAAAAAACCCTTTGAGTGAGTCATTGAGTCCAGCAAATAATGAACCTCTATTATATGCATCAGATTTCATTTAGCGCTTTATCAGAGACCCTCAAAGCACTTCACATTGGATACATCATTAATTGGCTCACCCCGTCACACCATGGTGGTGGTAAACTACCATAGTAGTCACAGCTGCCCTGATGGAAACATGGCTGCCAGTTTGCGCCTACGGCCTCTCCAACCACCACCACTCAACACTCACAATCATACTTCAGTGGAGGACACAGAATGGGAGCAAAGTGGGTTAGAAAGGACACACCCAACACGCTAGGTATAGGGGGGAATTAAACCGCCAACCTTTCAGTTACTGGACGACCATTCTATCTCCTGAGCTACTGCCACCCCATGGAGCTGAACTGTAATTCATTTCATAATCTGCTTCCTGATTTTCAACGGCGAGAATGTCCCCTACTCAATAGGCTCACTAATGTTAAGAAAGTGCATTCATTTTTTGAGCAGTTATTGAAAAAGGCATATTAGAAAAATTGCTGAACTTATTCCGTACCAGTATTAAAAAGTTATCAATCCACATCCACGCTCTCTCTCCATCCACTGACCCAACCCAGGGAGTCTGGTAGGTAAAGTTGAAAGCCGTCTTAGTTATATCAGCTGAATGAGGGTTTATGAGGATGAACGGGACACACAACCACTGCAGAAATCACACAAAAACACAAATGTAAACATGTTGAACATGCATATTGACTTACTAAATTCAGGCCATATCACAGTTGTTCAATTTACAGCTGTTAGCACTGATTTACTGGTTTGATGAGCACATTATGAAAGATGTTTTGACTTTTGAGGGTTCAGTCCCTCAGGGAACTACAATTATTTTTACAGCACACTTTGTTTAACTATAGAAGTCTTTTTTTGTGCCTTTAAATATCATGTGTGAATGTGTAAATCTCAGGTTTTGGGGGACTAATTTTCCATGTTGTAGGACTTACCAAACTAAAGAATATAAGGATCAGCTGAATGATGTCTGTGTAGGCTACAGAGTAAAGGCCCCCCAACAGTGTGTAGACAATGGCCACTGCAGCAGAGATCCAAATGCAAATAGCGTAGGACAAATCCAGGATAACACTCATCGTAGCACCTTTAAAGAAAACATAATAATAATCGCAACTTCATGTAGAGTTTTGAAGATTAATTTTATATTGCATAGGCATGTTCAACTTAAAACGACAATCGATGGAGGCCTGGGGCACAACAACCTTGAACCCTAGCCCAACACATGGTACCAATGATTCATTTGAGACAAAAACATTTGGAGACTACATTTTTGAGTATTCAGTATGAGACATTCCCAGGCTTATGCAAGGACTCTAATGATACCATCCATAAAACTGGTATTTGGAAATACTTGAACCATGGGACACTGAAAATGTTACAGTCCGGCTAAAGGGATTGTTTTATTATCAGGTGAAGTGCAACAGCTTGTCTGCCTGTCCCCTTGCAGTCATTCATTAGACAAGCTGTACAGCAGTGGGTGTTGATTGAATGTGGGGTATATAATCTTTATCTAAAATAAATAGATAAATGAATAAAAAGATATGATACCTCATGGGATATCTCTCTGTTACTCACAGACAGTGAGTAATGAAAGGATGAGTTGTATTGTGCAAAACTCAAAACTGAGTGATAAAAGACACAAGTTTTTCACTTACCAAGGCCAATGAGTGTCCCTGCGACCCAGACTATGTCAGAAATCACTAGTGCCACGGACAACACTCCACTTATTACATTTCCATACCGAATCTGGAACGGGTCCATCATTGTCATGTACTGTCTGTCTCTCATTGTCTTAGCAAAGAATAGTCCACCTTATTCATTAAATCAAACAAAGGGAGAGAGATTTGTGTCATTCAACTTTCCTTTGTACCAATTTTACACTACTTTTATATTGCCTAACTCATAATGAAATCACAGTGTTAAAATTAATTCAATACAATAAATATTGCAAATCGGCTAAATAAATAGACGAATTTTAGTCTTTTCTGAGATCTCTCAAATGAGTAAAACTCCGTAATATAACATCTTTGTCTTACCAACAATGAAAGACAGGGCTGCTGTTGCTGGCATGACAGCCCAGGTCAGTCCCAAGGTTGGAGTATACACTGCTTCAGTCAGACCAACTATGTAGCCTCCACCAACAAAAGTAGCTGTGGGAAGTATGCATTAGTATTTGTGTACCAGCATACACCCCTACACACATATAGGCCTTTTTGTGTTTCCATTTATATCCCACAGTCAAACAGTGCTAATTGTCTTGAGGGGTGCCTCAGGGGTCAGTTCTGGGACCACTCCTTTTTTTTTTTTTTCAATTTGTATGTTGCCCCTTGGACATTTGATCTCACGGCATGGGTTTTCACTTTTATGCTGATGACACCCATCTTTACCTCTCTTTTAGCCATGACCAAACCAGATCACATCTCCTCACTTTCGAACTGGCCCACAACTTCCTACAGCTAGATCAGTATTTCCTGGAAATGCATCTGCACACAAACTACTGAGTATCTCACCATACAATTATTAGATTCCAAAAAAAATAGGAAGTCTTATGAATGATTTGCAGTTTCTGAACTTAAGGGAGCAAAAAAAAAAGCAAGTTTAACTTAGCCTGCAGTTAATGTTTTATCACACATCACACATCAGCAGTATATTTCCTGACCAGCTCTAACTGTGACAAGACTGTTGAGTTATTGATAAAACTCTAGGTTTTATGGGTAAAGAACATCTAAAAGTTTGGACTTACCAAAAGAACATTATGAACACTTACAAGTACATCCATTAAAATGGAAATTAAGTAAAACAATAGTTGCCTCTGCACAGTGTTTTTTCTGTTCATTCCCTGAGTTAAACCCTACTGTTACCTGAAAGACAAAGTTTTTCAATTTTCCAATCACCTGCCATGTAAAAACACAAGATTTTCACACAAGAAAGTAACAATGTTACTCCATTAGTGATCTATTCACAGTCTGTAACAGTCAATGACAACAGAGCAGGTTGTACTTTCTTTTAAAATGCCTCACTTAATCAGTGAACCAGTGAGTTACAGCCTGTTCTGTTAACCGAGTTTGTGTTGGTTAAGCACATCTACATAATGTGCTTATCTTTGAGACTATCCTATCCTTATGAAATACAAAGACAGCAAAATATTAATGTTCAAATGTTAAAAGTATTTCATCAACAAGGTGAACTTCTTGTTTGTATTAGTATTGATAAAATTACCCCAAAATATATCTCTATATCACATATATAGAGAGAGGAAGTATTGACTCAGAGTAAAGAACAGTAGCGTGGTATTGTGTGAAGTACTGTAAAAAAACTTTGATTACTTCCAAACAGTGATCATTGATGGCTATGGTTCCTTTATTTAGTCAAATGGGAGCATGCTATTCACCATCTCATGAAGTGAGAAATGTAGCAATGGCCTAACTCAAATGGGCTGGATTCGCTCCTGTTCAGAGGGTTGTATCTTCTTGAGTCCAGATAAAGAACTGTGATGATTTACAGTATAAAGCCAAAGACTTGCTGGAGCATAAGCAATGATTAATTTGTGAGAATGCATAGATTTGTGTTTATAATTACACTCAGGATTGCATCAGCGTAAGGCTAAAGGGTGCAAAAACGCTGCTTGAAGCACCAACAGATGTAGTCAGAGTAATCGGAGTAATCAAATTTTTTGTTCCTATTTATTTGTTCAGACCCCTCCGTCCCTAACTTACCTGTCATGGTGAAGACTCCCACCACCAAGTTGATCCCCCTGTTGCCCAGCAGAGTGATTTCTGTCCGGTTCCCCTGGCTTCTGTCCTGCTGCCGTTTTGACTTCATGGAAGCCCATATCCCGATGCCCAGCACCAGCAGGTAGAAAAACAGCATCACCACCAGTCCTGGGACATTCAGGCTCATCGTGCTGGTATTGCTCGACTGACTGAATGAAGGTCTGAGTCACTTCTTGCCTGTATTTACGATTGAATGCCATGGTAAACAAGAACTGGATCTCAGTTAGTAAAGATGACAGATGTTACCTCTTTGATTTATCAGCTGTGCCATCACATAGGGAATGTAAATGTGCAGGTTTTTGATACTAGTGTGACTGAAGTTTTCATGTCTGTGAACAGCAATCCTGATGTTGTTTCGACTTTTGAAAAGTGTTGGACCACATTTTGTAACAGTTAAATGATAGAGTAACATTAAATGATAATTACATGAGAGAAAACCTGTTTCCTTTACACAACTTTTATATGCCATTTCACAGGACATTTTTGAACCTGTTGTTTTACATTGATCCTGTAAGAAACATGAATCTAACCCATGGTATAGGCTATTTAATTATCCTTTTAAATTATTAGTATTTATTACAAATAATACATATCCAAAATGTTGATATATAATGGTACACTGTTTTTAATGCTTTCTTAAGTGACCCTGGACATTTATAAATGAGAAGTATGAAATTACTGCAACATTTTCAGAGCAGTAATTACATGTCTGTGTCCCCTTATCGTTGTTTTGTTAAGCCCAGTGCTTTTAAGTACAAATTCAAATCCTTTTTCTCATACATCCACTTCAAATTCACACTGCCATACTAATATATTTAATTATTTGCAAAGCAGAAAAGCACTGACATGTTTTTATTGAGAAAAATCAATTGTTTCCTCAGTGGAAAAGCACCCAGTTACAGAGCAGTCAAGACAATAGGACAAGCAAAAATTGACAGTGTGTGAACTCTTCTAAAATTAGTCCAGTCTATGGGGTGTAGTTTGCTCAAGTTATCAGTAGCAACTGTTATCTTTATCTGATTTTGTTGTATCAGCCAGGGTCCTGTTGGCTTAGCAGGCATGATAAATCAGTCATCACTGATGGCTTACTTTAAAGTTGTAGTTCGAGCTGGTAGATTACTGTGTTTAAAACAGATGTCCAAATGAATATCTATCTCTGCAGAACTTACCTGTCTGTTTTATGTCTCCTGTACAGACAGAGTGCTGCTACTCTTCTCTCCCTCTGTGCCTGTTTTAGTCAAGGTCCATTGGTATGATCTTGAATGGTGGGAGTTCGGCCATGCAGTACTTGATAAGAGTATTTGCATATGCCCCCCCGCCCCCTGCACAATAGCCAGCTGACTTGATAATGTACACTAGAAATGTACACAAGAAACTACACGTATTTAAGCTACATCAATGTGATGCAACAAACATGAACCTTATTTCCAGATGTTTCAGACCAAATTTGTCTTCATAACTTCCCTGCAACCATTCCTACTCAAGACAAAATAAAATAACTAATAATAATATTGCCAATTCAACATGTCCAAAAAGGAGTAGGATGAAGCATTATGCTTTTTATAAACCTACCCCTTCTTCTTGACTCAATAATATCAGTCAGTCTCTAGCAAAATTAAATTATATAAACAAAAAATACGACATAAATAAAATAAATAAGTACATTTGTGAAAACACATAGTGAATGCCCTTCTTCCTCCCTTTACCTGGTGAGAACCATGTTTTTGTACCACAATTAAGTACTGAGTATGCCTACTTAGTACTTTCATAAAATGTCTGATAAATAGTTTATTTAAATAGTTTATTACAGCAGTAAGTCGCAGCTGTTTAATTTGTACTTCAGGTTTCTCACCTTGGGGGGGCAGTAAAGAGCGTGTAAGTTTACGCGCAGGCGCAGTGGCACTCTACACAACCGCAATAAGCAAACATGGCGGCGGCCGTCGACAGTGTTGTGAAAGTGTAAGTTTACCTTTCAATAGTTAAGAGTAAACCGAGCGGCATTACAGCTATGAATGTCGAGTGTGGCTAATCCTATCACACCCCTGCTCATCCTGTAAAATGATAGATATTTCCTCCATAATCTCGGGCTCAACATTGTCCCTAAAGAGTAACGTTCTTGACTGAGCTAAGGTTAGCCTGTTAGCTGTGAGCAGATCTGAACTCAAAGAACCGGTGCTGGAGCTCTCTTTTAGACTTGTATCCCGAACTTAGCTTCGTATATTTTTTGCTGTGATAATGCCACACACGGTGCTTCAAAACTCGCTTCTCGGCCGCCTGTTAATTCACCAAAGAGTTGATAGTACAGTTAGCTCTGAGGGTGGCGGGTGTCTTGTTGTCGAGCTCGCTAACAATCAACCTTTTGTTCTGACATCCCTCCATCGATCCTGATGGAGTCAGGCTTTGTGATCAGTGAAACTTACTTATGTGTGCCTTCTGATTAAATACAAGAGTTATATACTAAATGTAACAATGTAACACAACCAAGCGGCACATTTGGGTAAAAAATGGGAAGCGAGATAAATGTGATATCTCTGTCGAAAGGTTGAGCTGTATTCAGAGGTTATGATGAATGGTTATCACATCAGTACTGTGAAAGTGAAGAGTTGGTATAATCCTTTCGATGAACAATTGTTAGATAGGTATTTACTTATCGATAGAAGCAGAAGATGGCTTTTAATAAAACAAACAATTAAAAGCCACTCAGTTTGCACTAATTATTGAGGAATATGATGTAATTCAGTTTTGCATGCTATTTGTATTAAGCAGTAATAATTAACCATTTATTCTGATCCCTTTTATTTGACTTGTTTGTGTCTTACTTTGTTGTTTCAGGCTAGGAGAGCAGTATTACAGAGATGCCATGGAGCAGTGTCACAGTTACAATGCACGTTTGTGTGCCGAGCGCAGCATCCTGATGCCTTTTCTGGACTCTCAGACCGGTGTAGCTCAGTCCAACTGTTACATCTGGATGGAGAAGAGACATCGAAGTGCAGGTATTTATTATCAATTACGGCTTATTCAGTGTTATTATCGATTTATTACAGTCTCACTTCACTTCATTTCAACTTTATTATGTCCCAAAATGGGCAAATCGGATTGCAGCAGGCACAGGCAGTGAAAACACTGCCGTACATCATAAAAGAGAATAAAAGAAAATACATTTACATAAAAAACAATTCAGGAAGTAAAAATCGTTAAAGACGATTTAGAAGGTAAAAAAGCACATGTCAGTCAAACCAGTATTTTTGTATAAGCAAAGTGCATAGACTGCAGAAACAAAGTGCAGTGTGCAGTTTGCATACCGATAAAAGAAACCCTAGATTAAGTTTTATCCTTCCCAGATCAGCGAGATCAGGCCCATTAAACCTAGAGCCGATACGTACAGCAAGAACACAATAATTCAGTACAATACAAAATAATTATAATAATAGTAATAGTAATGATATACACCATCCAATATCAGTAGCAGTTATCTCCTCCTGCAGGAATCATTTAGGGCTTTGATAGAGCCTGGGATGAAAGAGTCTCCTCAGTACTCTGCAAAATGGTAAAAAACAAAACAAAGAGCTTTCACTTCACACAAAATAACAGATTACTCAACTTCCAATGCTTGTCTTTGTGTTTCTACTTGTTTCCAAAACAACAGGTGTAGCTCCAGGGCAGTTGTACACCTACCCTGCTCGACGCTGGAGGAAGAAACGGCGTTCTCATCCTCCTGAGGACCCACGCCTGGCCTTCCCTCCTCTCAAAGCAGGTATCACGTCTGAAAAATCATGATGAAAAATCAACCACAAACACAGTCAGCGGGATTGGTCTGAAACCTGTTTTGCCTGAAGTTACAGAAAGTGGTTCCGCTTGTAATGCTATTTTGAGGTATGTTTGTTTTTGTGTCTCTCTGTCATGTTCATACACGTATTACTGTTGTCCTTCTTCTGTGTAGCGGATTTGGAGTTGGGTCTGAAGCGAGATACCCTTGGACCGGTGGATGGCAGCAGTCTGGAGGCACTGCTGAAGGGGGAGCCTGTTGACAGGAGGAGTGGAGTGTCGGACCTGCGTGGTCCTGAGGATGATGCAGCAACCGTGGAGCCTCCTGCCTCCTCTGCAACCACGCACACTTCTTCTGGGCGTGTCAGGAAGGTCTGGCTCAAAGATAGCTGAACACTTTTATTCCTGCAACTGTAGCAGATCATGTATATATAATTATGATGTAACTGTCAAATCAGCATCCCTCAGTACCCGCTACTTAAATCTCTTTTTGCTCACCATGTAAGTGGCAGACAGCAATAAGTAATCACAGCCACATTTTCTACTTTCATAAACTCATAATAAATAATACTGTCAATGAAATTACTTAATTTAACAAAGAACTGTAGTTTGAGTACAGCCAGACCTAATCTGAACCCGTTTGTAGCAGCGAGTCCTGGACCATGATGACTACTTGGATGACCTGGATGATGAAGACTTTGAGGATGAGACCCCAAAGAGACGAGGAAAGAGTAAATCCAAGGTGAGTGGCATGTCTTTTTCTGCATTAAGATCAGTAAAATTGACATTTCAGACACAAAAGTTTTATATTTTAACCACAAGACTGAGGGGATAGTTTTTAAATCTGCGTTTTTTTACAGCTTTGATTTTTTTTTGTTGATTCTTTTAGTGGCACAGTAACCGTCCTTGTATTAAATCCTGTTCTTTTTTCCTTTAAAATGCAAAAGGAAAATTCAGGAGTGTTAAATGCCTCTTTCAGGGTCGCAGTGACAAGAATGGCAAGAAAAAACAGGAAGCTGCAGCTGCTGCGTTGGAGGAGAGAGACAAACCATACGCTTGTGATAGTGAGTACAAACTTCTTTAGCTTGCTTGTGTGTCATGCATGTCAGCAAAAGAGGCTTTTGCTTTTTCCCCTGGAAGACAAAAACGCCCTTTCTGCCATGCATGGTTTGATCTGAAAGAGCCTACCAAGGACTAAAGTTTGACAGCAAAGAAATTGGAAAAGTCGCCCGCCTGAATGCTTTTTTTTTTTTTTTTCCTGCTATTTTTCGTTTTGATTTTTTCCTGAGATGCCGCGCCATGTGTGCTCTCTAACTTCCTGCTGGCCATGAAGCTCATTGTGCAAACGCTCACCGCTACCCGATGAGTTTGCTGCTAGCGCGTCAGCCGAAAATTAACAATGTGAATATAACTGGGTAAAGTCGGTTGTGGGTCGATGAGCAGCATTCCTTTGTGGTTCTTCCTTGGGCCCTTTTGGACGATCGCTACGATTGGCCGCCATCACTGTAACACTTTTCTATGACCATGTGTGTGTGTCAGTCTGTGGGAAGCGCTACAAGAATCGTCCTGGCCTGAGCTACCACTATACACATTCTCACCTGGCTGAGGAGGAGGGCGAGGACCGCGAGGAGATCGAGGCACCACCCACTCCTCGCCAGCCTGAGGAGCAGAAGAGTGAGTCACTCTCTAGTGCTGTGAAAGAGAGAGAGAGAGAAAGAGAGAGGAAGGAGGGAAGGAAGGTTTGGTTGCATGCTGTGTAGCATGTGTGTGTTTGTACAAAAGATGTCTCTCTCTCATTCTTGATTTTTTCATGGCGCTCCTTTTACTTTTTGGTTTTCATGATGACTTTGAATCCCGAATTGTGGGATAAGTCTCAGTGTTTCTGACCAGAAACATGTTTGCACAGTTTTGAATCCTGTTTTTTTTTTTTTTTTTTTCTGCATTTTTTCCCCATCATCATATTTGTCTGTTTTTCTTTTGGTATCGTGTTAGCAGATGCTTTCAAAAAGTGCTTTTTGTCGATGCCATTCATCATTTCTTTGGATTATTTTTCAATACATCATCAGAGAGTTACTGAAATGAAAAGCTGTTGTTGACTTTTGTGAAATGAACAGGTTTGTGTGCTTCATATTTCTATTATTTGATTTACATATAATTGTGACTGCAGTAATGACTCCATAAGACATCATAACAAGGAAAGTGGTATTTGTTTCAACTGTCTTTTTAAACAGTTATAATGTGTCATATTAATGCACCAAATGGTTTCTTCACTTGTTCTCACACTCAGCAACAAAAAAGGGTCCCAATGGGCTGGCACTGCCGAACGATTACTGCGACTTCTGTCTGGGTGATTCCACCTTGAACCAGAAGACAGGCCAGTCAGAAGAGCTGGTGTCCTGCTCAGACTGCGGTCGCTCGGGTAAGAACCTGAAAACTTTCAAAAACATCTAAATCCACTCAACGCTGGAGCTTGGACTCAAAACATTTATTCCTTTTCTCCTCTGCAGGCCACCCAACATGCCTGCAATTCACACCAGTGATGATGGCTGCAGTGAAGACCTACCGCTGGCAATGTATCGAGTGCAAGTGTTGCAATGTTTGCGGTACCTCAGAGAATGATGTAAGCCCTGTTACGAGATAGAAACTGTGTGTTGCTGACATTTGTTATTGAAGAATCATAGAGTTGTTGTGTTTTATTAGTGAGGGTATTCTCAGTGAGGGTAAATGGCTCAGGACTTCTTACATCAGATTACACTTGACATCAAACTTGACATAGTTTTTAATAAGACCCCTCAAATGTACACAGCCTGTAAGAAGCCAAACTTTATGTACTGAAACATTTCAAGATTGAATCACTAATTGTGTAGATTTAAGTGTCCCCAACTTCAAAGTAGGGCTGAATGATTTTGGAAAATGATCTTATTGCGATTTAATATGCGATTTTTTTTCAAGGCCCTCTTCTAATGTATTTTTCTAATCAGACAACTGTTGTGTTTCTTTAGGACCAGCTGCTATTTTGCGATGACTGTGATCGAGGCTACCACATGTACTGTCTGAGTCCTCCCATGACTGAACCACCAGAGGGTAAGCTGACATGACTGCAGATATTAACAGACTTCTTCTCTTAACTCTCTGGGCAAAAAAAAGGATCTTAGCATCTGGTTAATGTGTAAAGTTAGGACACATGCTGCACACACAGAGTCCAATCATACTGCTGTCAGCATAGTTGTGATGAACAAGATTCAAATTCGTTAAGAGTAAAGGATCAGGAGTTTGGATATCAAGTCTCACTCTGATCATTTTTACACTTTTATTTGTTTTCAATCACAGAAATCTATAGTTCTATTCATGTGTATGAGATAAAGTCAGCTTGACAGTATAGGATTAATGTGAGACAAATATTTGAGGGCACCAAAGGAATACGGCTGTTTCTTATATAGGGTCCCAGCCACAGCACTGGCCACCAAACATCTTTTTAACTTTGCCCAATTTCTTTAGCAAAAAGACTGAACACAACTCACTCACTCCCTTCCAGCAGCCGCTTGATGGTAGTGAGACTATACTATGGCTGGGACACTATATGTACTGTTGATGAAGTTAGGTGCTGTTCTGAGCATTATTTGTGGCTATAGAGTGGCGTTTTGGTTGAGGTTTGTTTATGGCTCCTCAGACCGCCGTGTATTGCTATCGTGCGGTCGTTACTAAAGTTGGTTTAACTACAGAAGCAGGCAGTCGGCAACATTCATCTCTCGACAGGGTGTCTAACTCGGTGTTGCGGTGTTTTTGACCCTAAGTTAATTTTACGCCGGAATACCCCTTTAAGCGTGCTTTACCACAAAATAAAGCTGCATTCTCATTTGCTAACATTTCTCTTGTAATTTACAGGGAGCTGGAGCTGCCACCTGTGCCTGGCCCTTCTAAAAGATAAAGCCTCCATATACCAGCAGAACCAGAACTCTGCCCCAGAGTGACATCACAGCAGCTAGCCCCGCCCCCTCTACACACAAAACAACCCATCCCCACACCCTCCTCTTCTTGATGCGAAAGTCAGACCTCCTCTCGGTTCAGAGCTCCCAGCTCTGTTCAGATGTAGCCAAGCCAGATCTCAGATCAGCTTCACAAGTCTTAAAGTCTACAGCGTTGAGTGGAGGGATCAGTCTACATGGGGTGAAACTATCACTACCGACCTGCCTGTAAAGCTCCACAAGGCTCACCGCCACCAAACACATATACATTATGCACATATTATATACGGTATAGACATGACCTCTCAACTGGACTGTTACACACATAATAGATACAGAGACAGAGAGCATGCAGTAACCACAGTAACTGCTGTCTCCATGGAAGCTCTCAGGCGCAAACAGATTAGCATTACGGCTAATTATCTGCAGCCCTTCACACTCAAAGACAAGGTGCGGACTGTCAAGACATCACAGATTCTCTTCTGCCAAATTATCTATTTTTACTCCCTGAATGAGGAAGAAAGAAAAAAAATGACCATCCTCATGGTCAAGGATTATTATTATTATTATTATTCTTACTATTGTTATTGTTCTGGATACTAGTGGACTTTTGTAGTGGCATTCATCCGTGTACTTTTGTCTAATTGGAGCATTTCATTTCAGTCAAGTGTTCTCGAGAGAAGCCAGTCAGTGCCAAGGTCCACCATCACTTTAAACGAATTTGACCACAGAAAGAGTTGATTGTGATCTGACAACCTTTGTGCTGTTGTGGATCAGAGGAGCAAAGACAGTCAGTCTTAATTTTATGCCTTTGACCCATTGAGCTTTTCGTGTGAAATCTTTGGCCTTATTATTTATTTCAGTGTTGCACAAAGAACTTTTTGTTGTTGATTTTGTTCAGTTTACCGAACAGACCATATTCTGATCAGTATGCCCATGAGACCAAAACATTCCTTTGTCAGCTTACTATCTGTAACTTTAAAAATCCTGACTGAATTATTCAGATAAGCTGTCCTCGTTTGGAAATCTCAACACCAAGACCTTTTAAAAATCGTTCCCGTAAAGATGCAGCCTTTCCTTAAAGGTTTTTGTGCAAGCTTTGTAGACACTGTTGGGCAATGATACCAAGTTTCCACCACTGTCAAACTGATGACACACTATCACTAACAAACTGTAGCTGCTTTTTATGATTTGTCACTCTGTGCTGGATTCGCATGCAAACTGCTCCAGTAAAAAGGCACACTCACTCATATCACAAGTGTTGTTGTTGTTTTTTTGTTGTTGTCATGCTTGGATTTTTTTTTATTTTTTACATTTTATATTACCTGATATTCCATTGGTACTGGGAATTTTTTCTAGTAGAATTTTGTAAAGTCTATGGTATTCAACACTTCAACTATAATAGCTCCTGATACATTTTATGTACTGTATTGACTTTTGTATTTTTGTTATGACTGTGACATGTTTGAATTTATTTGATTATTCTGATATGTCAGACCTCCATTATGAGTATTTGTAAAATGATGTAATTTGTTGTACTTTTTTATTTTTACATTTCTTTGGTATCAAAGCCAATTTAGCCTGACTCAAATAAAAAAAAAAACCCTCGCAGTTGTGTTTCCTTCACCTTCTAAATTTTCAGCATTTACTCTGGTTTAAAGCTGCTAATTTTGGTCATCTGATTTCATTGTTGATCTTTAACCTTGATCATTTATCAACCAATCCATCACAAATGAAGCAGGAACTGTTACACCTGAAACAGAGGGTAACTTATGAGCATAAAAAGTGACTGATTCAAGAGTGGACAGTAAAAATTGTTTGAGGATGGAAGTGATAAAACAGGGAACACCGTGAAAAATAAAATTCATCTTTGGATAAAAGTCTTTGGAAACTTGGAATTGTTGAAGCGTTTTAGAGAAACTGGCCGAGTTTACTGGTTGCATGTTAATATCCCAGTGTGAGACACACAAACTATTGTAGATTCTTTATACTGTAAGAGGATATCTGTTACAAAATGATGAGGAAAAACGAATTACTTTTACTTTAGTACTGTAATTGTGTGATATTTGTAGTACTCAAGGACTTATTCTGATTATTTTTTAATGCTTGTAGTCAACATAACTTAAGCTTTTATTTAAATACATTTCTTTCTTTCTTTTTATTTCAAACTGTAAGAACAAAAAATATGGAGGTAAAAATCCTCTTCTAAAATTTGCTGTAACAGAAATCACATACTGTGTTAAAAGAAAAAAACCCTAATTATCAACAAAATTTAAGTGGTGTGAACATTTAAAGTGCATTACATATAAAATGCTTATTATTTTCATTACTCTGAAATTTCACTTTATTCATCAGAAAATTAGCTTTACTTTGAATACTCATACTATTGCTTTTCTATAACCAAATTCCGAATACATGTTTTTACCCTTAGCAGCGTATAGATTTGATTTTCACAATTTTTACACTAGAATTTTTTTCAATATAATCCATCCAATGTACTTTCAAGAGTAACACATGGAAGTTTAACATATTTCAATCGAAGCACAAATAGGGTTTAATTATATATTTATCACGTAAAGTTTTGTGAAAAAGTCAAACTTCACTGGATAAAATATTTTATTGCACTCAACAACACACACTCAAGGACTCTCTCCAAACAGACATTCAAAAAAACACACTGAAGCATATAGTCACATTTGTTCCTTCACAAAAACACCTCCGCCTGCAAAGCTTTTGGGAGAACAAGGGCGGCTCAGTTGTGCAAAATACCAAAACAACAGTGGCTTGAGTGCAATTGTCTGGAGCGTGACGATCACTCATGCTATATTGTTTACAACTGCGTGATGAAAACTTGAAAAAAAAAAGAGCACACACTAAGAAGCAACAATATAAACTGACACACACTGATAATTATCTATTTTTTGAGGTTACTTGTGGCAGTAATTCAGTATTAATAAGTAAATTAACACACTCTGGAGTTTCTCGTATATATTCATAGCTTCAGAATACAAATTCAATACTTGATACATTTTTTGAGACATAGTGCATCATCAGTTGGGTTTGATTTCACAAACCTGGGCCAGAGGTGTTTGGTACAAAATTATGTAAAATACTAATTTATCAAAGGTAAACAATGCAGCTTTCAGGACGTGCAACAACATGAAAGTTATCTGTGTGTATATGTGATCAGGATGGCAGCGGTAAGAGTGGAACATTTGGAAGTCAGATGGCTTATTTTTGGGGCTCTGTAGGTGCATGTGTGCGTCCTCTAAAGTCTCTCAAAACCAATGGAGCAGAGGAGGAAGATGGCGTAGAGCAGCAGGAGACAGAATCCCAGCCTGCGGTCCAACCTCCAGCAGTTCAAATGGACACATAAGACCTGAGGGGGAGAAAGTGACGGGGTGACAAAGAAAGTGGATTAAAACACCTTAAACACTGTTAAGGACAGTCAGTAAGAAGTTTAGTAAGGACACAGTAGTTGTGCAGATGCTGTCAGGAAACACTTTCCCATGTCGTATGAAAATTGTGATTAATCAACTCCGACAGAAAAGGTTGAAGAAAGAGAAGAATGGATGTCTACTCACAGTGAGTGTGACGGAAGCTAAGAGCAGAATCACTGAGTACACCAGGCCTTTGCTGTTTATTGTCACCTGTAAAGCAGAGATGAGTGTTCAAGTTTTGTTTTCCCAACACTTAACAACTAACTGTCTTACAACATTTTTCTGATTTGTCTTTATTTCAAAGGTTTTTTCACCCGAGTCTGTATGCAAACTGCTAACAGCTGAAAGTTACAGATGAATACTATTTTCAGACTGCTAACAAGGACACTCAAGTTCCGAACATCAGGAAAACTGTTTAGCATTTGAATGAAATCAAGTTACTTTGAATTACTTTGGTCCTTTTCAAGTAAAGACGCTGCAAAAAAATCAACTGGAAAATCTCTCACTTGAAAATTTGAAAAAGTTCCACACCTTAACATTTGCACATACTACTGCACACCCCTGGGATATTTCAGTGTTTTTATAATCATCCGTCCAGTAAAACTAGACACAGAAAAAGACGGTGTTTTACCACGGATCCATAGCTGACTATAAGAGTCCTCAGTGCCCAGGGGAAGCCCAGACCAAGCAGCACATCAAAAATATTACTGCCAATGGAGTTCGACACAGCCATGTCCCCCAAACCTGCAACATCCAAATGTGAATGAATACACACAAAGCAGAACTCACACAAGAATATGAAGTACATAAGACATCAAGCACCCAGACAGGCAACTTTTTGTTGGTACATGGTCTTCTTTTCATCACAAATACAGACACTGAGACGCACACTTTTTTTCTTTTCTCAACTGTTTAGTCTCTACATTCATTCATTTTCTGTACCGCCTATCCCAGCTGTCGTCTCTACATTCAATCAGTCTTTAAAAAGTTGAGTTCATGGTCAAACTCTAGTCAATGAATCATGAGTTAGAAAATGTTTTGTCAGAGCAGTAAAAACGTTCCAAGAAAGATCAGGACAAAATGCACAGACAGCCAGGTAGTATTAATGTCCTTAAATAACAGAGGTCATTTGTGTTGAGGCAGGTTAAGTTATGCACACACCTTGTCGGGCAACAATAAGGCTGGCCATACAGTCAGGGACACTCGTGCCAGCTGCCAGAAAAGTGATGCCCATGAGGACTTCAGGGATTCCGAGTGTGTAGCTGATTATGGTCACCTACACAGAGGGAAGAGCCTGTGTGTATGTGCGTCTTCAGTTGTGTTAATCTGTGTAAAAGTTTGCATGTTTACAATCGTGTCCCTACCATCCAGACCATGAGGTAGGAGAAGAGGGCTATCCAGAGAGTGGATGACAGGAAGGTGAGCAGGTACCAGCGCTCCCAGCGAGGCAGATTACAATCTGGGATTGTACAGTGAAGCAGGACACTCACCGGCCAAGAGACCAACCACTTCACACAAGAACACCAACCAGCTGAGGAAAAACACACACATTCAGACATCCCAGCAGGGATCATGACATACTACATAACGAATCATCAATCAATCAGTTAATCTAAATTTACACAACACCAAGTCACAACAAAAGTTATCTGGAGGGGCTTCACAAAAGGAGCTGATCTGGACCATCCTCTTCATTATTTTTACAAACACTCGGGAAACATCGCAAACTTAGCTGCATTACTGCGGCTTCAGCCTCAATCTGTCAATGTCCCCTCCTGAATTTAACCAAATCATCAAATATTTTCAAATGTATTAAGGGAGGAGACACCCGAGTCTAGGCAAAATTTGATTTAACTGCCTTGTTTCTATAGTAACAATATAAAGAGATGTCAGGTTGATACATTTTCATCTTAAAATATCAGACACATGAAAGATTCGCAATAACAGTGCATCATTGTCCACCATATTCTTAAGGCAGCCAGTTACAATGTTCAGAATGAGAAGTGTAAATGGTTCAAAGTTTACAAGTTGAATAAATGTGAGGAAATGTATAAATCTCTATATTTTCGATGCTTCCTAATGAATAATGACACGGAGAGATTATTAAGATAAACTCAGAGGACATCAAACTACTGACAGTGTTGCATTGTTACACAAACTACAGGAGACAGGTATAAATTCATAGCTTAAAGCAAACTAAGCAAGTTACTGTTACTGACCAATAGGGAGGCGGTAATATGACTGCAGTAAATAAACCTTTCAATTTCATCAACAATCTTTTCAAATAGTTTTCACTTTTTATTGGGCGAATCAGTCACTGTATTTGTTTTCATCATTCGCTCTTAGTGAAGAAAAGTCCCAGCAGGAAGATTTTTACTGCTTATGTTGCAGACAAAAATACTAATACCTGTATGTAAAGGGTAAAATCAGCAAGGGTGTAAAATGTACAGTACTTTGATGACAGGGGGACACCAAAATCCAAAATATTTTCAACTGACTCGATATAAATAAAAACGAAACATTACAAAGTGTCGCCTAAAATGACTTATGCAGCCGGGAAACTGCAGTGATCCACACGATGACTGCGTCTGCTGTTTTCACCACTCACCCGGCAAGATGAAGGGTTTGAAAGGAGCGTTTTCTCTATCTCCTTCCTCCTGCTCTTCTTCTTCCTCCTCCTCCTCGTCTTTTGGTTGTGCTTCCCCATCTGTCTCCCCCACTGTCTCTTTACCTCTTTCACTCTCTCCCTCTGGCAGCTGCCTGTCTCCCTCAGCCACAGTCCCATTAACACCGGCACCTTCATCCCCTGAAGCTCCTCCCTCCTCTGAGCCTCCGCGGGCTCTGATCAACCTCTTCCTCTGAAGGTAGTGGAGCAAGGGATTGGGGAGGCGTCAGAGAAAAAAGGAAGGAAACAAAAATAGGTGTGAAACGCTGCAGCAGACTTGTGAAAATTACTTACTTTAATCATAGCTATGATATAACTAGCAGCAAGGGGAGTGATCAGGCAGCCGGTCACATACAGCAGAGGGTGGATGGGGAGCACTGATCAGGGGCATGGCATAGAGCAGGAGTAGCACTAGCAGGTGCATTTTAAGTTGGGATTGGAAATGGCAAGCACACATGCAGGAGTAAATGCAACAAGGAAGCAGATTTGAAGATTTAGTTCTATGTCCTAGTCTTCTATGCGTTTCTTTGTAATGCAGGGGGGAGAATTCACCTGAGAAGTATTGCATCGTTGTGCCGAGCCAGAGCTGGAGACTAACACCAATCTCAGTCTGGACTAATATTAAATAATAAATTATCATGATGTACAGATGTGAGAAAGTTTCCTTCAGTGTGCTGCAGTTTGGTCCGAGCCGGTCAAACCAGGAGACTTCAAATCATGTAAGAGTGCAAGCCACATGCAGTGTACCTCGTTGATGACCATATGTCCTGCGATGCGCAGGCGGGTGAAGGGGGAAAATGTGGGGTGATGAGAAGGCGGACGCTTGCCTCTGAGAAGGAGAGCTGATGAGGGTGCCTGTTCAGCAGCTCATCCACCATCACCACCCCTGTATCCTGTCCAGCTACCACACTGGAATCTGGACAAAGTGTTAGGACACCGATAAGGGTTAGTAGAAGACACAAATGGGAGGGGGAGGGATGATTTTGGAAGATAAAGAGGAAAGAGTGATGGAGTCACTATATCACAAATCTTAAACATTAAAGTGGTCTCATTTTATTTCAGTATTTTTGACATTCATATGGGAACAAAAATGGATTCGAAAAGCAACCCAAACTGTGTCACCAAGTCTGCTGAGAGCTGCTCAAAGGATGAGGGTACATTGTGATGGTTTGGATGAACACATGCACACGTACAAACATGAGCTCCTGCACCTGGCTTCAGTGGCACCATGTCATTGTCACAGTCTCCAATGCTGCCGACAGCAGTCGTCCTCCGCAGGCTGCTCAAACACGGCTGACCTGCTCTGCTGCAGTGTCTCTCTACCAGGCTGTAGAGAGATCTGTTGAACCTGGACAAGAAACAAACACAAAAAAGATGGTAATTCGTAAGACGGGGGAGTATTTTGTGCCAGTACCAATAAAAACTATAAAATGTGACTTACTTCATGATAAGTATGTAGATACCGTACATTGAAATCAAGATAATGGTCTCCCACCTGAAATATCAACACAGTATTCACTAAAACTGATTGTAAACTAATCCAAAAAAAACAAAAAAAACCAATTACTATTTCATTAGTCTTACCAAAGGACTTTTTCATCAAATATAACCTGCAATTAAAATGAGGACATGAATCAATTACTCTGAGGAAATGTGATTTTCACAGCTCACATCAAAGCAACATGATGACTGTCTAACTTCAGTTAATATACCCTATTTACTAATGAAAGTGCTGATGACAGAACATGATAATACATTTTAACCAGCAATATTTAAGACATACCAGCATCTATACTGTTCAAGTTAAAGCTGCATACAAACAGAAGAATTTTCTGATAGCTTGCATTTGTTTCACTGATAACATTGACAAGACTTCTATATTGCAAACACATCCAATGCATAATCTTTTTTAATGTATTTCATTTATGATGAAGAGTTGATTATTTTTGCCTTTTAAGGGATTGTCTCTCTAGCTGTAGAGTAACAGTGTTTTTAACCTCATAAAGAAAAAGTTATAATAGATGTCATTTCTCCTTGTCGTTCAATTGTCTGGTAGGTTTAAGTTACAAGTCTGTCATTAAAAAACTTTTCATAGATTAAATACTGAGATAATCCTGGTTTTCTCACCAGGATGAGCACCACTATGGACAGGATGTAGAAAACAGCATCACGAAACAAAGGCCACCAGCTGAGAGAGATTGGCTGAAAAGAGAAAACACACACAGAGAACATTTTTATTTGTTTAATCACGAAACTATCATAGGATGCAAGATGTACTCGTATGAATATTGTCTGGGTCATTGTAAGTATTTTTGCAGTTTGTGCCTCATTTCCTTTACCTGCCCAGCAAAGATGCCGCAGATGCCAATGATAACCAGGATGTTAAAAACAGCCGAACCAACAATAGTTCCTACACCTACATCACCCTTTGTGATAAACACTCCTAAAACACAGGAAATGAAAGGATGAGACCAAAAGCACAAGTAAAATACATTTCAGCTGACCACTTGTCAAAAAAGGATGATTCATCATCACCCTCCCTTGTAACGATAAAGTTATATATAGTAACCTTTATCTTTGAGCAGTAATAATACATCTTTGGTCCATAACTACAGGGATTGTGCAGACGTCCTCTTTTATGTAACCACTTAATGTACAGAACAGTGACCTGACACAACCAGTTTTTTTATTCTGCAAAGGAAATAGATTATTTCAGAAGCAATTCATCTGGAAATGTCCTCAAGTGACAAAAATTTAGAGACAGGGTGGCACTTTTGAGAGGCAATAACACAAATGAGGATTGTATCAGCCTCTGTTTTCATTCATCTTTTTCCTACATTAATATTCAGTAGTTTCACACTATTTTAAAGTGTACACTTCTTTTTCTTTCTGTATGGGACATGACTGAAATGCTGTCGACATTCTGTTAACTTGAAGATGTTTTTACAAACAAAATCTTTTCCACTGGGCAATGAATTAAAATCTGAGAGGAATACATTTTTTGGTGTTTCAGTAAATAATTGAAAAACTGTAACATGCCTAACTTTGCACTTTTGATCATGTCCACATGTCTGTTAAGGATATATATGGTGAAACTGGCCAATCACAGCCTCGTTCTTCACACACTTGACTTTCCCTGACCTCATAAGGAGAGGACATGTATGATTGCAGGCAATCAGTGGACTGAACCATTTCAATGAGTAGTTGATTAAAGCAGCACCATACTGACCAATCAAAGAGGTGAAGAGCTCAGGGGCAGAGCTTCCCGCTGCCATGAAGGTTGCCCCGGCAACATCCTGACTGAGCTGTAAGTTCTAGAAAACGGACAAGTGTTTGATAGACTCAGGCGAGTGATACTGAATATTTTTCTTATTGTCAGCCAAGGTTTGTTATTACTATAGGCTGTTATTGTTATAAAAATCATATTAAAACCACACAAATCAGCTACAATATAGCAATGGCCTTTATAGTGTGATGTATTTAGATGAGACAGCTATTGTAATTCAACACCTTTATAATAATCATTTTCAAAATATGTATGTCCAACATAAACAACAGCACTGACATTATTTCATTAGATTAATACATTTCATCTGACATCAATCGCTCATGTCTATATGAAGTACAGTTGCAAATGTTACTCGGCATACCTCTGACACTTTTTCCAGTGATGGCACAAAGTAAACATCACACACAATAGCCAGCGCATGAAACATATAGATAGCCTGGAAGAATAGAAAAAAAGTACAGTTATTTCTGGTAATGAATTTCATGCAACAAAGGAGTGCTACAGTTGTTTAAAACAGGGACTCACACAGAGAACATGAAGAAGTACTGCTCCATGTCTCCTCTGCTGGGGAGTAAAGATGTCATCAGGAAAATCCCCGATAGCTAAGAAGAAGATGGACAACTTGATCAAGGTAAGAGGGAAAAAATCACAATCCCACTCTATCCAAATAAAAGGGAGTATGTTGTTAGACTGCACGCTTTCACCCAAGCTCAAAAAAAGCCGCAACTCAGTTTATTATGATTGAAAAAAGCTTTTTTTTTTTTTGATAAAGCAGTGCAAAATAGTAATCTGGAACACTGCCTCCCAGATGACTTATCAGACATGGCTGTCTGGTTTAGTTTTGGGTCAGGATTTATAAAACTTCCACTTTAAAAGAAGGTCATGAATGGTGAAAGTGAAAGAAGTGTGACAAAAGTGGATAAGATGCTGCACAGAGGCATCATTGTGCAGTTACAGGCATCACATGTGAAGATGGCGTGATATTTTGACAACCTGTCACATGGTTTTCTTTGCACATTTATCAAACATGTGCATGTTAATAATCAAAAGTAAGATGTTACACTTGAAAAAGAAATGGCATATTTCAACAATATGAGACTCACAGTATTCTCTGTGTTTGGATAGAAAATGTCTTCATATCACATCAGACCATAGGATGCTGAAACTATCTCTGTCTAGTCCAAAGAGATTCAAGCACAATATAAGGATCTATATAGAGACCACTAATAAGGAGGTCATTACAGCAGGACAGATACTTTGAACAGTTTCACGTGCAGACCAGAGTCCAACCACAACATTCAGCATTCAGTTTCCTAGCAACTGGGTCCCCTCAAAGGCTCAGCTGTGTTTAAAGATCTGGGTGTGCAGAGTTTGAAGTAAAAGATGAGGTCAATCGATGCAAGAAGAAGAAGACAGACTTCGAAAATAGATATATACAAAATGAGGGCCATAAAAAAAAACTGAATTAGCAAACAGGCACTGCTGTTGCTAAGGCTGTGACACTCATTTCTTTATCTAGACCTACAGATAGTTCAAGAAAAGCTTCATACTTTCAAGGTACCATTTCACTGAGGATGCTTCTGCTAATGATTTCCGGTGATTAATAACAGTAGCCCCCTCTCCCCTGTTAAATTTGTCTCACAGACACGTAGTGATGAAATGTCTCACCAGATGCCGAAATAGTGCCAGTGTGGTTGGCCTCTTTTTCCTGGATAAGCTCTCTCTTAAAGACAGAGACGTCTTCCCCTGATGAGGGTCCATGTGTCACTACAAAGAGGGATTGACATACATTACAAACAATACCGAAAACAACTTATCCGTGGGCATTGTTACTTAGGAATACAGCAGATATGGCTCAACTTTATAGTGTTATTTTGTCTGAAGAACTAAAATGTCCCTTTAAGTTTTCAAGTGAACCACTGAACAACACATTTTGTCATTCATTTTACTTGTTTGTTTATAACTTACGTTAAGATAAATGCAATTTTTGCAGTACCTGTATTATCGTTGAAACCAAAGATCCAGGTGAATGCAATTAGACCGACTCCGACGACGCAGAACCGCGGAAGGAGGCGCGTCTGCCTCGGTCTCCTCGGCGCCTTCATTCCGCCAGACGCCGCCGATCTCTGCTCAGAACATGTCGTCGACGCCGCCTTTAGTCCTCCTCACAACAACCAGTTCGGCCTCTGCTTAAACAATACTCTACAGATTTATTTCTATTTTGACCCTATTTATTGTCTTTCGCTTGTTTAGCTGTGGGCTCCATCCACGATACTCGAGTGTCTAATTGGTCCGGCCTGTCTCCAGCATCTCAGTATCCACCAGCAACGCAGCATCCATTTTCATACCCATCAACACAGTGAATCATCATGGAAATATCCCTTATTTTTCTACCGTACTCTCACCCCCTCCAGTCCTAAATCTGATCCACTTCTCTCGTCTTGGAGGAGGTCTTTCCCTTGATTCACAGATAAGACCACCAGGGAGCGCCTTCGGCTGGGTGGGGCGACTGGAGAGATGGCAGCATGAGAGGGTCTGTGGGATCTCACACTGGTGCAAGTAATTAAATATGTAATAAAGATACAAATTGGCATACTGGTCTGATTTTCGAAATCATAAACTCTATAATTGTATATTTATGATAATGTGCAATGGACTGTGTATCCTGATAAACGGATATGACCATTGAGCTATTGGTTTATGTGACTGTTCCTCTTTTTAGTCCACTTGCATTTGTCATGAACAGTTGGAATTAAAATTAAAACTGTAAACTGTCCACAGTTAATTTTATGAGATATAACAAATGAAATTAAACCCCAGCCTTATAATCTTGAGTTTCAAAACCTCAACAAAGACCCTGAGCAGACAGGTAAAGGGGTGAACATGTTTATCAAAGGTATGTTAGATCAAATTGGAGGTAGGGCTTCATACTGCACACTCAAGTAAGGCTGCATCATCAGAAAAACATCACTACATATAGTGTTCACGGAAAACAAGTTTCCTGAAACTGCGAGTATGAATACAAAAAGCAGAAATAGCACTGCTATCCGGAGGGCAATCTCAAAGGTACCTGCACACCTTGGACAAACAGAAAAGAAGGAAATTAATCAACAACTAAAGATTGAGACGGTATACAAGTTATGGTTTAAAGTCTGTAAGGGGTGTTTGTGATGTGAAACTGAGGTACCTTTTGGTCTGGAGGTCTACTGTTAGACTTTGTGATTTCATCAGCTCTTCAGTTCCATCTTCATCCTACAGGCACAACATCAGACATCACTAATGTCTGATTTTCTTCATCTACACTCAAGCTCTGACATGAGGGCTTTGATTCTGGGCTCTGTTGTGGCACACTCTAGTGGTCACTTTGGAAAGTAGGAGCTATGAAGCTAAAATCTCCTCTGGTTCTTCAAAAGATTCCCTCATTGATACAAATGTGAGTTGCAACAGAAGGAAACAAAATGAGAACATAAACTGAACATTATCTTCCAAAATGTAGAGCTCATACAGGACAACTGTATTAAAATCACATTAGTTTGTGCCATGTGTGCATACTCAACATACATGCTTAAGATCTGAGGGGTCTAAAATGATCGATTCCACTGCATCTGAGGAGGCCAGCAGCATCAATTCCTCTGCAAAGGACAGTGGGGGATTGAGTGGGCCTTCTTTTTCTCGAACCGCATCATTCAGCACAGTGCTGATAAAACAAAACAGAAATATAGTGCACTTCAGTTACAAACAGATGAATAAGGACATGTCATGATATCATTGTAAAGAAACATGATATAACACGTCATAGTTTACAGTGAGGCTTCATCAAGTCTGTTCTCCAACTGCATCCTCAGCTCCTGATTTGTCAGCCGGAGATCCTGCAGCAGAGAATGAGACATGGCTGTAACATTACGATTGAACCTGGCATGTTTGTGCATGTAAATAGGGACAGAGAGTAGTATGAGAACAATCATTAAAAGTAATTTTATTTATATTTCTAAGAAACTGAATAAATCTAAGACAGCAGATGGCTGAAGGGGCTTTTGTTTCCCAACCAAAGACACAAGATGCATACTTCATGGTGAAATGCAGCCCTGAACATTTGACCTAAGTCAGCTTCTTAAGCAATAGATATTTCAGAGGTTAGGGTTATACAAGTATAAATTTATAATACATGTATAAGTTAATTTGATAAAAAATTTTGCAAGATCAAATGACATACAACAGTGTTCATTGACAACTTGCTGAGAAAACAGGCTGTTTTAACTCTTGCCATTTATGCAAATTATTGTTTTCTTTACAGGCTGATAAGTAAGGGAAGATCTTACCTTTATAATGGTCCTGTATTCTTCTACCATTTCCTCATCGTGCTGTAACTCCAAGTCTTTCTGTCACAAACACACACATGTAAAAATATGCTATGTTAACGCAGTGAAAGACAGCTGTCGAGATAGTTCGGTTGATCTTCATAGAGAATTATCAATATTTTGGAGAAAATATCAAGTTTTTTGTCACTTATTGTACTGATGTCTCTGTTATTACCTGATGAATGACCTCATCCTTGCGCTGCAGGCAAAGCTGGGCCTCTTCCAATCTAAACTAAGGAAACACACAAAACAACAAGTTTTAATTTAAAATGAATACAAAACAATTTAGTTTGGGACAGGGAGAAAAATGATTTAGTATCTTCGAGTTAGGCCTGCGCTGTTACCTGGAGGTGTTGAAATTGATCCTTAAACTTGCTCAAGTTGATTTTGTCCCTGTCTCTCTCCAGTTTGAGGCTCTGAAGCTGAAAGAAATAAAGTGGTGTTTTAACAAAAATAAGGGTTATGAATTATTTGGATCATGTCAAAGTGTAGTAGTGAATGATGAAAGATCTTATTTTTATATGTGAAAAGTAAGAGACATACCTCTGCAGATAGTTTTTTATTTTGTTCCTTGATTGTCGTGTATTTCTCCTCCTGTGTGAAAAGGACATAAAATATATATATATATATATATCATTCATTGATTAAAATCAAAACAATTCAATATATAGTATACATAAACATTCCCAATAATTAATGAAAAGGAGCAGAGACAAGAATAAACTTATATCATCGGCCTCTTTACCCCAAGAAATCAAATTACAAAGAACTTAAAACAACAACAACACAATAAACAACAAAATAAAAACCATATTTGAATCAAACAGCTATCAGCCAACACTGACAGTCAAGTTCCATTATAATTTAAAAATCAACAGTAGCTAACATGATAGCTAACATGTTTAATTATATTTCCTGAACATACTAGTTTTAATTGTTCTTCTAAATGTATATTTTGATTTATTGTTTTTTGTAGCTCAAAATAAAATTCAGAAGAACAATTAAAGCTATTATGTTACGGAAATATAATGAAAAAACAATGAGGATTTTTTTTTTTTTGAAAAATTTCAATTATAAAAAGTGATGTGGTGTTTATCTCATCCTGTTTTTTTGGTGGTAGGGGTAAACTTATACCACTTTAAAAGACAGAATGCATGTTAAGCCTTAACTAAACATCCAACCACTTTTCTGACAAACCTTGGCAGTGTTAGTGAACGTGAATGATATCAAAGGTAAAACATATCAAACTTTTTTATACATAGGTGTGACACTGCTGGCCAAAACCGGCTCAGAAATGCTACTTATCGTAATTATAATATTGTCTTTTGGTTACATACCAGTGCCTGCATCTCTGTTTCCCTGCATCTCTTTGTATCAAAGTCATTAGCCAGAAGGGACCTGCAAGGGTCTGCTTCAGCTTTCTGTGCATCACTGATGATCTTCTCAAGACTGCAGACAAACAAATGTACACTACCATGATAGGCTTTTTTCTCAGAATTGACAAAGCACAGATTAAATAGTAATAAACCAAAACAAAAAAGTCCCTGTATGAATAAAAATAAACTATTTCAGGGTTATAACTAGTTGAGGGTAGGGACTCTAGAGCTAGTCATATAGGATCATCACCTCAATTATCAATTTTCAATTCTGCCTTTCATTTAGCAGTGGAGAGAATTCATCCATAATTTAATTTTATAGACAGTTCAGGGGATAAGACATGTGCCATCAATTACGTTTTCACTCGTTGACTTAAGGCAGTGTTCTCTGAGCGCATCGCTGCCATGTCATCATCTGCAACATCCAGCCAGTGCCTCATCTTAGCATTCAGGTCCCTTAAGTGGCTTTGACTGTAATCCAGCTCAGCTATTTTCTCAAGCATCTCCCCCTGTGTCCTACAAAGTTTTAAACAAAAAAATGTTTTATACAGTAGATAGATATGAAGTATATCAAACACTCCATCTATCAGTATGTGGGTCCGTTAAGCTGATATCACTCACATGTTGTCCTCTGTGAAATCCATGCTGCTGGCCTGCTCCTCCCTAGTCTATGTAATCAACAAACAGCCCAATGGACATCTTTGCTCATTTCACCACACCAGTTCATTTATAATACCAGTTTACACGTAGGGGAGAGTGGGGTAAGATTTGCCATTTTTCATATTTCTGATCACTACATCAAGTCAATCATAGTTTTGTCTCTAACTAGTTTATATTTCAAGATGCAAGATATATTTCAATTTCTTTTACCATCTCCAAGCAACAGGGGGTGGCTCAACTTACCCTTTGGCTCAACTTACCCCACTCTCCCCTATTTGTTCCTAAAACTCTACATCACAAAAAAATACAATAATTTAGTGGGTAACTTTTCCTGAAAATAAGTCTGCCAATATTTCACTCAGCTGCTAGTAATGACTTAAAATACCGAATTTTTAACAAATCGTTGGAAAGGGGAGCCTTCATCCGACTCAAGATAGCTTCCATCTTAACACTGACTTAGTTAGCTGACTCTTACCGTTAAGCTAGCGCGTTTCAGTCAGGCAATACAGCCTATGGTTTTAGTTTACAAGCTCGTTAATGTACAGTTGGTTGGAGTAAAACAAAACTTAACAAATGCTTAAGCAGTAGACTGTCAAAATGTTTCATAAAAAATAATAGTATTAATCAATTACCGGAAAATGCATCCGAAATAGTGAGGCTGGAGCAGCTGATGTAGCTACCAAACTGAATAAAGCAGTCCGGAGTGGTTACCATGGATACAGTCAGGGTTTGCCGGTACAGCGCTAAAATGAAAAAGAGCATCAGGTCATTGAATATGGAAAAAAGAGAAAATTTAACTGGTATAATATTTATTATTACAAAGCATTCTACCGTACTTTTTACCCTTACTCACACAGTTTAACACCTTGTTTAAAAAGTTCATTATTCTTGAAATGTCTGAAATGAACTCATCACCTGATAAAATTGAATGAAGTAAAAAACATTATTGCACACTTCTTAGCAAATGCTTCTTTGACACAATTTATTTAAGAACATTCAAACAGCAGAAATTAAAAAAAAAAAAAAAAAAAAAACAACACCAGTTGGTCTGAACCAAATGCAAAAGCAGACACACAAAAATCATGCAGAGGTTTACTGTGCAAATAAGAAATGATTTGAAAATATAAATCATGTCATTCTCATTAAATATATCACAATTTCAAAGGCCACAAAATCAAAATTACAATAGAAAACAGCAAAACAGAGGGAAATAAGACAGAGGTGTAATGACTCAATAGTTTTCTTTCGTTAAGTACAAGTTATGTCGACTGTGTCCGAGATCCATAGTACATACTTATACCATCGCAGTATGAATATTCATTGTGTTCACATAAAAATGTGTTCACGCAAAATGTGTTTTCAACAGAGGCAGGTAAAACAGTTCAAGGAACAGCACAGAAAACAAATCGATAACTGTGATATATTTGTAGGAACATTTTTTTCTTTCTGTTCATGTAAACTCAAATGATAAGGTTACATCACTGAGCAAGTTTGATAGATATATGTCTCTCTATGTATTTTACCCAACATTTTGTACAAAATTGAATAGTTTCTGTAATTTCAATGCAAAAACAGAAAGCTATAAAAATATAAAACAATATAAACAGTGGCTAACTGAGTCTGAGCACATTATCTTATACACAGTAGATTTGGCTTTTTTGGTTTGTGGATGTCCCTCACTGACTGAAGGATTGACAATATGAATTGACTTACAGAGATAGACTGTTGATGTGTTGTTTCAGTAGATTTTTACTTTTGTGTTCACATCATGACTTTACATGAGTCTGTAAGCTGCAACTTTACAAGTCAAACCATGTTTTCATCATGTGTTTTTCTATGTATGCTTCCTGTAGATTTTAGGACATCACTATGACCCCCTAAGTACATCAGATATGGTTCGCACAAGCACATAACACTTGGTGGTTAGGCACAACCGCAGATACAAGGCTTATGATTGCAGAAACAGTGCAAGCCAAATTTGTATCATTTCAGGCTAAATAAACAGCACGAGAAAGGCTTTCATTGTCACTGCCACCAGTCCCAGTGTGATAAATACTCTGGAGTCATAGACAGCAACTGTGAGTGCTTGTTCACAAGGATTGAAAATTCTTAACTTTTGAAAATCAACTAGAGACATTCTTATTTCAGTGTTATTCAAATACTTTTTCAGTGCCTGGTATTCCAGTGGAACACTTTAATCTTCTGTTTTTATATTCTGAGGCCAGCCTCATCAAGTGCCAACATACCGTCCACAGTCGATCCCCATCAGCACAGACAAAAGGCTGTGAAAAAGGTACTGATGGTCAATTACAATGTTGTACACCCAGTGACATCTCATATAACCAGACACACATTCTTCTTGCTACCCAAGCTACCTCGTCTTGAACTGAGGAATTGAGATCCCCTGCTGCTCCTGCTTCCAATAACACGAACCATCACCAAAAACGTAGAAACACATCTTCTGTTAAAAACCAGGCTTTCAAAGGTTACCGAGTGGGATCCAAGGATCCTGTGACTTTGAAAGTGATTCCATCTCCAGGTAGAGGTGATGGGATGAGTGGGCTGAGCCAACAGATGTACCAGCGACGACCCAGAGATTGGCGTAAGTTACCAAGGAGTCCCAGGCTGTAGGGCCGTCGGTTTGAGTACCACTCCCTGGTGGTCTGTCCCCGAAACATGAGGAAGAGATGGAAGAAGAAAAAGGCAGATACCAGCAGGAAACCCACAACACACGTGTCAGCGATAAAGGCGAAGGCAAAGGCACGTGCTGAGACCTGGCCTGGAGAGAGATAGAACAACAGTACTGATTTAACAGCTGCCAGTGAAACATGTAACAAGTATGTCAGTCAATAAGGCATAAACCAGATCTTACCTGAAACTAGCATAATCCAGGGTATGAGCAGCAGCAGGACGCTGTGCACAGTCACACCCTCCTTCAGTATGACAATGAAGACCTCTGCATTCATCAGCGTGGCATACAGGAGTCCAGACCACATGAATAACAAGCAGCTCAGGAAGTAGCGGTAATTACGGAAGCCTACACAGCGGCCAAAAAAAACGCAATGGTGATCTCTGCGCAGCACACACACATTGCAATCATAGCAGTGGGAGCAGCGAGGAGGAGTGTGCGTCTCGCATGTATAACAGTATCTGTATGGGAAACAAGAAGAAATACATTAAAAGTTATTGTCAAAGGTGGTGACAATGAACATAAATTTAATAGATGAAATTGGCCTTTAAAAATAAACCCCAATTAAAAAGACAGACTTGGAGAACAGGTGGTGAGGTTTCTTAGCTGTGACCAGTCTGTTTATCTGGAGTAGCAAGATGGGTATTTTTCTACGCTCATAAGAAAACTGTTATATGGATCAACTGGTTCATGCAAAACCAATCTGTACCAACATTTAACATATGGCAGCTAATACAAGTGTTTGATTAACTGGAGTGAAAATTGGCCATGGATTTGGTACTGTAACACAAATTTAAAATGAACTCTTTAGGTCTGAACACAATTGTAATAAAACTTATGACAGACTAAATTCACTTTCAAGAGTGAAAAATGTTTTGTTTCTTTTGTAAATAAATGTCTAACCCCTTCACCCATGTGCTTCTAACCTTCACAGACTCCATGAATTGATGCCCATCTCCTAAATATTTGGTCACATGATCAATTTCTTTTACCATTTCCAAGCAACAGGGGGTGGCTCAACTTACCCCACTCTCCCCTTCTGAACACTTAACAGATGTGAAAATGCAGATAATGTACACCAAATGAAGAATGCAGCTCTGTAAGGCTTTTGTTAAATTGAACATCTAGAGTATGAAAGTACTGTCATAGCCACACAGTTGAATGACCACTGAGGTCTAAAATATCACTGCAGGCTTCAATAGAAAGATGTCTAGTAAGTTGAAATGGTACACCTGTTTTAAACCCTGAAAGAAAGTATGGATAATAACATAAATGCAATATAGGCGCACACTGTTGTTCACTTTGGGAAACACAATGTAATGTTTAGTGAGAGTCTGGAACATTATCCTGGTTTGTATTCAGTCCCACAGTAGCCCCTTCCTCACCTCCATCCCTGCCCCATGCCCTCTCCTCCCAGAAATACTCCTTTAATGCTGGGGCTGATCGTGGTGAAGAGTAAGGCATTCCAGCAGATGTTGATCAACATGAAATACTGGGCCAGCAGGTGGACGGCTTTCCACCAGGTGGACCACTCCGTTTTCTTCTGATCCGGATCCAGCGGAGCCTCGACCATGACCAAGTAGCTCACCTCCCCGGTGATCGAGAAGACCAGAAAAGTGTTGAGGACCACAGGGAGGTGGTGACACATCCTCTCGACCCTGCAAAACGCTTTAGTCGCAAAACTCGTCATGTTTCCCGGTCGTCCACCCAAACCCTTCACAAATGAGTGAACAGCTGAGAGAGCGATGAGCTCACTGGAAGGACTGGTTTGACAGACGCACGTTGGTTAGCTTCTTTAGCCAAATAACACACGACTACTCATACTTCCTAAACAAAACACAAAACATAGCTTAAACCTACTTTATCTGCGGTTAAAATATGTGTAAAATGAAAGCTGATCTGGGGAGCTGACACCCTCTCTCAATCACTGCTCCTTACACGGTTTGTACTATGGACGAAATCGAGCCTCACCTAATGGGTGTTACATGAAAATACATCCGTAGTTCAACAACACACTTTGGTTCCCAAAATAGCACACCCTTTGAAAACCACTGATCAAAATGCAATAAAGATTCTGTGATTTTTCAGGGGCCATTGCGTAGATACGTTTAAGTATCGTCATCTATTAAGATAAACTGATTTTGGGACTGGGTTTTTTTTTCTCTCTTTTTTTTTGTCAAGGATTTATTCATTCATATGTTGTAGACATATTAATCTCATAGTATGTAAAGTATAAAAATTCTCAGGTAGTTATTTCAAAGTCACAAATAATCAATTATAAATGAACATACAAAACAAAACAAACAAACAAAACAGAAAAAAAGTGTTGCCTATATTGTCCCTAGTCACTGTCTGTACCTGACTTTCTCCAGTTCAAGGATTTATTTACTTATATGTGGCAAAAAATAAATTTAAATGCAAACATATTTATCACATAGTTTGTATGTAAACTATGCCAATTCTTGGGTAGCTATTTCAAAGTCACAAATAATCACTTTTAAATTAAAAAAAAGAAAAAAAAAGTGTTGCCTCTTTTGTCCCCAATCCCTGTCTGCACCCAATTTTCTCCAGTTCAAGGATTTATTTACATTTATGTGACGTTAAATAGATTTAATTGCAAACATATTTATCACAAAGTACGTACAGTATGCCAATTTTAGGGTAGTTATTTCAAAGCCAGTAAGAATTAATTTATAAACTCAAAAAACAGTGACCTGACTGCTTTTATACTGTCAATAAGAGCCCTTAGGTGGCAGGACATAAATGTTTGCTGGACTCTTACAGATAATAAAAGTAAATTAGTCGTTCGTTTTGAAAATGTTGTATTAATGTGAAATTCACTTTTACTCCTTTATTTAAGCTGGTGATTGAGTAAATTATTTTTTTATGGTAACAAAAAATCTGTCATAACTGTTAAGACACATTATCATACCCATGTGTGGATGGCAGCACTTCTCTGGTCCCTCCCCCCTAAAGCTCAGACCTTAATCCCTGATAATCTGAGTGTCCACTGAAAGCCTGCAGTCATGGCTGCACAGAAGGAGAATTTACTGTCTTTTGTGAATCTGACCGGCACAGAGAGAAACTCTTCCATGAGACAGCATGGCCTCGAAAAGAGGTAAGATGCCATGTCATTGTGGAGTGGTAAACACTGGGTTTTTGCCTTTTTTTAAGTACTGAAGGGAATTTTAGCTCAATAGATTGTACAAATAATTTTTGAGGTCATACATTAGTGTGTGTCTGTGTGGCATGTATAACCACGATGCTGTGTTATAATGCATTGTATCTCACATGTTCAATAGGCCAGTGCTGTGGCAGGCTGGCTTTTCAACACCTCAGAGTAATCAAAGGCTGTAAGTGCACATACAAAATAAGAAGAATGTGAGTCTGACGGTGTGAATGGTTTCTGAAATTTACCTTTGCACATGTGTGTATTATGCAGCACAGCGATGCAACGTTGGCAGGAGCTGAAGGAGAGAGAGTTTAAAGCCCAACAACGCAACAGAGAGTTGCTTCAGCAGTTTGAAGAGGCACAGGACAGACTGAGAAGGATGCTAACCCTCACCGCTACCATGAAAACTATTCGGGTGCGCAAAGAAAAACACAAACACAGTGCAAAATGCAAAAGAAGGCTTCTTACTTCACATTACTCAGCTGCACTCTTGTCTCCCTTTTCCTGAACCCTTTACTTGAACTTTGACCCCCGCAGACAGAGTATGAGCGCTATCTGGAGGAGAACTCGCCACGATGGGAGAAACAACTCAAGGAACATACACAAGCTGCTTGGAAGAAGGTACCAAAAATCAGCCTGTATTAATGTATACTCACCGGCCACTTTATTAGGTACACCTGTCCAACTGCTCGTTAACACTTAATTTCTAATCGGCCAATCACATGGCGGCAACTTAGTGCATTTAGGCATGTAGACATGGTCAAGACAATCTCCTGCAGTTCAAACCGAGCATCAGTATGGGGAAGAAAGGTGATTTGAGTGACTCTGAACGTGGCATGGTTGTTGGTGCCAGAAGGGCTGGTCTGAGTATTTCAGAAACTGCTGATCTACTGGGATTTTCACGCACAACCATCTCTAGGGTTTACAGAGAATGGTCCGAAAAAGAAAAAATATCCAGTGAGCGGCAGTTCTGTGGGCGGAAATGCCTTGTTGATGCCAGAGGTTAGAGGAGAATGGCCAGACTGGTTCGAGCTGATAGAAAGGAAACAGTGACTCAAATAACCACCCGTTACAACCAAGGTAGGCAGAAGAGCATCTCTGAACGCACAGTACGTCGAACTTTGAGGCAGATGGGCTACAGCAGCAGAAGACCACACCGGGTGCCACTCCTTTCAGCTAAGAACAGGAAACTGAGGCTACAATTTGCACAAGCTCATCGAAATTGGACAATAGAAGATTGGAAAAACGTTGCCTGGTCTGATGAGTCTCGATTTCTGCTGCGACATTCGGATGGTAGGGTCAGAATTTGGCGTCAACAACATGAAAGCATGGATCCATCCTGCCTTGTATCAACGGTTCAGGCTGGTGGTGGTGGTGTCATGGTGTGGGGAATATTTTCTTGGCACTCTTTGGGCCCCTTGGTACCAATTGAGCATCGTTGCAACGCCACAGCCTACCTGAGTCTTGTTGCTGACCATGTCCATCCCTTTATGACCACAATGTACCCAACTTCTGATGGCTACTTTCAGCAGGATAATGCGCCATGTCATAAAGCTGGAATCATCTCAGACTGGTTTCTTGAACATGACAATGAGTTCACTGTACTCAAATGGCCTCCACAGTCACCAGATCTCAATCCAATAGAGCATCTTTGGGATGTGGTGGAACGGGAGATTCGCATCATGGATGTGCAGCCGACAAATCTGCGGCAACTGTGTGATGCCATCATGTCAATATGGACCAAGCTCTCTGAGGAATGCTTCCAGCACCTTGTTGAACCTATGCCACGAAGAATTGAGGCAGTTCTGAAGGCAAAAGTGGGTCCAACCCGTTACTAGCATGGTGTACCTAATAAAGTGGCCGGTGAGTGTAGATCATTCTAACTGTTTCTATTTCCACTTTTTTTTTTTTTTTTTTTTGCTTTAAACAAGATTTAACATTGTTCCTGTTTGTCAAACACAATAAGAGAAGGGTTTATCACCATAAATGTTCAAGAAATTTCAATAGGCTGCACACCAAAAATCTGTGCCGGGGGGATATAAAACCATTTTTCCCTGACAGAGAAAGGAGGAGTATTCGAGGAGATCACTCGTAAAGAAGACAGAAGGGATGAGAAATTCTTTGTCAGACCGACCTTTACTCGTACAAGGTTTGTCGCTCCACTTCTTTGTCCTTGGTTTTTCAGGGACTCAGAATTCAGAATCAATCCTTACATATCTTATAGAGAAAACATTGCTGCTCCATCTGAACATTAATCTCTGATTGCAGACCCGACTTCAAAATCAAAAGACATTCCTGGACCTCAAAGTATCAACAACCAACACAACTACTCAGAATACAACCAAGATGGCTCTTCTCACCTGCCTTTCATGCCCCCTACCTGGCTCACCCAATCACAGTCTTCAAGGCTTCCCATCAGAGCACCCAGTTATCAGCCTCAGCCTTCCTCTCATGCCCCTCAGTCTTTCCCACTACCACCCTTCTTCCCACAGCCTCATCTGCTTCCTCCTCCCCACTTTGCCACCCACTGCCCTACAGACTGGGGGTTCCTGCCGCCAGAGTACCTGTGCTCCCCTTCAGCAGGTGCGGCTGGACACCCCTCAGAGTCTGGGGCTCCATGGGGTCAGCCTCCTCCTGAGAGAGGGGAGGCACACCTCAGTGAGGAAGGAGCAGGAACCAGTAGATCAACTAGTTCACAGAGAGAAGGAGGTGGTAGAAGCAAGAGGAGTCAACTGTCCCAGGAGCTGGATGTCAAACCAGGTAGGAAAGAATGACAAATTGAGCTTTGATGTATTTTCAACCATGTTTTGACCTCGAGGCACACTCTTTAAATTCTTGTATAATTTTTATATTTCTGATGATACTGCCCCCTCAGTTCGCCTCTCCAGCGGTCATGCAGGGAGCAGTGAAAGCAGCAGGGAGTCTGATCAGGCGAGCAGCAAAGAGAGAAAGAAGAAGAGGAGGGAAAAGGGAGGAAGGGTGCAGCATTCCTCTTCAGGGAGAGAGACACCGAGCTCTAAGGAGTAAGAAATATTCTCAACAGATGGCTCTGGACTGGTTGCAACACATTCAGCTACCTTGATCACCCCCAAACTTTAAAGTGCACCAACCTGTGAAACAAGTTGTCTCTGTTCCTGTGTGTCTACCTCCTAATCTTCCATAATTAAGAAGTCAGCAATGTGTCTGAAGTAGTTTCATCTTTAAAAAAAGTCTACATGTTCTCTATTTCAACCAGGATGACTGACTCATGCAGGAGTGGCTTAATGTGTTAATGAATAACATTTGCTGACTCTTTCTTTCCCTGCTTATTAAATCTACTCTGACTACTAATATCAAAGGAACTGATACTGAGGTCAGACTACACAATAGAAGTTTGTTTATTGCCCTTTTCTAGCACATGTGAAGTTTTGGGATCTATCACCCCCAAAATCAATTGTTCTGTGATCCCATGTGATGTGTCATTACCCAACCTCATCTGGGACACCACATGACCTCCTGACAGAAAGTCTGGCATGTTAGATTCATCTTTTGGCCCTCCAAAATCTGTGCTGTCTTATTGGAGGTCTGCACATGCAAAAAACAGAGGTGTGGTGCTCTGAGACTGAACTATAAGACAGATGAAGTTTGTCAAGCTTTGGCAACAACATCCCTGACTCTAATGTGTCATTGACGGACTAAGATAACAAACTGAGAGGTTGGTGAGAGATCGCAGACACACTTCAGCAACCATTTACAAGGATGGCGTTAGCTCAAAGCTAGCACACCAACCATCACAGCATTTAGTTAAACAAACACAGTATAAATAATCAGTTAGCAGTTTATTAGGGTTTTTTTTTGTTTTCAAAAATGCTGTTTTTTTTAATCTAACGCTGTCCAGCCCAGATTTCGTCCTTCCAGCATCATGTCATTGATGATTGGTAATGACTGACAATCTTGTATTTCTCTTACCACAGGAATAGAAATTATTTATATTCTCAGCTCCAATAGAAATCCACTATTTTACTGTTTTATCCTTTTCAGTGCATTTTCCGTTGATTTATTATTTTTCTCAGATCATCTAGGACTTCAAGTGCCATCATCTTTGCTGCAGCCACAGTGGCCCAAAGCTCAGAGAGCGATGCCTCATCTGAGAAAAGCGTAAGGACCAGGAGGGGTGGAGAAGTTACTGTTGCGTCACCAAGGCTACAGAAGGTGATGAAAGAAGGAAGCAGAGGAAAAGAGGACAGCTCAGGGGATTGCAAAGAAAAGAGTCAGTGTACTGGTGAAGAGGTGGAGAGTCCTGTTGAGAAATCCAGATGTGAAGAAGCAGGAAACACGGATTCTGGATCTCAGGGGGAGGAGGAATCTGGAAGTGTAAGTGTAAAGATTGAAGAGGAAAGTGGAAATGAAACAGAAAAAGATGAGAGTGGAAGCTTTGGACCAGAAAGTGGAGCAGAAAAGGATCTGGGGGAGGCGGATAGACAAAATGATGCTGGAGAAGAAGAGAACATTAAGTCTGATGAGGAGCATGAGGAGAGAGAAGATGAAAGGGAGGATAAAGAGGTTTCTGAAGGACAGAGTACAAGCGAGGATGACAGTCAGACAGGAGCAGAGGATGAGCTGGGGGAGCAGGAATCGGAGGAGGAGGAGGAGGAGGAGGAGCAGAAGTTAAAGAAGGAAGACAATGAGGTGAGGAAACAGGATCCTGTATCCTCACAGGATGAAGAAAACAGCAAAGGAAACGAGGATGATGTGGAGCCGTCTGAGGAGTCAAATGAAGAAGACGAAGGAGGGAGTGAGGAGGAAGAGGAGCTGAGTGGTGGTAAAGCAGGAGACTCAGAGAAGGAGGAAGATTCAGAGGACAGTATTGTTGTACCACAAACCAACAGGTAAGGTAACGATAACTAAACAATCTCACTTGCCAAGAGAGTTCCCGTTTGATTCAATCTCGTTTTTCAGAATTAAAAAGATCTATGTGATTCCTGAGGCTGTTGAGGATGAAGAAGATAAGGATGAAGAAGATGAGGAGCAGGAGGAGGAACCTAAAACAGGATCATCTGATGATGACTCCAATGGTGTCAGTGATGAGGACATTGAGAATCTACTTGCACCTCAAGACCAAATGAATAAAAAAAAGTGAGTGTTTTCCTAAAGTGGCTGAATGTCAGAACTTTGCCTGGAACTCAACTCATATTATTTTTTTTATACCATTTTTCAGAGAAAAGGAGGAGGAGAAGAAGAAACCCACAGGTACAGAATGGTCAATCTTTACAACCTATTTATAATAGATATTTTTTTCTCTAAATAACACATAAAAGGACAATAACAACATGATTTAGTTCTGTAAAAGCATTTCTCCTGGTCAAAAATATCATTCTTCCTGTTCATATTGCCATGAAGACTTTGAACACTGGCAACAGTATTCTTCCTGAGAAAACTTTGACTTAGATATCTATGGTCTAATTGTTCATGCCTGAAACGTAACTTTGTTATTCAAAGCTGTATGAGAGATCTCTGAAATAGTTCCTCGAGTTCTTTCTTATGAATGAAAACGTTGATTTTATCAGGATATATGTCCTGATTTGTATCATTTCTGTTGCAGCACTCTGTGATAAGGTTGAGCTCTTTCAAGTGAAGGAATACAGATCAACAAAGGAGGAGAACGTCAGTGACTCCGATGAGTTTGACCATTTCTATGACTAAATACGTCACTCAACTGAACTGACACAGTAAAAGGTAAAAAGTGTTTAAAAACAGCTATGGATATCTACATGTTTTATATTTTCATAATCCTCAAATGATGTTTGTCACCAAGGATGACTCAAATACAAATGAATTATTTATTTTATTTTCAGATACAATCTATGGTTCAAAAGAAGTGACGGTCTTCTGAGGGTTACATCTCTTATTAGAAAACAGAAATAATGCAAACAGATCCAAAATGATCTCTCAAAGTGTGACAATAAATTATTGAAAGAGTTTGTTTTTTTCTGTTGTCTCTGATTGAACATTTAAACACTGTCATTATAAAAACATTCAACCTACACAGACAATAAACTAACCCAGAGTATGGTTTCAGCAGAAATTCTGGCATGTTTTCCACCAAACACAGCATCCGAAGCTGTTTGCAAAACTGTTTCAGGATTACTCAGCCTGTTTCTGCAGGGCACAACGAGCACTCAAGTCTTTATTTTCTTTAGATTTTCACCACCTGAGCAGTCAGGCAGGGGCTCACTCTCTTCTCGTCATCTGAGGTGTCACTGCGTTGAATGAGAAGTCTGCTGTAAGTCCCACCCACCTGGCCTTTGGTCAGCCGCCCAGGATTCACACACACACAGCCGACCACCTCCTGAGCAGAGGCGGAGATGACGTTTACATAAAACATTTTAGCAAAAAGACAACACCAATCTGAAATTTAGCATCCAGTAAAATTATGTTTTAGTGTTTTCAGTGCAGGTCAACGTGTTAAGACTTCTTTTTTGCACTCTCCCTTAACCAACTTTGAATCTTTTGAATCTCTGTTGACAGAAACAGAAAGTGTTTACCTTTACAAAGTAGCGCAACTCAGAGGGAATGATGAGAACATCGGGGGTTAATGGCATTTGACCAAAGCTCTGAAACTTCTCGTAATCCATGTTAACCTCCTCTGCAGGCGGGTACAGCGGGTAGTAACTGTTGAGTTAAATCAAAAACATAGGATTCATTCATTTTTGCTGACGCTCAAATATAAACATATGAACTCTTCAGGGACTCTTACCTCCTCTGAGTTAGAATGTGTTTCAGTATCCGTGAAAATCTGTCCGATCCAGTGCCGCTGCAGCACGACAAATTCGAGAATTTAGACATGAAGTAATAGCATCATGACAGATAATGCAACTCTTTGTTGTGCCTTAGAGTCATGGAGTTTAACTTTAATTACAAATAAAACCAATTTAGTGAGTTAGCTCTGTTGTTGGATGTGTGTCATAATAAAAAGTGTCGATTTCTCCTAACAGTCCTCCTCACCTGCTGATCTCTTCTGCACCCATGTGGAACAGGATGTCTGTGGATGTCAAGCCAAAGGTCACACCATCAATCAGCAGGGTGCAGGGGTCAGGGACCAGTGTGACACGCTAGAGATAGAGCAAAGAAACACACTGTGTGAAATAACATGATGTGTAACAGTTGAATTTTATCGATATCTTAACCATGACAACTTCTTCTCTGCTTGAATTTGAAAAGTCAAGACACACAACACAAATTTAAAAACCAGAAGTGGGACCCTAACACGACGTCGTTAAATCTTCAGTTACCATTAGACTAAAGTGAAGACAGTTTTTCAGGTTATTATGTTTACGTGCTGTATAAGATACAAAGTTTAGATCTGTGCGAATCAGAACCTGGACTTGGTCTTTGCTGAGGTTTGACAGGGTAAAGGGAGGCTGTGGGTAGATGAAATGATGATGGATGTCTCTCTGGGAGGGCACAAACACCAGGTGACAGCCAATGCTGAAAACACAAAAAAGAGGAAGTCTTAAGATGGTAAAAGTTTGTAGTTAGGGTGTGTCTGAAGTTAGCGTAGTCACGGCTAGTCTGTACAGCTGCTTTAATAATGTATCAACAGACAGGGGTAACCTGAGATCTACCTTTTGGTGCCATCCACAATGCTTTCAATACATCTTGAGAAAATGGCCTCGAAGGTCTCTGTCACCTGGCCTTTCTATTTGAGAAACAGACAAAGAAAGTGCAGAACCAGAATAATGCTGTTAACTTGTTGAACTAAAGAAGTTAACATTGCCATGCATGAAATTTAGACGAGAACGATTCAACAAACTAAACATGCTAGCTGCTAAACTGACCTCAATCTGTTCATGTTTGGAATCCACAAACGGGCCGAGCTGGAGAAGAGAAAGTTTAATTACAAAATTCGTACGCAACCAGAAATGTCAACAGCAATTCTGTGAGCCGACAGACAAAAAGTCAAAAGATAAACTCCTGCAGTTTATCTACAAAAATAAATCAACAAAATAATGAATACAAAATAAACTTTACCAGCAGGCAGACATCTGGACGATCCCTGGCAATGACATTGATTAGGTCCAGCAGAGGGTCAAAAGTCAAGCTGTCAGAGGGAGTGTACGGTCCACACGCAACCAGTATGTTCAATGGCTCTGCAACCAAATGAGGTGATGATTGATGAATTTGCATTTACTAAAAAAATATACAATGACCTGAGAGTACATCTGATAAAAGCAGACAGCACCAGTGTAGGTACCAGATGTGTTCAGGCTGCCAGATCAGCTCAGGGCCCTGAAGACGTCACATTAAGGCAAGTCCTAACAGACAAACTACATTGCACTGCAGTTAATGAGTCAAATGTGCTCGGTTAAAAGCTCCTCGCGGTTTTCTTTATTTCCGTTCGTTCAATCAATTGACTTTGAAACTTTCTCTCCATTTAATAAAGAGAACTACGACTTACTGTATTCTAATTTTTAGATGGCTTTAATTGTATACGTTAACTTTTCTAAGGAAAAAGAAAACAAATGTATGCAAGATCTCCGTTTATCAATAGATAGTTTAGTTTTTATTCCACATTTCCTTTGGCAACCTAAAAGAGGCGGTAGTCCGGCTGTCTTCAGTCCTCTTTGATAAGTAGCGATAGATTGCTTCATAAAATTTGTCCATGTTTTCTCTGAAGAACTATAATCCCATGAAAACCATTTCTGTTACCACAATCTTCTCCTTATCCGAACCAACTTCCAGCCAATCGTATAGCACACCTGGTACCTACACCAGCACTGCTGCTAAAGCTGTTGAAAGCTTCATGTTTAACAATGATTTATTTAAATCACTACACATAAAGGATGCTCTGAGACAGTAAAAATACCTTACCATCACTTGTCTCCATTTTCACCTCAGAGGTATAGAATGGAAGTGGACTCCCCTAACAGAGGACAACATAATTGAATACACAGTGTCTTGAATACTTGATCTGATTTTTGACCAACACTGAGTACATGTTGCTTGTGGCTGACCTCATACAGTTTAGAGGCCATCAGTTTTCTTCCTGTTGTGTTCATTCCCTCCATCGCCACCACCTGACAGAATGGAGGAAGAGGAGAACATGAAAAGAGGGGAAAAAGTTTAACAATATTTACATAATTTAAAATTGATGAACGGCTGTCAGAGTTCTCGGTCAGACACTGGGTGAGACTTCCGCCCAGGTCCTTGGCATGCTCTATCGCTTTTGGTGGCTCTGTATCCTGCTGCACACATCTCAGTGCATAGGAAAAGGAGAAACCACCTCACAATCTTCACTGGTTGTTTACAACAGTAGACCATATAGCAGAAAGTAGCTGAAAATTGACCAAGAGGTGACTTTTAAGTTGACAGACACAGATTTTCTTGAAGACAACACCAATCCTTCTGCTCACCTGACCAGGAAAGAGGGAGAACTCTTTGAGTTCTGATAGATCAACAGGTACTTGTTGACCACCTTGCTCTGGTCCTGCTTCCAGCAGCACCGACTGTGCGTTCAATTTGCCGTTACTGTCGCAGCAAATCTGACCCAACACTGTTATACTGTCCTACAGAGAAAGATGTTCAAATAATGCTGATTAGTCGCACAATGTTTGATTATGCAAACACCATATTAAACCATGCAGGCCAGACTGGCAAAAATAACAGAGGAGGAGTCATATAAGGATCATTAACCATGTAGGGCCTATTCGGAGACCAAATCATAGTACTAATATTTTTTAATTGGAAAATTCACATTCACAACTTTTCCTGCACTTTGATTTAATACTTAGTTTAGCCTTGACAAGCTGTCACAATTGTCAGTAAGTAAAACTGTAAACTGTCAGTTTGGGTAAAAAACAAGTTAGTTTTTAAGCTTTTGTGACTCAAATCCAAAATTATAACAAAATAAATTCAGTTTTTTCACTTTGTGGTCCTCATTCTTGCTGCCTGAGATGTTATTTATTTTATTTCACCAGGAAAGCCTCATTGGGATGAAAAATCTCTTTTACAAGAATGTCCTGACTGAGACATTCGCAGCACATTCAAACAAAGTTACAAACATACATACACAGACACTGGTTAAAATTTGGTAACATTTCGCTCTCTTTCATTCTTTGCTCTGTTATGCTAAAACCTCATAATGAAAAAACAGGAATATCTGTTTTGTTTCCATAAAACCTGTGTACCTGGGCTGGCAGAGAGACGGGGGAAAACTCTTCAATGTTGAAGTGAGACTTTAGGCTCTCACCGAGCTCCTCAATTTTTTCTGTCAACACTGAGAAAAACAAAAAACAAAAAGATTCTCCACTCCGTAAGTGTGCGTTTGATGAGGTGTAGTTGGAGCGATTAACAGTCAGATTCTCTTACCATTTCGTACATCCCGCTGCCTCTGAAACATGTACTTGTAGCTGCAGCGGAGAGATTCTTCAGGCCCTTCGAGCAGCTCCAGCTGGACACCTGCTCCTGGGGCTTTCCTTCCAGTCCAACGGGTTCCCTGCACAGCCCCGAATGACACAACCACCTCTCCTTTGGCTCCACGCTGGCTGTACTTCTGTGACGGTGTTGCACTGTCACAAAGAGATATTAGAAAAAAGGATGAGTCGGATCAAAGCATTGCTCCTTGCGTTATCAAAGAAAACATGGCTGGGAAAAGCAAGCAGATGTTAACCACTTGGAGGATGTGAGAAAGTGTCTATCGTCTACGGGTCCCAGAAGCTATGATCTGAACTGAATCCTGAACTGTTCAGCTGTGTATCAGTTCAGGAGGTCAGAGTCGCAAGCTTCTCCCACCAAACGCTACATGATTTGGTGATTTGGTGAATGAATCTTTCGAACGAATCTTTTGAACGAACTGATTCTAGTGATTCAGTACATCTAAAAGAACTGCCATGCCCATCACTAAAAGTAAGAAAAGATCCCATGTTTGTGAGCACCAGCTCTTTGTCCAGCAGTGTGCTGACTGGCTGTCTGTGCTCTTAGAGACTACCTGGGAGAAAAGCTGGCAGGAGACAGCAGCAGGCCCGGGCTGGCAATCAGAGCTGCTGTTCTTTTGGATTGTGGGTGTTCAGGGGTGGTCAGTGCCCGCTTCTGTGAGCCCTAAAAAACACACAGTTATATTTACAACTGGACCAGCATCTCCTTCATTTAGCTTAAAACTGTTAGTCTCAACAGAAACCGTCTGTAGTAAAGAGGGGCTGCATACCTTAGCAGGAGTACAGTAGGCGTCCAGTAGATTCTCCTCCTCTTCTTCAGCTTTGATTCTGGATAAACCGTGTCAGGGACTGTCACAAAAAAGACATTACTAAATCCTAATGATAGATGTCATGTGTGAGAAATCTCCATGAAGGATACAAGTCCTGCAGTGAATTGATGTCCCTGGTTCTGTTGTGACTGTCTTCTTTTCTGGAGCTTGGTTTAGATTTACCTTTCTTGTTTATCACCTGCAAAGAAAGTGAAGACACTTATAGTCATATTATTTGTTTAAAATAACATGATGAATTTGTATATATGAACAGGAAGTATGGCATTTTCAGGTTACCTCATGATCGAATTGCTCGAGGGTGTCTAGGGTGAGCTTGAGTCCATTTTTGGTGGTGCTGTAGGCCACCCACTCCAGGACCATTTCATCCGCCTGTATCCTGTTACAGATGCACAGTTCCACCACTGAGAGACACAACAGGAATAAGGGAATAACAGGTGAAAAATATCAAATTTATCACATCTCAAAAACAGTAAACAGATGCGCCTTAGTGCTGCAAAACCTCAATTTTAGGTGTAAGTAAAAGTGACAACATTGGTGTACATTTGAGGAGTTTAGAGCTCACAAAAATGTCCGAAAACATCAACAAAGTATGTGACTCAGAGACACTTACACTTATCGAGGACGGAGTCATCTTGACAGGGTATGTCAAACATCTCCAGCTCCGTCTGAAGGCTTTCTCCTGTAACTTGTACCATTGTTTTTGAGGACGACGACTCTGTATAATGTGCATAAAACGTTGTTTTAACGAGACGCAGGAGGCTAACGTTAGCTTTGCCCTGAGTTCAAAACATCGCAGGGATCCAAATGCCTTTATTAAACAACTTCTTGTACTGACTGCGACGGATAAACAACAATTAGACGAAGATATGACACGGGAAGGACATTAAGCGTCTGTTTCATTTTACCGCGAAAAAGTGCTGACTGTGTTGGCGGCCGGAACTTACGTCACAACATGACACACGGAAGTTTAAGCTCTCACCAAAATAAAAGCCACTTACGCCTCCCAGTGGTACTCGTATACGATAATACGTTTCAATCATAGACTGTATATGGGTCATTCCATGAAATCGGTGCCTTTTGCGTCCCCAAGAAGTAATCATTCATAAAATTATGATATGATGATAAAAATATCTAATTAGAGAAAAAAATCCACAAAATAAAATAATCTCAATGGAAAGAGAGACTAAAGTACTGTTAATACATGTACCATATATTACATATTTCTAATTAGAAATAATGTATTTTGTTAAGTTTATGTCGGTAACAGGGTTGACAAGATTATGAAAACAGCCAGGAGAAACATGGCTGTAAAATATGAAATAACACAGCCTAAGTTGGCACAATATAATTTCCTGTCATAAACATTCTTTGATTCCTGGGTACTTCAAAATTAACAATTAAATACAGTTTAAATTTAAAAAATTTTTGAGCTGAAAAGGCACCAATTTCATGGAATGACCCATACACTATGTCTAGATAGTATACAAGACCATACAGTCCATGTTTTCAATCAATCAAATATAATCAATACGTTAAAGTAGTTTGTTTATAACAGCCATTTATAGTGTTTTCATCATTTATTTATCCAGGTTGATTTAACAACCATGACCAGAAATACAGAGGGATTTATCGGAACATCACAGTTACAATATTAATTTATATATGGATTGAAGAACATCTTAGCTTTCTTTTGTTTTGTACCATTCCGTCTTTTAAGGGCATCTACTGATTAAAAAAATGTAAACACAGGTTAATCTAAGATAAGGTTTAATACATCTTTCTTTTCTTTGTAATGGTATCTGTTTTTAATTCCCTTACTGTGGTAACACCCTTACATTACAAGAAGAAACAGATACAAAACTAAGTGAAAACAAGTATTACTATTGCTAGCACTTATCATCACAAACAAACACAACAAACTGCTTTCACATTCATCACTCAGAACAAAACTCCTGCAACACACAAGCAGACAGTCTCAGATTTCTGTTCTCGTCGGCTCATCACTCTCCAGATGTTCATCCATCTGTTAAAACAAACAGTACTTTTAGATTATGAATTAATAAGAGACTCTTTAAAGCACCTTAGGCACTTCTACAGTAACAGATTGGTTTGTAAGTAAAAAAAACATCCCACAAACCTGATCTGTGTAACATCCACTCCTGGAGACGAATTTCAGTGACGTGACTCTCCTCAGTGTTTTACACACCAAGGTTGATAAATCATGGGTGTCACTCACCTGACAAACACAAACATTATGGATGCACACCTGAACAGAAATGTACAAATGTGTAGTCCCTCATTGCATGGAACAGATGAATTGTAAAGTGCTGCTGATAATTTTATTAACTGAAAAAAATAAACAAATTATCAACATTACATGAATAATATGAGTCATAAAAATGTGTCTCCCCTTTCAACCCTTGGTATCATTACACATATTTTTTTCCAAATTCCTCGCTCCCTTACCTTCATACAGTTCAAACAGGCATTTCGAAAGTCCATGTTACTGCTGCATCTCATAATACTGATGGATGCGCTGGCAATCACTGCAGAAGCTGAGCGAAGCTTTTCTTGTTGCTGGGGAAACACACACGAACACACAATATCAGGAATCAAAACAACCATTTTTCATTATTGTGATAATTTTTTCCTCCTTCAATTAAGAAATATATGTTTGACAAAGACAAAAACACAATAATCACATAAATCGGATCCCATGGTTGTGTTTAATTGTTGTTTTGCTGAATTACAGGCATCATTTTCATAGATTAAGTGGTAAAAAGTCAAGAGAAAAGCCCAAAGTCCATATATTTGATGAGCCCCAATTGGCTTTTTAAAAAAATCTTTGCTTGATTATATAAACATGTATAAAAAAAGCAGTGCAATAAAATGATCAACAAATCTTTTGTTAGGGAATTTTTATGCTAATTAATAAGAAAATCACCAAACACAATTGAAGAAATAATAAAAATAATGAAAAACTACAACATCACATTAAAAGACACTGACCCTTTGTCTGTGTTTTTGGGCTTTCAGTGCGCTCCTCAGCTCAGTCTGCAGGGCTGTTGTTACTGCCTGCCTGTTGTTGTTCAGAATATCCTCCAGGTGGTGCTCTATCAGTGCCTCATTGGCTGTTGAAGAGTTATATATCAACAGTCACAGAGGAGTTACTGTATAATCTATAAATCATAATAATCCACTTCATTGTAGTTTTTTTAATCATACACACAGACTGCCCCTCACCCACGATATCAGAGAGCTGGCAGGTGAAAGGGTCACTGTGCTGCAGGAAGAGGAGAAGCAGGAGGCTCTGCTGCACTGCGGGAAGATCTGATTCCCGCTCTTCAACTTTACAGTTTTCTTGTTTCACTGTGTACACAGTTTCACCACAGTGTACAAGCTCTGCGGGGGATGTTGAATGATTTTGTGGAAGATCAGAAATGAGAGAGAAGACCAAGAGAGAGCAAGATTACAGGGGATTCTTTCCACTGTGCCAGGAAACATTCTGCGTGTCCACACTGGTTGAAGGTACATTGGGACAGCAGTAGGTTGCAAAATCAAGAAACTTGCGTCACATTGTGGAAACAGAAGACAGATGAACCTTTGGGTGAGGCAAGTCATCGCTCGAAAGGCTTTTTTTGTAATTCTAGCAATAAAAATTGTCATCAATTAAGGTTCAAAGATTTGGCTCTTGTTTACAAACTCTTTTCCTGGACATGTAGTAACAGCATCCTCTTAGTGTAATACTGTCCGCTCTGGTCTATTATGTTCATTAATGAGGATTCTGGGGCCTAAGGCGCTTATTGTGTCCTGTGCATGAATAAGCAGACACTTCAGAACAGAGTGTGTGAAAAGTGGTTGAGGCTCTGGTTGTGACTCATTGTGTAGTCTATGAGGGAAAAAGGCCTATTATGCAAGAAACACTTTTAAGAAACTGTCCAGCTCTTTACCACCAAAGGACACCATGTTGTGTTTTAGTATCAGTGGCATTAACTATTAGGTGATGACTGAGCTTCATATTGGGCAAAGCATTGTCAGAAATGCTTATAAAAGATTTTACTTTAAAGCTAGTCTTGAGTTCACTTCTCTGAATGCTTGAAGAAAATTGATTTCAACATCGAAGAGTAAATTCATTGAATAAGAGTCATTTTCAGAGAGGCTGACTGTTGTCTGGACTCACAAAGTTTAAATTGTTTTACTTATGGTCAGCCCCCTGTTTGTCTGGTATTTTAATAAGAGAAACCACTTTGATTATTTTCATTCATACATTCACAAACTGGTACTTTGGAGATTAAAACTTAACAACTCTAAGTTTTATGTGGCCAAAGACGAACATTTTTAAACATCCATGAAAAGACATCAGTGTTGCTCACCCCAGCCAAGTGTTAGCAATTTTCTTATAGTGAAATCTAAGGCGAAATTAAAGGTGTGACTGTATGGTGGCAACTGACCATACAGTTTAATCTGTTATGATTAGGGTTAAGTTGAATAGCTGTATGATCCTGACAAATAAAGCTATGTAAACTCCAAAGCAGGATCAAACTCAAAGACAATCTGAGAATTTTCCCACACCTCAGCTCTCTGCTGTGAGATCTGTTTGCTTGTGGATGCTGCACTACTTTTTACATCGGGACTAAATGTTTGTAATCAACATAAACCACTAGTGCAGATTGGTTACATGTGAATATAATTCAAAGAAGATGCCTTTTCAGTACTGGAGCCCAGATTTGCAGTGCTGGAGTCCTTCCTCTGCAACTGCTGACCCCTCTAAGGTTTTGGGAGTGTTTTCTCCGAGTGGCTATTGTTGTGTTTGGTTTTATTTTTCAGTGTTTTCCTCAGATTCAAATAACAAACTTTTGTGATCCATTAAAGATTTTATGGGAAGCCTCGGGACAGGGCTGTGTGTATATTCTCCGATAAACAAAGACAGGTGGTTAGAATTAGTGTTTTTCCATTCTGGCCTCATAATGAAGAGGTAATAAACTAAGTGTTTCAGGGTGTCTCTTTTCAAGACGAGATTAACTGTCCTTGACTTCAGACCAACTTCAAGATCAACCAAGTCGCATCCAAGACAACTGGACATTACAGTTCCTTTAAAAATGTTTCACTGCTATCAGCGTGTGCGTGTTGTGGCTGTTTTCTACCTTTGAAGGAGGAGCAGTGAAGGCTGTCCAGGCCCAGATCCTGACAGTCCAGATGTGCAGGAAGGTTCTGGAAGATAGAGGGGCCTGTGACAGGGACGTTACTAGGGCTGTATACCAAAATCTGAACCAGAGAAGTTAAGGACTAATACATTTTAGATGCCTGAATCACCCAAACAAATGTCAACACCAAGCAGCAGTGGTCCAGCTCTGAGCTTGCCCCAGATTTTTCCGCTTTTTCCTTTTTCGTTCTTCTGTTCTTCAGCTCATACCGCTTTTCTTTATTGGCATCTATATTTGTGTTTTACTCTTAAGAACTTCTTGCTTTTATTTTAATGTGTGTGCAATTTTAAAACACCCTTGCCCCCCTTTGTCCTGTTCCCTGTGCAGTGTTTACGGATAACAGTCCTTCAAAGAATCAACCAAACAGCTGACCTGGCACAAATTTACCTCCTGAGTATGAGCTCCATCTGGGCTGCTGGGAAACTTCATTCCTCTGCACACAACTGTCAGTTTGTCTGACCATTTCTGTAACTTTCCATAACAACATTCACAAACATCTTCGTAAACTTCTCTCGAGTACATTTTTAATCTGAGAACTATCTACCAAACTCTTTCACAAACCCTGTGTCTATGGCGACTGTGGCTACTTTAAACAACCATTACATATTTGATATCTTATGTGATCAAACCAAAAGTCTTAGGATCCAGTTGTTTTCAGCTCTTCCTCACTAGTGAACAAACCCCTAATATACTTTAACATTATCCCTTATAGGATGAGTTCCACCATGGTCCAGAGGGAGTAATCCACTCATTTCCAGCTGTGTCCCATGACTACAGATCTGAAGGTGTTGACCCTCATCCCAGCTTTCACATTCAGCTGGAGGCCACGTCATGGTCTCATGATGTGAGCTGAACCACGTCCTCTGCAGAAAGAAGAGGGGCCACCACAAGAGACACTCTGGACTTATCAGCAACATGAAATTCTTTTCACCAAAATCAACAAAGGATATTCGTATATGAGTAAGCTGTGTTGTCAGGTGTGGGTATTGCAGCACACAGGGGCTCAGGAGTGTGACAGGCTGGAAACTGAGTTCCCCAAACAGGCCTTGGTTCATAGCTTCAGGTGGGATACTGAGTGGTATTTGGCCACCACAGACAGGGTGACCTCCAAGACACCAGCATCCTTTCTTCACCCACTCTGGAGGCCTTTATACCCAAGGATTAAAAAAAAAAAAACTATAAATGCCACTATACTTATCAACATCTATATTTTAACTAAATAAGACAAGTATTACTTAAATTTTTGGGCTCTATTTTGTCTTTACTGAAGTGAAGACAACTTAAATCCACCCAAGCACCTAAAACTCAAGTACAACAAACATATCATTACTGACTGCGTAACACAAGTTATATCCAAGACAGCTGGTGGTCGGCCTGCCCATGAAACTCTCCTCTTGATCTTCCCTCTACAAGAGAAAAAACATTTCAAAATTAGCTGAAATTGTTTTATCATGCAAAGGATGAAAAGCTTTCTAGAGTTACCTTAAAATAGCCTGAGCTGTGTGAATATAATTAGCAGGCATACCTGAATTCTCTCTGGAAGCTCTTGTGCTTGAGTTTGATCTTGAGGTATATTGTGATCTGTGATTGAAAAACAGCCGGTCAAATGTTTGCTCCTACTTTGGAAGATTAATCTGGCAGCTATATTTCAGAGAGAAAAAGATCCTACCCTTGCGTTAGTCAAACTGAATAAGTGTAGGAATGTTTCAATTCGGGCACACCAGTCAGAGCTAATAAGAGTTGTATCTGTCATCTGGACAATGCACAAGACAAACACAATAAGTCACTTACATTCCACAATCCAACATGAATGATGTTTTGAATTTGATTTGATTAAAATAAGTAATGGGTTTTTAATATCTTTAAAACTATTTTTCCATTAAAAAAACTGTAAGTTTTCATGGGTAGAAGTCTTGGAATATTTATTCAAAACACCCAATGTTACAACTGTCAGTTAATGTGACAATTGCTCTGTTTTAGTATCAGTTTTATTATATCGGCCTAAACTGTGCCTCTAGAGATTCACTATTTATTTTACCTGAAAAGAGAGAAGCAATCTGAGAGTACCATACAATTCAGTTAAGACACACAGCTCCTCAGGGTCAGGGTGTGGACATGACCAGTCACAGTGAATCATGCTCTCTTTCAAATCTGTAAAAGCGAATGCAAATAGAGCTGATTTAGTTGATCCAAAGCTCAAGTTTTATACATTAGTTTTGAGCATGTACATACCAGGTTCAAGATCTTCTATTTGAATTCCTGCACACCATGGACCAGCAGCTGCAACTGCGCCACAAATGCCAACATGGTCATGACAATTCATGACATTTGTTTTGCTTTGTCTAAAGGGGAGGTCATAACAGCTACAAGCAATATTACATTGTTCTATGAAAAAACAACACAATCTTAATATTCCATGACAATTACAAGAGACTAAAATTAGGATATGTTAACCTCTACTCTTGCCTCAAAGGGAGCAACTAATCATGCACTTTTCATTGCATGGCTGTGTTCTTCTATGTTCAATTTGACAGATTTCTGGCTGGCTGTGCAGAGAGGATTGTTACTGTCCTCTCCATACACGGGGTAAGTTGACCATAGGAGACCACTTTTTTTCAGCATGCTATGATATCAAGACAGTTATGTTTACACTCATTCTGTTAGTTTGCAGGGATGCACAACATCTTGAAATATATGCAGATACACTAGTTAGAGACAAAACTATGATTGCCTTGATGTAGTGATCCAAAATATGAAAAATGGCTCATCTTACCCCACTCTCCCCTATAGCTTTAGTATATTTTTTATTAAATAAAAGTAATATTACTGATTTTAATAACTACTCAGAAAACACATGTACACACTCAATTAAATTAACGGCAGTAAATGCAGTTAGTTATTTTCCAATCTGATTTACAAAAAAGGCGACTCACTTATTAAGTCCATATTTCACTGTTACTTCCCATTAAATATGCCTTCAGAATTTTCCACATGATAAAAGAGTTAATCACTGTGTGAGTAAATATTTCTCATAGTAGTTGGAGCATGACTGATTTCTCCTTGGAGAACCACTCCTCTCTGACAGACTGAAATATCCAACTTGAGGACACTACAGAGGGAGGTCAGTTTATATGAACCAGGTGGGGTGTGGAGTCTCACCTGTGCACTTCCAGGTCTGTAAGGAATCCTCTCGTGTGTCAGCCCACAGGAGTACCAAAAGCCCTCCTGTTGTCTTTACATCATGCTGTTGTTTATGCTTACTCACAGACATGACCAGGCGCAACACCTGCGACCATTAAACGGAAACACAAGCTCTTCATTTAGCAAGCTAAAGCTAGCATAGAGTTGGGGTCATATCATAAGCTTAAAAATGAGATCAGCCACCCTTCATTTTAGGAAAAAAAAATAATATAAAAGGTAGTGAATTTCAGACAAAAAAAATGCGCTTATACACCGTTTACTTTCGTTTGGGCCAAAAGTACATGATTAAGACATTACCTGTTTTACTTCTCCTAGCATCTTCTGAGGTCACGTGATGTGCCGCCCGCTGAACGAAATATCGGTGTGCGCATGTCCGATATGGCAGGGATTGTAGAGAAGTCACTTTTATATATTTTATAGGTTTGAGTACAAAGACAGCACTAGTCTTCAAATCAATATTATTGAGTAAAGTTTACCAATTCGTTTTTTAACATAACAAGGCTGTGGTCATGACTTACAAGTACTGAAATTCCTAAAAAACATGGTTAATGTTTGTGGGGAAGTAAATAACAAAGGACCCCTTAGTTAAGATATCAGAAAGGTCAGGCTGTTTTCCTCCATAACATACTCTACAAAATGAAACTGAATCTGAGCTTTATTTCAAGTAACATTCAATTTACAGACAGGGTAAAGACATTGAAGCCTAGATATTATCTCCACTGACGGTCCACTAACATTATTATTATTTTTTGTCTTTGACAGCCTGAGTACACAATTTCTCAGAGACATGGGCATGGTGGTGGGGGGAAAAGTAGACCTGACTACTCAGAGCCTGAGTAGGGAGAGGGGCCCATGAAGATCCTGATTTTTTTTTTTTTTTTTTTTTGCTCACATGCCTCGTGCACTGGCATGGATAGGGGTCCACTGAAATTGAGAGTGTACCAGAATTTGGTGCCCATGCTCAGAGATAAACTAATTGGGGAAAAAAAGGCAGTCAGATAATGATATAGTATAGTTTTCTTTATTTTCAGATTTTTTAATAGTAATACAGCCACTGGAAACAAAACAATATCAAAACATGGAATTTAAAACACGATAATTGTGTCTCTATTTCTCCTGTCTAGCTTTTACACTGTTATTTATATCAAAATAAATAAATCAGAATTATTTTCCCTCTTTTGAAGACCACTCTGCGTATCCTCCTTTGTAGTTTTGAGCACTGCAATAGAAGACAGAGGAAAACATTTTAGAATACAGATACAGTAAATAAAAATCTAATAAAATGTCAAGTTTTCAACTTTTTTTTATTGTATGTACATCATGGAGACATTCAAAACAGGGAGGGTTGTAATGCTGTAGGCCTGGAATGTCTGAAAATGAAAGAAAATGGGCTCATTGCGTGTGTTATGTTCAGTAAAAAAACAACATTATTTACTTTACGTATCCAAGTTCCTGTGCTTTGCTTGTAGCTCTTCCCCCTCGCATTCCCATCTGGCAGTGAAACACCAGCTCGGGGACATCTAATGATGGCTTTGTGACTCCATACTTGGCCTTGAATTCTTCTGGTTCCATTGAAAATGCGGCCTCTACTGAATCAACTTGATAAGGCAGAAAGTAAACTTTGTTAGATTCATGAGCACCAAGCATCCGATGCTATACACACATACCACAGCTCCTTGATGATTGTACAGTATACACAGACACACATGCAGAAAAGCTTTGGTCTGAATTTGTGATAAATGATAACAGAAAAAAGCCTTAATTGAGTAAAAGTTAATCTATTTTTTTTCTTTTTAATGAATTAAGAATACCATGAATGTGGATTGACCCTGGAATACGCCCTTTATCTACTTCTTCCTTGGTGCGGACATCCACAAGAAGGAGATTCTTGTTCTTTTCCAGGAGTGCTTTCAGATCCTCATGGGAGATTTCTGAATTACCTGAATCTGAAAAAGAACATATTAGAAACTGTGCAAATCCAGAAAATCCTATTGTTATAACTATCACGGTAACACTTTACTTGATGCCTATCTCTATACCCCATTATAAATATATGTATATTGCGTTATAATCACAATATAGCACTGTATAAGTATAGTTATAAACACTCATTAACGACCACAATGCTTTATAGCAATAATTATAACACATTATAAAGCATTCTATCATGACTTACAAGGTCAGGTATTATAATATGTTATAACTGTAAACAACTCACTGACAATGCCTACATAGATAATGCATTATACATATATTTATGATGTGTTATAATTTGCTTATAAACCCATATAACCAACATTATAAACACTTATTAATTATCATAAGGCTTTATGACAATAAGCATAACACATTATAATACCTGACCTTGTAAACAAGTCATGATAAAGTGCTTTATAATTTGTTATGATTATTGCTAAAAAGCATTATGATCATTAATGAGTGTTTATAACTATACTTATACAGTGCTATAACGTGATTGTAATGCATTATACATATATTTATAATGCGTTATAGAGTCAGGCATCAAGTAAAGTGTTACCACTATGACTAACTAGTAAATGTCTCTGGCACTCATGTAGTGGTTGTGTGTTAAGGTTAGTATGTGCAGATAGGAGGACAGATAGGATGTACCCACTTGTCTCTGGTTTAACAGGTTATGCAAACACTCCACCTTTCTGTTAAGGCCTAAAAATATGATAAATGGTTTGGTAATCGTTGCTCAGTCAACCAGCAGGTATTCCCGTAGGATGCAGGTAACTTCCGTCTCACCTATCTGCTAAGTCATTCTACGTTTTAATAAATACAGACTGCATAATTAAGTTTAGAGACAGGTGAATACATTAAGTTTAAAGTTTTTTTTTCTTACTGAACCACTGGGGTGGTCAGCTTTGATCAACAATTTCAGTCACGAATTGAATCTGTAATTGTTTATTATTAATTAATTGTTAAAATGTAATGTATTGTAATTTTAAGTTTCTGGACCCCAGGAAGACTAGAAACCACTTTGTGGAAGCTAATGGGGTTCCAAACAAACAAACAAATAAATAAACTAGTGATATTGCTTCGATTACCGGAATTTTTAATGGTCAACTCAATATGTGATAGCTAACTATTTAGCATGTGCTGAAAGTGAAGTTTAAGTTAGCGAATAGGATGCCATTCAAACATAAAGACAGCCGGGAGTTCATTCAAAAAAGACCTTTTGTGAGTGAAATGACAAAAGACTCACCTGTGCAGGCCATCCTTGTTGGATTAATCGCAGATATGATACCCGGTCTTTGGTTTGAAGCGGTCAGTCTCCACAAGAAAGGTTGTTTCAGTAGGTTATAAACAGACATCTTCTTCCTCATCTGGTTCATGACGAATCATTGGATGAGACGCAAAAAGAAGGCGGGACTTAGCCTGAGGGGCCAATAAAAAGGCTCTGTAGCTTACCATATGCACTTTAAAGTGAAACTTTAGGAAGTAAAGGTAAAGCCATGAATTCAGACCCCTTTGGAGAAAACAGGGGTTAAACAAAGTAAGATTTCCCCTAAAAGCCAAGTTAACTTTATTTGCACCTAGGGGATACAATATAAACGTAAATTTATTTATTTTTTTCAGGTAGAGATAGGCCTTTCATTTAGGCTGTAAATTTTCCTCAAATCATCAAAATTTACTTGTAAATATGCAGAGGTATTACATTTACTTTCTTTGCTTTTACACAGATACCGTAGATATGATACCAGATTTTTGATGAGAGCTTTATGTGACAATGAAGATGCTTTCATTCACAAATTAACTCTAAGAAAGGTGTCAACTGAGGCAATAATATCATATGGCGCCCACACTCACCATTTGCCAGCCTGCAGTATCACTTAATGGGCATATGGGTCCAATTGTCGTAAAGCTTCAGAGCCATTGTGGTTTTTGCTGAAACACCCGTAAAAATGAAAAATTTGTCTTATCATACCATTCACATTAAAGCAAAAAATGTATTAGACAATTTACACAGATAGATATAATACCAGATTTTTGGTGAGAGCTTTATGTGACGGTGAAGATGCTTTCATTCAACAAATTAACTCGAATTAAGGTGTCCGTTAAGGCAATGATATCATATGGCACCCACACTCACCATTTTCCCCCCTGCAGTATCACTTATGGGGCATATGGGTCCAATTGTCGTAAAGCTTCAGCGCCATTGCCATGGCAATCAGCCATTGTGGTTTTTGCTGAGACACCAGTTGAAATGTACACTTTGTATTGTCATACCTTTCATACTAACACAAAAATTTAATTCAGACCATTTACACAATTTTTTAAAATAAGTTTTAGTTTTTTACAAATAAATTCAAGTCAATATATAAATGGTAAGAAAAGATACAACAATTAAAGCAAATCCAGCATGATGGAATAAGAAAAAAACACTATGTTAAATTTACAAATCTACAGAGACAAAAGAAGCACAATCTGTAAAAGAAGCTGCTATAATCAAATACTTTCTTTTTTTTGCACAGATAGATATGATATCAGATTTTTGTTGAGAGCTTTATGTGACAATGAAGATGCTTTCATTCAACAAATTAACTCAAGAGGGGTGTCCATTAAGGCAATGGTATCATATGGCACCCACACTCACCACTTGCGAGCCTGCAGTATCACTTATGGAGCATATGGGTCCAATTGTCGTAAAGCCTCAGCGCCATTGCCATGGCAATCAGCCATTGTGGTTTTTGCTGAGACACCATTTAAAATGTACACTATGTAATGTCCTACCTTTCACACTAACACAAAAATTTAATCCAGACTATTTACACATTTTTTAAAAATAAGTTTTAGTTTGTTATAGAAAAATTCAATTCAATATGTAAATGGTAAGAAAAGATACAACAATTAAAGCTAATCCAGCCATGATCAACTAAGAAAAAAAACCCACTATATTAATCTACAAATCCACAAAGACAAAAGAAGCACATTCTGTAAAAGAAGCTGCTATAAGCAAATACTCTCTTTGCCTTTACACAGATAGATACAGTATGATAGCAGATTTTCGGTGAGAGCTTTATGTGACAATGAAGATGCTTTCATTCAACAAATTAACTTGAATTAAGGTGTCCACTGAGGCAATGATATCGTATGGCGCCCACACTCACCATTTGCCAGCCTGCAGTACCACTTACAGGGCATATGGGTCCAGTTGTCGTAAAGCTTCAGAGCCTTGCCGTGGCAATCAGCCATTGTGGTTTTTGCTGAGACACCAGCACAAATGTAAACTTTATGTCCTACCTTTCACAGTAAAACAAAAATTGAATCCAGACTATTTACACTTTTTTTTTTTTATTAAAATAAGTTTTAGTTTGTTACAAAAATTCAAGTCAATGTGTAAATGGTAAGAAAAGATACAACAATTAAAGCAAATCCAGCCATGATCAACTAAGAAAAAAACACTATATTAAATCTACAAATGTTAATTCGCCAGCAAATTAACGTGTAATATGTACCACGAGTTTAATGAATTACCCATTTCTTAGTGTTATTCAACACTCATCTTGATCCCATTAAATACACCTTGACTCAGGAATGTAAACAACTTCTTTTCTAAATCAATCATAAACTCAGTTCAGGACTATTTGGCTTTGTTCATGATTACAGCATTGCCCACTCTGCTTCAAGGCCCCTTTAGAGCCGGTCTAAACAGGCCTTTTCAGTGTGACTTGGACTGATTGTCTGTGCTGAGTCTGGATCACAGAGTTCCCTCTGTGCTATAAGACGGGTTCCCCAGTCCATCACTAGAGTCTCCCTTTGCTTTTTTATGCATTCGGTACTTCCATAGAATCACAGCTGCTATGATGAGAATTAAAAGGAGGGCAACTCCTCCTCCTATGACCCCAGCCAGCAGTTTGTGGTCAGATGATTTAGAGTGGTCATACCGCATACAGGAGAAATCTGTAGGACTGCTGCTTCCGGCATTGTTCACTGCCTCTACACACACTCTGGTCCCAACTTCCAAGGAACTAATCACTCCTCTTCGTGAAACCGACTTAAACTCCATTGTGTTTCCTTCACTTCCCTCAATCGCCACCCTGTACTTCAACACCACGGAAGATGGAGCGCACCACTGGACCTCGATCTTCCCCCTGTCAGCCCCTACACTGATGGGGTTTAGTGCTCGGATGCGAGGTGCATGAGGAAGCTCATCTGCTGGACTGACTCCAGGACAAAGGCATGAATATTTTTCATGAAGGCTTTGACATGGCTCCTGGTTCTCAGAGCAGGAGTCGTACTGACAGGTTTGTGGCGGTCCGTGTCTGAGGATAGTGGTCCTCCTAGGGGACACCACATCAGGGGAAGGGGTTTCCTCGTCATAGTCAGGACCAAAGGCAGTGAACTTGATGCCAGGACGAGTGGCGGGACGGGAAGTAGTGGCAGCATGAGTGGAAAGGTGGGAGTGAAGGAACGGGGAGGCACACAGAAAAAGGAGAAGTGCAGTCAGGTTCCTGTGCAGTGACATCATGTCTATAGGCAGAAATGACAAGTTATGAGAACAATAATACAGCTATAAATACATCACAGACATTGTTCACAGATGATGCAAATCTTTTTAGTCTTAAATAGAGACCGCTGTTTCCTTGCTTATTTACTATGGGTAGAATATCAATTTAAAGCAGCTGTCATAAAGACTTAAAAGTTGTATAAAGAAACTGAAATCAAGCAGTAATTATAGTAGTGGTGGGAAATGCCTAAAATTCATTAAAAAACAAAACTTAGATACAAAAATATGGACAAAAATTAATAATATCTAAGCACACCAAAAAAGATTTATCAGATGTAGAGGTTGTTTCTTTTTGACATAAGAAAAGTTTTGGTTTCATTAAAAAAACGATTTTTGTAATACTTGTTGACCAGGATGTTGTTTAATTTAAGTTTATGACTCGGAAATGCCTCTTTGTTATTCAACAAGTATTTGTGGTTTCTGGTTTCCATCCCATGCTTTAGATAAATAAATGCTGAGTGCTGGAAGAAAAAAATACAACTGTTGGGGTGACCCCATCAGTACTTCATTGTCTCTGGGAAACATGCCAGATACGTTTTGTGGGAACCACAAAACTGAAACAAAACACAACTAGATTTCTAGTTCAGCCTTAACAGAAAACAGAACTGGTTTTTCTCATGTGTTTCAATGCAGCAAATAACCAACTTTACATTATTTTGCAATAGGTCACACCACATCTCAATGGCAGTCAGTAAAGTTATAAGTACTGAGACGAAAAATGTTGAGAAAAGCTGACTGTACCTGTTTGTTGCTGAGAGTCAAAGTCTTAAGTCTTTCTCCCTCTTCGTTCCCACTCTGTCAGCTCTGAATGTGTGCTCACTCTGTTCTCACCGTCTTAAGTTGTTTCCTTTGGACTCTCTCCTCCTCCTCCTCGACACCCCCTCATTTTCAACCCTCACTGATTCGCCCACCCCTTTTTACTTTGTCATTCCTTTCTTCTCTGTTTTTTTTCATGCCATGCCTCCCTTATTTCTCAGTGGGGCTTTTAACCAGACATCGTTAGACTTTTTATGTTTTTCCTTGGTGTGGAATTCTTTTTATTTTTGCTGAATGTTTGTCAGAGAGCAAAGGACCCGGGGAGAGACTTGCCATGTGCCTGTGTGCTGCTCAGCATATTAATTTGCTGAGCAGCAGCAGGAGGCATGCGTGTGCTTGTTACAGAATGCCTGTGTGCAATATGTAGGTGTAACTGCCTGTTTTTGATTACATCTATAAAAGATAAACTTCCTGCATGCTCTGCAGGTGTTGTTGTGGGAATAAACATCACACAAGGTCACTTAAGTGTGTGTTTATGAGTGCTTTTGAGAGTGGGGGGTCAAGAATGCATGTGTGTTGGTTACGGACCTCTTGTGGCCCCCATTGTGACAGGCTGGAGGGGAACGAAAAATGCATTCTCCATTCTCGTCCTTTTATGGGGTGAAGCTGGCAAAGTATTCGAGATCTTTCTTTTACAAAGGGAAGAGCAGATGACGGGGAAAGCACTGATACAGAGGCTGCTATCTTTTACAAACATTGAAACTCGAAGGAATTCTTTTCCCGCATCATAAAAATCCTGATGGTTTCTATTGAATTTGACCTAAGCTCTAATTGAAACACATACACACATGAGGAATGTCTTGGAGATATTCTCACCACAAAGAGCCAAAGCGCGCCATAAAGCAGGCTATAGTAGAGGGAGGCTGTGAGAGCTTGAACTTGTGTGTACAAATCAACTTTGCATGTTCATATAAAGGCTAAATATTATTTTAACAAATCAATCAAATATATAAAGATAAGGATGCTGAAAGAATAAGATCTGTAAGTTAATAGAAACTGGAGAGGGGCTTCAAAGTACAGCCAGTTGATATATAGCTCATAGTAAAAACAGGGAAATATGTTCAGATTAACAACCATTGTTTAACGCACAACATCTATGCACATAAATACTTTAAGATAAACATGTTTGGAAAGTTACTCAGCTCTACACCCAGCTTTCGTGAAAGGAAGTCTTTTCAGCTTGTAAACATTCTTGTTTTCTGTCAAACACAAGTTTAATGATGCCTGGAACATTCTTGCATCCTCTAGTTTACATTAATTAAAAACACAAAGTTTAATGGAAAAACATTTGGGTCAAAAACAGAGCTTTGCACTGTTGCAACAATGCCCCTATGAACACTTTTTAAATTGCGTCTAACAGAGTACGCCTGCTTTGAGGCAGGGCTGGTGAGTCATAGCATTAGAAATTACAAGCTCCCTGTTACGAGGTAATAGTAAAATCTGTTGTTTGTGAGTGAGGTTCTGGTGAAGGGGCTTTTTTTTATCTTACTCAGAAAAGTCAAATATGACGGTCACAGCATTGCCTGATTTTAGTGACAGTGACTCTGGTTGTTATGAGAGCAGAGGACATGCTACATCCAAAAGAAAATTCCCTGGAGCTTGATGATATACACATTATGATGGACTCTGTGGAAAATGTGAATGATCACTTCCGGCAGTTAACTGACATTTTTTAACAATCTTACTTCCAGATGGCGCTGATTTAAGTCCCCTATTTTGGAACACAGGGCATCACAGGTCACCAGTAAATGTAACTGAAGCCCAACACCTTGAACTACTTACCAGAGTACTACTTCTCAGCCTTAATTACCCCGGCATATGTTGCATAAATTCACAGTCTCTGCAGGGTAAGGACTGCTTATTTTGGGAATCCCTTGACTGCCTTGTACTACGACCACTGTCCACCGTACAATATAAGGTATACACTGATGATGAAGAACTACTGACTTTTCGATCAATGTTTTCAATTATCCACTGTCTGAAAAATCTACATCTTCATTGACATAGAAGGCTCCATGAAGTTCAGCTTTGTGTATTATAATACTTTGATGACTGCTGAGTGACTGGCCGACAATTTGATCCAGATACAATCTTCCCTTTGGGACAAAAACAATAGATCTAATCAACCTTCAATTTTAAAAGTCTTATATAAAAAAACATTGCGGTTGGCATTTAAATACCTAAAATACTCATTAAATTACTCTTAACCATAGATCTACTTTGTGTTTACTGGTGATTCAGAGAAATGTAAGCCAGTTGACCAAGTTGCCAAGTTAGACAGGACAAACAATATGAGCATGTTTGCGATTCAATCTGAACATCTTACTTCGAGCTTGAAGCGCCAGTGAGTATCAGGGAAATCAACAAAGAGCTGCTACAATGGAGTTAAAATCTTTAATGCAAATTTTAAGTTAAAGATGCCATATAGTCAGTGACCGTAGGCTGGCTTGTACATTAATTGGGGTGAAAAAGCTTACCGGGAGGAACAATGCATCAAAAACACATGTTCTGCTGATAACACTTATAGCACATCAGTAGTTGTGCTTTCCACTTCTCTTCGGATCATTACTCCCTGCAGTTTTCTGATCTCTTACTCTCAGGTTGTTTTGGCTGCCTGAGACAACCATCTCCTTCACTCCCTCTGTCCCCTTTTTTTCCACAGACAGAAGAGCTGATAAGTTTCAACAACCTGCCCAGAACTGGATGGTACAGGTTGGGATGACTTATCAAAAGTTTAAAATGATTCCTTTCTGCATTCATTCCTAAACCACAGAGCCCATTTTCAGGAACTTTGAGTTTCTAGTCTTTGTTTGTGTCCATCATTTCTTTTTACAGTAAACCCTGGTAAGCTCGTGCGTCATTACCCAAATACTTGCAATCGTTTTCCACTAAAAATCACCTTATGCTTAAAACAATGTACTAGAAATGACTGGGTGATCAGAGAATAAACTGTCACCAATAAGCACTGTGTGTGGGCCCCCGGAAGAAACAAATGCTATAAACAACAACAGGCTCACATACTATTTGAATTAGTGAGCTTGTGAAAATTTACGGGCAGGACTGCATCACGAAAAGATTGTCTCTCTTGTTCAAATAAGGAAAGAGGATCAGAAAAATGTGAACAAAGGCAAGTATTAATTTATTTTTGAAAACCAGGATCTATCTAGAATTACTAAAATCACAATATCCTTATCTCTCATCAGTGACAAAAACATAAACTCTGCACATTCTTAAGGTCCATGATTTGTAGTTAGATACTATTAACCGCTTACAATCCCACTAAATAATGCGGTACAGTGACTAACAGGCAGCTCTTTGTTTAGTCACACTCATGATTATGAGCATGTAGGTCATCCTTGATGAATTTCTGGAACTGGCTTTCAAGTGTAACCAAGCAAGTCGCAGAGCCAAACACCTACAACCACTACTCAGATCACAGCACTGATACACTGATACTCCAGTAAAATTCCGATTAGTAAGGCTGGAGCACAGTTTATATTAAAACTAGTTTTCAGATGTCTCTTAAGTGGGGGGCATCACCAAGGAGACTGTGGTCTCTTGTGTATACGTTTCCACTGCCAGTGACAGGCCTGCAAGTTGAAGGTTTATACACGCTGAGCTCCCAAGGCCCCAAGGAATGAAGTAAGCGACTGAGTGTGAGTCATGCTGTACTACTTTGGATAATGACTACCCGCCGGTGCATTTCTCTGCCCCACCACCACAGCGTGTTTGAGCATGCTGCTGGGCACATCCCTGACAACCAGCATGTACCTTCACCATCGTCACTTGATTACTGATAGAGCTGCCATTTTACCAAAGAAAGATGGAAGAAAGATACTGGATACCTCATGCTCCCAACTTTGTAAAACAATAAGGTGTGGAAGCCTGGAAATCCCCTTTCCAGAATCCCACCAGTTTCACATTTACTCACACAGCTAGTCTCCATCTTTCAGAGTGGAACTTATCACGTTCACCCTGAAATGCGTGGGCCTCTCACAGATGCTCATTCCCTCTCCTGCCTACACCTCTCTGAGGATTTAAAGTATTCCAATTTAAACAGGAAGCACTACCATTGGCTGTGTCCCTCTCATCTCTGACCTCCAGCTCCAATCAAAATGAATCCCAGGGCAGTCTCAAAAAACCAGACTCTGTTAGGTTGTTCAAAGTTCTATTTTTAGTTGAAAAACATAGTGGAGCCAGAGTGGGCCATAAAGTCTTGCTGTTTCTCAGGGGGGTAATTGGAAACAGGCCTGTCATGATGCAGCAGCGTCAAGAAGATGATGATGATGACCATGCTTCACATTTATACTCCATAACTTTGTGATCAAAAAGAATGCTAAATTTGGATACTGGTAAACATAGTGGGCACTCTGCTTCAGGCAGAGTATAATCTAAACCATTTTGGCCAGGGTTATTCTCTGTAGTGTCCTATTTTTCTAGCTGTACAGTGTAACAAATCTGTCACCCATTCCTGAGGTCTGGACAGGAAACCAAAAAAGGATAATGTATAGTTAACAGGTGGTTATGGAGATGAGAATCCTGACAGGTGGAGTACGACCCTGGCATCGACCAGCTCTGACACGGAGAACAAGACTTTTGCAAGAATATTTAGGTTAACACACTTGGGAATGGTTCAGATTTACTTATCGGCAACTCAGCGGTGTACTCACTCAACAGCAGCAGGACAGAATCACACTCCACTTATTCCTGTCAGACAGTTGAGGCCAATGTTTTCCCGTAATGTTTTCCAGAATGATAATAGAAACTAATGTTTTTGTGCCAGCAAGCAGGGATGGACTCCTTTCAGTGGATGGTTTTGAAATGATGTGTGATCACGTTGTCCTTGGCTTTTGGAGGGTTTGCCTGATCAGAATTTAGTCTTTAACACTGGGGTTGAAAGCTCATCTGCACTACATAAGATAAAAAAGAGTTTGTTTTCTAGGAAGTGAGAATTGTAGATAAATTTGATACAAAATAATGAGGCTTACATACTTTATAAACTTCATTTCAGTAAAGTTGCAGCTGCCTTCAACCCATGGAACAACGATCGTGTTACGATCATCAAAGATCATCTATGAATTCAACTATTTGTCTTCTTGTTGCTCATCTGTATGAAACGCTGCAGCATAACAACCTTTTAGATAACACATGTTTTTACTTGTCACAGATTGAGCAGCAAAGATATTGACAAAAGCAAGCCTGTTTTACAATGTCCTAAGGTCTGGCAGTGTGACAGTGATCCAAGCATGTACCACTAAGGACTGAGGCAACTAAATTAAACTCACACTGTAGCTTTGGTGTTTAAACCAGTATTTTCCCTGATCATGTTACTTAACAACATCACAGATGAAAATACATTGGCATCTTTTAAAAAAAATGTTGTTTGACCATCTGAAAAAGGCCTTAAGAGGCATAAATTGATAGGTTTGGTTCACTTTTACTGTGACATGTCAACAAAAACTCCTTGAATCAACTTTGCCAAATGTTAAAAATGCAGTGAATTTTCTACCTTGGCACCTCTCTGTACAACTCTAAACCAACTGAGAGCTGTGGCTCCACTTAGTGGTGAAATCTTGCTATTGTTGCGACTTGGATTAAAAAAAATCCAGTGTTTGGGAAGTGCTTTCTAGTTTTGGTAGGTACTTAAAATCAAACAGCCAAATCAATGTGCATATTGGGTTTTACAGCACATGAATGATGGAGATAGATATTTTATTTTAAACAAATTTAATAGGTTCTTAAAGTATTCTGGTCTACTTTGCAATCATTAAACTCCCCATTAATTTGCAAAGTTAGTAAATGTTTCTCCTAAGTCCACTAATACAGTGCAAATTGTACAACCTAAAATATACAGTATACTATGAAAACTAGGAAACTGCTTTTATGATATAGATTTTTGATACATTAATAAATGCAGCCCTTGTCTTTGGTATAATCTGTATTGTTTTGTGGTGATGTAATGATATGAATGCTGGTCTTCATATTCTTTCTTCACCATTCACTACAAATGTACTGCTGCGGAAACTGCTTAAATATCTGTACTTAAAATATTACCTTTATTGTAATGAAAGGGAATATAATCTAAAATGTAGCCTGTTTAACTGTGAAATTTTTGCATTTATTCAGTAAATATGCCTTTTCAGCACTGTCTTTGGGATATCAGTTTGAGCATGTCAGAGTGAACATCCATCTTAGTTGAAGACAGCAGCTATGAAATGGGCAGGAGATGTGGAAGTCTTTCTATCAAGGAGACGGAAAAGTTGAAAAAGAAATGCTTTTTTTTTTTTTACAATTTACTTTAAACATAAAACGTTTTTAAAACGCAAAACATTTTAAGTGCATGTACCAAATAACATAGACTAGGCAGCATTAAAGTCATTAGTTTGTACTTGACTGTAAGATTGGCATTGACCCAATGTCACTGTGACAGACTAAAGAAGCCTTTACATTCATTAAAAGAAAAATTTCAACATTGAGTATGGACATTTAACTTAAGGCTACAGAACAGTAGGGGAGATCGGATCACTGCATCAAGACAATAATAGATTTGTCTCTAACTAGTGTATCTGCATATATTTCAAGATGTTGTGCATCCCTGCAAACCAACAGAATCTTAATAATATAGCACGCTAAAAAAAAGTGGTCTCCTATGGTCAACTTACCCCGTGTATGGGGTAAGTTGAGCCGTATCCCCCACTCTCCACCCCAGCTCTGCCTCACCTTCCCTCTCTCTAAATAACAGTCACTTCTTCACATTCATGTGTATTTTTATCTATTATACACTATTTAACTGGTACAATAATTATTTTTATTATTATTGCATATAACTGCTAAAAAGCTGTTTAGTAAAAAATCTTTTTAACATGAGAATGTCTTTAAGTGATTCACAACATTCACAGCTGTATTTTTGAAAAGAAAAAGTAACACATTTCAACAATCTGAACTGAATCAGACTCAGACTCCTGTACTTTCTGTTACCCCAGAACTACTATGCTGACTTTATTAGACCTCAAAACTAAAATGGTGGACTTTTATGTTTTTTTTGTTTTTGACCTCATGTTGTAGCTCATAGATACCACAATTGCTGTACAAAACAAATTTAAAATGATCTTCTTTGGTCTAAACACAATTCTAATAAAACTTATGACAGACTAAATTCACTTTCAAGACTGAAAAATGTTTTTTTTTAAAAATAAATGTCTAACCCCTTCTCCCATGTGCTTCTAACCTTCACAGACTCCATGAATTGATGCCCATCTCCTAAATATTTGGTCACATGATCAATTTCTTTTACCATTTCCATTCAACAGGGGGTGACTCAACTTACCCTTTGGCTCACTTACCCCACTCTCCCCTAAAGCATTTAACTTCAGGCTACAGAACAGTAACCAGGACAACAAACCTTATCTCTCCTTTTTATCCTCATGGTTCAGACCTGGTTGCACTCTTGTTGTAACTCTGGTCCAAAAGTCTCGATCGCAGCCGTTCAGGGAGAAAGTTTATGAAGGAAAAAGTAAGCGACTAAGTCATTTTTTTTTTACATCTACAGCCGAGAAATGTCCGTGTCTTTCCGTAAACCCGATGAAACACGAAGTCGAAGCTCGTCCCACAACTGCCGTCATCAGTCCATTGCAGCCTCGTCATTGGCTCCAACGGGCCGTCCGCCGGGAAGAGGAGGCGGGGGCGAGCCGTTGAATGACGGGCTCTAGCTATGTTGACACTCGAGAGTGTAGCCAGCCTCCGGGACTTAAACGGGCCTTCTTTATTTCACATTTAGCGCTTGTAAAGATAGCAGATAAAAGAGACGGACCGCCTAATCATTTCTCTTATCGCCGGGGATGTTGCGGACCGTGTGCGGACTGTACGAAAGGGAAACTCGGGGCCGAGGCGGAGCGGACGTTTCACAGGTTGATGATCGTTTTTGGCACAGAGCGGGGAAGCCAGCAAAAGTAAATACATGGTCTCAGACTCTATAGGCTGTTCCGAGACACAGCAGCTCACATGTAAAGGAGAAATAGGCGGTGCCTGATGTTTCCTGGAAAAATACAGACCTCCGACCAGAATGAAACATTTTGCGTTGGCAGGTTTAGGTTCATCCACTCAAGTTGTCGCTCAGACTTGGGTTGCAATCAGCGTGTAAGAAGCTTGAGGACCGTCTGTCTGGCACATTTTGACAGTTAGCCAATCAAATCTGGTATTCAAATTGGTCCTCTTATGTCAGTGACCTATATCTCATGCATGTGCGCCAAGAGCACACTGTAACCTCCACACAAGAGCATACAGCATGGGGATCAACGGGATAGACAACCAGACGCAGCCGTCCAGCGAAGAGTCCCGGACGGAGCAGCCAGCCGCAGATCCTCAGATGGAGCAAAGAGATGCTCCTCAAGAAGCAAAAACGAGCCAAGAGGACCAGGCGGCTGGTGGTCAGTGCAAAATCTCGCAAGAAGACAGCACCGTGCAGCTGATCGAGGCCGGGTCCAAGCCGCCCCTCTCCCCGGCTTCTGAACCCGAGGTAGGGGTCCAGTTGGAGAAGCATGGGCATGGAGGCGGGTTCGTCCCACCAGAAGGAGGCTACGGCTGGCTGGTGGTGTTTGCAGCAACATGGTGCAATGGATCCATCTTTGGGATCCAAAACTCTTTTGGCATCCTACATTTGATGCTGGTGAAGGAGCATGCCAACCCAGATGACAAGACGTCTCAATTTAAAGTGGGTGAGTAACCAGACTGTGGAGTGGAGCCCCATGAAACAAAACATCAACTGGTGGACAAAAGTGCTTTTGTCATCTATCACTGCTTTGTCACACATTAGAGAATATGAAAGGTGGAATTAAAAGGAATTGAATATTATTATGCTGTCAACAAACTGTAGCCATCAGTTGAACAGGAGTTTGTGATCTACAGGTCAGTATATATTTATACACTTCCCTCAAACATATATGTGGGTCAGCTCAAAGTTCAAGGGGGTTTATCCTGCTCTTTAAAGTAACACACTGAACCAAGTATTACATGCCTTTTCTCCACATGCATCTGCATCACTAATACACAATGATTAACAGGAATTTAACCGCAACTTGACTCTTCATTCATGAACACCTCTGTTTTTACAACTCCTTTAGTTAGTTGCTGCAAGTTTTGTCACAGTTGGTGCAACCAAAGTGTAGAAATGGGCTTTTACACTCTTTTAAAGTGTGTGAAACAAACACATATAATCAAACAAAGTGGGCTTTTTAACTCTCATCATTTTTATTTTACAGAATTCTCCACGGATTATGATATAATTAGAATCCAGTTTATAATGCGTTGCTTTTTCAGATTTTTTTTAACCCTAAACTGGGACACAGCAGCAACTCATATAGCACATAAGAAGCTCATAGACCTTGTGACCAGATGAGAGTAAAAGAATGTATTTCCCTTTGTCCTGGCACAGCTGCTTTTGAGGACTAATGCTGGAATATGTGACAAGAATGAGGCCAGTGTTCACCCCTCTGTTCACTGCAGGCCCCCTCTGGGCCACTCTGTTAGTCTTCACTATTGAGAGTTTACTGTATTTTTCAAACTAAACTGGCTGGGTGCCAAGTTGCCCATGATAAAATACAAAAGCAGATGAGGAGATACATCTTAATATAGAAATCTTCTATGTTTCATGCTACCTTCCAGGAATAAGACCGCACAGTCTTGTTTAAAGGAGATGAATTAGTCCCCAGATAAGGTTTGACAAAAAAGGGTGCATAGACTCCCCGACTCTGCAGCTTATTGGTCGATAAGAAACTGACATTTCCTTGGTTTGGCCTAAACTTTAATGGAAGTGTGGACTTCTTATGCAGACATTTAGCATTTCATTATTCATCAACTAGAAAGGCCACTCAGAGAGTTCAGAACTCTGCAAAGGCCAAAAGTCCGTTTCCATGTCTGAAAGCACAGCTTCTATATCCACATAATTTTAAAAAACTGCCTTGTTTTATCGTAATGATGTAGTGCCTTTTTTCTAAATTAAAAACTGAAACCTTTTTTCTCAGTGTTTGCATGGTGATAAGACTGAAATCATAATCAGTAAAGATTAGTAAAGTAGCTGCTTGTTGTTGAAAGCATTTGTAAATGAAATGATATCCATGAAAAACACTCTCAGTGTGGATTCCTATCAGCACCCCTGTTGGTGAAAGCTTTGCTTTTTTTGAACCAAAACTTTTCTTAAATTTAGGCCAGTGGTTTTTCTGTGAACCGTATGACAAACAACCAGCAATGAAAACAAAAACCCTCTTGGTGGAGGTAATGAAGCATCCAGGGAGTGCATCTCTGGAGGTTTTGTCCCCTGACAGTTTTACAGACTCTCGGTCTCCACGCTTCAAGGCTCCTTAGATTAATGACCACTATAAGCGTTCTCTATCTCAAAGTGTGGTCTGACTTCAAGCAAAGAGGGGGAAATAATCTGCTCAGATTTTAGTGGAGTTTGTAGCCAGAGTGGATATTATTTTTCCTTGAATCTTGTCAGGCTCCACAATCACCAGAAAAGGTTTAAGGTCAGGATGTGGGAAGGGATTATGCCTCTAAGGCTGTTCTCTGGAACAAATTCATCCTTTTCTCATCACAATAAAAAGTTGCAGAGAGACAGACTTTGACATTTTTAGGCTTAAGTTGTTAAGGTTGAACTTCTTTTATAGATTTTTTTGCATTTCATCACTTATTTACAGAGCAGTGTCTGCTATTTTAGGAGGCAGAGTAACAAAGCATCACATTTCTGTTGAGATTGCCAGGTTAGAAAACCTAAAACCTTATTTAATGTGGAAACAGTGTGGCCGTTCAATGATAAGAGTCATGTGATATACAGTACACTCCTTTTTTTTCTAGTTTCTATCGAGGTATTTCTAGTCAGCCTCCTTCTCTGTGTTTTTGGCTTGTTCAGGATTTCATTCCTAGTTGTTCTTTGGATTTGATCCCTGCTTGTTCTCATATGTGGAAGGATTAAGCTGTGCCCTGACCTTTTCTCCTCAGCAGCAGAGTGAAACAAAGGGGAACAGCTTTAACACAATAATCACACTTTTAAAGTCTCATTTTGAACAATGTGAGAGGGCACAGTCAGCTTAAGCTAAATTCACATATGTCACAAAACAGCTTCCTCTAAACAAAAGTCTACAGACAGAAAAGAATGAGATGCGATCAAATCCTGATTAGGGATTACAATTAAGTCTTGATGTTACAAGGTATTACACCTTGAGGGGTAAACAAATGGTTTTCAAATAGTTTTGGGTTATCAGTTAGGGATTCAGAGCAACGTGTTTTTCTTAAAGTACAGAAGTGAAGGAGAGGTGAGCGTGTTATGAGTTGCAGATGGTGTTTTGCTCGTTGAGTTCAGCATGCAAGAGGTTGAGAACAAAGCTGCTGGCAAGTGAAGGTGTGCAGAAGTGTAGGCATCTGTGAGAAAGTGCAGAAATTAACAAGAAAACTCTGGCAATCAGCTTCATGTGAGGTCTTGTCTTATAAAGTGTGACCTGCTGAAAATGTGGGGGGGAAAGTTCCAATTGCAGCTCTGCAGAGGAGTTTTTAAAAACAAGCTTGGAGCGAGTAGAAAAAAGGCACAGTGTGTGTTAGTGATGTATTTTTCAGTGATCCCTGGAACATTTTTTTTCTATATGCTACTTGTGTGAAAAAGATCAGTAGGAAGGCTGTGATGGAGGCTAAAAACCTCTAGGGGCCTATTCAAGAACATTGTGTCCTATTTATGTCAAACATAGAGATGAAGACATTATTGACTAGTAACTTTATTCCTGCTGTTTTTTGTCAAGACTGTCAAAGGCTTGTTCAAGAGAGCAAATGAATGAGTGATACTGCAACGTACCGTAGGGCCACATTAGCAATGCTGATCAGTCGTAAAAGAGAAGTGCTTAATTCACATCCTGAGTAGACTTGCTATAAATCTTACAGCAGCACGACAGATAACCATTAACTATAAAAGGACACTGATAATGTATAAACGACCTAAACAGACTCACAGACTGAGACTCACACGCAGTAAATGTGCTGTTAGGACTCCACTACAGTATATATTAAAAGAGCACAAACAAATATATGCCACTATACAGTGATACAGTTAAGTTTAAAATAACTCACAGAGAGTGCGGTGATGTGTGAGAGATCAAAACATACAAGAAAAACTAGTCAGAGATTGGGATGCGGTCCAAATGTTTGAAAATGACTAAGCAGCGAGTTCAAATGTTGAGTCGTGTATTTGATCATGCCACTCTACTTTTTTTGTGACTTTGTACCGTGTTGTTTGGCTTGGCAGTCAAGATAGAGTCAGATCAGTCACCCATTTCAACATTCGTAATGAAGAAACCGGTGGTAGATGATATTAAGCAGGTATAAAGACTGTAGAAACATGAACACATGATATAACTGTAAAAATTGATGTATGCCCAAAAAAAGTTGTTTTAAAACAGCTTGGCATGAAATGAAAAACTCATGAATTTTAGTTGTAATTTTCAAGCTAAATTTTTGTTTTTGAGATATGATTAGTGTATTTAAGATTAACATTTCTCAAACACAGCATCGACCTTGGCTGGCATTCAAACAGTTGTTACCGCTGTTGCTAATATACTGCTTTGCTTTGTGTCGTGCTACATCTCCCAGCATCTCCAAGGCAGCTGTAACTCCCAGGTTGGCAGATCAGGCATTTTTGGCATTCCAGAGGGCAGGCGAATGGGTTCAAGCTGTATCAAAGTCTGTAAAGGCTCCTCTTACTGACAAGCAGGTACATACGTTACAAGAACAGAGCACATGGATGGGTTATCTTTTTTAGAAGTGGTTTATTTGAAAACCCTAAAGAAGCGCAAGTCAATTCGGACTGTCAAAAAGGGGGGAGTGGTGGAAGAATAAAAACCTTCCCAAGCTGACACAGAGGCGAAGATAAAGGAAAAGTAGCATTATCCTTTTTACAAGCGAGCATTTCTAGCAAATCCAGTCTTAACTTTTAGAAACAGAATTTCTGAGAATCTCACCAGTGTCAGATAGAAGCTAATAGAACAGAGAGCTACAATGGCACGATCGATAATGGATCAGCAGCTTTAGTCTTCACGTACCACTCTGTGCTGCCTGCATGCTTAGTCCAATACATTTACAATCAATTTAATCCTCCTGCATTAGTGTTGAGCAGTTTGCATAGCTGTGAATATTAATAGCTTGGAGCGTGGTAAGAAAAGTAAACATCAAAAGGAGCTGTACTATCTCAGGACGTCATGGAGTACCCAGAGACTCAGGCTGTCAGAACACATTTGTGGGCTGTCTTGTTTGACGACACTCCTCTCCCATCTGTGACACTTGGTCCCCCAAATGATCTGTTTTACACCTGCAAGTCCTCTGCAACTATGCAGCCCAACCTTATGTAGGGTACAGTAATTATATAGTTATGTAACTAATGCTAAAACAAGGTGTTATGATCTTTTTGTACATTGGTAGAACTGCATTGTTTGAAGTATGAGGAACTTAGATAACCTTACAACAACCATATTTCCCCATCTTTCTGACTGTCATTCACCCAATGCTTTTGTGCTAGGTGGTTGCTAACATTCTAGATACAGCTATTTTTGCACTCATGTAATTTTTCCCACACAATGCCCCTGATATAGTCATTTAAAATACAACAATGAATCACAATGTCCATAACACCTGTGATGAGGAATTAATTTTATATCTAAGTGAGGATTTATTAAAAATGTGCGACTCTCATGTCCATAGCTGCTACCAGCTTTGTCCTAGTTTCACAATGCTAGTTGAGTAAACTCAGGGCATCTGACAAAAACCTACAATAAACAGATTCCCAATTGACCAGCATGAAGAAAAATAAGCAAATATTAAAAATCTGAGGAGGAAAGACAGTATTTTACGTCAAAATAACATTAGTAAACCTTTTAACAGTGGTCAGACCACAGCTTACAGTAGCATTCACCCATTTGACTAAACTATGTTCCCGCAAACTGAAAAATAGTTTTTCTCAGTCAGTTACTGTCTTTGAATGAGATCCAGCAGGGCGGGGGAAAGACTTGAAGTACTTTGCTCAGCACTCATGGGGCTAATAGCCGTAGTTACTTTTGTTCGTTCTACGTCAAGGCAAGATGCAGTATGAATCATACCCTCACTAAGTACTTTGACTTAGAACATGAAATTCAAGTGGGTTTGAGTCTCCATGGTACTGTTAAAAGTAGCGTGGCTGTTGAGAAGATTGTACGTCATAGAACAACACATTGTTCCATCCTACCGCCTGCTAGGGACATTGCACGAGGCCATGAAAAAATGGGCCCCGTACCAAGTCTATAGTCTTGCATTGTAGTCTTTCTGTTGATGTTACAAAAATACCTATGGCTATTGTTCCTGGAACAGAGAGTACCCGAGGTATTTCCAGGTGCATTGTTCAGTTGATGGCATTTTCCCATCCGGTGTCAAAGGAAATGATGTGCAGAGAATCGTGTTTTTGAGGGTTTTGGCACATTGGATTTTTGAAATAAAACAATGACTATGACATGAAAATAGGAATTTTTTTTTACAACTTCAGATAATTGGGTCAGTCAATACCAGAAAAATACATATATGTACAGTAGGGGTGTCCTGATACAACATTTTGACTTCCGATACGATGCCAATTTTGTAACCTTTAGTATTGGCTAATAACCGATATTGATCCGATGTCGGCACAAAGTTGCGCAACAAAAAAAGAAAAAATACTGCCACACGGCCGACATCACTCCTACTCCTTGCTACTTGTCTAGTACCTTAGTACACACTGTTGTTGTGACTACGAGGGCTCTGCATGCTGGATCTGGGTGCTGCTGGATAGAGGTGCTTGAGCTGAGTCTAGAATAGACTGCTTTTATCAGAGTGATGATATCGGAGATTTAAGATGCAGGCCGATATAATCCGATATTCATTTTTTTGCTGATATCAGACCGATGTCCGATATCAATGTTGTGTCGTGACATCCCTTGTTTCTTTTTTTTTTTACATTGTTTTATAATTATTAGTTTAGTGATTTTGACTACCTAAAATTAAAGCAGGAAGTTGGTATTTCTATTACCATCTTTTTCGCACTGTAAGGCACACTTAAAATCCTTTTGGCTTGTCGGAGCACTGCAGCTTCCTTAGCCTCGCAGAGTTATTGACTGTTTTGTTTGGCTTAATGCGCTTTATAATATGGTGTGCCTGTGTATGAAAATAGAGGCGAATAGACGCATTCATTAATGGTGCGCCTTATAATCAGTGCGAAAAATACGGTATTTAAATACAACACCTGCCAGGCAAACATTATAAAACGGTGCAACTCTTAGGTTTTTTTTTATTCTGCATAACAACAGCGCAGAGATAATTTAGCCATCCAAGCCATGTTCAGTCAATCAAAGAAGGACTTTGTATCTTGGTGTTAATAACAAAAGAAAAGATGGCTCAGAGGCTGCTGCTTGCGGGGACAGGTGCACTATTAATTATGGCCTCGCTCATGTGCTTGTGATTTTGGTCTATTATTAAAAAACAGAGTGTTCAGAGTTCACAAAAATGAATACAGACGGTAACAGGAGACAGTTCTCTTGCACACATTCCACATCCAAGTTGAGTACCCTGTAAGGAGGCCGTACTGTTCCAAGAGCCTCCAGTGTAACAAGTCTGTTCCCTGGATGTACAGACGGCTCCTATACAGTCTCTCTGGCTGTCAAATTGCATTCATCACTTTAAGAGAAGAGAGCTTGTTCAGTCCCCGCCACACCACCGGCATAAACACACACAGGCAAAACACGCACACACACACTAATACAAAGACACATGCACACTAATCTTTTCAATTTGTGTTCAGACCTAATCGTCTATAATGAGTACACTCTACGCAGTCTATTCACAGGCATTTCCCTGTGCCAAGGGGAGAAGGGGCTTGGGTATTTGGAGGGGAAGGCACAGGAATGAGACTTGTTTCTGCTGCTTTGTCAGCCTCTGATTGATGGTCGGAAAGTGTTGTAAAGTGTTTTTCTGACGACAGCATGCTGTGCTGTTTTGTTTTACACGATGCCATGGAGCATAGATGGTACATTTGAGCAGTTTGCCCCTGAGATTGCAATCTCCTCTCTTTCTTGGTTCAGTCAAGAAAGCCTGCAGATGGAGGCTCGGGTGAAGAAATTGCGCAATTTGTCACAACATGACAACAACTATCAATTTATGGTCCTGCTAGTATTACTGGCACTCAAGTTATTATTTTCTTTCAGAGCCAAAGTGGTGCTGCATCAAGTTCGGCAATTATTTTTTTTTACCTCTGAACTTCTTATTTTCTACTTGAAGAAGAAGACTGAGGAAAGAGAGTGAAAGGAACCCTCTCAGTTTAGTACAGTGAGCCTTAGCTTCAGTGTGCTGTCTCTTGTGTTTATTAATTTTTTTCCTGTTGGTTTTTCATTTTTACTCTTTCCTGTCTGCTTCTAATGTTGTTCCCCTCAAGGCGGTCATTATGTGACCTGCCAGTCTTAGTTTAAGGCAGTAACCCCTGATTAATTTTGATCTTTAATGATAAGAAGTTTGCAGCTCATTGTTGCTAAGTGTTGTCAGTAAATCAACATAGATTAACTTGATTTTCTGCTTTCACTTTTTTCATCATGTGCTATTTGCATTACCCGGCTCTCTGAGGGAACAGTCTAACTCCTTCCCTACAAAAGAATCAGCACAACATGTACTCAGAACTGAAGTGGTGCAGCTAAGCAAGTGCAATCCCATCTGGAGTCACAAAATAACTGTACAGGAAGAGCATAAGGAAAAATGCACTGCAGAAGGTACAAATGGAAGGAATAGGAGGAGCCCGAAAACCCCATAAGACCAGACTGCCAAACCTGATCAAGTGTTTAACATTTTACAACTCTGTGGGCTTCCTCTGAGAGAGTGAGTAGGATATGAGCAGAAACAGGAGACATGTAGTAGATATCCCGCTGGGAGAAACTACAATAGGTAGCTTTGAATGACGAAACTGAGATTTTGTGGTTCCTGACAACAAAACCAACTGGGCAGGTGTGCCTAAAAAATCTAAATGAAGCAGAAGAAATACGAAATAAGACAACATGAACTCATGTAAACAGGTGAGAGTGTTTTTGACGGTTCATAAATCAAGACTTTAGCCTAAACTGAACCAAAATTGGGTCAGGCTGTTGAAAATTTCCGGATGGTTAACTTTGAGGGCTCGGAGCAAACCTCATTAATTTTTAGGGGCCCTATGTTTTATTTCTGATCAGACACACACACACACACACACACACACACACACACACACACACACACACACACACACACACACACACACACACACACACACACACACACATAGCTGAGGCTGCAGGCTATTCTGATGGATCACGTCTTTTCAGTGTTCCTTCCACTGAACTGAGGCCCAGCTAGCCATGGGGGTTTTTTAATGACTGCCTTTACTGCAGCCCGTGGCGTAAATCTCCCCTTCCTATATGCATGCAGATGTTCTGTCACCCCCACAGCACAGACTCTCATAATGAAGAGATATTGGTTAAAGAGAACAGTACAGTATCGGTACCCTTTTTTCATACTGGTAGGCCATGCCCCAGGGCAAATACGTTGCATATGTTATGCAAAGCCTGTGTATGAATAAAACATGACTGAACTCCCTGCTCACATTGACGCATAATAGTCTGACATGGTAATTGTATTTAAGCCTGTAATGTGAAAGAGGTAACTTGCATGTAGTAGACACAGAAAGAGAAACAAAGTCTTCTGGAATAGTTTTATGAGGCATTTCACATCTTTAAGCTGTTAAAGCTCACAACTTTTCATTTATGATGTACACTCACAATCCTCATCTGTCTGTATTTGTCAAAGGCAAAAGAAGCATCTCTCTAGCGATGAAAGCAAAAAAAGAAACTGGGTTGAGCAGCTCAATATTTCCCTCAGTGTACGCGAGAGACCATAACAGGTTGTAAAAGGTGTAGAGAAGCTGGTTCCAGACGATCTGATAAGCTTTTTAGTTTTAAGCACTCCGAGTCCCAGGGGACTAGGAGTGTTAGTCCTCTGGATCAGCCATGCGGTGTGGTGCCATAGTAATACTAAGGTGCTTAAGGGAAAGCTAACCAAACACCTTTGCTTATTAGTAAATGTGGGTTAATCTAATCCTGGTCAGTATTATCACTGATTACTCTCTCAGTGTGCTTTTTTTTCACAGTAAATGGGTTGATATCTACTTATCTCCAGTACAGACCATATCCAGCATCAACTACATCGAGATGTTAGATCCAGAATAGTGGGTGTTCATGAAGTTCATGTTAAATAGAAAACCCCCTTCCTTTTTTTCCCATTTGAATAAATAAACTCTAGGAAGTCCAGGGTGCAGACCCACCCTTAAACTATACAAAGTTGTACTCTGTAGTACAACGTGAACCAGCTGATGTTCACATCACGTATAGAACAGAGTGTATAAGTCAACCTTTGAAACAAAGACTGTTTGTATAGAGCTGTGTGTGTCATATGTCACACTAAACCCCGTGTCCACACGGATGTTAGAAGGTAAATCAGACCATCCACTTGTTTATCGGTCTCTCTGGTCTCATTCTCTGTGACTGTGACCTGCATCTCAGACACCAAAGCAGACACCAAAGCTACCTTTGCTCCCCAGGAGACTAACCCCAGACGGTTGTTTGTTTGCACTCCAGGGTACGCAGTGTCCTCGTTGGATCACTTTGATTGGTTATGTTTTAACACTGACTGAATATTTCACCACAGGCTAGAACTTTGATCCACTTTTTTGATCTGTTTATCAAAAAAGGTTCTTGTAGAGGATGTGTAATGTACATTTTTGTAAAATATGGACATATAAGAGTTAACTGTTTGTCAAGGCTTCTGCAGACATGTGTTGTACATGCCCATGAGCTTGATTTAACATGAAGCACCTCCGCTTGGAGTCTCTGATAAGATCATATGCAGCACATAAAACCAAACATGAGACTTAAATTTAAGCTCATTCATAAAAACCTGGGTGATGTTAAATCGACTTTTACAATGTTCTCGTGGGAAAAGAAACGTATTTTAAAATGATAATGTGGATATGCTGTATATCTTCTGGAATAGTCTGTGCAGTTACACTTACCCTATAAAAGACAAGAACTTGCTGAAATCTGAAGAAAACCGGTTTGAAAACGTTCTGTTCAAACCAAAATCAAGGACACACTGTATGTGCAGCTCAAACAGAATTACACACCTGACTTATATAAAACATCTCTTTTATCCAGAGGCCAAAAACCTTTTTTTTTGCATAGCTCAGAACTGGCATTCGTCCTCTGGCCACTGTGGTGGGTCAATTCAAAAGTAATCCAAAAGATTACAGACTTTGTGAGGCGTGTGATGTGAGTTATTGTTTGATGAAATCACACATCAAAACCCCTAAATAATGTGGTGTCCAGATGAGTACAAACTGGATTGACTGTGTAAGATAGATGTGTTTAAACTTGCGTATTTAATCTTGAAAGCCTGGGAAAGAAGACAAGACAGTCTTCAATCAGTTTGTATTTTGTTTGGCAGTGAATAGACCTGCTTTGCAATCTGACCTGGACTGCTGTTTAAATTCATGGTGTCATGTAAGCTCATACAGGCTAGACACCAACTTTTAACCTACGAGGAAGAGTGTCAGTCTGAGTTATAATTGCTCTCAAAGAGGGATTTTGTGTTTGATTGCCTCAAGGTGTTCTTTCCAGATGCATGCACTGAAGGAGAGGAGTTATAAGAGCTGTAGAAACTATTGATTTATTCTTAGTGACAAAAGGAGACAGTGTTGTTTCCATGCAGGAGATGCAACCCATTCCTAGTCATTGTGAGATGAATTGCAAAATACTGTATCCTGGATAATTACTTGTATTTACAGCTTGTAGTTTGTTTCATGTTCCAGGATTTTTTCCAAGCTTGAACAAGTGTAAGATTATCTTTGACATACAAGGTTTATGTGTTTTACTGAATTCCTCTCCTTTCCACTTCCTCTGCAGCCTGGGTCGGAGCTCTCGCCATGGGCATGATCTTCTTCTGTTCACCCATTGTCAGCATGTTCACGGACCGATTTGGCTGCAGAAAAACCGCAATCTGTGGGGCAGCAGTGGCTTTCATCGGGCTGCTCAGTACATCCTTTGCAAAGTAAGCCACTGTACTGTAACGCTCCCCTTGTTGTGTGTTTAATGTTTAACCGAGCACTGTGGCGCTTGTGGAGCACTGATTTAGATCAGTGGTTATGGTATGCCTTGTGAAGAGTCCTTGATGCAGAGGTCTTTGGTTGGACCCCAGTTCCTGGCCTCTTGCTACATGTCATCTCCCACTCCCACCTCCTCCCAATATTTCCTGTCTCCTTTCAACTGTCTTGTCAACAAAGGCACAAACAGACCAAAAATAATCTGTAATAAAACAAAAGCATTATTTCTTTTAATGAAACGTACAGTTAATAATAGCATTGTTTGAAAAATACAGATTTTCCAACTTGTAATTTTGAACTTCAAAGTCTTAAAGTCATACAGTCTGTGAGAATGTTCTTACCCTGTCTCAAAACATTACTGCTATATCTAGAAACTACATATGTCCTGACAAATGTAGACTGCCAGTTTATTCGCCAGTTGTTAAATAAATGGTTCTTAACCCCCTCTTTATGATTTCCTGTGGTATAGGCTTTACTGATCAGCAAATAAGATGTTTCTCCCACTCAACCACCCACTCTGGGCAGAGAACTAGGCTGGTGAAAAAGCAGACTGGGAGTTGAACTCAAAGGTTGCCTGGCCTTGTAATTTGATATTCCACTTGGGTATAAATTTTGCAATACTTCACTGAACACTGTGACTGCAGGTGAGAGCCACAAATAAAGCTCAGAACAGCACCTAACTTCATCAACAGTACATACAGGGTCCCAGCCATAGCACTAGCCACCAAACATCTTTTTAGCTTTGCCTGATTTCTTTGGCAAAGAGACAAAACACAAATCACCCACTCTCTTCCAGCAGCCGCTTGTTTGTGGGGGAGCCCTGACGAGTCGATCACTGAGTTCATCGGAGTTCCGCAGCTCAAGGAAGAACATTTATGATTATCACTTTTTGTAAATGCAATCAGACTGAGACACTAATGCAGAAAAACGTGTCTGCAGTGCACATACAAGATCGCTCAAGAACTCTTGATTGCATTTCCAGCAAAATTCATCTCTCGTGAGGGGGTCTAACTCGTGTAGTGGTGTGATTGACCATGGCTTAAGCTTACGCCGAAATATCCCTTTAATTGTAATAGATGACAGGTGATAATCCTCCTTCAAGTGTTAGTGCCGCTGTAGCATTAAATGCAGAAATGTAACCTCCAGAACTATTAGTGTATGCTTCGAACAGAAAGTCCTGTTATACTCCCTCCTGGCATCCTTAATAAATTTCATTCCTCTCTTTTGGGTATTTACACCTTATTTGGCAGCCCCTGATCATGGTCCCCTTCATAACACTGCATATCACAGCTGTGTAAATAGTAAAGGGTACATACACAGCAAAATACAGTTAGAATGAAGCCACACTAGCTGAACTCATCCCAAACTTTTGATGTTTTATCATCGTTAAACTCTTCTGTTTGTTTCGTCATGTTTTTTTCTTGGTATTCCTTACGTTAGAGCGGTTGGTTGGATAATAATAAAACAATTTCTACTTCTTTTTTTATATTTCTTTTCTATTCTAGCTCCCTGAGCCTTCGCTACTTCACATATGGCATACTGTTTGGCTGTGGCTCCTCCTTCGCCTTCCAGCCCTCGTTGGTGATCCTCGGTCACTACTTTCGTCAGCGCCTCGGTCTGGCCAACGGTGTTGTGACTGCAGGTGCCAGCCTGTTCTCCATGGGCCTACCGGTGTTTCTCAACAAGGTGGTTGAACCCCTCGGCCTTGCCAGAACATTCCAGATCCTCAGCCTCTTCATGCTGGTCCAAGCCCTGCTGGCGCTGTTGTTCAAACCTTTACTGCCTCCTGGAGGAGGCATGGGCCCCATGGGCATGGGCCCTAAACCCCAGACCCAGCAAGGTGCCACAGCTCAAGCAGGGAGCAGGTGGAGCAAGGTTGTTGGCGAGGTCAGGAAGTACTTCAACCTGCGTGTTTTTCACATCGTGACATACCGGGTGTGGGCCTTTGGAGTAGCCACAGCTGTGTTGGGCTACTTTGTGCCGTATGTTCATCTGGTAAGAACATTAATGATTACACTTGTTTCATCCTTAGAGTTTGTTTTAGATTTTATGACTGTTTTGAAGTCCTGAGGTCCTTTGTCATGCTTTTTAAAAAGGACTGATGTTAAGTACGATAGCTATGTTGTAGTTTGTTTTTGACGTCAGAGAGTATGCAGACACTCAGACAGCTCTCTATTCACCTGATTGGGTTAAAAAACCTCACATTAAGAACATACCATGACTTTTTGGGTATTTTAGGTATTTTGTTATGTGACTGTGAACATGTGGGCTCTCTGCCTCTTTACAGACCTAATGTGGTTATATAACAGTATTATAGAGTTTTTCAGTTGGAGTTGTGTAACAGTTTAGTTGATAGCTGTCAGGCTGATTTATTCTCATTTGCAAATGCATCAAGTAGTAACCTTAATGTTCTGTCATGGACAGCCACACTAGCAACCTGCGACATAACTCAAAACATGCTTTGAAAGATAGAACATTATGTGGGTGTCAGGCACATCTGGCTGACAAACGCAGGTTTTCTTGTGTGCACTTGTTGGTAAGTGATTTTCCAGACTAACAAGTGAACAGCCAACATTAATTTGCAAGCAAAATACTGAATTAGCAATTGTTATTTGTTGAAAAGTAAACGGGCAAAGGCTTATGTAAAGATGGCATGATTATGACCCTCAAACAGCTGCTGTCAAACTTTCTGTGGGTGTTAGCAACCGTTCTGAGTTTATTCTTTCAATTCTGGTTCTAAATCTTAACAAGTTAAATCAACGTATAATTCCTTTTTCCTCTTGTTTACTCTGTGTTTCATTTCTTGCTTAACCTGAAAGCTAAAAACCTCTTATTAGTCGTCCTCTACTGCGATCAATAAAATTGTATAGGGACACATGAAGTTAGATAGTTTAAACAATCAAATCATGCCTACTCAGGAGCTAAAAAGAAGAGGTGATTCTGTTATTTACAAGACAACAGATTTTATTCCTTTTTGACTTTAAAGGTAAATAGCAATTTGGTTTAAAAATATAACTTCTGAGCGCAAAAGAATGGCAAGAAACTTTGGTTTCCGCCAGAGAACAATGCGGTTTCTTTCTATGTTTGTTGAAGTTCAAAGTCTTGAGTATATCCTCAAAATCCTCACATGACCCTTGTTCAACTTAAGTGTGAGATATTGAGGTAGTGAAGGAAGATGATGAAATGTAAGGCTGCATCTCGGAGCTGTGAAGTTGATCTCCCTCCATCCAGATGTCGGATGTTCCAGCTCCGGCCTCCCTCCGTCAGGCCTGTTGTTTCAGGCCTGAGCCCAGATGTAAACACAGCCCCGGCCTTTGTATTGGCTCAACCACCTCAGGAAACCTCTCCTGTATGGGCTCCCTGTATCCCTAAACATGCCTATCCTATGGCCATTGATGAACGTAGAGCCCTTCAAAGGAGAGAAAATATTTCACAAGTTCAGGAAAAGACTTCAGAGGGCGGTTTACTGTTTTGGATATGATTTCGAGGGGGTCAGAGCTGAGGAGAGTGGGAGGGTCTGACCTATATGCGTTGGCTCTTCCTGTCCTGCTGTTCCTAAGGTCTGTGCATGAAGACATTTTGTTATTGTTAGACCTTTTGCTTTTGGACCTCAGAATCCCCTCAATCCCCAGAATACACACCCATACGCTGAGTTGATTGATATTTAAGGAATGGAGTACAAAAACAAAGTCCACCAGCAGGTTGTGGGAATATTTGTAAGCATCTGGAGAGTTTTTTATATACAGCACAGTTAACCATCAGTCACACAGCCAGATCTCACGCTGTCATGTATCTGTTTTTCTCTCTGTGTCTCAGATCAACTTTGTGGAGAAACAGTTCAAGGAGACTGAAAGGGAATGGGTGCTCCTGGTTTGTATAGGGGCGTCATCTGGGTTAGGACGCCTTGCTTTTGGCAAGATTGGGGACCACATTCCTGGTCTCAAAAAGATCTACATGCAGGTGAGCAACTGAAAGGCATTTAATATGTGCTGTCCCCTTTTTCCATGAAGAATGTGTTTGTGCAACCTTCCTGAAAATGAAAACCTGGAGTAAGATGTTCACTTCTCTTTGTTTTGGGCTGTATACAATATTTTTTTCTCATTTTGTTTAGACATTAGATATTTTTGTTTTCAATCCTGAACTTATTGGACAGTGAGGCTATAGATCAACATTTTTTGTCATGACAGAGTCAGACTCAGTAACTGTTCATTTTCTGGACAAAAATACAGTATTTGATGATATTTCAACATTTTTCCAGTAATTTTCATGGCCAGATATTATCATACCAAAAAAGCCTTCATAGAGAAAGAGATCCGTGCTTTCATATCAGTAGGGATGATCGGAAGAAGAGTTTGGTGCAACTTGAAGGGCAAACATGAAAAGGACTTGTTGTTAGTCCTGATGAATGCATACTCTAAAACGCTGACCTTATCAAAGGAAATATCCAAGTCACTAAAGAACTGTGTCATTTAGCAGCAGAGTGCTCGGTCATACTGAGACGAATCCATTAAGATCTAAAAACCCTCAAAAGCCATGCTGAACCTACGCAGGTCTGTGCAGTGGTAGTAAACAAAAACACAATATTTGTCCTTTACATGCGTTTCACTTTATTCATTTATTTAATGGCCACACAGCCAGATGTAGACTCCAGCAAGAAGGACATAAGACACAAAGAGAAAAACATGAAACATAACACAGACAAAAAGATTTCATAATGCATAGGGGTCATGCCTGTTCCTTATCATTCAGAGTTCAGAATGTTTATGGCAGTAATAATGAAAATGTTTTTAAAGCGGGTTGTTTTGGTGGCATTTGTCCCATAACGTCTCCCAGAAGGCAGTAGCTGGAGGCAAATTGAGCAAAAAGAGTGAGATCAGGAGTGATTTTCCTGAGCTCTGCGCAGTGTCCGTTTGCGGTAAAGTGATTCGAGGAAACTTCTCACACCATTCCAACCTTACTGTCCAGAAAAATGCCTTTCTGTTGGAAAATAGTTTTTTTTTTTTTCCAGCATACTGCCTAGCTTTGGAAACACCCACCCTGATGTTGTTAATACAGAACAGTGGATCCTTAACTTTTCTGCAAGGCACCCCTTCTGTGGGAGAATATTTTTATCCCCCTTCCCTTTCCTGTCACTGTACCCTTAAACACATAAACATACGTCCACATATACCCCTCCCAGACTTTTAACATGTGGTCAGCCCACCAATGGAGGGGGCCAAGACAGGGCCAGATATCACCCATCAAGATTGCTTGTCTTTATTTATATAGTTGGGATGTTTGGTATAGATTAACCATCAGCCTTATGTTTGCCCAAACAAAACTGGCCATGCTTTGCTAGTAGAGAACAACAGTGTGCATTGTTTTTAATCTCCCCCTTGTCATAACCCCGGGTCCCCCCTGTGGGGAGCCCAGCTTAGCTATAGAAACACATTGTAAGCAGGTTTATCACAGACACAAGAGAAGCAAAAAACAACTCTTTTTCTATTTGAACACTATTTTTAAGAGTGTTTTTCTTGTACTATCTGTAGGAAACACCTTTTCGGCGTGTTAATAAAGCAGAGGGTTTTACTTCATGGTTCACAGGATTAAACTAATGTACTCTGACCTGTACTCTGTAATGCAACAACAAAGCTGTTAGATTTGCACCAACAGGCAAGCAGCCTTCAGCAGCTGCTAACAAATGCACAAAGCACCGAGTTTCATGCAATGATCAGCCTTTATGAGAAATGATGAGATTAGACTGTAGGCACAATCCTCAGCTTTTATTTTTCTTTCGCTTGCGTATAATTTCCACATTGTCCTTAACACATGAACTAAATGAGAGGTTTTACCATCCTCCTGCCAACTCTAACTAACTAAGCTAACCCTTTTTGTGGAGAACAGCAGCAAATTAACAAACTGCAACTATAAACAGCAACGCTTTTCTTATTTTATGATGTTTGCGGACTTCCAAGCAGAAAATAAATTTTATTTAGAATGCTGCAGTTTGATGTTTCTATATTAGCCTGAGGAGAAACTCTTTTACACAAGTAACTTAGTGTTCGCAATATAGACCAGACCCCAAAGGCCAGATCTCTGTGTACAAGCAAGATCCACAAGGACAGGAAATAATGTGATGAGAACCACGACCACGTTTCACAGTCTTCCCTCAGTTACTGCTGCCAGTGTTACTCGAAGGGCAGCATGTTAGTCAGGGTCAAAGAGGACAAATAGCAAAGAAGTGACATGTAGAGGCAGCCTGTGATGTACTGTGTATGTGTGTGTAAAAGCAAATAAATCTGACACTGAAAACAGCCCAGTCAAAAATATTTCACTCTTTTCACAAATAATTTTACAGATTCTTTATTGATAAGCCAATAAAATCAATAAAAAGTGATCATCTGAAATCTAATTAAGGTTATCTAAGTGACTTATAGCTGTTTCAATATCATGAAATTGAAGTAAATGTGAATTCAATAAAACTTGAACTTTAAAAAAATTAATTTCCTCATCTGTGAAGTTAGTATCTCACTGAGTTACGGCAGATAGACTCTCTTAAGCAGCTGCGGTTGTTGAATGATAAAGACCACTACTCCCAACTGTTGTTTTGTATTTTTTGTTTTGGTTACTCCTTGAATCAAATGCAGATGTTTTGAGTTTGAAGTCCTTGTGCTGTCTTTTCCAGGTGGTGTCATTCATGGCTCTGGGCGTGATGTCCATGTTGATTCCTCAGTGCTCAGTGTTTGAAGCCCTGGTGGTTGTGTGCGTGTTCCTGGGGCTGTGTGACGGTTGCTTCCTCACCATGATGGCTCCCATCGCTTTTGAGCTGGTCGGGCCCATGCAAGCCTCGCAGGCCATAGGCTACCTACTTGGTCTGATGGCTCTTCCCATGACAGCAGGCCCACCCATCGCTGGTATGAAGCATGCTCTTCTTTTTTGTCCTGTTTGCGGCACTTCACCTTGAAGAGATTAGTTCATGGCCCTGACTTCAGGACCTGCAGTTGGAGCAGATATAAAGCTGATGGATATGAGCTGTTTGAAACGCTCCGATGAAAACATATAAGGGCAAAGAAAGAGTAGAACAAATACTGGGCTGGGCTTTGGGCTCATGGCCAATTGCTGGCTATCCCTGGGGGATTTGTCTTCTGGGGAAAAAAAGCACATTCAGGCTGTACACAACTCTCTTTGTGAGTCTCCCCCCTCCCCCTCGCTATTCCTCTCCACTGCTCTCTAATAATACGGATATAAAGGAGAGAACTGAAGGCACTAATTTCATGACTCAGGCATCGCCATGTGCTCTGTTTGCCAACCTCTTTCACATCTCCTACATACTTAGACTTCTTTTACATAAAAGCACCCCATTTGTAGCCTTCGCACAAAAACATACAAAATCTGATCTGGAAGTTGTTATTGACAGCTTGAGGTATTTCTTTGCACAGAACTACTCAAGTTTTAAACATATGAAAAAAAGAGGGAACAAGTGGAATTTTCATGGTAAACTCCCCAAAGCTGTTTTCCACAGTAAATTAATGAATTGGAAAACTGATTGTGTTTTGTAGAACTGTTTTGTTCAGCTCTCTGATCACCACAAAACTGTTAATTATTCCCTGGCATCGCCAAGCTGGACACATGACTCAAACTCCAGTAAATAAGTTCTGATATATGGTTTTAGTTTTTATTTGCAATAGCCACAAATGTCCATGTTACCTACTGCAGTAAAAAGTAATAGATTTCAGAGATAATATAGATATTTATATATTTATATATCCTGATTCATGATTATATGAAATAAATACCAAGTGAAATTAGATATCTCATTGAATCTTTAATAATATCTTGAAGAACGGAAGAGAAATTTATTTATTTAACATCCAAAACAAAGGCAGTAAGACTCCTTTAAGTCCCAGTGCTGTTATCACTGGGTCAACATGTAGCCTATATTGTACAGTACAGTCTGTACAGTCCATGAGCAAGAATGCATATGTTACAGGCAACAATGTAAGCGCACACACCCCTCCCACCCCTGTTGTGTCACGAGCTCCATGGCAGATTAAATATTCAGTGCTGTGTGTTGAACTTGTCGACCCTGCTTTGTCACTGTGATACAGTTTGTTTGCTTCCGCTCGCATGCAGATAAATATAGGATGTGGAAATGTATGTACCACAGACAGGGTGTGGCTTTTGTTCTGTACTGCAACACAAAAACACAATGCACTTCCACCTTTGAGGGTAGAGTTCCCGCTTCCTAGATCACGGGTGGAAACTAGAATTAAACTAGAGTATTTAATTTTGTTAAATTTATAGATGATAAATTAGTGTTTAGAGAAGGTTTTACCATCTAATTTAGAGAAGGTTTTACCATCTAATTTAGGTGAATATATATATATATATATAATAGCCTTAATCTGTGTTGTAGCTGTATTTAGTAGGTAATTCTCCTTTTGGGTAATAGTTGATAAACAACCAATAAAAGGAACATGATTAATGTAATTAAATTTATACACAATTATAGATTATAAACACATACTATGTCATATAGATGTTCTCATAAAGGGGTAAAAGGTTAACATTTAGAAAATATTCAGTATTTTCAAAATCGATACATCCCGTGTGTCAGTGTGTGAAGCATAAATCTGGAACATTAAATTCCTGGTTTGGCATTAAGATTCCCGAGTATCCTGGTTATCCTCAACTTGAAAAATGTGGTCCTCTTGAAGTCATGCACAACCCCTCGGGTCAGGGGGAGAGTAAGGTTTTTATGTCTGGGGGGGTTGATGCTGGGGCTCTGTCTCCCCCGAAAACCCTGTAACCTTTTTACACCTCTCTCTACCTAATTGAGAGGTTTTTATAAGTTCTACATAGAGTTGTATTTCCCACTGCCTCAGGACTTTTAAGTTTAGCACAGCTAATTGTCTCTTGGCTCCACTTGTAGGCCCACACAAACATGATCTCTTGATAACGCTGTCAAGAGAAGCACAATAAAAGTATTTTAACACATTAATAAGAAAGCGCAACTCTTCCAGTAAGTACAGCTATTTATACTTGGCTCGTTTTTCTAGGTCTGTACTTCAGGACAGGAACGACCTCTTTCTTGGATACTCAGATCATGTACTGTAGACTGGATTTTCTTGGGCAACCTGTTTAAGTAGTGCGCTCTATTGACAGCATGGTAACATATACTGTGTCGCTCCTCTTCACTGTCCAGGTCTCCTTCATGATTACTTTGGGAACTACACGGTGGCCTTCTCCCTGGCTGGTGTACCCCCTATAGTTGGAGGTATTGTGCTGTTTTTTGTTCCGCTGATACACCGTAAGCTCCAGAGGGGCCAAGCGGCAGGGTCACCAGAGGAAACGTCCACAACTGCCCATATGTTGCCCACACCCCAACCAGCAGAGGACCCCAAGAGCTGCTCCAATGGAGTCATCTTACCTGGCTACACTGACGTAGAGACCCACATCTGAGTCGCACTGTACAAAGGTGAATTATATATATATATATTTTTTTAGAGAGATATTGTTTATTCGATCAAATATACATACAGTACCATTTCAGACAAGAATTCCCTGTTTTTTGGAGATCAAAAGATCAAAAGAAGGTAGAAGCTGTTTAGCTTATTTGTACCTACCCTCATTCCTTCCTATTCGTTGACCTTTTACATGTCTCTAGAATTTTAGGATTTCTGAAGTCGCCAGAAAGTAACCAAATCTCCAAAGTCTAACATGAATATGTAACAAATCATTAATACTGAAACAAAGACTTATATATACATTTATACATCCATACCTATATACACGTATATACACACAAATATGCACTTTATACATATATATATATATATATATATATATATATATATATATATATATATATATATACCTAGAAAACTTCAAATCTCTCCTTTGTACCATACCCATATAGATACTTTAATGCGAGCATGTCAACGCCTAGAGTGTAATATCTTACATTTTCCTTTCCTGTGTTTTTTTCCAGGGATTCAGCCCACCAGCACTTTTTCTCATCTTTAGATTGACCTCCTCCCAACCACAAACTTCCTGTTGACTGACCTTTAACTCTCTAACCCTCCTTGACTCTCATTGTTAATTATCTTTATGTGAAGAGAAATCTGGAAAAAGGGGAGCTCTGGCTAAAAGCTACAGAGAGGAAGAAGAGAAGGACTTCAGAGTAGTACCACGCTAATGGAGGATAAGCACAACACAGTCCCAGCTAGGATTGCTTCACGACTGGGGACTCTGTAATAACTTTAACCTCCAAGAGGAAAGAAATGAAAATATTGGAACCCACAGTGGTAGTTTCTGATTTTACAGATTTGATCTTGCTAGCAAGGTTACTTAAGTAGGAAAAGTACTCAGCTTTGTTTTTAGTTTCCATGGAGACAGAAAAAGGTGAGAGGCATATGAAAATAAGACTTAATGAAGGGATAAATTCAGTTTCTTTATGTAGAATTTTATGAATATAATTTACCCACACATGCTTCCTATTTAGTTTGAGTAGCTGAAAAAAAAAAACATCTCAAATGACTTTCATGTTTTTTTTATTCTCCCTTTTTTCTGCTGTGACGACTACAAGGGTAACATTTTTGTAAATGTCATAGGACAGACAATTCTTCTGAAAGATCAGCCACCAGACGCAATCACCTCAGCTCAACCGCACACTGTAACACACAGTCCTCACACCACCCAGGCTCCAAAAAACATCACCAAATCTACCAGCCTGCCTGCAAGGGATGTATACGCCATAGATCCTGTAGTTTTAGACGTGCGCACAGTTTCAGTATATAGACCAGCGACCTTTCAGCTTTTTTGCAGGGTAAAATACAAAGTCAAAGTCCACACGGCAGAGTTATGAGAGCTGCCCGAATTAATGAAACCTAACACTATAGTTGATACCAGGTCTTCTCTCCTCAGCCTAGACAGCCTTAACTTTCAGTGTCGTCATGCTCTACTGTTGTACTGGCCTTTAAAGGTTTTAACAGGGTGCTTGACAAATCCGAGTAAACTGTGTTTGTTACGACTCTCAATCGACGTTTTTGTATTGTGAACACTGTGTACCCTTCAAAGAGGAAATCATGCTATTGTAGAGATTGAAGATATCGATGGCTGTTGGAAGTGTAGATTTCTTGTCAACCTCAGAAAAGGCATTTTGTATCATTTGATCCTCAACTTTTCCTTTCTTCGAGTGTGCGTGTGGTTGTGTGCACCTGCTTCTTTGAAATAGTAGATGCGGTGATGTGTTTTAGGTGACTGTGTTAGTCTGTTGAGAAGTAGTGACTACTGAAGCTGCCAAATGGCCTGAGTCCTCATCATGCCATCTAACAGATAATCACGCCATTTTTGCTGCTTTTGCTTAGTTTGTGTCATGAGGGCGTCACTCACCGTCAGTAGTTATGAAACTCAAACGTCTCAGATTTCTCCAGATATTCCTTTTTTGAGAGGATAGTTTGCAATTATTTTTATGTTTCATAAACACTTGGACCATGTGGTTTACACTCTCATTTGAGTACTCTTAGACAGTGACTTTTAACAGACGGATGTGAAGCAGAACTGCAATCTGGTTATTGTGTAACTGGTTCGCAGTGAGAGGGAAATTCGAGGAAGGGTTTTTCCTTTCTTTCAGCCTCCCTCTTTGCTCCCACTGTCATTATTTAGTAGGCTTTTGTGTTGCAATGCCTGAACGCTACATGAACCTCATTGTTGAGTGTAGCCACTTTGAGGGTATTACTACAGGACAGTTCTGGATAGGAGACAATACATCAATACCTCAGTAATCAATCAATCTTCAGCAACCTTCAGCTGAACACATGGACATTCTGCATTACTTTATTATTGTGTGTGTGTGTGTGTGTGTGTGTGTGTGTGTGTGGTGTGTTGGTGTAATCTAAATCAGGACACAGAGCCACAAAGCTGCCAAATGCCTGGTTTCAATCAACCTCGCTTCCTTGGAAACCTCATTAGTGTCTGTTTGGTGCCACAGGTTTGGAAATGTCGAACGGACATTCCTCATGCTCTGACAGTCGGTGCGTTATCAGTTTAGAGATTTTCTCCTCCTTCTCCTCTATTTGGCCTCATACCACTTTGCTTCTTTGTTTTCCATCCACACCATTCCTCCGTTAGCCTCATTTCATCATTGTTTTCTGTCGTTGTTTGATATGATGCTGTTACATTAACATCAGATATTCAAAATATTCTCAAATACAGACAAAAGAGACACAAATTAATCATTAGTTTGGAAACACACATTTGTTGCAACATAGGCCTCCAGTTTGAATCAGGCAGTGTTAGTTTTTTAGGCTGTGCAAAAAGAGTAGAGTAAGAAAGTTGAAGACAAAGGTGTATTGGCAGACCAGCTATGTAAGCTTTCTAGTACTCAAATTAATCGTTACAGTTCAGCCTTATAATAATGTTCATATTTAATCTCCAAATCAACGCATCAGCTTGAAGTAGTGGTCCTGAAAAAGCAAGGATACACCGCTTTGTCACTTTTAAAGTGACTGGAGTAACAGTATTTGTTTCCAAAGTGAAACCAGTGTCCTTGTGCCTAATAGATAAAAGATTACTGTGAAATTATGATTTTTTGATCATTAAATTATATGAAGGTTGCTGGAGATGCTTTATGAAAAATATACAGAAATATTGTAGATACACCGCATTAATTCACAATGTAATTGTGACATATTTGCATAGAGAGTAGAGTGTTACTTTTGACAATTTGCACTAGTTTACTGCTGTCAAACTAGTGGCTTATGGCACCTAAATCTAAGGAAATGACCAATGAATTAAAAAGAGACAGCAGAGGGTTTCCCCTCTGGCAGCCACATCCTGGCTGAAAATGTTGAATGTGTTTCCTACATAAAATGTACCCATTTCTAAAAAGTGTGTTGTTTTCTGATGTATTTTTTTTTTCTCATTTGACTGTGAACTTATATCCCCGCCCCCATTTTTTTAATCTGCTAAATATATCATCAGCTTGTTAGCCAGTAGCTCGACACCATGCCGTGTTGTAAAAGGTATATTAAATAAGAATCAAAGCAGTAACCTCAATTTGAAAACATATCTGCCTTATAGTTACTGAACAGCTGTGAAACATCAGAACCAGATCAGTGACGTCACATGTGTAATGACTTTTTTCGGATTGTAATGTGATTTTTATTTTTATTTTTACTCATTACGTTTCTTTGTTGTTACATATATAGTCATTTTCAATCCTGGATCTATCTTAACAACCTCTTCAATTGATTTCCAACTCATCCAGTTTCTGGTTAGAACCAGCTGGATGCTCCTATTTGTATGGAAAAATATATCTTTATATGTTTTGTAATGATTTTTAATCTACTTAAAACTGTTTCTAATGTGTTTGCTTGTTTTAAATCGTGTTTTTTTTTGTTTGTTTGTTTGTTTGTTTTAAGTGATACATTTCAATGACTACTAGAAAAAGACAAGCCGTTAAGCTGGTAGATAAATTCAAAATTGAAAAAAATGATATGTCGAAGTGAAGAAGATGAATGAATGAATGAAGAATGACTTATTACACCTGGATGGTTATTTGGTGAATCTGAACAAGTTTAGCCACCTAAGTCTTTCTGTCTATGCAGCATCACTGTACCTGTAGTCCACTAACCATGACCACTTCACTTCTTTAAAGCTCTTGTGAGGAGCTTTTGGTTTGTGTTTATAGTGGCGCCACCTCTGTGCAGACAGAAGACCCTCTTATCTCTTCTGATTTTCCCCTGTGCATGTGTCACTAGTGCTTTTAACAAAAGTCAAATCCTGCTTTCTTAAAAGAATTGAATGTTTCAGCAGCATGGGCGTTTTTTTTTCACAGCATGCAGTTATTTACTTTGTCCCACACCTACCCCGCTCCAGCAATTTCATTCGTTATAAATAGCTTAAAAATACTCTGATGGTCTTATTTGCTTCTGCAGGTCATATAAAGGCAAACATATTATAACTGGTAGGTTTCATGACTAATCAAAAACTTCTCACAGGAGCTTTAAGTATCATCACTTAAATCTTTTTAACAGATGCTCTTAAATTCACATTTATCTCCTCCAGTCCACTACAGTTAAATCATCAGTTTAGCCCCTTCCTTAAAGGATAAACTATCAATAACACATGTTTGAGTTGGGTTTACTAAAAAAATGTTTTAAGACTTAATCAGGTTTTCAAAAGTTTCTAGCTGTTTTGGAATTTTCCCTTAAGTTTAAAACGGTATTAACTGAACATTTCCCTGCTGGTGTTTTTCTTTTTTGATCTTCCTGTGTCCAACAGTGAGCAGGTCAGAACTACAGAGACATAAAACTGAATCATAATTAGGGACAGACGTGTTTAAACCTAATCTTATTTATGCCAAAATAACACTTGTAGGCACTATTTGGTGTCTTTGGTTGTTAGTTTAAGCAGTATAATAATCCAATAGTCCAATTTTTCATTAAAATGTCCTTAAGTTTGATGCAACAACCAGTGTAACTTCTTGACCAGTTTTGATTAACTTAGGCTTTCACTGAGCAATCTGGCTGCTATTTTCTGTCAGTCAGCTGTCACAAATCAGAGCTCAGCCCCTTTCTTTAACCCTATTACAAATTTCCCCTGGCAGAAAAATCACCTGATTTGAAGCCGGGCCAAACTACAGCAACATCGAACCTTGTTATTCTCCTGTGTTGCAGTGTGCTATTTCTCTGCCTTTCTGACCTCAATCTGTTCAGCTTGCATGCTTTTCCTCAGCCATACAATAATGTGCGTAACCAGATAGCTTAAGGTCTGAATTGTGAAGCTGAGCCGAGACTTAGGAAACATTGAACTGCAGGAGTCCTCTAACAGCATAAAACTTTGTCTGAATAACAGTCACCTTTTTTAATCACACGTGTAGACCTTTCTCTTCTCCTGACATTGTTATCTCTGTATTATTCATGCAAACAGTCCATTAGCTGAACTCTAGGCAGTCTGTTTTCTCAGCTCTATCAGCTCCAGTGTTTTCTGACAATAAAATGTCATTTATGTTTCTGTGTGCTCTCAGGGCTCTCAGCTCTCGGCTTGGGCTTTTCCACAGCCTTACATGTTAAAAAAAAAAAAAGAGAAAAAAGTCAGTGCTGGGTTCTGCTAAATTCTTCTGCTGCAGTTAAACATCTATGGCCTGTCCTTCCTACACAACCTATTATGTCTGTTTTATTCATTCTACAAAATGCTCTAACAAGGCCAGTGATGCCACAAAATCTGAATACAGAAATTGAGTCATGCCATGCTGCTAGAAGAATCAATGTAATTTTGTGTTTTTGTCAGAGTAATTTTGGATCTGTAACAAAAGAGGCACATTTTTTTCTATTAAGCTGACAATAAAGAGGTAATATGAAAACCACCCATGCTGTCTGTTCCAGATGCTTTTTTGTTGTTGTTGTTGTCTTTGTGCTTTCAGCCCTTTAAAAGGCTACATGAGATGCCGCGGGCTCAGGTGCTCTTGACATGCAATCATGTTTGAGATTAACCCCCCAGACACCTTTGAGTGCATGACAACGAGGCGAGTCAAGGAAGAAACAAAATACTCTGTGAGAACATTTAGGGACACGCTGAATGACACCTCGAACGTGTGATGTGCTCATTATCACCACGGCAACGTGGTTGAGTTTTTTCAGCCAGACAGTCCTCTTTTGACTCCTTGTTTCCCTCGTTTCACCTCAGCATCTCCCCAGGCAGCTGAATCCTAAAAACCATGCCTCATTGAATTAGGTGCAGGTAACAAAACTCTGACATGTGCCTGGACACAGTGTACAAGTTACAGGATGACTACTGAAGTTTGTTAAACCTGGCCTTGTGGCTGGGGCTGATTATGTTGTTCCTGGTGGTCACGGCACAAAAGATTGCAAAGAACATTTCACTTAATGGAAAAAACATTTAACAATCGCAAAAATAATTTCACAAGAGAAACAAGTTATAAAACATTAAATACTGATATAAAAAGTATGACATGCAGAAACCCTACTTTTAAATGAATCAAGAACTTGTCTGTGGCAGCTGCTGTAGGCATTGAAACAGTCACATAAAGATTATGTAACTTGTTGAGTGTAATTTAGTTGTTTTTAAAGCTTAGAGAAGGGTTCACAGTGGTTTTATTTTTGGTGTTGCTTACACAGTTTCTTATTTTGTGATTCCTCAAGTATTTATTATGTGTGTGTGGATCAATTTAAAACAGAACTCAGGATCTCACTTCTGGTGTGAGCTTTTTATAGCAGCTGTATTGACATGGGATACATTAAGTACAAGTGTGTAAATAGTGAGTATAAATTTGGCAGTGTAGTGCTATTTAGAGACCACAGTAAAACACAGTGCAGTTCTCTTTGTTTATGACTTTGGGATCTGTACATAAAATGGATGGGTACACATTGTTCAAATCCTGCCTGATTATGCCATCAGTCTGTGCATTTGTAATGAGCATGTTGGCCTTTAGGGGTCCCCCTCACTGGGTTCAAAGTACAGTCAAATGTAACAGATTAGATTATCCAGCAGGGGTCCCTCATCACTCATTTCTTTGAGAGGAGCTCACACTGTAGTTGACCTTTAGATTTTGAGTTTAATATGCTGCTCTGAGACATAAAGATTCAGTGGAGTTTAAACGTCAGTCTGTTCCCAGTTAAGTGGATAAAGTCTGGCTATATTTTTGAGATTTAAAGAGCTGTGTGAGGAAGTCCTCCAGATTAAGCCATGAAGCAAAATGTCTACAATCAATTTGGCTTATTTTAGATGGTTTTAAATAATGTCCTCATTATGCAGCATGAAGACAATAACTAATGAATACAAATCCTATTTTGTTACATTTAAATAAAAATGAAACTTCCTGTGATTTCAATTTTTACCATTTGAAATAATTTGTCCATGATTTTAGGATTTCCCACGTAAGCATGTGTCAAACATTAAAATTCTGAACTGTTATGAAAGCTCAATTTACTGAGAAAATGTGGTCACAACGGAAACAAATCAGCCTTTCGAACAGCATACACACCCATACACCCATACACACACCCACACACACACACACCCATACACACACACACACAACTGAGCAAGATGTTCCTGTGAGCTTTTTAATAATCACCAGAGAGGTAAACGAGACTGTTTTAAAGAATATTAACAGCAAAATAAATTAATCTTATTTGTGACAGTATGATGTTGTCTATTACACAGATTAGCTGTACATGTTATTAACCAAACAGTCTTTTTTTTAAATGGTGTAAATGCCACTGAGATGAAGAGGAGACAAAGGAAGAAAAAAGTGTGAGCTTAGTCACTGTTGGTTTGTGTTTTTGTTTCGTGAGGAGTCTCTGGGTCTGGAAAAAAGAAATGATGCAAGAAATGTAGAAAAAAATAAGATAATTGTGGTCATTTTTTTCTGTTGTGTCACCGTTTCCTTTGTTCCCACATGACTTATAAGAAGTGGAATCATTGCAGCTGTTGTTGCATACATGCAGCTTGTGTTAAACAGAAGTGGTGACAATCGCTCGCCAGGTTTCAAGTAAATGTAAAAAAGAATCTGAAAGTCAAGATCATAGATTTGAGTGATTAATATGAGGGTGTTTCTTATGAAATCTGACAGATGATGACTTCTCTGGAAACTTCATGGTCCTTTTGTCAGATCTGGTCAAATATGTTATCTAAACTCAACAACGCCATTAACTGTCTGTAATGTCTCTCCATCCAAAGACCTACATATTCTGGTTCTTAACTTAACAACACATGTCTTTAGGGAGGATCGCCCTCCTTTTTTTCATTTTCCAAATATTTTCAGTGCTTAATCCAGGGAATATTAATCAGATTAGCTCAAGGCTGTTTGACAAAGATATTTAAGGTATCTGGCGGACTTTTTAGGCTACTGTAGGTCATAAAGAAACATCAGTATTAATTTCTGCCTTTTTATAAATAGATACAAATTTCCCACAGGAGCTTCAAAGCAAATGTGCCAATTGCTCTAGAGTGGTTGGGTTGACATTAGTCCTCAGGTCTTAACATAAAGAAGAAGGAAACATGTTGAAAAAGCTTTTGTGGTTGACTGCAAGTTTAAGCCAATGAACCTCACATCCCTACAAATACTGTTTCTGAAACCCAGTTTGGACACAAAGTCTCATGACAAGACTTTTGGGAACTTTCAGTTAAGCCTTAAAATAAGATCAAAGTATTAAAGATACTCTTTAATAAACGGAGTGAGGTTATGGTCAAATAGTTAATCTACAGATCGGACAGTTTATTCATTGGTTCAACTGTCTCAGTTGTAGTTTTTCTTCTGTGTGACTGTAAGCAGGGTTGTTTGCTTGAGCATATCCTGAATATTAAGACATTTTCTGGATTAAGAATCATAGAAATTATAACTTTTTAATTTATATTGATTGACGTCTGTATTAACCATTGTAACCACATAAATTCAAAAGACATTGTCTTTATTTGCATTAAGGTATATCAAATTATAAACCATATCTTCATAAGGCATTATCCTCACTGCTTCATAAATATCACTAAAAGCTGTTACAAATGCTTATCTTTACTCACAAGAGTTGTTATAAAGCCTGATAGAAACATTTTTAAATGTACTTTATAGATGTGCGTAAATGCCTCATAAGAAATGGGTACATGTTAAGTCTTTTTTTTTAATCATAATTAGTTGCTGAATATTAATTGTTAATTGTAATTATTGCCATTTTTGTTCATATGTTCAAAGTTCTGCTCTTCTGCAATTCAAAACAGTCTCTAAGCACATCCTACTCATGTCTGATTTATCAAACAATGAAGTTCTCCTGATTCTGAAATGTGAGTCGTAAGTGTACACCTTATGCTGTTCACATAGGTGTATGACATATATGACATATATGAGAACATTGTATACATGTGTATGTGCATGTGCATATCTAAACTGAAAGCAGCTGAGAAAGTGGATTAGTAGACATAAGTCTGGATTTATACTTGGCTCATAGCCGGCAGTACTATGGCACTCTGGTAATGATTTAATTCCATCAAGACCAAGGTGCAAATCCCTTTTGACTCATTACCTGACACATTTGAGATTTCTTCAAAGTGAAGTGTGTGCCATTTAAAAAGTGGTATCTTTATTTTTGTCAGGGTGGCAGCAGGAGGCTTGAAAGCATTGCCATAACTTAACTCTAGTCTGCCTAAAGAGATAAAAGTAGCATGAATTTAAAAAAAAAAAAAAAAAGGACATCTGCGTAGGTTGTCATTCACTTACGTCATGGTCATTCAATTCTTTGTTAAAAGGGCGGCTGAGGAAATTGATAAGTGATAAGTTCCAAAGAAGCCTTCAAGAACCTCAAACTCTAAAACTGAAACTGTAGTGACTCAACAACATTTGCACAATTGATCTTACTGCACTTTATATTTATCTATTTTCTGCACGGTGTTGTTTGAGTTTCACGTTATCTGTGAAAAAATCCGAACACACTCATGTTATTGCCAAAGCAAATTCCAATGTGTTTGACACAATGGTTAATAAAGGAATCTGAATCTGAAACAAGTCCGGTTGCCCTTTCAAAAAAGAACTGGAGGAAAAAAAAGTTTCTTGAATTCTTGAATCAAGGAAACACCCTCTGTGTTGGTTAAACATTTAAGTGTGCCGGTTTGAATGCTTCCTTAAATGAACAAACCTCAGGCTGTCCTCATTCAGCTCAGTTCTTCAACATTTTGATGCATTTTCACAGTAAGAAAGCTAAGAATTAAACCATGGAAAAGCCTCTGTATCCTCTTCTCACTCTCTCTTTTGGCTCTTACTTCTCCTCTCACATGGTGCACAAACACAATCCAGCAGCAGATAGGTAATCAACCCAGGACAGCAGGCCCTAACCTGCTCTAACCTCTGTTTCTTTTGGGTCAGATCGTGTGCTTCAACTTAAATTATGTCGCATTCAGGTGTCTGCTGCTGAGATTGTGCATGGAGTGGTTGCTTGTTTTCAGAGAGATAAAGTGAGGCAGGCAGAATGTGCCACCGTCTGCTAACGCACGTCCTGTCCGGTACCACTGTGTACTCCAAATGAAACACACAATGAAACACACACCCTCTGCTACCTCCCCAGCCTGGAAACTTCCTCCTCTGATAAAGAAGTGATAAGGCTCGGTCAGACCCACAAATGTGCTGCTCCTGTTCATCTATCACACAGTCAGGATACCAAACTTGCAAGTCAGAACCACAGATGTACACCATGTTGTTCTTACTTTCCCCTACATCATTTTATCCAGAACATACTTGATTTTCCTCCATTTGACACAACTGCGTAGTTTAACTTGTAACTGAACAATGTTGGAGCAGAGTCCTCTATTGTTTCTGCAGGGAGAGCCTGGTGGGAGTGGATAAGCCAGAATAACAGAATGGGAACTTTCTGGACTGAAGACAGAAAGAGAAAAAAAGAGCGGAGATAATGTTCTGGAAACGGGGAGAAACAAAAGCAAAGAGGGAAAGCTCTGACTCTTTTCTGACATGAGAGGTCCTCCTTGTTTGCTTACATTCAAACTCAGACCCCAGTTTAGTTTTGAGGCAGTTAATCCTTTTGTTCTGGACAGGAGCAAAAGTGTGATTTTTGTTACACCTGGGTTTTGAAATAAATACCACACATGTCATTAGAAGTTTATCATTTATATAAATTCAAGGACAGCATAGGAATAGATAAATACAAACTTATCCAACAATATACATCAACCACTCAAAGTTTATACATCCATCTGAGTCTGAAATATTTACAAGAACCAAGTTCTGCTTGGAGTAGAAAATACTGTACGGCTCAAGATATTTAGTGGCATTCTTGCCCTTTTTAAACGCATATCTTACAATAAACTTTTCCTTTTTTACATCACAACATCAAACTTTGCAAAGGAGCAACAAAAACCCTTTATTCGATGATAAATAACCAAAAAACATGATAAGAAAAGGGTCAAAACTGATAACACTTCAGTGATTCTTTTTTAACAAGTCATATCAACTACATAACTTTGAAGTGCTCTACATAAAAAAATAACATTTTTTTTTTATCCCTTGCCAGAGCAATGACATCAAAATAAAACAAGGATATATTTTGCAACTAAAATGCTGCTTAATGCTATTGGTTAGGTAAGCCACATATGTCAGAGTTACTGCTGGGTGTCACAGCCAAGCAGCTCAAAGCGCAGAGCAATGTCATTAATCCATCCCCGTGGGTGGATGCGCAGGAACTGGGCAAACAGAGGGGTTTTAAACACGTTGAAAGCCTCTTCCTCTGCATCGTTATTTCCTTGGAAGATCTGAGGAAGAAAGAATAAAGAGAAAAAAGATAGGGGTTTGTGACTGATACATGCTAAAACATTAATCTACAGATGAGTCAAGCAAATTCATCCTCATTCCTGAATATAATAAAAGATGTACCTTTTCTCTTTGGGAGCTTTCCTCTAACACGCTGCTCCATGAGCGTCCGTCGCGGCTGAAAGTGACAGAGAACTCTGTCACCATCATTTGGGTCAACATTGATCGTGCTCCCTGGGTTATGACTCCTGTGATGCGTTTAACAGTCCCCAAGTCAACCTGCAGCCACTCATGGGGGTTGTTGTTCTGGGTTAAAAAAGGGAGTAAGACATGAAGATGTGAAACAATAATAGCAAACAAAAACAACAACCTTATACAGCTACACTAGCACAGGCATCAGACAGGACCAAAGGTGCTTCTTTTATTTATTAAGATTCTTAACCCCCAGATGTTTCAGCTGGTCCACATGTAACAATAAAATAAAATAATGGAATTAATGTCTTCATTCACTTTGGAAGAAAAACCCTCAGCCAAGTTCATCATCTCTTTGACGGTAAGATGTTCTTTGCAGAAGAACATGATGGCCTGACTTAGTATGACTTGAGTGAGGGATATGACTTTAATACTTGCAATAAAACGAGGGATGTCTCATGAAGCTGAAATAAATTGATAACATCTTCTGCATGAAATACAAGTAGCCAAAACAAAGGGAAAACATACAAGCAGATGAAGCCATTGCCAAAGGGAGCAGCTCACTGCTTCCTCTCCCACGTAACTCTGGGATGACTCAGAAACTTATAAACCAGGATAATGTTCTCTGGCAGTTCGTCTTTTTTCCACTCATTTCCACTGACATAATGTGGTAGCACAGGGCAGAACCAGATGAGCTGTAAGTGTGGGCGCTTAAGGTTTGGCCTATCATTCTTGAAAACTTGAGGTTTTTACTGTGAAGAAAAGAGGTGCACAACTACAGAAAGAGTCCCACAAAAAACTTTTATTTTGAAATCTAAAATAGAATATTTTCCTGTTAAGACTTAAGTTACATAACCTTGTCTGTCTGTTTTCATTGCAGCCTTTTGAAGGTCATTGTCCAGATAATATTCAGCCCACAGTGATTGACCTCTGTCCATAGATCACAAGTGCTGCTGTTTGGAGTGTGAACTACAATAACAGCTCCAAAGCTTGACAGAAGGGAAAAGTCACACCTCTGGAATCAGTGCTGCAGAGTGTGATAAAGATAAGCTGAGGAGGTGGAGAAGGGGGGGAACTACAAAGCTTAATAATTAGGAAAACAGAGAGGGGTGAAAAGGTAATAAGGGTTCATTTGTTCACTGAGTTTCATTTTTCACCATAAAGCAGATAAAATCTTAAAACGTTTGTTATCAGTATCAGCACACATGACACTATCTACTGATGTGTCATGCCAACAAGGTGAGGTTCACTTTGCAGCAGTATTGTCCTAGGCTTACATATCCATGTGATTGTGTTCTCAGTCAGTTTCACTCTTTCTGCAGTGATCTCAGAGTGCTGCAGATAATCCCTCAAACATGACTTTCACCCAGAAGACCAGTATTCTTGTTTAAGCACAGTTTGGGTTGTATGACTTAGTATCTTAATTTAACCCACGTTTTCACCAAAAAATGCCTTTGGTGCCTTAACTTGAATACTGATATTGTTGGTTTGGTTAAAGATTGAACTTTGAGTCAACAGTGACTCTCACATGAGGCAACAGCACATTTCTCTGAAATCATTAAGCTTTTTGTCAAGAGTCCCTGCAGGGAAACTTCATGGCAATGTACAAAAGCAATTCAAAGCACAGCAAGGCATCTATGCTAGATAGGAAAAAGTAAAATGAACAAAAAAATGGACTTGAAAATTAGATTTTTCTCTGAAAGTTTTTTAATGGATGGTTTTCTAGTTAGAAACAAAAACTGTGGAAAGAGAATGAATATGGAATGAAACCAATCCTGACCATTCTTGTGTTCAGTGTGACGTGGACTCTGTACATGGGAGGCCTGTTCTACCAAATGAGCTAATCCAGCCCTCCAAACTAAAAACTTTGAACCAGCAAGTTAAACTAGCTGTTTCCTCCTGCTTTAACTCTTCCTCCTAAGCTAATGAAATGTCACATCCTTTTGCTTTGTATCAAACAGCCTATAGGAACATTTTCAGAGCTACACATTTGTGTTTGAAAACTAAAATTGCATAAATAGTGCTCACCTTTGGCCTCCAGGCATTGACACTACCTTCTAAATGAAGGCGGGCGAGATGGGGTTCCCAGCGCCGCAGCAGGTATGAATAATGTGAGGAGGCAGTTATGTTTTTGTCTGGAATTGCAAAAGAGTGACTCTTCTCCAGCCCAAGAGGCAGAGAGCAGCCTGAAAACACACAAACACACACGTTAAGAATAAGAATAAGAGAATAAGACGAACTTTATTGATCCCTGAAGGGAAATTCAATAAAGACCACAAAGGACCCACTCAGATGAAAATCATATTTTTCTTGTTGTCTACATGTTCAAATGGCATTTTTCTGATGTTGTAGGACAAATCATGGGAAAACTAAGTGCGAAATTGCATTTCTGAGTATCTCTGCATTCAAATCGCTGTGAATCTCTGGCAGACCCAAACTGCAGGCTCAGACACAGTGAGATTTCCTATGTCATAACTACAAGCTCCGCCCCTGGAGCCCCGCTATGCAGGCCAGACTCAGGGAAGTAGAGAGGACAATCGTGGACAAGCGCCTGCGTTAGTGGGTAGCAGTGCTCATAAAAAAGCTAATAATGATATTAGCTTTCATCATGCCCCTAAAGACATACGTATCTGAGAGTTGAATAGCTCCTATGTTACCTGCCACTTCTACTACACTGACAATGTTGGGCTACAAGCTAGCATGAAAAGGAGTGTGCAGAGCAGCGCTGTTTCCGCCCACGACTCAAACTGCTAATGAGCTACTGGAGCTCTGCAGAAAAAAAGCTCTTAAAAACGACACAGGTAATGTGATTTTGGCTAAAAACCTCATAATCACAATTTAACAACCACTGATAACGCTTAAAGTAGTAAAAAAAAAAAAAAAAAAAAAAAAAAAACAATTGGAGTGGGACAACATTCTCAGTGCATTTAAGTGGTAAAATTAGCTCAGCTTTAAAGTCAGCTGCAACTCACTGTTCAGATCACAGCCCATCAGTTCCAGTCTCAAAGCAGGCTTCTGCCTATAATCTCTCGGCTGAATCCTGACGAAGCGGGCAACAATTGGCGGAATTATGTAGTTTTGTCTCACTCTGGAGCTGTCCAAGTTGCCATGAAATCTCTGAAATAGAGCAGAAATAGGGTTTATGTCAGGCTTTTATGGACATACACTTCAGATCAATTACTATCTTCATCATACTAAGGAAGGGATTATGCTATTCAGTAGAGGACCAACTGTTTCTCTTGTTTTTTTACTCAGAGACTCCAAGCAAACCCTGCAGCGAACTATTTGCACATGTAGGAATTTATCTTACAATGTAAAAATGTCATGCAAAAGCTGTTGAAGCCTCTTGATACACAGTCTATATCTCTTCTTTTGGCTGTCACTTGGTAACCCTGACCCTGACAGATGTACTGTATGCAACCTCGACAGCAGATGACATACATGTTCCTGCTTTGTGTTGTTTCCTCTGTAGGTGGTCCAGGTCTCCTGGTCCAGACTGTAGGAAATGGTAAAGATTCTGGTGAAGTGGTCCCTTAGACTGGCCCTGACCCCCTGTGTCTGCACACCATGCAGCAGAGTGGGCCTCAGCAGGTCTACCTGAAAACACACATGTTGGATCTCAATTTCACTTTACTATGTTTATTTATTCAGTTATTGATCCAGATCTTATATTTGGCACATTGAGAACTACATAATGTCCCCTTTAAGTTACCTGTAACCAGGATTGATTGTTCCTGCCCATCCAAGCATTGATATAACCAGACTGATCCAGTCTGGCCAGCCTTGGCTTCCAGTTATCTGACAACATTTATGAAAACAGGGTTAAGATTTCAACTCAACTTCTTTTTTCAGTACATTTTGTGCACCCCTTTTTTGTAATGAACAAGGGTCTTGGTAGGATGATGGGACTCAGTAAAAAAAATAAAACACTCTTACCTATGTAATCTGAGGCTGTGATCTGGGCATCTTCGATCCATCCTGACTTCATCCCCAGAGGCATAAAACACTCTGCATGACAGAATAACCAGAATATTTTTTTTTCACTTTTAACACACAGAACTATGCACTGTCTGTTTTCACATGTTATATTTCTGGAAATGAAGTCGTGTGATTCTACATGTCTACTAGATTTACATCAGGTACTTGGCCTAGAAAACTGGGAAGTCCCCATTGAAAACCCCACCAATTACACAACTTCAAACTATTTCACAGTGTAGAAAATAGGGGTAAAAATTTTGACATAACTCAAAGGAGGCCAAGAGTTTGTAATGTGTCTGTAAGTAATCATGCAGTGCACTTGGCGTTTCAAAATCTACATCATTCTCTGTTGATCATGTCCAAAAGTGTTTCTTTCGCTGAGGCTGTTACACTCACAAAACACTCCAACATTTCTTCATCTGTTCTTGACTAAACCTTTGTGTGGGGTCTCATCTGGGCTCTGAGTTTGATTTTTATAACAGCACGATCAAGTGTACATTTCCACTGCCCTGTCTTGATGTTAGGTCTTTGTAAAGATAATAAAGAGGACGGTCTGGAGCAGCTCTTTTTGCAAAGCATCTTGAGATAACATTTGTTTGGATTGGTGCTTTTTAAACAAAAGATCAATTGATGGGTGATTGACTGACTTCTACAACAAAGAACATGTATTTAAACACCTGACAAATGATATTTATTTGGCTCAACCCTTTTACTAAGCATGGGAACATAACAGGTTACCAAGAGTTTAGCATGATGTGTTATCACTCTAATCTCAGATTCTCAGGGCTCATCAAAGGCTGGCAGCCTTTTAAGTACTTCTGCTTATACTGTGGCCCTTCATAGTAACTGCTGAACAATGGCTGGCCCTAAATGCAAAACAGGGGAAACAGCAAAATGAGAGAGTTTCATCCTGTTTGACCTGTGTTTGAGGCACACCAAAGGGACTGACACTACTGTGGGGTAAGAGAACCACCTCCAGAAAGTCCTGCATTATTACTCCAATTATACAGAAGACTTTTCATCATAAACATTTTAGAAACATAAATGCTCTAAAAGGGCAGCACAGTGGTGTAGTGGTTAGCACTGTTGCCCACAGCAAGAAGGTTCTAGGTTTGAATCCGGGTCAGGACATGGAGTTTGCATGTTCTCCCTGTGTCTACGCTCCCTGTGTTTACTCCAGGTACTCCAGGTTTCCTCCCACATTCCAAAATCATGCAGAAGTGGGGTTAGGTTAATTGGCCACTTTCAAAGATGGTCGTTCATCTCTATATGTCAGCCCTGTGATGAACTGGCGACTTGTCCAGGGTGTCCCCTGCCTTCACCTGAAGGTGCTGGGATAGGCTCCAGCCCCCCCCCCACGACCCCCAATGGGTATATGCGGTAGAAAATGGATGTTCTAAAAATACTCATCATAGAAATTTTACAGCCATCACTTACTTCGATTATGGACCAGCAGTTTTGCTCTCATGCCGGCAAGCTGGTACTCTCCTATGGTATTCTCCACCAGCCAGGTGCCCACATTAGGGGGCTTCATCTCTACTGTACCAAACACTCCTGTGTGACATTGAGAAAATGCAAGAAACATGAAATTATGATCAAGAGTTACCAGAGTGCAAACAGACTTTAAACACTGATAAAAACTATACTTAACTACTTTGATGGTCAGATAATGTCTGATACTTTAAAAGACTCACAGTATTTGCTCATGAAACTGCTCTTACGACCTTTTCACAGAACTTCGGTCTACTGTTACTAGGCCAGAACGCTTTAAAAATCTTATTCATTAAAAAAATTATCTTTACATGTAAGTTAGTGTGAGTACTTACCAGGATAGAGATTAAAGACCCCCATACGGTGTTCCTGTTTTGTGTGAACGATGAAAGGCACACCGTGGAAGTGTACAGCATGGTATTCTCCATCACTTCCCACATTAAGCAGGTGCCACCGAACTTGTTGGTGTTGAGCAGCCATCAGGCCAGGAAGTGTCTCCGCCACATAACCGTTTATTGCTAAGAGAAAATATCGGCATTAATTCAAAGAAAATTAAAAGAGCCTTCTGTTTAAACAGGACAAAAGCTCATTGTTATGTCTCCACCTGCAAATTTGTTGCTGGTGTGGTACCAAGGGTCCTCAGTGTTGACCTCACAGGGTGGTGTACAGTGACGCTGCAGGTTTTCCTCCATGTACCAGCTTTTCGTTTCATCAAACACGTGGAAAAGAAGAGAGAACTCCTGGACGTTTGGCTGTCTTTTCTGACGAGTCCGAAGGGTGCCTTCCTTACAGATCAAGAGTGGACCGATCAGACCAGAATGAAGGTCCCTCTCCTGAAACACACGTAAAAACAGAATATTTGTAGAATACCTGGGCTTTATCAATTTAAGAAATAATTGAAAAATGATGAAACTTTGGACTTAAATGAGAAACATTTCATAGTTGTAATTTAATTTCTTTAAAAAGAAAAGCCTTTTGGTGCTAAATACAAATGACAATCAACTAAACAACCACGTAGAGCACTGCATTTTTAGTACACGCATACTAGTACTTAGTAAAGCTAATAGATGACTCAGAGTATCCACACTCAAGTATCTAAATTTCATAAAAATACAGTGGATGTTGTATTTACATGAAAATACAAGTTTGAGTAACGATTAAGTAAAAACACCAAAGGACCTTGTCGACAGTGGAGTAGTAAGCTCCAGCCTTGCAGTCAAATTCACTATCTGATGGTCCTTGCTTCTTGGTTATTCCCCAGTTGTAGGTCCGAGCCTCCCCAGGAGGCACTGGCTCCCCTGGGACCCCAAATGGAGCCTCTGGGGAGTGGGTTTGGACGGCACTGATCCCATGTGCATGATCGTAGACTCCATGAAGGTGAAAAGAGTACGGCCTGGATGCTTTGTTCTTAAAGATCACCTTGAAAAAGACAGAAAAACCAGGCAGCGTTGTCTTCACATATTCTTTACTACACGTTCTTTACAAGGACTGTCTGAGTGTAGCTCAATCATGTGACCACTGGAAGGCATAGTTTTTATCCTTTATTTTCTGCCACGCAAAAGCACTACTCACTGTAAAGCGTTCGTTGATCTCAGCTTTGATAACAGGTCCCATAATTCCCAGGTGTTCCTGGAGCTCTCCTCTGCCTATGGGACGCTCAAAGTTTTTATCCCAGTAGGCTCGAAACACAACTTTCTTATACTCTGGCAGGAACTTCCTTATCCCGCGACGCATTTCCCTAAAGAGAAGATAACCTTGAATTTTTAAAACTGCATATGTTTGGTTTGCCTCAGCTCAGGATTGTTTTTTCTGTGCTGAACAATGATGATTTCTTCTAAAAAAAAAGCTTTTTATAATTGTGGACATTATTATGAAAGGACAGAATCAACAATATCGTACATTCAGTGGTAACATAAGACAAATCAGGGATTTAAACTAAAAACAGTCACCCGTTAAAAAGTACAAAGAGCAGCATTGGTAAGTTTATGTTATGTAAGGTACTTGAGAGATGAGTACATGCAACCAAGGAAGTCTAGTCAGAGTCATGGATGAGATATTTCCTCCTGGTCCTGGTCTAGTACTAGTCTAGTTTCCAGACTGTTGCTCCATAAAACCCAGACTCAAAAATCTCTGGGTAGGTAAGTAAGCCTATTTCTCAACTTGTAAAACTCCTGCATCTTAATCTGACGTAACATTATCATATTACCTGAGTTTAATAAGCTGATGTGGTTTTTTGATGCCGTAGTCCCATGTGATCTCCTCTGCCGCTATGTAGTAGGTTTCTTCTTTGGGCTTTAGAGACCGCGGGTCCACATGATCCGTACCAAACGCATCTAGAGTGCTGTTTACCTGTGTCAGGATGTAAATATTAATACAGGACAAAGTCTGGCAACAAAATACAGAATAATATCCCTTTGAGGAATGTTTGAGGGACATTCAGACAGAAGATAGTACCTCTTGGTCGTAGTAGTCATACTCCAAAGAGAAGTCAGTCATTGCTGTGTTGTTGTTATCAGCAGTCAGGTTGAGTTCCACATGCCGCCGGTCCTTATCAAGTCTGACACCCTCAGATTCAATTTCGTTCGGATACATTTCCTCTGAATATATGTCTTCGACTGTTGGGCTCTGTATGGTTTCCAGTGAGTTTTCTCCCATTAAGATCTCATTACCCTCATCAAGCTCTGCCTTGGTCTGATTTCTTAAACTTAACAGTTCACCAATTATATTTATTTTAACCCTCCCACCTTGGTAAGTTGTAATGTTTATAGCCTGTTCTCCAATCTCTATCTCAGTGCTACCATCTTCAGAGGCACCAGAACTGATGTCTACATCTGTAAAGTTACCCTCAGCTTGTCTTTTTTGTCTCCTCCCTCCCTCTCCTTCAGCTTCAGTCCCATTCTGAGGTTCAGTCCATTCTCCTTCTCTTCCTATCTCCTCCAAGATATCCAGAGGGATTTCTTCATCTGGCTCCTCCACTACCACTTCCTTTTGCTGACATCCTAGCTGTCCTCCAGTCCCCTCAGCTTCAGTGACATTTATACCAGAAGTGTTCACTGACTGAGTTTTGTTGTTGCATACTGTAACCAGAACTGTGTGATTATGAGACCGCCTGCTCCTTGGCTGAAAATCCAGCTGATCAAGGTAATCAGAAATATCTTCATCCTCATGTCGGTCCACTAATGCGAATTCTCCGGCGCTGGAGTAAAGAACAGTGTAACGGATGCTCATACCACGGTTTTTCAGGCTGCTATCGAAGGCACTGATCTCCCACTCACCTGAGAGAAGACAAGCACAAGAATTAATACGACTCTGGTGCGAAATACCTGCACTTTTTCTTTATTTCCGAGCAAAAAACCATGAATATATTCATCGTGAAGTATCATGCTAGCAGACATTTGTTGAACTAGCCAAGAAATGGTGATAGTCAATATACCTAGAGTTACTAATTCTTATCAGGAGCCTCTTTGCTGGAATTTGGGATTAAGTTTAGGCAGATATGAGAAGAGTATGACCAAGATGAAGCAGGAAACAACATCAGAATGACCAACCCAAAGCTATGAGATGACATTTTCTGAGCTGGATAGTTATGATGTTACAATAAGTGACACTTTGGCCTTACCTATCACCTCTGGTTCCATGGTAACGGTCACACCAGTCATAGGGAAGAGCGTGAGGGCAGACTGGTGGAGGCCTTGGTACTGAAAGAGGTTTCCAGTGAAGTAAACTGAGAGGAAATCACTCTGGGTACCCACACTGGCTACGTGCCAGAAGGTAACATCAGTTTTATAAAGAGCAAACTGGCGCCTGCTGAACATGATGCCATTTACACCTGTGTGTGAAAGAATATTCAGTTTTTAAAATTCATCTTGATATGCCAGTGTAATCCAATACTCTGATACTACATCAATACACAGAGAAATCTGTCTCGAACTTACTGTAAATGACATTTGAGTTGTAGAATTCAGGGTCAGCTGTATTTGGAGAGACCTGGCTGGAATTCTGCATGCTTTCATTAAAGTACCAACTTCTGTTCTCATCGAACACAGCAAATATCACGCTCAGCTCTTTATCAGGCCCAAGCTGGAGGCAAAAATAGAAACAGAACAAGAGACACAGAGAGAGTTGTTACATAAGAGCAGGTGAGTGACAATCTTGTTGAAACTTGAAAGGAGTTTCGTCTTTGTAAAAAAGCAAACACCTCCAACATAAACATTCATCTCACCAGGCGTCCTCTGGTGTCTATGGCTTCATGCTTGCAGATTAACAGGGTGCCCACCAGCCCGGAAGCCAAGTCCCTCTCTGGGTTGAAGGTGCTCTGATACAGTTGGATCAGACACTGGGGGTCCTCCTTCAGGGGCCCATCATCAACTGTCAGCTTCCAAACATAGGTAAATGTCCCGTTCGGGGGAACTCCCATTGAGCGCAGGTCTTTCTCTGCAGGTTAGAGAAGATCAGACTGAACTTAGCCATAAGATGAAGACAAGAGGGCCGCTAACATTTTTTTTTTTTTTTGCTATTGGAGGTCATACCTGCCAACATTTGGGTTATAAAATCTGGGGAGTTTTGAGGTTACCTTGTATGGTGGATATGAGCTAATCATGAGAGTATTTGTAATTAAATTGCTCATCCAAATAAGTAGAAGTGAAGCTGCATACTTTTTTGTTTTGTTTTAACAATAACAAATGGTCATAAAAAAATAAGCTATGATATGCTTTTAACTTATTGTGTCCACTTATATTAGTGTTAAAGTCCTCATATGTTTTACATGCTCTCCCGTATGAGGCTCTTCTGAACATCTGTGCGTGAAATACAGCACTCTTTTATTTGAGGCTGCCCTGAACGCATCACTGCGAGAAGGTGCAAGACTATCAACGTTAATATTATATCACGTTCATTGAAGTGTTCATTTTGCAACAAACACTGCTTAAATATAGTTTATAGGTTAAATCGACCTGAATCATCCCAAACTGTAAAGTAAAAGTATCATTCCAGTGTCTGTGAGGCTCAGCAGAAACACAGGACAAACTTCGGTTGTCTGGAAACCTGGCAGCTTTGGACAAATATAGTGAGCCGATTCATGAATGAACATGGATGATCAAACTACGGGAGATTCCCGGGAGAAATGGCAGGTATGTTATAGGTTATCACCAGTTTTTGTGATGCTTTATTCAGCACCAGGTTACCACAACTCCAAGTCTCTTCATGGTCACAAGTAGAGGATGAAGTTTGAACTGTTCACTGCTTTTGGAGAACTAATCAGTAAAATACAGATGAGACTTGAGGCAGGGTAAAAAGAAGTAACGCTTAAGTTATTTTCTCAAATAACTAATTACCTAAATAATGCAGCAACTTAGTAGTCAGCGGTAACAGTAATTGTAACAAACAATTAATTTTCTGTAACTTGGTAAGTGGAAATCCAAACTCTGCGGTACGTTTCCACACATGTTAATGGTGAGGGCTGACAGGGCCATTAAATGGATGTCTCATTGTGGGTGTGATATTGACTAAGGGTTAAGATGAGTTCAGGTTTTAAGATTTTAATCTACAAAAAGAAAACATAATCTAAGACTGCTGCGTACAGAATCTAAAAAACGAGGAACAAAGTTATGCAAATGATACTTTAGCAATAAGGCTGGTTAAAAGCATTGCATAAAGCCAACGCTTCATGCAATGCTTTTACGGAATCAACTTGAGGTCAGGTTCAGGCCAAACACAATAATAAAAAATACACTTTAAATAATTCACTTTAAATTAAGAAGGAGACATCAGCAGGTAAATTTCATGTTGTGGTATCAATGGAATTCATCAACTTCTTTCTCATTTTCTTCATCCTGATCAAATATATGTCCTGGGCCTTCAAGCTTAAAGCACTTAAAACCTTATAAATACACCAGTCAGCCAGTCATTTGCTAAGCGTATATGTCGAGGCTTACCCTTTGAGGATCTGTCCAGTGGATATACCTGGGTCAGCCCATTTGGGTAGATATTGAACGGGCGATCAGCCATGTTTCTCAAAGTAATCTGGAAACAAAATTTAAAAATCAGAGGAAATCACCTAAAAGCCTTAATTACAAAGGGCTCAAAATTGCCAAATAACTTGACCTTTGTTTTGATCATTTCCTATCTTGCATGAAGGCTAATATGAGTGTTCTCTGTGCTCAAAAAAGGTGTTCCTTACTTGAATTCTGTCATTGACTTTTCCTTTCAGAAGCGGACCCAACAGCACTCTGCCAGGGTTTTTCTTCTTAGTGAAAGACCCATCTGTGTACTCCACATAGGCTACCTTTTTATACCTGTAGCCCAGGTGATGTGGCGCAGCAGACAGATACTTTGACTGCAGCTCACTAAGGAGTAGAAATAAGGAAATATTAGGTAAATACTTTGACAAACAGGATGTCCTTCCTCTTCTTCTCTCATGCTCATACACGTGTCTTACCTGTCTGTGGGTTTGAGATGACCAGCATATTCCCACATGACCTCTTCAATGGCGATGAAGTGCTCCCATGTCCGAGACTGCTCCCCCCGGCTTGATCTGGCTTGCACCTGAGGTGTGTGAAAGCTGAGGGAGTTGAACAAATTGTCGTCATAGTAGTCGTAACTGATGTTCTCGTCATCCTTGTATTTGACTTTACGCAGGTCTGGTCCAGGTGCAGTGGCAGGCTCAGAGCATTTCTCCACCACAAACATCGCGTTCATACCATCTGGGCAGGAGAAGCGTTTTAAATTTGAAACACAGTCACTCTTTGAGGAAGCTGAACTATTGTGATAAAAAAAACTAAAAAAAAACTGTAATCATTCCCCAAAACTTTTCTGTTGTTTCTTACCATGGCGGTGAGCTTGTATCTGACAGCTAATGAGGAAGCGGCCAATAGAAGTGGGCTTCAGCTCTGCAGTGATGAATGTCATAGGGGTCACCTCCATGGTGGCTTTACGATGGTTCAACACCTAAAAAGCCAAACCAATATGAGGTACTTACAAGTCAAGGCAGTAAATTTTGTAAATTAAGCATTTTCTCCTGCTTTGAGTCTAATGAGAGTATCACCAAACCTTCCTTCTGTGTTAGCTTCTACTACGCACCCACCATGTTCAGGGTCAGTTTTGACCCGTCTCTTAAATCAGCTGTAAATTACACCAAAAACAATTCTCTATCATCCAATTTGGTTCTCATCTCTAGGTTACCTTGTTGGGCTTCATTCCATGAAAATATTGGCTACAATAGTTTTTGTAGTGAGCCTCTGGGCCTTTCTTTGTCAGTATACCCCTCATACAGACATCCATAGTGAACTGATCTCACATGTCTGGACATGCCCGATGTTGTTGTGAACCAGGCAAAATGAGGATTTCCTAAATCTCCCATGATTGGAAGAAGATCTAATTGTCAGTGTGGTGCCTGACAGTGCACTTATGATTTCAGTTTTTGCTCTTATTATTGGATATTGATCTAACCGGGTCAACAGCGACCCTAACATGACAAGTGCCATAATTTTAAGAAGTGCATTTTATAATTTAGTCAATTTAATTTTTGATTTTTATTTTGTTAAGATAGAGGTTCCTGACAAAGTCAAAAAGTCTTGATGCAAAAAAACTAATTGAAGTGGTTCTTTTAAGCATTAAAAACAAAAACGGGTTGGTGCAGACCCTAACACAGGAGGAGGGTAAAACCCTCTCTTATGTTCCCTATCAAACTGGAGTCTGGATCCTACAGCTTCAGTGGGCTGAGGATCAAAAGCTGATCATTTTAGCTTCTCTGTTTAAAATGGTTTAGATATGTTCTTGTTTAATTCCAGTGTTTGGCCAAGCTAGGGGAGACGTCCCCTGACTCCTACTGCTTACTAAATGTACAGAAGAGGTATCAATCCTCTCATGAGCTCTTGGGTAGAAAGCACTCTGAAATAAAATGTCTCCTAAACCAGTTTCAACACTTTCAAAAAGTTTTCAAAGCAACAAAAAAGTTTAATATTTCTGGATGTAACAACTTGCTTTTCTTCAACCTGCACTTCCAGGGTGTCAAAAACTTGAATTACCTGCAGGGTGTGATCCTGAAACTGAATAGAGTGTATTCCTGGAGTTGTGCCCATCCCAATCAGATGCCAAGACACAAGATTACGACCCTGACACACTTTCAAACCTGCAAACGCAGAAGACAGAGGTCATACTCTTGTGTGGTCCGCTGATATGCTGAGCGCCATGTGAGCAACACTTAACATTAACTTCATAACACAGCTTCATAGAACAAACTCCTGGTCTACAGCCAGTCTGGTCTATTACCGGGTAATGTAGAGTTGACATATCCATTGATGGTGTGGTATTCTTTCTTGTGGTTGCTCCCCTTGAACTTCTCTCTGCTCCTTCGCTCTGCTCCTACCTCCCCGTACCAGCTTTTTGTCTCATCAAACACTGCAAACAACAGGACCAATGGTGGATTCTTCTTCTGGCCATCTTTACCAAAAGCACCTGGGAAAACACAAATTATACAAGCGATGTTTTATAACAAAGTGGGGTTTTCTTTTCTTTGGGTGTCACTAGGATATAAGTGATTGCAGTTTTGGCTTAAATTTCTTTAAAATGTTATATACAGGGTAGCTGCCCTTAAAAGTGTTGTAATATAATCTCTTCATCTCTCACTTTGATAGAGTACCTTTGTCAGTAAAATGGTTGAATAAAGGATTAAATAAAAAAACTGGATAACTTTAAATCACAGCCACTCCTAAACTTCAACTCCAGTTAACATCTCGAGTAATGATGCAGTTAACAGCTCTGAAAACCAATTAATTATAGAAGTTCTCTTAAAAGTTATCAAATCAAGGTCCCCTTCTGTCCGTACTTGATTTGCAGATGAGCAAGGCACCAATGAGTCCTGAGTTAACATCACGGACCGGGTCCACCTGGGATGAGTAGGAGTAGGTGAGACACTCTGGATCACTGATGGTGGGACCAACTTTGGGGTTGATGTCCCACACGTACTCATAGTACCCTCCAGGGGGTACAGCGTCATCCTCCTTCTCCTGGCCTGTTGTGGAGTCATCATAGCCAGCTCCTGGAAAACAAAGATGCAGCATTCATGACTCTGCTCACGTGGAGCAGTAGAGGTGAGTCAAAGCAGGGAAAGGAAAACTAATGTTGTCAAATCAAGAAAAGGCAGGACACGGAATTGTGGAAATCATGACTCGGGAATGTTGTAAATGGCAACTTTTACTACGAAAAACTCCCCACATCCTAGCTGCAGCTGTAAATAGAGAACAAAGTAAGACCACATTGTATCTGGTCTGGCACTGACTCATCTAAATGTGTAATAACGTCTTCCCCCTAAATACTACAAGGTTATGTAAAAAGATCAGCTTCATGGTGGCTCACTTTTTGCCCTGACATGTGCAGCTTTTCAGATTATGCCAAATCCGCTAATAGGAATTAAACCCTGTGTGAGGAAGACTTGAGCTGTTTACAGGAAATTAGTATTTCAGTTGTACAGCAGCATGAGGAAAAAATGCCAACGTCTCCTCTGAAGAGTATGAACCTTCAGGTCAGGGATGTTCAAACGTTTCCTCTGCAGTGTAGTACTCTTATAATCACATTACATTCCTGTGTGTTTGTTGAAGGTGGAGACTTGATGTGGTTACAATGACCGTTCAGCTCCGAGGAAACTGCACACAGGAGATAATGATAACGGTCGCTTTGTGTGTTTTCTAGTGAATAAGAGGCATCATTTTTGGCAAGTAACTCTTGACCAGCATGGACAAATCTGGGTCATAGTCATTAGATTTTTACTCTCTTTCCTTCTGTCAGAGTATTTTTTGTCTGTGCTCCTATTTGGTCCCCAAATTTCTCTGGACTTCTTCATAAAGACATGAGTAAAAAGATCAGATTTGGATTTCCTGCTTAATACAGTAGATGGATAGTATCACCAGGCTCAAGGGTTTTTCATAGCCTGTGATTGACTCACGTATGCTGTAATACAGACTTCACAGTACCAAGAGGTTGTGAGTCAAAATGCTGAGTCAAGAAAATGCACAAGACGATCAGGATGCTGTTGACTAATGTTATGTTAGTGAGCTAAGTGCAAGAGAGACAGAAACAGAATTCACGTTTAAAGAATGACTTCAGCTTTTTCCATGTAGTCAAATACCTTCAGACTGTTTCCAGTAGCTGATCCCCACAGGGCTGATACTGTACGACTGTGAGGCCAAGTTTTTGAAGTGGACCACCAACCTGTCATTGGCTTGGGCCACAATTACTGGACCTTGAATACCTGCAACCAGAAGAATAAGATATTCTGAGAGTTAACTAACAGCCGTCAATTTGTGTTACCTGCGCTGAAAAGTCAGGGAAACATCAGAATCAGTCATTTAATTTGTCGGTTTAGTTCATGTCATTTTGCCACTAGTCTTATTTCTAAAAAAGCCAACTCAAGGTTGTCTTTGGTAATCAAATGATGCTAAAATATTAACAAGGATATGGTAAATATCACAAATCTTGTTAAGTCTGACAAGTTTGAGAATATTCAAGAAGAAACCTACCTGTCCATGCTGGCGTTGGTTTGGGTTCAGTGTATGTTGAGTCTGTGTACTCCCTGTACACTGCTTTGATGTATTTTTGAGGAATATCTTTGGACCTCCTTAGTTCATAAAACAAAACGTAGATTATGACTGAAATTAATCATCATTTACGACGGAAGAAAAGTTACATTCAGATCAAAAATGTCGTTGTTTAAAAATGTCTACAATTTCTACCTGGATCGTAGATTATAAAAACAGAGGAAGCCCTGTTCACTTATTTTGACTGCCACTATGACAAACAAAAATAGTCTTCAAAGTCAATAAGGTAACACTTTACAATAACCATAACTTATAAATGGTAAATAGACCACTTATAAATGGTAAGCAGTTAGTTTATGAATGTTTAATTATCGTTTATAAGTAGCATATAGACCATTAATAAATTGTAAATTTTACAATTTTAAAAACCTAACCCTAACTTTACAATAACCATCTAGTAAGATTTATAGATGGTTTATAAACCAGTTATTAATCATTTACAAAGTATTACAAACATCAGTTGCAACTTTACAATAACCATCTAAGTAATGTTCATAGGTGGTTTAAAAAACAAATATTAACCATTTACAAAGTGATACTGACACACATTTTAATCAAGATGTTTTACAACCAATATTTCAACTCTATATAAACCTTTAATAAATAGTCTATTAGTAATTCATTAAATTATTAATCATAATTTCATTGCTTGTTAATGGTAAAGTGACTATTAAGTTACATTAATAAACTATCTATTTGCCAGCTGTTTTAAATGATGATTAAACATTAATAAACTATCTATTTCCCATTTATAATTAATCTATATGCTGTTTTTAAATTATGCTTAAACATTAATAAACTATCTATTTCCCATTTATAATCAATCTATATGCTTTTTTATAAAATGATTAAACATTAATAAACTGTCTGTTTGCCATTTATAAATTATGGTTATTGTAAAGTGTTACAATTTATAATTCTTAATAACACAACAGAGAGGTCTGGCTTAACCAAAGTAAGAAAAGTTCACCTTTGCTCGGACTCTGGGTCAGCTTCGTCCAGGTGGATGTAGTCCCAGCCGATCTCCACAGCTGCTACATAGTAATGTTTCGGAGGTGGACTTGGCTCAGCTTCCCCCGTGGAGCAGCAGACCGGCACAAGCAGCAGCAGCAGAGGCGGCAGAAGGGTCGCAATCATCACGGTGTGCGGGTTAAACATTGCCCCGGTTCTGCTGCTCCTTCTCTGGGGTGAAATATTTAAAGGAAGGAAGAGGGAGGGGAGGGGAGCACGACGAGTAACGGGGATCTCATGCGGGGGCGTGCGATGAGAGTGTGCGAGAGAGATCGCGCGCGCTCTGCTGTGATAAAATCTGATTTACTGAGGAGAAGTTTGTCAGTTGGACACAACATATTAATGCAACACACAGTTAATGAAAACCTGGGGTAAAAGTTTCCACATTCGTCAACTTGTGTTAACAGCTTTCATAACTCTTGATGGTGAGGCCTTCATAGTGTTTTATTCAACAGACTGAGAGGACACACTTGTTAATAGATTACTCTATGACACATTTAGAGATGAAAAATTAACTATCCATAGAGGCTTAAGTATCATTTAAAGACCTTGGCTAGAGATCAGCTTATGAGGCTGTAGGGGAGACCAGGGCTTGTTGTCACACTATTTACATTCTTATATATTTCTTGTAGTCAATACATCATATATAAACAAAAACTGTACCAGATGAAAGACGAAAGTCTCAGGTATATGTGTTGTATTCATGTCATTTTCATATCTTGTGTCAGTGCAAAGTTATAAGCAATCAAATAGAGTGTGAACATGTGACATGTTGCCCCACCATGGGGTAAGTTGTCTCTCTACATGGGGTAAGATGTCACAGTGGATTTAGCAGCTAATAAAACAAGAACAAAATTATTGTTGTTCTCATTTTTTTACAGAAAAGGGAACATTAAAGTCAGGCACAGAAAATATTTATCATTGAGCAAGAAAAAGTAATTGAACAAACGTTAACATAAAATATTATGTAACATGCTCTGGAGTTTGGAGAGCTGTCTGACTTTCTTTTCTGGCTGGGGTGAATGTTTTGCAGTACCGAGCCAAGGTATGGTAGTTGATATTAAAGTACTTTATTGTACTCCAGATTGATTTATTAGCTAGGGTCATCTGTCTGACTGCCCTCAGCAACACGTCAGGTACTGCACTACCATGTTCTGTTTTTCTTTTGTAATTCCTGACCACGTCTTCTTGCTTTCTCCTCTACTTAAAACCACTTTTTTCTCTGTAAAAATAAAGTCAACATTTCAATAGGATAACTGCTGATAAGCAGACTCTCTATGTTGATTTTTACCCCTTTTAAACATGTGACAACTAACCCCAAAATGACAGAGATGTGTTGCCCCAGACTACCATGTTTGCTAATTCCAGCTCTAGCTTAAAGTTAGCTTAAAACATTTCATTGATTTAGATCTCCATTAGCTTTGGCTAAGGCCATCACTATTCTCCTGGAGTCTATATTTACAATTAGCGCTCCATCGCAGTGCAAAGGCACAAAAAACATCACGCCACAAACACAAAGACAATGTCAATAACCACAACAACTCACAACAGCCTACAAGACAAAAACAATGACTGAGGTATGAGAGGATGCCTTAATCTCTCCTCTAACAAGTCCACATGTATCACTGATAGGATTTTTATCTGGAAGAAGCTTATTTTAAAATATATAAAGTTAAAATTCTATACTTTGGGTTGTGCAAAATGGTTAATTGGCACTCATCTCAGCTCACAGTGTTCTCTTATCTTCTCAGACAGGACACGACCCCTGACCATGTAAAGGAAGAAAACTCATAGTCCACCTTTTAGTTGCGCCCTCTGGTGGCAAAGATAATTGCAATGTAACAACTTATCCATGTGACAACAAGCCCCGGTCTTCCCTATTTGTTGGACTGTTTATATTGACTGGATTTAAAGGGGGGCCAACAGCATTTTTTTGACCACATGCAAATGTGAAGCCTCACCACTTTGCTATTGAGAATCTTCTGATATTTGATGCCCCGTCTGTCATGAACTAGTTTTTCTCTCTCACAGGGCACCCCTGTGAGTGGGTAGACAGATAAATGATAAATAAATTGACTTTTTGCTCTATGCTTTAAAAGCTAAATAAAAAAGGTAAATTAGTTGGTTTTATTGCATAGCTATATAATAACAAAAGTAACATGACACATTTCCAGACCTTTGGGCTGACTGTGCCACATGTTTAAATTGTATATTAGCTTTAAAAAAATTAACTAATTTCCAAGCTTTGAAAAGAAAACAGGATATACCAGCTAGCTCAGGGAAACGAACCATAGAGAAAGAAGGATGGGTTAGCAAAAACACAATATGTCACTCATCTCTACAGTAAATCTCCAGCAGTAGAAAATCCTTTTAAACAGAGGGCATCACTGCCCCCTTGTGGCTAATAACACATACTGGGCCTAAAGGACAAAGTTTGAACATTTCTTTGAAAATAAAAAGGCAGTGGACAACAAACGGTATTGGTAATTTAATGCAGTATCAAAAGTCTTATTGAGTAAAGGGTAGGTATATAAATCTTAACATAAGTATTTCTACATAGCTTCCTGCATGCCCACAAAAGCAATGCAAATTCAAATGTTTCACACAATAAAAAAGTAGAGCAAACAATGGAAACACAAAACACTTTTTTAAATTAAGAGTTAACTCAAATTCAAAAAAATAGTATTTGTAGCTGGGTATGCTGTGGCTCACACTGTAGATTCTTACAAGCACCATTAACATTATATTCAAAATGTTATAACAAAACGTCGTAGCGTGTAAAAGCTGCCAAAAGCTTAACCAGTTTGTCTCATATAAAACATTTTACAGCGCAGTATGAAAACCGAAGCTTCTTCAGAAAAAGTTCATTTCACTCTACTCTTGGGTTAGGTTTATCAATTTAGACTTTTCTAAACAATAGATGAAACATCAAATAGATAATAAAAAATTGTTCAGAGAAACCTGATGTGCTTTATGACAAAAATGATCATATCCTCAGTGAGTTGACCTCTATGATCTGTTGCAGGATGCTATCCACATCGCTGGTCTCCAGACTAATGCCAGCCAGGTCCAGCTGGGGCAGGAGAGCCGTGAGAAGCGCCACCACGTTGTTTCGGATGTCATGCAGATTCTCCTGTGCAGATCTGAAGCAAGACAGATGCCTTAATACAGCTATCAGACATTTGAGCCTCAGCATGAAAAGATAGTTTCACGTTTTAGTCATGTAGGCAACAACATGATGCTCCAGACCTTGTATCATCAAAAATGTTGATACAAGGTCTGACTGAAGTACATGACTCAAACCTTTCTGGGGGAGATAGACTGAAAAAACACGAGACATTTAATAATAATAATGCAAAGGTTGTTTGAGTTGGTTTAACTTGTAAATAAAGGTATTGACTTCCCTGCACATAGAAGCGTTTCTCTCAGCTACAGGAAATTGCTAAAAACTGAGACTACATACCAAGGGTATAAAAACAGATGTTCCACTTTGAACACCATTAAAAATTCTCATGCTTTAAAGTCTGCAACATCCACAGTCTGAAGGGATACTAATCTCCAGCTGTTTGCAATTAAATATTAAATAAATAACCTGCTCTGCACAAAGATAGGAAGCAATAATCATTCATAAAAATAACAATACTTTATTAATATAGCACTTTTAATTAAAATACAAGAAACAAAGCGCTTCACTGTGTGCAGTAAAAGCAGAAAAACATAAAAAGTTAGAAGCATAAAACAGATATATAGGATCTTATATATCTGTAAAAATGATTTAAAATGAAATAAAATCACAGATTAAAATCTTTACTGTCATAATAAGTTTTGAGCTGAGAAATAAAAGAAGGGACTGACTCTGTGAGTCTGATTTCCTCTGGCAGGCTGTTCCAAAGTGTGGGTGGTCTGACAGCAAACGCTCTCTCACCTTTAGTTTTCAGTCTGGACCTTGGAACTGCCAGCAGAACACTGCCAGAGGATCTCAGACAAGCCCAGCTCAGAAAGCTCGGAAATATAGGGAGGGGCGAGACCGTGTCAGGCCTCAAACATGATCAAAGGAACTTTAAAATCAATCCTTGAAACAACTGTTAGCCAGAATAGATCTGCAAAAACAGGTGTGATATGGTGATATGGGCACATTTGTTGGTTCAGCTGCTGCAGGATTGATTTCTGACTGATGCTTGTTTATAGTGAATTATAGTAATCTAGGCGGAAGGATATAAAAGCGTGAATGAGTTTTTCAAGATCCTCTGGAGACATTAGTGACTTAATCTTCTGAGCTGACAAAAACAAGGCTGAACAACTTCACATGTGGATCAAAACATAATGATCATGATCAAAAGCTACACCAGGGTTCTTGGCTGAGGCCTTCACAAAATTCGACAAATCACATAGATATAAATAACTAGATCTCTTTTTATCTGAGGGCCAGATAAATTAACTTCTGGTTTATTATTATTCAGTTTTAAAAAGTTGTTGGACATCCAAGATTTTACTTCTGCGTGACAATAAGTGAGATTTGATATGTTTGATTTGTTTCCACGTCTGATCAGAATGTACAGTTGTGTGTCATCTGCATAATAATGACAATGGACATTATATTTACATAGGAAACTGTCAAGGTGAAGCATATCAGTGGAAAAAGAGCTGAACCAAGAACTGAATCCTGTGAAACCCCATGAGCACTCATTTCCAACTATAGACTGTATATAGAATGGAAGGAGTCTGCCTCCTCGCTGAGTGAAGCCACTCTGAAAACAGCACCCTCTGGTGACGGGCTGCAGTATAGGTCATACATCCCACCTCCGCCTGCCATCCTTATGGGGCCGTGGACAAACTTTAACAATTTATTACACAGAATATACATTTTTCTCCCCCTTGTTTGCGATCTTGACATGTAGTTATTGTAAGACTGGTTTGTGCCCAAGTCCTCTTTTTTCTGTGCAGCTCCGTTTTTAAAAGTTATAAAGGGGTTCATGTTTTCTATGATTGACACCTGATACAGCCTATGGGCGTATGAAGATTGCGTAGCTCACCCGAGGGATATGCTGTTTGAGCCGAGCGTCATCACAGCGACTCTCCCGCCAAATGCGCACAATGCTACTGTGCAAGTGGTGGAGTGCGTACAACGCTACTGCGCAATGTTGGTTTCAGGAAGTGGAGAAAAAAAAGAGAGCTTTTTGGCTTCAAGTCCGTATACTGGCGGAAGGTGGAACCAAGTTGTCATAGTACATACAGTCTATGTTTCCAACCAGAAAACTACAATGAGTCACATAAAATACTGCAGCGAAATAAAAACCGGTTTAAGATAATTGCACTGTTTTTTATTCAGTTTGTGGATGTGTATTTGTGTTGAGATTACTCACCTGGTGTCTTCACAGGACTCGCTGTCACTGATCCTGCCCTGAGTTTCTGTCTTTTCCTTCCTGGGTCCATTCTGATCAGGCAGCTCTTTGAGCCCACATACAGCTCTCTGACCCTGGAGCACTGGACCCTGGAGTCTTGGAGCCTGGGCCAGACTGCTGGATGAAGAGGAGCTCTGATAAAGACAAAGGACAGGAAAAAACTTTAGAGTTTGAGAATAGGCAACTTTAACAACTTGAATGTGAAACAGCATTGTATTATTTTCCTGGCAGCTGAATCGTGTTTAAAGGTGAAATCATATCAAAATGATCAGAGGACCGACTATTCATTTTCGATTAATTCTAGATAATGAGTAAAAATTTTGCTGACCTCTTCCGCTTCTGTCTGGCAGGCGACCTCTCTTCTTGCTGTAGGTGCGAGCAGTTTCATCGAGCCTCCATTATGACTTTCAGCCTCTGTCATTGTACTTTGAGTGATCTTTGTGACTTCCAAACCTAAAAGCTTCTGAAGCCTCTGGACCTCTTTCTCCAACCCCGCCAGCTTCTGTAAAGTCGCCTCTCTGTCGCCCCCTTCTGGAGGTACTGATTTGCACACTGTACGGCTCAGAGGAGAAACTTTCACAGTCTGTGCACTGGGGAGAGAGTGGGTCCAGGGTCTTTTCTCCCCCCCGCTGTCTCCTTCACTCTTCTCAGGTCTGTTTCTTCGCTTCCCAGTACTCATCTCCTCTGTTGTATTTTCTGAGCCGGTCTGTTGCTCCTCCCCAAAGCGTGGCCTCTTGTTGCCATAAGAAAATAATGAACCCAGTTTCCTTTTGAGGCTGCAGAGAACAAAATCCCATAAGCTTGGATGAAGACATTGTGGGAATTGAATTACAAGCACCCTCAGCGTCTTTCAGACCGCTAGTCAACATTTCACAGGCTTTAGGATTTCAAAAGTATGGTACTGTTTTGTTTTACTATCTGATTTGTGTCAGAACTTGCAGGCAACATACCTTAATAAGTTTGGGTTCTCCTCTTCTGTCTCCATCTCCTCCATCTTTGAGTCTCTTTCTTTGTTGCTTTCTTCATCATCAGCTTGCTCTGGTCTTTCTTTGGTCTTAGTCACTGTGTCATTTCTGGCAGATTCCCGTCGTGTGGGTGTGACCTTTTCTATAGCTGTACTTTGTGTTTTTGTTGTATCACCATCTGTGTGTGTGTCTGTGGGAAAATCCTCTGGGTGATCTGTGTTTGTCTGATCTGCTTCTGGTGTATTTTCCTCTGTGTGGTGTTTGTCTGTAGTTCTTTTGTTCTGAGGTGTGTGTTTGGACTGGCACGGCTCTGATGAACTGCGGGACAAGATATGATGTTTTGCCTTTTGGTCCTGGGCCTATAGGGTAAAAGAGAAATTTATGTTTACACTTAACTTGATCTACAGTGCAGGTAACTATGGTGGCTGAGATACGAAACTGCTGGGAATAAAAAAGAATGCGAAAAAATGTCACAATGGAAGTTACTGATGCAAAAAAAAAAAGAAACCGTAGCCTGCTGCAAATAAAAAAAAGAAACAGTGCAAATAAAAAAAAAAACCACAACGGAAATCATCGACGCAAGAAAAAAATAATGTGGTGATGCAAAAAAAAAAAAAAAAGAAAAAAAGAAAAGAAAAAAAAAAGTTACTTGGTGCGAAAATAAAAGGATGCAAAAAAAAAAAAAGGGCCACAACAGAAGTGAGCTGCTGGAGACCAATAATGATGATGCGCCGGTGTTTTACGATTTAGGCACAGAAGACGATGGCGAAAAGACGAGCAAAGAAGTAAGTACAAAGGTTATTGTTAAATTTCACTTCGTGTGCTTTTCAATGTGTCAATTGGTTAGGCCTTGTAGCACCTGAGTCGATATGAAGTTAAACTGAAGCTAACAGAAGCTAACACTACACCGGCATCCTCCAGTTCAACATCATATCCACTCAGACGCTACATGGCCTGACCAAATGACACGTTGAAAAGCACACAGCGAAATGAAACGATAACCTTTCCATTTACTTTTTTGCTCGTCTTCTTGCCGTTGTCTTCTGTGCCTAGATCATAAAACACTGGAACATCATCATTATTGATTCCCGGCTCACTTCTCTTGTGGTTTTTTTTTATTTGCATCCTTTCATTTTTTTATTTTTTTTTGCATCGTCACTTTTTTTTGCGTCGTTAAGTTCCATTGTGTTTTTTTTTATCTGCACTGTTTCTTTTTTATTTGCAGCGGGCTTCGGTTTCTTTTTCTTGCATCGGTGACTTCCGTTGTGACTTCTTTGTTTTGCATTCTTTTTTTATTTGCAGTAGTGGTGGTTCTCGGTCTTTTTTATTGTAAAAACAAACAAAAAAACATACTAACCTCCAGCGAATATTCTCGTTTCCTGCCTCTTGGATGGCCTCTGAAAATAAAATAACCATATTATGAGGCCTGACTCTCTGTATACACTTATTTGACTTGCTTTGATAATTCTACGGTTGATCGCTATAATTATTCAGAAACATAAGGGGAATATATATTTTTGAGATTTCATTGCTCTTGACATTGAGCTAGAAAAAAATATATATTTGTACGTCTCTTTCAAATAGAGATGTCGGCAGAGTTGTTTCCTAGATGAAATAGTGCAACACACAAAATACTTGCTGGACTCATTGAAACAGCCCTGTTTGTTTTCCTAAGTTATAGACCTTTTTTTTAAAATATATTTTTATGTGTAGAGAACCTCAAATCTAAGCTACAGCTAAGAGGCTAGCACACTAATTCTTTCAACCTAAGGTCTAAAACACAAGACAGAGATTGACTGATTTATCCATCAGCTGTTTGTTCGTGTGTTCAGTGGCGTTTTAAAGTTATGGAGATTGGCTAATGCTTGCTGCTGAACTCATGATGCCGATGTCGCCACCTTCTTTTCTAAATGATCTGATTTAACACAGTTACAGGTTAGTGTTTGGTATAAGATATGCTATGATGTATGGGGTAATGCAATTAAGTATTGCTCCAAAATACAGCTGGCCTGATCTTTAATGATCATCAGCCATTAAAAAATAATGACAGTCAGCCTCTCGAGTGAAGCAATCATAGCTGAGTACTATGTTGTCTATAAAGAATTCTTTTTTCCTCTGTATCACTGTGTGCTGCTTGATATCAGGCCAGAAAACTAGACATTTTTGACCCACAAAGTCACATGTCCCACCACCGGAAGTAAGTGTGAAACTGACATATACCACCCTTAAAAAACAGTGTGTACAACCACAAAGACAAGCAGGCGTGCAGGAGTAGTGAAACATCTTCACATACACACAGAGAAAAAGTTAAACGTATGGTAAAAGTTAAAGCGGTTAAAAGAAATGGGATTTTACTGCTTCTTGTGGTTCTTGTGGTAGCTGGGTGTCATCTGCTCCTCGCTGTCTTCTGCTTCCTCTGGTGAGGAGCAGCTTCTGAAACCCAAGGAGACCAAGATTGAAACTCTATTCATGCTTTCCTACAACAGCTAACCCCCTAAGACACACACAAACACATGCTCTTTGACATTTCATAAGGTCAGCAATGGCCGACTTCTTTGTGTGGCTGACCATTTTCAGTATAGCTATAATAGTGCAAAACATGAATCTACCATCACTGAGGAGTTTAAATGTCACTTTAAGACACAGTAGAGCCTATCCTCACAGGAAACACTGTTTGTCAAAGGGTTACTCCTCACAAGTACATACACTGAAACCACACAGAGACACACACAGACAAATGTACACAGATATAAATTAAAGTATATCCCTGTTTACGTGTATCTTTGTGTTTGATGGACCTAGCATGACTGTGAATGGAACAAGTGAGGAAAGGCAAGAGTTAAATGTACATTAGATAATCTCTACCAGCTCACTTAGACTGTCCCACCTTTGTACATTAAAAAGCTATCTGGTTTGCTGATGACCTTTTACTCAAATTCTTGTGAAGTCAGGTGTTGGAAATGAAGCAAAAAAAAATCACACCTGTAACGTGGATTTGGATTCTGGCTACAGTTCCAGCTTTCAGGGGCCACTTTGCAATGACCCTCGGGGACACTTCGCCACTTGAGGCACTCCTCACATTGTAACCACAAAGGACCCCTGCACAGGCATAGACATTTTAGTTAGCAGGAAACAGCAGTAGAGAGGAAATGAATACACCAAGGGTTACCGAGGGAACTATTTTTAAATGCTCCTTTTAACGTCTTGAAAAGTGTCTTTTGAACCTCATGTGTTTTTTAGACTACACATGATGCTTATTTGTATTAAAGGTTGGTAAATTGAAAGTTCCAGAAGTTCCCTGCTTTGTTATTACATGTTTGGTCATGTCAGAAGTGCAGCATCTTCTGGGATTAACCTCAAGAAAACTTATTTTCCCTTTCACTTTAATGGACATGTACCTGCATGTAAGGGAAAACACTAAGCTGCATTTTCTCATATCAAAATGCTCATTATCCAAACAGACCAGAGTCTTCTCTTAGCAGGGTGACTTGTTAAAAATGACCTTATCTTTTATACTTATGATGTGAAATCTGAACTGAGCTGTCTTTTAGGCAGTATGGAGCCAAGTTATGAAGACACATTTATGAGGAAAACTGTTCACACTCACTTGTCCGTTTCCTTCTCCTCCTCCTCCTCCTCCTCTTCATCCTTGTCTAAAGCCTGAAACTCTCGCTCTCTGGCCTTCTTCTCTGTCACCTCTTTCCAGTAGTCGTTCAGTTTTAGGCCTAATGCACCGAGGGTGAGTCTTTGGAGAGGAAAAGGGGGAAAGACAGAGCGTTTCTTTTCCCAACATTACTAACACAACAGCCTAATTACCAGTTTTTAAGACTTTTACAGCACTTCTTTAAACAGCAGTACAGCTGCAAAATAAACATCAATAACTGTATTATGTATTATGCACCTGTACTCTTTGGTGTACTCAAAGTCTTGCTTGTTGTGAGCAGGTTTGAGAAAGTTACACTCGATGACGCCGATGACCCCAACTCCTGACCTTTGACCTGAAGTCTGTAAGAGATTGGCAGTGAGATTAAGCAATGGTCTGACTCTCGAACAACACAACATTTGTAACAGCCAGTCTGCTTATTTTGATTTACCTTCATTTGACAGCCCACTTTCTCATAAGGTTTTATGAGCCTGTTCTTGTGGTACATCATGATGCCGTAGTGGTCTCTGTTTTTTGGGTTCAGCCCGAACGTCACCCTCACTTTGTCTTTCTGATACGTTAGTCAAGGCTGATAAAATTACAGAACATGGGCTGGTTAAAACTTCAGTTTCTCTTCAGCGATACAACCTTGAAATTGCTTCAGCCAGAAATGATTTTATCAAAAACCCGCACACAAGCACCGCCTCTTACCTAAGCAGTCTACACAAGTATGTACAAAACTTTCAGCACCTAGCAGCCTTTTTTTTTATTTCCATCTCTCAAAAAACCACAAGCACTCACACATGGTCAGATGCCCCCCACCTTCTTTCTTCACACACATACACACTGAATACAGTTTTTTATCACCATTCACACGCATTACACCACATACACAGTGAAGGGATACACTGAAGTGGGGTTTGTACACGTCATGCTCGATGTGTCTCAGCCCTTTCGAGACTAGTTTGGCCAGAATCTTCTTCCCCCTGAGTATAACCTGCGTTCTCGGCTTCAGGTACAAGATACTGAGGTAGGCCTGCGACAAAAAGAATAACAGACAGAAACACAGTCAATTTTCACATGTCTAAAAACTGGCACCATCTTCTATTAATTTTATATCATCTTTACTGTAGATTACAGGTTAAGCCTTTAATACTTTTGATTTTTTTCTTGAAAGCACACAAAAAAAAACCCACTTTAAAAGTAGTGTCAACCTTTTATGATACTAATACTACGATTACAACCACTAGATCATTATTATTACTGGAAACTTTTAAAAATCCACTGATATGTATTCTGTGGTGAAGAGTTACTATGGAAGAGAAAGTGTATTTTTATTTGGAAGACAAACATCCGAAATATGTGACAGTTGAAATCTTGAAGACTGTTATTTGTTCTTGCTGTTGTGGGAAGCAGTAGAGCCGGACTTTCTTTGAAGCTCATGTGCCTTTGATGACAGTTTGCCTTCATGTGGATATAAGTATGGTTTCTTTGTCAGTTTGCACTGTCTGACAAGATCTGTCATCTATAATCATTAATATTTTTATTTGATTGCAATGAACCCTGCTAAGAGAAAATACAAAAGAGAGCTGCTTCACTATTAGACTCAGTCATCATGAATAAACTCTTGGCCCTCTTTTTTTTGTCATACATGGACGATGCTCAGAAATTGTAATCATGTTCATCTAGACTTCTGTGACATCGGAGCAAACCTCACCCACTGATGAGTATCCGGTTAAGTGATCAAAATCTGACAAGAAAGGACTGCTTTACTCTTAGTTGCCCAGTTTGCTTTTCTTTTTTCCTTACTTTTCAAAAGTTTATTGAACAACTGAATTGAAACTCATCCGAATCGTATTTGTGAACTGGCAACCAGATGGGAACCAGAGAGGCCTTTTGACTGGTTTCATGAATAAGTAAATTCATACATACATTAGTCAGTAATATCTCCTTTGTTCAGCTTTCAGTAGTGATCACTCAGAGGAAACGTTTTTTCGTACCCTGAGACTGTAGTGCATGTCAGGGATGTTCTGGTCGGCCTTCAGGGATCCGCTGTTCCTCAGACCCTTCTTCAACTCCTCGATCTGAAGCTCAGGTAAACGGAAGTCATTCTTATCTGTTTCAAAGTCGATCTCTGGCTTTCCATCTTTGGCCCTATCAGATAACATAAAAGACAGAACATTTTTAACATGTAAAGACACTGAATATATCTCACTCTCATGGCAGCACCAAAAGTAACACCAGAGGTATCCAAGTGTTAAAAAAGTTCAACATGTAGCTTTTAAATTATCATTCATCAGCCACAGACTATTTTTAAGTTACGCCCCTCCATAAACAGTCTCTTCAAGCAGACACTGAACAAATTGTGAGAAAATTGTCCTCAGTAGTGTCTCAGCTCTTCGCACGATGGACACTGAATGGCTGGCTTTAAAGCTGGTATACAGTGTTTTACATACATTTGTTTAAAGGCATGTTTAAACAAATAGCTCATGTGTGCATTGCTGGTTTGCCTGTCTGTGTTTGAGGATGTGTTTGCATATTGATAAGGTTCGCATGCTGTACCATAGTAGTACCACACCAACATTACTTTTCATGAATTCACCTGAAGGACTCACTGAAGAACAAAAATACTTCTATTTCTTTTCACTGTGCTACAAAAAGTTAACTTAGATAGATGAGTTCCACTCTTATGCCTTTATTTTGAGGAACTAGTGTTGTGTTGATTTTGGTGCCCCCTGTGGCCAAAGTGGGAGTTGATCTCTTAGCTGATCTTCTCCTGAACATGGAAGTATTGTTCAGCTCTCCCTTCTTTATTATTTTATTTAAAAGTCCAAAGTATGACTCATAATGAATCTCTGGCATGGACAATTCTAGTAAAGGATGTTTTTGCAAAGTGCTGTAAGTCACCTGTACACCTAACCAGAGGTAGGAAAGCAGGAATAATAAATGAGAGAACTGAATAATAAGGAGTTTCAACTTGAGTCTGTTTCTTGACCAGCTTAAACTCTTCACAGGAGCTTAAGTATTAAACTACAACCAGGAGCCAACTTACCAGACTTAGAGGTATTATTGCTTGACACCGTTAACCATGAGAAAATGTTTTCTCTTACCTTCGAATGTTCCAGATTAATATCTTGGTGCCTTTTTTTGAAGGGATTGAGTCAAAGTGAGCATGTATCTGTTCCTGAGAGGTGAGAATGGAGTTTTGGAGAATTGCAGCCAGGCTGGCCACTGAGTCCTCCGTCACCACAAGAGACTGTGACACTGAATTAAGGTTAAACAGGGAGATACAAAGGGACACACATTTCCTCTGACATTCTGTGTTAAAAACTGGATTTCAAACATTTGGCTGCCTTTGGAAGGCATTTACAGCTATTTTTAACTCACACACAGCTCTTTTTTTGCTGCGAATCACTTGATCCTTGATTTTAACCATAATGGACATAGAAGGATATTTGTTTGCTGGTTGAACGGGACGATGGGAACAATGACAGCCTGGGCCTTGATGTTTTCCAGGTATGTCTGAGACAGCATCCCTACAGTCTGGCAGCCACCATTTTTGGTGAAGATGAGGGCGTCACGACCCAGACGCATGGAGCCTGATTTAAAGCCATTTCCGTAAACACCGATGGCCTGCTGACTGGCTTTACCTGAACCTTTTTCTGTGAAACCAAAGCTAGAAAAATTGTGTAAAAGGAGAGAGCATGTAAGGAGAAAGTTACCAGGGAAGTTGGTGTTACAATTCACAGTAATTACATTTAGGACTCCTCCCACCAGAAAGAATTTCTATCTTGCAGTAATAGTTGCATTTGGCAGTATGGCTCTTGTGGAGAGCACCCTGCCCTTCCAAATGCTAAGGCATAAAAGGAGGAACTGGGGTAAAGGCGGGTTGCAAAGTGGTTGGGAAGAAGGTAACTACAGAAGGCAGACTAAAGCAGATCAAATAGAGCACCAATTTAGCTATTTTCCTAGTGAATGTGAAAAAGGTAATCCGCTTAGCTTTCAGCTTGATAGATGCAAGTGTATTAGGATACTTTTGTGCCCACATGCTTCACTCTTGTGTCCTGTCTGAATGAATACTTTGTCCATATTTTAAATGTGCACTTATATGTGTGCATGAGTCTGTGTTTGTGAGTGAGTGCATGTTGTACGGGAATAACAGAAAAAACATGAACTTGAATTTAGAGATTAGAAATGTTTCTAAAAGAGGCAAATTCCAAACCATCAGTCTGTGTGACTTCTTCTTTCTTTTTTGAAAATGTTTTCCATACTTCATGATATTTATTGTTGCACTGTCTTTTGTACTTTCATGTGTATTTTACCTGAGCATCTTGTGCAGTTTGTTGGGGGTCATACCGCTGCCATTATCTGTGAAAGTTAGGCAGAGCTCAGTGGACTTCTCATCTACATCTATCCAGATCTGTTTAGCCATCACACCAGGATCTGAAGCATTGTCTGCAAGATGAGAGAGGAAAGATTAAATAACTGAGAAAGGGTTCATCCAAAAATGTTCTAAGGATGGAAGAAACATGTATCCTCATGATGTTAGTGAGAAAAAATATGGAGTACATTTTGTATAGGAACATAGATATGCAAACATGATACAGAAAACCTGAGTTGTTGCATTGCGTCATGTTTTAATGAACCATAACAATGTGAAAGCAACGAAATCATTGTAAAATAACAGTAGGGGAGAGTGGGGTAAGTTGAGCCACCCCCTGTTGCTTGGAAATGGTAAAAGAAATTGATCATGTGACCAAATATTTAGGAGATGGGCATCAATTCATGGAGTCTGTGAAGGTTAGAAGCACATGGGTGAAGGGGTTAGACATTTATTTACAAAAAACATTTTTCACTCTTGAAAGTGAATTTAGTCTGTTATAAGTTTTATTAGAATTGAGTTCAGTAGGGATAAGACCCAACTTACCCTGCTCCTATGGTCAACTTACCCCTACACTGGGTAAGTTGACCATAGGAGACCACTTTTTTTTGGCATGCTATATTATCAAGACAGTTCTGTTTACACTCATTCTGTTGGTTTGCAGGGATGGACAACATCTTGAACTACATGCAGATACACTAGTTAGAGACAAAACTATGGTTGCCTTTATGTAGTGATCCAAAATATGAAAAATGGCTCATCTTACCCCACTCTTCCTTACTCTAAAATTAAAGTAGAGAAATAGGTTTCAGCTACTTTATATTCCATTTATGACTCCCACTATTATGATGATTTATCCTCTGTTGATATACTGTATGTTATACTATTTCACTCAGGTAAAGTGAGAGAGTTTTGGAGGAATACTAGGGCCTACTTAGAGGTGTATATCCTGCCTCCTGCAAGCTGAACGTGACACAAAATCTAATCAGTTACTTTTACAACTAGGTCAGTATGAATGACAATATTTAGTCCAGGTTTGTTGCCCTGTTTGACTGAGCGCACCTGCGTTTGTTCAGTTCAGCACAGCAGCACACTCCCTCTGTGGAGTCTGACAGAGTTTCATCAGCCAACAGACAGTCAGCATGTTTGGACCAATCAGCAAGCACACAGTGGATCAATGTTAATGTTGACAAAACAGAAATAGACGCTTTGTATCACGTGGTCGGACGATCATCAAGTGATTTAAGAGATGTTATCGAGTTCGGACTTTTTATGATGAATAAAAGTTGCCGATCAATGTGCCGATCATTTCACAATAAAGGCTTTTACAGCTTGAGTATGGAGTTACACTTTCTGACAGACATCATGCGCAACGTAGCAAGCCGTTGATGGTGTGAAAGAGGAAGTATAATTGCTCCATATGAGCATTAACATACAGAACACTGTTCACTCTGGGTGATTCGCTGAAAGAGTGTATATAGTGTATGGGATGACACTCTGAAAAGATGCACCAGCACAAAGGAGCGCACATTGGCTGCAGGAGCGCATGATGCAGGAACACAGAGTGAATAAGTCCGCAAAAGGACACCCACCTATCAACTCCGCCACCGCGCTGAATGTCCAGGTATGACTTGTAGAGTTGCTGTTCAAGAAGGAAGGACTCATCTAGAGAGGAAAAACAGAAGCAGCGAGTTTGTTTCACTTTTCATTCTTCCTCCCTGCAACTGAAAATACTCTGCAGAAAGATATACGCACATATGAAGCATGATCGGAGAAAATTGGAAACACCCACCGAACTTAAACGGATCCCATGCTCGCTTAACCTCGCCATGTCTCACGGGGAAGTGTAGGACTATTTGTCTCTCGTGTCGAGTGATTTTTTTGTGCCGCACGAGCGCACATAAAGAGAGACAAGTGACGGGCGTAACGTCACACAAACACACACACACACACACACACACACACACACACACACACACACACACACACACACACTGTACGAGGAAGTCAACGACTGCAGACAGAGGAGGGCAAGCGTCGACTTCACCCTTTTTTGGTGTGTCAGTTCATACAAAAAGAGGAATTCATGAAACTATGAGAAACTCAAGCAGTAAACAAAAATACACAAGTTTCTCAATATATGTATTTATATTTTTTAACCTGTTAAACACGTAATCGTCTACATGCCTGATGTAGTTTTACTCGCCCTAACTTGTAGCCTAGTTTCATTTATTTCTTCTATAAATGTATGAAAGTAATTTTTTCAGTAAGTTAGACAACAAATGCTCACTGTAACACTATCATTTTTATCTGCGAAAAAACTTTATTTGTAGTTGTCTTTTTCAGTTCCCTTTTACAGTTTTCTTTTTTTTGTTAATAACCACTTCCTTTGGAATAAACATGAACCTGAAAACTATGTGTTTTCTCTTGGACATTCAACAACTGTTAGGCTATTTTCAAATTATTTTAAACTGATTTTTTTTTGTTTTCTGAGCCATCACAAAGAAATACACCTAACCCTTTAATGCCTGAAACCACAAATTATGGCCAGAAAATTCTAATTTTTTTGGAGCTGAATTATTTATTTCACTTACTACTGAAAACAAACAAAAATAAATAAAAATGTCTGTAAAATTTATCAAATATATTTATTTATCTTGTTTTTTACATTGGATGTTTTTGGAAACTGATAAACTAGAAGAGGATATTTTTATCATTTATCAGACTGTACTCCGGTGTTTTAGTAATTTGTTGATCATATTGATTTGATAGAAGTATATAAAAGTATGTATCAAATATTATACAAAAGGCATTAAAGGGTAAAGAGACTGACCATGGGGGAAAAAAATACAAAAAAAAAAAAACTAGGGCACCAAACACCACCATCTGCTGACAAAACAGCAGAACATCACAAAGTACAGTTTACTGACCATGTTTACCCAGCTGTGAGCTGGTGACAATGATAGTAGACCCTATCCCTCACTTGTTGTGTTGAAATACATCCAGCTTCAAAGGTGCTGTATTGAACCACTTATCACTGCAAAAAGTGTGCCAATGACAAACACACTTTCTGAGGATGAGAACCTTTGAGGCAGAAGCCCTTGATTAACCCCAGCAGTTTAGTTTGTCATTATCACGAGAGTTAAAAAGATATTTGCACTTAGGTTGACTCTGACTATATAATTAAACAGCGAAGCTGGATTTTGTATGTATTTACATGCTTCCTCTTCAATTTGTTTTATTTCTCTCATATTCCACAATTCCCACAGAAAATATGGTTTTATTACACTAAATCAAAATTGTACCTCAAAATATTACACAATATAGCTTCAAATCCTATGATTTCTTTCAGTGTTTCATCAGCTGGGAAAGTTGCAAAGCTTGGTAGCCTTGCTATTTATAAACCATTATCTATTCAAATCCCAGGCAGGAATAACAGGTTAATGGTTAATACTAGAAGTGGCAATGCTAAGTGATAAGGGTAATAAAATAGTATGGGAATATTAACAGGGATATATTTAGGTTGCTAACATTATCAAACATTAGCCTTCAATAATATAGGGGAAAAAAGATAAAATCCCGCATGCATGAGGTGAAGAGATGTTTTATTGATTTGAAACTATTTTATTTGTCAGGGAAACAACATGTTGAAAACAGGTTAATTGTCTTTTCCAAACAGACAAAATTTAATATTTCAATTCAAGTGGTTGAAAATCTCAAATAACCAGATTCTGTATGAGGACTGCTTCTTTTACACCATGCTGCTGTTGAATTAATAAACTGTTGCTGTTACACAGATGACATGAGTCAAAGGAGACTAAAGGCTCACCTCAGCTTTTGTTACAGCCCTCAAAACTTTGGACTCTGCTGACTGATGAGTTGATAGTTACAGGAATCTGAAAAACAAAACCTGGCCCACTTCTTCAACACTTCTATCTACATAAATATGATAACATTTGAGTAAACTTTTGCAGCATACCACAGGTATGCTCAAACTAGTGGAAATATGTCCTTAAATCTCCTAAAACAGGCAGGTCGGAGCAAAAGCACAACATTGTTTTTTCAGTGCTGCTCTATATAAACGAGGTGTGACCTACACTTATTTATGTATATGGTGTGATTTGGCACTTTCTTACATTATTTCAGTGTATTAATCCTGTGATAATAGTTGAGTATTTTCAACTTCTTAGTTGGCACATGGACATGATGGTGGGAACTCACTTTAAATAAAGTGCAAAGGATAAAAGCACAGACAATCAGAAAATAAGGAAAGATGTTCCTTTTTTTCTGTTATCATCTTCTTCATTCATACTGCAGCCACTCAATCCCTTGTTGCATAAAAGAGCCCCCATCTTTGGTCTCCACTGTTGGAACGCCCCAGTTTTTCTCTCCATCCATTTACTATTGCAAGGTAGTCTTCTCCCGAGAACTCCTGTTGGCAAAAAGGACGGCTTGATTAGATATGTGTTTATATTTGTGTGAACGAATGACACCTTCATTGTATGCTAATGCATGCTAATTTATAATGAATATCAAGTAACAAGTTCAACAAAGTGCAGTGGCAAAGTGTGTGTGTGTGTTCTCCTACTTTAATAAATTCATCCTTGATGGCCTCCGCTCTCTCCAGCTCTGTCTTGATCACCTGGATAAACTGGGCTGTTCGATCCTCTGCCTGAACATTGCAGAAGCCAGCTTCTTCAATGAACTATCAGAGAGAAGACAAAAAGAGATAAAGCTGAAACAGCACCACCTGCTGATAAACTGTAGTTACACATCTGGCACAAAGTTGCATCATTTGCTTATTTGAGCTTTGTCCTCTCTGCCTGAACCATGCAAGTATCACTTTTTGTTGGCCAAGTAAGGTTTTTAAAACATATCTGTTTCTAATTTCTATGAAATCTAAGCAATTTAGTGAACTTACGGTCACAAAATTCAACAAAATATATATCTGGATTAAAATCCAGAAAGTACGAGTTATAAACTTTGTTTATAAAACAAACGAATCATTGAGAATTATTTTGGTGTTAAGTGCACCAACAAAAACTGCTATGAACCTGGGAACCAGCACTGGCTTATAATCTTCTTGATATACACTAATCAAGTGGACCAGAGGGTACTCCCCACAGGGCAGTGTGACCCTCTACAAACGATTACATAAGTTGTCTTGACCATTTGTTTACCTTGCCATACTGTGAGGGTGTATAGAGGACGTAGCCTCTCTGTTTGACGTAGGCGTCAAACGCTGGCGTCCAGGGCTTCTCCCCGCAGCAGTAGTCACTGATAAGTAACTTACCGCCTGGCTTTAACCACGACTGGAAACAAAAAACAAGAAGATTGAGAGAGTGTGTTAAAACAGGTACGGACATCAGTACAATAAAAAATATAATGTATTGTTAATGATTCAGTATGAGAAACTGCTCACATGGAAGCGTTTGAAAAGGGCCAGTTTATCGTCTATGTGTAGGATCGTGTCTCTGCTGTAGACCACATCGAAAGAACCTTCAGGAAAAATCCTTTTGGTTGCATCAGCCACCTCAAACTGGACCTGAAAAAGAGAGTACACTGTAACTGAATGTCTTGTACCAACAACTTTTACCCACACCACTATCTGTGGAGTTTAAAGAAACAAGACTGGGAAACATTTTAACATACTGATGGCAGCTTTTCTGCGATTGCCCGGTCCATAGCAATGTTCACCATGTTGTCCGAGAGGTCAAGGCCAAGGACTTCCACTCCAAAAGTCTGAAACAATCACGATCATAACTATTTTGATAGCTCATTATTTTTAGAAGCTTCATAATCATTCAAGATTCTTGGCTCTTACCTTTGCCATGTAGAAGTCACCTCCACCAATGCCACAGCCAACATCCAGAACCCTCTGCCCTGACTTTAGATTCAGCATGTCCACAAACTCCTGTTAGCAAAAACATTTCTTTCTTTAGTTCATCCAAGCCTGAGCCTCTTTTAACACTCATAGACAGACAACACTAACTGGAATCCATCCAGTATCGTTGATGTAAATCTCACTGTATTTCATGAACTTCTCACTTTGGATGTTATAGAACTATTGTACCTTTCCCAAGATAAGCATTTAAAGTTCTTTAAGAATTTTATGTTTTTTCTTTTAATCTCTTATTCGTACCTTGGTAGTGCTGGGTCCACCTGTGCTGACATAACCAGCCCCAAACATCTTCTCATAGCGCAGAATTCCCCTGTTGGTGTACTGCTGGTTGTCCAGGAACTGCTGGAAAGTGGTAAATCCGTTCTGCGTGCTGGAGGAGCGGGGGACTTTTTCCAGCAGCCAGCAGATCTGATTTGGATTGTTTTTCATCTGGAGAAGAAAGAAAACATAGACACAACAAACAACGGAGAAGTGAGGAGAGTGGAGGGATGAAAGGCGAGGGTTCACACATCATCAAACAGGTTACAGACAAACTCTCAGTTCACAGGGCTAGATGGCTCTACCTCAATATATGCGTGAACTTTCTTTTTCAACACAATGTCATATCCGAACTTTTCATTCCCTTCTGTGTCCTCCACTTGTATTGATGAGACGAGGTGGCTGTATTGTGCCTCAGTGCGGTAGCAGGTGGGGTTGAAGTCTCTCTTGGAGTCACCTTTGTGAGAAGATACAAGTTTATATTAATTCTTCTTTGTCATATCTATTTTAAAATTATTTTGGCTTCTGTTATGAACATTCAGAATCAAATAATATTGTGTATTTTCTAAAAACTGAAATAACCCATAATTTACGTTTCACGGATCAATCCACTCCATCAACCAACTACTCATCCATCAATCCATCCATGCACATTGGTCAATCTATTCTAATTGTCCTGCCACATACATGAGAACTTTTTATGAAGTTAAGGTGTGTCTTGGGCAAAGATAGAGAAGATGAAACTCCATGAATCATATTACAATGTAACCACTATATTATCATCAAAAGTTAAATTTCGTAGACAGTATTGGTAAAAATAGAACAATTGTTAGTTCTTAGTACGGCTCACATTAAATCCACAGGTGTTCTGAGTAGATACCTTTGTCATAATGGCGGCTTCTTAACTTCTGATGATTTGACAGATTTGTTTTTAGATCACAATCATCCATTATTTTATACAATTACCTTTTCACGAGACATCCAAAAATCACTCTGAAAACCAACCAAACTATTCATTCAATTATTCTGTCCCTCAAAACATCCAAATTATTAAACCAGGTATTCATCCTTCTATCCATCAACCTATCTTTCCACACATCCATCAAACAATCTATCTATTATACCAACAAACTCTCCACCTCTTCATCAAACCATTCAACTGTCTAGCCAGCTATACATTTATCTATCCATCCCATCAGCCATCCATCTCTCTTTCAAACCAACCAACAGCTATCTATCTATCTATCTATCTATCTATCTATCTATCTATCTATCTATCTATCTATCTATCTATCTATCTATCCATCCATCCATCCATCCATCCATCCATCCATCCATCCATCCATCCATCCATCTATCTATCTATCTATCTATCTATCTATCCATCCATCCATCCATCCATCCATCCATCCTGAACCAACTAACAAACCCATTTTCAAATCAGCTGACTAATCAAACATCCATCCATCTCTTCACCAATTTAACCAACTATTTGTCTTATCATTCAACTATTTCTCCATCCTTCTATCTACCTGTCTATTTATCCAAAAAACCATGCATATTTTATTCAAATCAACCCTCATCTCCTCTTCCAACCAATCCTGCATCTATTCATCCCATCAGCCATCCATCTGTCAATCCAACCAACCTACCCACCAACCAGTCAACAGAACCCTCCAACAATTGATCAATATAACAAACAACTAATTTAACATCCATTCCTTTACCTATCAAACCATCTAATCTATCAAACATCCACTACATCAACTAACCAACCCACTCCCAACTTACTATCCGTCAAACTCAACCATCTAACCAATGTTTCATCTTTCAGCAATCTATCCATCCATCAAGCCAACCATCAACAACCATTTGATGTCTATTTGATTTTGCTCAGGGGCATGTTTTAATGAGAGTATCATTTCATTTTCTTTATGTTTTATTAATTTAATGATTAGTTAAATATTCGCTCTCTACCTGACCGGTGGTTGCAGGACTCTCTGAAGAAGAGAAAGCCCCCAGGCCGCAGCCAGCCTAGTGTTTTCTTTATGAAGGCATTCAGCTCCTCATCAGTCAGATACATCAGCAGCCAGTTGGAAAAGATGAAGTCAAAACTGAGGAGGGACACAGCAGACCGAGCCAACCAATTTAGCTAATGAATAACTTTGTTGAGATTTTGATTGAATTTTTTTTGCCTTGAACAAGAATATTAATGACACAGTTAATGAGTTTGTTGTACTTAGTTAGTAATCTTTACACACACCTGTTTTTGGGGACATCCATCTTTGTGACGTCAGCTTGCATAAAGGTAGCATTGCTATGGTGACCATTGTCCTGCCTGTTCCTCTCCACAAAGCTGTCCATGAAGTCCACAGCTGTCACATGAGCAGCCCTGGTCAGCAGGTGGCTGGTATACCGACTGTCAACACACATCAGTGAAACTTTTAAAAAGTGCCACTTTCAATGCTGCTAAAATCTTCCCATCCACTCCCCAATACCTGAGTTGAAAAGGAGAATAAGGGTCTTTTTTCCTAGATTTCAAGACAAACATAATATGGAGGGACATCAAATGGCTCTACCTAAGCCCTAGATAAGATTCACAGACACATCATGTATTATCTTCTGCTAAAACTCTTTCACTCTGCCAGATTCTTCACTGGTGGCTGCTGCACATACAACACAACTTCATATGAATTTTTCTTTTTGTTATGAGCACAGCTTACTCCACACCTGAGAACATGGTATTTCTGGTACTGCCACGTCTGAAACATGATTGAAACTTTGAACACATGTATGTCGTTTTAAAACAATGTCTACATAAACATCTATGTAGATGCTCACCCAATGCCAGCTCCCAGCTCCAGCACTTTGCATCCTTCCAGGCTTGGTAGCATGGCGAGGATCTCAGGAAGCTCATGCTGGGTCAGTTCTTTGGCACGAGAGTCCAGCATCATCTCCTCAACTGTGGCGCCCTTTGAGTGCTCCTTCCAAAACTCTGTCATGTTGTTACGGGCTGTTAAATGGCAACATTAACATTAAATACACAATTATTGTTACAGTGGCTTGATAATGGATGAATACTTTGCGTGTAACTTTCTTAAATGAACTTTACTTTCTGGGTAAATTGAACTCACAATGGAAATGCTTGGGCCAGCTTGAAAAGGACAACTACTACTGAAGAATATATGTATGATCTGCTAAACTGAGCAATCATACTCAAGTGAGATGAAGCTCTTTTAGCAGACTGTGATCATAAACATATATATATATATATGTATGTATGTATGTATGTATGTATGTATGTATGTATGTATGTATATATATATAGTATATATATATATATATATAATTTTCTTTTATTTGGAAACAACCGAAAACAAAAGACAATATGCCTGTGACACTTTTTGCTGGAATATGTAGAAATGTTATACTTTTTCTACATCTATTTCAGAATAGTAATTTATCTACAACTGGTCAAAAATTCAACAAAAAACAAAATTTCAACTGAGATGCAGTCATCCAATTAACATGTGATGCTCTCACACACTGTTACAGCTAACAATGTTCAAACTTCAAACCACCAGCTCAAACAAGTCTGTCTCAAAGTTTAACCATTAGTCAGAAATGAGTGCTGCAGAAATCTTATAACAACACTCTGTGACACATTCAAAGCTCCGGCAGAGTAGATTTAACTACAACTCATTCAGCAGTTCATATTTCACGAACACTATATCTGTCATTTTTCAAACTTTAACAACAGGGCTAGTGGTGTTTCCTACTTAAGTGACACAACAAGTTTTACTTGCTTTGCCAAAAGCAAGATTATTAGCATAACACGGTAACTGCACAGGTTTGGGTAATAAAACAACCTTCTGAAACCTTCATAGCAGGTGCCTCATTTTCAAGAAACTTTCTAGAAACAGTAAAGTCATTGGTGTGAAGAGCAAGACTCAATACTGCAGTAATTTTCAGTGTATGATGCAATACATGCAGTTTATGATACAAGCAGTATGAAATCAATTTGTAAAGCAGCCACAACAAAAGAAACATAAAATCAAAGATGAGCTTTTCACCCCTTGAACTTACCTCTTTTTGTGGGTCAAAACATGAACAACCATCCAACAAACCAGGCTTAGCTAAGGCCAGCACATGAGGCACTACATACTCCACCAGCACCGATAATGACAACCTAAGTAAAGTGAATACCTTGAAAGTCCATTCATTACCTGTTGTACATAGAGTACAAGGGAGCCTGCAGGTTAACATGCCGGCAGACAAACGGGAATCATTTGACAGCTGACAACTCAGTCAAACCTCTAACAAATTCCAGGCCAGCTTTCACAGCAGGATTACCTCCACCGGCTGAGTGAACAGTCTGAACAAAACAACATGTGGCAGCTTTCACAAAGTCCACCATGCACCACGCTCCAACACGTTTTTGAGAAAAAAAACTCATGAAAGCAGCCCCCTAAACAAATCACCCCGTGTCTCTTTGGTCATACCTTTCTCCATGGTGACGAGTAGTTAATTTAAGCTTGTTGCAAAATTATTCTAGTATGCACATGTACTTTAGCAATTAATGTCTTAATTATGAGAGTGGGGATGTAGTTATTCCCTCTGGCAGAGTGCTGGCTGCCCCCAGCGTGGGGGGCTCTTTAAATATTATAGCGTGTGGAGGAGACGACCGTCAGGTAGAAAACGGGCCATTAGGATGCGTCCAATAAGAGGAGAGGTAGAGAAGGGGGAGTGAACGCTATCTAATAGGGTTAAAGAAGAGTGCGCTATCAGAGCAGAGGAGCGTTTACGGCGTGAATTCCCCTGACAGAGTGGACGCACAACACACGCTGATAAAACTCCTCTGTGTGAGATTCTTCAGATAAGTTCGTGTCAGTGCAGCTCACTCACTTTTTAGGGTTTGGGTTGAACTGTGCAGTGGTGGTGATAGGTTTTCCGGCGAAGCTCCCGGTTCACCTCACTCCAGTTGTGCTGACGAGCAGGAAACGTCTCGTGGCATGCGCAATATTGCGCAACATTGTCTCCCAGTGCAGCTGAAACCTGCGCTCTGTTAAGGTGGAGAGTGGAGGCTCGCTTTATCGGCACGGCCATGGATCCTTAAAAAAATGACAATAAGCACTACTGTTCATGTTATTGACCTGTTTTATTTGGATGACAAATTAAAATAGGTCAAGCACAAGAGAGACTGGATGAGGGGACAGACTTAAGTGATAATCTAGAGTTCATTCTCTACATGCAAGAAATACAAGATATTCACAATTAATGGAAAACACACTTTTGCGACCTTAAGTTAACAATAAAGCCTCGAGGGCTACATGTGTCAGTCTCAGTTCCTTGAATGTTATCAATAACTCAGATAATCTAACAGTGTGTAAGCCCTGTGACACCTTTTCACTGATACTGAGAGATTTCATCATTTCCTGTGTATGTGTGGGGGTGTGGCTCCAGCAGCCAAACATCCAAAGATGTAGGGGGGGCAGGTATACAGTCTCATAATAATAATAATATAGTAAAATCTGTGAAATTAGTTCTGTTATGAACAGATAATATGGCACTTTTTTAGGAACTGGCTTGTGGAAAAATCAACTTGAATATTTCTTGTTCCAAATTTTTTGATTATTAATAATAAAAGCGTACAAATGTTTAATCTGACAGTAGTGCATTTATTCAAGTCTTTATGTGGGCCAGTTCTTAACAAGTCAGTCATGCAATTATAAAAAAATTATTACAAGTCTGTGGCTGTATCATTTCGCTTAAGAGGTAATACATTTATTAAGACGCCCCGGAATCTTAAAAATAAAAACATTTGGAGGAAGCAAGTAAACATACAAACTAACGGCGGTCAAACTGGTTCTTCTCTCAGTGGCATCAGACTCATCTCTAAATATTGGTAGTACACATATTAACAAATATGAGTTTTTGGAGTTTAAAAGGAGGTTGAATCATTATTCTACAACGAGAGACTTTGAGAGTAATTTGCAGTCTGAGTCCTGCAGATATAATTGTTCCCTTTAAGTGTTTTGGTATCAGTACTTAAGTTTTTACTCGTCCATCTTTAGAGTGTTTCTGCACATGGCTGTGAGTTTTGGTTTGTCATTACTCTTTTCCTGCTAATGTTTGGTCAGAAAACATGAAGGTAGATCAAAGGAGGGATTTGGTTTTATTCTGAGCAAAGTTTTGGGTCATTCGATTAAAGTGAGCCAATCAAAACATGTGTGAGGAATGATGCAAGATTGTGTTCTTTGTTGACCTTTGTTCATACTAAATAACTGAAAACACAGATGTGAAAGTGACTAATAGTCACCATAGTATACTGTCTGGCTTGTGGTAGACTAAACATTTTACTAGTTAAGAGTTTTAAAGCACTTTATTCAGTTTGATGAGTGTGATCTGCAGTGCAAGGATATCCTTTTTTTCATTGTTGGTCAGTCTGAGAGAAGTTTGTTTAGTAGTAAAAAAAAACTATTATGTAAATGTTTGTGTATGTTTACATGTTTTTTCTATCTCCACCTTTAAAACCTTGGAGAAGTCAGGCGATGTATACTGGGTGGAGGATTGAGTGAAAGGGTCAAACTAACACAAGACTTTAACCCTGAGGGCTCTGTTTGTGTCCTGTGACTTATTGTTTGTTAACTAAACCAGTTCCAGCATTTTGTGGTTGTTCTTTAAAACATGCACAACATTTTTTTAAGAGATTATTGTAAAAACGTACTTCTGTACATAGATCATCTATCTATTAAATTTGTAAATACTACAGTCTTTGTACTAAATGAGGACAAAACTACCAGAGGGGCTTTCTGTGACATAAAAACAGATAAAAATATGAAAACTAAAGGGAATTTCTTTTTAAAATAAATTATTAACCTACAATTAAAATGACATAGTGAGCAGAATGGTAATTTTGCCCTCAGTTTGTAGTAAAGTGTATTTGGTTCATCTTGTTCTTATCTTATTATGCACATAATGCAAAAACAAAGAACATACAAGGTTTTTGTTATTTTAACTGGGATCGACTTTTCTATTCACAAGCTGACTGATATTGTTTTAGTTGTTTTTCAAATTGTTTTCACATCATTTTTTTTCGTAACAAACACAACTACCTTCATATAAATAAATAATTAGAATAAATGATAAAAACTAGATAATTATATAAAAACAATTTCTGTTTGTATCCCATCATTTTCTTTGTGTTGTACCATACTGTAGTACATTCTAATGATACCACTTAGTTTTGAATTGTATTGATGATGTATCATTTCATTTTATATTACATCATGTCATCAATCTAACTTTATACAGTCCAAACCCAAATGTGGATTCAGTGTTCTGTGATTTTCAAGATGTTTTTAACTTCAAAAGCAAGTAGGAGCAGAACAATGTGATCACACTTAAAGAAAAAAAATCTTTTCACAAAGGTAACTGTGTCAAAAGGCCAGATATGCATTAAAAATGTCATTATTTTAGATGACTTTTACCCCACTTTCGGGAGTCATTGCGCACTCCTGGAAATTTTTGTGCATGACATCTTGTACAAGTTTGACTTTGTGCACAGCTACAACGCAATCACATCCAAAGGTCAGTTTAACCAGACTGAGCCAGACGAGGTCAGCAGTGGTTTTCTTTGACTGTTCAGTGCAGATAGTGGATCATGTTCCTAAGCATGGTCATAAATAATTCAAGCGAGAGTACGCAAAGGTGAGGGCTGGTGAGTGTGTTGACAAACACATGTGTCTGTACTCACTGTCCATTTGATCTTGTTCTTTCTCCTCAGCCGTCAGAGCCCTGCTCAGCGGTATATTAGTCAAAATTTGGACAGTTAAAGGAAAATCAAGACTTTTAATTTCAAGTACAGAATACTAAGACCAAGAGTTAATTCATGGTCTTCAAAGTGTCAGATAAATCTCACGACAAGAAGCTTTTGGAGGTTTTAAACTTTCATGGACAAAAACACTGAAATTACTTTGACATTCAAACGTCTACTGATGACTGGGGAATATGATAAGATGAATAAGATGATACAAAACTAAACCTGCGATGTGATTGAGCTGACAGTCTGTTACATGTGGAAAGCCATTTGATCATTTATTTAATATCCTTGATATTGTTATAACCCTTCCCTGGTTAAATCTTTGACTAGTTAACTTGTTAAATGTTTTTTTTTACTCGTAAACTGGTAGACAGCAAAACCTCTGATATGTAAACTGGTCAAACTAGACCAAAATCTCCATCAGTGATACTAGTGGAGGCATTTTCTCATTACGAGTTCAATAGCACGCCTAAAAAAGTTAAGAAGTTCACCAGCTGTCAATAGAATAAAACCTAACTGGTGAAGTAGCATCGTTCTTAGTTTTTAAGAGTGAACCAGTGGTTGCAAGTTTATCTAGTCATAATTGAGATGGATTTAGGGACCGTATTGGTTAATAGGTGGGGCTCAAAATATACACTGGTAACTAGTTACATCAATAATGTTCACGAGTCACACTTGTTGCTCAAAATTATAACCCTAACCCAACTCTAAACAGTAATTTCTCCTTACAGTACAACAGGTTTCAGATAAAGAGAACTGGAATAATGAGAACTTGAAAATAATGGTGCTTATTGAAGATGTCTCTGTAACCCTAACTCCTTTGCTGACAGAGTACTGTGCTGCACCTTTACTGAAATGTGTCTTTGCATTTGCACCTAGAGCCACCAATCAAGATTTGATTGATTAATTCATTAAGATGTCAATCATTATAAGAACTGGGGGTTTCTTACAGCGATAGTCCTCAGCTTATTGGTCACTTGTTTGACTCCAGGCCAAGATTAAAGTCAAACTCTCTATGACAGAAAATGAAACTAAAAGATTCTTGTCCACTAGAGGTCAGAAAAGGCCCACACAAAAAAATCTATACAGGCAGGTATAGCAGCAGCAGTGGTTGGTTGTAAGAGGGGAGGTCAAGTTCATGTAATACAGAACTCATGCAAAGAAAAGCTGTGATTGGAGGAGAACATGCAGATGCAGCTATTATTTACCAGCTTTGCTTTCACAACAACAGAGAGCAGAGCTGGCAGCCAAGGCTGATTCTATACAGGATGTTCATTACACAGTAACGTCTGCATTAGCTGAAAAGGAGATTCATGAAAGCTTACATAACACCCAAGAAACTCTCTGTGTAATCTACTTTGTATTCTATACAGGCATACATACATGCAGGAAAAAGCACCATCTATCTCTCTGTACACTTTTCATACTAACCTTTAACATTCAACTGAGTCCAAAAATATTCTCTTCCAGCCCTGTCTTTGGGTAATTTCCTCACCATTTCACCCAAAAGTGGCACAAAAATGATGGAACATGCTGCTTACCATGTGGGTTTTAGCGATCATTACACAAGATACTTTCATGATCATTTACCCACAGGAAAATGCGTTAGAGTTACCTTTCATTTAAACAAGATTTACATTTAATGCATGAATAGAGGTGTAATGATAATCACAGTCCACTGTGATTATCATTTGTAAATATTCATGAGGCCTTTCATGTGGAGACGGTTTGTTTTGTTTTCGAGAGCTGCTCTCCAAAATTAGCGGCTCCCCTTGAGACCGAAGAGGATCTCTGTCCATTTTACCAACAGCATCTCCAAACAGAGGAAGATGAGGAAAATCTTTTCCTGCTGAAGTGTGTGGACTGTTATTTAGTCAGTGCAGAAAATAAGGCGGAAAAATGAGCTTCAATTTGATGTGGATAATAAACAGAGATGTATAAGACCTCCTCGGTCCCAGGGAGAAAATAAAATAATTGCGCTTCACTCGAACTAGAGTGCAGATGAAACGTCACTGTCGGGAAAAACATCTTCATGCATTAAAGATTCATTGGAAACCCCACCAACCACATCTCATATTTTCCAGGTTTTCTCACTCTCCTGGGAGACAGAGGGAGGTGGATAAGACATCAGTGGAAAGTGATCATGATGTCTGCAAATGTCTTTATTTATTGATTTACTACTCAGGGGGTATTCCTGAATTATAGAATATATAGACATAGCACTGCTCTTATTTCTTCCGCCTTATTTGATCTGTGCTGTCCAGTCTCTTTACCTGTTCACCCATCCATCCTCTGCACTTTCTGTATGAATCCCACTCAGGTCTCATGTGACTTGTCGTCTAATCTCTCTGCAGTCCATCCTCCTTTAATCCCTGTTTTCAGTCACCTTTCAAAAACCAACAAAGACAAAAAAAAGTCAAGTCACCTTCCTGCAGGAGAATGTCTCTGTATTACCTTATGAAAGTTCAAAGTGAACACACTGGCTGAGAAAGCAGAGAGTGTAGACACGGCCGTACAATAACCATACAAATCAGGGTTAATGTGTTCTTCCTTTTAAAGCACCTGTGAGAAACTTTTAGTCTGTATCAAGAGAAGAATTTGATTTTTCCACGTTACATGTTTATATGCCATGAGTGCACATGGTGATTTCAGAGGCTATATTGCTGAGGGGTGAAGCATCTTACACCTTTTCTATATCCTCTGGGAGTGGCTTGTCAACAAAATAAAGCAACATATTAGTGACCGATGCAACATTATCACATCCTAACGTTTTTAAAGTCAGGAGCATTTCAGCTTGGAGAAAAGAGCTGCCTGTGAAATCTTTAAGTGGACCTTGCTAATCATTCCACTTATGTGTTTGAAGAGACGGCAAATCAGATATCTCTTTTAAAAAAACAACATCAGCAGACCAAATCTTCACAACTAGAGTACAATAACATAAATAATGCTGTTGAAAGCCATGAATTAATGTAGTATGTATTATCAATCCCTGTTGCTCACCTTATATGTATCATCAGTTAATGAACTTTAATTCACAGTTACATTCATCGACTCTACAGTACTTTAACAACAATATCAATCAGCTACATTTGTGTAGCACATACTTATTAATGTGGAAACAAAAGGATAATCACCGCAATGTTTTAGAAAAGGAATACAAAGGAAAAAAAAGTAAATAAAACTTACAAAAATGCATTCATAATTACTGTATTCATTATCATTCATACTGAAACATGTTCTGCAGTGCTGTTAACTGTTTAATAAATGTGAAGTTTTCCAGTTTTCAGTCAAATGGGCTGTGTGAATAAACTGTCATAAAAAACTCAAAAGTCCAGCTTAGATGATCCATTCAAACTCATGCTTTAGTTCAGGTGTTTACCTATCTTAAATAACAGTCTTATCGGTTTAGATTAAAGTTCAGTTTTTAACAGTAATCCTCCACTGAAGCTCTACAAAGAACTTTTCTTAAGTGTGGACTTTTATATTCAGAAGACAAAAAGATTGAAAAAGTCTCATATCTCAGTGAAAATGCCATCTTTAAGGTTCATCTGAACTGGAAAATTCACTTCTGATCTGAAAAAAAAAGCATCTCCGACACTTGTCTCAACAGAAAGGGCGTACATCACTGTCCGGTAAGGACTTGAATATAAAACCATTGGTAAATATGTCCTAACAGTTCTGGTCTGGTTGTTATGCCAGAGGCCACACAGATGGTGTGAGGACACCGTAAAGGTCTCCTTAAGTTTTTGACATTTGTAGAGACTAACATTGATGGTGGGCGTGTGCTCCTCCGCTCAATGAACTGCTAGGAAAATCTCACAGTAGGCCAGCATGCTTTGTGCTTTGCACGATTTGATGCACGGAATAACTCTGATACCTGTTGTGGTAAATCCTCACCTGACTAATCCTTCCCCGAGGGACTTAATACCACAGACAGTTTGAGGCTGTGACTGGAACACTGCTGTGAGAAGGGAGGGGAGGAACAGCACAAAGGTAAAACTTGTTCATTCTTTGCCAACAAAAACTTTCAAGGTCCCTTAAAAAAATCAGGTGATATTTAAGATACACCTGGGAGCTGTAAGCCATAAAACTATACTGCGGATTGACGTGTAAAGGTTACAGGTACCCTCAAGAAATGTTTTCATTCTTCATTTGAGATTCTGTTCTCCTTTTCTCCGCTGTCAAATCCTGAAGCCATGGATATGCAAATAGTGTTTATAACAAACGCAAGTTATAACTCAAGGTGAACACTGAGGAATTAAGAAAAATTTAACTTTAGAGAATGAGTCTCTAATGACTCAGCACTCTGTATCTACCTCTAACACAGTTCAACTTCTAAACTGTAGAAAAGGAACTAGTGAAGGAGATAATGGCGGCAACATTCACTTCAACATACTATGCTAATGTCATAATCCTGTGGACACAAGACCTTGACTGGAAATTTAAGTGAAAACAGAAGAACTGTTTACCTTTTTATGTAACTTTGTAAAGAGCCTTTTAATTTGAGACTTTGCACCTTTGTTTCATAAAGCAAAAGTAAGACGTTCATTTTTCGAGACAAAGACAAGAGGAGTCATCTGCGACTGAAGAAAAAACCTGATAAAGTAATAAGAATAAAGCACTTTTTCATTCTCTAAAATATTTTACTGTTCACTGTTTGAAAAAAACACACAACAAATAGTCTGTGATCTTGTTTTTTTTTAGATGTTTTTCTGTACAGAGGTTGGGATTTTTTTTTTTTAGATTACACTAACAGGGCAAACTTACAAATACTTCAGCAAAGGTTTAGGACATATTTTATTCAGTAAGTATTTATAATGCTGCATAAATGCTGTTCATCTATTTTATGATTATGCATTTCCAACATGGACACAAAATAGTTCAGGAAATATCTCTTCCCCCCAGTCTACTTTACCCCACAATATCTGACATGAGCAGCACGTTACCTAAACACGTATTTGACAGTAGAAATTGTGCTTTAAATGTACTCAATCAGTGTTGTATTGAAATGTGAAAATATCTAAATAACTCCACCAAACAAGCATGCACATTAGGTGGCAGTATGCACCTCAGATTGGACTGCATGAAACCTGTTTGAAGAGGATAGTAAATGTACCCTTATTACACGTGTTGATGAAAATCCAGAGGTTGTTTATTTGTATCAAAGATAAGTTTCTTATCTGCTTGATGTTGTTCTCTTTCCTCTCATTTCTCTCTTCCGATAAGACTGTGTCACCACCTGCTTATTCTGAAAAGACCACAGCATTTTGTATTTACACATTATGCTGACTTTGACACCACATATAACTGAAACCGTACATGTACATGTAAGTAATCTAAAAAAGAAAGGTTCAAAATATCAAAACAAAAACAGTGAAAAGGTACACCTTGCTAGTATCAGGTCGACCCCCTTATGTGTTAATTCTTTCTCAGAGATTTTTGTCCACATTTACATGAGAGCATCATGCAGGTGTTGCAGATTTGTCTCCTGTTCAACTACATCCCAAAGGTGCTCTATTGGATTGAGATCTGATGTCTGTGGAGGTCACGAGACAACAGTGAACTCACTGTCATGTTCATGAATCCAGTTTAAGATGATTTGAGCTTTGTGACATGGATCATTATCCTGCTTGGATAGCCATCAGAAGATGGGTTCAATGTAGTCATAAAGGGATGGACATGGTCAGCAGCAATACCCAGGTACCCCTTACACCACAAGACCACCACCACCAGCTTTAACTGTTGATACAAGTCAGGATGGATCCATACTTACATGTTGTTTACACCAAATTCTGACCCTACCATCTGAATGTCACAGCTGAAATCAAAACTCATTAGACCAGGTTATGTTCATATAATCGTCTTTTGCCCAGTTTTGGTGAGTCTGTGTGAACTGAGACCTCAGCTCATCTGCTTCGAGGTTTGACTGATGATATTCTGACTAACCTTGGTTGTAATGAGTGGTTATTTGACTTACTTTTGCCTTTCTATAATCTCCAACTTGTCTGCTCATTCTCCTCTGACTGCTAACATCAACAAGGCATTTTCCTCCACACTGGATATTTTTTCTTTTTTTTTTGACCATTCTTCGTAAACCCCGGAGATGGTTGTGCATAAAACTCCCAGTAGATCATAAGTTTCCTGAAATACCAACAACCGCTGATGCTCTGATTGAACTTCAGCAAGTTGTTTTGACCACGTCTACATGCCACAATGCAGAGTTGCTAATGTGATTAGCTGATTACCTATTTGTGTTCTCAATTGAACAATTGTACCTAATAAAGTGGCCGGTGAGTGTACATATGAGGAAACAGTCTCTGAGGTTTATAAGCCCCTTTTAAGTCCTGTTGGTCTAGTCAGCAGCAGTGAAATGGTGAAATGTCTAAGCCGGTAGAGTGCTTATTAATCTGCTCTGTAACCACAGTTGAAGACTAATTAAAGTGCCTGACCTCTTATGTAAAAATTCCTACCTTTATAACATTTAAATAGAAAATGACTTCATGGTGACCTTTTCATTAAGCTTTCCTCTCTTCTCTTCTTCTCTGCAGGTAAGAAAAGGCATAGAGCACTTGTTTCCTGAGGGGCCTGAAGGCAGCATGTGCCCAAAGAAGCAACATAGGAGCAAATTAGAAAAGTTATTTAAACACGCCAAGAGGAGTTCAGACCACCTGTCTCCATGCTGTCCAACACCTCCCTGATGGTGCATTCACGGACCAAACCTGCCACCTAGTCAGTTCTACGAGTGATATTCTTTAGCGGGCAATGATGATTCACATCTATTCAAAGCTGTAAAGGGAGTGAAGTCCTCAGAGAAAACAAGGATGACCTTTGTCTGTAGGCTTTCGATGGACCAAATTAGACTGAACACAGGAGGGGGGAGGAGGTCACTGACTCACTGATTTGGTCTTTCTTTTCAGACTCTAATCATCCTTGCATCTTTAAACCTGTCAGGCCTCACCTCTCCTAATGTTCTGGATGCTGACATTACACTTACACTCGCACACCATCGTAAATGTCAGCTGCAACGCACACAAACACTAAAGTTGTGTATAAATAACCTGCACCAGGACTTGTGTGCTCGCTGTTACAGGCCAGGGCCACCAGAGCAAAAGTAATTACACAATCTGTTTAGGTGTCATCAGCACATAATTTCTGTGGTCACTCAAACATGAAGGAGACCTTGAGGTGTGTATTTGTTTGTGTGTGTTTGTGTGTGTGTGTGTGTGTGTGTGTATTTGTGCTCCTCATGAGGTTTTTTAAGCTGCCGTCAAGTTGTGGAAATGTAATTCCTAATACGAGAGGCTGTTCTGACTGATTGATCTCAGATGCCCTTGCAAACAATCAGAGTAAACACCAACCTTTTTAGGAGAGAGAAAGATTGTAGAAAAAATTAGATATGACAATTCACTGAAGCTTTTCTTACCGACTGAGGAAGTCCCTATAAGAAGGGAAAAAAAATGAAATACACACCGGCAGAGGAATGGAGGGTGCTGAGCCAAGTCTGAGAGAAATCAGAATATCGTATCTGTCCACTCATCTTTACATTTTTTCAGGGCAGGGTTACAAGAACGGCAGGCTAAGCAAATCAGTTCAGAGGTCTTTGTCATTAGCAAAATATCCATAACCCTTCAGGGGGATTTGGATGCTCTTCTCAAGGAGAAACTGTGTCAAGCTCTCCAGTGTGTTATGGGCCCATCATAGGAAGCCAAATGGTTGCCAGGCCTTTAGTCCAAGTACATCACTGTGACTTACTTTCTCATCTATAAAGATTCATAACTGTAAGAGAGGGGGAAAAAAAAGCTTATCTTATCGTCTTATTTGGCTTACATGCTCAGCGTCATCAGGAAGACACACAAACGTTCTCTTTAGTTTACAAACCAAGATGAGGCAGCGTGTTGTCAGCTGGCATTATACCATATTCTAACAGTTTAACTAAATCAGCCTTCGATCAATCAACTCATCTTTAAATCAGAGTTTTTATCAACCTGTTTGTAAAGGATAGGATAAAGTAAAGTAAAGGATAATGTACGATGAAAGGGTGGTTATGCAAATCAGAATGAGGGTGATTGAGATTCTTCTGTTTGTTAGCGGTCTTACTCACACTGTGGGAACACTAATTTGCATTATCACCTGTTCACTTCTCATTATTCCTGCTTCCTATGGATGAAATTATGCAAAATGACATTTTAACCTAAAAAGTCACTGCTTCAAAGTGCCTTAATTTGGGAAATATAATTAAAATTTGCTTGAGTTGTGTTAAAGCTACTATGGAACCACAAGGTCAATTTAGACAGCCTGTATGTCTTGCCTCTTTGCTGCTCTTTTCTTTGGTCAAAGCCATCTTAATTTTTGCCAGCTAAAAATCACTTGGACTGACACCTGAAGCAGGGGTAGCAGGCATGGAAAATCCAGTCAGTCTGATGGTTGCTTTTGTTGTATGGTCATACAGAGGCCAGGTTTAAAACTAGGAAAGTCCTGATGGAACTCATTTCAGAGTTGATATTAGATTACAACTGACCATCCAAGTGTAACTGTAAGACAACACTCAGAGAATAGTAAATAATGGTGCAATGTATTTGACGCAGCTAAACCAGAGGGCCTTCAGTCCTCCATGCAGGTTAATAAACACAGGCCTGTACCAATTTAAAAAGACAGCATTCACACAACTTAATCTCCATTTTTCTGGACCTAAATTCTGCTAAAATGTGTTGTGCATTTACGACAATAGCTCCCGCTAATGGTGGATGGCTGCACTGCAGCTTGGACACAACAAAAAACTGAAATTTACGGTCTACAGTCATACAAATATTAATAATAATTTGTTTAACCAACCAATAATGTTGATGGACATCTTTTTGCTGTTTAGTCGACTAACCGCACATATCCGTAAACTCCTGACACTGTCTCTAAATCAGTCTGCAAAGAGATAAAGAAGTATTCTGTTTCTGTTTTTCCAGTTTGAGCCAGTTTGAAGGATGAATCTAGTGTGACTTAATATCAAGAATGGTTATATCACTATTTGAAAACAACTCCCTACACTTCTGCAAAAGGACTACATTGACTGTGGCCAGTAAAAGCACAGACATAAAAAGTTGTAGAACTTAAAAATGTAGCAGTGAATACCTGATTAATTTCCCCCTCTGGACCAGCAGTGGACCACAAGCAATCTCCTGTTTAATGTGAAAATCAATACTAAGAGAGAGTGTATGAAATCTTCTGTGATTTATTAGACTGCATCTTTTTAATCACACTTCCTCCCACCAGGCTTATGAATTACTGGGTTTTATGATAATATATATCTGCTTAAAAACTTCAAACAAACAGAAGCTGCTGAGTTAGAGGTGTTCATTTCAATGCAATCATTGAAAAACTTCTCACAAAAAACTTACAACAGATAAGAAATGTTTTCGTCTCTTTTTTTTCACTCTCTCGTTTTTCTTTACATGGACACTTTAGCATTTTAATCATGATACTAATAGAAACAGACTGCAGAGGATGTGTGGGTATTTGTAAGGCGACAGAACAGAAATGGATCATTGGACCAAAAATTAATTTGGGAGTGAAACAGAAACCGCAGACTTGTTGAAATAACAAAGCAAAAAGACTTTTAATAGAAACAAACCACTAGACATTAACGCCTTATTAGGCTCAGACTAAAGAGGCAGCTGAGAAGCATCTGAAACAAATGAAGAATTACAACTTGGGATGAAAAAGTACATCTACTGTGCTGCAAACTGCAACAGAAAAGTGATCTCATGGTGGCTCAGCATCTCTTTACTCTGCTTTTTTAATTCAAAATGGACCATGTAAAGGTTTGTGGTAATTCCAGAGACAGGGCATAAGGACTTAACGTTTTAAAGCTGTCTCTGATTTTCTTCTTCTTTTTTTACCCCAGGGGGCAAAGCTCTTCCTCATTTCCTCGCACTAACACCTGCAGACTCAGGCCGGGGAAAACTGTGAACTGAATCAGACAGCAAAGCAGCGAAAAGGCACAGCTAGAAGCCTCCTGACAGCATAAATCACAAACCCCAAAGTAATTATTTTCATTTTCCCATCAGCTCAGGGATCAGTACCCTTGAGGTGGTTCCCTGCCTGCCAACCCTCCACCTCCAACACCCAGTATTCTTCTTGACCTGACAGTTCAAGCATCTAATCCCAGTGAAGGCCCCCCAAGGTTAGAGGAGATCACAGTTTTCTCCATATTAGAAATAAGAGAGGAGAGGGAAGGAGGGAGAGAGAGAGAGAGAGAGAGAGAGAGAGAGAGAGAGAGCAGAAAGGAAATAACGGGACAACAAGAAGAGAGAAAAAGCAAAGCGGAAACAAGTAAAAACAAAAACAGAGAAGCTATTCTGGGATGAAATTTCTGTTGACACTGAGGTCAATAAGTCGGCTTAAGCAGGATTTCAGCCGGAGCACTGGGTGATCTTAGTGCAGTTTACAAAGTTTAGGAGAACAGCTGCGAGGGCAAAAGCATGTGATTGCATGCGGATGTACTTCTGAGTATCCGTATTTGTTCCTCTGGGACTGCGTGTACCAAAAGCATGTACTCTGTACCGTTTGGGCAATTAGTGGATGCAAAATCTGCAACCCCAAAGAAAGGGGATGAAGAGATAAACCAGAATGAGGGCTGTTTAGTTTGTCAGGGATGTTCCCACTGGTTCGGGGAAGCAGTTCACTGAGCAGCAGTAAACAGGATGGATAGGAGGGCTCTTTGTGGTCTACACACAGGTTGTTTCTCAAGCTCTCATGGCTGCAGTCCAGGTGATGTGTTTTCTATCTGCAGCCCAACATGACTCACACAGAAACACAAGGTCTGTGTGAATCACTTTGGCCTCCTTTCATATAAACCTTAAACACTATAAAAAGCACTTTTCATTGCTTTCAAACAGTAACCAACCTTTTCATCTAAGACCTAAAGGTTTTCTCTGCATCACCAAATGTGTGTCATAAACCTTCATCTATACTTCTGCATTCCTGTTTGTGATTTCACGGGTGCTGGTTAGACTTTAACTTGAATTTTTCAGGCATTAAATGTTTAAATAATGTTTCTATGGCTGGTCCAATAGCACCATGATCTATCTTTCTCATTTATCTGTTTTATTCAGAGCTTGTGCAATATATGTTGTTCTGGTTTCCCCAGGTGAGTGTTTTTTCTGTTTTAATGCTGGTGGATTTCAGTGTTTTATTTATCAGTAATATTGTGGAGGTGGATGGGGGTGCAGAAAATGCTGACTCGACCTAACTTTAGGAGGCACAGGTAAAGAAGTACAAGGGAGGTAGGTTGAAAGTTTGCTGGCAAACAGCTACACCTTGGACACCCCCTATATCCATGCAATACTCTAGTCTGAATATGATCAAAATGGACAAGTTATTAAAGAAATTAAAGGTGGGGTAGGCAAGAATCTGTTAAAGAAGCATCTTATTTTGTGGTGTATGAAAAAAGCTTTTAATATCAGTCAATAGCTATTAGTTATTGATGACATTTGGTAATATAACGATATCGCTGTGTTCTCTTATGTCTGTGTAGTCAACATTTTAAATTTTTTGAGCGGCCCGCTCTTTCTGACTGTAAACAAAGCCATTCTCCGCCTCCCCCAACCTGATTGGTTGTGAGGCAGACGCTGCTCCCCTGTGTCGTTCACGAGCCCAAACAAAGTTAGCGTGCTACAATATTGGACAGTAGAAACCAACCAGAAAGTACGGAAAATTGTCTAAAATCTCCTTAAGCCATGGCTGCCAACACAAGCAAGAAAATTAAGTAAATGCCAGAGACTCTGGCGGAATAACGGGCGCTTAAGAAGGAGGTAGACCACCAGGACAAGAGCTAAATAGCCGGGTCAACAATGATGGGGGACGCTTTGGGATCTTACGGACCCTGTAACCTTTATGTTGGACAGGTAAACCGCTTGAACAAAGTAAGACAAGTGTCTGTAACAGAAGTGTTTCTTGTCAAACGGGACCTGCTGCATGTTGTAGCGCCGCTAAACTGTTTGTATGTCCCTTTATCCTAGTTGTAGAAGTCCTGCAAACACTGTGTTTGCTGGTAGTCTGTTGGCATCTACAGTAGCAACAATTTTACTTTCATGTTGACTGGGCCCCATTTGTAATTATCTGAAGTATTTACCTGCATTATGTCTGAATTTAATTGAAATGATAAGAGCGAGCAGGAGCATCTGTTTGTGGGTGGGGCTTGCTGGAGCAGAGAGGGAGGGGAGAGGAGGAGCTGAGGGGAAAACTGGTTGGGAGGGGTAGTGTTTACATTCAAGATTTCTCCCAAAAACTGGCACTTCCTCAGATCCTGCCTACCCCACCTTTAATGGTATGGTACACTTTTAGAGTGCATACAAATAGTGACACCACTTTCTGGACCAAGTCGTAGACATGTTTAGTAATCTCATTTTATATATTTTTAAATCTTTGATAGTTTACTCTTTTCTTGGTGACTTTTGCCAGACTGCTTATCAGCTAGTCAGAGCACAAGGCAAACTTTTCCTCTCTTTAATAATAAACAGACAAGTAGAGACGACAACAACCATATTGCCTTGGCAGTCCGAACCCTAAAGATTTTCTCTGCCACTATTTCCTAATTTTTCTGCCTCTCCCTGAAAAAGGTTTGTACCCTCCCTCTTTGCTTTCATATATTTTACACTGTCACTAACATCAAAAGCATCATCTATATGAATCCTCTTTCAGTGACATATTTTTCCATATTATGCTGAAATATATCTTGAACTGCAGTAATCTGTTAGCTCATTGGTTATTCTGCGTGCATCTTTCCGCCCGTGGCTAATTTCCACAGTCCAGTGGGGTGGTTAGAAAAAGCCTCTTTTTAGCAAAACATGTGCTGGTTTGAACAAGCTGATAAACACTCATGTAGTACACACACAAACACAAATACACACAGGCTATTACTAAGGGATTACGTTACACACTCTCATAAATTATACAAATGACTGCTGTAAATACAGAACAATGTGAAGAATATTTAGCCCACTAATATTCACTGCTTCACCGCATAGTAAAAAAAGGAAAATACGAAAAGGAGTAAAATCATTTTCTTCTTGGCAAAGTGAAAGTTTGTAAATCACAGCATGTAAAGAAGTAATCCAAACAAAGTTATACTCAGAGTTTCAAGACAATGTTTCTCAGTATTTGAGCTACATTTTATTTTGATAGATAAAATTATTAAAACTGTTACGTTTATGATCTAAATTTTAAATATTGAAATAAAGTTTTGCTTAAAATTTGATTTTAATTCCAAGTAAAAGTCCTTTCACTACCTGTGTCAACCTGAGTAAGGCCGCTGCTGTCTTGACATCCTGTAAATGACCAAACTTATAGGGAGTAACAAAGGGTGGGGGTATTTTGATACCAGAATTTCAAACTTTGACATAATGCAGGTAAAACTCAACTGATATAAAACAATGAATTCTCCAGCAACAAATACAAAAGTTCAAACCTGCACACAGGCCAACACTTTTTATAATTTATAAATTTATAGAAGTGTCAAAAACTTCGACAAGCTTTGACACAGGAGGATAAAAAAGGATAAACTTAAGGTTGCAACTGAGTGCAGGGCATAAGCTAGACATGTAGACTGGACCATGACCCTGAGGCATCAGCTTGTGAATCGTTTTACAGCTTTGAGTGTGTTGTATTTTTAATGTGATGCATGCAGGTGTTGGCATCTGGGAGGGGGAGGACAGAAGGTGTTCGTGTTACTGCATCTGACCTCTAGCAACTCACATCACCAGACTCCATCTTCAGGCTAACGCAAAGGCTGTCGACTTTTTTCATGATCATTAGAAAAAAACTGAGAGGAACAATTACAGCATTATTGAGCATGGCCAGGAGAAGTGGTGATTAATCAAATTAAAAATGACCTTATTAACTTGGTCCTTTTGGTGAGAACATCTCATGCTGACCCTGTGAGTCTAAAATTTAACTAATGTCCCTAGAATATTATTTCACAAACCTGATTATTGATGATGATAAATTTGCATTTTTTTCTAATTTCCTCTCTAGAATAAGTGATAAGATTTTCCTTCTTGTGCAGGGGTGAAAATAAGCCGGTATGCAGCAGTACGCCATACCGGGAAGACATGATTAGCAGTTTACAATCGGTACGCAGCAGTACGCACACTTTTGCCCTTGTAATGAATGTAAGCTACATTTGTTTACCGTGTTGCCGCACTTCAATCTGCACTCTGCATTGTAACCGTTGTTATCCAATACGACCATGCTGCTTGCGAGTGAGTCGTATTTGCAACCTCTCAGTGCGCACTTTTGATTGGACGCTGGTTACCTAGGCACTGGGGACCACATCCTGCCTTTTGCGGAAGGAGGGAACTTTTAAAGAAACAGCTGCTTCAATCTTATTGCAGAAGTAAAACAAAATGCAGAGAAAATTAGATTTTATGTTCAAGAGAAAGAGAGATGTAGCAGATAACGATACTGTGATTTTAGAGTCAGCACCTCATTAAACTTGGGTGTGCTCCTCTTGTACAAAGCCTACGGGTACAGTACCTGCAAGAACCTTATCCTACTTTCACCCCTGTACTTGTGCTATGAGTACCACATGGAATCCAAAAGTAAGTGTTTAAGCTGGTTCTGAAATTACAAGATTTCATGCAATATGTGAACCGTCTCCTCCTTGTTTAAGGCACATGAACCACATTTTATTTGGTGGAGAAAAGCATTAAAAGCTTGCTTTGGTTATCACTGTTCTTTGTGGGCAAACTAGATGGTTACATCTTCAGCTTCAAGTGAGGAAAGAGGGGTCTTACTGCGGCTTCACTGAATTGTGGTAACCTTTGTCTCACATGAAACGACAGCAAACACATCTATGGACAACAAGGTTAGAGCTTTTTTGTTAATTTGACAACATTTGCAAATCGAAGTGGGCTCCACTAACCAGGCATCAGATTCTTCCAGCTAAATGTACTCTGAAGCTTTTTTGAGTTAGCTCTTCATGCTTAACAGTCACCACACTCACACCTGTATGCTGTCCATCTCTGACATTTCCTCTTGTGTCTCGTCTTCAAAAAATAACTCTTCACGCATGTCTGTGCTGGCACTTTGACAAACGTCTCTGAGGCTTAAACAGCATTCAAGAAAGTCAAGTTCTTACCCTGGTGAACTTAGTTTACATGGACTATTATAGACTGTATTTTATCATCTTGTGCTACATTCAAGTGTAACGATAACACAATGTGTCTCACCACATATTTTTTGGGGGTTGTTTTGTTGATAAGTACTCATTTTGACATGTCTGTGATCGATTATGTGATAACTCACGTGACTGCAATCACAAAGAAGGTGGGACACGTTGTAACTTCAGGTCTAATGAAGAGCAAGTCTGCTTGAAGTGTCACCTCCCTGGTGAATCCAAAATGTATGATGGAGTCCTGCAGGGTGCAAGCTGTTTTGTTTCACAGTAGCTAGTTCTGAAGCAACTTTTTGTGAACCTTGTTCTTGTATATCAACAGGAGGCCACCTGAATGAGTGTCAGTATCAATCAAATGAATGATACACCAATAAACAGTGATAACAGTTCCCTCTCCATTTTGTATACAAGAAGCTTGATTTTGCCATACAGTTAGCAGCAGACATTTCTCATCTCTATTCAGACTTCATGTTTGTGTGAACTTCACAAACTAGTATATGAAATACATGTCCTCAGGGGGGAGCCCTTAACTCGACCTCTGTGGGAATTTTCCGATGCATCCACAACTCAGCAAACTGCATTAAAGACTGTGTCCTGATTAGCTGTGCAGAATTTTAATGGAGAAATACAGTTTGCATTATGTATGTTGTTAATCAGGGCATCGAATGCTAATTAACAAGAATGTTTTTACTATCAGTTTTATTCAAGGAGAATAGATATAAGAGGGATACATAAAGTCATAATTATGCACACAAGTGCACTGAGACATAAACATGGACACCAATATGGACACGAAGCTTTGTCACTCGTCGTCTAGTGAGTCACTAAAAGACAACATGAAGTAACACAAAAGTCAACAGACCAAATAGACGGTTTGGCACAAACAACAAGAGTAAAATAGCTACTTGTGTATTTTTCCTCTGCAACTTTCATATTTCTTATTTGATTAAAAATACAAGAACTGGGCAAAATGACCATGGTAGGTCCAAATATTGTTTTGTAATTTAAAATTAGACTCATAGTCTCTGCAATAGAACCCCTTAGTACCTAATTGATCCTATCTGTTCAATGTTTATATCACTTCTATATTCCTGATTTATGTCAGCATCTCTTATGGAATGAGGGGATTAAAATGAGTATTCATGCTCATGGGTGAAATCCAGCGGAGTAACTATTTTTCAGAGTTGTGCAAATTGGAATTGAAATCCTGACGAATCCATCAATCTAAAGGTAAGAAAACATGACAAAAACAGTCTTAATTAAAAACACTTTATGAACCTGACTAAACACAGGAGCACAGTATGCAGATTAACAATGTCAGACTGGTTTGCAGTGTGTTGCTAATGTTGGCAGAGCGAGCACCACCTTCACTTGGCCTTCCTCCAAGTTAACTTTCACATGCCTGTGCTGGTCGTGAATTACTCTAGTTGAGTTGTAACATCCATTTTAAACCTGACAGCCTAACTTATCCTCAATTTTCTTGCTCAAAATACCATCATACTACATGACACGCTGTCTGTCCTCTTTGATCACATCTTGGTAGTGCATTGTTGTATGGCTGTAGCACTGAACTTGAGCTACAGCGTAAATGGTGGCTGGTGGCTTCACCACAGCTTAGACACAACATATGATCTGCATTTTGGGCAAACCATAATAAAAATATTAATTTGTTTAACTGACAAGCAATTATGTGATAAATATATTGAGAATAAAGAGGTTTAATCATTCAGTCGACTAATCATAAACATCCCTTGAAAAAAAAAAGGAGGACATTGTTTTATGACTTTGTTGGTTAGTTCTCTTGTTTTGTGCCTCCATACATCTGTCACTAAAACATTAACATTAGCCTGCATCATTTTAATATGTAATATGTAATTAACACTGATTCCCTTTTGCTGGCCAGCTGTGCATTTCAGTTTTGATCAATCTAACCAGTTATAAAGCAGGAACTATTTATAATGTATAAAATAAACATCATAAAGCATTATGCCAGCTCTTCAAATATCCAATGTGCTATTACCAGTTGTTTTGTTTTCACACTGCATCAAATGTGTGCATATTTGATGCGAATGCTTCAATGTGTCCAATCTAAATAAAGAAAGAGGTTTTTGCTCTGCAGCGCTGCATGCTGTGTTTCCTTGTTTATTCCGTCTACAGTGATACTTTCTCTAACACCTCCTCTGCCAGCTGCTGTGGACAATCAGACTGAGCCAGCAACCGACTCAATCAACCATCTGCAGTTTGGTGGAAACAGGAGAGGATATCAGAACTCCAGAGTGGAGAGCAGGAGGAGAGAATGTTTGACAAGACAAGCAAACAGTGCAGCAAAGTGATGGGAGGCAGCTGGGCTTAACGGCCCACAGTTGGAAGAACAGAACCAAATGCTCGACTCGAACCCAAGGCCGCACAAGACAGGCAGGAGAGTGAAAACAACAGAGAATCATCTACGTAAAAGATCCAGTCTATTGTGCTTCCTCTTTCCCTATTTCTGGGGGAAATAGATTTACAGCTTTTTTCAATGTCATTATTTAAAGTTAACTTTTCCACCAGTATAAATAAAACTACAGATAAGTAACCAAATCGTTGAATACTTTCTTGTACTTCTTTACACACTCTGCCTGCTCAGCCTCATTGTGCACCAAATTCACACATCATCGCGATTTGATCAAAGAGTACAGATGAGTGACAGACAGGGTCAAGGTAACACCATATTTACACCTCCACTCTCCTTTGTTAAATGATCTTTTTCGCCCAATCTTCCCCTTGATTCAGCTGATGCACATACAAGCTAGTCATTCGATATGCAACTGTATATATTCAGACCAAGCAGTGCCAATGCCTGCCACCTACACTGTATAAAACATATGCAGTAAAATCTGGTGAACGAGACTCTGTTAATGCATTTCAGACAATTTGGAAATTGGCCTGCATCCAGCTCAGGCATGGGTATCAGCCTCAGGGGAAATAGGATGCTGAATATATGGGTCCCTTATGTAAGAGGGGCTGAGGTCAACATCAGACAGATAGGCTCAGACGCTGTTTACAGTGACATTTGTATCGTCGATGGTTTAATGTCAGGATGCTGATCTGATGAAAGAGGTTACCTCTCCCTGTTGTTGTTTTTGCATGAGGGGAATATGGCACAACTAGACGTGGTTGAGAGCCAACTGAACCACATGTGACCTACTGGCCTTTTTCTCCTCACCTCGTTCACTGCGCTGTGATTGTATCATCACAGTGTTTTTGTGTGAGGCGATGGGATATCCACTATCTTCTGTACACTGCCGAGAGAAAAGAGCAGTCTCATTTCTTTTTAAGTCAGCGTGGAGTCAAAAATAAAGTATACAGGGGAAATCTTCAAGCCAAGGTTTATTGTGATCAGAACGAGGGGCTTAGCTATTTATAGGACATCAAAGGTAGAGGGGAGGAGTATTGATGTGGATATATGTGGGGTGCTGCAGCCTGAGGATAACAACACTGCCTGCTGTTCATGGCTTGGAACAGAAAAGAAGAGGCTAACAGTGAAGGTTGTTCCTATTTCTGTAAAAAAGAGGAGGGCCATCTCATTCATACCATCACTGAATTACTGATTCCACTTTGTTAGACAAGGTACAGTAAGAATGAATCATATCCTGGCATTTGTTGCATCCAAATGCAGCCAGACCTGAAATCCATATACTGGGTAGAGGGGAAGCTGCAGGTTGAAAAATTGCCTTTTGAGGAAATATAAAACATGTAAAACTTTAAGAAATAGACCTTTAAGTTTTTCTTGTTAAAATCCTGTCAACACATCTCAGAGGCAGAAAATCCAAGAGTAACATTTGGTAGTCTCATCACTTCACAAGTCCTTGTTCTCCTCTGTGACAAATTTGCACATCCTGTTCACTGTCATGGACCAAACAAAGCTGTTCACTGGATTTAATTCCTGCATTAGCCTCTTACTTTAAAAATACAGAGACAGAGAAAAGTAGGCCACAGACCTTAACTACAAGACTAACCAAACAGCTATTCTCTTTATCTCTTTATGTAAGTTATTTAAAGTCACTGTGAGAACTTTTATTACGTTGGATTGATTTGTAGTTACATAAAATTATGAGCTATCACCAGAGGCAGAGCCAGACTTTTTTTTAATGGAGTGGACAAATTGGGGATTTTGTGAGGTTAGGGTCAGATGCAGCAGAATATAAGGGGCTTTCTCCAAACCCAGGAGAGTTATCTCAGCTAATCACAAATATATATTTTCTATTTAAGCCCTTTCTGTTCCAGTGAAATTAGCTGAAAATGCACAAAAATAGAGAACCAAAATAGCACTCAAACTGTAGTGGTGGGTGGTGTACCAGTTTCAGTACTGCTGCTGTCTGCCACAACATAGATTTTGTAATACTGTCATCATTGGCTTAAACACAAATTTTGTTTAATATACACATATACTATGAATTCAATCTTCACATGACATAGATTTACTTCCTCCAACATCGAAACAGCCATGATGTTGGGTAAAAAAAGTAGTGCGATGGAGGATTTGTGACCAACACAACAATTTGTGACCAACAACAACTGGAACAGATCCTGGTCAGAGCAGAGCTGCAGCTAAATGTAGTCAGCACACTCATCAAAGAGCCCAGCCTCCTCCTCCTCCTCCTCCTCATGTAAGAGCAGGTGTCAGTGTTTACGATGAAAATACATCAGGGCACAGCAATCAGAAAAGCCAGTGCTTCTCTTTCCAAGTTTGATGTCAGCAAATAACAGCGCTGCTGCTGAGTGTATCTCAAATAATCACTCAGTTGTCTTGAGTCCAAAAAGACGTGGGCTGAGGCTGTTACGTGTGGTGAAAGTAGCAACACTTATTCCATAACTTCACTAATTCACAGCTTTACTAAAGCTCAGTTCATTCTTTGATAAACACATTTCATTTCTGACAAACTTTACAATAAAAGTCCCTGATTGTTTTGATGTTGTAGCTTTATTCTAAAATGGCATTTTTATAAGTAAGTCTGAAATCTAGCATATCCTCCATCATAAGCGGTTAATGCGACCCAAGCAACAAATTTGACTCAGTCTCCAAGGGATCGTTTGATGCAGTGAAAATACAAAAGTACACTTTACTCATGTGTTTCTTCACCATGTGTTGTTAAAATAAATCAGTCAATTATCAGACCTTGTTTTTTATCAGCCACCTGCTGCTTTTGCTTGGCAAGCTGTTATCAAAGGTTTTTTAATCATTCCACCAAAAGCAAGTAAATGTGAAACTTTCTCAGGAAAACCACAACTACATTTGATAGATTCACTCTAATGATATCAATACATGCCTGTCTGTTTCATTATTCCTCTGCCCTAACTGAACATCCTATTAGTAAGTATCTCTAACCGCGACAAGGCGGGCGCGTGGGTCAAGGACACATATTTATATCGTAAGCTGAATCCAATTAAATCAACATGTCAGCCTGAAACTGTCTGCAGCTAATGGGCTTCCATCAGCGTGAGAGATGGCTTGATAAATATCAAAGTCAGGAAGAGACAAGTGAGGAGACAGCTTGATATTAATGATAATACAGACGATCATTTACAGCAGACAGAGATGGCTGTTTTGGTGTGCTGATAAGATAAGCATGCATCAAAGAGTCAACATGGTTCACTTAACAGAATTATCAAGCTGCGTTTTCTTTTGATTATGATCTCTCCTCTTGGAATAAGTTATGTAGCAAGTTTAATTTATCAATCAAAGTGTCGTCTTTTACACTGTTTAAGAGCTCATATGCCTCACCAGTATGATTGTGGTTAAACTGCTGTTAAAACTGTGTCAAAGTTCAACTTAATTTCTGTAATAGAGCCACTCTTACCCCTGTCATCCAAGCAGTATAAGCACGGGTGACAGTAAGCCGGTACACAGCGGTATGCAGTACCGGGAAGAAACAGCAGTTTACAGCTAGTACCCAAACTTTCATCTCTGCAATGTATGTAGGCTTCATTTGCTTACCGTGTTGCCGCACGTCAGTCTGCACTCTTCATTGTAACTGTAGTAATCCAATAGGACCATGCTGCTTGCAAGTGAGTCGTATTTGCTTCCTCAAACAAACAACCTCCGGAAATGGGATCGCTCAGTGCGAACTTTTGATTGGACGCTGGTTACCTCGGCGCTGGGGATCGACTCCTGCCTTTTGGTGAGAGAGGGAACTTTTAAAGAGACAGCTGCTTTAATCTTAACGCAGAAAGAAAACAAATGCATAGAAAATTGATTTTATGTTCAAGAGAAAGAAGAATGTATGGTGGCCAAGCCACTGTTGCAAATAAGTAAAAAAAAACTGCTAAAAAAAAAAAGGATCCAAAAAAAAAAAAAAGTTATTGCAAAAATAAAAGGATCCCCAAAAAAAAACACCACAACGGAAGCACCTGAGTTGATATAAAGTTGAACTGAAGCTAACAATACACCAGCATCCTCCAGTTCAACGTCACATCGACTCAGGCGTTACATGGCCTGACCAAATGACATGTTGAAAAGCACACAGCGAAATTAAACAATAAGCTTTCCACTAACTTCTTTGCTCGTCTTCTTGCTGTAGTCTTCTGTGCCTAGATCATAAAACACTAGAGCATCATCATTATTGGTCCCTGGCAGCTCACTTCTTTTGTGGCCTTTTCTTTTTTTTTTTTTGCATCCTTTTAATTTTGCAGTAAATCGCTTTTTTTTTTTTTTTTTGCAATACCACTTTTTTTCACATTGTTAACTTCCGTTGTGGCTTTTTTTTAATCTGCACCGTTATCCTTTTTATTTGTAGCGAGCTTCAGTTTCTTTCTTTTAAATTTTTTGTTTTTGTTTTTTGCATCCGTAACTTCTGTTGACTTCTTTTTTTTTTGCATTCTTTTTTAATTGCAGCAGTGGCGGTTCTCGGCCACTGTAGTGATGCAGCAGATGATGATACTGTGGCACCAGAGTAGGCACCTTGTTCAACTTGGGTGTGCTCCTCTTGTACAAAGCCTACGGGTTCAGTACCTGCAAGAACATTCTACTTTCACCTCTGAGTATAAGAGAAAAAGTTCAAGAAAAGTTAACCTCTCAATCTGTCAGCAGTTATATGGGAACCTGCAGACAAATACTAAATTCGCTGACTATAAATGTTTGTGATCATTATAATCTGCAGGCTCCTTCATAAAAAAGCCCTGTGTTTATTCTCTTAATCCAATAACCTGCAAAAGGAGCAGAAGGAAATGATGAAGGGGTCCCTGAAGACAATCCTGCAGCTACCCTAAAATCTCCTGTCTGGACTGGTCCATCTATCTACAGGACAGCTGGGTCAAATAAAGGTGATGCACCACACAGACTTCACCAGTAAGTGCTTTGGGTTCACTTTTACAACACAGTGTTGTCAAAAGATCAAGTAGAAATAGAGAACATGCCATTTTATCCTCCTCAGACATCCCTGTACACCAAAACATGAAAACAGTGATATTCAGTGAGAAAGGGGGGGAAAGGGGACGAAAAACTCAGGTTTCAACGATGGGTCAAGTGGGTATAAAATTCAATATTCAGGCCTTTCTAGCAATGGCAAAAAGCTGTTAATCATCGCCCTATCTCTCCAGTTTAGTGGGTTGGGGTTAAGGTCTTCTACTTTCTTGTGACAGCACACATAATAAATAAAGCTCATTTGCATAAAAGAGACAAGATTTATAATTTAGAAATAATGCCCTACAAACAGGATCATTAATAGTTAGATGCTGTAGCCAGCAGTAGCCATGATCCAGCAGTCCTTGTTAAGATAAGAATATAATCTTTATTTAGAAGAAATATTGCACTTGAACTGCAATTAGATAGGCATTGTAAGCCAGTTAGCCTGACATAAAGGTACTAACTCCAAGAGACTTTTTCTTGAAATACTCTTGAAACTTTGAGGTTTGGTGTTACGCCATCATTTGATACAGTTTAGCTAACAGATAAAGGGGAAAAAGAAACACTTACACGAGAAACACCAATAAAATCAATTCTATCCACATCATACAAAAAGTTTTCTCCCAGAACTGTTCATCAACGTGTCAGGTAACTATCTCGATACAGCTAACACCCTGTCATCTTCATAGGGAAAGATGGAAAGCCAGGGATTTCTTCTGAAATATCTCTAAAGCACCTGGACATATCGCCCTCTTTCAAGAGGACCGTCAGACCTTGAGGGCTCTCTGAGACACTGCCAGGGTATTTGATTGATTCCATCCTCAGAGATTAATCTAGATATTGACTGTGTGCAGTGTGAGCGTAGGTGTGTCTCTGGGTGTTGGAGTCAGTGAGAGAGAGAGAGAGAGAGAGAGAGAGAGAGAGACAGTGTCTGATAAAGACAGAGCCAGTGAGCTGGGTGATCTACAGCCTGTTTAGATCCTCATTTCCCAGAGTTCATAGCTCTCTTCCATCAACCCACAGGCAGAGAGCCAAGCCTTTGCTCGCTCCTCCACGGTGGTCTAATTCATCCTCGCTTAGAAAAGGTAAAGGCTGGCCCTGTCTGCCTCAACAGGTCCAAAGGCAACTCATTTTTATCACTTTACTTTGATCTGCATTCTCTGTATGTCTCATCTTTGATGTATTATCTTGACTGTGCTCTGATGATCTTTTTGTTTTAGTGCTCCACATGCACAGCAGCAAAGGAAAAGGGAAACTCAGTCTCTAAGGAATTCCTTAGGCAAAGGTTAAATACCTGCAAATGTAGCTGGTAGCAGAAAAGAACCTCATAACAAGACGTTCGCAACCACCCACACCCAAGCAGTCATGGTTACACTCTGAAAATGCATGCATGAATATGCACACCTAAACTCCTACACATGCTGTCAAACTCACCTCTTTAAGAGCCGAACAGCTTCTTATTCAGACAGATTTAAATAACTTCCCAAAAGGCAGATGGTTATAAAATGAGCCTTTTTATGGATATCACTCCACTCGGCACAGGTGGGTGCAGCTGGAGCAGGTGTGTGTTGGTAACAGGGCCAGGAGCCTGATGCAGATTTGTAGTTCATAATATCCAGCTGTGCATGTGTAGCTCTGACAGACCTTCACTGGAATGACACCTTACTAACATACACAGATGGTCGGCTCCAGCTGATGAGAAATCTGGCTGATTTTGTGATGGGGAGGTATAACTGAGCAGAATGGTGATGGCACTGTTACTCTTAGCAGAAAGAAATCCTAGCTTGACTCATAAATGCAACAAATTGATCGGAGTCTTACTTCTTTAAACACATAGGACATCATGCATTAAAAAGACGAAGGAGTGCTAATGAGACGGTGTCAATATCTCTACCAATGAGTGTTTTGGATAATTTAAGAGTTCAGAGAAGCTGCTATATAACCGTAAGATACTTGGAAACCCTGCAGTCTACATACATTTATAGATTCATAGTCATCTATGGGAGCTGTGGAGCTACAACATTCATGGCTTTGAATGAACCCACTAAATGTAAATCATTTTGTCACAACTCTTCCTAAGAACTTGCAGCTGGGGCAGCAAAAACAGCACTTATAGCGGTTGTCTATAAACTAAATTTGCAGCTCAGGCTTCATTTCATGTGCAGGCATCTTGTCCTTAAACATGAAAACTTATTTTTTATCAAGACAGGCCAATCATAGCTAGGTATTTAGGGCACTTGCAAAGATTTTTCCAATTTTGAAAGAATCTGAATCCTCTGTTAAACTGTATAACATCTTATTGTGGTCAAGTCATTCAAAGCATAAGCACAAGTCACACATAACTTTATAACTTTGAAGACTTCTACTGCAATTTCAGTTTCTGTTTATAATAAATAAAGGCATTTTGTTCTTGCTCACTGATAACCTACTAGAAATCAATAATTAACTGATTTGTTGCTTATTTTTGTAAGATGACATGCCACAACTTCAGTATTTCATGTTTTTCCTAGATTCACCCTGAGTTGAAGTCATGACTCAGAGAAACTGACTGTTCAGGGCACATTTGTATCAGTCGTAATACATACATGCCTGTTAAACTTATAAAAGGTGAAAACTTTGATACACTTTGAGGGGACTGTCTGCCTTATGGAGACCAGAGGGTAGGTTTGTTATTATATGGCTCTATTGCCTGTTGATAAATAGCTATACTGATTTTTCTGCGCTATAATGTCAAGCCAAAATCTCATATGCTATCATGGTATCATGTGATTACAGTCATAAAGTTTGCAGTTAAACATCCCTTGTTAACAAAGAAATCACCTGCTGAGCCAATTACTATTATAATACTGCCAACACACAAAGAAAGAAAATAATAATAACAATAATAATAATCATAATAGTTATTATTATTATTATTATTATTATTATTAATGCTATTATAGTTGTTGATAAAATGTGTGTGATTTCACAAAAACTTGAGGTATTTGTGGTTGAGAGTTGCTGTCCTCCATGCTGCCTTTTCCTTCTATGTAATTAGGGAGTTGTTGTTCGCCACATTAGTGGCTTTGGTGACAAATGACTTAACGAGCTACACGGGGAGTCCTAATTATTCTGCAATTAGAAATGTAATTACGGGTTTCTCCGATGGCTTGCCTGCTAGCTGGCTAGCAGAGACAGAGTGTGCATCACATTCACCGCCAGCTAATCTGTCACACTTGGAGAAGAAGATAAGACTCTGATAACACCCCAATGACCCGAACTTGTAGTGGCTGAAGTTAAGGTAGTATCTGTTTGCCATCACTACAAAGCACTTGGAAACAAGTCATACAAAATGTTGCTTCATATCTACAAAAAAACTAAATTATGAACAATCGTTGCCTAATTCCTGATGTAGAGGTAGGCAGGTAATGATCTGTAATTGGATTTCCTTTAGCTTTTTTGTATTGTGTAAAGAGTTACAAGGCTCACATGCAATCACCGTGTTATTCAGCCTGACGTAGTCAGAGGATATGATGGAGAAGGTGGAGAGGCAGATTGCATAGGTAGTTATTACACCTCTGAACAATATTATTATGTTAGAGGGCTGTGTTCTTGTTTTCACTTGATACACCTTTTTTAATGCAGTCAGTGCTAATTACAAGGAAATAAGAACAAATATAATTGATTAAGT